TTGGATTGCTCTTAAATTGCTGAGCAAAATTATTCTTCAAGTTAAATCAATAATCATTGATTAACCTGACCATTTGCTTGTCACAAGATGATTGTTTGGTTTTATTTTTGTTGTCATTATTGTTTCATGATAATAATGTTGATCATGATAGGAACACGAGAGAAAAAATTAATCATTTAAAATTGCCTTCAATTATCAGACTAAAATGAGCAATAGGATTGAATATGAAGGATAACTGGCTCAGAATGATTCTGTTTCAGGAAGAATGATTAAGCCAATTGTTGACAATATCATGTCCTAATGAACAAACGGTAAAAATTAAAGTCAATCTTTCAACTGATTTCATCTCCAGTCGTTTCAGCTTATCAAGTGTCTTCTTCAAATGATTTTCAAATGTCAATCATGTTACCTTAAAGGTTACATTATTGATTAAAGTCCCTTTATTTGTCAAATATATTAGCAACTGTAAACATTATAAAAAAAGGTCTATTTGTTGCTCTTGTTCAACACTAATCAAGTTGATTTCAATGTTTTCATAGACTAATGATCTTGAAACACGATAATTTGAAGGTAAAAGTGATCTCGCCATTGAAAGTAGATCAAATTGGAGTTAAATTTAGTGTTGCTTAATGATTAAGATTGACTATTGATCATTTGATTGTAGATTAAAAATTGCGGTTTATCCTTTATGTGGCTCCATCTAATTTTGTAAAAAGGTTTTGTTTTTATTGTTGACTCTTTTCGAGTTATTTTTATCTTATTTTTTAGTCAATTTTATCGATTGGAATTGAATTTTTGTGCATTTTATTTGTTAATTTGTTTAATTAATTTTCTCAATCTGTGAATAGATGAACCGCAAGGTGAAATTTCCTGTAAATTGAATAATTTCTCTCCATTATTTTCATTATTTGGCTGAACAATGGAAGCGTCTAAAAATAAACTCACAATTGTTAATCTAATCTTGTTTTCGTTTCTTATTCTCATTTCAAAACATTTTAGATTGAATTTAATTCTCACTGATCAAGATCAACATTTCCTTTATCAATTTAAATTAATTACGAGTGAATAATTGTTCTCAGATGGAAAATTATTTCAAATTGAAAATGAAAATTTCGTTCTGAAAATTGAAAGTTCATCTGTTGTTACCCGAAACTTGAACTGTACTTTGACGCGTTAATCATCAATCAACTGTTAAACAAATGTAAAGGTTAAAAAATAGTTACAATCAGCTTGTTGTTGATTGTAAATAAGATTTTAAATAAGATAGTGAAGCAGATTTTGATTAATGTTTTTATTAACATCATCATTATGAGCGTTTTTTTCAAGTCATTACGCCTTGCTTGGTGATAAAGTTGTCTCTCAAAATATTACCTTTGTGTGAGTGTGAGTTTTTTGTTGTTAAAAATAAAATTATTGTTAACGACAATTTAAAGTTGATTAAGGTTACCAGGTTAATGTTACCTGTTAAACGTTGTTTCAATGAAAGCCAAAAATTCTGACAAATGGACATTAATTCATAAATTGTAAAATATTGATAATAATTGCAAAAAGTGAATGAAAAAAAACCATTAAAACTAAAAGGCAACTCAACTGACAATCGATTGAAACATTTGAAGATTCAATGCGTAAACAAATGTTAATTGTCGATTGTTAAATTACTTTCTCTTTCCAATCAAATTAGCTGTTGATTTGGTTATAATACAGGAACAGGTTTAACCAATCAATTTGACCATAAAGTCCAAGTAAAGGTCAGAAACCAAAAAAAGCAAAAAGTGAAACAAATCACTTTAATAACCATGTTTTCATTGTTCAGCTAATTTACATCAACAATTATCTAATAATCATCGATCTATTGTAAATCATCTCAATTCAACCTTAATGTTTTACCTTTTGATTGTTAACAAATTGATATTTGTTCAACCTTTTCAAACATTGAAAGGCCAACAATGAAGGTAAGATTATCATTATTGTTGCCTTTATTATCATTTCATTTTAAACTAATTTACTAAATTATTTCAATGACCTTTTCCAACTGTTTACAGTTTCATTGATAATCTATTTTTGGGTATTATTACTTGTTCAAGGTTTAAAGGATCAACCAGATTGAACATGAATTATCCTAACCATGAATTAACCCATTTAGACCCAAGAACTAACCAATTTAAATATAAAATCAACTACCAATTGTAATGGTTAAGTCTTCAAATTGAATTTTGTTAACCATTTGATGAGCTTGTCAGTCATGTGGTTTACAATTGTCAACCAATTATTTGGTTTGATATTTTTTGTTTTTGATTGCCAACAATTACAAGTTGATAAGTGAAGCGATTAATTGTGAATACCTTTTAGTCTGGTGAACGTTCCTGGTTTTGGTTCCTTAACTGTCAACATGCAATAGAAAAAAAAATATTATCAACTTAAATCTCTTCCAAATTTAATCAATTGATTTATAGTTGATTCACAATCGGAATGAAAAGCAGGAAAAAGGACTTTTTTAAACCTTGAATTTAATCATAGGTAAACCTATTTAATGGTTATTTTTGAGGAAAAGCAAATTTTTTTGTCATCAAAATGGTTTTAATTTGAAAGGTAGTTTCACATCAAAGTTGACTAATGAGAAATTGAAAAGTTGATTCAATTTTACCAGTTTTTCACCTAAATCTTTGCTTTCTCTTCCTGCTCTTTATCAAATTCTGATTACGGTTTCAGTCAATTGTAACAATTTTGAGAAAACTCAATTTACCGTTAAGGCTAATTTTAGTCTTGAATTGTCTATTGATTCAGATTAAAATGTCGTATGCAAAGTCAAGGTTTAATAATTCAGATGAAATTCAACACAAATAGTGGATTAAAAATCGTTGGATATTGCCTTGAAAAATGACTGAATCAATGTTCGTATCGAAACACAAGGAATAATTTAATCACTCAGTGTTAACCATTGATTAATACAGTGAAATTTTGATGATCAACGAAGTTTCATAAAAATTTATGAGTTCAATGAAAAAGACTTCGAAATCTGATAATCTAATGGCTAGAAATTGATGTCAATTGATTTCCAAACCATTTTCAGTCGATTGTCCACAAATTTGGGAAATTTGAAAATGAAGTTTCTAAGGTTATTAACTACAAGTTAAGTTAAGCTCAGCAAAAGACTAGTGTGAACTAACTACACAGATCAGTGCTTGCAGCTTCCGTCCATTTTCAGATAATTTGCTGAATCCAGCCCGGACCTAAGCAATTTGCTCAAAAGACGTAAATGATCAAAGATTGACCAAAGGATAGGAGTTGATGTTGGATTTGAAACTACAGTAGAGCACTTCAAAACTGGTAGACTTTCGTTTTGAACCATTTTTATCTGATTATTTAATTAAACAGTCAAAATAGACCAAAATCTAGACAAAAAGTTAAATTAGCCAACTTTTTTAAAAAATGATTTTCCTGCAGAATGAATCTCGCCCATTGCTTTAAAAAAGATGCGGAAATGCTCTTCTCTATTGAATGATTAAACTAGCATGTTAATGACTTATTCTGATTTGCTTAACAATGACTTCCTTCTGGCTCTAGTAAAGTTTACTAATTCAACTTATTGCACTAAAATTTGAGTAAATTGGGTTAAAACAATTAGAAAATTACATTAAATGATTCCCGAATGTTCAATCCAATAGAGTAATGCATTTAAAAATTTTGAATTTACTTACAGTTGTTGTGAAGCGATTCAGCAAGGAACAAATCCAAATTTATAACCCTGGAAATATAACTTTACAACTGTTACACCGATTAGATATGGAGCGTAATTATGATGACAATGCTGAAGGGCTGAATTAATTAATTTTTAAATCCACTTTCAGCATTTAAACACAAAATGAAAAATAAAAATTGAAAAATAAAATAAAGGGTGAATCAGCTACCTCCCTCTATTGAGGCTTCAGTGAAATATAAATGTACATCTTACCTGATAAGAAGAGTGAATAAAGATAAATCTTATTGTTAAAACACTTGAATTGGCAGTTTCTTAGTAAATGCATCGATAACATGCAAATAATAACGTTGATAAACATTTAAACAGAAGTCAAAAACTTAATAATACACACACCACAATGAAAGCAAGAATTAGTGGCAGGACAATGGTTATTAGTTATTTTCAATGAAAGTGATGAATCTCGTTATCATCGAGTGTTCTGTAAACATTCTGATTCAAATGGTGTTTATGTCTTCCTTTGGGCCAGTAAAACATTTGAAGTTAATGATTCATTCAAAGGCTCACTATCACACTTCATGCACTCTCTGGAACCAGCTTTCATTATTTTTAAAAAAATCAATGTACACTCATAAGAAATTTTGCAGGTGTACTTTGTAAGGATTGTAAGTGCTGGATTTAGGACTTTAGTAGGATCAATAGATTGATAAACTATCCCAAAACAAATTACTTTGATAATTAACGATGTTATTCATTGTTCAACCAATTTACATCAATAATTATCTAATATTATATTTGGGGTAAAATGTTTTACCTTTTGATTGGTAACAAGGTTAACAATTGATATTTGTTCAACCTTTTCAAATAAACTTGCAGCAAAACAAGGAAAACAATGAAGGTAATTAATTTACTAAATACCTAATTCAATGACCTTTTTCAACTTCATCAGTTTCATTAGCAGTCTATTTTGGGATATTATTACTCTATTAAGGTTTACAGGATAAATTGAAATGAATTCTGAATCTAACCCATTTTGACCCAAGAAATGGTCATTTAAATATGAAATTAGGCTTGAGTTGAAAGATTTTTGTTAACCACTTGATTAATTTGTCAGTCATTTTTTGTGGTTCACAATGATTAACCAATTATTTATTCAATCTGTGTTTATTACAGAATGAGTTTCATTTTTCCATTCAAATCTTTTCTGAAGGCTTTTAAAAATTCAACATAACATTCAAATCTATTTGCTACTTTGAAATCGCAGAAAATTGATATTTATAATTGTAAAAAGAGAGTTAATGTTAGCTAGCATTCGTGTCTTTTAATTACATACAGTTGTGATAATTGAATTCGGATTGATATAATTTATGAAAATATTAAATACTTGGTAAACTAAACTTTTAAATCATGGATTTGCCATTTTGAATTGATCAATTTATGAGTACAGTTGGTAAGACAATCACAATAACTGTGGGAATAACTTTAAGATTGTAATTATCGCAATAGCAAATAAATTTGGTGAAATTTCAAACGATTTTTAGCCGCAAAATTGTCCAATTATTGCAATGAAACAGTTATAAAGATCGTTGAAAATGTTTGGTTATTTTTGAAAACAAAGTCACGGCTGAGGTGAGGTAATGTCATGTGGAAAGTGAGCCCAATCAATGGTAGAAAATAAATTTACAAGTAGAAAAGAAAACCTATTAAATTGTGTAAATATGAACAAGTGATTAGGATATGAGAAACGATTGAAATTTTAAATGAATAGCCATAATAAATAATCAAGAGCACAAATTATAAAAAGAAACAAACTTTAGATTAATTCAATAAAAAGAAAGATTGAAAGTACTCAAAAGAAATTGCTGAGATTATTTTGGATTAAGTTTCGTAGACTCTAATTGTTCCCCTAAAGAATCAGGTTTACTTGTCGAAGGATTACCGTTTTGTGATCGAACCAACCTTCGTGCTTCTTTCCATTTAACATATTCTTGTTGATAAGGTTTCAGAGGGATCACAAAAGTACTTATGTCATCAATGGTTGCTGGTTCTTCATTTTGAGTTCTCCAACTTCCATTATCCTTGGATTTGCCTCTAGAATGCATAACTAAATCCTGAGCTGCTGAAATATATCTATACTTGAACCGTTGAACATCATTAGCAGGAAAATGATCCAATGCTTTTTGAACAATTTCAGCCGCTTTGTGATTGGAAGTAACATCCCACAATCCATCAGTTCCCATGATGAGCACATCTGCATCAGTTAAGTTTTCTGTCTCGAGATCGAGAATTTTAACCTTAAAAATAAAAATTCAAGATTATTATTTATCAAAATTTAGATTAAAAAACTCAATAATACTTACTTCAGGTTGACAAGTAAGGAATGGTTTAATGTAAATATCACCATGTGCTGCTTTCAATTCATGATCTCCAAAACCACGAGTAACACCAATTGTTGCAGCAACACGACTCTTTAAAAAAATAAATAGATGTTGAAGTGAAAAATGGATTGAAAATTATTACTAGACTTACTCTTTTCCCTTCGCCATGAATTAAAGGAATCTTCAAATCTTCAGGTTTAACAGTTTTATAAGCCCTATTGGTCAAGTGAAAAAATGAGAAACATATTATGGAATGTCAATATGCATGATTAGTATGGCCAATTGATTCTTACCATCCAGACATGTATGCATCTCTGTACAACAACTCTTTACCAAGATCTTTTCTGAGAGGACGTCTTATAAACTCTAAATGAGTAAAATCATTGCCTAAAAAGTCAGGACGCAACAAACCCTGATAAATAAAAAAGATACATTGTAAATAAATAATGAAAGTGCTTGTGTAAAATTATATTTACCAAATACTTGACCCTTGTTCTTTCCGATGCTGGAGTGAAGTCAAAAGACATTGGTATTACTTCCCCATTTTTATGAACTATAGCACTGCAAAAAGATAAACAAGTTATAGAGAGTTAAAAATTGTGAGACTTTCAGCTTGAAAGCAATTTATTATAGTTTTTATCATATGCTTGAATCGACTTACCGACTGTCACCGGCGTTGGCAACATAAAGTTTACCGAGAATAAAAAGAGACACCAAAGCTGTACAACCTCCTCGCATATAATAATTAATTTTATCTCTTTCAATCTCTTGGTCCTTGTATAAAAATGAAAGAAATAAAACGAATTAACATTGAGATTAAATAACTAAAACAATGGATAACATTGAATGAAATAATTTACCATATCCCAAAATGCCTTTTCAAGAGCTCCAGAGATTAGGTTGTCAACTGAAACTGTTTTATCTTTAACTGGGTCATGTACAGAAAAGTACGTGTCTGGAGGAAAACTTGGTTGATATATTACACCTTTGGTGTTTTCAGTTGCAAATTTCAAATCAGCATCGCCTTGGAATGCGTTTTCTTCGATTCCAAAAGTAATAAGAAGATCTGCTATGCTTGAAAGTTTGTCATGAACGATTTTATGGAGCCTATAGGCAGCAGCAACCGCAACATCAGAGCCGGCATGTCCATCGAACAAACCAAAGTAGACATATGGTAATGAATCTTCGACTTGTGATAGGTTATCTTTGTCCACTGAAGGAGCAATAGAAGATACGACGAGAGTGGGAATTGGTTCTGATTCAGCTGGTAAGATGGAGGAAAATGGTAAAGGAGTTGATGGTGATAATAAGTCATCCGGAGTTCCGTTCAACAGAGATCCCTCGGAAACATTACTATCGGTAGACGTTACTTCTTCAATTCCAGGTTCAACTTTGACTATTGAAGGCTTAACTTCGTCGGATTGAGAATTGTCGATTGTTGGTAAATTTTCTTCTTTAATATTACCAATCTTTTTTGTCGCAGCATCTGAAGTTTTTGATATATTTTGAGAGACAGGTGCTGAAACAGGTTTCGGAGCCATTTTATAAGCTGGTCTAACTGAGATTTTTCTGATAGAGATCATATCAGCAATTTTATTTTGAATCACTTCTTTTGATATGACAGCTCGAAGCAAACCTTTATGAATAGCGGCTTGATCTTCATTACGCTGACTTTTACCAGCATTCACAGCCCTTAAAATAACCAGAGACAATCAAATTAGCATTTCTAATGTAAATAATAGAGTAGCAAATAATTGAACCATAATGACTTACTCAGCATAGCCAGAGTTCCATGAAAGTTTAGCAATATCACGAGGAACAATGATTGGTCGTATAATTTGGTCAGCAGAAACTTGTATTTCATCGTCTGAATTCAACTGAAGAAAATGTGGTCTTGTATATCTATATTTTAGAACAGGTCCTTTGCTGATACGCTTTAAATTAGATGGTAAAGCAAACATTGGCTTTCCAAGAGCTGCACTTTCACCGGATCGAGAAGAGCCAACATATGGATCACTAGACATTGCAATAGGATCCAATTGTCCATCAAGATTATTAACAGCATTAATAAAGGCTCCTTTAATTTTGTTAAACATCTTTAAAAATAATATGTCTACTTAACAGTAGATGAGAAAAGAAGAAGAAATTGTTAACTAACAATTAAATCATTGTGAATAAGGGAAAAAACTAGAGTAAATATAGAGTAACATTTCGCCAGGTTTTCAATATTTTTGTTTCCCTGGTTGTTATCAAATCTTTTATTGCATGAGAGTTCCCCTAGCGGTATTATCTCAACTGGATTTCACACAATTTAAAAATTTTGAATTAACTTACATGGTTTGTTTCAAGAAAGCAAATTATTAAGAAAAAAGTTGAAAATTTATCTCCATGAAAATATAACAACAAATTTCCAATTGTTACACCAATTTGGTTCCTCCATTTGAAACCAATTCACTACACAAGTTGAAACATAATGATTGAGAAAATTAAATACAGCTGTCAACAAACATGTAAATGATTTGAGCTGTAATCATAAATTAGAAATGAAGTTTAACTATGATGACAAAACTGAAGAGTTGAATTAACTAATTTTTAAATCCACTTGAGGAATAAACAATAAAAATTAAAACCAAAATAAAGGATGAATCAGCTACCTCCCTCTATCGAGAATTCAGTAAAATATTAATGAATTTACAAAGAATGTCACGTTTTTTCAAGCTCCTGAATTTTTAACTAATTTCATTACTTTTTAGTAATTAAAAGTGATTATTTTTTATAAATAGTGATTAATTACAACGACCAACATCGAGGGATCATTGTGGTACCTATTTCTAGTGTTTATCTTTTTGTAATAACCTACTTTTTTCCTTATTGTACTCCACCCCTACATACTATCTCAATGGCTTCAACTTCTTTGAATTGTCTGGTAAGTTTTTACATGGTTATAAAAAGCCAAACAAAATAACTATTACTACAAATAATGTACTCAAAAAATAATTTAATGACAAAATACTGTACTCATTTAATAATATACTTACTCTATAATCTACTATTTTTCTGCTGCTTGGATAACAAGAACAACCTGACCGTTCCAGATGACAAAAAGTTTTCAGCCATACTAGACTTTGTTAAATCATTTGGTCAAATTACTGAATCCAACAAACAAGCTATCTTCACCCGAATCAGAGATGTTCAATTTATCTCTACCTTGGATCGCATGATTGAAAACGCAGACTGGCTTAAGAATGCATCATCAGAAGATATTGGTTTATGTTCTAGATTTGCCTTTGATATAAAAGCATTTCAACAAGAAGATATTGTTTTACTTTCTGAACCAGAACTCATCTCCATGAATGGACTTTCGAATAATCAACAAAGAAACCTGACGTGTCAACAGTATGCAAGATTAGACATTCCCTCATCATGGTTCAAAGTTGATGATATAAAGATCTGGCCCCTAATCGTCATCAAAAATCCGAAAGTTAAACGCTCTGTCAACCTAACAGAACCACAAATCATGAAACAGAGAATCAGCAAGTTACTCTCTGATACGACAACTGATGTTGGAGGTATAATCGATATTGAAGAGGGTTATAAATCGATTAAGGTAAAATGTGATCACATCTCTAGCAGATCACGTCTTTTACGGTTTTTGGAATCTAACCTTTCAAAAGATTGGAGTCTTATCATTCCGAAACTACGCAACCCCATCATTCGTCTAAATAATATCAATATCAAGATAGATCAAAAGACAATGTTACAAGACTGGTTCAATAAATTAAAAGTTAGAAATGGATGGCAAGACCCTGATGTTGAGCTGAATTATGCTTATGAAAGAGATTATGGTTGTGATGTATTGATCACGGTAACTCCAGCAATTCGAACCCAGATCGGTCGAAAATTCGGTCGCATCAATCTTGGTTATAGTTTGGTAAAAGCCTTAGATCATTTCGACATCAAAAGATGCAAGAAATGTTGTAGTTTTGGTCATCCAACACATAAGTGTAAATTGATACCAAAATGTGGTTACTGTGCTACATCCCATGAAGGCCTATGTGAGGCCATAAAAGATACTAGAAAGCAAAGATGTCCAAATTGTTTGCAGCTGGGGACCAATGCATTTGACGACAAGTGTCCAGTTTATCGTCTGAAGCTTCGCCATGAATTGGAGAAAGTAAACTTCAATTATCGATACATAATGAACTGACTCAAAAACCTCATAAAAAGAAAAAGTTAACACCTCGGTGCTAACTAGCTTAACAATCTTAACATACTTTATGATACTTTTTTCCTACCATAAAACTTAAACCCTTAACAATTTTTTCTCACTAGCCTACTAGTTTCTCATACTGAATCTCAACACTTAATTAAGAACTACCAATTAACAATACTCTACAAGATGAAATATTTTTCAAACTTTACCACTACTCACATTACAGCTAATCTTTAACACCAATTTATTTTCTCACATAAACCGAAACAACTAAGAAATTATTTTCCCGACCATCCAAACCTACTCTTACTTTCATGTCATGTTATCAACAAGATTTTCAGTAAACTCAGCTCAGAGAGCGTACAGAGAATCTCAAGCAAGTCGCTTAAATTGGTTTAATGTCAATGGTATCTCGCCTGACTATTATATAACTATTAAACTTTCCAGAAATCCAGTCTCACCGACTGACAGATCAACAGTAAGAACAACAATTCTTGCGCTTTTAAATAATTCTCGATCTCCAAGAAAAAAGATTAAATTAGTGCAACGTCGTCGTTCAAAAGTGCTCATATTTTTCAATAGTGAAAGTGACCTACAAACGTTCGTTACGGACCAAGCCCAAGTACTAAGAAACTGGGAATACCAAACTCATCTTCCAACTGACTCAGTGATTAAATTCACGATCCCCAAAACTTTCTCATCTGACCAAAAGTTGACTCTAACTGAACTTTTTGTAGCTCAGAACAACTTAACACCAGATCAAACCACAAAAATCATCCATCTTGTTACTCATCAAGCCAACTCAACCACTTTCTTGGTTCAAATTAGCCAAGAAAACAGAGAAAAACTCCTAAACGAGGACTACTGGGTTCATCTCTTCAAATACACCGTTCGTTCATATGACCATCTAATAATCAAACTTTGTGAAAATTGTTGGTTATTCAATCATTATTATAATAATTGTGCAAGACTGCCCAAGTGTAAACTGTGTTCTGAACCCCATGATCAGAACGTCTGTGAACTAAATCCTCAAATTCAACAGTTAAAGTGTGCCTCCTGTCAACCCCCTTATAACAATCATCAAACAGCAGACATAATCTGTCCACTCCTGATTCAAAACATCAGACAAGTAACCAAGAACCTTGTTAAACTTCAAACTCCGTGGCTTATCTTACCTCCTCAATTCCCAATTGAACATGGACCTCTACCATCTTAACACCCACAAATCGAAACTCGAGACAGTTCAACTCATCAAGTCCACTCTCTCGAAAAGCAACACCATTTCTTCGATACAAGAAGCCTGTCGTAAAGTCCTACTAGACAATGCAAGAAATCCAAACATTATCTCTAACGACCAAACTGCTTTGGTAATATCAAGTGATCTGGAGCTGGTAGCCTATGATTGTTCATCGCCGAATCTCATCACTGCCCTCATCTCTAAAAACAACAAAGGTATACTGGTATGTACAGCATACCTAAATCCAGCGAAGGTAAACACTCTAATGAACACCCTTATCGACAAGCTATCCAAATTCAAGCATCTTCCCTTCGTCTTCATTGGTGATATAAATTGTGAGTCCCCGAAATGGTCTAAAAAAGTTAGAACCACAAATGCAGCAAAAACCCTGACTGCCTTTATTGAAAGTAACTCTCTCACCATTTACAATCCTCCTCCGAATGATGATAATTTTACCTACAAAAGTGGTCCTTTCGTCTCATGGATTGACTTAGCATTTGGTAATATCAAGTGCAAAAGCTTTACCATGTCAGACGTCATAATTGATCACAAGCTCTTAAACATGACCCTAGATTATTCAGACATTTACACAAACATTATTAGAGAAGCAGCCTTTATCTACACCAAAGCTACTAGAACAAAACAGAAACTCAGTCTAGAAACTAGCAAGATCGAAAAGCCCAACAACAATAAAATAGATCAGATATTCCAAAAAATACTCAACTTTCCACCAGAAACTAAAAAAGTTAGAACATTTGCAACAAGACAGAACTGTAAGATAAGGAAAATCAGACGAAAGATCAAACTACTTCAGCGTATTAATACTAGAAACCACAATGTAGATATAAAAGAGGAAATCAGCAACATGAAACAGTTAGAAAAACATTTTAGACAGGAAAACAGGAAGAGCACGATAAAATTTCTATTGAAAAATCAGAAAGAGTCTCAAACATTTTGGAAGATAATGAACAAAATAATTAAACCTGCTGATACCTTAAGCTCAATTTTATCAGATGGAATAGGAAAACAGTCAGAATATAATAAGTACGGCTATAGAAAGCCTCATTTTATTCCAACAGCAGGGACAGATCAAAATTATCTAACTGATGAGGAGGTAGAGATGGTGAAATCGATGAACTTTCGCAAACAGTCAGGTTATGCAGACAACTTTTCACTAAAATTATGGAAGAGTTTCTGGGAACTAAACAAAGACAACATAGTAGATCTCGTCAGAATTACCTTGAACAAAGGATACATTCCGCAACCTCTGAAAATATACGGTGCTCACCTAATACCGAAGCCAAATGGCTCCTTCAGAACGATCAAGATCACCAATTTTCTGTTAAGAATATATGACAAAATCATATCCGAAAGAATCAAGAAAGTCCTGGATAGAGTCCTGATAAGAGAACTCAATTTGCTTATCAGCAAGACCTGAGTCCATTGATCTCCATGTGTATAAGCGAAATTTGGGACCCAAAAATGACTATCTCATGACGTCTCTCAGCATTCGATAAGTCAAGTCGATATGCTTAGATGACTTCTCAGAGTAATGAAAACAATCTGATATCAACATCATTCGACAGTTCTCCTATGGGAGATGGCTGAAAACCAGGATTGAATCACACTTTCGATATCGACCTGATCCAGAGGGAGTTCCTCAGGGATCCATCTGTGGGCCTCTTCTTTTTATCTGTGCCCTGAACAAGGTTATCAGAAACTTAAAAATGAAAAACATCCATATCACTGCTTATGCGGATGATATGATCACCATCGTCAACCCCAAGCAAAGATTAAGTGTCATCAAAACTATTGAATTTGAACTGGCAAAAGCAAATCTTAAACTCAACCATGATAAAATGCAAATTCGTGATACCACAAACACATCACCAATCAAAATAGCTGGTATACATTTCTTGTTTAAACCAACTATAACGAACTTGGACGCTCTAATAGAAACCAATCTACAAAAAGTTAACAGGAACAAACATATCCTTCGATCTCTGCCTCTATCTCTACGAACTAAAGTTTTAAACGCTTTTATCAGCAGTGCCCTACACTCGCTACCTCCACATATCTTAATGGAACAAGAGAACTACAAAGAAGTCATCGAAAAGGTCACAAACAGAGTCAATCATGCTCTTAAAAACCTTACAACAAGTACTGCGAAAGCATCAGCCTGGTTTCCGATTGTAGTGTATGGTATAAACAACCCAACTCAAATTTGGCTCCAAAATGTCCTAGCGGCTGTTCTAAGAACATCAAACCAACATCGTTTATGGCCTTTTCTGGAATACTTTCGACCGCTTCCTCTCTTCACTAAATTTCCCATCATGCATAATTTCTATGCTAAACTTGTTGCCAAACCTCCAAAGGGCTTTCCGCAAGTCGGCTACAAATTGAGAAATGACTTAATCCAAATCATTGCTCCCAATGGTTCTCACTACTATAAAATACAGAATGAATCAAGTCCATACGAAAAACACTTTCTATCCATATATATTATGGTCAGCCTTACCCAACATCAAAGAGTAACTTATATTATCCCAGAAGCTCTAACAAAGTTTCCAAATTCATCCTCCTCAAAATACGTAGCATCAATCCTAAACAGGAATGATAAGTTCGTATGGATGAACTGCACATCAGTCAACAACATTTCAAAACCAAGCAAACAAATCATAACAACCATCAAAAACAACATTATATCTGTCTCAACCTTCTCAAACAATACGAAGAAAAAGATATATGAACTATTCAATGAAATGTATAAACAAAGTGAAACCTCAATAACTTTCTTTTTCATATATGACATTCCAATTAGCTACTTTGGAAAGATTGGAAAAATATCGGTAGACCAGCTCCTGGCCAACCTTGCCCACTTCTATTCAAAAGTACTACAATTAAGAAGACAAAAAACAAAACCAATTCCCCTCCAACACTATCTCTCTGAGTGTAAAACCACAAAATCATGCTGGGAAGATCTAAAAGGAAACTGGATTTTCACTGGCTCCGTAACAGATGACCAATACAAAATTGACAAACTAAGCGACCTAACAAAGATTCTAGAAGACAAAATAAAAAGACAAACAATAAAGCAATTCCTTTTGCTAAACCCCACTAGTAACCCAACCCCACAAACACCATAAAAACATGTAAACCCAAAAAAACCAAAACAATCAATGATACTATGTAACCTTAAAAAACAAGAAAACTTATAATAAGAAAAACATGTAACTCTAACAAAACACCAAAAATTGTAAGCACCTGATCTAGGTCTATGTACCTGGGCCGTAAGTAAAACCCAAACTGAAAAGTTTAAAGTTTGAAATAAGCGGGCTATAGGAGTCCCCTGTAGTGGGTATGTTTAAGTACATGAATCTGTCTACCAGAATTTTTTATGAATAAAATGTGATGTGACTGACTTTGGCTTTCGGTTTCTTATTTTGTAAACTGATCTGTAATCATTATTATTATTTAGATTTGTAGATTTGAAGAATGTCTGATTATTGAACTTGGTCCTTGAACTTATATTTTGTAAAGTGCCTTAAAGTTAATTGATCCTTCAAGTCACAATAATTCAGATTTTGTTATTCTTTTTTGTTCCTTTGTTTCTTCTTTATCTTCATCTTTCTCTTTTTTCCTTTCACTTTATCTTTTTCGCCTAATAACCTTTAAAATTTTATTTTGTGCTACATATTATTAATTAATGTTCAATGGTGTAATCTAGTGCCATTAGTGAATCATTGATACCATGGATTTATTGAAAAATATCAACCCATTTCACTAACCTGTAAAAAAGGTGAGACCTCATTACTCATTTTATCTTTCTTTCACTCGATTCAGTTATCGTGAAAATGCAGTATGTGATTGTTTCCTCTTTACAATCTTTAGTTTGATAACTGACAACAATTGATAGAGAAACATATTTATAACGAGAAAATCAAAAAGTAAGATAAAGTACATTGCAAGTACATTTTTAGAACCCATTTACTGTTTGTTAAATTCACAGAAAAAACAAACCTAAGATTTGTGATTGAGAAAATTGTAAATTTTAGCCGATTCAAGTAGGGATAAACATATCTAGAGCTTAATTAATTTACAAAGTACTTAAGTAAAGTGTTTGTATCTTTTTGTATTGATAGTTCAAGGCATGGTTTTGTTATTCTCAGTCTTTAGTCCCAAATAACTGGCTGTCATCTTTTCTGATAAGTCCCAAAGCCTTTTAGCCAACCCTAAGTCCGTAGCCAGGCTGGAAGCACTTCGTTCTTTGCAATTGTCAAAATATTTACCAGTGACATTACTCAGTGATGGTTCCAAAGCACAATAAACTGTTGTTTGAGCTCCCTCTTCATCACTTTTGACAAATAAGCGTTTTAGTGGACCTAACCAACCATAGAAGTATTTAGAGAAAGCTGAATTATTAAGTAGACCAGTTTCGATAGTACCGGGATGAAGAGCATTCACGGTAACACCAGAGTCTTTGAGTTCTCTAGCCAAGTAATTAGTGAATAAAATGTTTTCCAATTTAGTAACACAATAAGCATTGAAGGAGGAATACTTTTTCTCAAAGTTGACATCATCTAAATCAATTGAACGAGTTAATCGATGAGCTTCAGAGGAAACATTAACAATTCTTGAAGGTGAACTAGCTTTCAGTTTGGGTAACAATAATCGAGTTAAAAGAAATGGCCCCAAATGATTTGATTGGAAATGCATTTCATTTCCATCTTCAGTTATCTTTCTATCAGCTGATCCATAGATTCCCGCATTGTTGATAAGAATATCAATTTTATCATATTTACTATTGATTTCATCAGCTGCCTTTTTGATTGAAGAAAGTGATGATAAATCAAGTGATATTATCGTCGCACTTTGTTGCCCAGTTTCACTTTTAATTTCTTCAGCAACCTTTGATGCAGCTTCAATATTGCGACAAGCCATGATGACTGAAGCACCTCTTCGAGCAAGATCAATGGCTGTTGTCCGACCAATTCCTCTATTACAACCAGTAATCAAGATTGTCTTACCTTTGGCACTAATATCACCGGATAATCTATTTACTTTTCCCATGATGAACATAAATGGTGTAGACACCAAAGAAATATTATAATATTTTAATAAACAAGAGTTGACAAGCCAATATAAATCTTGTCTCATAGGATCAAAATTTATCATCTCACTATTATCTCTCTCCATGCCAAATCATCTGGCTTGAAGAGACTGGCAACAAAACATTATGCCATGTGACATGCATAGATACAGCTATGAAAGCTTTAGCTTGATGATGAAATATCATCATTAAATTAAATAATCATTTCTTGATTTAAACTCGAATTGATTGTTAGAGCAATCAACTTACAATGATGGTCAAGAGAAACTTTGAATTTTGATACAACAACCAACATTGGTTTGCTGGATGTTCAATTGCAAGCTAACATGAATTTTCTGTGTGTTTGTCAAGTGTTTCCAGTGTTGTCAGTCTTTCAATTTGAAGAAACTCATAATCTTATCCATTTTATTGTTTAAAATAAAAGTGTTTACAGTTAATTGCTGCATAACTTTAACATTTCCTCTATTTATCTGTATGAATACAAAATCTCTTTCTAGTCATAAAATTCCTACTACTCAAGGACGCATCAAATCATATCAAGAAATACTTATGATGATTTAGTTGATTAAATTTATTGAAAACTGATACAATCGATGTTTCATTAAATATCTAATTGTGCCCTGAACCTTAATGCGCAGAGGGTTGATCAACCCATCCACTGTATATGTTTAACAGTGCAAAAAATTGTAACTCAATTATCACCATGTTGAATAACTAGTTGAAATAACCGCTATTTGTGTTTCTCCTCTCAATCTTTGAATACCGAAGCCAGTCGCTTTTTTGCAAGTCAGTTACAAAGGTTTTTGCTAAGTTATTCAATTGACTCACAATGCCTGTTAATATCTTCTGACTTCTCACTATTTACAATAGCAGTAACTAAGTTTTCCCTTCACCCTGTAACTAAAATAATTTATTTTCACTCATTTTTACTTCTTTGTTCTTAACATTTCAACTAATCAAAGCTCTTAAGAGATTTACCTTTACCACAACAACATCAATATAACAAATAACTCAACCAATTCAACATGAAAGTTCATCTTATGTAGTGAGTTTTTTGCCTGTCTTTTTGTGCTTTTCTCACTTTTGTTAACTTGTCCCTGGTCAAACAACTTTTTCTAGGATTGATCGGTTGAGGCTATTAAAAGTTAACCAGTCTTGCAATTGATGAGAAAAAAACAGCTCACCTTTATCTTCATCTCCAGCATCATCAAAAATTGATCCCTTCAAAAGTCATCACATAATACTTTGAATCGAGTGTAAATGATATCGTTTTGAGAACCTTTTATTTGAATGTTTTGTGCTTTAGGAATGTTTCCTTTGGTTTCACAGATTGTTCCTAATCGATTCAAGGTGAAATCTAAATTTTCTATTAAAGGATTATTCAGTTCAACTTTTAGTTGTGTGTTTCAATTAATCTTAGTTCCATTCCAATGTTCCATCAGCTAAAGCCATTTATGGTTTTCATTTTCACATATTTTATTATTACTTCTGTCATTGTTTTTACTCTTATTATGAAAAAATTACTATAACTCTGTTGCTAATTTATCTATTTATCTTTTTCTCTTTCTCTTATAGCTGGATGAAGCAAAATTCTGAAGCTGATACAGCGATTTTTATGCATCATTTTCAAGACTCTGTTTAAAATTACATTTTTTTATACCATTACTGTTGTGCCTTACACCAATCAAGATCTGTCAAGATGAAAAGTTTATTAAGAGGATCCAAGAATAAAATGATGTCAGTTGAAGTGATCACCATGGATGCTCAACTAGATTTTGATATATCGCATAAAGCAACCGGTGGAGATTTATTTGAACTGGTTACACGTACCTTGGGTTTACGAGAGACCAATTTTTTTGGACTTCAATATGTTGATGTCAAAGGTATTACTTTTCCGCCATTCTAATGGAACATGGAATCCATTTTTATTAAACCTTATGAATATCAGAAAACTCATCACCTTTGCTTCTTTTCCTTTTAGGTTATATTGCTTGGTTAAAAATGGATAAACGAATCTGTGATCAAGAAGTTAGATTAACTTACAAGCCTTGTAATTCATCAAATTCGTCTTCATCAAGTTTATCATCAAATAGAAACAAACCAGTGCCTCAAATGTCATTTCTCTTTCTAGCCAAATTTTTCCCTGAAGATGTTGCCGGAGAGCTTATTCAAGAGATAACTCAACATTTGTTTTTTCTTCAAGTGAAACAAGCAATTCTCAATGAGGATATTTACTGTCCACCTGAAGCGTCTGTCTTACTAGCCAGTTATGCTGTACAAGCCAAATATGGTGATTATGATGAAGCTACTTACAAGCCTGGAATGTTAGCAGATGCTGAAGATTTATTGCCACAAAGAGTTATCGACCAGTATCAAATGACACCAGAAATGTGGGAAGAAAGAATAAGAGTTTGGTATGCTGATCATCGAGGAATAACGGCAGGTGAAGCAGAAATGGAATACCTGAAGATAGCTCAAGACCTTGATATGTATGGGGTCAATTATTTTCCTATAAGCAATAAGAAAGAATCGGAAATATGGCTTGGTGTGACTGCAATGGGCCTTAATATATACGAAAAAGATAACAAACTCTCGCCCAAGATAACATTTCCATGGAATGAAATTCGAAATATTTCATATGATGACAAAAAATTCACTATCAAACCTGTCGATAAAAATGCACCTCTTTTTCACTTTTATTCATCTAAAACGCGAATGAACAAGCTTATTCTAGATTTATGTATAGGAAATCATGATCTTTACATGAAAAGACGAAGACCTGATACTATGGAAATGCAACAGATGAAAGCTCAAGCAAAGGAAGAAAAGCTTCGTCGTCATGCAGAAAGACAAAAATTCATTCGGGAAAAACAATTGAGAGAGGAAGCTGAAAGGGAAAAGAGAGAATTGCAACAGCGTTTATTTCAATATCAAGAAGAAGCCAGAGTTGCTCAAGAAGCATTGAGAAGATCGGAAGAAACTGTTGAGTTGTTGGCTGAAAAGGCTCGGATGGCTGAAGAAGATGCAATGATGTTGTCACAGAAAGCAGCAGAAGCTGAAGCTGAGATTCAGAGATTTAAAATAAATGCAATTAAAACTGAGGAAGAAAAGTCAATAATGGAAAGAAAAGCTACAGAAGCTGAGCTATTGGCAACTACAATGGTTGAGGAAAGTGAGAGAAGAGCTAAAGAAGCAGAACAACTGAGAGAAGAATTGTTGAAAGCTAAATTATCTGAACGGGAAGCAAAGGAAAAATTGTTTGATATCTTAAGGATGCCCTCACAAAGTCCTCAACATGATAGCACAACTATTTATATCAATGGATCTCAAATAAATGACACAGAATGTCCAAAATCGCCTACAACTAATGGTGCTTTAATCAATTCAGAACCTTTATATATTACAAATAATTTGGATACTTTTGATCATCATAGTCAATCGTGTCACAACAATTTGAAAGAGTTAACTATAAATGATGTAGCGGTCAACGAAACTTATCCCATTATTGTTAATCCAACAAACTTATCACCATCATGTACAAATAGTTCATACCAATTATACACATCAAGTAATACCACAACGACAGCAACAAGTGTCAGTGCACGACGCCACGATAGTTTAAATAATATAGTTACAACACCGACATCTTGTGAATTGATCAATGACACTGATGTAGAAAAATTGGTGCTGGAAATTGAAAAAGAACGAATGGAATATCTGAAGAAAAGTCGCCATCTTCAAGAACAATTAAGAGATTTGAAATCTGAAATTGAAGTTCTCAAAGTGGAAGATCGTTTAACTTCAATGGATAGGATTCACGAGGAAAACTTGAATCGAGGTGATAATAAGTACTCGACATTGAGACGTACAAAGTCTGGTACTACTAAAGCTCGTGTTGCCTTTTTCGAGGATTTATGATTTTCGCAATTGCTCATGTTCCTGTGTGTTTCCTTATCTCTCTAAATGTGGCATTCAAGTCCAGTTAAAAGAAGGATGCAATAAAGAAAGTAAAATTGATTCGGCAAAATATCAGATGATAAAAGCTTAAATTGTTTACATTGGTTGCGTCGATTCAAAGAAAAGAAGTTTCAAGTTTAATGTTAAAATTCAAAGGACTTTACTGATTTTGCCATAAATATACATTTATCTTTTGTAGCATACTGAATACTTGATAACTTGATTCTTGAAACTCTCATTCCTTTCCTTTCTGGACTAAGTTAATTGTACAATTTCTTTCATCACTTAAATTTTTCTCAGCTTTTTTACAACTTTTATCTCAAACAAATTGACAAGACAAAACTAGTCTCAGCATCTTGTCAGTAAAAACTCTTTTTTTTCAATGTGTAAATATCTGTAAAATATTAACAAATAATAAACAAGGTTTTATTTAATTCTAATTATTGTGTTAAATATATCGCGAAATTATTTTCAAATATTTTGACGGATACTTGAAAATCAATACAGATTTGTATCAAGGTTGACTTACATTTAAACGTCAAATTTCACTGAGATATTGGCTGTCGGACTAATTATTCAAGAAATAACACTTTCACCTAATAGCGTGATTCAATAATTCATCCATTCTTCATGCTCATTTCCATTATCTTCATCTATATTCTCCCTCTCTTTCTCGTTCTCACTGTCTGTTTAAAGCTGGAGTCTTTTCTGTATTTGCAGTTCACTTGCGCTGCCAATAAAGGAGTAAAACATGATATTTGTGAAATTTTAATATCATTTGTTCATCTGCCATTAAAACCTTCACTTTTTACTCTGTGTCATTTTATTAATTATTGAATCTATGATAGTGATAATTTAACATCTATTGTGAATTGAATTTATTCTGGATTAATCTCATGGTATTACCTAAATCACGATAGTCTTTGAAAAAGGTATGACTCCATTTATTACCCATTATCTTGCACACTTTGTTTTTCTCCTGCTGTTCATTTTATTCAGTTCCTTATTGTAGCTTTTCGAGATTGTTATTATTGAACATGCTGTTCTATTTGTTAATGACATCTATTATATCATTTAGTTTACTCTATATTTCAATTCTGTTGGTGTTTTAGTATTTATCATTACTGCTGTTTTAGTGATCAATAAGCATTGCTGCTTTCATTTTATTTATTTACATTTTTGCTACATCTATTATTTCATATTAGCCTTAATTATTACATATTGTCTCCTCAGATAATATGTGAGAATGGACAGATGATTGTTTAGCGATTCTTAATAACACAGATCACTTGCCTGTATTAATTAGATGATTTGAAAACATCATATTTCAGATGGCTTTACTGTAAAGGCTCATATGGCAAGTGTAAACAATGGTTGTAAATAGAGCTGCCTATCCAAGGAAACTTTCAAGTTACATTATCAGGCTACAAAATTTTCATAGGCCATCTTCTGGCTATTCAATTTTTACCTATTACAGGTATCTTAATACACTTATAGGTTAAACAGAGAAACAATTCTTTTAAATTTTCCTCACAAAGTAATCAATAACCGAGTACTTTATAACCATTTATGGTAACATATATAGTGTAAGATGTCTAGCTTCTTAAGGATTGCCGCTCGAATCAAAAGTACTTCTGCATGATAATGATCTAATCCAGTTTTCCTTGTCTTGGAAATCACAATAATAACTCTAGTAAAATTCCAATAAGAACACTTAGATATAGATTGATCCTCAAAAGCTTTTGCATTTTTCCGAAGCAAAGAATAGATGCTGATTTATGGTGACCGAAGAACCTTTAAGCCATAAAGTTTATAAGCACATTGAAAGAGTCCAAAAATTTAGCTTTGATTTCATGTTTCAAATCGAGTAAATTCTGTCGGTGAAGAAACAAAAATTCTGCCATTTGCATTTTTAGCTCGAAACATAATTTGAAGATTGCTTGACAGTCAAATTTTCAATCTAATTCCTGAATGTTCAATTCTGTTTCTGGATCAATAATGTTCTATCAATCGCTCTCCCAATTAATTCAGATAAACTCGATATCATCAGAGATAAATACATTTTTAATGGCTTGTTTTATTTTGGTTTTTGTTTGATTAGATTTGCCTGATTGGTCATGAACCATTAAATTCGTAGCTGTCCAGAGATGAAGTAAAGATATGATCATTCATATTCCTAATTATGACTGACTTCATAGCATGTGAGTAAATTGATTATTTTCTTATCAGTTAATGCATTTAATAATTCATTGTTTTCCATCTCAATAATCTCTTTCCTTGTTTATTTTGCTTTTCAGATGAATTGGAGTCCAGGTATATCCATATATTCACCAACTTACGAGAAAAATGTGCCAAAGGTGATGTTGCTAGAGCATCTAGTTTATTAGAAAGCTTAGGAAATGAAGCCTCAATCATCATTAATGCAACTCCTAATAGTGGTAATACACTTTTATTCTCGGCATGTGAAGAGGGCCGAGAAGAAGTCGTTAGATTGTTGGTCGATTATGGAGCCGATGGAAGGATCCATCCTGTCACCAAATATTCACCTCTCTACATTGCTTGTTACTCAGGTCGAACTGCAATTGTAGACTATTTGCTGACCAAATTTCCCGAGTTGGTAAATGTAGAAACAGTTGAAAAATGGTTACCCATACATGGAGCAGTTATTCATAATCATGTTCATATTGTGTCAAAATTGCTGAATTATGATTATCCAAGCTATGCCTTAGTCAAATTTATCGATCAAAAACACCAAGTTGAATATAAATTTGCTTTCGATGTAAATTCTCAAGATGTTACTGGCAAAACACCTCTTTATATTGCTTCTTTGATAAGAAATCAAAATCTGGTGGAATTATTACTTAAATTTAGTGTTGTTGGCCGTAAGTTGACAAAGAAAAAGGATATTGATTATAATCCAGCCAATCTTGATTCTGATCGTAAAATTGGTTTAAATCAGTCTTTAACATCACCTGGAAAACAGATATCTCCTTCAATTTCAAGTATCATTACAAAATTAAGTTCTGCTAATTTCTCTTCTCCCACCAAGAATCTGGATGAAAATGAAATTAAAGTTTCTGTAGTTGATCCTGATTTATATTGCAATAATGGAACTGAAACTGCTTTACACACCGCAATTAGACGAAAACAATACTCTATAGCATCATTGCTTCTTCAACACGGCGCTGATCCTAATCTTCCAATTTTAAACTTAGATGATTCAGGTGATGGACCAGATACCGTGAAAAGTGGTACGACCTCGTTAGCTGTTGCATGCAATACAAGAGAATCCAGTTTAGTTGATTTACTTATTCGTTTCGGAGCTCGTGATGATCAAAGTTCAGCTTTGCACATTGCATCCAAAAATGGTGATAACCATTTGATATCACGTCTTTTGGCTCTCAAATCATTTCCAGACCCAGAATATAAAATATACAAAAAGACTATGGAATTTTCCGGTTTTTCTAATCGAGAAATGGCAACATCGGTTACCGTAAGCTCAATTTTCCCGACCACACCAGTCATGGTAAATTGGTATTCACTCAAATGTCTCCAACGGATCGAGAAAGAATGGCTGATAAGTGCCAGCATTGCTCATAATATTAAATTCAAATTGGATAGTCAAAAACAATCGGTTGTTCTCAATGCAATTACGCGCTTGGATCTATCAAATAATAATTTAACCTCAGTTCCATTCTGTGTTTTTCAACTTCCATCCCTTCGAATTCTCAATCTTTCACACAATCGTCTTACAACTTTACCAGAAATCGAGGAAGAAAAACTCAACACACCAACATCATCATCTCGTGGTAAAATGAGAAAATCCAGAAGTTATCTTTCAAATCTAAAAACTTCTTCTCTCAATGCTAGTTGGTTTCTTCCCTGTTTAGAAGAACTCTATCTTCAAAACAATCGAATTGATTTGTTACCTCATTGTGTTTTCGAGTTACCTTCGCTTCATCTTCTTGATCTCTCCAATAATAAGTTAACTTCTTTGCCCAATCGTTTGTGGTCAGCACCTAAATTACGTGATCTCAATCTTTCATATAATCTTCTCCGAGAATTACCTCTTAAATTACCATCTTCTGTTTCTTCGAGCTCAGTAGAATCACCTCACCTCAACAGTTCCAAATTAAGTCACAAAGACTTTTTCGGCGATGAAACATGTTCATTAAAATCAATTGAAGTCTTAAACCAACGGTCAATTAAACACGTTAACCTTTGGAATGATGATGTTCACATTGTGACTGATACTTTACCCGAAGAATCAGCTGAAGTCATTAAACAATGTAAACTAAACAATTTAAATTTATCTCACAATAGCTTTTTTGAAATTCCTGAAAATTTGGCTTGTCTTGCAGTAAATTTATCACGACTCAATTTAAGCTATAATAATTTAGGATCTATGGGCAACGCAAAATCATATCCAGTAAGCTTAAAGCATCTTGATTTAAGTCATAATCGTATCCATGTTTGGCCTAGTATGGGATACAATGACCAGGAAGAACAATCAAAACATTACATTTGCTATGGAATTGATTGTTCATTTGAACAATCATCATCGAAACCGTCTAAATTAAAGCGAATCAAATTTTGTATTCACAAGCAACACAATCGTTTTACATCCCTTAAAACATTGATTCTTGCTCATAATAAGCTTGTTAATTTAATAGTTGCCAACGACGATCAAATCGCTCTTGAAGAGTTTGAACCTCTCCTCGAAGCTGATGGTAAAGCTCATCGATCACAAATATCTCGAACTCTTTTCCCTTCTTTATCAATGTTGGATGTTAGTTGTAACTTTATAACCGAAATACCACCAAATATCTCCGAATTAACTCATCTTTCTGTTTTAAATATCGCACATAATCCTGAAATAACCCGTTTACCTCCTCAAATGGGTTTATTAAGCAAATTATGGAATCTTAGTACAACTGGTTGTAATCTTAATGAACCTTTAAAATCGATGATTAGTGGTAAAAAATATAAAACAATGGATATCATTGGTTATCTCAAGTCTATTCTAGAAAAGTAAGATTTACAAAATATCATTTTATACAATTCATTTACCTATTTTATGTTTACTTTCCAACAGTTCAAAGCCATATGCTCGGATGAAATTGATGATTGTTGGTATTCAAGGAATCGGTAAAACATCGCTTTTAGAACAATTGAGGCAAGAAGGAACTGGAAGCTATCGACGAAAGCCTCCAGAACATTGGAGTAAGCGAATTGGTAATAAAAATATCAACCTCAAGACTCCTCGTGGAGTAACTTTATCAACAGTCGGAGTTGATGTCTGTGATTGGACTTTTGAGAAGAAAATAAAAGGCCAACAATCTTTTGGGCCTGTTACTTTTCGAACCTGGGATTTTGGTGGACAACGAGAATACTATGCTACTCATCAATATTTTTTATCTAAACGTTCCTTGTATCTTGTATTGTGGAAAATGATTGATGGAGAAAAGGCAGTTGAAGGAATACAACAATGGCTTGTTAATATTCAAGCTCGAGCTCCAAATTCACCAGTTATAATTGTTGGAACTCATTATGATTTAATTAGCGACTATTTTCCTAGACTATATTCAGAAGATTTACAGCAAATGATTAGAGATAAATTTATGAATGTCATTGATCCAGATAAATGTGGTTTGCCCCGTGTTATTGATTCAATTGAGATTAGTATAAAGACTCGCCATAATATCAAAACTCTCTGTCATCTTATTTACGATACCGTATTTGACTTGAGATGTCCAGGATCCAAAGAAAGACTATTGGAGCAAAAAATACCAGCGACATATTTAGCTTTAGAAGATGTTGTTGGTTATTTAGCGGCAGAAAGACGATTCTCTGGCAAAGACCCTGTTCTTAGATCTGAACAATATAAAACTCAAATTTCGACAGAAATGAGAAAACGTTTCAATTTAACTTTTCGTGATGATGCAGAGCTTCACCAAGCAACGACATTTCTCCATGAAAATGGTGTTCTTTTACATTATAATGATGCAACATTGAAAGATTTGTATTTTCTCGATCCTCAATGGCTTTGTGATCAACTTGCTCATATTGTTACAATTAGAGAAATAAATCCTTACGCTAGAAACGGTAAGTTTGATGCTGTTTCACTTTTATCCGAAGTTTATTTGACAAGAACATCTTTTTCTTTTCCTATTTCAGGTATTATGAAAACTGACGATTTGAAACATTTATTTAAATCATCTGAACTTTCACGGAATGATATTAAATACTACATAATCAATCTGTTGAACAAATTTGAAATTGCCTTAACCTGGGATAGTCGAACCTTGATGATACCATCTTTGTTGCCAACTGAAGAAGCAATGCTTTCTGGAGTTCCAAGTTGTGATGTTCGAATTCCTGTTCGATCAAGAGGATGGGGACTTCGAGGTGGTCGATACACTCCTGTATCTGAACTGGAGTCAAAAAATTTATCTAAATTGGGTGAATCAGCTAAAGAATCGACTGCAGCAATTTCCAGAATCAATCGACCTGACAAATCAATTTATCGTTTATTGTTGATGACTTATTTTCCGAGTGGTTTTTGGTCTCGATTAATGACTAGAGTTCTTGCTGATGACGCTGTGATTGAAATTGTGCGATCTTTCTATAAAGTTCCATATGATTTTGACTCGGATTCTTTGCTACTTAATTTTCTAAATCGCAAATCAGAATGGATTTGTTGGCAAACTGGATTTGCATTGAAGCATCTTGATCATGAAGTTTTTCACGTAAAAGAAGTAATTCTTTCATTAGACAATATTAATTATGATCATTATCAAAAATTTGCATATCATATCAAACAAGAAGGACTTTGGATGGATGTTGAAATTACTAAATCATCTATTTTAGAAATACATTTACCTAATCATGCAATGAATGTGAAAACTTATTCTTGCGGTGAATTTCATGATTATCTAATTGAACCAAATCAAGAATACATAGCTAAATTGTTGGCATTAACAGTCGATCACATTGATACACTGCTGGAGGACTGGTATCCTTCGTTGGGAACTCGTTTTGTTCATACTTCTGAGGGTAAATTTTTGGTTACAAGGATGATTCCATGCACTCAATGTTTTCTTGAAATATCTGCTGATGAATCAACTACGGTGGCATCAAATTGTAGTCGTGATATGGTTATGACTTTAGAATCATCTGGATCATCTGTTGAAATAAAAGATTGGTGGTCATCATCACTTTCATCTTCAGCTAAAACTTCAAACATTGGATCAGTCAAAAGTGTTAATTCATTGGATAGTGGAGTTGATAATTGTAGTTCAGTTTCAAGTGCAAATGTTTCAACAGATAACTGTCACATTAACAACAATAGTGGTAAAAAATTGTTCAATGATAACCGACAAACTAACCAAGATTCAATCCAAGGGAATAGTAATAGGAACAGAGTCACTGTAGTATACTCTTTCATGGTTGAAGAATGTATTCTTCAAGCTTCCCAGGAGAAAACAATTGTCTGTCCTCTTCATGGTTCGCTCGATTTAAAGGTTATCGCTCCTGATATTATGTTTCTCGATTTGGCTGAGCATTATTTGATTAAACCTGAAACTATACGTCGAGGTAAAATGTTGGGAAGAGGTGCTTTTGGTTTTGTTTTTCGAGCTTCAGTTCGCCAAAGAGGATCTATGATGGTCACTGATGTAGCGATGAAAATGTTACAGCCGGTCGAACCTGGATTTGGAGCAAAAAACTCAGATTCAGTGGCATTCAAAGCAGCTTCCAGTAAATGGGATCGCGATCCTTTACAATATGCCTGTAAAGCTTATTGTATAGCTAGACAAGAATTGAATATTTTGTTAACTTTACGACATCCAAACATTGTCCCGCTTGTCGGTGTTTGTCCTCACCCATTGGCTTTAGTTTTACGCCTAGCACCACAAGGAGCACTTGACCTTATTATAAAAGATTATCGTCGATCGGGAGTTCAATTGAATAGTTTTGTGATTCAGAAAATAATTTTGCAAATTGCCAAAGCATTGGAATATCTTCACCAACAGAGAATCATTTATCGCGATTTAAAATCAGAAAATGTGCTCGTTTGGGAAATACCAAGGCCTTATTGTTTGCCTTCAAATTTTTGCGGAGAAGTGAAAGTGGATGTTAAATTGGCTGATTATGGCATTAGTCGAGCGATTCTTCCAACAGGTGCCAAAGGTTTTGCTGGAACGGAAGGATTTATGGCTCCAGAAATAATGAAATACAATGGAGAAGAAGAATACACTGAAAAGGTTGACTGTTTTTCATTTGGAATGTTTATCTATGAACTTCTCAGTTTAAGGCAACCATTTGAAGGGCAAGATTGCGTTAAAGATCACATCCTTGAAGGAAACCGGCCTATTTTAACTGAAAGAGACACCTTTTATCCTTGCTATTTTCTTGATTTAATGGTTCTCTGTTGGTCACAAGCACCCGATAACCGACCATCTGCCAGTCAGATAGTTTCCATTGCCTCTGCACCTGAGTTTGTTCACCTACTTGATGTTGTCCTTCTTCAGGACAATTTTGCTCCAATCAGTTCAATCTTGATTCCTAATAAACAAGCAAAGTGTTTTGAGCTATATATCGGTCGACATGGTAAACAAACCGATTTACTGATTGGAAATAATCATTTATGGCAAGACTATCGAAGTGTCAATGGTCTTTTAGGATACACGATAACTTCAATGTGTAATGTACAAAATTATTTATGGTTAGGAGATGGTTCCTCGTGTGTACATATTTTTAACATCGACACTTACCAAGAGATAACCAATTTTACCCTTGAATCGACTTGCATTGAAGTTGTGGTTACCTCAATACGAAGTATGGTTTACCTTGAACCCTGTGGAAGTGTTGCTGTTCTCAATAACTCTGGACAACTTTGGATTGTTGACGTTGCCTCGCTAACAGTTAGAGAAATTTCATCTGAATCAATGAATCCTTATCTTTGTATAACAGGTTTACAAAAATCGGATTCCGCTGAACTTTGGTGTGGTCAAGCTGAAGGGTTGCTGTCAATAATGTCATTTACTAGTCCCAATGAAGAGACTGTGGATTTACTCAATCATTATTCAGGAGATAAATTAGATTTCCCCGAAAAGTTAGATGTTTTACAAATAACTTCTAATAATTCGTATGCATGGACCTACTTATATCCTGGCTGTTTGATTTATCAATGGGATGTTTCGAGTAGAAGTCTTCTTCATAAACTTGATTGCTCTAAATTGCTTCCTTGCTCAGAAAGTATTAGATCTATTGGCATTGAAGAACAAGTTTACCGTAAGTATTATTCAGTTTCAATTAATTCATTGTATCTGATCTTCTTTTTTTCTTAATTTTGCAGCTGAAAATTGCCAAATTACATCCATGACTATTGCTGGAAATGAACTCATTGTTGGTACAACTTGGGGTTGTTTGATTGTCTTGGAAGCCTCGACAATGAGACCCATTACTGTTTTCCGACCTTACGAAGACGAAATACGAAACATAATCTACATTAATGGCTCAGAAGTATTTGATCTCTTTGATTCTGGTTATTATAATGAGCAAAAAAATCAAGAAAGTACTTCTCAATCATCACTTTCTCAATCAAAAAATCCACAACATGATCCACAACATGATGATGAGTACATTTTAACTATTGGAAAAGGCTATCGTAATCTGGCGAATCGTTTCCTTCATGATTGTAGGGATGGAGAGATTCAATATCACACGAATGGTTACTATTGTATAATATGGAAATCGGGCAACTGGGTATTGAGTTAACAGTAATCAGACTCTAAAGTACTCTATATTCATCATCTGAATGGACTTTCGTTTTAAATTTAGAGCTTAATTTATTGATAATTTATTTATTTGTTGTTTTATTGTTATTATGTTGCTAATATTATAATAGATAAATAACTAAATTATTTTTCTACTTTTGATGTATAATTATGTAAATTATATTACTGAGGCGTTCAACTTTAATTTTGTCTCAACACTGACATCTTATTAATTTGACTTTTCAATTTATTAAAACACTGACAAAACATTCAAACTTTAAAACATATTGATTCTAAATAAACATATAAACATTTTAGTATAAATTTAAATGATTTTATAATATTTCAATAAAATAGTTGTAGTCTTTTGGCTTTTAGTATCAACGAAAGAAACCAAAAAATAGTGATTTTTATTGCGTTTTGAAGCGATGAAGTACTTTTTTATATCCAGTTCAACGACACCAGTAGGTTGATATCTTGGGTCGAACTCAATGTTACAGCGTTAGGTTATACTGAAACAGCTAAAGATATTTAATAAACTTGCCAAACTTTTCCATTTGTCAAAATTTTCATCTTCAATTTTTTCAGGAGATGTCCATCGGCTATTTGGACAAAATTTCGCCTTTTGCAAAAGAAATCAGTGACTTAATTTGCCCCACAAATCACAAAACTCTTTTCTGTTCTTCATTTCATCTCCAGCAAGCATCCAGAACTGTTTTCTGGTTAGTTTAGGACTATAAAAGTCAACCGATAATGAATAGACTTTGATTGTTTTAACGAAAACTGAATTGTTATTCTGTTTCTCCATCAAAGTCAACAACAACAACAATGTTTCATCGGTTGTTATAATACTTACACAAATGGGTTAAAACGGGTCTAAATTGATTTCTTTCAAATTTTGACTCTCTTAGTTTAGGAAGACATAAAAACTGAGTCCATTTGCGCGATTCAAAGTTTTTTCTGATGAACAGTTTTCACGAAAATCGAGTTCGAAGTTGAAACTTCGATCGGCTTTTGTTCATTTATGGGAGCAGATCTTTTCATAAAACTCATTTCACTGATATAACTTTTTATGCACAACCAGAAAATGGTCTTATTTTGAGAAATAGTACTTTTAATTTTTCTGTAAACTTGTTAAGTACGATTTTGAGTTAAACCGACCGAGTTTTGTGACCGAAAGATTTAAAGAGCTGAAACTCATGGTTTGTCCATAAAAATTGTTTACTCACATCATGAATCAAATACTTTTTTCAATTTAGTAATAGTTCTCTTTATTTTGGCCATTGAACTAAAAACTTTACAACTCGATATTTCGAGATTAGTGACACCTACAATCATCATTCTAACACCAATTTGATCCCCTACTTATTGCTGATACAATTGAACCCAATGAATTTCCATTAGGCCATTATGGTCTTGATATTAGGGCTGTAAATGCACGAAAAACAGCTTATTTCATTAAGCAAAACTCAACTAAACCCATTTCTTGGTAAATAAACCAATTTTCTGGTTAAACTAAAACTCAAATGCAAAAAGTACTACCAAAGACGCGAACATTTGGTTTACGAGTTGAAAGTTAATACGTTTGTAGGGACATAAAAGATAAGTCCATTGGTACTATCAAATAATTTATCCAATGGATATTTTTCTAGCAAATCGAGGTCAAAGTTAAAACTTCGATCGCCTTTTCCTCAGTTATGGAAGCAGATTTTTTCACGAAACTTATTTAACTGATGTACCTTTTGATGACCAATCAGGAAATGGTCTTATTTTGAGGAATAACATTTTCCATGTCCGTAAAACAGATCAAGTTCAATTTACAGTTAAACCGATCTCTTTCTGTGACCGTAAGAGTTGGAGAGCTGGAACTTATTATGCGTTTGTAAATATTGTTGGTACACATAATGGATTAATTTTTTTTCTCAATATATCAATAGTTCTCTTGATTTCGAACATTTTTCTAAATTCTTTGAGCCTCAGTATATCGAGAACGGCACTACCGGAAAGCATCATTTTTTGACCAAATGTTAGACTGCATTATCGGCTATAATACTTTGAAATATGAAATCAGTCAAGAAGCTACAAAAACATTTATAGCATTGTATAATTCACATTTATATTGTATGTCGTCAGATTTGAAGTTGAATGTTTACTAAACACAAATCTTATTCGTTAGAAGGATTTTCATAATTAAAAGAATCAACCCGAATTTTATTCGGTATTCAGTCATGTACTGTTATTGCCCATAAACAAATCTAACGTTCGGTTGGAGAATGATAATTGTAGATGAGTCCATGCTCGGAATATTGAGGTTCAAAGTTTTAAGGCCAATGACCAAAATCAAGAAAACTATTACTAAATTGAAAAAAGTATTTAAGCCATGATATCTACCAACAATTTTCAGTGACAAATAACAAGTTCCAGCTTTCTAACTCTTACGGTCACAGAACGAGATCGGTTTAACTGTAAACTGAACTTGATCTGTTTCACGGACATGAAAAATGTCATTCCTCAAAATAAGACCATTTCCTGGTTGGTCATCAAAAGGTTAAATCAGTTAAATAAGTTTCGTGAAAAAATCTGCTTCCATAACTGAAGAAAAGGCGATCGAAGTTTTAACTTTGACCTCGATTTTCTAGAAACATGTCCATTGGATAAATTATTTGATAGTACCAATGGACTTATCTTTTATGTCCCTACAAACATACCAACTTTCAACTCTTAAATTAAATGTGCGCGTCTTTGGTAGTACTTTTTGCATTTGAGTTGTTAGTTTAACCAGAAAATTGGTTTATTTACTAAGAAATGAGTTTAGTTGAGTTTTGTTTAATGAAATAAGTTGTTTTTCGTGCATTTACAACCCAAATATCAAGACCATAATGGTCTAATGGAGATTTATTGGGTTCAATTGAATCAGCAATCAGTAGGGAATTAAATTGGTGAAAGAATGATGATTGTAGGTGTCACTAATCTCGAAATATCGAGTTGTAAAGTTTTGGGTTCAATGGCCAAAATAAAGAGAACTATTACTAAATTGAAAAAAGTATTTGATTCATGATGTGTGCAAACAATTTGCATGGACAAACCATGAGTTTCAGCTCTTTAAATCTTTCTATCACAGAATGCGGTCAGTTTAACTCAAAATCGAACTAATCTAATTTACAGAAAAATTAAAGTTCTATTTCTCAAAATAAGACCATTTTCTGGTTGTTCATAAAAAGTTAAATCAGTGAAATAAGTTTTATGAAAAGATCTGCTTCCATAAATGTACAAAAGGAGATCGAAGTTCCAACTTTGACCTCGTTTTTCGTGGCAAATGTTCATCAAAGAAATCTTTAAATCACGCAAATGGACTCAGTCTCGCCTTATTAAAACACGAAGGAAAGTTTCACAGAAAGTGGTCAATTTAACTGAAAATCGAAACTAAATTAACACAGTTAAGTTTACTAAGACTCATAACTCATTCGAAAAACCATTTGAGACACATTTAAATGCATATTTCATTATAACTAATGAACTTGAAATGATTTTGTGAAATAAATCTCTGTACAAAATGTTTAATGTAGCTTTAATAAGTGAAGCTAATTTTTGCCTTATTAAAACAACTATGAAAATCAATTTCAACCCAATCATTAGAAACCATTATTTTATTTTAAATATAATATGTTGAATAAGGATTATGAGTTAACAAAAGGTTCGGTCTCACATAAGGTCACAAGGTAATAAAAGGTCTCATAATTGAAATATTCTGGTTATTCATTAAACCCAGACAGATTTTACTGAATTCAAATGATTTTATAATCTTTCAATACAATAGTTGCATTCTTTTGGCTTTTAGTATCAACGAAAGAAGCAACAAAATAGTGATAAGCATTTAGCTTTGGAAACGATGAAACAGTTTCTTTATCCAGTTCAACGATACCAGTAGTATCACTGTAGCCGTGCCGAATGTTACAGGTTTCTGATCTATACTTAAACAGTTGAAGATATTTCATGATCTTTACAAACTTTTCCATTTCAGCAAAACTTTTATCTTCAATCTTTGCAGGACATGTCCAGCAGCTATCTGGGCAAATCTCAAGTACTCCCGGTGCATTGAAAGTATATCCTTTATGCAATTTGCACATGAAATCACAAAACTCTTTTCTTTTCTTTATTTCATCTTCAGCCAACATCTTGAACTGTTTTCTCGATAGTTTAGGACTATAAAAGTCGACTGATAATGGATCGACTTGAATTGTCTGAACGAAAACTGAACCGTTATTTTGTTTCTCCATCAAAGTCAATGTAACAACATCTGTTTTATCAAATGCTGATTTTGAAGAACCACAAGAAGTTTCCATTTCCAAACTGATATTCTTTGTATAATCAGTGTTTTCCTTGAACTCATTGATTTCAGTTGGAAAAGTTCGAATTACGATTTGTTGTTCCAGAAGTTTATAACCGATCCAATAGGGAAGCCTCGATTTGAATGAAAAACGGTAATCTTTGCTTTCTGTAAGGGAAGAAAATACTTTTTATAAATGTTTATGTGATTTAAGCAAAATGTCATTCATTGATTATTCAAGTAGTTTTTTCTACAATCTTCTTGAATCTTTAATCGCTAATCGAGATCTTGAGTTATACTCTTGATAATATTATTTGTTTGGATTGAAATTAGCAAATTAAAGATCAACTAGTAAAACCTCAAAAATCAATGGTAACATTTTCCTTGTGAGAAGCAACTTTTTGCTTTGATTTGTAAATACATTTATAAGGAGTGGTCCCTAAAAAATTGGACAAACTTTGACCGTTTATAACTTAAAAAGTATTAAAAAAATTGAAATCGAAATTGAGAAAATACATTGATTAATGACAGATAGTGAGCCTTGTCTATCAACTTTCAGTAATTTTAATTTAGTTTATACCGAAAGGCCACTCGAAGAATGCGCCATCAAAATTTTTCAGTTCATCTCTCCCTAGAGCTCAGCAATTTTTTAGGTGGCATTTTAGCGATTTTTTGACCCGAGCTGGGTTCGCTCAAACCTAACACACCGATATCAGTTTTTTCGTAACTTTAGGACCAGTTAATCAAAAAATTCTGAGTTTTAAAACTAATTGTAAACACTACTTGGCTCATAGCTTGACAGCTAACTTCATAGGGATTTTACAAAAATGAACTATTAAATTTCACTAATCATTCAATTAAAGACACTTTTTCCTATTTAATTTAATATTTAGATTCACAAAAATTATATTTTTAAAAAGTCCATGAAATCATGGTCAATTCGAGCTATAGAACCCTTTATTCGAAGAAACACAACATAGTTGAAATTTGTTTCAAAATTTGTCCAATTTTTTAGGGACCACTCCTTATGTGATATTCACGCTTACCAAAATCTTCCGTGCCAAAAAATCGGTCAAAATCTGTTAAGCGTATTGTTCCGTTGAATTCACCGAATCCAGGTAAAATTTCATCACCATCATCATCTGAACTGATGGATGAAAAAACAGAAAAAAGCATAAAAATATAAAATTGAAAGTTCATTTTATATTAACTAGAAATATTGATGTTCAAACTGTGAACTTTTGGCAATTGGTAATTTTGAATATTACCTTCAAAACAAGCTTGAGAATAATTCAGCTATTGAAACATCCTCCAGTTAAAAGTAGTCAAACCTCTATCGGCCCCTTTTCTTGACCTTTGGGCCTCAGATTTTTCCTTAGATTATATTCACCAATGCAATTGACTTGAAAACTGGTGTAAATAAAACTTTAAAGGTCAAGAACTGATAAGCTAAATATTTTTGATATTTCAAGACTTCCTCGTTTTTAATATTTAATTCAATCTGTCAAAGCTCCATCTATTACTGTGTTTGAAACATAATTTTGATGATAACTGGTGCTAAAAGTTTCTAAAAAAAGTTCACTTTAATGTATTGAAATATATTAAAGTTTATATTAAAGATTTAAATTGTGTTCAATGGATTTTAAACTATTGATTTATCCAATTTTACTTTGTTTTGCACGCATTCGTCAATTGTCAGCCAGAGAAATTTACGATTCTCCTATTTCGAAGTTGCATTACTATTTGATTATCAAAAGCAGTTACTTTATTAGTCAAGAATCAATCGGCTCCAGTTGTTCATGGAGCTGTTGTGATTGATCCGAAGCTGATTGATTTAGACATCAAATATGATCCAAGAAATGTGAAGTTATGTGATTACCAGTAGTCAAAATGAATTCAAACCTTGTGCCATTGCATTTGCCTGTTGTGTTTTATCGAGAGCCTTGTATCGAATTTCGGGATTTATGCCGAAATTCCCTGTTCTTCATGCTTATCTTCAATTGGAACCTAAAACTGGTGATCTTTTCCCGAAAATCGAGAAGAATGATTATTTCAAATTAAACATAATTAATAAAAACAGCGATGGAACCCAAGCATTTTCCAAGCAACTTCTTGTGAGTTTACATATCATTTCTCATTATACCATTTCATCAATAAATACTGGTGAACTTTCTGATCAAACAATGACAATTTTCACTTTTCCAATCGATATCAATTATTTCAAAGAAAAAACTGATTAAACTAAAAATATCAGTTTTCATGGTCAGTATTTAATGACATAGATATTGTTTCATTAGCTTCGATAGAGACAAGTGTCGCATAACGAGCAACATTTTCTTATTTGTTATTATATTGAAACATTTCAATTCAATCTCTCTATCCTACTCTTAGGTTTCTTACAGGAGAATAGTAAAATGACAGAGCAAAAAATCACAAAAAGTCATTTTTATCTAGCACAATTAACTTTGCAATGTCAAAACAAAGGCTAAAAGAGCTTGATTTGCTCTTCGAATCAAAATTAAACCTTATTTGAATCACTTTTAAAAATAAACCTTGCTATTATTGGTTGCTGATCATTTTGAACAACAGATTTTAAAGCAGTCAACGAGGTATACTTACACCACCTATATGTACATGCATGTATTTTTATTGCAATCGCGTAACTTGTTATGACAGCTGATTCTAAATCTTTTCATCTTTCTTTCTCTCTTTTTATATCTTGATGAGCAATTTGCCCATTTGTTGTTGATTTTCATAATTATTAACTGTGAATATATATTCTTATTTATGTGGAAATCAGAATCAGAGAGATGTCTTGCAAATTAAAAAAATTGGTAACATTTGAAGATAAATTATCAACTATTAAAAACATCCTTTTTGCTGATGACTTGGACTCACCTGTGCCATGTAAGTTTAATTTTACAGCTTCAATCTACACATTTGACTGCTGAATTTTCAGTCATATTGCTAAATTTCTGTGCCATATTTTGAACTGAATCTAATCTGAATTCTTTCTGTAGCATCTATTGACGACTGGCCTTCCTCTAGCTTTCAAAGTGATCTTGATGGTGATTCATCAAAAGTGAAACTTCCAGGATCATTGAACGATTGTTTAATTTCCACAAGTCCAACTGCTGATATCATAGTATTTGCCAATGATAAAAATGTTGCTGTTTATCGATATCGGGAAGAAGCTGAAACACAGGTAAGCGTAGCTTTATTTATTGGAGAAATGGGATCATGATGGATAAAAGATGATTGCTGCTCTACCTTTTATTTATCCCTTTATTTTCTAATTGATAGATTTGTGGTACAACATTATTTGAACTGGAACCTGGTGAAAAAATAACCTGTGTAACGTGTCTACCATTTGTTTCTCAACAAATCAGCAACCAAGGAGGACTTGACTGGTGTTCAATTATTTTGGGATTCTCATCTGGATTCATCCGGGTTTATACTGAAAACATGAGCTTGCTGCTGTCACAGAAAATTTCTTCAGAACCAGTGACCAACATCAAGATCAACAGTTTTTTCTGTCCTTATACCTCTGGAAGAACCCGTCATTCTGATTGTAGTAAAAATGTGGATGAAATATTCGTCTTTTGTCGAACTGTCTGTATAATCATTGAAGGGTTTGTTTTTTATCAGACTCTTCGTTCTTGTAGGAATTACTTAGCTCGTAATCAAGGTCAATCCATTCCAGATCCTAATATTTCTCCAGAATTCTCATTAAGATTTAAAAGATGGCAATTTAAAGATTTCAACAGAATACTCGATGCAGATAATTGTGGATCACAAGAAATTAGTGATTATGATTATCTTGTTTCTCGGTCAATTACAAAAGGAACATTTGCTAATCCCTATAATCGTCGGAATAATGGAAATTTGATAATATCCGCTGGGGAAGACCCTTTCGTTGGTCTTCGCAGAGCTGACGAGGTATTTAATGAAAATATTTATTTTATATATTTTACCTTCTAATTGTCTTTATCTTTTCCCCCTGACAGACTGATTCAACAAGTGTCCTCGAAGAGATGACTCAAGCAGTTGTAAATAAAGTAAAGAATGTTTTACCCACTTTTCTACGGAGCAGTGACAAACCAAAACCTAAGATTGATCCTCCACTTGAATTTTCATCAAACTTAGAGTTTTACGATCAATACCGTGTTGGTATGTCTATTACTATATCACCAACTCGTGAACTAGCAACTGTATGCGATGATTTTGGCCGAGTTTGTCTGGTCAATCTTAATGATGGTTTAGTTATTAGAATGTGGAAAGGATATCGAGATGCTCAATGTGGTTGGATCGAATCTTATGAAGACTCTAGCGATATTCATTCAAGAAAAGCTTTATTTCTATGTATTTATGCTCCTAAAAGAGGTTTATTGGAGTTATGGAGATGCCAACATGGTCCTAGAGTTGAAGCATTTAATGTTGGTAAATCTTGTCGTCTTTTATACTGTGGATATTCAATGCTTGGCCTCAATGATGTTTTGATTAAACAATATCGACAGAATCTTGGCTTATATCTTCAATCTCCAGGCTCCTGTTATCTCTTTGACTATAAATCATGTACTATGTTTACATTTAAAGTGCCCTTCGTCGTAAGTCTAACTGATAGGTTCAGTCAATCAAGCAAGGATGAATTGTTATTTAAAGAATTCAAGAATATTTCCTTCGATGTTAATAATTTTGCAAGTTACGTCAGCCTTTTTGAAAAAATCAAATCCATCAAAATTAAATGGCTGGCTATTCGTCATGTGATTGATAATTCTTTTGTCACCCTAGTCAAAGATCTGTGTCAAAATCTTCTATCAAGTTTACCAATTGATTTGGAAAATATTGAAAATGCACCGAATATTGAACCTTCCATTTTATCTTCTGCTCGTCGGTGTCAAAAGTTGATTCAACTGTGTGACTTTTACTCTTCATTCCATGATTTGGCTTCAAAAATTGATAAAATAGAAATTGTCAACTCGATTCATCAAGATCCACCAGATATTGAAAATCAAGCTGAACTTCTTGGTTGGTCAGCTCGTGATTACGCTCGATTCGTTTCCATCTTTGGTTTTAAAGAAGTTGTGTTGCCTGGAAAAATGGTTTCTTTTTCTCCTGATTTTATATCCTTTGCTGATTTAGTTGATTTCTTTTTACCAAATGAACCAGAAACATATCAAAAATCTAGAATGATGCGTAGACCAAGCCCAAAATTATTTAAAAAGCCATCACGACAATATAAAATTGACCAATTATATAAAGTTGGAGATTTAATTCTTTTTCCTGGTCTTGTTACTGATAATCTGGAAACCTGCACTAATTATATTGAAAAAACAAATTTGATTACACATCAAGAACTTTTATACTGTGTTTTTGCTTCTTGGCTTCATACTGATTTCTCAGCTGACTGGAGACACTGGCCGAGATTCAATCGTTATGTTTTACTTTTGATAGACTTAATGCGACAGCAAAATTCAACAAAACAAGACTATTGGCTCGAAATTTTAAAGACATTATGCTCTCTAATCGCTCAAGCAACCATTATACCTTCAGCATTGATCTCTTCTATGACCTTGTTAACTTTTTACTCGCAATACGATTTGTGTGAAGAAACTTCGAAAAAATTGTCACTCAAAGATAAATCTGAGGAAGTCGATATGCCAGAAGAATGGGAAAGCTTATCCATCGTCAAAGAAAAGTTAAATCTTCTCATAAATCAATTAGAATCGACGTTTTTCCTTGATTTAGCCCTTCATTCAAATTTAAATTATAATCCAGGAGACATTTCACTTGCATATCTTAGAGAAAGCCTTCCTGGTATTGTTAGTGAATCAATTGCGAAATGTGCCATTTCATATCCACTCGAACCAAGTATAATATTATCTCTAGAGAATGATGAATTCGACGAAGAAAATCCAACCCCACAGCAAATTTCAACTGCAACCGATGCTGTTACATTGGTAGAACCAAACTCCATTGACACAGAAGTAATTAAACAACTGCTTCATAAAGTCCATGACCATTTTCCTCACAGTATGGACTGTGACACACTCCTAGCGAATTGTGCCTGGGAATGTTTAATTTTATGGGACAAAGATCCAACCACAGATGCAACAACGCAATTGCTTTCTCAATCACTCAAATATCTCGGTCCAGTGTCGAGTGCCTTGTTGAAACATAATCTTGCCTGTCTCATGTGGAAAATAGCAATCCGAAAAAGAATGGAATTATTATGTTGTTTGATTGAGAAAATGGGCAAAACACCTAAAGATAGAATTCTCAAACGTGATTTTGGTTTTGATGAAAGTTCTTTAGAAGATTTCATCAAATTTGTAGTTGAATTGATTGATATTATTACCTACACTCTTGGTCCATCTGAAGCCGACGCAATGCCTATTTTCCGTCTAGATGATTGGTGGAAACATAAAAATTGGTCAAATAGTCAGTTTCCATTGACTTTCGTTGCAATCCAACAAAAACAAGCCGATCCTGATTTAATATATCAGGTGTATGATCTTTGTCTGATAGTTAATTTAATCGTTAACTTTCAGATGAAGCAACATAAACCTTTGTCGCTGTTTCCATTTGATGTACAGAAAGCATTCTTTGGTGAATTATCTAATCCATTAAAAAATATTCAGGCCGATTCCTTGATCACTGAAAATCGGGAAAAATTTTTGCAATCAGCTGCATCAGCAGTCGCTTATTCAGTCCCTCCATCAATGTCATTAATAGGTAATGTATCATTCATTTTTCAAATCATCATTAAGAAAGTTTTTATTAATTTCACCATTTTCTTTTTTACAGAAGAAGAAGTTCAATTATATTCCACCGCTAATCGATGGATTGGAAAAATCGTTTCGCTTTCCAAAAACTGGGACATTCAACCTGACATAGTTCGTCGAAGATATATCTGTGATCTCTATTCAAATTGTTGTGATGCCTTAGCTCAAGAGGTAATATTATTATTTAATGAAAAACCAGTTTGAAACAAAAATAATCTCACGCAATAACATTTATTTTTAATATAATATCATAGGCAATGAATATGGTGAATGATCGTGAAGAATTGGCTGTGGCATTATTAGCTGTAGCTGGTCAACGGATTAATCATTTAATTAAACCAGTAAAGGATAAATTTCTTGCTTCAACGCCAACGTACATAATTTCTTGGCTCGAAAATCTTCAGACAGTGAGTTAAATTTCAAAATTATTATTGCTTTGCATTCGATCCTACAAACTTTTTAATTAATAATCGTTTTTTCGTTTCTTTTTCTTTTTCCAGCAGAAAAATAGTTTAAATCTCAATTTTAATGCTGCATCAACTGCAAAAATGTTGGAATTCATTACGTTATTTATACCCAGTGAGAATAGTAAATGTCGAATCGCAAAAAATTTATTGACAATTGCAAATAGTTTAATTGATTAAAGCTTTTTTTATGCAAACAATGTACAAATGGTGTCACCTTATAAATAAATCTGTAGTCTATTGTATATCAATAGTCTATGATTCCTAATAATTTTTATTGAACATTCTGTATTGTAAATTATTTTTGTCTTTTGTTCGGTTTGTAAATACAACTCTGACTGTAAACCTAAACTAACCTAAATATCCAAAAATTTGAACTAACCCGTTAAACTTTTTTTAGCTAACCGATTAAAATATGATCGAGTGTATACTAATCAAACTTGATTATCATTATCATTGACAATTTGTGAAACTGTTATAACTGGCAATTAAAATACAGCCCCTATCGGTTGTAACATTGTTTTTGTTTTGGTTTAAACATACTTGATGTTACAAACTATTGGTCCAAGAAAAACAATAAGATTTTGTTTAATTAAGGTAGTTAATGGTCTTATTTTTTACAAAATTTATTCCTCAGTTTTATAATTCTCAGATTCAACCTTTTCTTCTAGATAATAATGGCTTTGGGGTTGACTGAAAGTATTAGTGGTTTCAGTGGACCTATTGCTGAAGAAATGCTACCATCTTTACAGTCCATGGGATGGTCTCATAATGACAGTTTATTTAACTGTCAGGATATGTTTTGTAATTTATTTGATGAAATCGGGCCACCTCCTGATTGGCTTCCACCACCACCACCATTACCACCTCACCTTCTCCAACTATTGAATGAAAATCATTCTCTGATTGATGAGCGAACAAATGATTGTAACTTCTGTCATATCTTCAGTAGCCCAATGGACTCCGAGCTTGTTGTTCCTAAACCAGAATTCAAACCCAATGATTCTTGGTTTTCTTTATTGCTTGGCTCTATTATTGGATCAACGATCCTGTGCATTATTTTGCTTTTCATCCTTTTCAAATTCAGAAAGTAAGTTTTAAAAACCAAAAAGTAGTGTATATGCTTGTAATATATCGCTCATTGAATTTCTTTTTACAGGCGGAAGCTATTTCCTTCTTCAGGTAAATTTCTCTACATTTTTAATTTTAATGACAAAGAAGACAAGAGAAAAAAATTAGGCTGTAATCTACTGCCACTATGTCAACCGATTCATTCTTTGTACTTTGAATAGGATATGCATATGCATTCATATTCAAAGAAAATTTACATTATTTGCTATTCAATCAGATGTTTTCTGATATTTGAGACTATGAAAATATTTATTTGAGTAGTGGAAACAGGGAATTTATTATTCTAATGTACATTTTACGATTATTTAAACTTTAATGCAACTTTCTGTTTTCTCGATTCAGTTTGTGGATTTGATTCTTGTCCTATTTTTCCGGAAAGTATGATGAGAGGGATAAAGACTTCTCCACCACCCTGTGCGCCGTCAGATAATTACATTTCACCTGTTGTAAATGAAAAGTCACCACAAAGTGTGATAACTAATTGTCCAACAAACACTTCAATCTCAAGTAAATATTGGAGACGGAGTGATGAAAATCGAGAATCTCGAGTTGGAAGCAGAAACTCAAGAGAAGCTGATATGGAAGACTATACTAATATACCAGGCGAAGGTAGCTGTACTTCTAGTCCTGTCTACGCTGAACTAGACGCAGCTGGAGTAAATATTAGCCATTCTCAGATCCCAAGTTCGCTTTTATTGAATGGTCCATCACCATATGTTGTTCATACTTACTCTGAAGTTGCCGATGCAATGAGAATGGCAGCTCTTGGTTCATCAACTGCTCTACTTCCTGATACATCATATGACAATGTAGCATATTTACCAACATCAAATAGTGACCATTATCAAGGAAGATCATTGAGAAGGCAACGGTCCGGGTTAGGACACCTTGGAACTGCAGCTCCATTGCTGTCTGCTCATCAACAGATGATTCCTGGCTCACAAATGAACTTCGCATCCAGTGGTCGACCTCATAAAAAACCGAGACCAGTTTATTCTCATCGTACATCCAGAATTAATGTTAGCAACCACCAACTACAACAAACAACAACCAGAAATTGATCCTCGTTTCATGAGCGCTCGACGTTCTGAAGCTGTATATGCTGATTTTCCTCTCGATACGCCATCTTTATCATCTTTTCGAGTCCCTTACTCTGCTAACTATAGAGAGAACCCTAAACGACCTTTACCCGCAGTTCCAGGTGTTCGACTTTGAACGAGTTCATCTCATCAATTATTACCAACTACTAATCAACTACTACTTATTTTAACCATTAATCACCAAAAACATTTATTTATTATGCTTTCTTCCCAAATCCCTAGCTTCCAAAATCGAACGCAATAATTTATTTATTATTTTTGTAAATATCTGTAAAATAATTTGAAATCATAAACAATGGTCTATTCGAATCTAATTGTGTATCGGACTTTAGATTAGCAAAATTTTAAAAAAATTACTTTAAAAATGGTTTATTAATCCACAGATAAAAAATTTTAATGTTATTTCAATTTTTTATTAAACCTGTACCTAAATTATAGCCGTAATTTTATGTTCTAATCTAGTATCGCTACACTATTTACTATTCTTTTATCATGAAGCTTGTGTTTGACAGTTATTTATTTACAATTTAAAAATCATAAAATGGCTACAAATGATTTAAACTCACCGTTCAACACTGTTTTGCCGCAAAAAAAAGCTTACATTGATTTTTTAATTTCGTTAATTTTCAATTGAATTAAGAGCTAAGTACTTGTATTATATTTTTTCTCAATTATTAATCCAATGTACTTTTCATTTCTAACTACTAATTATGATTAACTATAATAAAAATAACATGCCATTCAATTGTGGAATGACAAAAATTATAATTTCAAACATTTGCATTGATTTGTAAATCTTTAAATCTTTGAACTCAATTTTTCGTAGCAAAAAAAGTTTTTAGTTTGAAATGTAAAACTCTAAAAGTACTTGATTAGGCCAACCTAATTGGTCTAATTGAACTCAAATCTAAATCAATCCAAATGCTCGCAAAATTTTATCTAACTTGTCAAAACTTATTTATCACAATCCAATATAATCCAGCTTATTCAAACCAAATCTGACTATAACTGGGATGACTTGGCAATTAAAATACAAACCCTGATGTTTATTGCCTTATTGGTGGTTATCGTCTACTATTGATTATTTATCTTTTGAATTTCTTTTTTTCCCTTCATTTAGACTATTTTATGTTTAATTATCGAATCAATTTCATTGTTTACAATTAATTCTATACGACTCTTCATCTATACCATATTAAGTTGTTGTAGCATTGTTAGCTAGAACTGTTTTTATTGTGTTAACTAACATTACCATTTGTTGATCCTTCAACTTCAATCCACCAGCTGTAAATATGGTTTATCTCTTTAAATGTTTACTGTTCACTAATGACCCAAGGAAAAAATTAACCCAAATGTTAGGTAAAGTATATTTAAATTTCTAATTGTCCAGTTCTACTTAAATTGATAATTATAATAACATATTTGAATATCTTATTGAGTTCTCTATCGGTTACATAAAAAATGAGTTACAAAACTACAGCTACATGTATCTATCGTCATTAATCTATCATCTGTATTAATTCAGATTTTATGATCATCTTGATATTGAAGAGAATCAAGATGTCCTCCCGTGCTTCCTCCTTAGTTAGGCTTGCTCCTATCAATATAATTAATCTGCTAATAACTTATAAATAACTTATAAATAACAAAGAAACCTTTGCATTTAGAGTTGAGAAAGCTTCAGCTTATCAGTGTGGTTATTGGAAAAAATCTTTAACCATCAAGTGATTACTGTTCATATAGCATGTCAATAGTTATTTGATGGACTAACTCCGTTTGGAAATTTAGTTTTTAATCTTATTTGCATCTTCAATGAACCTAAATAAAACTCTTGAGATGAGAAAAAAAATCCTAACCAGACTTTATCTGCCACCTGATGGAAGCTAAATGAAAATGGGGATGAATGGAAATGTAAACAAATGATGTTCATCTCTACGTAATTATCTCTAATTGTTAATTTTGTTTTCTTTTCTACCTTGTTTTATTTTTTATTCAGTTATATAATTCAAATGGTCTAGTGGTATGCTTCCTGTGGACAATAGGTGTTCACGTTCTTTGATGAACGAAGAAATAATGGCTAACCATGACCCTTTGCCTATTGAGACAGTTGATTCATCTGTTGGCATATCTTCAGAGGACCTTCCTCACTATTTAAAATGTGTTGAATCGATCAAACATATGACTTCATCATTCCTCAAACCTCAACAATCACGTGAGTTTAATTTAATAATTATCCTAGTCTACTATTATCACCTGATACTCTAGAGAGATGCATTTAATAATGATAACGTTTTATCGTTCGATGTATCTAACCTGTTTCACTTTTTTTAAAGTTTATTGGATATTTTTCTCGATCTCTAAATGTATACTAATTGTCACTTGAATCATCATTTATCGTTAACTAACAGATGTTTATTATTTTTCCCAACGATATATTTTTGTATTATAGCACTGTCCCGTCCGATGCAAAGGAAGTTAATTAGTCTCTTGCAATGCCAACTTGTCGAAGGAGAAGGTCGATTACGAGCCATGAGAAATGCTCGATCCATTGGTGAACGAGCCTTATCCGAGCTTCTAATTAAACACCAAGATCCTCGTACTTTGAGGTTAGCTGTACACAAACTAACCAGTTAAATATCAGTGTTCTCATTTTTAATCTATTCATCTTTTAGTGCCAATCTTTGGGCTGCTGTTCGTGCTAGAGGCTGCCAATTCTTGGGACCTGCAATGCAAGAAGAAGTCTTAAGACTCGTTTTGTTAGCTCTTGAGGACGGAAGTGCTCTTTCGCGCAAAGTTCTTGTTATGTTTGTTGTCCAAAGATTGTCACCTCATTTTCCTCACCAAGCCAGCAAAACTGCAATTGGTCATGTTATCCAATTGTTATATCGAGCCAGTTGCTTTAAGGTAAGCTTATCGTTATTTTTCTCCATGTTTAATATTCTTCATTTACCTTGTTCATTCTGTTACAAAGATAACTCTTTCTAAATCATCCTTCAAATATTCATGTTGCTCCCTTTTTGTTTGTTATGTTCACTAATTTTCCCTCTTTTCATTATCTGATTCTGTTAAAATCATGTGATTATATCTGTATCAACATCAGCTAACTAAACGAGACGGCGATTCAAGTTTGATGCAACTTAAAGAAGAGTATCGCAGCTATGATGCCTTAAGAAGAGAACATGATAATCAAATTGTTACAATTGCGCTGGAAGCTGGCTTACGAATCTCTCCGGACCAATGGTCATCACTTCTTTATGGGGATTCTGCACACAAATCGCACATGCAATCCATAATAGATTCTGTAAGTTAACCTGAACTCAATTGATTAACTACTATTTGATTTTGCTAGAAACTTGTGTTAATCTTAATCTCATGTTTTATTTGAACAGCTACAATCACCATCATCTTTTCAGCAATCAATTACTGAGCTAATGGCTGCACTTCAACGTACAGGTGATCCTGCAGGGCTAACCAACCTTAAAGAACACTTTGAAAGGTTAGCTAACATCGATTTGGGCATAAATAATGGTTAGTTGACGTTTATATTTAAATATTAACTGTTGCTCTATATTCATGCAATTAATTTACTTTATCAACTTCTTTTTCATATTAGAGCATCCAGTTCATCCATCCCATTTTGAGTTAGCCTCAATCCTTGAATCATCAAAAATTGTGACATCTCGCTTAATTGAGTTCTTGCACAACCATTCCTCTGGATTGTTCCGATCTAATACAAATCATCGACTGTCACTTTCAATCCCGACTAATTTAACTCAAAATCGTGTTGGCCGAGTGAAATCACTTCCCATTGTTTCATCTAACATGAGCCAACAATCTTCATCACCAATTCAAAGTCCCACAGAGAAAATAACTTTTCAATTTATTCCATCTCAGCCAAAAGACATTGTTAATCATCGACCTTGCTCTTCCATAATTGCCAATAGAAACTCATATCTTCCTCACCCACATCAATTAACACCAACGACACCTCCCATCCCTTTGACCTCATATAGCCCAACAACCTTTCCTCCGCCACCTAACAACCATCCTCACCATCATCACATAACTGTCTCTCCTTCTTATCTGATTGCTGGCCATTCAAATTTCCCACTAGATAGTGAATCAGTCGCATCCAACTCTATTACTCTGGCAACTATTCCTACTATCCTGCTTGATCCTAACTCAGGTCATCAACACCCTAGTCCTGGACCCACGGTCATATTAAACTCATCCAAGTTGACCGGGATTATAACTCCAATCTCACTTAAAACTGATCCCAATTTATCATCATCTACTTCACGTCCACCTTTTTCTCTACCTACTGCCGCACTGCCTTCCGACGATGATCAATTCATACCTTTTGATGAAAGACCCTTCGTCTCAAAATATGGTCCTATCTCTCGAGCTATGAATCTTATCAATACACCAACAGTTGCCAGTCCAGGTTCTAACTCTCAACGAGTATGTAACAACAATAATTTTATCGGAAACAGTACTACGGAAACACAACCCACCAACGTAATACTTGGACGACCACTTCCTTCTCTAACACTCATTCAGCCTCTTCAGCAATTGGTACTAACAGCCACATCTGCAATGCTAACTGAAGACTCTCAAACATTTAGCCATAATCAAACGGATCGACTCCAAGACAATCCTTATCCAGATGGATCAGCTGTTCGTCAAGTTAACAATGTTGCTCTTGCTATATCATTAGCTTAAAGATTATCATCGTTCGATATAAAATTTTCACAAAGAAACACAAATCTAACTCGTATCATCTAATCAAATTATTGGAATGAGATCGTGATTGGTCTAATCGTTAATCATACAGAATCATATTCTCCAAAAATCGCTTATAAATGCCATCAAGAATTGATTAAAAACTCAAATGACTAGTGTGGTTATATAATTACAATTATAATTTTACGAAAAAAAGGTGAAAGCATGAAAAGATACCTCAATTTACAAAGCTTCTCAATTTTGCTCATTATTTTCCAAAGTCTATTGTTGTCCCAATGTAAACCATTCATTCTCATCTAAACGTTGCGATTTATTTTTTATATTAACCAATCGATTGCGTCCTAAAGTGAATCTTTTAATTTATTACTTAAAACCCAGAACGATTCATTATTACTGAACTCATGTCGAGACAGACTCAACTTTCAACTACATATAGCCTTTGTTTATAGTTACAGGGAAAAGGAAAATTTCTGATTACTCTAATCGACCAGTTTCCATGAATTTATTAAAGTACAGAGAGGATTCTTCACTCCAGAAAAATGAGAAAAATTGAACAAAATAAATTTTAGTTAAACTGTAATTTACTGAATTTGAATTTGCAAATTCGAGTAGAAATGACGGAGTCTTAGAAAACACTAAAAATAATTACCGAGCTTTTTGTCAGTCAGTCAAAATTTGAAAACTGTAGTTTATTAGATATCTAATTAAAATGTTTCATACTTAATGTTAATATTTGGCGTGTATTGGCGTTTAAAAGGTATATTCCTACGAGGGAAAAATTCATGGGTTTATGGCGGGGTTTCAAGTATTTTCATCCTTTTCAATCAATCTAAAGTTTAACAAGTCGGGTTTGTCAGTGGAACTCTTGAATTATATTTGTATGTTACTTGATTAAATTGTTGCGTTAATGAATCGCATTGTCAAATTTTGATGAATGTTGGAGATCAATACTGATATGTATCGAGTTTTATTTGTATGAAATACTAAAAGTTCAGTTGATAAACAGTCAAAATTGAATAAACCAAGAAATAGTTCTTTTACCTTATAACAGGATCCATTTTCACCCCCCTCTCCCATTATCTCCATCTTTATTTCTCTCTTTCGCTCTCTCATTTTCTCCCTTTTTGTCTTTCTTTTCTTTTTGTCTGCACCAGTCAGATGGAGTAAAAACATGATGTTTGAATGGTTTTAATATTAGCGTCTTCACATTAAAACCTTTGATATTTACTCTGTGCAGGATTATTAGTTTATGAATCTTTCATGTTTTATATTTGGTGTCATTTGTGAATTCAATTTATCCTGGATTAATCTCAAGATATCACTCGAATCGCGTTAGTCTTTGAAAAAGGTATGACTTCATTTACTACCTATCTTTATCTTTTTTTTATGTTTAGTCTTTCTCCTGCTGTTTATTCAGTTCTTTATTTTTAAGACAGAATTGTAACTTTTCGAATATTTCCGCAATTTTCCTGATGATTTCTAATTTAAATAATATGCAGTTCATCCTACACATGTCAACTCTGTTGAAGTTTCAATGTTTAACATTAGGGTTACGTTGGTGTTTTTATTTTCTCATTCACCATCCATTTCTTTGCCTATTTTTCTCTCACACTCTTCATCTTTCTCTTTCTTTACATTTCTCTTTTTATCTTTTCACTTCATCATCCTTATCCTCTCCATTTCATCTTGTTTCAGACTCTGTTTAGTTTCGTCTAGATTCAATCGACTGTTCTCGGAATGATTATATTTCTGTCAGGTGAAGAAATAATGTTAACCAGAACATACTTATATCAAATGTATTACTCGTTAAACTCTATGACACATTAAAAGTTTGGTTGGTGCAGCCAAACAAGTAACTCGATAAATCGCATTTCTTTCCGAAAATCTTGATTAATGAGTTTCCATTTCATAGAAGTTGGATTAGAATAAAAAACATTGAAAGCAGATGATCGTCAGTAGCTTTGCCATCGATATTAACAGAGATCATTGGCATGTAATCAGATAATTTGGAACATCTGATTTCAACTATTTTCATTGTGAATAGTTTACTTCTCAAAAGTCCATATGCTAACTGTAAACAGTGGAAGTGCCCATCAGCCTCTATGAGGGGCCGTTGAAAAAGTACCCCCACTATCTAGCATATTTACTCAACTCTGATTTCACAAGCATAATTTGATTTGTATTTATCATATTTACACTTATCTGTTCATTTTATCATTATCTGCATATTATTGATTGCTTTAATGTGTTAATCTCATGATTGAATCCTTATTTCTGCCATTTTCCCATTTCTCTCATCTTATGTTTCTCTTTTGCTCGTTTATAGTGGTAAAATCATTTCTTGTGACTGCTGTTTAGTTGTATAATAATATCTACCTGTGGCGATGTTCATCTCGATTGTTTGGATATGAGTCTATATGAAAATAACACCACAAATGCCTCTGTTCACCAAGTCCACCATCAAAATCATTCACCATTAATCGACTCCAATTATCCAATCTTCTATGGCGAATTGGTCATTCTAGGGTTAGTCATTTCCGTACCCATAAGTTGGGAAAATGTTGCTTTATATTTTATTTGCTAAAATATTCTGTTAATTTTTTTTTGTTTCTGGCCGATAGATATAATGGGAATCTTCCACATGGAGAGAAAGGTCGTCGTCGTAGTAAATTCATTTTAACGCAACGTAATGTACCAAATGGTGTGAAAAAATCAAAACATTATGTGGTCAAACAACCTCAACAGACAAAAGTAAGTAAATCTTAACCTAAAATCGTCCTTTTCATTAGATTTTCTAAACTTTATATTCAAATTTGTTAATTTATTTCGTTATTATCGTTATTTTGTTATAGGCTATCCAGGATAAGGGAAAACATTCAATTTCTTACACATTATCTCGCACCCAAGCTGTGATAGTCGAGTACACTCCTGATAATGAGACCGACATGTTCCAGGTTAAGTATATGATTCTTGATTTCATCTTAACCTTTCATCTATCTCATTTTCCAGTTCTCTTATGCTTCCTGCTACTCATATTTTTCTTGATTGCCCTCTTCCGATCTTCCTTTTATAACATGATGCTGGTTGGATCAGGAAAAACCGTTTCAACAAGATTTTCCCTTTGCTTACCCCAAGCTCTTCAATTTGATTAGTTTTTTCTTTCTTTCTAATCCTGTTCTTATTTGTTTCTTTTCACCCATCCGCATCTTAAATAACCAACAACTTATAGATCGGTCGCTCATCAGAAAGTCCAATTGACTTTGTTGTCATTGACACAGTCTCTCCAGATAAACCAGTTGGAGATACTCTGGCTCAGCAAAGTACTATATCAAGATTTGCATGCAGGATACTCGTTGAAAGGAATCCTCCTTACACTGCTCGTATTTATGCTGCCGGATTTGATTCTTCGCGTAACATTTTTCTCGGCGAGAAGGCAACAAAATGGCAACATGACGGAGAAATGGACGGCTTAACTACCAATGGCATACTTATAATGCACCCCAAGACAACCTTTTGTTCAAATGGAAATGTGATTGATGATATACCAAACAGCGGCCAGAAATATTGCCTCTGGAGAGAAGTCTCTGTCTGTGGTGGAATTTATGCGATTCGTGAAACTCGATCAGCTTCAGAAAAAGGTGATAAAATTGATTTGGAAACCAATATTTTGAAAGATGGCACTTTAATTGATCTCTGCGGTGCAACACTTATTTGGCGATCTGCGGAAGGACTTTTACGATCACCAACCAAGAAAAGTTTGGAAGATATGATTGATGATCTGAATGCAGCTCGACCACAATGCCCAGTAGGACTGAATACCCTTGTTATATCAAGAAAAAGCTCAACTTTATGTGAAAAAGAGAAACAACCTTATGTTTATCTTAACTGTGGGCATGTTCAAGGTTTACACGATTGGGGCCAAAGTAAAAATTCCAATGCGCGAACTTGTCCAATGTGTCTCAGTGTTGGTCCAGTGGTTAGATTAACCATGGGAATCGAATCTTCATTTTACGTTGATTGTTCATCGCCAACATTCGCATTTAATCCTTGTGGTCACATGGCATCTGAAAGAACAGTCAGGTAATTGTTCAACATCTTTTACACTCTTTGATTCTCGTTGCCTAAATATCCCGTCAAAAACATTTTGTCCTTGATTCAACTTTACTCTCGCTCTTAAGTTTTTAAAAAATTGAATGCTGATCGATTTTCATGAACAGTTACTTTGCTTAACCTTGCATGATATTCAATTTGACTTTTTTTTTGTTCAACTACTGAATCATTTCATTCTTTTTTATCCTAATTTTTTTCAATTTGAATGTTGATACAATTTTCAATTTGAGGTTTTGTTTTTTAATTATACCGTTTATGCTTGAAATTTATAGACAGTTTCCATTATCCTGAAATCAACTTATTAAATTGGTTCAGTTGATGAAAATTGGACTTGTTTTTCAGCAATTCAACTTTCATTCTCAACAAAAAAAACAATTAACTCTACCGGTAGTTTTTCCCTGCTGTAGCCATTATTTTATAATCCAACTTTAACCCAAACAATTAAATCCTGATAATTTAGTGAATTGTTACGTGTTAGTTGGTTTTTTATATAACTACCTTTTCCTACATTCACCTATTAAAACCTTTTCAACATTTTTGTAAAATGTTTCAATCATTTTAACTGCTTCTAATCACTTCTTTGCAATTGTATCAATTCAGATTTTGGTCGTCAATAGCAATACCGCACGGTACCAATGGTTTTCATGCAATGTGTCCTTTTTGTGGAACTCCAGTTTCTGGTAAATTGGGCTTTGTGCGATTAATATTTCAAGATCATGTTGATTAAGACCTTAATTAACTGAGATCAATATATCTTATCGGATAAATCGCAGTGAACACACAATTTTATCGTGTGTATTTAATAATATATCATACATATGGTAATTTAATATGTACATGATAACGATACTAGCCAATGAAGTGCATCCAGCATTAATTTCTTAATTGTATTTCTATTTCACTCGCAATGTATACATAAACATTCACACACACATACACCAAACTTACTTACTCATAACATTTACCTTTTAATCAGATCATAATTAATGATGGAAGTACATTTAAAAAATGATCATCATTACTGTTTCATGTACAGTGAATCTTTTTTCGTAGCAAACAATTTCAAAGAATGGTTATTTTTCATTACCGACATGATTTTTTGTCTTTTAAGTAAAAATCGCTAATAAATAATAAATAATTTCACCAATAATGATTCACAATGATTACTTTTAAAGGTTCAAACTAATTTCCAATTCCAATTCCAAGAAGAAAGATTTCACTTTTTTCACAATTTGTATCATGATTAATTCATATAATAAAGCTACCTAAAAATGAAACAATTTTCTCACAAATTTATATACAATTTAGAGGTTCAGAGAATCCAAGCTTTTGAAGATAAGCGTTATATTGATTATTATGGACTAAACATTTTAGATTAACTTATTTCACCGATTTCTTGCTTCCTGTTGCATAAATTATTTCAATTTATTGCCCTCATCTGATCACTAAATTGATCCTGAAGTTGAACCGAAAAAAGGTTTTTTCACTTTTTCTCGGCTTTAGTTGACTAAACCTTGTCCTTGATTCAACTTATCTAAAGGCTTCGAAATGCTGATCAATTTTCATGAACAATCGTTTTGTCTAACCTTGCATCGTATTCATTTCATTTGTGCTTGTTGCTGAATCATTACAATTTTTTAGTCTGCAATTTTTTCATCTCGAATTTTTAAAATTTTGATAATTTCTTTATTTAATCAAACTGATATTAAACTGACATTTGTATTCCAAACTGAATTCAGTCAATAACATTTCTTCCGCTTCATCAAATATAAACTTCTGCAAACCAACTTTCTCCTCTTAACCTAACCCAAACTTTAACTGTGGCTTGAAGTGGAGTAAAAATGCTAAAAATTTGAATTCAAGTCATTTAAATCATTATCTTTAATGGAATTAATCATTTTAAGAGCAATAAAATTGAAACACTTCGTTTTTACATTTTTAATTCCTGGCCAATTTATCACAAATATTGTGATAATATTAAATTGTCAGTTGAAGTGATAAAAGATGTCCATCAGTTTATCTTTTATGATTTATGTTATCCTTGGTTTTCAGATTTTCGGTTCGTTCTCTTTTCATTGAATATAACCTCTTAGCTTTGTGAATTTCTGAAATTATTAATAATTAATTACTAATCACTGAAACTATAACCATGATAAGACTCATGCGTTTGTTATTGAATCTTATTGAGTCAAAATTTTTGACATTTAAAAGTTAAAATAATGGCAGTAGATGTCACTACGACGAATGATTACAGAATACCTGATGCCCTCTATCGGGATGTCTTTGAAGTGGATGATCTTTCAACTGCAATTCCTAACTGATAATAACTGCTCTGAGTTTGTTTAATTGTTACATTGTTTTGAAATCTTTCTATAATTTATATTTTGATTAATTTGTTAAATGCTAAATTAATAAATCTACTTAGTCAATGGAGCTATGTTTTGTCAATTACCTTTAAGCTAACTTAATCCCGATAATATATAAAATTATATATATTTCTACTTCTTCTTATACTTCTCTTTTATTCTTCATCTTCATCTCTTTCTGTCTTCCCTTTCTTTTTCCTCTTTCTATCTCTTTTTTTCGTGAGTGACTGACGTTTATTTCTTCTTTTTAGGTCATTTTCATTATAACCTTTAATTTTTTTCTGTGCAACTTATTTAATTAATTAACCTTCAATGGTTATAATCTAGTGTCATTAGTGAATTCAATTCAACCTGGATTTATACCAAAATATCAACTCAATTGCGTTAGCCTTTCAAAAAAAGGTAAGACTTCCCTTTTCACCTATCTATATCTTTCTCTTCCTTTTTTTTCTTGCTATTTCAATCTAATTATGTCTTTTTCTCTGATTAGACTTTTAATTTTTTATTTTATATTGAGAAACACTTTTTCCTCATCCCTCCATCCCATTTCGAGCATTCTTGATTTTTATTCTCATCGTTTGGTTAATGATAAATTAGTCTAATACAATTTGACACTTTGGATTTGAGCTTTATACCTTATGTAAATATTAATACTAATCTCCAAAATTTAGTTGATGTAGTGATATTAGTCACAGTTATTTATACCTATCATGGTCCTGAAAATGCTTCTCAGTAACGTGTCATTCCAACTTACCCTATCATTTTAATCTTATGATCTTTTTTTTCTCGCTTACCTTCATCCCCTTCAACCAAAGCTACATTAACTATTAACCTGACACGTTACGCAAATGACTTTTAATTTTCATATTATTCAGTTCATACTCTACATTTAGCTCTATTGTTGTGTGGTTAACATTGGGGTTACGTTGTTGCTCTTTATTTTCTTCGCTTCTCATCATTTTCTTTCTTCTCTCTTTTCTCGCTTTACCCTCTTTTTTATTCTCATTTTTGCTCATTTTCTTTCTCTTTCTCTTTGCCTCTGCTTTTATTAAATTAAATCATTTAATATGATGAAGCTGATAGAAGTATTAACTGACTAACTGATGAAGATAGTCAAGATAACTTTTAGGATGTATTTATATCGAATACTTTTCGTTGAGCTATCTATTGACAGATTGAAAGGTTGACTGGTACAGCTAAAAAAACAAAAAAAACATATCTTGGTGAACTACATTTTAGTCTGAATAAGAGTTTATCAACAGATCACTATTTCACTACTAGGGGTTGTAACAAACTGTAAATATACAGAAATAATTAGTGAAGGAAATGTTAAGAACAGATGATTGTCAATGGCCTTGTCATCAATGTTTATCTGTCATTCCGTGTAAAGAAAGTCATGTCATGTTAGCTTACTATACTTGGTTATTGTTGCTGCAAAATTTAAATTGTGCGTTAAGAAACATTTCAGTTGAAATGATAACCAGGTTAATCAAACCAGCTACTATGACTGATTAGATTTTATGATACTAAATGATGAATCAAATGTTGAAAAGAAACAACTTAAATTAAATTGGTCATCTCTCCGAAACATTAAATAATTATCTCTATAGCAAAATAAAAGTTATTTAAAAAGCCTTAAACGTGTCTCGATTATACAAATTCACTACATTCACTATATTTACTTCAAATTCTTAAGTTCTGATAACTCCTCGATTATTATTAATAACAAACAAATAAGGATTAAACTTAAATAGCTAGCTTGTTACCTGTTTTTCATAAGGAGCCAATTTTTCGAATCTTTTTTTACATTCTCTTTTTTTGCTTCTGTCTTGACTACCGTCACTGACTTCCCTTCCTCATCTTTCCAGCTACTTTCATCCTCTTTTTGTATTGATTTACAAAAAATATTTCTTTTATTGCTCCATTACAATCAGAAATGGTTCAGACCGAATTCAAGGTTGACCATTTAAAAAATATTGAGAACAGAATCTACTTTTTTTATTAGTCTTTAACCTTTATTGTGTAATCTTTCATTCGATTTCACAGATAACGTTTCATTTGTCATTGAACTAAAATTATTCATTTCTTTTCATCTTTTTGTTATTTCTTACATTCTTCTCTAGCTATCATCCACTTTAAATTAATTGAAATAAGGAGACAAAAACAAATAAGGTTAGTATTATCAACTCATTAACTCATTGATGAAACTGTTTCATCTACACATTTTTTATGCTTTAATTTCTGCTAACTAATGGTTTTATTTTATCTCTTGTTTATTATTTTCTTTTCGTTGCTTCAATCTTGATTATCATAATCTATGTATGACACTAACCATTATCCTTTGTTACATTAGACGGATCAAAACGGATTCCCAATTGCTGCAGGTTATCCTCAGCTTTCTTCCTGTCAAGGTTTTGGAATGGATTCAAATTTCTTAGGAAGATTATCTGGTTTATCTGATGACCAGATAGTCAATATGTTGGTCAATGAAAATGGTATTCAGTTAAGCTCCGAGTTGATGAGCCAATTTGCCATCACACCTAAACTTTGCGCAAAGATTTTACTCGATATGTGTAGTAACTCTAAAAGTCAAGAGGATAACATGCCACAGAGTTGTGAAGAGATTGACTCTTTAGCGAATCTGTGTCGGGAATTTTTACCACCATCAGCATCACCTCTTATGAACATAATTCAAACAATAGACAACTCTTCGTATCTTTTATCAAAAGCTCCTAGCCAAGCTCCTCCCGGTCTTTACAGTAACAACATTAAGTCGTCAGCTCTTCCGAATATCAATTCGATTAATAACATTGACGATAGAATTGGTAATCTATCATTAAATGGCTCTATCAACGCATTTAATAATCAAAATAGACAACAATTTTCGACTTCTCAATTATCGTTAGCATCTCAATGTAATTCGGCGTCTCTTATTGGCTCTTCTATACAACAACAAGTGGGCTCTTTGGCTGCAAGATCAACTCAATTTCAGGTATTATTAATGATTTAACCAACTTTCTGGCAAATCTTTCATTCATTTTGTTTTTTTGTCTTTTCTAGTCATCACGTCAAGTTCACCAAGAGACTTCCCAATTGCCACAACAAATTTTGCAACTTCAACAGTCCCATAGAGATTATATGTTCGATGAGAACGCCATATTTCCAGAGCCACCAATGTCATTTAGTCCTGAAATTGAAAAAGAAGCTGCCGCTTATTTTCAAAGAATCTATAATTCATCAACAACGGAAAATATGAGCATAGACGAAGTCTTAGACATGTTGAGAAGGTTTCATGCTTCGCCTGATAAACGGGAAAGGGATATATTCCATTGTATGATTAAAAATATTTTCAAAGAATACTGTTATTTCCCGCAATATCCAGATAAAGAGCTGCTGATTACTGCTCAATTGTTTGGTGGTATAATTCAAATGGATCTAGTTAAATTCGTAGCTTTAGTAGATGCATTGACTTGTGTTTTAGAAGCTCTTCGTCAACCCTGCGGTAGTAAGATGTACTTTTTCGGGATTGCTGCATTAGACCAGTTCAAGTCAAAACTCAAAGATTATCCACTCTATTGTAGACATTTAACTACAATACCACATTTCAATGAATTTCCGTTGACTCTCCAAGAATATATTCAATTTGGTGCTGCATCTAAGGATCCTCCTTCTATTCAATCAATTAACGATGATTCTAACTCACTTCATCCATCAGCATCTCACCCTCCTGCTTCACCTTGTCAACTTAATTCAAATTCAGCTGTTCTAAATATCAATTCATTTATGGGCAGCAATATGAACAACAATGTGAACCGTTCTGCTATGCTAATGTCTGATTTAATTAATAATCAAGGTATTATTAACAATAGTAATGGATCGTTAGAAAACTGTACTATTGGTGGACAGCTTTCCTCACAAGTTCAGTCTGATATAACCTCGGCCACTGCTTTAAATGAAGTTTTAATTAATGATAATTCAATTGTAACTTCAAGCCCTGTTATTAGTAGACCTACCACAAACCGTAGTGGACCATCTAATAACACTAATAATGCCAATACCTGTGAAAATGTTGCTACCACAACTGTTATGAATAATGCTGCTGCTAATTCTGAGACAATCCAACAAACAGCATCGGAGCCTCAAAATCATTCTACTTCGGATCAACCTTGTCATGCTTCCTCAACAACAATACCAACTTCTTATAGTGATATTGTTAAACGAGCCAAAAAAGTAGTAACAACTAATACAAATAGTTCAAGTAATATAAATAACACAACTAAAGATGGTACAAAAGTGATAAGGAAGACTGTAAATAATTGTAATGCAGCTGATAGTGACAATGCTAACGAAAGTATGGTTAAATCTTCTGGTACAACAAACGGTATTCGTGAAAATGCGAATTCAAAAAGGGAGAAGAATATCAATGGCTGTGATAACATTTTATCACATTCAAATGGATTAGATAATGGTAACAGTTTTAGCCCCGGTGATCAAAGCGAATCTAACTCAGTTAACTCATTATCTAATGGACAAGATGCTTCTGGTAGTAATTGCAATACCACTAATGGTAATTTAAATAAATTAAAGCCAACAAACATATGGGCGTACAATGGATTAAGAATTGCCAATGTGTCAAATAGCTGTTCAAGATCAACTCTTCACTCTTTATTCAGTAAATTTGGTCGTATTAAACTAATTGAGAGGATCAATAAAACAATTGAAAATAGTATTTGGGTTTATTATGATAACCCAGCATCACCCGTTGAGGCAGCCCATAAGCTACAAGGTGCAGTAATTGAAGGTGTTTCCGTAAATGACTCTGTACCATTACGAATCTACTTTGCTCCAACTGATGATCAGAAGGATCTTAAATTTTCAAGACCAAAGCAGCCACCAGATAACAAGGGTGAATGTTATTATTGGAGGACAACTAACTGTTTTTCACGAGAGCAATGTCCTCTTTTGCATATACCTGCTAATAAGAATATTGACGCTCAGATTTGGATGGGTAAAATGAACAAAGAATCGGTCAATAGCAATCAACCGCAACAGCAGCAATTAATAACACAAGCTAACAGCAAATAATGCAACGCGTCCTAGGCATTTACAATTGAACCCTTTTGCTCCCGTTTTTAACAAAAAAAAGGAAAATCCTCTTATATCTTCTCTTTTCTTTATCACTTCCTTCATAAGAAAACAAACATAAAACCTGAATGATAACCAGGACTCAAAGTCAAGATTACAGTTTTGCTTGTTATTGCATTGTATTGAAACAAAGGACAAAAAAAGGATAAACAAATACACACAACTCCCCACGGTTTTGAAATTCATCTTTAATGGTGATAAAAATCTGACAACAGTTAACAGGACTTCAAATGAACATAAAAAGATTAAAGAAATTATTATTAATAGCTTCATTAGCTGCAGAAAATTAAAAAACCATCTACTTCATCAACACTTGACAACTTCAACAATTATGAGTTTCTTTCACACCATGGATTTTAATTAAGAATACCAGTTTTATTCTTATTATTGACTATTATTTTTCCTTACTTAATCTTCTTCCCGATTGTACTCTTTTCTCATTCTGCTTCTTCCCTTTTCAGCCCTTTAAAACTCATTTTGTAACAAGCAGACAAAAAAGCTAAAACTGATGTAATATGTAAAATCTGCATGACATTTGAGGGCAACAACACTTGCATCAATCTCACGTCAACGTACTTACAATACTTGTTAGTATAATGTGTATGTGTTTATGTTTCTTGGAGGGAAAAGTCTTCTATCAAGAATTAGTAGTAATTAAGTGAACCCATTACAATTATGATTATAAATTAAAAAATGCAAATTAATCTAAACAGAGAGTAATACAAAAAGAACAAAGCTAAACAAATAATTAAAACAAATTCTGCATAATTGATTCAAATTGTTACTGAATTTTCACTTTTTTAATTTTCAAGTTCAAAATCTTTTCACTTGATTCCTCAATTTACTAATCAATACAAACAACACTCAAGTCAACATCTAAATAATATTCATTATTTTATGCCATAAGATGGCGCCATTTTCTCGATGGTTTATCTTTCGCGCAATTTTTAAAATCTTTTCATTTATTGCTTTTAATCTCATGTTAATAATACAATGATGTTGCAATTGAATGAATTGTTCGTTTTAAACTTATTCTTGATTTCGGTGTTTCTGCGATTAAACTTACATGTATGACAAGTGTACTTTTTTAGGATGAGCTTACATTTGAAGGAGACGAAATTGTTGGCGATGATGATTAGTTTAAAGGAATCAAGATTAAGAGGATAAGATTGGGGACAGAGAGGAGGGAGAGCATAGAACTCTTAAGATCATCATCTTAAGTTTATAGTTGATACGAAACTTAATTTTTTCATATCAACTGAGCATAATCTAGTCTCTCCCTCTATTATGCCTTTCCTTTTCCTTAATACTCTTTTTTTATTTATTTGATTCTGGAGTCTCACCCGAAACCTGAATCCTGAAAATCCACTTCAATATGAAAGTAAGTAGATGAGAAACGACATAAGTCGATATCAATTCAGCTTTCAGTTTTCCTTTCTCACTATAAGTAAACATCAACAAGACAATACTGTTTATTAACAGTTCATCGGACAGAATCAGAAAAAGAAAAACTGAAAGCTAAATTATTCATCTGTCACATAAAATAACTTGTTTCAATCTAAACTTTCTATTTCTACAGTAAGTTGTTGGACAAATCAAAACGACAGAAACAACTGTTTAACTTAGTGAATACAAAGATCATCGATATTGGACAAGAAACATTTATCAAGTGATTTTTGATAAAGTAAATACAAAAATATCACAGTGGAGAAAGTCAAGGAAACGCAACAGTTTCGCTTAACATTTTCCCCGCCTAGGAGGTTTTAGCTTCCTGGTGTTGTCATTTGTATTGCTTAATATGTCTATTTGTAAACCTTCTGTTCATCAGTATAGAGTGACCCTCAGTAACCTATCTTGCATCGATGGGATGCCCATGACTAGTGGACGTAAAGATGCTACCTTTTACCTTGGGGATGAAAATTGCCCATTAAATAAATCGGATGACATCGAAACAGCCATTCAATTTAAACCCTCATCTAGAGGTTCACCTTCCACTGGAACTGGAACCTTACAATCAACCGATTACTCTGGTCGTCCACCTTTGTATTCCGAATTGAACCGATCAACAGTTGGTCGTGGCATAATAAACTGTACAAGTGGAGCAAGTTTTGGTGTTTCTAGTGTCGCCAATGGTGGTGGAAGCACTACAGGTGGATGCAGGCGTAATGCCAGTAGTGGCGGTGTTGGAGTTGTTAGTGGACACAAGAAATATCGACGAGCTGTTCACTCATCACGATTCAACAACCATTCAGATGCCTTTGATGGATTAGTTTTCGTTTTAAGTGCCATTTACTCTAAGATGATTGTTATCATTGGTCTTTGTTTCCCAATGGCAGAGGTAATCTCTCATCGAATTCCTATCGGCTGGTACGAAGGTTTCTACTTATACCTGTATCTTGGTTCCATCATGTTTCTCATCTTAATTTATTTGTTTCGAGAAACAAGTAAACGTAAAAAGTCTTCATTAATGATTAGAGCGAAAACCTTTTTCCTTTGGTCAAACGTTGAGGCTGGTGGGAATGGCAATGATACAACTGGAACAGGTAGAGGAGATACAAAATTACAATCTAGTTCAACCAATAGTTCATTATCCGAAGACGAAATTTCTGGTCCTGTTCATTTTGGTTCCTTTTATTTAAGACTTGGAGCTGTTGCTTTTGGTATTGGTTCAATGATTTATTCAGGCCTCGAGTTTGGCCAGTACTTTGAATTAGAGTCAAAAGAGCAATGTTACAGTTTTCTTTATGGATTCACACCAACCGCTCACATGACTTTTACCTTTTTTCAACTCTATTTCATCTTTATGAACTCTAAAGCGTTCATATCCAAACACAATTACATAGGTAAGAAATTTTTCCACTCCAATAGACTTAACCATAAGTTTCACACAATTGAGGGCTAACAAACCAAACTACTCAATCAAACACCAGTATTTTGACTCTTCCACCTATTTCACCAATTATTACTTGTAATTACACAATTTGTTGTTTTTTATTCTTTGATCAACACTCGATTTATCTTTGTAATATTTTGATTACTTTTTTCCATCCAACGATTAGATTTTTATTCAGTGTTATTTCAAGTTTATCCGTCACCAATATCTTTACACTTGTCAGTCTGTTTGGAGATTTTATTTCAATCTATTCAGATCGTTCTGTTACAGACAAGCTATACCTTTACATACATTCCCAAATGTTAATTGCGTATTTTATTATCGTTAATCATTTGAATATTGCACTCACTCTTTGTATTTCTTGCGATTCACTATCTTGTAATATATCGTCATCTTGACCAAGTTTCATTTGTTTAAAAACACTATTCTTTCCGTATTTGCTTAACATAAAGTGGATCATCTTCATTATCAACCATAAAGGTTCCTCCAAGTTTTCACTTTTTTTTCTGTCAAACAATCTCATTCTTGACTGATTATTTTCCATAATTCCATGTTTACCTTAATTATCTCGTGATAGACTTAACTAGCGCCTGAAAATAAAGCAACCTAAATGACTACTTCGATTAATGAAAGATCCTAAATAAATTGTGATTGAGTGGTTGATTTGTTTACTCCCTTAACTGTACAGTCATTGTCTGATCAATCCAATTTTCAAATTGTCTGTATTTTCCAATTCACAATTATATTTTTATTTATAGCACGATTCGGGTTAATGCATATGATTGCTACCAATCTTTGTGTTTGGCTTCACGTTTTAATTCAAGAGACAAAACATCAAATCATGATTATACTTAATCCAAATGCTACTTCAAGAGAAATCTTTTTACCCGATTATGAATTGACCAGTTTTGGCTTTGCAGTGGAAGATGATAAGCATAACCCATTCATGACTGCTGATGGTTCTTTCGCTCCATTTCCTCCACCAGCTTCATCACCATCTTCACCATCATCATCACATTCATCTTCATTATCCAACTCTTTAGGTGAAGATATCTTATATTCAGGAGCTTCTTCATCTTATGCGTCTCCGCACTCATCTTCACCTTCAGCATCATCTCTATCTTCATCAGTCATTCATCATTTATCAAAAAGAAGTATCGACGATCATGAAATATTCACCACTCATGGCGTTTGCCGTCGATCAAATGTTATCGGTGAATTAGTTCAAGATGCGAGTCAATTCCTATTTCCATGTACAATTGAATATTCACTTATCTGTGCTGCTATCCTCTACATCATGTGGAAGCACACTGATTCATCAAGGTATGCTCATCGAATCAAAATAATTCTTAGTTCTATTTCTTTCCTTTTTACCTCAATATCAAACCATAAATCAATTCAACAGACTTTGCATTGAAAACCAGAAAATGTCGCACTTTTCAAGCCTTAAATTTTTCTCAATATTTCAATGTTTTCAGCTTATTTCAACTTCCAGAACTGATAATTTGTGTGTTTAATTGATAGATCAAAATATCAATTCATTGTGGAGCAATAAATGTTATTAGTATTATTCCCTGTTTGGATACAATCAGAAATGAAAATGCTCTGTTTAATGCACAATTTTGGTTGAATAGCGTTGGTGGTTAAAGTAATATTGATTTGCGAATTGATTCGTAAATTGTTGCCACTTTAATTCATTGTCACAGTAAAGATCAGTGAACTCAACCACTTTTGATCAACTCATTAATTAATGACTCCGACAATTGCATAACCATACAATCATCAATTGGTTAATTGTCGATTGTTATTTGCATTTTCATTCCCAATCTTGACAATTTAATCAACCATTTGAGATTGCAAGGTTACATTCAATGTTGATTTGTTTGTTAACCTTTAATTCAACTAGACAAGGACAAAAATTAAATTTAAATTTTCTTCACAAAGGAAATTGTTCATCCAATTGATCATCATCAGAATTTGTAACCAGAATTTTCCTTGATAAATATTTTTATATCTTTTCTCACTCCTTGGCTCGTTACAATTTAAATTGCTTGTTATCATCTAAACAGAAAAGGAAGTAAATTGTTGATTGCATGATCAATGAAATTGATTCTCACTCTAATCATGTGTTCAAAGAGTTTGAAATAAAGCTAATTGATGAATACAATTTTACCAACAATAAGATGATCAGAACGTGTTAATCTTCAAATCAAAATTGATCGATTTGTTTCATTCCAATCCTATCAATATTAAGCTACCTTAATCACAACAATCAAAGAGTCTCTTGAGTCTAAACTAAATTGAAATTCATAATTCATTATCTCTTAATTGTAGCAAAAAAGAAGCATTAAATAATGTTTTGATAGACTTTATGATTAATATAAAATAAGTCAATTGGTTATTGATTAATTCATGTTTCTCAATCATATTCAGCTCTTAATCGTAATTACAATTTCATTTTCATCTTTCCATTCAAGTTCAGGGTTAAAAGCTTTTTATAATACAATTTACAATGCAATTCAATACACTTAACAGTTAATCATTGAGCTTCATCCTAACCATTAACCTATGTTAATACAATTTTAATGCATTCAATTCAAAGGCAAGGACAATAGTTTAAGATAATGTTTTCAATTTAATCCCAAAGTCAGGGTTGTTCAATGAAACAACATCTTAAGCTTTATTAATCTTAAGTTGCTAATCACTGGATTTACTAATTGTTTAACCTTCCAAATTGTAACCTTGTTTTTGTTGGCCAATGACTTTTGAGGTAAAAGTTGAAGCTTTACCAGAAATCAATAACTTGATATCATTGTTGCTGTTATAACAACAATTTGATATTTCTCACAAATTTTATGTTTCCGCATTTGATGACCTGTTTTAATTAAACCTTTAATGAACCTGGTAATGATTATCGATGTTAATTGTCAGCTGATAGTTGAAAGATTACTGGAAATGTGATTAGATTGAATCTACTGATGAATCTCTTCATCATGAGTGGATCATCAATATTTATTTTTCACCGTCTTCATCCAAATCCACTGAATGATACCTTTCATTATCATCATTACCCGTTCCTTATTAATGTATATTAAATTGAAAGTTTTGACAGATTCAAGATTGAAACTCCTCTTGAGATTTACTCCGATACTTGAAGTGAAAAATTATGAACAAAAAGAGGTTGATCAACATTGAAATGATTGAACAATTGGCGTACAAATGAATTAATCCTGAAAACTGTTTGTTTTACTGAAGGCCTTTCATTCATTGGTTACTTAATTACATTTTTACCTTACAGTTAGCAACATTCACCAACAATTGGAATCACTTCTGAACATGATAACTGATATCATGTGATGATTACTGTTCAACCGATTGTTATCACTATTTTTGTCATTTATATATCAATATTTACTCCTCGCAATCTCATTATTGTTGCCAGTTTGTGGCCTTTGATGACCTTCTAGTTTCAAGTGGTTGAGCTTTAAAAACTAATTAACAATCAGACCACTAATTAACATCTGATTTTATGAGGAAACCAAAAACTCCAACACTTGATCAACACACAAACAATCACTTAAACTCAATGTTATATCCTTATTGACACAATCAAAGTATGAAATAATGACAGCATTCAATATCTATTCTGATTAACATTTAACAACAATTAAATGGTTACAAAGTATTTATTTTCTGGAAAATTTCAATTCCAATGAAAACCATTTTTCTGGTTATTTATCAGATTATTTCAGTCTAACCTTGATTGAAACAGTTGAATCAGTTGATTATTTAGGCAATATTGGGAATCAAAAATTTCAAGTGTTTTTTTTACTTCAACCTAATCAAGTGCTAAATATCAGTCATTATTGTTACTAACATTTTCATTCTTACTATTAATTTAATCATTCTTTAACTCAGGAAATGTCGACTAAAAACTGTTATCATATTTACTTTACAATTAAAGCTCAATTCAGCCACTTCCATCTCATCTCAAGCTATTAATATATTTATTATTACTCCATTAAAAAAAAGAGTTAATCATGAGTTAATCATCTTTCGTGCAAAAATAATTTCTTGTTTACCTTTTTTCTTCCTCAAAAAAGCGTTAAAAAACTACATATTTGTCATGTTTATCATTGATGTTATGAAATGTTGAACTTGAAACTTGATCAGATCCAATTGCATGCTTGATTGGCACCAATCAAACCTCCATTGTCAATCATTTAGCACCACAAAATAATCAACTGATCAAGATGATTATCCAATACTTCCGCAATGATAGCATCAAAATTATCAAAATTAAAGTCAAATTGCTATTAATAATAGTCGATTATGGATGTTATTTTGTTTATTACAATCATAAATATGAATTGTCATTAACTAAACCTAAATATTGTCGATTCAATCATCTGTTAATTTCATTGTAAATCAAAAGCCTTTTTGTTATAAAATTGCAATAAAAAACACTCAAAATTGAAGTGAAAAATCGTCAAAACTCATGTGATTACAACTTTTTTATTAGTCGATTGACTTCAGCTAATCACAATTTAATTGTCAATGACAAATTGTTGATATTTTGATGCTTTCTGAATCAATTTGAAATATCTTTTCGATTTCCTTTCAAACACATGTTCAGTTTTCAGCTGATTGTTCATTTGAAAGATATTTAATTCAGTAATTGTTATAACATTCCCAACCTTTTCATACAAACATTTCAAGGTTTACATTTAACTTTCAATACTGGATTCCCTTATAATCATTAATATTATTATCAATATATTTTGATAAGTTTGTCTTAACTCTACAAAGGATCAAATGGTGGACATGAGAAAATTAAATTTACACTTGAAGATGATGGTCAATATATTAATAGATTCATCTGTTTGAAAGGTCATCGTCTTGATCAATTTATGGGTTATTAAATTATTCAGATTGGTCAGTGTATCTGTTGATGATCACGTCCTCATTTCAATGTTCATTCAATCTCTAAGTTCATCAACTTTCCACATTTGATTTCTTCCTTTTTCATTGCCATTGTCATAAATTGATTATATTATAATGCAATTGGATCCAAAAATGGTTTACGTTCATCCCATGTACTTCCTGATGTTTCCTCTTCTGTTCAGTCTTTTTCATTCCATTTCAAGTTTATCAACAGTTTTTGTTTCATTTAATTGTGACAAGACTATCAGTCTAACCTTGATGGTTGAATGTTCATCATTTAATGTTTCATCAATTTTCATCTTTCATTTTAATTCAATTACAATTTATTAATTGCAGCAACTTTAAGGCGCAATTGAAAAGTCAATTTTTACACATTTTTCAAATCCATTCTTGGCTTATACAAAAGCCACAATCGATTGAGTCTTTTGAATGTGTTTTACAGTTAATTAGTTTACTGATTGTAATTGTTATTTTTTCCTCTCTCATTTAACTTGATTGTCTGTTGAGTTGATGTGAATAACGTTATTATTATCAACATAATCATTGATTAAACAATTGTTAAACCAATTGTGGTTGGGAGTAAATTTAGATTTTATTGATTCCATTCGTTTGCAATGCACAATTTACTAACCATGTTTGTACCATTATTTTATCCAAATGGTATTACATTTAGGTGGTTGGCAGGAATCACATTAAAAACGAAGTTATTACAAATTAATTTGATTAACTTCATTATTGTCTTTAAAAATCAACTAAATGGAGACAAACTTCAATCGTAAAGTCAATTAAAACTATCAATAGTAATAGGTTGATATTGTTTATGCGCTATAATACTCACAAAAGCACCATAAGACAATAAAAATAGTTAACATGCAATTCATTTTCCATTACTAAATTGTTTCCACTTTTTACTTTCTTTCACAGTTTAAATACCGATAGACTGCGACATCGAAGTGCCCAGAGTACATCGACAGTTAATCACCACCAGCGACATTACTACCAAGTAAATCTAATTTATAAATGCTTTTATTAACAACTAATTAATAATGTTGTGTTTTTATTTTGTTTTCAGGTTGATTGTGCGAAAGCTCATAAAGGACTATTTTGTGGCATATTTCTTCTGGTTGTTTGTATTATATCGTTAATCCTGTTCTTTGTCTTGATCAAAAAGCCTAATTATCGACATTTAGGCGTTCTTCAAGCTCACATCGTCGAAATTGCTGTCTATGGAATCAATGCTGTTGCCTGTATGATCGCAATATTTCAGGTTGGTCATCATGGAGTCGAGATTATAAATCTTGTCTTTACCCTTCACTTGCTTAGGATGAATCTTTGTATAAATTTGAGGAAAAACGAAACACAACTATTAATTATTGTCTTTGGTTGAGTTGAAAACAAAAGATTCATTAGATTTGGTATTATGATTCCCGAGCTCAGTGATCTATTCATTTTATTCATATTTTTACAAGATCAATTTAAGCAGTTTATGGTTTAGCTTCAATTGATATCTCAATTTATTTGCTAAATTTTCGATTTATACGTCAACTAAACAATTTACTTTGAATAGCAAGGTTAATTTTAATTTGGATGATAGTTTTGTATTGCGCTTTTTCATGTAATCCTTGAATTTTTATTTCCATCAATGGATTCATCGTACTTTACTGTGTTTACTTTGAATTAATTTGATCTTTTTTCGCTTTTTCTTCTACAGATTCGGAAACTGAATTACAACCCACATAGGAATGTTGAACTGGATAATATATTATTGATTGTTGCACAAACTGGCCTTTATGTTTTTAATATGTTTTCATTAATTGGTGCTCAGTTCCTAAACACAAGCGTTAATCGTAACACTCAGTTGGTTAAAGTTAATGCTGTTGCTTGTCTAGTCCAATCAACTCTTCAAACAGTCTTTATTCTTGATGCTACTCGCCGTTATGCCTCTACACCTGAACAAGTAATTAAACCTTGCAATTTACCTCGTAATTGATTTAATTTTTAATCATAATTTGTTTTACTTTTTGTCTAGGTGAGGAGGAAACCCGCTCGAGAAATGATTACCTTTTTATTGGTTTGCAACTTTGCCATGTGGGCCATTAATACACTGGAAACCCGAAGAGCTGATTCCAATCCAGTTCAAATGACATTTTACGGATTCTGGGCTTGGACCATTATTACCCATGTGACGACTCCACTGACCATCTTTTTCCGATTTCATTCAACGGTTTGCCTTTGTGATATCTGGAAACGAACGTATAAAGTTAAACAAGAATTTATTTAACACTAATTTTAATTGTAATTATTAATAAATTAAAAACAATTTGTCTAAGAAACCAATAACTGTGTGAATTCATTCATCAACGGTAATCAAAATTTATGCTAAGGGACTATCGGTTGATTTAGGATCCCATGCAATTCATTCATGAAAAGCTGAATTTAAAACAAAAGGCTAAAAAACTTAAAGCTAATAAATGATAATCATTTAAATCCTTTAGCTAATAATTATCATCATTTTCCTTCACTTATCTATTTTTATATATTAAAACATTTCATTAAGCCTAAAGACTTTTTAACAATTTATTTAATGAATGTTAAATCGTGTCAATAAAAAGGTTTGTTGAATGATTTTCATAACCTTTTGATATTTTTTTAAAATACGCGGGTTGTGTTATTGTAGATGGAGCTAGTCTCTATGACGGCGTGAATCAAGTCTCAAGACGGAAGTTAAACTGTTTCCTTTTCTGTTGTATTGGATTTTTTTTGAAGTAAATTGTGTTTTTGAGCTTCTATCTTATTAGTTTAATTAATTTAATTACGTAAGTATTTTATTGATTTTTAAGTTATATTGTATATATATGTCACTATAAGATTGGTTTTTCATATTGGTGTCCTTTTTTTCCATAGTTATCTGTTACAATGGCTCCACGTAAAGGTAAAGTTACCCAAGAAGCGGCTGTTCTTCAGCTCCCATCTGAACAACCTGGCGAAAATATGTTTGGTGTTGCTCACATTTATGCCAGTTTTAACGACACCTTTGTCCATGTTACTGATCTTTCCGGAAGGTAAGTGAAACAAGTTTTTCAGCCAGTTATTCTGAATTCTAATCGCTATTATTTTGAATCCAGAGAAACCATTGCCCGTGTTACCGGAGGTATGAAAGTAAAAGCCGACAGAGATGAAGCATCTCCTTATGCTGCTATGTTAGCAGCCCAAGACGTAGCTGAAAAGTGTAAAACCATTGGAATTAATGCCCTGCATATCAGATTACGAGCAACCGGAGGTACCAGGACCAAGACACCAGGACCAGGAGCTCAAAGTGCTCTTCGTGCTTTGGCTCGTTCAGGAATGAAAATAGGAAGAATAGAAGATGTTACACCTATTCCATCTGATGGTACTCGAAGGAAAGGAGGTCGTCGTGGAAGACGTCTATAGATTGTAACAAAGTTGCTAGTATTTTTGGTGATTATCAAAAATAAATCTGATTGTCATTAAACAAAATCTATCAAATACGATTCTTTTATTACCATTACTCTTTCTACTGGAATCTACTCTTGTTCCGATCCTACATACTTGAAGTATTTTATCCTAGTACTTCGATTTTCAAGAAAAAATTCAATTAGTTTTTCAGCGACTTACTCTTTTTCGTTCAAATTTTTCAGTGCAGTTTAGTTGTCTGCAACTAGATATTCTATAAATGCTTGTAATATTGATGGACTGAACAGAATATGATAGCGGCGTTAAATGTTGGTGACTAAATAATGTCTACTTTGAGTTAAAACACGGCATAAATATCAGCATTCAATTGTGTTTTTTATATTAATTCACACGATTTTTATAATAAATCAAGCCAATTTAATTTGGATCGAGTTTGCTTTTATTGGTTAACGTAGAAGTTTATTAAAAGGATTGAATAAATTAGGAAACAGAATATTTTATATTCAAATGATAGAAGTCATATTTTTATTGATAGCTTTTTACATGGTATTTCAAGTGTTTTACATTTCATTTACAGCAAGAGAGAAAATTGTCACAAGAATTGTTGATTAAGAAAGGAACATGACAGGTTTAATATGCAATGAAAAATTTCTGGCGATTGTGAGAAAATATCAATTTGTTACAAGTAAAGACTGGCAGCAAAACCAATATCTTACAAAGCTGAGCATCAGTAGCACCTTTAGACCACGCATAGATTACATTCATTAATTTGGGCTTGAAAGGAGAAATGTCTCGTTATTTTCAATACAGAGGATCGCCTTTTTTGAAACAGATCAAGAGTGAACGCGGATTCTCCGGCTGGTTTGTAGCCTTCAAGGCTCACAGAGGAACATATTCGGCATTCGGCCAGACAACCTCCTTGTAAACAGCCTCCTTCAGCATCTAGTTGATGAATACAAACTTTAGAAATCAAATTATCCAGTTTCAAGGCATCTTCGGCGCTATTTGCTTCATTATCCTCATCAATGTATTCAATCGGTTCAATGATAAATATTCATAAATATTTACTGAAAACTTGAACAGTACTTCCGTTGCTCTGAAACATGTTTAATCTCAATACATGGCTATTTGGACACGAAAGAAGGAAAAGCAATGATAATTGTAACAGCCAGAGTAAGAATAGAAGTCATTAGTCTTGGAGAGTAAACGAACAGTCCTTCATAGCTATAACCAACATCTTCTCGTCCGATCCTTTCCAAAAACAGGGAAGCCTGAAATGAACAAATTGGGAATTAAATTACTATTGTAATCGTGTATCTTTAAATTGTATCTTGAATCAAGCTTCAAGTTTAATTTATAATTAGAAAATCACTTCACCTCTATCATGTAATCAACATTATTGCGGAATAAACTTTTTCCATAAACAATATTATAAATCGAGGCTGCTTCCACATTAATGCCAACAATGTATCTATTGGTGAAAAAAATAGCCCAAAATGCAGTGAAATCAAGAATACCTAATACAACATAACGAAACAGGTTCAAAGGTCCAGAAATAATATAATACACTATAATAATGGCAAAAAGGTTGAGCATTGGATAAAAAAAGGACAAGTATCTTGACCAAATGGTATTGCTAGATTCAGTGAGATCAATTGTTCGTGAATACATTTGCCGATAAAATCGGAGTGTCTCAGTATTCCAAAATGTTTCTGGTTGATTCAACATTCTCTTTCCAATCATGGTAAACACGGAGCGAATAATCATGGAACAAGTGTAAAGAGAATGAAATTTACCCCAAGCAAAGAAAGGAATAAAAATATAGCTGAAAATATGAACAATTTCCATTGTTACATGCACCATTCCCTGATCCCAATCATTTTGAATAACAGTCCAAGTAAATACTAACAAAGTGATTAACCAACCAAGCAAAGATACGATACTGCAAATCGCAATTTCTCGAGCCGTTCTTTTCAGCATTCGGTCCAAGAAAGGATCTTGGGAAGAGATTCCAATTGACTTCCATTTCAGCTCAAAATCTGTAAAATCTGTCCGATAAATGAGTCCCAAATAGGCAATCAAACAGAAAAGGCCATCTGCTAGAAAAATGATGACGAATGTCGACGTTTGTCCTGAAATGAGTGGATAAGTGTTTGGAACTGGCAGCACTTTGAACAACATGAGTGAATTATGAGTTGTATTGTAGGCGATGATGATAATGCCAAGTAGCATGAAGAGCTTGCGATATTTCTTTTGAATCCGAGTTATCCATTTATTATCAATTTCATTGACAATGGATCGAGTTTGCAAACGAAGAAATGATCTTTTGGCTTCAAGAACGTTCACTGTTGGTGATGTACAATGTTCTTGGTTGAACCTTCCAGTTTGCTCATTGAAGCTATTGAGTATAACATTTTCAATTGGAGTCACTTTCGAGTTCAACTTTGTTGTTTCAATTGTTACCTGATTATAGTCTATTTGTTGGTCACTTTGCTTCACAAGCTCATTCATATTTCAGATGAATGGTGTCGTATGAATAAAGAAAATTTTATGCTAAGTTTAAATTCTGAAGCTGAAAATGAGATCTAACATCATGTCGAATGAAAATGTTGAAATAAAAGACGAAAGTCATTAAGTGATTAATAGATTTGATGAAATGTTCACTTGTTCGGAATCGATTGTCTTATTGAATCATTTTAATGATAACTTTTTTTCAAGTAAATAATGACGATAATAATGAACACAAAAGACTGCTCATCTCCATGATAATCATCATTATAATTATACATCTATTCATTTGGTAAACAATTCTTTTGAAACTTTTTCTCCAGTAAATGTCAATTCGAAAATCTGCTCATTTTCATGGTTAAATCAACTTTTGCATTGATTTTTTTGTTGAACTCTTCTTTGTAATAATAAATCGTCAACCCTTCAAACATAAAAATATTAATGATTTTCGATAAAACGTTTAATGAATAACATTGCCTGATGAAAGTCTGGATAAACATTTCAAATTAATTATAATTTCTTTGATTCAATATCAATTTCCAAGAATTGATTTGCATTGCGCAAACTTGAATACAACATTTTAAGTCAAAATGTTTAATGATTCTTAAAGTCAAAGCGTTAAATCAATTTCACTTATTTTGTTTTGTTTATTGTATCAATGCTTGTAATTAAAGGATGAACCGTTAGTAAAGTCTTCATGAAGATTTAGGTTATTGAGTTGGTAGAGAAACGATTTTGGTCAAAAAACATATTTTTTAAAATGATTTCCATTGAAAATTGATCTTCGTAGTTGACTAAATTAACGAATAAATTAGGAAACAGAATATTTTATATTCAAATGATAGAAGTCATATTTTTCATTGATAGCTTTTTACATGGTATTTCAAGTGTTGTACATTTCATTTACAGCAAGAGAGAAAATTGTCACAAGAATTGTTGATTAAGAAAGGAACATGACAGGTTTAATATGCAATGAAAAATTTCTGGCGATTGTGAGAAAATATCAATTTGTTACAAGTAAAGACTGGCAGCAAAACCAATGTCTCGTTTTATAAGTTTATCAGCTTCTGAAAATTTATTTTCTAAATCAGTATTACCAATTACTTTTGCAGCTTGGACCATTTGACGGAGTAATTCTTCTAATCGCCTCATACAACGAATAATCGATCCTTCAAAGGCATCAGTCATCTTACAAAGCTGGGCAAAAGTAGCACCTTTAGACCACGCATAGATCACATCCATTAAATTGGGCTTGAAAGAAGAAATGTATGCTTCAGTGTCTATTTCTAATTTAGCTTCTTTGGATACTGTCGCTATTCTTTTGGCTAGTTCTTGCATTTGCTTTAAAGGTTTGGACAATTCATCTGTTAATTTAGGCATTTGTTCAGTTTTCTCTTCGAATACAAAACAACTTAGAAGAGCATTAGTTTGGTATGGGTTTAGATCATTGAAAAGTCCATTAAATAACATTTCAGTTATCAATAGCTCGTCTCCACTTGTTATCTCACAAGCAACACGTCCTTTGATTTCAATGACATCAGATGCTGTACAGTAGCCTAAACGACGAAGTACTCGTTTCCGACATTTTAATTCATCCATTTGAAGAAGACTCTGAGCTTTCCGTAATTCTGCTTTAACTTGTTTGATTTGATCAGCAATTGAATTCTTGACTTCATATTGTTCTTTTTGTTTTTCAGTTATGTTTCTACATGCATCGAGTCGCTTTTTGTCGGTTTCCATCTTACTAACGAGGGTTTTGAATTCTTTTGTATTAATTTTCATATCTTTAACTGGATCTAGTAGAGGTGGAGCATCAAAAAATTGTTTCATCACAGCCAACATTGATTTACGAACAGATTGTCGGCTATCATAGCTTTTGATGTCTTGAGGAATGAAAATACGAACAGAACTTATTTGAGTTATGTTTTTCAACATAACAGATATAACTCTCATTTCTCCGTCATTTGGTTTTACTGGAGGTCTGAATAAACCAGATCTTTCAGAGGATCGGTCTATGTTGATGATACAGTCGATTGAATAAATTGCACTCTCGTCAAGAACTGGATTGCGTTTTTTGTTATGTTTCTTTTGAAAATCAATAATAGCACCCCATCCAAGATCAACGCCATCGTCACTGACGAACTTCATCAGACGTCCTGGTTGGAGAAAAGGTACTAAATAACCAGGCTGTCTTATAGTCTCAAGAAATTGATCAGTGAGAGAGGAAAGATGATTTTTGATTTTAAAGTAATTGGAAACATTCTCCTCGTCTATAATTGCAAGACTATCGTATTGTTTTTCCAAATTCTTAAGTTCTGTGAAAAGATTGAAATATTGAATTAGAGTTTTAGCAAAAGTAATTAATATATTTTGTTGCTCAATGAATAATCAGACTTACTTTCTATCAAATTTGGTACTTCAGCATAATGTTGAAATTGGTAGAAGCTGTGTTGCAGCATATATTCAGGGTTAACATCTTCAACTCTCAGTAAGTTCAAGACCATGTTATATGTCAAGTGGAATGCACTGTTGATAGCATCGGGTTTACCTTTGATTAAATCACGACCAACTGAAGGGCTCATTTTTTCATCAATCATGAGGATAACGATTCCTTTGTCATCGATACCTCTTCTACCAGCTCGTCCACTCATTTGAATATATTCACCAGATGATATCCAACGAAAATCACGTCCATCAAATTTTCTAGCATTAGTGAATACAACTGTTCTTGCAGGCATATTAAGTCCCATTGCAAAAGTTTCTGTTGCAAATAAGGCTTTAATCAATCCTTCGCCAAAAAGGATTTCAATTGTTTCTTTGATCAAAGGTAAAAGACCACTGTGATGAATACCAATTCCTCTTTTCAGAAGTGGAAGCACATGTTCTATCTAAAGAAAAATGAATAACCATTTAAAATTGAGAGGAAACTGTGGTGAAATAAATCTTACCTGAGGAAGTTTTTTATCTTCGTCACTAAGAATCTCAATGGCATTCTTGAAGACTTCTTCAACCAATTCTTTCTCTTGCTCTATAAAAAACAAAAATGCGTAAGTACAAAATAACTTGATCAAATGATTGGTTGACTTACGAGAATTGAAATCGAGTTTGCACATTTGTAAAGCATAAGCTTCACATTCCTTTTTACTGAAGCTGAAAACGATAACTGGTGCTAATTGTCTTTCCATAATAGTCCTGACAACTTTGAAACAGTTGGATTGTTCTAAAAAGCAGAAGCATATTAGTTTATAAACTCTCGTCATTAAGTTAAATTATGTTTTTTCTTACCTTTAACGCCACCTTTTCGGCCTCTGAATGAATCTCCTTTTGCAGCATCACCTGCTTTTGCAATAACGCTCATCGCCTGATTAAAGTTATCTTCTTTAAAAGTTCCCGAATCATCGACAACAAGATGAAGACCATCACCTCCGGCGGGAAATATGTAATGTTGAAGTGGTACTGGTCTGAAGTCAGTGTAAACAACATGGCAAGGCTGATGATGAAGATGTGTGATCCATTCAGCGAATTGACGAGCATTTGGAATAGTAGCGGATAGAAAAACATGATGCACATTATCTGGCAACAAAATTATCGTTTCTTCCCAAACAACTCCTCTTTCCTTGTCTCTCATGTAATGAATTTCGTCAAAAATGACCCATCCAACTTCTCTCATGATTTCACTACCTCGAAATAACATTAATCGCAAAATTTCAGTGGTCATGATAAGACAAGAAGCGGATGGATTGATGGTGACATCTCCAGTAATCAAACCAACGTCTCTGAACTCTTCGAAAAATTCTCTGTACTTTTGATTACTCAAAGCTTTAATTGGAGTGGTATAAATTACTCTTTGTTTGTCACGCAGTGATTTGGCAATAGAATACTCTGCTACAACAGTTTTACCAGCCGAGGTGTGAGCTGACACAAGAACGCTCTGGTTATTTTCAATACAGAGGATCGCCTTTTTTTGAAACGGATCAAGAGTGAACTCGTATTCTTTGGCAGGTTTGTAGCCTTCATTTTCGCTCAAGTCCCGCAGTGGAACATATTCAGCATCGATCGGACAGACAACTTCGTGTAAACAGCCTCCTTCTGCATCCAGTTGATGAATAGAAACTTTAGAAATCAAATTATCAAGTCTCAAGGCATCTTCGGCGCTATTTCCTTCATTATCCTCATCAATGGTCTCAATCGGTTCAATAATAATGTCATTATCGTCCTCATCTTTTACTGTTTTTTCGAGTTTAATAGACGGTAAGCGTTCATCTACATCTTGTACTCTGAGGTCAATATCATCGACAATAGTAATAACATCCTCTGGAGAATTCTTTGGTTTTTTTTCTGAATTATTTTCCAGCTGAGATTTTCGTTTCCTTCTTGAATTATCCTCCACTGGTTCATCTTGTTCAAACACATCAAACAAATCTAGATCCATTGTAAATTGAATTTATCCTTATTTTAAAATTAACATAAAGACTTAGCAGATCGGTCCAATAATTAATTAAATTTAAAAACACCAAAAAATAACCACACTAAAGCTAAAATTGGGGCAAATTTAAAGAAACATGTGATAAAACTAAACCAAACCAATGATTTTGAGCATGTGCGAAATTTAGTCTTGGCAATTTTATCTTTTATGAGGAATCTTAAGATTCTCAAGTTGAATCTATTAAAAAATATGAAATATTTGCTTAATTTTGGAGGATCCTCTTATAATTTCAAGAAATATTTGATTAAAATCACAAAAAACGACTAAAGGATTAGGAATAAAAACAATGAAGAAATGTTAAAAGAACCCCATTCAAATCTTGGCGCTTTAAAATTTTAAACAAACAGGCAACTGGGGGTGAATTGACCACGGTTACTGATTAAACTGAATTGAATACAGTGTATTCAAACTATAATTCAATAGTTAATTAGCCTCGAAATTAAATAATAAGGCATTTATTAATGTACAAATTAAACGTAATGCTTAATCAGAAAATGTACTTGATTGTGGCATTTTAAACAATCTTGAAACGAGCGTAGTTTTTAGATTGTGTTTTACTTATAAAATCAAACATAAAAATGTAAATGTATTAAAATGGCAAATTGGGTCGAATTAAATTGTTAAAAAACACTTATTACTATTGATTTGTCTTGAGTAAAAAAAGAATCAATTGCAATACATTCTAAATCGATCAAAAAGATCATTAAACAAGAAGATAAAAGTGATATACAATTTGCTATGAATAAAAATCAGAAACTCTGGATCCTACCAACCAACCAGCGTTGTTATGTAACACTGTATAGCAACAGCTTACTTGTTTTTAAAAATATCTATCATTAATAACGATAACAACTTGAGTTCTATTGTTTGTCATTTCATGTCAGCTAAATTTATGGTTCCAGCAAATCATACTTAACAATGTTTTCAAGAAAATTAAACAGTTTATCTATGAAAACAGCTGTAAATATATTGTTGATTTTCTTGGTTTTTTGCGTAGTCACAGATGCTACTCTTACACCAGATGATTCAGGCAACAAAGACAGGGTAAGTTTAATTTGCTTGCTTTTATATTCTTGTCTATATCTTCATATTTTTTCAGAAACCAGGATATGAAGGGTCAAGCAACAGTTCATTGGCTGACAGAGGTCTTCTGGTTACAAACCCAAAGGTGAAAGATATCCTTCGTGAATACCAAATCTATTCAGAAGATGCATCCCGTAATTTTAATGGAACGGTCTTAGGTTATGTTACTCCGGTAAGATTTGATACTCTAAAATTTTTGTCAGGTGTATTAATTATATTTTCTCGGTAAATGCTAAAGTGGAATGGCGAAGGCTATGATATTGCTCGAATCTTTGCCAAAAGATACACTCATATATCTCCTGTTTGGTTGCAATTAAAGTTAAATGAAGATGAAGAAACAACAAGAATTGAAGGAACACATGATATCGATTTAAAATGGATGCAAGACTTGAGGAAGGTTAATCCAAATTTGAAAATTGTACCTCGAGTGATCTTGGATAATTGGTATAGCTCACAGCTGATCGTCTTACTCACTAATAATAAATTAGCTTCGTACATTGGAAGACAGCTTGCTGAACTTGCTAAGGTAATATCAGTTTGATGTTTTGTTATTATATGATATAACTTGACCTATCTTTGATTTACAGAAATGGGAATTCGACGGTTTTGTCCTAGAAATATGGTCTGCCTTTGCTGCTCAACAAAAATCGTAAGTATTTTTCTAGGTATTCAATTTTTCTTTCAGCTTTACCAAGTTTCAACTTTTGAGACAAAGTATTGGAAAATTGATCCACCACCAAATATCAGATTATTTCAACTCATTTAAGTTTTTTATGAAGCTGAATATCGATTCTTTTTTCAATTGATGGCAAAATGATTTTGCATGCAAGTCTATTAAAACTTGTGTCCTTTAACTAGCCTAATTTTTGACCTCTTACTATAATATGTTTTTTATTTTCAGTGACGTTATCGAAATAATCGCTAAAATATACGCTCACTTCAAAAAAAATAAAATTCAACTAATTTTGGTCGTTCCTCCGCCGATCCATTATGGGTAAATCAATTTAAATTTTGATTCTTACCTTTATATGCGCTTAATCATTCAATTTAACTTTCTTTTATTTCAGAGGAAGAGTTGGTCTATTCTTAAAAGAAGACGCTGAAAGGCTCGCGCCTTACGTTCATGGATTCTCATTGATGACCTATGACTATTCAAATGCTCAAAGGTAAATGATTCATTTTTATAAAATTATTCTATTCGCATCTTACATTGTACAGTACATTGTATTTATTTCGTTAACAAACAGTCCAATCAAGTGGATCCGAGAATGTGTTAAAATATTAACTCCCAAGGCTTCAAGTCCGATTCGTAAAAAGTTGCTTGTTGGTTTAAACTTTTACGGAATGGATTACTCTCCGACTGGAGGATCTGCCATAATTGGAAAACAGTAATTAATTAACAGCATTGGTCTATTCAATTTGAGCTAATTTCTCTTCTTTTCATTACAGATACATTGAGATTTTAGAAAAGTCTAAGCCCAAACTAAATTGGGATCAAACCTCCGCTGAACATTATTTTGAATACAAGTAAGTCGTTATTTTGCTTGAAAAATATGAACATTCAAAATACTGAATTATCTTCAATTAATTTTAGATCTGGAGCTGGTCGTAATAGAGTTTTTTATCCATCACTCATGTCCATTCAAATGAGAATCCAATTAATGAAGGAACTTGGTACTGGTCTATCAATTTGGGAAATCGGCCAAGGATTGAGATATTTCCAAGATCTCCTTTGAACATTCCTAAAACCAACTAAATTTTACAAAAAGTCTATTTTCAGCAAATCTGTGTCTAAAAATGTATTTATTTGAGGCAAAGCAATAATTCCTGCTCTTTCACAATTTATTTAAATGCTTTAGATAAGTAGTAAATTATAAAAATTAAAAGTTGAAAATACATTCAAATAATTGTATTTGTAAATTAAATTCATCAATGAATTTGTAGCAGAAAAACATTTTTCTGCAATTCTTCATATTACAAATCTTAATTCCTTAAAAGCACCCTTTTTAATAAAACACACGAATTTCGATTTATATTACTAAATTGTATTCTAATTGTATAGAACCATCATTAGAACAGAATCCGGCAAAATTCAAATATTTAATTGATTCGTTCGTTTTGTTTGGTATCCATCAATGAAAATGGTTACTTTTCATGGTAAAGATTGCTAAAAAATACTGTATTACAAGTTTATTTAGGTATGTTTTGAGTTCTAGGTTCACTTTAAGGTTATTACAATTTTATAAAACAGTACAATAGTAATGTGTGATAATTATCTTGCATTGGACTTTTAGCAATCAAGTTTCGAATGCTTTAATGACTGATTTACAAATGAATCAAATGTTTTTTCTCATCTATTGATATTTCATCCGCTAATTTATTTTGGGAAACACTTTTAATGATCAAATATTTCCTTATGAATAGGCCCAAGACTCACTATCAATATGCTGTGTCAGGCCTAAAATCATTATTACTTTTCCTTTAGTCAAACTGTTCCTCCAAACTCCTTTAAACGCTGTCCATTTGAATGACGATTGTTAACCAATCAACAAAAAGGCCTAACAAATGTAATCAAAAACTAAACTGCTGAAGATTTAATCTGGATAATGAATTATCTTTCATCTTTGTACCGGTTTTAACTTTAAATATGGACATACAGATCTTTTATGCTTGTAATTGCTTGAAATTCTGGACCAGTTGTTAAGGTTAAACGCCTAGATATTCCGACTAAATACCAATGTTAATGCATTTACAGTTAAGTCTGATAATTGAGTCTTGACAATCTTGACAATGTTTCAATTAAACTCAAGTAAAGCCAATTTTGAAAACGAGATGTGATTGGCTTCGTTTTCAAAATATTTGCCCAAATGTTTACCAATGTTATCTGTCTGTATATAAATTGGGCTGCATTTGTTTTCAAGCAATTTATCTTGCTTAAAACTGCCAAATTTAATGGTCCATTAAAAATCCAAGGATAAGGCGGTTGAAGAAAGCAAGGGTTAAAATAACTTTAATCTTCATTAAAGTCATTAATTGTGGATAAAGCCATAAGGTTAGTCCATTAACCGATCTGATTATTTTCCGGGTCAGAGTCAGATTAACAGACAACTTGAACAAATGAATCTCTGTTTTTTTTGTTTTTGTTTTAACTTAGCATCTTATTCCTGAGCTTAATCAGTTTAATTAAATTAAAATTCTTGCTTCTTTTACACACAACTCGAGCTGGGATGGTTCATTAAACATGGCCTAAATGTTTACAAAGTCAACTGTTAATTGTCCTACAAAATGTAGACATGAAATTTAAATGACTTACATCAATCACTCCAGTCTCATCTGAGCATTAATTTAACCGTTAAACACTTTCAAAGTAAATTGCATTACAATTTCAATGTTTCACCAATTTTCATGTAAATCACCATGAAATGGACAACCAAAAATGGATGAAATGAAAAGGCTTGTAATGAAAAATGTTCAACAAAAAAAACGAGACTTTATATTGTTTAATACATTTACTGATTAAAATGTAAACTGTAACAGGAGATAAAATTTGTCTTTAAAGCTTAATTTGGTTGTTGATTGTAGGCATTGGTTTAACAGTTGTAAAGATGATTATAATAAAACATTATCAAGCTTAACTTGGACGGGAAAGGAAAAAATGAAATTATAAAGTCTAAAATTAGTTAATAAATTAGCCAAAGCTACAATTAAATCCATCAATTGTCCAGCTTTATCCAAAACCTTCATCAAGTCTTGCTTTAGCCTTTAAACGCGAGTCAATCCAACTAAATAACAGAAAGCAAAGGATAAGAAAATAAATTAGTTTGTTAATCATACAAATCATATTGTCATACAAATCTTAATCAGTACAAACCTTCATCATTAGAGTAACAATTTTGACAGTGTAATCGGTTGCTTCGGACTCTAACATCAGTACCACAAGTGCCATTGCCTGTGAACAAAACGAGAACAAAATTGAATGTTAAATTGATTGACAAAATGATTATTGTTTAGGAATGAAAAGTCTGTTTGAAGAGTAATTTTTGATGATTTAATTTATAATTGCTATTGAAAATTCAATGGTAAACATATTTACTTTCAATCTGATTAAATGATCTGAATTGGTTAGACTTTAAATTGGAAATGAATGTTACTTTTGTGAGTTGATCGTGAAGTAAATAAAAGCTCATGACTATGATCGGGTGATTGTAACAATTAAATATAGTTAATTGTGAGGTGCTATTTGAACGGGGAAAAAAGCCATTTGATCTACTTTGATTAGAATTGATTGTTAACATGATTAAGGTCACTTGGGTCATTATCAAGGTTTACCTATTCATTTGATTAACTTGCGTGTTTGCCTTGTAAAGGCGATGATAATGATGATAATGGCGAAAGCTAAATCAAATTGAATGAAGATGATAAACATAAACAAACTTGGTATTGAGCTTCGATGAAAAGCAATCAACAATTGAACCGTTGACCGAATACACCAAATAATAGCAATAATAACGATAATCAATTTTAACCATTCACTCAAATTGTAGCCTCACGCAATTACTTTTATAACGACAGCAATTTTAATCATGAAATAATCATTTGATTTCAACTAATGAAAGACAAATAATCAAATCAACCTTTAATTGCATTACAAATCCAATAGAAACATTTGATTGTCCAAAATGAACAAATTGTATTAAAATGTAAAGATTAATGAAATAACCTTAATTCAGTAAAAGTAATTTCTCAATTTACTCCAAACTGATTTCACGAGATAACTTCATTAGTTTTAATGATCAATATTGAACAGTTATTCAAGATTCTGTTGTTTCTTATCAACATTTCAATGTACTTTCAATCTTGAAAGGGTCATTGACAGTTAAGGTTTATGTTTATTTTGGACAATCAAAAATGTAATCAAAATTTAAACCTTGACAATTTATGGTCTAGTGAAACAATTTATTAACACACTTCGGTTAACTTGGAAACATTAAGCTTTCAGTGTCAATATTTTTACAGTTTTGCCTACTGAAGGATCATAATTATGTTGATAATGATTATGATGACCCGACTTGTTAACAATATAAATGTGTTGGTCATGAAATGATATAATAGAGAAATATGTTAATCAAACTCGGAGTAATTTGCTGATGTAAACAGCATTCAAATCATTTCTTTTGCAACATTGTGTTCAATTTTAAGATGTAATGATTCAAACATAATTTGAGTTCTTATCAACTCAAGTCAGTAATGAAATTGATTAAAAGACAAATTTCCAGGTAAACTAAATTAGAAAGAGTTATTTCCATTTTTTGATAATGATTGATGAAAATAAAGATTTGAATTTTGCTTGCTTTGTAGTTACTTTTTTTCATAATTGATGGAGCTAAATTTCACTGTTTGTTTACAATTTGGACTGATTTGTTTAACTTATTATTGATTGTGTTTCATGTTGGGTTTATTGTTGGTTCAATGAATTAAAATGTAATTGATCTTAAGGAAATCATCAAAAGATAATTAAGTATCAAGTATGTGATTGTAAAAGACTAAATTGAGTCGCAATTGTAAACCTGTGTCATGATTGCTTGTGATGTCTAAGCAATAATAGTTTTAATGTCGTAAGTAATTCATTAAAATCACAATGAACTGTAATTTAACGAGAAGATATAATTAAATTTTCTCGCAAGGCTAAACAGTTGAAGTAATTTTGTTTAAGAGCAATGCTCTGAGATTTTTGACGAGCAAAACACTGAAATGATGTTTGTTTTTTGTGTATTATTTGACGGTATTTTTGCGATTCTTTTATCATCGTCATTTAGACATTAATCAGTCAATTACCATAATTATTATCATCTTCATCATCTTTTTTTAACCCATCACTTTGTGAATTTGGAAAGTGTCCATTAAAATGAATAAAAGCCAACAACAACATCAACTAATCATCATGATAATCAACAGTAAAATTAATATTATTCTGGTTGACAGGAAAATGTTATTGTTTGTTTGCTTGCTATTTCTGGGTGTAAACAATACACTTTAAGAGATTCATTTCACGCAATGTTAAATTAAACCATCAAAAATGATTACTAGCTTGAATCTGTTCACCATTTCAAGCCTCTAAATGAAATTGTTTAGTTTTTTTGCAGCCATTCAAAGAGTCAAACAATGAAGGCCGAAAAGGAAAGTGTTAATTGATGGAAATAGGAAATAAAATCATCAATAACAGATGATAATTGAGTGAAAATTGAGAGTAAATTTGGTAACAAAATAAGCGATTCTCACCCAATTGTATGTGACAAACTGAACATCTGAAACAGTTGATGTGATAATATAAAGATAAAGTTTCAATAACCATGGCAGCACATCCTCGACCTGAATGGTAATTAAAAAGACAACAATCAATGAAATTTTTCATGTAACAGTTAAGGTTTGGGAAAAAACGTTAATCTTGAGGACTGATTGTTTGGGTTCAAGCCGAAATTTCTGGTTGATGGGATATTTTGTTGGTTTACAATTAACTTTTTTTCACATTGTAAAAATATAATTACCTAGTTCATCACCACAATTGGAGCACTTTTTTTTACCACTTATTGATAGCATCGATCGTTGATCATGACTTTTGAGATTCTCGTTTGATTTTTTGATCAACTGGGCCTCCGAAAATGATTTTTCACCTGATTAAAAGATTAATGGATGAGCAAAATGAAAATAATTGAACATTGGGAATGAAGTGAGAATAAAAAAGAAACTTAGATTTGTCAATTTAAATTGGAAATTAGCAGATAATCCCGTAATCTTTGAGAGGCGGGAAAAGATACTATCTCTATGGTGAAACTTGTTGACATCTGCCTCAATAGACGTTTTTATTGTTTGAGGTTTAAGTAATTGATTAATTGATATTTGTTTAAGTTAGCTAACTTAATTCTAATAACAGTGTTACTAAATTTAATCCATTAATTGGTTAATGTAAATGGGTAAGTGTCTTTTTAATTTATTTTAAACCCTTCCACATTTTTTGCCTCTCATTCAATATCGTCTGACAATTTTTGTTTTTACTTTCTTTGTCCGCCATTTAATAACAATCTTGCTAATGATTTTTTCCTTTTGTTTTTCTTTTTAACTATGGCTGTTGATTAAAGGGTTTGAATTTTCTCCTTTTACCAACCTAAAGAACAAGATGATGATGATCTGTGACTATCTGAGAGATTCTCGGAAGAGACTGAGTTAATGATTGGCCGGTGAACCTTAAATGGTGAAATTAAAATGTTGGGGTAATTTGATCGCTTGGACTCACCATCACCTTGGCCATTACTGGATCTAGTTCCGTTGGATGTACGGATATCAATTATTTGAGGTGAACCCTGATGAGATGATGGGCGTCCAGAATCAGGAATTGTGTTAGTGGTTGTGATACTATCTAGTTGGGCTGATGTTGTTAATGGTGATCCGGTCCGGTTGCTGTTACAACTGTTGACAGACGAGTTTGATGTTTGTGGACTCAAGCTGAGATGTTTGAAGCTTGCCTTTGTTAAACCATTAACAGCAGTTACGGTGTCTGATGTGGTGGCTGGTGTGGAGGTGCTGCTGTTAATGCTATTATTGTTAGATTTTATACTTGTTTTAATTGCGTTGTGACTGTTGCTAGCGGTTCGACTGTTACTAAATTTAGTATCATCATCTTCATTGCTGTTGCTGTTGATACTATTGGTGTTACTTTTGATATTGTTTGGCCCAGATGAATTTGAAGTTTCTTGAAAGGGCAATGATAATGAAGTTGATGATGACGATGGCGGCGACGAGGAGGAGGACGAGGATGATGTTGATGTAATTGATGACAAAGAACCTTGGAGACAGACTACTGGCTTATTGCCATTACTCTGTTACCATTAACAAGAAAAGAAATGAAAATATACATTATTGAACAAATCACACATTATGGATTCATTGATGACTCCACTTTTCTCAGAAGTCTATTCAAGTTTCACCAATCACCAAAAAGTATTATCTGTGATCTTATCTCATCATTTCATGTTTTGTTGTTTCGCATGGTTATTTTCATTTGCCAATGATGATTCATATAGTTAACGCTGTTTAGTTTCAAAAATTGGAAAAAGCTCATCAACTATATAATGATTTCTAAGGCAGCTGTAACTTTATGAACTTGACCTTTGCTAAAGCAAGATACAAGACAAGATACAAAGTAAGATCAACTTGCTATAAATGTTCGCAAGACAGATTACCTTTTTGGCAAACAAGGAAACTCCAAAAATAGCAGAAAATAGACAAGTTTATGATTTTGATGGAAAAAATACTTTACCTTGACAATTCTTGGATTGGTATATGGTTTGGTTGCAAAGCGAAAATAGTTATTGTGAATTTTGTCACTCACTGCATTAGCTGATGAATCCGAGCTGGTACGACTAACATTTTGATGGAGTTTGGTATCAACAGGAAGCGATTTACGTTCACCAATAGCTGGTCGAGGAGGTAAAGCAGGTTTCGGTTTTGGTGATAGATCAGGGAAAATGTTGGAATTTGAAGACGTTGATTCTAAATCAGGATTAGGAATTTCAGTTGAACTTGATTGGGAAAGAAAACAAAAATAATATTTGTTAGTAAAAATGACATATCTTGCAAAATCTGATTTACATAAAAGGTTTATTGGGCTGGATTTTCAATTTTGATTGTTCAACAATTTTTTGATTCTACCAAACAATGGGTAATATAAAACCCAATTTGATTAGTCTTTAGAAAATCATTAAGGAAAGAAATTCAGAAGTCAGAAAAAGAAATAGATACATCATTAAAGATTATCTTCTCAAGGCTGTATTCCTACTTGTTATTCAGTTTCGATTATTTTCCATGATAATTCTCATCAGAACTAGCCTTGTTTGCTTTTTGGTTGCCATTGATTTTTGTTTATAAACCAGTTTAAAATTGTAAATCTGATTTAAATTTGAACAGAATAGTAAAGTTGATTCAAAATTTTAGATGAAAGTTCAAACAAAAAGTCAGACAGACAAAATGAATTGTTATAAGAGTTGAAAGGTAGCTCAGATGAAATATTTCAAATCCAAATAAAACTAATGTAGTCAAAGGTTGAGAGGATCAGATTGTAGGTTGAAAATGGATAGAAAGAAGAAGAAGAAAAAGTTATGGAAATGAAATACTTAATTATCATTTAATACCTGTTAAGATGATTCTTGGGAAAAGATAATGATATTTCATCCTTCATTCCTCCAATTCACCCACTCTTGATTCAAAATCTCCTTCACCAGAACCATTATAATTTCCTTTATCTTCATCTTCTTCCTCCACTAATCTTTATATTGGACCGAATTGTTAACTAAATTTCCATTCATTCAAATCACTCAATTATTCATTGTTAACATAAATATCCATTGAAAAGTACAACAAGATAGCAAGATGAGTTCATGATTCAGATGAAAGAAAACTGATCTCTCCCTGAAGAAGAATCATTCCAATAATATAAAATGATTGTTATTAGTTGAGGGTGAATATGGTTCATGTGAAAATTTGATTTTAATGAAAAAAAAGGATAAATAACTGAAAAGAGCAACTATTTTGGCATTTTTTTCGTGATTTGTCTACTTGAGTACAATGAGTTTCTGAACAACTCTAAAAGTTGATTTGAAAAATCAATCAAATACGATTAAAGATCACGGTTTTTTCACCATCATCAAGGAACATCATTTTTATCCCGTTCTTGATTCAGTTTTGTTATTGATTGTCTCAACAACTGAATCAAAGAACCAGTTTCGGCTAAAATTATTCACAATCAATGAGTGAACTGTCTGTTGAATTGTTACAAAGTGTTATACTATTCCTTAACCTAGATTCAATTGTGATCAATTGAGTCAATTGTTGCAATCGATAATTTTTATTTCAATTTTGTTACAATTAGACAACAAAAATTGATCAACTCAAAATAGTGTAACAATAGCAATAAAAAAGCAAAGGTAAATTGACTTTTGTTTTATTCATTTCATTGTATTTGGTCAGATGTCTTTTGATACATTAACAGTCCAAGGAAATGGTTTAATTTGCAAGATTGATTGTCTATTAAAATACACCATTAAGCCAATAATTAGTATCAATTGTTTTTACCATTTTTACCTTTTCTGTCATTGGAAATGCATTTTAAATAGATTGTAATCAACGAAAAATTGTAATTACAATGTAATGATGATAATGATGAAAACAACAAACCTTAAAGGCTAATTATATTTGAGTTAACCTACTATTAATATTATTGTTTTGCTATTATGTTTCCATTATTATCATGATTTCCATTGAAAAAAGGTAAACTGAAAATTGGAATTGAAATGTTGGTGTTTAAGTTGATAATGATGATGATGAAATATTAAAAAAATAGGATGAAGAGGAAGACTTTGAATAGTAATACAAATAATGAAAGAAAAGATTGTAAGCTGAAAAAATGAGTTCAACGTTTCCATTTCATTCAAACTAGCATCTTGATAATGATGATGATCTGTTGACTTTTGAAAATTATTTTCAGCCTCAACCAGAATCGATATTTTTCAACATAAAATTACATTTTTATTAATTTACTTTTTGACCTTTTGATTGGGAAAAAATGAAGGTAAAAATTGTTTAAAAAATGATCAATTTGATCAATTTGATGGTAAATGATGAAGATGAAAAATCAGCTTCAAATCAATGAAAACGCAAATTTTCATTTCAACATTTAATGGTCAAAATGTTTAATGTAAACCCAATACTAAACATAAAAGGGTCAAAATTGGAAACAGAGATTAAGATTTAATGATTATTTGAATCTAGAGAAGCTATTAAATGACAATTAAAATGTAAATTTGAGTGTGAAAATGATTGAACAAATTGAATATTGAGATTGAAATGAACAATTGGATTTTTGATTGATTTTGAAAGATGTTAACAATCAAATGATAAATGCAATTGTTAGGAAAATTGTAAAATCTTACTTTTTAATCTGTTCACTATTGAGGTGAAGAGAGGATGATGAAGATGAAGTTGATACAGTTTGACCTGAGATTGTAGATTGAGATGATTCTGTTACACTGAGTTTCCTCTCTTTTGGATGATTGAGTGAAGATTGATTAAGTTGATTATTAAGATGACAAGAAGATGCAATGTCTTCACCCTTAGCAAGACTCTCAAAATTGGACAGTTTATCACGAAAAGACAATCTTGGCTCATTCTCTTGACCATCCTTGGTTATCTCGTCCGAAGAGGACGATGAGGATGAAGATGAAAACGATGAAGACCAATTAGCCGATTCTTTATCACATTGCGATGATGATGTTGATAATGAAGATGAAGATGAAGATGATGAGGTTAATAAAGGTAAAGATGATTGCCTTGAAACATCTTTTTCAATCTTAAATTTCAAAATAACTCGCCTTCCAGTTTGCTTATTTGTTTCATTGTTGATTGAATTAGCACAATTATAACTGTTAATCCGGCAAATTTCATTTCTCCTAAAATTTGTATTTAAAGGTTTAATACATTTAGATGAATCCATTTCATCCAATTGTTTATTATTATTACTGTTAACCTGATTGTTATGTTGATTGTGATGGTTAACATTTCCGCAGTTTCCATCAACATTGTGACTATTATTTTTTAGGTTAATCTGTTGTTCAATTAGTTTATTATTATCACCATCAGATTGACATTGAATGGCCACTTTGGATCTCCAACAATTTGTTGACTGGTTAACCAGTTTCACTGACCTGTCAACAACACTGTCATGGGCCGTTTCATCATCACCATCATCATCATCATCACCGTCATTATCATTTTCATCTTCATGTTTACCATCCTTGACTCGCAATGATTCTGTAAATAAAGAGAGACACAAATTTTAGACAAACTGTAACATATCAAACTGGTTAAATTGGCGACAATTTAATCTATTGTTTCATTAATTAAAATTGAATCAAGCAACATAAACCATTAATTAAATTGTTGAGATTCTTTGTAATTGTCTCTTCTGTTTTTTTCCCTTAAAATTTAACATTTTTTTCTCCTCCAAACGACAACTCATCAAGATGATTATAATCATCTTCATCATGGTAACCTCAACCTATTCTCATTCCTAATGTTCAGGTCAAGTTCTGGAAATTCAGAAGAACAAGAAATCAGAACATGAAGTTTTTCTTTTTTCAAAGTTAATTGCTTCTCAAGTGTTTAGATATATTTTTTGTATAATAACATTTGCTTTTTTGCGGTTGATTTTTGTTTAAAATTGGTTACCCAAACCTGATTTAGTAGATTGATAATTGCCTTTCATTTTATCCCTTTTTTTAGACTGAAATTGAAATGAAATATTTTTACCTGAAATTATAAGCAGAAACTGATCATTCTTTTAACTCTTCATCAACATGTTCATCATTTTCAACTTGTTATTGATAATTATTGAACTTGTTCAATCGCACTCAGGTTCATTCAACTTGAGCTTTCAACATGTTTACAACATTAGTGAAGGTACCCTTAAGTTAGGTGAAAGTGCAACATTAACACGTTTAAACACGTTACCATTCACATCACGAATCATGTTTTTAATCAACAATCAAATCGCGTTTTGTTTCATCTTTACTTAACTAATAAACTCACGCAAATAATTTTCATTGTTCACAATGATAACCTCAACATGATCAAGTACAATTAGCATGGTCAGCAATTAACAATTAACTCTTTTCCCTCATTAGCCTAAAACCATTTGACCAGCAACAAGAAAACAAAACACAAAACAAAAACAGAAACAATGAAAAAACCAGAAAACCAGAAAAAAAATCTCAATGACTTTTCAATGTAAAACCATTAATAATTACCTGAAATCAAAGTGTTGGCTAGATTTTCACTGATTGCTGAATCAATCATTTTCTTGGTGTTTGAGGAATCATCTGATGATGAAGATAACCTTGATGTACTATCATCTTCCATCATTTTACAGCCTTCATCTTCATCTTCTTCCTCGTCTTCATCATCTTCCGATCCATTGCGAATATATTTGCTTAAATTGTAACCAATCCGATAACCAGATTTGGCCTTTTCATTTAAAATCTCGGAAAAGGTTTTAATTTTTCGAGGATTTTCGGGATCTTCTGATTCTTCACCCAATGATTCACTATTAAGTGGACAATTAGTTGATCGTGATTGTCGCCTCTTTGATTTCCAATTAAGTAAATTGTTTTGCCATTCTTCTTCCACTTCTTTAATCTTGTCTTTGGTTATTTTTACTTCTTCAGCCAGACGAATCTGTTCAACAGCCTTTCAAGATTCAAATGTTAATTTAAGAATGAAAAAAAAGTGAATTAATATTCAAATAATTAAAAAGGTAAAAGTAGGCAACAATTTATAAATATAAATGGGCTGACATTTTGATTATAAAACCATTTTTTGTGCAATCATAAGAATAATGTTCAAGATTGTTTAATTTTTATTGCAAATGAGTTAATCATAATCATCTCAACTTTCATGATAATCATGAGTTTCAACCTTATATTTATCCTGTCAATTGGATAAATACGGACAAGATTGATGTCAACAAGAGATGAACAATTGAGTCAATATTTTGTTTTTTACTTGTTGATTGTTGATCATCAGTTCATCTACCTTTTTCTTGTTGTTCATTGGCTACTCTTTAACCTTTTTTTGGTATCAACATCATGACTTGTTTTTTGAATAATCTGTAGACCATCAGAATAACCTGAGGTCATTTAGGTTTTGATAGGCTAGTCGGTAGGTAGGTCAGTGAGATGCACCTTACTGTGTGTGTTTAGGTGCGTTTGCTAAATCATTATGATTCTCATCTTGATCATCAATCGTTTAAGACTCGAGATGATTAAGATCAAGATGATGATCCTCATGAACATCAACCACTCGACCATGATAACAGGAAAAGAAGAAGAAAACAAATTCGCATCATGAAGACGATCAAGATGATTATGAAAATGGTTTATGCTTATGATTGTGATTATCAAAGGTAATGCTTGAAAGACCACTCAACTTAACCATTTTAACAACTAGAATGATTATCATTATAATTGATATTAACATATTAACATATTAACATAACCATTAGCACAATAATAGATGAGAATAAATAAGAAGAAGAAGAGAAAAAAGAATTTATTTTTTACCTTTTTACTCAGTTCAGCTGATTGAATTTTAACAAATTGTAATGGATCATGAGTAACTTTACTTCCAGGTCTAATCACTGAGGAAACACAATGAGTTGTAATTACACCTCCGGGTAGCTCTAAATCCATATTCATAGTCACTGGATTAATGTTGAGTTAAAACACAATTTTGGATTAAAGGTGTTCAATGATGAAGGATGATTGATGTTCAGGTGTTGATCAACAGAAGGTAAATTGATGGGTTAAGAGAAAAAAAATGAAAATGAAAATTAATTAGACCTTGACAGGTAAATTTAAATGTTGCTTATTGTTGTCGTTGTTGCCTGTTAATTGTAACAATAATTGTTGACTCTTTTAACCATTTTGTATCAATTAATTGCACTCTCATCTCTTACAGACAATTTAACAAGTTGATTGTCAAGTCAATTGGTCTACATAGATGTTACTCTTAGCCGGCAATCAACCCAAATTTAGATTAAAAATCGCTTTCTTGTTTTCTGGTTTGCAAGTTTGGGTTAATCTATTGATGAAGGATGAAATGTTGGTGAAAAACAAAAGGGAAACCATTCAAGTAAATTAACATTTAAAATGAATTATCATTTTATAATGATGATCAGGATGATCGGGATGATGAAAGAGATGAGGAAACATTAAAGTAACCCAATCCAGTTAAAGATGAAATCAGTTATTAAAGTTATAATGATAATCCTAATTGTATATAATAAATATAAGGAACCAGAAGAAGCACTGCATAATCGATGTTCAACACAAACCTGAAAAGGTTAAGTCGTATTAAGATTTAATAATCAGGTAAAACGGAAGGTAAAGAGGAAACAAAATGGTTTGATTTAAGACAAGTAACTTTTGAATAACATTTTACATTAACTGAGGCTTCTTGGGGTGAACTCATGAACACATGATGTAGATGGTGAAGGAAGAGTGAATGAGAAAAGGGAAAGTTGACGGAATCGTAAATGAATTAATTCTTGGGAAAAAACGGATTGTTCTCAAGTCTGCATGAGCTTTGGTGTGGAGGATGGTTAAGATGAAAAATAGTGGAAAGATTAAGATTGCTTGAATGAAGAGTAAAACTAACATTAAAAAAGAGATACAATTTGTGAGTGGCGGATGATTCAGGGAAGATTAAGTGAGACTCTGAAGACAACATGATGATAATCAAGAGTCAGTAATGTCATCTTACGACTGAGACAATTTATTATTTACTCAATGGTAATCATCATTTCTGGCATCATCTTCAAATCGCTTTCATATTCAGCTTTTTGAAACTCTTTTTTCTTCTCATCTTAACATTTATCCTTTCAATCAATCCAATTGTCATTACTTTCGTTATTTTATGATATTTTGTTAATTATTCCCTTATTATGAGTCTCTCATCATTTTAAATGGATTATCATCTTCATCCTCCTCCTCATCATCTGTTAACTTCAACTCATGTGAACATTTTTCCACTTTTTTCTTGGCAATTGGAACCAATTTTCACCCAGAAAATGCTTCAAAACTGTTTTGGATAATTTTTTATTTCATCTTCCTTCATCTTCCTTAGTCTTCAACATCATCTTCAACATCATGTTAATGGATTCCGAGAGAAGAAAATTATTGAAATTCCTTTTGTCATTTAAGGTCTTTTCACCTTAACAGTTAAGGTCAATTAACCTTATTTCATTAGTTTTACTGTCAATCAGTTTCATTGTTTACTGACAATTGAATAAATTTGCAACTGGTTAAACTTTAGCGAAATGTTTACAATTAAAGTAACGATTTGCAATCATGTAAATATTGCAAATCGAAGCAACTTTTTGGTTTTCCATTGTATTTAATTACTGGACCATTTAATCAATTGGTTGACTCTATTAATTGAACAATCAAAACTAATTAAAATGATTATCTTTCTATTTAAAATCAAAACGCAAGTTGATTAACCTGAAAGTTGAACAGTTGAAGATGAAGGTAGAAAAAGGAAGAAAAAAGTAAATGCTTTTCAAATGATTAACAATAGTTAAATCAATTCTAAATTTAGCTAATTAATTTTGTCTACAATTAATTGATTCACAAAAATTGGGTTTGCGTTTCTACAAATAACAACAAGAGTAACAATTAAACTGGGAAAAGCAACATAACTGTAAACGATTAAATCATGATAATGTTTCAACTGAATAACTGCCCTTGACAATTGTAATGATTTGTATCAAATTGCAGCCTTAAATTAGATCATTAAACAAACAATTTGAAGACAATTAAATTCAATTCGATTGTAAATCAAATACAAGTTTAACTGTTAATATTGAAAGGCATTTGATTAGCTTTAATGAAATCCTTTAACAATTGCAAAAGTCGAAAAAAGTTGGCACTAAAAGAATGGCATTTTGGGCGATAATCAAATGAGTTTCAGGTCAATTCAGTGAAATATTTGCTGTCGGAAAGGGTGATGATGAAGTTATCATTTGACACAATCAATGGTGTATGAAGGACAACGGTTTACAATGCGAACTGTGACAATCGCAACATTTTTGAACAGAAAATTTAACTTGATCAGCAATTTAAATTGAACAATTTAAAATTGTTGGCATGAAATAGACAAAAGGAAAGGAATGAAAACAAAGATCTAAATTAGAAGCCAATTGCATGAGGCAAAAAAGGTCTATTCAAATCAACCAAAAATTCAATAACTCAATGAATAACGTTATCATTGTTATTATTATCATTTTCATTATTCCTATTAAATCATTTTTTTCAATTTTCATATTTTTTTCAACCAAAAATTGTAAACCTTTTTTTGTGTTTATTATAAATACATAAAATACGCAAAACCCGCGTTAAAGTGACCTTAAAAAATTAATTCAGTTTTCATTATCATATTGTTGCGGGTCAACTATTGCTTTGTGCTATTAATGGGAACAGCAATCAACAACAATCAGGTTTAACCGGAATTTACTCCGTCTATTGTATTTTCCAATGTCTGGATTTAAATTAGCTTTTAATATCAAAATAACAAAATTACATTTCAATCTTTGCAATTTAAATAAGCGCAAAGACATTAAAATGATCAATGCGATTTGGGTTTCTTATCACCTTTGGACCAATTGATTTGTGAACATTTAATTGTTGATTGTGAATTGGATTAAATTGGGTTTCTCGGAACCTAATCTTTCTTTTCTGGTCAACCCGATTCAAGTTGCTTTTGTTGCATCTTTAATCAACAATAGAAAGCAAACTCATTGTTGACGTGATTATTAAAAAGGTTTGATTCTAAATTGGGTTGAAATAGCAACAATCGTGATCAACTGATCGCTACGTTAATCTTAATCAACTGTTCATCTTCGGCTAACAATTTAACATGTAAATTAAACATTTGGTTATTTGATATGATTATGCAAAATATCAAAATAATCAAAGTGCATGTTGAACATTGTTCATGTTTTGTTTCCGTACAACACCAAACAAGACTGACCTTTTACATGATTTAAGATGATTAAATTACATGATCAGTATTTCACTGAAATGCTGTGAATGTAACACAAAACTATTTGTTTCTTCATTAAATTGAAAACATTGAAATACAATATTGATGTTGAACGTATAATAAAAAATAATGTTGAAGCATTAATCCAAAGGCTAAACAATAAATCATGATAAAGTGACCAGAAAATTTAAGTGTAAACATGTGAAAATGTCTCATTTTACAACGAATGATTGGCTTGACAAGGAAGTTAATTACTGTAATTAAATGTTCAATCAGGTAAAATGTCGCATAAGCTGAATAAAGGTAAGAATTTGAAAGAAAAAGGAAAACGAAGACAAGAAAATGTACAAAAAAGCGTTTTTTAATATTGTTATTAAAAAACGAGACTAAATGACCCGGATTAGGATTGAATTGAAGCTTGAAGATAAAGATGTTTGAAGAGGCTGAGGATGATGAGGATGTTGGAAATGATGAGTCTAATGAAGATGATGAGAAAAGATGAAAATACTATTCAGTGCCAAGGCAAGTCAATCAGGCCTTGAGGTTCACTTGATATTGAAGTGAACACACAAGAAAAAAAAGAGCAACACAAAAATCTGATCAGTTTCAAGCTTTGCAACTCTGGTAATCAGAGATAGAGAGAGAGAGCAACTCTTTCCTCTCTTTCATGGCTAAATGAACAAATAATGTGAATTGAGATGAAGATAGATTGGGAATGGGTAAAAATTCAAAGATATCAACTGGTTAAACCAGATGATAATGATAATGATAATGAGAAGAAGAAACCAAAGAAAAGTTTAGTCAACAAAAGTTACATATAAAAAAAGTACAGAACCAGTTATTGGTTTACCTAAATGATGATCAAGTGAACCACAACAAACCAGAAAAGTGAGGTTAGATGGAGACTCACAATTTATAAGATCATTTCCAATGTTGAATTATTACTGTATCATTATTACCTCAATTTAATTTAACCAGGATAAAGTGACCCAAAACTGGCCGGATATAATTGATTTAAAAAACGAATCAACAGTTGAAGTGAAGGTGGATTTATGACCATTCACTGGATTTAATAGTTAATTAGTTGATAGGAAATTTGCATTGTAAACCATTTTATAAATAATAAACGATTAACCAAACTCAACCTAAATTTAAACCTTCAACTGGTTGGATATCAATGAATCAAAAAGCTATCATTAATTTGATATTATTTTCATTATGGGTTCAATATTATCATTGTTGCTAATATAGTTATTAACATTCAGTTTGAGTGAACAAAAATTATTGATTGATAATACAAGGCTTTATTTATAATGTATATTAATATCATTTTGAAATATTTTTTTACAGCTTTCCATCAGCTGTGAATGGAAATGTCTGTTATTAACTTATCTGAATTATCATATTGTTATTTTTGTTAAATGATTGCTTATTTTGTGGAGTATTATTTTGGTATCATCATGATTATTGTAATTCATGATTATAACTCTGTTTACACTCACAATTAGAAGGGAGTTTCAATTTCAATTTTGTGTGGTTATCAATGGAAGGTGACAATCAAAATGGTTGAATGGACAAGTGATTTGGATGGAGCAATGTTAGAGTTATTGGACCATCTAATTGACACAAATTGTTGACCAACTGTTGACAATTCAAGGAGTGATTAGTTTGATTATTGAGTTCACCTTTTTTCCCAATTTCACACCCAATATCAGGATTATGATTTAAATGTAGACATGGGTTGGAAAGCAAATGAACCAAAAGGGAAATAAAGCAAAAAATGATTAGACTGTTGTGGTTGGAAAGTGTGTGTATTTGACAAATAACAGTTAATTTAGTGACAACTGTGATTGTTTATTTATCACAATTTTTTTCCATGAAACTAATTTCTCTTGTTCACCAGTCTGTCTAGTTCATTTTTCAGCTTCATCACCATGATCATCCATTACAGTGGAAAAAAACGGTTTGACTTGAAGTCACAAAATTGTTGTTACTTTGATGAAATAAGTGAGAAAAGTTTACAGAAACAGAGATTAAAATGGATGAGAAGATGAAAAAGTAGAGAATGATGATGATTAAAATGATGAGATAAACTTGGGGATATTTTGTTGTTCCTGGTTGATTAACCATGATAAATGACACCAAACTTTCTTAGGAACTTAACGTTTTTTTGACTGAATCTTGCCTTTTCTCTCTCTTTTTTGGCTTAATTACTTTAAAAGTTAATTCTAAATCTTTTAAGTCAACAATCAGTAAATCCGGTATATTTTGTCCTCATTTGAGAAGCAACAAAAACCAGAATTTACTCTTTTTTTGGTGAGTGTGTTTGTATTTTTCAAATGGTTGTAATGGTTACAACAAAAACCTCGATGTCAATCAAGGTTTACATTGAACAGTTTGTATAACTTATTGATTAACAATCGCACCAGTGACGACAATGACAACAATATGCAACGGGAAAGGTAAGGTTGGATTGTGATTAACGAGAGATGATTGAAATGTAATTGGAATAATGTATAATTATAATAAAATTGATTTGTATGCTTGTCAATTAGAGGTTTCACTCAATCATCTGGTTCGTTAAGGGTTATACAATATAGCAGAGTAGCAAGACAAAATGTACATACCTTAATGGTGATTATATTCAATTTTTGCAGATTTAAAATTGATAAAAGGCTGTATAATAAAGGTGTTCCGATGTTGAACAATATTTGAAAAGGTTATATAAATTGAAGATAATCTAAACTTGTTGTCCAACAATTGACTGTCTTTTGATTTTAAAATCCAAATAATTTTCACCTTTTAATTCCCTTTCCTTTACTTGGATATTTTTTACACAAAAACTGTTCACTGTAACCAATTTAAACATAGTTGACAGTTACAATCACAGACTAGAGTACAATTGTCACTTGTTTGAATCCATGTGAAAACACTGTAAATCCGTTTTTGATACAATTGAACCAGATTAAAATTATGCTAAACCGATGATTGAGTAGAGTTGAGTTGCACAGTTTTCACATTAAAATCCGATTCAACTTTTATTTCTATCAGCTAGTCCAACACTCATTTGGAGTTTACTTTTCTCGTTCATACGATCTACCTGCATGGTAGAAGGTTGAATGGTTCTGAATCAAGTTGAATTTAATGCTGAAAAAGGGTGAGAAAGAGAGAATAGAAAGAGCCAGATCGACCTCAACTTTGATAAACAAGTCCGTTAATAAAAAGCCGTTAAACCAGGTGATGAACGATGACAATGAAACGCAAGTGTTGCCATCTTTTATGATAAATACATACAAATCTGGTTTAACCCAAAATCGCTTATTTGTTCAAACAATTTAATTCAAAATTTACTTTTTTGTGAAACAATACAAAACTCTGTTTTTTCAAAGATTTCATGGTGGCTAAAAAATGATAATTTTAAATTTTTACTCGTTTTTGCTACAACTTACAATAATATTGGCTTCAAAGTTCAACCGAAAGTTAATTTTTCTCATCAATATCTTTCGATGAAATGGTATAATTGGAGATGATATGTGTACCCACAAGAAGCATATTAGTACCCTTTACAAGTCCACCGCTGTTTTTATTAATGATGGTTAAAAGGAAATAATCATTCTTCTCGATATTCGGGAAAAGATCAGCAGTTTTAGGTTCCAATTGAAGATGAGTGTGAAGAACAGGAAACTTTGGCATAAACAAGAGTATTCGGTACACGGCTTTCGATAAAACACAACGGGCAAATGCAATGGCACAAGGTTCGAATTCCTTTTGACTGGTGAAGTAACTTGGGTATGGATAATCGCTTAACTTCACATTGCTTGGATCATATTTGATGTCTAAATCAATCCGCTTCGGATCAATCACAACAGGTCCATGTACAACTGGAGACGATTGATTCTTGACTAAATAAAGTAAAACATTATCTTCTTCATTGATTTCTGTTCTGCATGGCGCCTTGTCCTCATCGGTTTTTGGATAACTGGAACAAACAGCATTTTTCCATTCTTTTGTTTGCCTTCCATCAGCACTACTTTTGATACTCAAATAGAAATCGAACTTCGAAATAACATAATCGTCAATTTCTCTGGCTGACAATTGATGAAACAGTACGGAAAAAAGTACAATCGGATAAATCAATAGTTTGGAATCCATTGAACACTGTTTTTTTGTAGAAACTTTAGCACCAGTTATCATCAAAATTTTGTTTCAAACACAGTAATAGATGTTACACTTGACAGAGAAGTCTTAAAATATCTAAAGTATTTAGCTTATCATATCTTGACCTTAGAGTTTTATTTACCAAGTGACTTGACCAGTTTCCAAGTCAACTGCATTGGTGAATATAATCTAAAGAAAAATCTTAGGAGCAAAGGCCAAGAAAAAGGACCGATAGATGTTTGACTATTTTTAATTTTTCAACATTCAAAATTACCAAAAGTTAACAAAATATCATAGTTTGAACATCAATATTTCTCGTTATTATAAAATGAATTTTCAATTGTATATTTTTATGCTTTTTTCTGTTTTTTCATCAATCAGTTCAGATGAGTTTTTACCAGGATTCGGTGAATACAGCGGAACAATAAACATAAAAGAGTGGAATCTTTTTTACTCGGACTTTTTAGGTAAGCATGAATCCCACATATTTACTAATCAAAGCAAAAAGTTGCTTCTCACAAGGCAAGTGGTCAATGGAATCGTTTCAGTCGAACCTATTCCGTACCTCATTTAATTAGTAAACAATGGTATTAGCCCATGTAAACCTTTTTTTTGTTATCTTCATCACAATAACATGTAAATTGGATTTTTAATGTGACTTTACTAGTCGATCTTAAAATTGGAGTCAATCAAATACTATTATGAAGAGTATAGCTCTTTTAATCTTTCAATGAAACCTAATTGTTTAGCGATGAAAAGATTAGTTTTTATTCGGATAACTTTTCTAGTTTCAACACAAGACTTCATTTTTTTATGGTGATATCAACTTCAACAACAATATCCATTGATAACAATATAATTACTATCCTCTCACGATCTCTATTAGTGATTAAAGATTACATTTTCTGAAACTCCTTGTTGACGGAAATACTAATTTTTAGAGACATTGAGGATTCTATAATTTGTTACCAGCTTCAGCTCTCAATATTTTGTTTATTACTCATGAAGTAAGAGCCGAGTGAATGTGTTTTCTGTATGAACTTGATTCATGAATTATAATGAATCGACTCACTGGTATTTGTGCTTGCATGAGATTCTAGTGAATTTGCAAAAAAAAATAATTTATTTGACTAATCAATGTAATGACATTTTGTTTGAATAACATAATCATTTATAAAAGTATTTTCTTCACTTGACAGAACAAAAAAATTACCGTTTTTCATTCCAACCGAGGCTTCCCCATTGGATCGGCGAAAAACTTTTAAGAAACCAAATAGTAATTCGAACTTTTCCAACGGAAATCAATGATTTCAAGGAAAACACTGATTATACAAAGAATATCAGTTTGGAAATGGAAACTTCTTGTGGTTCTTCAAAATCAGCATTTGATAAAACAGATGTTGTTACATTGACTTTGATGGAGAAACAAAATAACAATTCAATTTTCGTTAAGACAATTCAAGTCGATCCATTATCAGTCGACTTTTATAGTCCTAAACTAACCAGAAAACAGTTCCAGATTGTTGCTGAATTTGAAGTAAAGCAAAGAACTACCTTTTGTGATTTTTTGTGCAAAATGAACAGTGGATATACTTTTACTGCAGGTGAACACCTTTTGATTTGTCCAAATAGCTGCTGGACATGCCCTGCAAAGATTGATGATAAAAGTTTTGCTGAAATGGAAAAGTTTGTTAAGATCATGAAATATCTTGAACTTTTTCAGTATAACTCAGAAACCTGTAACATGTGGTACTACTATAGATATATAACTACTGGTATCGTTGAACTGGATAAGAAAACTGTTTCATCGTTTCCAAAACTCAATCCTTATCACTATTTTGTTGCTTCTTTCGTTGATACTAAAGCCCAAAAGACCGCAACTATTGTATTGAAAGATTATAAAATCATTTGAATTTATACTTAAATGCTGACCAATAAAATTCAAGAATCAATATAATGTTTGTTTAATTGTTTTTGTAAAGCAAAGCAAGCATTTTTACTCTTTGTTTTGACTTTAAAAAGTTGATTTTTCTAGATAAAAAATGACTTTTTGTGATTTTTTGCTCTGTAATTTTACTATTATTCTGTAAGAAACCTAAGAGGTAGAGAGATTGACTTGAAATGTTTCAATGTGACAACAAATATTAGGGTGGCCGGAACAAACGAGTACGCTGTTTTTGTTCTGTTAAATTTCATTCAATTGTCGTATGAAGATGAATATTCGTGGTTAAACGTTATCCGTCGATAAACACAACAGGCAAATGCAATGGCACAAGGTTTGAATTCATTTTGACTACTGAAAATCGCTTAACTTCACATTGTTTGGATCATATTTGATGTCTAAATCAATCAGCTTTGAATCAACCACAACAGGTACATGAACAACTGGAGCCGATTGATTCTTGACTAAATAAATTAACTGCTTTTGATAATCAAATAGTAATGGAACTTCGAAATAGGAGAATCGTAAATTTCTCTGGCTGACAATTGACGAATAAGTGCAAAACAAAGTAAAATTGGATAAATCAATAGTTTAAAATCCATTGAACACAATTTAAATCTTTAATATAAACTTTAATATATTTCAATACAATAAATTGGACTTTTTTGTAGAAACTATTAGCATCAGTTATCATTAAAATTTTGTTTCAAACACAGTAATAGCTGGTGCACTTGACAGATTGAATTAAATATTAAAAGCGAGTCCGTCTTGAAATATCTAAAGTATTTAGCTTATCAGTTCTTGACCTTAAAAGTTTTACTTACACCAGTTTACAAGTCCATTGCATTTGTGAATATAATCTGAAGAAAAATCTGAGGCCCAAAGGTCAAGAAAAGGGACTGATAGAGGTTTGACTACTTTTGACTGAATGATGTTTCAATATTTGAATCATTTTCAAGCTTACTCTGAAGGTAATATCCAGAATTACCGAAAGGGATCATCAATATTTCTAGTTATTATTATATAAAATGAACTTCCAATTGTATATCTTTATGCTTTTCTCTGTTTTTTCATCCATCAGTTCAGCTGAAATTTTACCTGGATTCGGTGCATACAATGGAACAATACGATTGACAGAGTTTTCTTTGTTTTTCTCGGAACATTTTGGTGAGCATTAATCTTACATACTAATGTATTATATTTACAAATCAAAGCAAAAAGTTCCTCTTCACAAGTGTTTCAATTAATCCAAATCGATTCATTTATTTTTGAGTCATTTAATTTCTAAACAATGATATGTCTTCATGTAAGCCTTTTTGTTTTTTATCCTCATTACCATAATATTAGGTAAACGATTTATTTTTGAGGTTTTACTAGTTGATCTTTAATTTGCTAACTTAAACCCATTCAAATCTATTATTAAAACTTAACTCAGGATCTCGAATAGTAATTAAACATTCCATTTTCTGAAATTCGAAATTGAATTTTGGGTGAATTTTAAAAAAGAGTAATTTATTTTACTAATCAATGTGATGACATTTTACTTGAACCAACTGATAATTTATAAAAAGTATTTTCTTCAATTGACAGAAAAAAGCGATTACCATTTTTCATTCAAGTCGAGGCTTCCCCATTGGATCGGTTATAAACTTCTGGACCAACAAATAGTAATTCGAACTTTTCCAACGGAAAGCAATGATTTCAAGGAAAACACTGATTATACAAAGAATATCAGTTTGGAAATGGAAACTTCTTGTGGTTCTTCAAAATCAGCATTTGATAAAACAGATGTTGTTACATTGACTTTGATGGAGAAACAAAATAATAATTCAGTTTTAGTTAAAACAATTCAAGTTGATCCATTATCAGTCGACTTTTACAGTCCTAAACTATCGAGAAAACAGTTCAAGATGTTAGCTGAAGATGAAATAAAGAAGAGAAAAGAGTTTTGTGATTTTATGTGCAAAATACATAGAGGATATACATTTGAAGGACCAGATTTGCTTAAAGTTTGTCCAAATAGCTGTCAGACATGTCCTGCAAAGATTGAAGATGAAACTTTTGATGAAATGGAAAAGTTTGTTAAGATCGTGAAATATCTTGAACTGTTTAAGTATAGATCAGAAACCTGTAACATTTGGTACAGCAATAGCGATCGACCTACTGGTATCGTTGAACTGGATAAGAAAACTGTTTCATCGTTCCCAAAACTCAACTCTCGTCACTATTTTGTTGCTTCTTTCGTTGATACTAAAAGCCAAAAGAATGCAACTATTGTATTGAAAGATTATAAAATAATCTGAATTCAGTGAATCTGTCTGGGTTTAATGAATAACCAGAATATTTCAATTATGAGACCTTTTATTACCTTGTGACCTTATGTGAGACCGAACCTTTTGTTAACTCGTAATCCTTATTCAACATGTTTAAAATAAAATAATGGTTTCTAATGATTGAGTTGAAATTAATTTCCATAGTTGTTTTAATAAGGTGAAATATTTGCAAATATTAGTTTCACTTATTAAAGCTGCATTACACATTTATACAGAGATTTATCTTTATCTTACAAAACTATTTCAAGTTCATTAATTATAATAAAATATACATTTAAATGTGGTCCAAATGAATGTTCAAAAATATTTCAAGCTTCCAAATCTTCCATGGAGCTTCGCCGACGCCATAAGATTGAAAGCTAACTCGAAACTTTCTAATTAATCAAAATCCTGGTCCCAGGAAAATAAGATCACTTAAATTTGTGCGACAGAATCTTCACTATTGTGCTTATCGATACGACCAGATTAATCAATCCGTAAATGACCATAAACTTAATCTTGTGTGTAAATCAAACTAAAATACATAAGAGAATAGAACAAAACAGAATAAGATTAATGGATAAGATCGAGGTAAATTCATGGAATTGCTTATTCACAATTGGCTTAAATACTAATGATGATACTTACCATGAGCCTTGATAAATTTAATTGTTCAGAGTTTGATATCTGACGAAATTCGTGATACTTTTATGAGGTTTAGTGATAATACTTAACATGAAGAGCTTGAAAACGTCAGTTAATTCAATGAGATTTTCTTGAATTCGTTTCTTCATAAAGAGCTATTGAAAAGAAAAAGAAATGAAAAATTAGTAAAAACTCTTATTAACAATCAAATGATAACTTGAGTTGAGAAATAAAGAAACTTACTAGATCAAGAGAACGAATCTTTGCTTATTCCAAGACTAGCGATGATGTATGCTCAGGCAATTTTTGCATTGTTTGTGATGAATTGATTTAGTTGCTACAAGTTTGCCTCTCCACCTTTTAATCTGATCAAAGATTTCAGATCTTCCAACTTGAAGATTCTATAAAAACGAGGATAAAAAGAAATGTTAATGTTTCTTGAAATTTCAAATAAAAAGATATAAATTACTTACAGTTCTTGCTTTTTTGAACAATTCATCATTAGATCCATTTTAAAACAGGCTGCGATATTTTGGCAAAATGGTTACAAATCAAGATAGTTCTTCATTCGATAGGTTTGATGAAATACTATTTTCAGTCTCTTGTTCTGCTAATGAGTCAAATGTGCGATTAAATGAACGAGACCCAGACATTTTTGTGAAATCATAATCAGCAGCTGATGATGGGGTTAGGGCGATTCCAGAAGAACGACTGTATGAATGAGTAAAAACACTTTCCATTGAATTAGAGCGTCGTCGGAGTGATTTTTTGCTAAAAACATTCAACTCGTAATCACTTGTATAATCATCATTTGCTGCAACTTTAAATTTCCTTCCAATTGATTGAAGATTAGGCTCTGAGATGGATAAACGAATCTCGGGGAAAAATTTAATCAAATCAATAGGATCGATCGATTCATCTGTGTAAGGAACTGAACCATTGTTGATGGTGATATTTGGAAGATCGGAAAGACATTTTTTCATGTAAAGAGCTTCCGATTTTCTCTTATTCCGATCTCTTGTTCGGACACCAACGGCTTTTAATACAGAAGACAATTTCCTATAATAATCCATATGACCAGAGACAATTTCACTCAAATCAATATTACACATTCGTCGATTGTTCCAATCAACTGGTCCTAAGCCAGCTATTTTCAGAGTTGCAGTTGAAGTGCGATAAAGAAATTTTAAAAGCCAATCACCACGACAATAACCATTGACCACACGACCAGAGACAACTCGAGAAAACTGTTTCCATTGCTGAGCATTTCCAGCAACTGGTGCACCAAGTAGAATCACGTCCTCAATTATACCCTCAGAGCCTTTGCGAGTGGCCAACTCTTGAAGACAATAAAATATTACACGAGCTCCTAAACTGAAGCCGATTAGGGTGACAGGTCGACGTCCTTGTTGTCGAGAGATAAGTATATCAGCAAGATGTTTACCCACTTCGGCTGAACGTCTAATGCAGACACCCCAAGGATTATCAATAACTGAAGCTAAAGTAACTAATGATGTGGGCCAAGCAATGGCTGCCATGATTCCAGAAAGAATGGTGTATTTGAGAGCTTCCTGAGCAGCAACACTCACAGCAAAACCCAGAAAATAATCAAGAGCACGTCCAAGCTCCAATAAAAATGCCGATTCATATCTTATACAATATTGTTCACGAGTATTTTGTAACGATTTCCAAGGTTCTTGGAAAGCTTTTGGCCCTTCTTCCGAGATCCAACCTGATACCGCTATTGTTATGTGCAACTCACGACCAGAGGTTAAAGTGTCGAAGGCAAACTCTTCAATATCTCCAACTCGTTTCTTCATTTTGTAACCAGTCAATCCTGCACCCGCTACTCCGAAAAGAGATCCAATTACTGCAATACCCGCTGTTGACCCAAGTGCGGCAGCTCCTGCTCCTCCGATGATAGCTCCAGCTCCAGCGGCAACAAAAGGTGCAGCCAAACCACCAGTTAATCCTATGATTGCTCCACCACCTAAACCAGCTAAACCAATCATGAAATATCTCTTAATCTTTTTATTACGACGTCTTTTTACTTTCTCTTTAGCATCTTCTTCACTTTCTGGTGGAACATCGTTGGTCAACATTTCAATCAATGATTCTTCAAAAAGTTCAACCAATTGAACAGGGACGCCAAGGATATTAGCAATATAAAGTACTAATACTCGCATACGAGCATCGTAAACTCCTAAAAATGAAAAAATAAACAATTGATTAGAAACCAGTGTGATTTGAATATTAAATCATAAATAAGAAATATCAAAGGGAAAATTTCAATAGCTTGGCGCAAAGAGACGCCACTTTACCTTACCATGCATTTCTTGAAGCAATGCAAAGAAAGAGATCGTGAAAGTTGATTAAAAACATGAAATGGCCATAATATGATTAGCAATAGAAATGAAAATTGTTTTACCTTCTCTGACTGAAAAAAGGACCAACTCTTCAATGACTTTTAGGCAAGATTTTTGTAAAATTTTTTCCTCTCTCAGCAAATTGGCAAATGCATTGATATCTCCTCCTTCACCAGACATAAGGGCATTCATCGAGTTTTTAATTTGCATTGGTAGACCAATATGTTTAATCAGCGATTCCAGAGTATCTTCACGAAATTGTCTGTGTAATAAATGAGAGGAAATTACAGTCAGATTAATGGATTGAGAAAAGACTTTAGCAATAAGAATTGGTCCTTAAACCATTAATGAAATTGAAAATTGGTTAAGTGCTTTAAATAAACCATGGTAATACATCTATAAATGACGTTCAAAATAGTAATGTATTTGGATGGGCCTAAGATGCATGGTTTACATAGGTACTTAGGACGAGCCTTGATACTCACTGGTCCCATTCATCGGGAAACAATTCGCAAAAAGCGAGAGCTGTAAGGCCACAAACTGAATAAATTCCTGCATCACTGATCAATGAGGTTAATGGTTCGCTTTGAGACGATAATGAATTGTATCCTGTAAAAAACGTTGAAAAGTGAAGGATTAAACGAAATTGATACTAAATACAAAAAAATCAAGTTAACATCAAAATATAAGTACAAACTTACCGAGTGAACCAGAGTTAGAACATGTTTCATCTGTATCGTCCATCGCATAAAATTACATTGCTGAAGCACTGAGCAAATAAAACAATGATGGGAAATAGAAACAATAAAGACTATATTAATAATGATTAGTAATAGGCTGAGTTATTAACAATATCATTAAAATTCAATGAAAAGATAGATTGAAAGTGATGATTGTGGTAATAAAGAGTTACATTTAGCACTGAAATCAAAGACTACTCTTTGACTCAAATTAGCAGCAACATTATCTTTGCGCATTAACAATTGTTGAGCTATTATCTAATCACAATTTGAAATAATAATGTTTCTCAAAGAAAAGTGTTTAATCGAGTTCAAATAAATCTACTCTTTGAAGATTTAGTTCTTGCTTTGTAATTGTATCATCAATTTGGTCAGAGCTTTTGTTTCCTCCATTCAGTTATTTTCATTTACAATCAAGAATAAAAAGGTTCCGATAACATCACTCATGATTGTAAGCAAATGAGGTGAGTTTATGCTGGAATGACCTTAAAAATTCAATTCAAATTTCATTATCATAGTGTTCAGGGTCAACAATTGAAATTATCGAGAACAATAATCAAAAACAATCAACAAGAATCAGGTTTAACCGGAATATACTTTGACTACTGTCAACAGGTTGACTAAAGTAAAGGTATTGCTATCCCATGTGTGATGATTAAAAGCATGAGATTTTGAGGATATTTGCTCATTCCTGGTTGATTAACCATGATAAATGACACCAAACTTTCTTAGGAACTTAAGGTTTTTTTGTGAGTCTTGATTGAATCTTATTTTTCTATTTTTCTCTTTCTCTTTTAGCTTGATTACTTTAAAAGTAAATTGTAAATCTTTCAAGTCAACAATCAGTGAATCCGGTATATTTTGTCCTCATTTGAGAAACAACAAAACCAGAATTTACTCTTTTTTGTGTGTTTGTGTTTTTCCAAATGGTTGTAATGGTTACAAAAAACTTCGATGTCAATCAAGGTTTATATTGAACAGTTCGTGGAACTTATTGATTAACAATCAACTCCAGTGACGACAATGATAAAAACATTTACAAGGGAAAAGTAAAGACACATTTTAACATTGACGAGATGATTGTCATGCAATTAGGGTAATTTCCGATGATATTAATGAACGAAAAATGGCTCAAATTTGTCGATTTTGGGAAACAATCAAAGGTGACGTTGCAATTAACCAATTGTATTGAATCAACTGAACAATTTTTTATACAAAAACTGCTGATGCTACAGGTTGACAAGATAAACAATGCTTCATACTTTTTAGGCAAGAATTATTTCAATCTTTTCTGACTATAAAAACAATTATTACGTACCTGATAATTAGAATCTTGAGATGAAGACGATGAAAAAAGACACCAAAGTTGTGTCACTATTGAAAAATATGTTTAAAATTTTGATGAATTTTGATAAACTAAGAGTAGGCTAATTTTAAACGGTCTTTGCTTTTTGAGTCCAAATGTTTCCACTTTTCTTCTCTTACCTTATGTTGACTTATTTTCACATAAAAATATCCGATATGACTGCCTCAGCCATATTCAACAGTTAAACATGACATACATGGTATTTAAATTAGTGTAGAATCACTTTAAATCCTTTTTTTACTATTGATTCATGTCAACACCAAACTAAAAGATGATTGAATGTTAGGTTGCACTACACCAGAATCTGATCCAACTTTTCTTTCAATCACTTGAAGTTTACTTTTTCCATTTCAATCTTCATCGTAGAAGGTTAAAGCTCAGGATGGAACTGAATAAAAAAGACTGAGAAAGAGAAACTGAGAAGAGTTTAGATCGACCGTATGTTTGTTAAAGTCCGCTACTTTAAAGCTGTTTAATCAAGCTGATTTATTTATTAATAATCAGGTGTTTTGTGCAATTAGTGTTGCCATCTATTATTCAAAATGATTACCATTCTGAATGAGTTCGTAAGTTTAAATTGCTGATTAAAGAAATGAACATTTCAGTGATTAATCAAAAACATAATTTATTTTTCAATGTAGTTTCCAATAATTTTGTTCGCCTGAAACACAGAATCCTTTGTTTTAAAATTATATTGGCAAAATAGGCATCGATAACTGGAAAGATCACTTACAAAATCAACAAAATTACATTTTTAAAGATAATTTTTTCAATTACGAGTTGTCAAAAATTATAAATTATCAAGAAATCGATCAGGATTCGAATCTTCATAGAAAGAATCATAATAATCAGCAAGATTATACAGGTTGCTAAAATTAAAAGAAAAGAAAAAGAAATTAATTATATGTTCTAATCACCATAATTACAATATATAATAATGTAATTTAATCCTAACCAAATGTCTCTGACAGAATTAGCTCTAATACATGCTTGTCCTCTTGTTGTTGCTTGATACGAGCCCATCATACGTTGAACACAATATTTTACATTATGAAGTCCACTGTCACATTTGATTGAATATTTCAAGTAATCAACAATTACTTCTTCCAGAGGCAGCAAGCCATCTTTTCTGAATATTGAGCAATTAGATTCTGGTGAACGAGCAATCATAACAGAAGATGCTTCCGTTTCTCTTCTGAACTTCTCGATATCTTCATAACAATTAATTTCTCCTGATCCTCCACTATTAAAAAATGCAGAAAATTATTAAGAATTTACATTTCTTGTTGACTGAATCGTCTTCTTACTTGGCTATAACTGGTATTGTCAAATAACGACTAATTTCTCGAATATAGTCATTTCTATTTTTATGTTGAGTTCTCTCATCTTTTGTCCTTCCATGAACAGCAACAGCAGAAACTCCAGTAGATTGGATAATTTTGACAAGCTCTAATGTTTTCTCGAGCTGAAAATGAGTTTAAAAAGTAATGAGTAAGTTAGTGAAAATTTTCAAATGAGAAAGAGTCTTACCGATGGAAGACAGCGGATTTTACAAGTTACAGGCACTGAAAGATTATTGGTTAGGGTTGATAGTATTTCATATACTAGTTCTGGGTTCGTTAAAAGCGCAGCTCCCATTCCTCCTTTGAGTGAAAAGCCTTTAGGACATCCCATGTTTACATCTATACCTGAAACATCTTGTTCACTGCGAGGAAAATAATATCATATTTATTAGCATTTTGCTTGATATTAAACACAAGACATTGAAATTTACTTTGAAAATTGAAAATTACTCACAATAATTTAGCTGCTTTCAAAGCTCTCCCAGGATCAGCTGTACCAATCTGCAGAATCACTTTATCTTTTTCAGCAGAACATGTTTGGAATGCGACTTTGTCTTCGGTGTCAAAAAAATCAACAGTCCCAAGCTTCTCTGACGATTAAAAAAGAAGCATATGTTTACGATGAAATTGTAGAAGCGTTGGATAGCCCATCACATTCATACCGTTGATTATTCTTCTACATTTAATCAGTTTGTGATCAACTATTTCTTCTGAGTAAACAAGATCAGCGCCATATTCAAGAGCCAGTAATCTCATAGGTAAAGTGTTAATTCGGACCATTGGAGCCAGAATTATCTTTTCAGAGTATCTGTTTACTTTCGGTGACATCTGTTAAAACAAAACAAACGGCGAACAATTCATTAAAGAAAAACAAAAACAACTTCTGTTTCGAAAATACTCACATTAAAGTCAAATTTACAGCTAAATTATAACTGAAAAATAAAAAATCACTTGTTACAAATAAAAGGGTATTGGAAAATAAAGTTCAGCTGTTCAGCTTCAGTTCAACTTAGTGAATAATATTTGCCGGGTAAAGGTGCTGATTATAAAGAAACTTAGTAACCATTTAAAGCAATCACCTGTTAAAAGGAATGATTAAAACAATTAAGTTATTTAAAACGAAATATAAAAATCTGATTGAATCATTTGATTCACTTCCAGACTTAAAGTTCAAGTGAATTCGTCAAAACAGATGTTTTTCAAACGGTGTTGCCATCTCTTATTTGAAGTGTTTAGCATTTTAATTCACCCAGTTATTTAAATGATTTTTAGATCAATAATTGAAAAGGTGATAAACTAAATTAATTTAGCTGAAATTTAAGATGAACAACTTGATTTCCTAATCTATTGGAGTACTTACGAAATAAACATAAGATTCACAATATTTATCTCGATAAAAATCATGCCTGCTAAATAAACAAATCAAGCAATAAATCCATCAATAACTGATAAAATAGCGAATTGAAATTATAATTTGAAACACTTTAGCAAATATGTATTAATTTAAATATATTTATATATTTTATTACAAATTTCTTTCTTTTGTTTTAAATATTTTAGGTGGTCAGTCATCAGAAATCTTTGAAAATCTTCAGAATAATTGTAACTGCAGTCCTGTTTTCACTGTTAGTTTGTTCCAATTAAGATTATTTAAACTTTTTTCCTCGATTCGGTCTGTCGCAGCTCCTTTGAACCTAGATCGATAAAGTTTTCACTGTTGTACTGGTTGACTAGATTCAAGGCATCCGATCTTTCAACTTGATCACAATCATATGATAATTTAATAGAAAAATAAATAAAAATATTTCTTGATTGTCGAAGACACCATATAAATAGACTGAACCTTCACGGAGATCGATTCACAAAAATAAGACAAATAATAATAATAGTTATAATTATTCTTGAGTGTCTTCAAAACCTTTAAGGCTTAATCGCCTTTTCATTGCTATCTTGATTAAGTTATCAGCTGATTCTTTGCCAGTTGCTTGTACCATTGAATAAAGTATTCCGGATTCATCTTTAATTAAACTTGCTGGATCACCAAACTGGGCAACATGACCAGCATCCATGACTAGAATTTTATCTGAGTCCATAACAGTGTGTAAGCGATGGGCAATTGTTAGAACAGTACAATTAGTGAATCGTTTTCGGATTGTTTGTTGAATCAACTCGTCGGTTGATGGATCGATATTGGCAGTGGCTTCATCTAGAACTAAAATTTTATTATTATTGAGGATAGCTCGAGCAAGACAAACAAGTTGTCTTTGACCGACACTTAAATTGGTTCCACCATCAGTTATTTTTGCATCTAGTCCACCCATTTCATTGACAGCTCGTTTCAATTGAACTTGAGTCAAAGCCTCCCATAAATCAGCATCAGTTTTCAAACTAAATGGATCCAAATTGTAACGAACTGTTCCCGTAAATATGATTGGCTCTTGAGGAATAATTGAGATCTTCTTTCTCAAGTCATGCAATCCAATCTGAGAAATGTCCACATTATCGATGATAATGCGTCCCTCAGGTTCAGTCATTCTATATAAGGCAGTCATGATTGAACTTTTACCTGCTCCTGTTCGACCAATTATTCCAACCTTTTCTCTTGCCTTGATAGAGAAGTTCAAGTTGTCTAATACTGGAGGTTTTGATAAATCATATCTTAGATAAACATTCTTGAATTCAATATTACCACTATCAGGCCATGATTCTGATGGTCTGTTTGCTGGTGTTGAATCCAATTCAGCTTCAGGTTTGATGTAACTAAGTTCACTAACTCTTTCAACTGAGGTTAACATTGTTTCAACTTCAGTCAACTGTCTCATGCCCCACTGAATAGAACTGGCAAGGGCGATACTTGATGAAATCACAAGAGCAATACTACTTCCAGTGAGAGAGTCCATAACAGCTAGAATTATGATCATAACCAAAGCATTGTAAATATTTGAAATGGTGTAAATTAGACTGATGAAGAATCGAGATGAAGCTATCCATGTGAAATAAGCAGAAGAATGTTCATCTTGAAATAGATCAAAATTTTCATTGAATCGTTTCTCAACTCCAAAAGCTCGAATTGTTGTTAAGCCTGAGACTGATGTAGACAAATGAGAGAAAACCGGACTTTTGGTGACACCTTCTAATCGTTTCACATCTCGAGCTATATTAACATAATAGGATCGGACAACGTATGCAATAGTAAGCAAAAGTAATGAAGGTATAGCAAGATAGCCATTAACGACAGCCATTAAGATAATTTGTCCGGCAGAAGATGATAAAATGAATAAAGTGTCGAACATTGTGGCAGGAAGAAAATCATCAACCATTCCCATGTCTCGAGATATACGATTAAGAATGATTCCTGGTGGGTTATTATCAAAGAATGAGATTGGAGCTCGGACAACAGCTTTAAATAAACTATCATGAAGTTTGATAGAAGCTTTCATGCAAACTGCGAAAAAGGAAATGTTACGAGTTAAGCACCAAATTGTTAAAGCTATTGTTAATCCAGTAAAGAAGTAAATGTTAGTCATGACACTGAAATTGTCCACGAAATTTAGAGGCACAAATTGAGTTTCATTTCCCGATGTGAGTGTAATGGCTCTTCGCTGTTCAGAATCAGTCCAGAGTGAAAAATAATATTCAATGAAAGAGATTAAAGCTTGAGCTCCAGTAATATAAATAAACCAAAAAGGCAATAATAATGGTGCGATTCCAGCTTTGGTGTAAGTCCAAAGAGAATTAGATTTCGATACAATTCCAAGTTCATTGGCATCTGCATCTTCGTCTTCGTCTTCGTGACCTTTGTGAGGATTGAATTCTTCAACTATATCATCATCTAGTATACTTGCAGAGGTCATGATCGATGCTACGGAAGATTGACGGCTAAGACGTTTACTCAATGTTCGTGTGACCTTCTTTTCAGCTGGAGCATGTTTGTCAGGTTGTGAAGATGTTATTCCTTCGATGAAGTCAGCACCTAACTTTAAAAATTCAGTGTAATCGCCAAAACAAACTTGTTTCTCATTTTTCAAGTACAATATTCGATCTGCTTGCTTAAGGAATTGTAACTGATGTGTAACCAAAACCACAATTTTATCTTTCAAAAAGCTTTTGACACTTTTCTCGAAGATATGCTTTGCAACGGGAGCATCGACAGCCGAAAGAGGATCATCAAGAAGATAAATATCTGCTTTAGCATATAAAGCTCGAGCCAAGTTTATTCTAGCCCTTTGACCTCCACTTAATGAAGCTCCTCGATCACCAACAACCGTCTGATCACCAGCAGGTAATATTTTCATGTCTCTCTCAAGAGCAGCAACATGGATAACCTGCTTGTAACGAGTTGAGTCAAATTCATTTCCAAACAAAATATTTTCTTGAACAGTTCCTGCAATGAAAAAAGATAGGAGAAATTAGATGTTTGAACTGAAAATAATTACTTTCATTTACAATAAATAAACCTTTTAATCATTAGTTATCATCTTTTTTAACAACAACCAGAAAGATTATAAACATAATCTTTAATAAAGGTTATTAATATTATTCAAAGCTCAAAGCAACTTACCAGCAAATATCCAAGCTTGTTGACATGCATATGACATTTTACCGCTAACTTGCATTGTTCCTTTACTTGGCTTTACTTCACCCAAAAGAGATGTTAAAAGCGTAGATTTACCCGAACCAACAGGACCAATAACTGTCAACAACTGATTCTTTGTAATTTTAAAATCTATTCCGGATAAGACTGGATCATGATCATCTCTCCATCTCAGCTCAACATTTTTACACTCAGTGACTGGTTCTGAAGTTTTCCAATTGTTGCTTTTCTGAGAATTATTTTCTTCCAGTTCTGGTAGCTCTAAGAACTTTTGGATTCTCTTAATCGAGATCAGAGCTTCAGCACCCGATGAAATACCCAAAGGAATGAAAAATGTGATTGTATATTGTAATTGTCGTACCAAAGCCATTGCAACGAATACTGTTTTAGCAGTCAAGTGATGGCCAGTTAAAATGAACACAACCAGAATTAAAAACATGATGAGCTTTTCTGACACTGTTCCAGCACCTAAATTAACTCCCTTCAAATAAGCGGCTCCTCGGATTTTGGCCACTTCACGTTTACGTGCGTAATCCACAAGTGCTGCAAATGGCTTTTCCCAAGCGTACATTTTAATAACTCTCATTGCGGGAATAAATTCATTCATCAATCTTATCCTCTCATCGGTTCTGATAGCTCCAGCAGTACGAAGTTTACCAAAAGCTTTTCCCATGAAGGTTTGGAAAGGAGCGAACAGGAAAAGAACTATAAAACCGACTACAGCAGAAATACCGAGTTGAGGCCATAGAATCCAAAGATAAAGAACTACTTGAATTGGTCCAAAGATGAAGAAGAATGGAAACTCAGCGGCATAATCAAAACGAGCAACATCATTTGATAGTAGATTAACAATTTGACCAGTTGTAGTTTGGCCCAATGCCTTCTGAGATAATTTCAGTGTTTTATGGTAAATCAAGCGACTGCAGGCAACACGGGTTTCAAGTCCTCCTCTACGAGCATAAAACCAATAGTAGTTGTTCGTATATGAACCCAATATCTGAGAGACGACGACTGCCGCTCCATAATAATAGATTTTAGTTTTGATTGATTGTATGTCAGCTCCTGCTTTACTCATTTGGTAAATTAGATCAACCAACTCTCCCATGAATAATGTTTGCACAAAAGGAAATATATTCTGTGAATTGAAAATTTAAAAATAATTGAAATGATTTCTAATGATTCATCAAGTTGATACAGCACTGGAGTTAGTTCCACACCAGAATCAACTGTCAATTCACTCTCTAAAAGAATTAAGTTTTATTTATAAGCAAAAATCATTACCTGAAAAACTAGAAGTATGAATGAAAATGAGTAATTGGGTCCAATGGCTCTAATTATGGCCCAACCAAGACTTGGCTTTTTTCCTCCAGCTTTTGGATCTTTGGAACTTTTCTTTAATTCTTTCACCCATTCTCTATAAGAAACAAGAAATGGTTATTCAATGTTCAAACAGATGACAAAGTTTTTCTTATTTACTTTTCTAATTTGCTTCCAATCCATTCGGATGCTGTCGACTTGGGACAAACTTCAAGATCAGAAGTTTTCAGTCGTTTATTTTGAGACTCAATGAAAAATTTTGTTAACCACCTATTCAGATAGATTTATAACAATTAATAGCTTATAATATAATGATTAAAACAAATTTATTTACTCACCAAAAGACTAATTTGCTTAAAAAATTGGCTCGATCAAAAGATGATTTTTTGCTGATTGTTGGTTGAAGACCCATTTTTATTGAAATTTAAATACTTATTGAACAGTAAAGAAGTAACAACAAAAAAGCTTTGAAGGCTTCAATCAATTTGAAGCTTAGAGATTTTCCTTCGACTCAAGACAACCAAATGAATTAATTTGATCAAAGCATAATTATTATATTTTATTTTATTTTACAACTCAATCAGTTGGTACTGCAAGATGATATAAGATTAAGATGAACTCATGAATAGTTTTATTCTGAATTAATCTTAATTCACACTATTTTTTCAAGATTAATCCGATGGAGACCTCAATAAATTAATTTCAAGCCCGCGTCACATTGTAATTATAATAATAGTCACTTACAGAATAACATGATAAATAAGTCACAATACAAGTACAATGGACCTAGAGATAGCAATTAACTTCTGATAAACACAGAAGTTTTATGAATAATGTTGAAATTACTGTAGATTGTGCCTTTAAAGCCTTGCTATAAGAGATAAGATCGACAAAGTGTATTAAATCAATGATATTATCAATAATTTAATTGCTATTGTTAACATGCGTGCATTATGTAGATTTGTACTTGAATTTTTATTGCAATCAATTTACCTAAATATCTGAAGTAGACCGAAATTTCACCATATTTCTTAGTTCTATGTCAGATTGAGCAACTTTAATTGCGCTAAATGGGCTGTCGATAACAATTGTTCTGGCTGCAATATAATTAAATTAAATCTTCTGTGGTGAGTGAAGATGGAAAGAGATACTTCAGTCTCATATTACAATACAGTAGGTGTTAGGGTTAAGTTAACAAAAAGTGGTCAGAGTTAAGTTAATTTTTAAGTGTCGCCATCTCGAGCATATTTAGTTTTTAGAGACAAGGAAAAAACAATGTACAGTGGAGTACCAGATACTGTCAGTAACTGGAAATAGCTTATATGCACAGCAAGTCTATTAATCGAGCTAAAATTTAAAATTAATTACAATGATTAATAAAATTACAGTCAGTTGCTGGAAAAGTCTAACAAATTAATGTCATTGTGTTGAGAATCGTTAGTTGAGTTGAATTTGTCAGAAATATTGAACTTTTTTGATAATTTCTTTATAATTTCAATTAAAACTTTCTTATAGGGAATGTAAACAAAGGGTTTGAGGGGCTATTGAATAATCTACTGACATTATCTGGTACTGACACTATCTGGTACTCCACTGTAATAGAAAACTGGACAAAAAAAGTTCGATTCTAATGGTACTTTAATTTATTGCTAGAGGGCGACTATGAAAAAAATCTTCCCTTTTGTTAACTTAACCCTAACCCCTACTGTATTAAGGATATTAGAAGGGTAATAATATGTTTATTAGTTTGACAATACAGATAAAAGCCTAATTTAGTTATATACCCTTCAAGTAACAATTAATCAAGAAAAACGAAAGCACTGCTTAATCAATTGTAACTGGTTTGAGCCCTCTGAAGGCAGGTTGAAATTCAATGATCTTGAATTCATAGTAACTCTGTACTCAACCAAATTGTGGTAACTAATTATTATATCTTGTCAACATTTGGAGGTTGAGCTAAACAACAATAATACATAATATCATATTATCTGTTTTTCAAATAGTGAAACTCATGAAGAAGCAGAGGAAACATTTTATTGCATTCAATTTTCCGTCCATGTGCTTCCTCTAATTGCTAATTTTATAAAGGCAATAAGGTTAATTTGGGTATAAATCAGAAGCGATCAAAAACCAATAATGGATCGAATAAAGAAAACATTGAAATTTGAAACCCTTTAGCAAATATGTATTAATTTAAATATATTCATATATTTCATTACAAATTTCTTTCTTTTGTTTTAAATATGTTAGGTGGTCAGTCGTCTGGAATCTTTGAAATCTTCAGGACAATTGTAACTGCAGTCCTGTTTTCGCTTTTTTGACTTTCAATTTGTTCCATAGGGATGAATGATATTAAAAAACTGATAAAAATCAACTTCCTGAGATGGAAATTTTGATGTTGCAAAAAGATGGATGAGTACATTTAGAGCGAACCAATACCCGAAAATTTAATACCAATCATAATAGATAAAGAAGTTATATATCTTTGATAATTTTGGCTTAAATTTTACGAACAAAACTGACATCGAATTCCTCAACTTCGGGTTCACTGTGAATATCCCCATTGATTATTTCTGCTTCATTATCACTATCATCCATAGCTAATTGATTAAATCCAGATCTTTTAGGATCATGTAAAATCCTACCTAGGTTTAGTTCGTTCTTTGTAGCTTTGTAGCCCGTCACCCATCCTTTGACTTACAGCAATGGTGAATAGCTACTAAGTCGAGAGGTTCTGCGACGAACAATTAAAATAATTATAATTACTATTATTATTGAAGCGACAAGCACCAAAAGTAAAGCTGACGAACTTGATAAAGATGCAATCTGCGCTGGAATGAGTTGTAATTTAAGAATAAAAGTACGCGCTATGTTTAAGTCACTCGAATTCTTCAAAGGTGACGATAGTTTGGTCACAGTTGCTCCATCAGAAATTTGTGCTGAAATTGAGGATCCGATAGGCACATCTGAAATGAAAAAAATTTACATTATTAATTTTAATGTAATAGCTTTTTGTAACAATACATCTTTACTAACGATTCGCTAATATTCAATACCTCAACTTAATGGATAAAAGTTGAAAAATCAAATTATATCAAAAAGTGTTTAATAATATTCGACAGTCTAATTTGAACAAACCTTTTTCGAATCTCCAAAGACAATTTGGTCCAATTTCGACAATATATACACTTTTAGCATCTTTAGAAGCAACGATGTCATGGGGTTGCTTAAATCCTGAAATAGATGTAAAGTTTAATTAGTAAGCTTTAAAGATCTTTATGCAAGAATACAAAAGTTCCAGACTCAGAATAAAATCTGAAAGAAATGAATTTTTGTGAAATGATGGGAGTAGTAGAGGATGAAATTAGTTCATGACAATGAAACACATAATAAATGATAGGATACTGATCGACTTGCTAAAAAGCTTTCATTACTGCATTTTATTAGCATTAGTCTAATAAAATTCAGTAATGAAAGCTCATATCATATCTATGATAAATTATTATCACTAGCTTTCAGCTAGGCTGCAACGTTAAATCACATTTGTCTAATTTTTTTCATAGTTGAAAATACCTTGGCAAGATTTTACACTGTGACACATAAATGTTACACATAAAAACAATCAATAGACGCATTGTGTTTTACCACAGTTGACAAACCGAGTATAATAAAGACTACCGGTTTAAAAGACATGATCTAAACTTTGAAATGATCAGAAAAAACTATAAGCTATAAACTAAAGTTTTTTAGGGACATTATTCTTGGCAGTAGTTTAAGTTGAATCTTTAAAATAATAGCTTAAACACAAAAAAGAGGAATCACTGGTACTTGGAAAGATGCTAAAAGTGATTGAAAGAAAAAGTGTTTTGTGAAAAAATACAATTCTAGGGGTTATTTAATTCTAAAGTGATGATTTTATTAGCTTACCCAAAAGAAGTCAAAAGTTAATGGGTTGTTAAGTTGAATAGGAAACCCTTGATTGGTGCTTCAGGATTAAAATAAATTCCACCATTCACAGCAAATAAAATACCTTCCCCAAAAGGTGAGTAAGAAATGGAGAAAACTCGACCAGAAAACTCATTGATAGATATGCTAAATATGAATTCACCTAATGGTGATTTAAAACATTGAATCCTTCCGTGTTCACGATCAGCAACACAGACAGTGTTTGACTCTTCGATAAGTACAACTTTATGTACAATATTAAAAGTATTAACAGAAGGAGTGGATGCAGCTGAAAGAAAAGAAAAGAAAAATATTCAAACAATGAAATTTTTAGATTGAAGTTTGGAATGGTAAATAATTTTTTCTTGGATATTCACCTGATTCAGGCTGGCCCCACTGATTCAGAACCTTGCCCTCACTGTTAAATCTAATGACCCTTGAGTTACAATAACCGCCAGCAACATAAAAATCTCCACTTCTCGAATCTATTGCTACACTAGTTGGCTTGCAAAAATGTTTATCGCCGTTTCCTGGAACAAATGCTTCACCTAACTGCATTTCAGGCTTATCTGAGCCTTCAGCGACAAATTTGAACACTTGATGGAGTGAAACATCAGTCAACCAAACATACCCTTTGGTATCAAAGGTTAAACCATGAGTTAGGTAAAAAGATTAGAGCCCCAGCTGTAGACAACATTTCTAGTTTTGGGATCAAAGGCTATTAAGTAGCAATGGGAATGGGTCCATCCGCAATTTGCTGGTAATGATTATTAAGATTATTAAAACTCCTATAAAAAAGTGAAAGAAATAAAAAATGAGTTACCAACAATCTTTTAAGTTATTGTAACGTTAAAAATGAATTATTTAAACTAACTGACCATTCCATTTTTCCTCGATTTGGTTTGTCGCAGCTCCTTTGAACCTAGTTCGATAGAGTTCTTACTGTTGTACTGGTTGACTAGATTCAAGGCATCCGATCTTTCAACTTGATCACAATCATGATAATTTAGTAAACAAATAAATAAAATATTTTCTTGACTATCGAAGACACCATGGAAATAGAGATCCTTTCTCTGTTCATTATAGTAGATTCATGTTTCAAAATTTGCTTGACGATAAAGGTTATGACAGGTTTACTGATGATTATAATAGGCCGGTTGAAACAGATGGAAGCTTAAAACAATTAAAATGAGATGACAGACTCTACACTCATTGTTTTTACTAAATTTCCACCGAGAACAATCCACAAAAATAAATAAGACAAATAATAACAATTAGTTGAGTTATTAGGAGAACAGTTTAATCAACATGTTGATTAGTTTTCCCTCCTTAAAAAAACAAAAAGAGGAATGAAATTTTGTAGCAAATATTGCTGTAAACCTAGATTTAATAAAACGAACACCAGATGTCACCAAAGTATAAATACAACATTAAAACAATTTTACGCAAAAACTGTTTTTCAAACAAATAGATAAATTAACCTCAATATTAACTCCTAAACACATCAGAAAAACACCTTTGACCCGAACATGTTTTGCATTGTGAGTAATATCGTCTTTCAAGGTAAGAGTTAAAATGTCAATTGAACATTTCCTGGTTACATGAGTTCACAATTCGTGATACTGAAGCAAAACAAATCAGAATATCAAAATTAATGAAGACACAAACAGCCTGGTGAAATTTTAGATCCAACATTATTCTCGAGGTTTGATCACCGATTAATTTGTCGCCTCTTGATCGCTATTAATTGAACAAATTGAAGAGTAAACAGTGATAACAATCAATTGATTGTTCACGTGATTCGGAAAAGTCCAAAGTAAATCACTGTAAATGGTTAAGGATTTTTAAAAGGCACCTTCTTTGAATAATTATCAATTAACTATGAACCCAACAAAACTCCTTAAAAAAAGGGATTCCAATGAAATTAGAGATTCGATGATTATCAATTACATGAAAACCATTAATCTTAATCAATAATAAGCCAAGCTAAAATAAAGGGGATTGATGATGAACATGATAAGATGTTTAGATAGAAAAAAATGTCGCCATTTTTTCTTCTTTCCCTCTGAATCTTGACAATCTTAACCCCATAATGGCCACAATTTCATTTCAATCAGATGAATGAACTTGATTTGATTTGAGAGGAGCAAAAATGATAAAGTTAATGTATTAAATTGATTAAAAGCGACACTCTACACTTGTATCTATAAATGGTTATTGAAATGCACACAAAGTCATAAAAACTAGACAAAATACTTGCGTCTGAAGATAAATTTAATTCTGATTTTATGAAATTCATTAAAATTAGATTTGCTCTGTCAACTAAAATCTCAATAGAAATAACAAGTAAAATCACTTAATAAATCTCTAGCAATTTATCTTGACAATTAAATCTCAGGAAATTATTAAATAGATTTGCATTTTTGTTCAGAAATTTATTAAGAGCCTTACTCATAACTAAGGCTCGTTAGCTCAGTCGGTTAGAGCGCCGTGCTAATAACGCGGAGGTCATGAGTTCGACCCTCATACGAGCCATGAGTATTTTTTGCAATTATCATCTCTTTTGTCTTGATTGCTATTTATTTTTAATAATGTTAGTCTATTTGAATACACAAAATACATTTAAATCAATGATAATCTTGATTTTGATTTAATTATTCTTATTATTCTTGTTTAATTATTTGACATTGGCGCTTCTATTCATTTGTTTTTGTCTTAAGTCTTTTTCATCTGATGTATTAATTGGGTTTGTCTATGTTTTTATTGCCATTTATTTGTTTGGTGTTTAATTAGATTGATTTTAGGTTATTGATAGTTAACCTATTATGTGCACAATTAGGATTGCATAAACGTTAATTGTGGTAAGTAAAGATTGGAAAATATTGACTGATAAACCATTTCGCTTTTTGTGTTTCCTTTTGAGCTTATTGATCTGTGGTTTTGTTTATGAATTTCCTGTCAACTGTTTGCTTATTCAATTTTATTTTATTTTGATATTACCTGTTTTTATGCTTTGATCAAAGTAATTTATGGTTAAGACTGCGGTGTGTGTATTGCTATATAATCTGGTTAAACCAGTGCCCAAAGATTTCTTTATATTCTGCTTGTGATTTTCCTTCAACATTTCTCCCTTTTCGTAAACAAGCGCAATCTCTCCTGCTGTTGCTTTGGCTGTTGGTGAACTGCAAGAAGGATGTTCAAATGATGATCAACTTTAATTCAGTTAACCTTGTATCATAGCCAAGCTATCTTTCTTCACTCTCTTTTTCATCTATCTTTGTTTTCAAATACTATTAGCTCTTTTCCCCTCTCTTATTTCATTCTCTTCCCATTTTCTTCGTCCTTTAATCTTCTTTTTTCTCATCTCTCCCTCTCTCTTTTCATCCAGTAGTGATCACCACTTGATTTCATTGTCATCTTCACTTCACCTTTGTAAAATTTGACTTAATGCTCATAGTGTTCCTAGTTACTAATTGGTCAGCTGCTATTGTAAATTCCCTGGCTTCATCTTGTTTTTGTTTCTCTCTCAAGTATTCTATTTTTGTTGCTAACAATTGTTAACTGTAATAATAAGTGACAATGTCTACTGATGCAATCAAACATAAACAAATCTCGGTTCGTGGTATCGCCGAGATTGAAGATGTGACCGCACTGAAGAAGTCTTTCAATCGACATTTGCATTACACTCTGGTCAAGGATAGAAATGTTGCCACAAATCGTGATTATTACCATGCAATGGCTCACACTGCTAAGGATCATCTCGTCTCTCGTTGGCTCAGAACTCAACAGCGCTATTATTCCGAGGACCCAAAGGTACAATTTTCTTGTATTTCTCTCTATTGAAAGTGTTTTTTCTGAATATTTTGAATTGATGAAAAATTTACTACCATAATCACAAATATGTAATCCTTATCATCTTCAAAATGCAGATAATATCTTCAAGGACAATCAGGTTGACAATCAATCACGCAGACTGTCAATGAAAGAAATGCGATTATTCAAATGAATCTTCGTGATTCGTTTAGCATTTTCAATATGATAAAATTTATCTTTAGTTTTTGCTAACACAATCAATTAATTTTTCTTTTTCTTCTTTATTTTCTCCCTTTCAATCTTTTTCCAATGCTTTCTCCATTATGAACGTATCTTGAACCTCCAACGAACGAAAATGCTAATCTCAGAGAATTTATTACTTATCACTTGAGTACTACATCGGTCGGTCATTAACCAATACAATGTTGAACTTAGGTATCCAAGGTAGTTGTGATGAAGCTCTTTACCAAATGGGATTAGAAATCGAAGAGCTAGAAGAGCAAGAACAAGATGCTGGTCTTGGTAATGGTGGCTTGGGTCGCTTAGCTGCTTGCTTTTTAGATTCAATGGCTACTCTAGGAATTGCTGGCTATGGTTATGGTTTACGTTATGATTATGGTATCTTTAACCAGCGTATTATCAATGGTGAACAAGTTGAAGAACCCGATGACTGGCTTCGATTTGGTAATCCATGGGAAAAGGATCGCCCAGAGACCACCATACCAGTTAATTTTTATGGTAGAGTTGTTCAAGAAGGTGGTAAATCTAAATGGGTCGACACTCAGGTCGTTTTTGCCACTCCTCATGATTATCCTGTTCCAGGATATAAAAATAATGTGGTCAACACTATGAGACTTTGGTCAGCGCGATCACCAGTCAGCTTTGAACTCAAATTCTTTAATGACGGTGATTATATTCAAGCAGTATTGGATCGTAATTTAGCTGAAAACATAACTCGGGTTTTGTACCCTAATGATAACAATTTTGGTGGTAAAGAATTACGTTTAAAACAAGAATACTTTATGGTTACAGCAACTCTCCATGATATCATTCGTCGGTATAAAAATGCTCGCAAAGTCAGAAATGAAACTCATCTTGGATATGACTTGTTCCCAGATAAAGTGGCTATCCAATTGAATGATACCCACCCAGCCTTGGTAATACCAGAATTAATGAGAATTCTTGTTGACATTGAAGATATGGCTTGGGATGACGCATGGGATATCGTTGTGAAAACCTGTTGCTATACAAACCATACTGTTCTGCCCGAGGCTCTAGAAAGATGGCCAGTTAGTCTGTTTGAAAATCTTCTTCCTCGTCACTTACAAATTATTTATGAAATCAATGCTAAACATTTAGATGGTGTCTCTGCTAAATGGCCTAATGATCTAGCCAGGCTTAGTAGAATGTCGCTCGTTGAAGAATGGCCTTATAAGCAAGTTAACATGGCTAATTTGGCTGTTGTTGGATCACATTCTGTTAATGGAGTGGCAAGAATACATTCAGAAATCATCAAAAAAGATATTTTCAATGATTTTTATCAAATGACACCAGAAAAATTCAACAATAAAACCAATGGAATCACACCTAGACGTTGGTTATTACTCTGTAATCCTAGTTTAGCTGACCTGATTGCAGACCATATCGGTCAAGAATGGATTACCGATTTGTATGAACTTAAAAAGTTACAGAAATTTATCAATGATCAAAAGTTTATTCGAGCTGTCCAAAGAGTTAAACAAGAAAATAAAATGAAACTTGCTGGTCTTTTGGAGCAAGAATATGGTGTTGAAATTAACCCTGGTTCACTGTTTGACATTCAAGTTAAACGAATTCATGAATACAAGCGACAATTACTTAATGCTCTTCACATTGCCACTTTATATAACCGTATCCGAGCTAATCCTAACGATGACATTGTACCAAGGACTATCATGATTGGTGGTAAAGCAGCACCCGGTTATCATATTGCCAAACAAATAATTAAACTAATCAATGGAATCGCAAACGTAGTCAACAATGACCCTATTGTTGGAGACAAATTGAAAGTTATCTACCTTGCCAATTATCGTGTTTCATCTGCTGAAAAAATTATCCCCGCAGCTGATCTTTCAGAACAAATTTCAACTGCTGGTACTGAAGCATCAGGAACAGGTAATATGAAATTTATGGCCAATGGAGCTTTGACCATCGGTACTTTGGATGGTGCAAATGTTGAAATGGCTGAGGAAATGGGCCATGAAAATATATTCATTTTTGGTATGACTGAAGATGAAGTAAATGCACTGAAAGAGAAAGGTTATAATGCTCTTGACTATTATAACTCTATACCTGAACTTAAAACTGTGATAGACCAGATCGACAATGGATTTTATTCAAAAGGCGATTCATCTGTTTTTAAAGATGTTGTCAATGTTCTTATGAATCATGACAGATTCTTTGTCTTTGCTGATTTCAAAGCTTATCTTGACGCTCAAGAAAAAGTATCCCAAACCTATCAGGTAATTTAAATTATAAAGTAGTACAACTAAAAATTATGACATAAATTGATTTGCTGGTTAATCAACAACCAGATTTTTGTCAATTTTTCTAAGTCTTAAAATTCATCCTCAATAATTCCCATCTTGGATTTATGTCTAAATTATTAGTAACAGCACCTAAATATCACAATAATTTAAAATTATTTTCATTTTGATTTCATTAATAACCTTGATTTTACCTTTTTGTCTATAGGATCAGGAAAAATGGACTCAGATGGCCATTATAAATATTGCCTCTGTTGGCAAATTTTCATCGGATCGTGCAATATCAGAGTATGCTACTGAGCTTTGGGGAGTTCAGCCAACTCGACAAAAATTCCCTGAACCTTATGAACCAGTTGAAAGCAATGGTATTGTCAAGAATGAAACTGGAACAAAAGATGCCATAAAACCAAATGTCAAGTCTGTGCCCAATGCTGGCAAAAAAGTTGTTGGAAGCAAATCATAAATTTTTCATCTTAAATAAAGTTAATCATCCGTAATATAATAAGATAAATTAAATGAGTGGCCTTCATCCCAAGAAAGAAACTAATCAATCAATTGATTACTATTACTGGAAGAAAATATAAAGATACTAAGCTATAAAATGATTGGAAATTTTATTTCTTGGTTCGATGGAAATGTTTTGCATGTAAAAGTTTCAACTTGAGGATGAAGACGAAGACAAATTTAAAGATACTAAATTGTAACATACAAAAATTGTATTTAATGTTTAAAATCCAACAATAGTAGCATCAAACCAATTAGAACAATGTAATTCAATTAATTTGATTGACCTAACAATTAGAATCTTAAATTTGTTACAAATCAACAATCAATTGTTGACAAAGCCAAGTTAGTTTATTCGTCATTTTCAATTTCACTTCGTTTCCAAATTATCGGTTTATCGCTTAAACCCATTAGTAATTTGTGAATTAGTATTCAATTTTATTGAAATTTATATAAACTTTAAAAATGTCAGGCACTGGTGAAGAAAAGCCTCCAAACGAAGGTAAACCCGCTGAGGTTCCAAAAGTAAGTAAATCTTCTTCCAAAACAACAACTTCTTCGTCTCAAACTCAATTGTCCGTTGGTGCTAAAAAAGTTAGCTCGTTATCGCCCTTGAAAACATCAAAATCGCTCAGCCCAATAACACCAAAGAAAGTTCAATCGAAATCATTATTTGCTGCTAAAAAAACAACTGAGTCTCAAACTCAATTGTCCATTGGAGCTAAAAAAGTTGGGTCGTTATCGCCCTTGAAAACATCAAAATCAATCAGCCCAATAACACCAAAGAAAGTTCAATCGAAATCATTATTTGCTGCTGGAAAAACAACTGAGTCTCAAACTAAATTGTCTCTTGGAGCTAAAAAAGTTGGGTCGTTGTCACCTTTGAAAACACAATCAAAATCTTTATTTCCAAACAAAGCAACATCTCCGTCTCTACCTAAGTTGTCTATTGGTGCTAAAAAGGTTGGCTCATTATCACCTTTGAAAAGTCAATCGAAAAACCTCGGTTCACCTAAAATCAGCCCAATATCACCAAAGAAAGTTCAATCAGCATCATTTCCTAGCAAAGCAACATCTCCATCTCAACCTAAATTGTCTATTGGAGCTAAAAAAGTTGGGTCGTTGTCACCTTTGAAAAATCAATCGCAATCATTATTTCCTAAAAAAGCAACATCTCCGTCTCTACCTAAGTTGTCTATTGGTGCTAAAAAGGTTGGCTCATTATCACCATTGAAGACTCAATCGAAAACACTCGGTACACCTAAAGTAGGCTCAGTGTCGCCTTTGAAAACCCAATCAAAAACACTGGGTACACCTAAGGTTCGCTCATTGTCACCAATGAAAAGTCAATTGAAAACAGTTGGTACACCTAAAGTTGGCTCCTTGTCACCAATGAAGACTCAATCAAAAACACTGGGTCCACCTAAAGTCCCCTCAATGTCACCAATGAAAACTCAGTCTAAAACACTGGGTACACCTAAGGTTCGCTCATTGTCACCAATGAAAGGTCAATCAAAATCAGCGTTCGTTCCCAAAAAAACAACTCCGTCTCAACCTAAATTGTCTTTGGCTCCTAAAAAAGCTGGCTCGATGTCACCATTGAAAACTCAATCAAAAACACTCGGTACACCTAAAGTAGGCTCGATGTCACCATTGAAAACTCAATCCAAAACAACTTCAACTCAAACTCCTGTAAGAATGGGTTCGAAATCACCAATGAAAACTCAATCAAAATCATTGTTTCCTCCTAAAAAAGCTGGCTCGATGTCACCATTGAAAACTCAATCAAAAACACTCGGTACACCTAAAGTAGGCTCGATGTCACCATTGAAAACTCAATCCAAAACAACTTCAACTCAAACTCCTGTAAGAATGGGGTCGAAATCACCAATGAAAACTCAATCAAAATCATTGTTTCCTCCTAAAAAAACAACTCCATCTCAGCCTAAATTGTCTTTGGCTCCTAAAAAAACTGGCTCGATATCACCTTTGAAAACTCCATCAAAAACACTCGGTACTCCTAAAATAGGCTCAGCTTCACCAACGAAAGTTCAATCGAAATCATTATTTCCTTCTAAAAAAACAACTCCGTCTCTACCTAAGTTGTCTATTGAACCTAAAAAAGTTGGCTCCTTATCACCTGTGAAAACTCAATCTAAAACAGCTGCAACTCCTAAATTAGCAACTCCAGCAGCCAAATCAAAGACAGCTCTAACCCCTGAAAAATCTAGCTCGTTAGGGCCAATGAAATCAGCTCCGTCTCTACCAAAATTACCAGCTAAAACAACTCCGATGGCAGCAGCAAAATCAAAGACAGCTCTAACCCCTGAAAAATCTAGCTCGTTAGGGCCAATGAAATCAGCTCCGTCTCTACCAAAATTACCAGCTAAAACAACTCCAATGGCAGCAGTTAAATCATTGCCTACAGTTAAGACAACCGCTCCAGTGTCACCAACAAGATCTCAATCAATAACAGGCAGATCTCCAAAATTAGCAACTCCAGCAGTCAAATCAAAGACAGCTCTAACTCCTGACAAATCTAGTTCTTTAGGAACAATGAAATCTACCACTCCGTCTCTGTCAACATCACCAGCTCAAATAACTCCGGTACCTGCAATGAAATCGTTGCCAACGATTAAGACAATTGATTTGGTAACACCAACTAGAACTCAATCATTAACAGGCAAAACTCCTAAATTAGCACCTCAAGCAGGTAAATCGTTGACTGCTCTAACTCCTGAAAAATCTAGTTCTTTAGGATCATTGAAATCATCCACTCCGTCTCAGCCAAAGTCAACACCTCAAACAACTCCGGTACCTGCAGCAAAATCATTGCCTAAGATTAAGACAACCACTCCAGTGGTACCAACGAGAACCCAATCATTAACACTCGGTTCACCTAAAATCGCTTCAATGGCACCAATCAAAGACCAACCAAAACCATTATTTGCAGCTGAAAAAAGCACCATCCCGGTCAAAGTCTAAGTCGTCAATTGGTTCTGAAAGAACTGATTCAGCAACAGCATTACCAGCAACAGCATTACCAGCAAAAGCATTACCAGCAAAAGCATTACCAGCAAAGACTCAAGAGAAACCAGTTCCAACCATTAAACGAATTAAATCAGCTTCACAACTTTTTGAACCTAAGCGAAAACCCTCTGTTGAAGTAGCTCCCAATGTTGCGAAGACCAGTTCGTTACCACAAATGAGGACCACACAATCTGAAACAACAGGAGAAGAAGAAAGCGTCATTGATTGGATAATTAAGTTCATAGTAAATTGTAACATCGTATGAATCAGGTTATGGGTATCAAACTAACCAAGATTAATTTTTTATTGCATACAAATTTTATTTATTCTTAAATTGAAACATTCTTTCTTACTGAATCATCTACTTTTTTCAACATTTATTAATGTTTGTTAATTTTTTATAATATTTGATTACTTTCCTACATTCTATAATCCTTCATTACGATTTATTCAAGCATAATGATATTAAAATACTTTCTGAGATAATTTTTGATTTTTCACCGATGAATTGCATCGAGTTACATTGATTCAAGGTTTGATTCATGAATTTGAGTTGGACAGAGATCAGGTAACGACAGTGCTTCGAAGTTTTCCTTATCAATGTCATTCTAAGTATCGTGCAAACAGGAATAATAGGAAAAAAAACGCCCAATATTAATTGCCCAGCACTTGTTTTTTATTTGTCATGTTCAATCTTAAATCATTATTTATTTTGGTCATAAATAATTATAAACACATTGGTACTATAGAAAGTCAGAATCTTCTATTCATATTTATTAACCTACTAGGCTCAATCCACTACTATTGATATTACATAAAATACGTATCTGACCAAATGTTCATGCACACAAACCTGTAGATATGATAGAGAATAATGAAAATATTATTAGTGAATCAAAAAAGAACCCAAGAAACATTAAAAAATACAATCGATGCAACGATGAAAAGTAAACAAAAATAAACGATACTTACCGGACCATACTCAAGCATAGGAATAAATAATTTGTTAGATATATAGATATCTTTTCCGTCAATGTAAAAATCACTAAGTTTCAGCATGTAGTCCACTACAAATAAATAACTGATCGACGAGTAGTGTTAATTTAAAAACCTGAACTTATGTATCAAAGTGTTGACTATGGAGAGCATGCATGAAAACCATTACAGGTTTCACTTTTTGTTGCGCCATTAGATTACTCACAATTGTCAGTAATTAGATAACATTGCAACGATGAAATAAACAATTTTCTTAAAATAAGCAATCAATTTTTCACATAATTACAATATTCAAACTGAGAAAATGATGTTTTAAACATTACAATAGTAGAATAGAAAAAAATTAAAAATTCTTAAACTTTGAGTAACCGGTGCTTCTCTTGGTTACCCAAAACAGTTTTTCAGATTTTTTTAAACTTGGCGGCAAAACCCAAAATTATCGGTAACAAGTTGCTCAAAGCCAACAATTGCGGTTATTGTTTATTGTAAACGAAAAGTCTAATGATTAAAAAGCTCAATAATTTTGTTAATTTCTATGCTTATTAAATGAAAAATATGTGACAATTTTACGATTTAAAAGTGCGATAGAATCAGTGAGAATTGTTTTCATGTGTATTCTGTTCTGTGTTGTTTTTTAATATTGGTTAGTGTCCTGAGTCTAAAAGAGTTGCAGACTGATTTACCCTGGAATATTGTTATGAATTGATTGTTTCAAGTAATAATTTGTGAACCGAATCCTGATTAATTAATTAGTTTGAATGGAATAATATTCGGTAGATCGATTAATGTTGGATACGTAATGCGAGATTCACTTGTTTCTTGGTTACACAAATCCAGTTATTTTTGACGGATCCGACTTACACTATTACTCGTCATTAGTGTCTGCGCACTAGTCTGACCTTATACTTACAATACTTTAAGCGTATTGATTAGACTGAATATAATTTTTACTTGTTTTCTATTTGTAATGTGCAATCTTAAATCATTATTTATTTTGGTTATAAATAATTATTAACACATTGGTACTATAGAAAGTCAGAATCTTCTATTCATCTTTATTGGCCTACCAGGCTCAATCAGTATCCACTAATATTAGTTATACATTGTAAGTTTGTTTTCCTCTGACCTTATATCATTTAGCATTACTGCATTCTCCTATTTTTTATTTGTCACCATTGATTGGTCTTGGTTTTTCTAATGGTAATCTATTTTCTAATCACTAGGTAATACAGTTTTTATTATTTGTCGAAAGGCATTGTCAATCTTCAAAAAATGGTTAGTAGTGGATCAGGTGCATCTACATCATCATCGTCTAATGCAACATCTAGTTCAACATCTGAAGCATCAAGCGAGTATACACAAGAACAGTTAGAGGCTGTCCGCAAAATTAAACGTTGTAAAAATCATTATGAATTATTAGGAGTTGGTAAAGAATTTACGGAAGCTGAATTAAAGAAACAATATCGTAAATTGGCCTTACAATTTCATCCAGACAAGAATAAAACTCCAGGAGCCTCAGAGGCTTTCAAAGCAATAAGTAACGCTTTTGTAATTCTTTCTGATCCTGAGAAAAAAAGACAATATGATCTTTATGGTCCTGAAGACGGATCATCTAATCGATCGCATAACCACACACGTACTAGAACAACTGTTTTTACCGATAATGGATTCTTTGAATATAATCGTGGTTTTGATAGTGATGTGTCAGCTGAAGAACTGTTCAATATGTTCTTTGGAGGTGGCAATGTATATCTTCGCCGAAATAATCGTTATGCTAGTTCAAGGGCCCAAACTCAGTCACCACAACAAGAACCAAGTGGCTTTGGTGTCCTCATCCAAATGTTACCAGTGTTGTTCCTTGTATGCCTTTCTGTGATGAGCTCATTCTTTGTCTCTGATCCAGCATTCAGTTTACAAAGAACCCTGTAAGTTTATGGCCGTTTTTGCTTTTACTTCAATCCCATTACGACAAGTCAGATATATTCCAGGACTAGACTCAACACAAAGACATCAGTATATCATTGAAGGAATGCATGATGCTAGTTTTGTATCGGCCTGATTGATCCGGTCGGACAACCTATTTTATTTGCTTAGCTTCAAAAATGTGACACTTCTGCTTATCAAGTGTAGTAATTTATTGCATTTAAATTTGTTTTCTCTTGATATGCATGATATCTAATAGGCAAAAATTAGTCTTAAAATGAGTTTATCAAAAAAGTTCAGATAATCGTGATTTTAAAAATAGTCTCTCGTTTTTGTTGAAAAAGAATGACACAGCAGGCTTTTACAATGGAGATCCTTTGGAAGGTTTTTTCATAGCTGTATGGCAACTGTAACTGTCAAACTTAAACAATTGTTATTCTTACCATATTTTCATTTATTTTTAAGAAATTTTTTAGTTACTCCTTTATTTGAGGTCTTATAGTTTCATTCATTAATTTTACATTAAAGTTTAGACATTAGCTGCTTTCATTTTATAATAGGCAATCAATAAAATCAGGTTTAATACTCAACTGTATTGTAGGCTCAGCTCCATCTCACATCATTTCATTCAACAATTCATACTATTAGCTTGAAATTAAGTGCTTACAGATTAATAAGTCTATCGATAATCTTATACGTTTCATTAGATTTATATGTGTCATTCTTACCTTTCTTTCAATTGTCATCCTTGTCTTATAATAAACGATACACTAATCACTTTTCTTTTTTCCCTAACAGAAAATATTCTCATGAAAGAGTTACATCTTCTTTCAAGGTCCCATATTATGTAAAGGATAATTTTGAAACCGATTATAAAAATAATTTAAGACGCATAGAAGCATTAGTTGAAGAAGAGTATATCACTAACCTCAGAGCAGCTTGTTATCGAGAAAAAAATCATCGTAAGTTTCATCGTCCTATTTCAATATGTACATTTATTTACTGATCTTGATTTTAATTTTAATTTTCACAGGCGACGCCATGCTTTGGAGAGCTAGAAGTTATGGGGATAAAGAACTGGAGGAAAAGGCCAGAGCCTATAAATTAAATTCTTGTACCAAATTCAACGAGATGCAAGAACATTTTAGATACTATTGATCCGTTTTTTGGATAACTATTTAAATGGACTATTAGGAGAGCGATTTTCTTACCATTTCACCTAGATTTGTTGATAATTTATTGTTTTAATACATTGTCAGTGAATGAAGTACGATGAATTGACAAGAAAATGAAAACTTCATATGGTCTTTATATATCACAATAATAACTTTAATAGAGATGATAATTCTTACAGATGATCTCCTTTGAAGGATTTGATTACAAGTTTTGCTCACAATGCGGAAAATTATAATTTCAGACTAAACTACAATCTTTGTGTCATCAACTTTCAAAGGATCTGATCTATTCTTCATTCAACCTGCAGAAACATCTTAAACAAGCAAAACAACACATTCACAAACAAAATACCAAGTGATTTTGTACATATTGTTTAATAAGTAGATTTTTCGTCTACTCAACTATTCACCTTCTGTCAAAACTCACCCTTTGTCCCATCAAAGTTTATAGTGAGGCGCACGGTGAAAAGACAAGGAGGAAGCTAATTGAATAACCAATTTTCCAATTGATTATCAATTTTAATTCCCAACAAGTGCATCCTTTTCTTGTCCACAATTCCTCTCCTTTCTACTTTTTTTCTTCTCACTCTGTGTAATTAGTTGTTTTTCTCAAGTTGATTTCATAAATATATATATATATAAAAAGTGAACCAATCAATTTTTTTGAATCACTTGTTGACACAATTTACGTGTTACTCTTGCTTCTTTCTTTTCATTTCACATTCACCCATCATCTAAGCCTGATTGACTTTGTTTCTGATGCTATCTAATTTAACCTTCTTTACCTGCAAGGATTTATATCTAAAATGTTAATAAATAAATTTTATTACAAATCAAAATTCATAAAGTCATTAATTTAAATTTCAATCTTGAATAGAGATAATCTGTGATTTAAATGAAGTGTAAATAGGCAAATCAATGATAAATTGTAGGTTCATTCTTAACTGGTGATATTTTATGGTATTGTTTGATATTGATATTACCTGATGATGTTAATGTTTGTATGTTTAGCTGTATGTTATTAACTCAACCCTTTCGATTAATTCTTTAGGATTCAGAACTTCATCAATACCATTCTCTGCCAGGCACTCGATATGATGATTTTGATCCATCCATATTATTAGGTACATAAACTTATCTGGTGTATACCCTTCCATAAATTGTGGGTTGATTTATTTAATATACAAATTGATCGGCTGTTCCGGGTGAAACAAATGAAAATAAAATATTTTTCTCATCGGCATTCTTCTAAAAGAAACTTTCAACTGAGTGTATTGATGATATATCAACATTCGCAGACCGATTAATTTTTAATTGAAATAATAGAAACATAGATTTTTTCATACTGAAGTTCAGTTTACAAAAACAGATACAATTGTAATTTAAACTCTTTAATTTGATTGTTTTAATCAGTTCTTCTTTTGGATAACATGGATTTTGAATGGATATCATCTGATTCAATCATTTTTAAATCGTCTGCTCGTCTTTCTCCAATGTGAATTTACTGAAAAGGAATTATGATGTAAGCGAATGCTATTCAGTAATGATGATTCATGATTAATGAAAACATTAGCGTTCATTAACTAGTCCAAACGGAGTCCAAAACTACAGTAAGTAGTTTTTTTACGTAGTTGATTGTTCTTTTCGTATATGACGGCAGATGGCGCTTGTTTCTTGTTTTCAGCATCTATCATATCATAACATAACACAACATTATAATCTCGCAACCTGTTTACCATCTATTACAGTAGTAGTTATTTTTGACATTAGTTAAAATATTTAGTGATATATGGGTTTAATCTACTTGCCTAACGAATCCTCGAGTAAAAATCGGAATATGTCTTCAAATGGACCTGAAGAGGAATTGTACAAGAAATTCAATCTTATTCCTAGTGAGGAGCTTGAGTATGGTCCAGTAAGTATCGTTTATTTTTGTTTACTTTTCATCGTTGGATCGATTGACATTTTTATTGTTCTTTAGGTACTTTTTTTGATTTTCTAATAATATTTTCATTATTCTCTATCATATCTGCAGGTTTGTGGGCATGGAACATTTGGTCAGATACGTATTGCGAGGTGGAAAGGTGAACTAGTAGCAACTAAGTCCTTTCATTATAAGCAGAATTTTCACGCCGAAATCAAACATTTTCCACAAGATAAACATCCTAATATCATTAAACTATTTGGTATTTGTCCAAAACACTCATTGCTAGTCTTGGAATATGCAGAAATCGGTTCTCTTCATCACAGTGAGTATTTTTACATGCTATTGTTTGAATGAAAATTTTTTTCGTTAATCCAAAATCGATACTAATCTTCTTTTATTACTATAACTATCCATGGTTTTTCCTTATCAGTACTCCATGAAAGGATCGATGTTAAGTACAATTTATCTCATGCCATTAATTGGTGCCTACAAACCTCTCGTGGTGTTCAATACCTTCACTCAATTAAGCCCAAGCCAATGATGCATCGTGATTTAAAACCACCTAAGTATGTTTTTGTTATCAATTTAATCTATCAATGTTCCGTTAGTTTGCTCTATCAGAATCTGATATGATATAATAGTCTGATTTGGTTATATTTATGTTCATTATTTCATTGTTTGATTAGTCTTTTAGTTAGTTCAATCTACACGTTTGTGACTACACTTGCTCGTTTGTTTCATGATTTATAGATTTATTGAAACTTATACATGTATTTATTTTTATATTTTATAGCCTCTTAGTATTTGACGAAGGTCGAGTTATTAAACTATGTGATTTTGGAACACTGAGAATGGTTGATACCGAAGTGACGAACCAAAGAGGAAGTGCAGTCTGGATGGCTCCAGAAGTATTTCAAACAAAATCTTACTCAGAAAAATGTGATATCTATTCTTTTGGGATAATTTTATGGGAAATATTATCGCGTCAAAAGCCTTATGAAGATATTACAGAGTCTTGTCGAATATTCTGGCTCGTTGCTGCTGGACTTCGACCTCCTCTTTTGAAAAATTGTCCTGAAGTTTTGGAGCAACTGATGGTTCGTTGTTGGGATGAAAAAATCTCACATCGACCGGATATTCATTTTGTTGTGGACTGTATGCAGAAACTTTACGATTTTTACATTGACGAAAAAGACATCTATAGATCTACCACATTATTTATTCCTGCGGAATCACCAACATCATCCCAAGATTATTCACCTCCATCATCAACGCTTTCAACAGACGTTTTAAATCTAACTCTACCTCTCGACACAGAAATTAAAACTGAAAGCTTACCAGGTGCACGTTCAAGCAATTCTTCCGCATTAGAGGTATTTCTATTGATTTTAATCAGAATTTAAACAATTGTCTTATTGTCTTGTTTTTATCTTCAATCACAGAATTGTGAAAAGATGCACACTTCTGAGCAACCGGGTCCATCAAGGAGAACAGTATGTATTCACAATTTATTCTGTTGTTCTAATAATTAATAACTAAATTTTTTAATTTGTTATTAACTTTGCTTATTTTCTTTCTGCCTTTATTTTAGCTTGATCTGCCTTTGAAAAATAATTCATTCAATGTTGACATGCATTCACCTGTTTACTTATTTGATCCCAACGATACTTATAATAACATTGATGATGAAGGCTTCGAAGCTCTACTATCGCCTGATCTTGTCCCAACTAAACCCAATGAATCAAATCCTAAATCAATGCAACTCTACGAATTGCACCGAGAAGAAGCTAAAAATTACCTCAAAAAGTATTTTAATATTATTGTGCTAGAAGAAAATCGCAATGAAAGATTACAAAGGACGAAAATGGATCCAAATAACGTTCACGAATCTTCCGAAGAGAAATTAAAAGCTCGATTAAATGCTGAAAAGGAAAGATATACCAAGATGATTGAAGAGGAAAGGGTTTCTTTGAAAGCCGCTAAGGAAAGAAACCAATTCCGTCTATATGCAATTGAAGAAGGATGGGTCGTCGTTGATTAAAATGATGTGTAACAAACTAATCATTTTTCAACTTTCTTTCCCAGAGATTCTGTGGGAAAAACTAGTCAATTTCAGTAACAGGAAAACTGATTTAAATCATCTCTCCTTCAACAATTAGCTTCTCTTTTCCTCCTACTGTAAAAAAAACCAAGTAAAGCCTAATAAGCTCTCATTTGTGTCATAATTGGAAAAAAGTATTCGCGTTTGCTGCTGCAAGAGAATCACAAAATCCAGCTTTCATCGGCATTCAAAAATAATTTATTTGTATAAAATGTTTTATTTGCTTTTTCTTGATCTAAAAAAAGCTTCAATGTACAATTTTTCTCGATTAAAATGCTCTATTTTAAGCTGTTAAAGCAATTTTGCATAAACCTTACAATCTATTGTTTATTTTATCGGCTATTTTTTGAATTAAATTCAAAGCAATCAGATATCGGGACAATCCTTTTTTATTATAACTATTTTAGGTTATTACAGCTAAACATGATTAGTAAACCAAGGTCAATTCATTTGGATGATATTACAATGAATAAATAATTAGAGTTGAACAGTTTGATAATTTACAATGAAAAATCAATAAAATAAATAATTTGCTAGCAAGAAATCATCCAAACAAACAGAAGTGATCAGATAAATAATTGAATCCATCCATTGTATTATGCTGTCTAGGCAAGCAAAATATCAATCAATCAATCAGTTATGTTAAGTTATTGTGCTTTTAAATTGTATTATTTTTTGCTACTATGTTTGTCCCATTAATCATATTTTTAGAGTTACTCTGAGCGGCCATTGATCGACTCATTTGCATCAAAACAACAGAGTAGGTCAAAATTGTTCCAGTAATCGTTAAAATAAAAGGACGATCAAGCACAAAGCATTTCCATCCAGTCAATTTAGCAATTGGATGGCTCATTTTAGCAATCATTAGTTTAGCCTGATAAAGTACGGTCAAATTTTTCATGTCAGCTTTAGCTGCCAATCGATGAGCCAAAGGAAGTAACACTTCACATTGAAGGGAAACATCAGCAGCAGTTAGTGAAATAACAATGAAAATAACAAGATAATTAATGATGTCTAGAGACGCATTGCTAACCCAGCTAAGATATTGATGAAAAGGAATTGAAAATATCAATTAGATAAAAAATAAACCTTGAAATTAACAATTGTAGTTACCTTGGATCAGTGGCAATACAAATGATTCCAATCTTGATGCATAGATTGAGAAAAATGGTTGATATCCAAATGAAAGCTTTGATCGTGAAAGTTTTATCAACGCCATGAACTAAATCAGTTAACTGTGTATGTAGCTTATTAACTCTATTCATTTCTTCACCAGTCAAGTCGTCCTGTTCACCCAAATGGGAAACCATCGCATTATAAGCACGAGCAGTTTTACCCAAAAGCAAACACGAGGCAACATAAAAAGATTTAAGGAAAATTTCAGCCGTCAATGTGATTCCAATATGAGCAATCCAAACTCCAGCCATTAAAAATCTCATAACAACAGCGTTAACATGACCAACCTAGAGAAACATATTGATTAGAGAAGCACAATTTGTTTACAATTAAAATATATTTCACTATTAGTGCTTATAATCACCCTAAATCCATAGAAATAGTAATCCATAAATTTTTGAACTCCCATTGTTGCAGTTGACCAAGAAGTGAATCCAAGAACCATTGCTAAATAGATCCAACTGGCAAGTACAATGATATTTATCGGTGTTTTCAATTCCATCAGGCAAATGCCACCTTCTTCAAAGGGAAAGCCACCCAGTTGTTTCACCGAACGAATGGATTCCAAAAATTTGAGGTAGAAAAGATCAAAAGTCACTGCAGTTGCTCCAGTTCTAATGACCATTGAAGCGTTTTCCAAGAAAATAGTGAAATCTAGAGAAGAGAGAAAGATAATGACTGGCGAAGGAAAAAAGGATTTGATTAAAGCTTTTACCTGAGTATTTGTAGTAAGTAAATAGCCAATTGATCACATTATGAACTGCGTAAATATGAAGATAGACGAATACGACCCAACCTTGAGGATTCAGGCGACCGAAAAATGTTGGATGAGGCTTGGGCCATAAACCGAGAATCCTCATTGACCAGATTAGATTTTTCAATACAATAAGTGTTCCAGAATCTTGGTGATCCGTTAAGTTGGTTGGATCATTATCTTCAATGGAAAACACATCTTCAGGCTGTACTTTTCCATTAGCTAGTAAATGGCGAGCAACAAGAGATGAACAAGAAACAATACTCAGTCGACGTTCTGATTTAGCTGTTGAAACTCTTTCCACACGAGATGATTTGACACGGCGCTCAGCAATGGATGAATTGATTGAGTTGGAATCATGGTTAGCATCCATGGTTTACAGATCTATTGAGTGTAAGATAAAGTAATGGTTACTTCGATGCCAGTAGTTTCCAAACTCGCCAGAAATTAAATTGTATTCTCAATGCAAATGTAAAAGATACGAATATTGATTTTGCTACAAAATAAGTCTAGCTTACTCATTATGTTCTGAACAATTTATCGTGAGAATAATGCTCTCAATCATGGCTAACAAAATTTAATAACATTTGAATTATTCAAGATGAGATGAAATATATCGAACAAATAATATATTGGTAATGATTTATGATCTACCAAAGTCAAAACAAAACCATAAAGCAAAACATGAAATTAGCATTACAATGTAAGACTTTAAAGCTAGCGACCGAGCAGTTTTAAAAGTATTTGAAACTTACCACAGACACCGAAGGATCAAACAAGATCACTAAACTAATATCGCAAAGTTTGAAACAGACTTCATTCAAGTCAGGAGAATTAATTAGAAACTATTTACTTAATATGTTGTTACTTAAAAGACACAACTAACACAATTGTAACATTTTATGAACAGATTGAAACAAAAATGGGCAAAAACGCGTAAAAATCAATTTATTTCAAAGTTAGACTCTATTGGTTTGTAGAAACATCAAAAATGCGTCCATTCGTAAAAATAAAAGATTTCTCTGATGAACAGTTCTCGAGAAGATCGGGTTCGAAGTTGAAACTTGCATAGCTTTTTGTACAATTATGGAAGCAGATTTTTTCATCAAGCTTATATCACTGATGTATCTTTTGATGATCAACCAGGAAATTTATTCATTTTGTGATATAGAACTTTTCTTTTTCTGTAAAACAGATCAGTTCGATTTTCTGTTAAAACGATCGTTTTATGTGACCATAATAGTTAGCGAGCTTAAACTTATTTTTTGTCGACGAAAATTGTTTGCGCACATAATGGAATGAATAATTTTTCCAATTTAACAGCAGTTCTCTTAATTTTGGACATTTGGCCTAAAACTTTGAGCCTCAATAATTCGAGAATCGCATCACCTAAAATCATCATTCTTTCGCCAATTTAATTCCCTACTAATTGCTGATTGAATGTGATTTAAATACTTTCCATTAGCGCATTTTGATCTTGATATTTGAGTTGTAAATGCACGGAAAACAACTTATTTCATTAAACAAAACTCAACAAAACCCATTTCTTGCTGAATAAAACAATTTTCTGGTTAAACTAACAACTCAAATGCAAAAAGTACTACTAAAGGCTCGAACATCTGGTTTAAGAGCTGAGACTTGGTTAGTTTGTAGTTACATAAAAACTTAGTTCATTGGTACATTTAAATGCTTCATCCGATGGACGATTTTCGAGATAATCGAGGTCAAAATTAAAACTTCGATCGCCTTTTCTCCAGCTATGGAACCAGATTTTTTCACGAAACTTATTTTACTGAAGTGTCTTTTGATGACCAAACAAGAAATGGTCTTGTTTTGAGGAATGACATTTTCTTTTTCCGTAAAACAGATCAATGCCAATTTGCAATTAAATCGATCGCATTCTGTGACCATAAGAGTTAAAGAGCCGAAACTCATTTTTTGTTTATAAAAATTGCTAACTTACATCAAGGATTGAATAATTTTATCAATTCATCAACAGTTCTCTTGATTTTGGCCTTTGTTTTAAAAACTTTGAACCTCGATATTTCGAGAATGGCGTCATCTATAATCATGATTTTTTCACCAAACATTAGATATCATTATGGCCTATAAAACCATATGAATAAATACCGAATAAAATCTAAGCTAGTTCATTTAATAATGCAGATCCTTCTAACAAACAAGATTTGTGTCTAGCTTTGTAAATCAAATCTCAAATCTGTCAACATAAATAATACAATGCTATAACTTTTTGCGTATGATCTTGGATGCTTTGATATTTCAATATATCATTGCCCAGAATAAAATCTAATATTTGGCCAAGAACGGTGCTTGTAGATGCTACCACTCTCGAATTATCGAGGCTCAAATTTTCAGGACAAATGTCCAAAATTAAGAGAACTACTGTTAAATTGAAAAAAGTATTCAGTTATTAATGTGAACCAACAATTTTTATCGACGTATAATAGGTCTCACAAGGTTGTCAGCTCTCTATCTCAAACGGTCACAGAATGCGGTCGGTTTAACTCATCTTGAACTTAATCTGTTTTACGGTAAAAGAAAGTGTCATTTCTCAAAATAAGACCGTTTTCTGGTTACTCATCAAAAGTTACATCAGTCACAAAAAGTTTCGTTCAAAAATCTACTTGCATATCTGAATAAAAGGCGATGGAAGTTTTAACTTTGACCTCAATTTTCTAGAAATTTGTCCATCAGATGAATTACTGAATGGCACCAATGAGTTTCAACTCTGAACTCGAATTTTCGGTCTTTTGGCAGTGCTTTTTGCATTTGATGTATAAGTTTAACAAGAAAGTTGGTTCATTTACCAAGAAATGTGTTAAGATGAGTTTGGTTTGTTTAATGTGTTGTTGCTTGTACATTTACAGCCCAAACATCATAACCCAAATGCACTAATTGAATGTTGTTGTATTGGATTGAGTTGTTAATTAGTAAAACATTGAAGGAGTGAAAAAATCATGATTATAGATGACGCCATTCTCGAAATATCGAGGTTCAAAGTTTTCAAAACAAAGGCCAATATCAAGAGAACTGTTGATGAATTGATAAAATTATTCAATCCTTGATGTAAGTTAGCAATTTTTATAAACAAAAAATGAGTTTCGGCTCTTTAACTCTTATGGTCACAGAATGCGATCGATTTAATTGCAAATTGGCATTGATCTGTTTTACGGAAAAAGAAAATGTCATTCCTCAAAACAAGACCATTTCTTGTTTGGTCATCAAAAGACACTTCAGTAAAATAAGTTTCGTGAAAAAATCTGGTTCCATAGCTGGAGAAAAGGCGATCGAAGTTTTAATTTTGACCTCGATTATCTCGAAAATCGTCCATCGGATGAAGCATTTAAATGTACCAATGAACTAAGTTTTTATGTAACTACAAACTAACCAAGTCTCAGCTCTTAAACCAGATGTTCGAGCCTTTAGTAGTACTTTTTGCATTTGAGTTGTTAGTTTAACCAGAAAATTGTTTTATTCAGCAAGAAATGGGTTTTGTTGAGTTTTGTTTAATGAAATAAGTTGTTTTCCGTGCATTTGTACCCAATATCAAGATCAGATGCGCTAATGGAAATTTTTTAAATTGAATTGAATCAGCAATTAGTAGGGAATTAAATTGGCGAAAGAATGATGATTTTAGGTGATGCGATTCTCGAATTATTGAGGCTCAAAGTTTTAGGCCAAATGTCCAAAATTAAGAGAACTGCTGTTAATTTTTAGCTAGCAAACAATTTTCATTGACAATTAATAAGTTTAAGCTCGCTAACTACTATGGTCACATAAAACGATCGTTTTATAAGAAAATCGAACTGATCTGTTTTACAGAAAAAGAAAAGTTCTATTTCTCAAAATGAATACATTTCCTAGTTGATCATCAAAGGATTCATGCAATGTTAGTAGTTTCATGAAAAAATCTGCTTCCATAATTGTACAAAAAGCTTTGCAAGTTTCAACTTCGAACCCGATTTTCTCGAGAACTGTTCATCAGAGAAATCTTTTATTTGCACGAATGGACTCAGTTTTGATGTTTCTATAAACCAATAAAGTCTAAATTTGAAATAAATTGATTTTTACCCGTTTTTGCCCATTTTTGTTTCAATCTGTGCATAAAATGTTACAATTGTGTTAGTTGTGTCTTCTAAGTTATAACATATTACATTATATGTAAGTAAATAGTTTCTAATAGTTTCTCCTGACTTGAATAAAGTCTGTTTCAAATTTTTTAATATTAGCTTAGCAGATCTTGTTTAATCCTTCGAAGTGATTATTGTATTGAGCAAAATCCTGTTTTCCATCATGATTCTTGAACTCATAACAAATATTTATAGTGATTGTTAGTGGCAAGTTTCAAAACTGTTCGGTCGATCAGCTTCAAAGTCTTACATTGTAATACTGATCTCATCTATTGCTTTGTGGTTTTTGTTTTGATTTTGGTAGATCATAAATCATTACCAATATATTATTTGTTCGCAGCTCAAAATATATCAAAGCTAATTCTGGAGTGAATTGCTGGTCAATTTGTTTATCCACTAATGGAACAATCTAATACGGGTTATGAACAGTTAAGTACAACAGAAATATCATTCTTTGAAATAATGAATTATAACTAGACTGTTACCAAAAAAATTTCTCTTTCTGTACAACAGATCAGTTCGTTTTTTATTTAAACCGATGTGACCGTAAGAGTTAGAGAACTTAAAGTTATCCTTCATTAATTGTTCATCAACGATTTTTTCCATTAATCCACAGTTCTCTTGACTTCGGCCATTGGTCTAAAAACATTGAAACCCAATATTTCGAGAATGGTATCAACTACAATCATCATTCTTTGACACCACATTAGATTTTATATTAGACTATATTTATTGAAATACTAGATCGTGCAAGATTATACAAAATTGGTTAAAGCATTTTATTACTTTAAGATATTATTTCATTAAGATTTTATGCTTGATTTATGCAAAGACACAGTTACAGTTAGCTTAAAAGCTTAAAAGATTAGCCAAACAGACCAGAATCGTTTGATTACTCATTGATAGATGACGACACTTATTCCAAGTTGAAACGGTTTTGTATTTTTTTGTATATTTTCATCTATTTTTGTATTTCCCTTCACTTGGATGGCCTTACATTCCGTATTACAGTGCACTTGAGTGTATCTGTTGGATCTACTCTTCTTACTGAGCATAAACCGTTGGGAGACCGGAACTCTATTCCTGTAATAATGTGAAAATGTTAATAAACTGAGTTTGTTTATTTTCGTTCAATGTCAATGTCTTTCAATCGCATGACTAAGGATGATTAAGTTAATGATTTTATGCTCATTATTGTAGATCCAATTCAATGTTAAACATTCAGTCTGTGTTTAACTTAAAATAGTTATAAAATACTCGCCGTGAAAGCCAGCAGACAATAAAAGCTTAAAACATATTGTAGATGATTTTATATCGATTTAATTTTCATTTCAATTGTTTGATACTAAATAGAAATTTAAGTATTAAATGATACATTCTAAATTGTGATTTACTAACATTATGAATCTATCGATAAGCTAAATTTTGATGAATTAACTTTACAATCAGATGGAATCGTGAACCTGTTTGAAGGCTGACTAGAAAAAATGGATTGTGTTTCCCAAATTGCCTATTTACACCCTGAAATATGATTACCGAATAAATTTTTCATCATAAACTTTACTAGCTATAACATGTTGGCGTAAGAAATGGAATGTTTTCAATCATAAAACATGAAATATTTTACCATGTAAACTGAAATTGAAAGGTGATGAGGAACGTGACGATAGAGATGAAGATTTAGTAGAGGAAAAAATGAGATGTAAGAGGATATAACTCTCAGCCAAATCTGATAAACGTGATTACAGTGGATAATCATTCATCGTTCAATTTACTGAAAAAATTATAACTTTCAATTGTAAATATTTACAAATCTCTTTCCAATAGTCAATTGTAAACTAGTTTACACTTTAGTTGTCCATTAGGTTTCATTTCTTGGTACCCTGGTCAGGGCTCCTGCCATCCATTTTTCATCGCTTTGTTTGTTTTCGGATTCTTTTGTATAGATAACCTTCAAGTAGCCAGGGTTGTTGAAAAAGCTAACAGGAATAATAAAAATTGGATATTTTCTTGATTAGTTTTGGTATGAGAAGGTGAAATCATGAATCAATAGATACAGGTTAAGTAAATGGAGAAAAAAATTCAAGAGATTGACTCGTTTCTTCTTCTTTTGCTTTTTGTTCTGAAAATCAACACAACAAACATGATGTTCAATTAGTTATTGTGACTGGTTTTTCCTATTTAATCCATCAAGTAATAGCCAAATCGCTCAACTTCAACATTACCATTTAATTTACTAATTACTCCTGTACACTCTAATGAAGTACTTTAAGCTTGATCATTTGGAGATTTGTCAGTTGATTCTGTTTCGTTTCTTACTGTCACTCCAGCCATCCATTAATGTCATTGTATTATCAACTGTAGAGTTGAATTGATGGAATGAACAAATTTCTGTCTTTCCTAGCAAGCATCGCTAATTAATATGATCAAGTCGCTTGGTTCCATTTGACGGACGATGATTTGATTGATATCTGATACTGAGTTAATCCAAATAAAGTATTAAAATCCAAATAAACGTGATTGACCCTTGACACGTTTTGTAATGAGTCTGCAATTACATTCAATTAAATGATATTATGAACTGAATCAACTGAAGCTTCCGGCTAAATGATTGAATTTTTTATTTGATTCATTTTTTTCTCCTTTCCATTGAAGTCCAGTCCGTCAAGTGAATCTGTTTGAACCAAAATAAACAATTAAAATTATTAGTAAATAAATTTTTCCGAAAAACTGAACGCTGTAAGGTTTTCAATGCACACACACACAGTAAGAGAAAAGTGAATGAAAAAGGATAAAAATTGAGAAAAATAAAAACTCATCTAATTGACCTTTTAACTTTTCAACAATAACGGTTAAGGAAAGAGATGAGCTTAAATTGATATAACGGAAAGCACACATTGGAAACAATTTAACTTTGATTTAGGAAAACTAAACAAAAAGAAAGAGGTTTACTTTAGCAGGATATAAAGCACACAAGTAACAGTAAAGTAAAAATTGAATCACCTCTTGATGAAAGTATCATTCCTTATCAAGTTATCGGTTACACTTTGAATGAAATATTTGGGAAGAATGAAGGTTTATTTAGAAGCACACAATTTATCCTTCAGCTTGTTCAACCAGCTTTGTTGATTCATACTTTAATCGCCCTTCATTTCAAGCTTAAACCAGTTACCTTGATTTATTTTTAGCGTCTTCACACCAACATTTTTTTGGAGGGATTTCATAAACAAGCGACACCTATCAGCATTCACCATCACAATTGAACATTTAATTACAGAATAATTCCAATTTCTGTGTTCTTGTCAACTGTTGATAAACTGATATAAATTAAAAGAATAACTTAAACATAATTTGATGATTAAATATCTCATATTCAATGATAACAATGATTATAAAAACAAAATAATATTGACTGCATTGTGTCGCTATCTGGTGGACAAATAAAGACTTTTTTCCTGCATTTGAGGAAATTGAGTCATAGTTGAGATCGTTTCTGAAATGGATCGTTCAATTTGTTCTTGATAATCCAAGTGTACATTTTTTGATTGACTTTATCCAATTGTTGACGGTTACCATTAATAATTGTAACTCTAAATCTCATTTAATTTGTGTATTTACCGTAAATTAAACCAAGGATCATATTAAACACTTTGAATCGTTTTGTTTTTTGTTTTCCTTCTCATTCTGTTGCTATTCAAGCTTTCCTTCTCTATCTTTAATCATCATCCTTTGTCAAAATACTTATATTATTGTGTCATTTATCATCCTCCGCATCATCATTATCATCATCATTAGATAGTGTGTCAATCAATTCAATATCTACTAGGTGATTTTGGACAAGAATTGCTATTGATTGATTTGTGTTTAATTTTTTCTTGTAACTGTTTGCCTTTACAACATACATTAATTGTTCTTCACTGTTCACTGTTTCTGTTGTCTCCAAAATGATGGTGGAAACATTTTACACCGTTATTATCATCAAAACACATCATTAACCTCAACTGTTTTCCATTGTGAGATTTACTCATCTCTTCATTATCAAGGTTACATTTGTTCAAAGGTAAGTTGAAGATAATTATTATTTTTAATTGTAATTGTAATTCCTCTCATAACCTGTAAGCAAAATATCTACATTACAAGATCAGAAAGCAACTTAACCAGAGAGACAAAAAAAAGTGGCAATCCTTGTAACAGGTTAACAACTCTACAACTGGTTATCGGCTTAAGCGGTTTTAACTGTAAAACCGGAACTTTGGTCATTCCAATGGTGACTCATAATTAATTATTTTGTTTACCGATATGAGCAGGAAATTACAATTTCAATTTAGCCAAGAATGTTACCCACTTGACTAGCCATTAACAGCTATCTTTTCCCATTACTTTTCCCAATACATTAAGATTTATTTTTGCATAAAAAAGCTTTTTTCAATTTTCCATTTTTTCCAATTCTTTCCATCCTTATTCCCATCCAAAAGTCAACATTGATTTATCAAATAATGATAAATATTGAAGTTAAACAAGGTTTTACATTGTTTAATCATTCTATTGTCACTTTATGATTCGTTCATTATCAAATTGTTGAGCGCAATCATCAGTCTCAATATTGTCATTAACAGCCATCAACATTTTACATTCACTAATCACTGCTATTTATTGTTGATAAATGTTTACGGTCTTACAAGTATGCTTACACAAAAAAACGTCGATTATCATCTCCATCATCACAATTATCATTTCAATGTGATGATGTTGCTTTTGTATTATATTTTATCATTTTATATAATACGTTGTAATCAAACAATATCATCAACTCAATAATGTTTATAAAGACAGACGCAACTCTATTATACCGTATTTCCGAACATATAACTTTTCCTCCTTTTTTGTCTCAATTTGAAGACACTTTTTTGCTCATCAATCTTCACTAATTTATTCTGGTCCTTCATCACATCAGGTTTTTTGTATGTACTTCTATGTAATTGCTTATCAGTGTTCTTATTTATGAAGATAAACATGGACTTCGCAGTGAGGAATTTCTGTTCATAAGCACAGTGCTTATATGTTCGGAAATACGGTAATCTTGCTTTTAACACTTTTCCTCCTTTTTTGTCTCAATTTGAAGACACTTTTTTGTTCATCAATCTTCACTAATTTATTCTGGTCCTTCATCACATCTTCATCATCATCATGCTCTTATACTTTTTTGTCTGATTCACTTGAAGGGTTATAAACATCTTTACTTGAATGCATTTACCGATTCTATTCTCATCTAATTTTTTTACTTTCAAAAAGTGATTGACTTATTTACTGTTCAGCAAATCATCCTCATCATCATGGTGGTCTAATGATTTTCATGTACAAATGAAAGTTCATAACTTGAAACAGTAAAGATTACAATTTAACTTAACAGTTTTCACTCATAAACTCAAATTAAATTGTAAATCAAACTGTGAAAATTGACTAATTTTACTTAGACCGTAAACCTGTTAAACAGCAATAATTTGTATTGCAACAATATATGAAATTAAAATGAATCACAATTTTATTTTCTCTCTGATCAATTGGGTTAATCAATTTAATCCAATTTTAGGTAAAATGTTAACCAAAAGTTCAAAAGGAAACCTTCAATCATTTGTAAAATAATTGAACAATTACGATAAGTCTACTTTTCATTATCAACTCACAAATTGTCTCATAACTGTTAACCTCAAAAAATTTGATTTCACCCAATATCTATCATTATTTATTTCATATTTTAATAATTATTCAGCTCATCAACTCAAGTTAATCTTTACCTTGAATTGAGTCTAACATTTAAATTATCAGGTCATTTGAATCTCACGTAACAATTTGTCCCTTTTATAAATCAATAGCAACTCAACTCTAACCATCCATTGTAACTTGATTTTTCAATTGATTAAATTCAATTGTTATCCTTTCACTTTTTTTCCCCTTTGATTACCTCTAAAAGTAATAGTTTAATCAAAATAAATGGCTCAAATATCCCAACCAAAAGCCCTGATTTAAAGTACACAAAAGACTCAATTGAACTGTATTGAAAGAAAGCCAATCAACAATTCATAAAAATCAAATGAAAACTATTAATCACCATTAATAAATGTCTCTAATGGTTAACATCGGATGAGGAAAAAGTTAACCTTTATTTACTTGTGAAAGTGTAAATAAAGTGAAACATATATTTTACAATAAAGACATTACTTTGAACAAACATTAGTTGATTTGATTGCTTCAATATTTAATCAACCACTCACTTGAGAAGTGAAAAAATTTACCTGAAAAATGATTGAATAGCGTTTTGTAAACCATTCTGTTTGCTCAATGTTTGTTATATCATGAAAATCAGTTTATGCTTTTAATCAGGTTCCCTTTTAAGCTGAAAATTACTTTATTTAGAAATTTAATTTAATCATAAACCTTGAATTGTTCAACAGCAATTGCCCCAGGAAATTAATCAATTCAAGTGTCTAAAGAACTGTGAAACTCTGTGTCGTTAAACTATCAAATATGCTTACATTGTTTTAAACCTTTTCAATAATTAAAGTTAATTTTACACAGAAATTGATTTCAATTGTGAAAAACAATTTACAGATAAACCTTGAAATATCATGAAATATCTCGACATATTTTTGTCTGGTTTTTCATCATTTTTCATCATTTTATCATCTTCTGAGTGAAGTCATTCTTTAGTCATAATATCTCATTTCAAGGTGTTCCAGGTCAAATTGTTTACATGAAAACGTCTTTAAGATGTAATGTGATTAAGCTGTGATTCAGAAGGAAGACAAAAAGACTTGTTTTCAGTTGAACTTTTCATGGCGATTATAGCGAAAACATTGAACTTGTAAAGGCGATTTGCAAAATAAAAACATGAGATGTCAATTAATATTAAAAGCTGTTTTTTAATTGTGTTATCAGCTTATTAATCTTGTTTACCATGAATCAAAGCCAATTGAAAGTAGCATGTCAAGGAAAACAAATTTGTAAAATAACTCCAAAACAAAATCAACATAAACCAATTGATATACACAACAAATTAAACCCTTGCAACTGTTTCATCTTTTTTTATAGCTTCTTGACAATTACAAAAAACAGCAAATTGCACAATTGTATTTTAATTGTTCAATTTAACGATCAATTCATTTACTGATTACAGCATTTAGAGTCAATTTATGCTTCAATTGAAAGTCATTGATTGTTACATAAAAGCAACTGTAATATTAGCTTGTTTCTTACATTACAAGTTAATCATGACGATAATGATTGTGAGTCTCATTCATATCCTCTTCAATTTCATCGTCATCGTAGGCGTTATTAATCACAGTTAATCAATGTTGACATAAACAACAATAAGACTTTCAGATTTGGATTTCACTTCCAAAAATGTTTCCTTTAGTCAATTCAATGAACGATTGTTAATTGTTATTTAGTAAATTAAATCAAGTCTAAGTGTGACAACAGCAACCAAATTTTTTATCATTTTACTTCCAAATTGTATTTTGACCTTTTCTGTTTTAAAGCCATTGATTGTTCAAACCAGATTTGATTTGATTACCGAATCAGTTCAACATTGTTTTCCCTTGAAAATGAATGGTGAATCAACTTCAATAATTAATTTAAAAGTTAACCAGAATTGCTTTTATTACATTTATCTTGATCATCTTGATCATCATTATTAAATCAGATTACATTGTTATTTCCCATTTCCTATCCAATCTTGGCTTACATCAGATTGTTAATCCAATTTTGGCTCATTTCATTGGTTCATTTTTTCTCAATCTTCAAATTCAATTTAAGATCTGAGAGGAAAGATGAACATTTAACTTGATCAATTTCAATTCAATCAACTAATGATAAACATAACTGTCTAATCAGTTATAAACTATTGTCGACGATTGAACTAGTTAAAGCATTTAACCAGAAAAATACAGTTATTAGTAATAACTTTTTATTAAATAGTTCAGTTAAAATATTCATCTCAAGGGATCTCATGATTTATCTAAAATTATCCCAATTTAAAGCGAAGCAATACTTTAATGGATGAATCTTATTGATGGTTACAACTGAAACTGAAAATTTTATTTTAATCTCGCGAGAATCAAATGATGAAAGTTCCAATTGATAAAAAATGGGTTAAAACTCATTTATGTCAATTGCTTAAAAGTACAGTATCAGTTGACAGACTAAACCCAAATGAATGAAACCATTTCATCCAAACATCATGATCCATGGCTCAAGTTGACAGACAATTTGATATCGCACTAATTCAACATAGTTAATCAAATCTGCTTTATTCTACCTTTGTACCAAACGATTATAATGAATCCAAGAAATTAATATCTTTGATAATGAAATGTTAACTGTTGCAGTCAATTTAAATTGCGAATTAAAACAGCTGAAAAGGACAATATTTCATTAAATCTGATCTTCCAAAATTTGCTTCAATATTTATACATTTACCATTAAAACAAGTTAACTGTGTTTGCCTTTTCAGGTTGAGTTTATTGACTTTTCTGGTATCATCGGGTTATTTTGCATTATGATCAAAGTAACAAATTGATTACAATTGTTCAGACCTAAAACAAGATTATTGTTATTTTTTCTTGTCTGGAATTGATTCTGATAAAACATTCACTTGAATATTGCACTCGAGTTTAGTGACTTTGCCTAGATGAGGTTATTTTGCATTATTATATTAATATTTGATTCTGATAAACATTACAGTTTTAAACGAGTCATTAAGGAAACATTTACATTTGATATGCATTATCAACTAAATGACATTTCTTTCATTTAATGCAACAATCAATTTGTATCAAGCTGGACAATTAAAGACAGTTGAACTTATAAGGGAAAAATATGTTTTGTATTAATACCTTTTTGGGTTTCCTAGTATTTGCTACGGAACTCAATGCTAATGGTTACCCTTGCCATCTATTAATAGCATTGATTGATTATTTGTCCACTTTATTTCAGATGGTCCCAGCCAATTGATTAAATTGACTAATACCAGTATACTGTGATACTTGTTACCTTGATATTTCCAGGTACCAAAGAAGATTGAAATAATCGTTTTTGATAATACTTTTGTTTTGTCGTTATTAAGCCTGGATTGAAGAAGAGTCTATAAAATGTATTATAAATAAGTTATGATGCATTTACCTGTAAAACAAGTAACACGAAAAGGGAATCGCTTTAGGTTTTATTTTGCTTTAAAGCTGAACCACTGAATGCTAGTTTGTCTCGCTTCACTCAAATCACTACAATGCATATTAATGGGTAAAAAAGTGAAAAAAACCAGAAAAAAATGTTTTATAAATAAACTGAAATGAAGCAAAAAATTGTTAAAACCTAATATCGTATGCAATTATAATTGTAACAAAAGGAAGCAAAAAACTTCCAACTTAATTATTTAAAAGTAACTTTTAGGCGAGTTTATATTTAGATTCACTTTTCCTAATTAAATTATCAAACTAGGCTCTTGTAAGTTAAAATCTGGTTCAAAGTCAGTTTGAGTCAGATTAACCTTTCGATTTTTTAACCTAAATTTATGGTTCGTAAACTCAACAAGATTAGTAAACTTTGAAATGATTACAAACTGTTCGCTTATTGTTAATGTTAATAAGTCTTATAGTTAACAATTTACAGTCTCAGGACTCATGTGAACCAGAAAAAAAGGCGAACACGAAAAATTCAAGATGAAAACCAGAACCGTAGTAAATAAAACTTGCCATTAATCATAGCCGATGTTAATGACTGGATAACATTGGTTGTTCAATTGTTGCAAATGATTATAAATTTATTTGAACATCTTTAATCTTACATTTAAAAATTGATTAAATGTTAAGAGTTAACAGCAGTAAATGGGGGAAACTACATGCAAAACTCCAGTTGATTAGAGGTTATTTTTTAGGGTAAGCGACGATAGTCTCTTTAATGGTCATTGTTACATCAGTCTCTCGAATGATGACAACCTTACCAGACTGGTTTCCTATTGATAATTGTTCTATTGGTGGAATAAAACCGTTTACTTTAGGCCATTTGATGCATTCGGATGGCATTTTTAAAGGTGATAGTTTTCTGATTAAATCAGTAAATCACTAAAAATTAAACAAAATTGATGAACAAAATAAATTGGACGCTGAATGATCAATCACTATGCAAAGCAAGAAATCAAAACTGTTCAATAATAAACCTTTTCACTAATACTTATGATACTTATTGAATAAACATATAGCATATCAACATATCTGAAGATATTTTCATGTCGATAATGTTTTTTTCAAAATAATATCGTAGACTAATTTAGCAAGTTGAAGAGCACTCATTCAAAGTCATTAAACTAGATAATTTTTTAAGTTGATTATGAGATAAAATATCACGCTTCGCCTTCATGTTTAATAACTTGACGATATAACGTAACTATTATAACGATTGAAGTTTTTCCCCATTCATCTTTAAACACATCATAAGTGTCCGGTTAAGAAGTAAACAAAACATTTCAATGAGTCAAGCCGCGAAAATTGATCTAGATTAAGCATTTTATCGATTCAGATTAAATTTATTAATCTACATTGATTAATTTTTAATTAAGATCTTTGCCTAACCACATTCACCTTAAAGTTGCTCAATCTCACATAGAACTAAGAAATATGGTGAAATTTTATTCTACTTCAGATATTTAGGTGAATTCACTGCAATAAAAATTCAGCATCATTTAGTCGCATGCACGTTAACAATAGCACTCAAATAATTGATATAATCATTGATTTAATACGCTTTGTCGATTTGTCTCTCATGTTCTCGTAGCAAGGCTTTAAAATCACAATCAACGGTGAGAGTAACTTCAACGGTGTTTTCAGAAGTTAATTGCTATCTCTAGGTCTATTGTACTTGAATTGTAATTTATTTATCATGTTATTCTGTGAGTGACTATTTTGATTACAATGTTACTTGGACTTGAAGTTAATTTACTAAGGTCTCCATTGGATTAATCTTGAATAGTAAAATAGTGTGAATTAAGATTCATCCAGAATAAAACTGTTCATGAGTTCATCTTAATCTATATCATCTTGCAATACCAACTGATTCTTATAGTTATCAATATAATTTACAGTCTCAGGACTCATGTGAACCAGAAAGACGAAAAATTCAAGATGAAAACCAGAACCGTAGTAAATAAAACTTGCCATTAATAATAGGCAATGTTAATGGCTGGATAACATTGGTTTTTCAATTGTTGCAAATGATTATAAATTTATTTGAACATCTTTAATCCTACATATAAAAATTGATTAAATGTTAAGAGTTAACAGCAGTAAATGAGGGAAACTACATGAAAAACTCCAGTTGATTAAAGGTTATTTTTTAGGGTAAGCGACGATTTTCTCCTTAGTGGTCGTTGTTACATTAGTCTCTCGAATAACGACAACCTTACCAGACTGGTTTCCTATTGATACTTGTCCTATTGGTGGAATAAAACCGCTTCCTTGGATTGCTTTCTTTGGAGGCATTTTTAAAGGTGATAGTTTTCTGAACAAATCAGTAAATCACTAAAAATTATACTAAATTGATGAACAAAATAAATTGGACGTTGAATGATCAATCACTATGCAAAGCAAGAAATCAAAACTGTTCAATTGTTAACCTTTTCACTATAAAGGATGAAACATTAGCATCACTGTCGATATCATCATTGTATCTTCAAATGATTATATATATTGTGTATTGATATGATACTTATTGAATAAACATTAACATATCAACATATCTGAAGATATTTTCATGTCGATAATGTTTTTTTTCAAAATAATTTCGTAGACTAATGCTGCAAGTTGAAGAGCATTCATTCAAAGTCATTAAACTAGATAAATTTTTTAAGTTGATTGTGAGATAAAATATCACGCTTCGCCTTCATGTTTAATAACTTGACGATATAACGTAACTATTATATAAACTCATGTCATTCATAATTCATATCATCCTTTTATCTTTGGATTATTTACCGGGAAAGGTTCATCTTTTTGATTGTTTACCTCAAACCATTTTGGTTAATAACATTATTGATGTGTTCATTTCAACCTTATTCATTTACTAAGGTTAACCTTGAATGTTGCTTGATTTATGTTTCTAATTTTGTATTTTTTCACTGTTAAATGATTTGTAACCAAATGACAGTCATGTTGATGAATGATTCAGTAAATGATTGAGTTTACCCTTTGCCCTTTTCAGGGTTAAACTCAATTTTATGTCTTGACGTTGATCAACTTTTAGTAGGTTGACAATTATTTGAATCACAAAATCACTTTCATTTATTATGAATAATAATGGCGTTATTAGCAAAAAGAATCAGAAAAATGTGAACAAAATTTAGATGCTTTTTCCTTGTTCACTGTCACTTCAGGTTCACAATTTTGCCTTTTATATCCATTGAGTTCAGTCTAGTGCTGCCAACCACTGATCAATAAATATATTACTGTGATTATCAATTCAGTTTAATTTATCTATTAATGTACTTTATCTGCGATTCTGCTCAATTAGTCTACAGAATACAATGATCAGTTCCGTTGCACGAAACTTTTCATTAACAATTGAAATGTCTTTTTCAATGTTTTCTTTATTCGATCCATTATTGGTTTTTGATCGCTTCTGATTTATACCCAAATTAACCTTATTAATCTGAAGTTAACATTTTCTCGTTTCCATTGCCTTTATTAAATTAATAATTAGAGGAAGCGCATGGACGGAAAATTTAATGCAATAAAATATTTCCTCTGTTCATGAGTTTCATTATTTGAAAAACAGATAATCTGATAATATGTATTATTGTTGTTGAGTTCATCACAACTTCAAAATGTTGACAAGATAATTTGTTACCACAATTTGGTTGAGTACAGAGTTAATTATGAATTCAAGATCATTGAATTTCAACCTTTCTTCTGAGGGCTCAAACCAGTTACAATTGATTAAGCAGTGCTTTCATTTTTCTAGATTAATTGTTACTTGAAGGATATATAACTAAATTAGGCTTTTTTATCTAAATTGTCAAACTAATAAACATATTATTACACTCTTAATATCCCTAATATTGTATGAGACTAAAGTATCTCTTTTCATCTTCACTTACAATAGAAGATTTAAGTTAATTTTATTCCATCATTTTCTGGTAAATTATATTGCAGACAAAATGCAAAATAATTGTTATCGACAACCCATTTAGCGCAATTAAAGTTGCTCAATCTCACATAGAATCAAGAAATATGGTGAAATTTTGTTCTACTTCAGGTATTTAGGTAAATTCACTGCAATAAAAATTCAACATCAGTTAGTGGCATACATGTTAACAATAGCACTCAAATTATTGATATTATCATTGATTTAATACACTTTGTCGATTTTGTCTCTCATGTTCTCATAGCAAGGCTTTTGACAATCGACGGTGAGAGTAACTTAATCATGTTTTTATCAGAAGTTAATTGCTATCTCTAGGTCTATTGTACTTGTATTGTAACTTATTTATCATGTTATTCTGTAAGTGACTATTTTTATAAGTACAATGTGACTTGGACTTGAAGTTGATTTATTGAGGTCTCCATCGGATTAATCTTGAGAAAAATAGTGTGAATTAAGATTCATCCAGAATAAAATTGTTCATGAGTTCACCTTAATCTTATACCATCTTGCAATACCAACTGATTGTAGTTTGGTTGAGTTGTAAAATAATATAAAATATAATAATTATGCTTTGATCAAATTAATTCATTTGGTTGTCTTGAGTCGAAGGAAAATCTCTAAGCTTCGAATTGATTGAAGCCTTCAAAGCTTTTTTGTTGTTACTTCTTTACTGTTCAATAAGTATTTAAATTTCAATAAAAATGGGTCTTCAACCAACAATCAGCAAAAAATCATCATTTGATCGAGCCAATTTTTTAAGCAAATTAGTCTTTTGGTGAGTAAATTGAATTTGTTTTGATCATTATATTATAAGCTATTAATTGTGATAAATCTATCCGAATAGGTGGTTAACAAAATTTTTCATTGAGTCTCAAAATAAACGACTGAAAACTTCTGATCTTGAAGTTTGTCCCAAGTCGACAGCATCCGAATGGATTGGAAGCAAATTAGAAAAGTAAATAAGAAAAACTTTGTCATCTGTTTGAACCAACATTGATTAACCATTTCTTGTTTCTTATAGAGAATGGGTGAAAGAATTAAAGAAAAGTTCCAAAGATCCAAAAGGTGGAGGAAAAAAGCCAAGTCTTGGTTGGGCCATAATTAGAGCCATTGGACCCAATTACTCATTTTCATTCATACTTCTAGTTTTTCAGGTAATGATTTTTGCTTATAAATAAAACTTAATTCTTTTAGAGAGTGAATTGACAGTTGATTCTAGTGTGGAACTAACTCCAGTGCTGTATCAACTTGATGAATCATTAGAAATCATTTCAATTATTTTTAAATTTTCAATTCACAGAATATATTTCCTTTTGTGCAAACATTATTCATGGGAGAGTTGGTTGATCTAATTTACCAAATGAGTAAAGCAGGAGCTGACATACAATCAATAAAAACTAAAATCTATTATTATGGAGCGGCAGTCGTCGTCTCTCAGATATTGGGTTCATATACGAACAACTACTATTGGTTTTATGCTCGTAGAGGAGGACTTGAAACCCGTGTTGCCTGTAGTCGCTTGATTTACCATAAAACACTGAAATTATCTCAGAAGGCATTGGGCCAAACTACAACCGGTCAAATTGTTAATCTACTATCAAATGATGTTGCTCGTTTTGATTATGCCGCTGAGTTTCCATTCTTCTTCATCTTTGGACCAATTCAAGTAGTTCTTTATCTTTGGATTCTATGGCCTCAACTCGGTATTTCTGCTGTGGTCGGTTTTATAGTTCTTTTCCTTTTCGCTCCTTTCCAAACCTTCATGGGAAAAGCTTTTGGTAAACTTCGTACTGCTGGAGCTATCAGAACCGATGAGAGGATAAGATTAATGAATGAATTTATTCCCGCAATGAGAGTTATTAAAATGTACGCTTGGGAAAAGCCATTTGCAGCACTTGTGGATTACGCACGTAAACGTGAAGTAGCCAAAATCCGAGGAGCCGCTTATTTGAAGGGAGTTAATTTAGGTGCTGGAACAGTGTCAGAAAAGCTCATCATGTTTTTAATTTTGGTTGTGTTCATTTTAACTGGTCATCACTTGACTGCTAAAACAGTATTCGTTGCAATGGCTTTGGTACGACAATTACAATATACAATCACATTCTTCATTCCTTTGGGTATTTCATCGGGTGCCGAAGCTCTGATCTCGATTAAGAGAATCCAAAAGTTCTTAGAGCTACCAGAGCTGGAAGAAAATAATTCTCAGAAAAGCAATAATTGGAAAACTTCAGAACCAGTCATTGAGTGTAAAAATGTGGAGCTGAGATGGAGAGATGATCATGATCCAGTCTTATCCGGAATAGATTTTAAAATTACAAAGAATCAATTGTTGACCGTTATTGGTCCTGTTGGTTCGGGTAAATCTACGCTTTTAACATCTCTTTTGGGTGAAGTAAAGCCAAGTAAAGGAACAATGCAAGTTAGCGGTAAAATGTCATATGCATGTCAACAAGCTTGGATATTTGCTGGTAAGTTGCTTTGAGCTTTGAATACTATTATAGCCTTTGTTGGAGATTATATTATATTTGTAATTTATCTGGTTGTTGTTAAAAAGATGATGAAAAGGATGATTTATTGTAAATGAAAGTAATTATTTTTAGATCAAACATCTAATTTCTGCTTTCTTTTTTCATTGCAGGAACTGTTCAAGAAAATATTTTGTTTGGAAATGAATTTGACTCAATTCGTTACAAGCAGGTTATCCATGTTGCTGCTCTTGAGAGAGACATGAAAATATTACCTGCTGGGGATCAGACGGTTGTTGGTGATCGAGGAGCTTCATTAAGTGGAGGTCAAAGGGCTAGAATAAACTTGGCTCGAGCTTTATATGCTAAAGCAGATATCTATCTTCTTGATGATCCTCTTTCAGCTGTCGATGCTCCCGTTGCGAAGCACATCTTCGAGAAAAGTGTCAAAAGCTTTTTAAAAGATAAAATTGTGGTTTTGGTTACACATCAGTTACAATTCCTTAAACAAGCAGATCGAATATTGTACTTGAAAAATGAGAAACAAGTTTGTTTTGGGGATTACACTGAATTTTTAAAGTTAGGTGCTGATTTCATCGAAGGAATAGCATCTTCACAACCTGACAAACATGCTCCAGCTGAAAAGAAGGTCACACGAACATTGAGTAAACGTCTTAGCCGTCAATCTTCCGTTGCATCGATCATGACCTCTGCAAGTATACTAGATGACGATATAGTTGAAGAATTCAATCCTCACAAAGGTCACGAAGACGATGACGAAGATGCAGATGCCAATGAACTTGGAGTTGTATCGAAATCTAATTCTCTTTGGACTTACACCAAAGCTGGAATCGGACCATTATTATTGCCTTTTTGGTTTATTTATATTAATGGAGCTCAAGCTCTAATCTCTTTCATTGAATATTATTTTTCACTCTGGACCGACTCCGAACAGCGAAGAGCCATTGCACTCACATCGGGAAATGAAACTCAATTCGTGCCTTTAAATTTCGTGGACAATTTCAGTGTCATGACTAACATCTACTTCTTTACTGGATTAACAATAGCTTTAACAATTTGGTGCTTAACTCGTAACATTGCCTTTTTCGCAGCTTGTATGAAAGCTTCTATCAAACTTCATGATAATTTATTTAAAGCTGTTGTCCGAGCTCCAATCTCATTCTTTGATAATAATCCACCAGGAATCATTCTTAATCGTGTATCTCGAGACATGGGAATGGTTGATGATTTTCTTCCTGCCACAATGTTCGACACTTTATTCTGTTTATCAACTTGTGCTGGACAAATTATCTTAATGGCTGTCGTTAATGGCTATCTTGCTATACCTTCATTACTTTTGCTCATTGTTTCATACATTGCTCGAGCTTATTATGTTAATATAGCTCGAGATGTAAAACGATTGGAAGGTGTCACCAAAACTCCAGTTTTCTCTCATTTGTCTACATCAGTTTCAGGCTTAACAACAATTCGAGCTTTTGGAGTTGAGAAACGATTCAATGAAAATTTTGATCTATTTCAAGATGAACATTCTTCAGCTTATTTCACATGGATAGCTTCATCTCGATTCTTCATCAGTCTAGTTTACACCATTTCAAATGTTTACAGTGTTCTAGTTATGGTCATAATTCTAGTTGTTATGGACTCTCTCAATGGAAGTAGCATTGGTCTTGTTATCTCATCAAGTATTGCCCTTGCAGGTCTTATTCAGTGGGGTATGAGACAGTTGACTGAAGTTGAAACAATGTTAACCTCAGTTGAACGAATCGATGAACTCAGTTACATCAAACCTGAAGCTGAATTGGATTCAACACCAGCAAACAGGCCATCAGAATCATGGCCTGATAGTGGTAATATTGAATTCAAGAATGTTTATCTAAGATATGATCTATCAAAACCTCCAGTATTAGACAACTTGAACTTCTCTATCAAGGCAAGAGAAAAGGTTGGAATTATTGGTAGAACAGGAGCAGGAAAAAGTTCAATCATGACTGCCTTATACAGAATGACTGAACCTGAAGGACGTATTATCATCGACAATGTAGACATTTCTCAGATTGGTTTGCATGACTTGAGAAAGAAGATCTCGATTATTCCTCAAGAGCCGATTATATTTACGGGAACAGTTCGTTACAATTTGGATCCATTTAGTTTGAAAACTGATGCTGATTTATGGGAGGCTTTGACTCAAGTTCAATTGAAACGAGCTGTCGATGAAATGGGTGGATTAGATGCGAAAATAACTGATGGTGGAACCAATTTAAGTGTCGGTCAAAGACAACTTGTTTGTCTTGCTCGAGCTATCCTCAATAATAATAAGATTTTGGTTCTAGATGAAGCCACTGCCAATATCGATCCATCAACCGATGAGTTGATTCAACAAACAATCCGAAAACGATTCACTAATTGTACAGTTCTAACAATTGCCCATCGTTTACACACTGTTATGGACTCAGATAAAATTCTAGTCATGGATGCTGGTCATGTTGCCCAGTTTGGTGATCCAGCAAGTTTAGTCAAAGATGAATCTGGAATACTTTATTCAATGGTACAAGCAACTGGAAAAGAATCAGCTGAAAACTTAATCAAGATAGCAATGAAAAGGCGATTGAGCCTTAAAGGTTTTGAAGACTCTCAAGAATAATCAACAGCCATACAATTCTTAAAGAACTTAAAGAAGAAAAACAACAGAAAAGCACTTAATGTACAGAAAAAACGCAATTAATTGTTAAGAAGACAAATCACAGTCTTTAATTATAAATGTAAAATCTTGATCCAGAATATCAACTCAAATTTAAATCTCCCTTATTACAAATGCAAAAATATTCAAATTTTTCATCTGTAAAATAGGAGATTAAAACTAAAAGGTAGTTAAAATTTAGCTGAGTTCTGGATCAAAATTTTCATCTTCGACGATGAGTGAAACTATCAAGTAAAAAGACCATTATTATTTACTCACCTTAGTTGAAACAGCATTGAACTAAATTATTATTTATCATTTAACCCTTATAGTTTCATAGACAAATCTAAGCAAGAAAATGCTTCTATTGATAATAAGGTTAAATCATGGGAAAATACGTTATTACAAGGTGAGAGGTTCAATAAACTTGAACTTCAGATGATCGAAACGACTTTCGATGATTTTTTGATTACACATTTCACAATTTAATATTGTGTTTAACATTTCACGATATCAACGAAACATTTAACGGTTGATTCAATTGTTAACCTTTTCACAATTGAAGGCATTTGTCCATTTCATCAACATTATTTGAAACACAATAAATTTGTTGCTTTTGTCTTTCATTTATTTTCATTCGATCAGGCATCTACCTGATTCATAATGAAAATAATGAAAGGATTGATATTTGATCGCAATAAATGAGCTTATTGATTGTTTTAAGGTAAATAAACTTAAACTTTGTCTATAATACAATCATTATGGTAAAGTCAAAGTGAAATTTGAATACCATTAACGGTGAAAACAACGATTTCACATTTCCACCAACAATCAATGGTTATTAATCGATTCATCTTCCTCCACTTTGCATTACATTTCAACGACCTTTTTTTGGTTGACTGTTTTTAAACATTACCATCAAAGTGAACCTCATCATTGTTATCATTTTACATTGATCATACCATGATGATGATATCATTATTATCAAATGGTTAGTCAATGTTTACCCTGTTTGTTGAATATACACTGTATTTTCACTGGAAAATGATTTTCCAAAATACAAGTTTTGCTTTGCACTTTCATCAAAAAAGGTTTGGTTGAATAAATGATCATAAAAGATGTTCAACTTCAACTAAAAGACTAATGTTTTCAACCCAACCTCATTGATGATTTGATTCAATCATCACTATTAACCTTGAAAATTGAATTGTCATAGGAAAACATTATCTAATTGTTTCAATTCCTATTGCTTCACTTAATTTGGTATAACAAAAACAACTTGCAATCGCAACTAGCGTTGATTTGTTGCTATGGTGAAAAATTGCTAAGAATCAGAAAGATAAAAGCTGTTGATGTTTCGATGTAAATTGATTAAAGATTTAATTGTTTTACTGGTTTTTGTCTCTGATTCAGATGATTCCAGGCTGTTAACTTGTTCAAATAATCCTGTGATGATAGATAAACATTGATTAAGTAGCAAAAAAAGTCCCTCCTGGACAAGAGCCATTAATTATTAATGTTTACATGAAAAACTCATGAATGGAGTTACATTTGAGTTTCTATTTTTGTTTCACCTTTTCTGTTTCACTTATTTTCAGTTTCATTGAACAGTCAATGATTCTGTAAATTTGCTATATTTAATGATTACAGTTACAATCTTAATTAGTAAAGGTGTAACTCAATTAGGAAAAACTTCCGATTGATTTGATTTCATTTATTTTCACGGTCACAATGGTTTACTCGTTGATGGTGATTATAGTGATGAACCTCATCAGTATTGATTAAAAAGACCAGACTGGGTGTGGTGTGTGTAAATTGTTAATATAAATGATAATTAACTTTCATCTTTCAAGCTGACAATTCAATGTCAACCTTACCTTAAATTTAATATTCAACCAATTTCATTTCCTCAACTCATTTCTCACAAATGAATATTGATTTGTTAAACTGACCGAAAAAAGGTTTGCTTTTAAAACTGGTTCACTAAACAATTTATTGTTTAATTTATTTATTGTTTCAAGATGATAATCATTTGACTCTGGAGTAACATTAATTAGTTAAATAATAATCTTTACCTTAAACACAATTAAACAGTAAAATGAAATTACGTTTAATATTGTTTACTGTTCCTATGGTTGTGTATATTTTTTTTCATACAACAATCACTTTGCCAAGTTTCGTGTTAATACAAATAATAGCGTTAAACATTTAACTTGAATACATAACAAACTGTGAAAATATTAATACAAATGTATTAACTTGCGTTATTTATTATTTATGTTATTATCTTTGTGAGTTATTTACCTGGAAAGGTTGACCTTTTCTGGTTTACCCAAAACCTTTACAACATTATTGATGTGTTCATTTCTGGTAACCTTTGGGTTAACCTTGAATGTTGCTTGATTTATGTTTCTAATTTTGTATTTTTTCACTGTTAAATGATTTGTAACCAAATGACAGTCATGTTGATGAATGATTCAGTAAATGATTGAGTTTACCCTTTACCCTTTTCAGGGCTAAACTCAATTTAGATGTATTGACGTTGATCAACGATCTAACAGATCACAATTGAACCATCATCCAATCTATTCCTGGATAATAATGTTGTCAAGGAACCAGAAAAAATTAGGTTAAAAAGTAAAAGCAAATTGTCTTCAATTATAATTACTTTCATCTTTAATTATCAAAATTTATTGTCTTACCATTAGACTATTTTACTCAATTGAGGGCAAAATTGTTGTTAATGTTGTAAACATAATGTCGCTCTAATGATTACGATCAACAAGGTTGTTGATTTGATTGTTTACAAGGACTGAACATGACCTGAAGTTAGCCTCACTTGGCTTGTCTTTCAGCTCAAGGCGTTTGAGTTTAAGCTTTTGTCTTGAAACAAAGAAAGTTAATCTTAGCGATATTTCCTGATCTTTAATCATTGGTTTGATTTTACTAATCATGCATTTTCCTGGGAATCACTTAATCGGTTTTATTTTTGCTGATTATCAGGAATATTATCGTATTTGAATTTATCTATGGTTAGATTGATATTCAAGATCAATTGTTATTCTTGGTCCATTCATAAACTCGATTCAACCCTGAATCATAACGACAACGTTCGCTTTAAATTGTGACAACTTCCTGACAATTCGTATTCGTCAATTAACAACATCCTTTTTTACTTGAAATGCTCACTATTCAGCAATATGTTGCAATTTATCAGGAAAATAGGTTTATCCATTCAATTGCCTTTCGATACACATTTCCAACTAATTGTTAGCTTAATTACAACCACTATTATTGTCATGTTTTGTATTGTTAACAAGATAATTAATTCCTCTATTTCTTATCAAGCTCCCAATTTGAACTTTTATCATAATCTTTGAACATTGATCGAGTTGCATTGATTTAGTCAGAGATATTTTTTAACAAATTGCCGATAATTAATGTAAAAATTTAGATACAATCAATTTACTGTTAAATTCACAAAAAATATTTCAATAAATTGACTGAGGCGAGGTTCAATTGAATATTATCATTTGCTGATTAAAATCATAAGTTATATTGAATTATTATGAATTTTAGCTTTAATTTAATCTTTGTTTTACCTCAGAGAAGCTGGAAATAATCAAATTTTTTAATTGCAATTGCTCATTTAATCAAAGTGAAGTTTATTCATTCAATTTTAAATGTAATTTGAAGGCAACGCCCGTTTAACCAACTTTTACAGTCGCCATCTATGATTTTTCGAAAGATTTTCAATTGAAATTTCTTACTTTACTGAAAGCTTTGGCTTTGAGTTTGCTCGTCACTTGTGCATGCGCATTAACATGACCTTACACCAGCGTATTGATTAGACTAAATATAATTTTTACTTGTTTCCTTTTAGTAATGTGCAATCTTAATCATTATTTATTTTGGTTGTAAATAATTAGTAACACATTGGTACTATAGAGAGTCAGAATCTTCTTTTCATCTTTATTGGCCTACTAGGCTCAATCTGTATCCACTAAGAGTAGTTATACTTTGTAAGTTTGTGCTCCCTCTGACCTTATATCTGCATTCCTTTATTTTTTTTTATTTATTTGTCACCATTGTTTGTCTTGGTTTTTCTAATGTTCTGACTTTTCTATCTATTTTCTCATCACCAGGTAAATTGTTCTAATTGCTTGTCAAAAGGCATTGTCACTCTTCAAAAATGGTTAGTGGTGGATCAGGTGTGTCTACATCATCAACATCTAATGCAACATCTAATTCAACATCTGAAGCTTCAAGCGAGTATCCAAAAGAACAGTTAGAGGCTGGCCGTGGGGTTAAGCGTTGCAAAAATCCCTGTAAAAATCATTGCAAAAATCCTTGTAATGTCGTTATCATTGCGAATCATCATTTTAATAATCAACAAACTTGTGTAAATCGTAATTACGGTGATGAGGACTATTGCCGGGCTATACTTGCTTTTCTATTTGCCTTTTTTGGAATGGTCTCAAATCTAGTTGTTCTAGCAGTAGTCCATGAAAGGGTACCAATGGACATTACACATCCTTTACCAGATTTAGGATTTGATCTCCTGCCACGAATAGACTGGACACTGGATGTTGCTGAATACATAATCATTGTTGTTTCTTGTCTTGTTATTTTTTTACTCTTCATTCACAGATATAGAGTTGTAATATTGAAAAGAATTTCACTGATGATGGGAATCATATATTTAATTAGGGGTGTCTGTATGATATCCACAGTGTTTCCACTGGCTAATAGGCTTTATCATTGTGAACCTCAACTGCATAATGGAACCCAACCACTTGACATCTCATTTGGAGAATATGTGTCCATAATAGCATCAAGAGTTGGATATATGCTTTTAGGTTTTGGTTTGTCCATTAATGGACGACACAGTTATTGTGGAGATTACCTTTTTAGTGGACATACAGTCATTCTCACTTTAGGTTTTCTTGTTTTAAGAGAATACCTTATGCCATCAAGATGCCGAACAATTGCTTGGAAACTCTTCCATGTTTTGCTCTTCCTATCCTGTTTTGGAGGTGTGATATGTGTGATCATTTCTCGAGGTCACTATTTGATTGATATCATTTTGGCGTATTACGTTACCACTATGGTCTTTTGGATTTATCATACATTGGTTTATAATCACTCATTATTGACTTCATCATCAACTAATTATTTGTCTCGCATTTGGTGGTTCCGTATGCTTTTATTCTTTGAAAAGGTTCAGAACTGTCGAAATTTGAATTGTGATCACCCTCCCTGCCAATCCTGTAAATGTGATTCACCTGTTCCTGTAATACCAAGATCTTTAGAATGGCCTTTACCATGGCCTCGCTTCCTTAGGAGAAGAAAATTACCTGGTTCTCAGCAAAGACTTTTAACAACACAAGTTGCATGAGTGAAGCTGCCATGGTAAAGCGTAGTAAATAAAAATATTGGAAGGAAATAAACGAGAGCAAAAACCAAACATAAAAAAGGAGATGAATTGATGTTTCTAGTTGTAAATGTATTTTTTTAACCAAAGTGAAATCTACGCTCATTTCATCAAAATTCCAAGTAGGAGAAAAGAAATTGCCCGAAGTATTTGAGCTTTGTCCTTGTCCTCAAATTTTGGTTGTTGGTCAAAGTTTAGTTCAGGTAGCCTAGGTTACTTTTCGGATAATTATGGGACCAAAAACTAGTCCTTGAACACTACGCTAGAAGAAACCTGAAAAATAACCTTGGCTACCTTTAACCTTAAAAATTTTGACCAATCAACATTTGAGAACAGAGACATGGCCTTAGGCATTCTGTCAATTTCCTTTTTCTCCTACTTATTCTCATCTTCTGTACTCTAATACGAACTCAATCCTCTTCAAAAAGACAACCTAAATTCAAATTATTTCCTCAAGTTTCCTAAATAAATCATTTCATTTCTATTTCTCCTTTGCCTTTTGTGTGTGAACAATCCTTGAAACATTTAAGAATGAAAGCTTTACACATCATTTTGTTATTCTCATGTTTGACCATTGGTTACACTTTGGATGTTGAAACAACGACAACATTTCCATTTTCATCTAATCATCGATCCATGCTTCAAGCTCTTGATAAAGTTAATCTGAACACCCCAACATCGCAAGTTGATGATGAAATCGCCACAAATCCATCACCAGTTTACGAAAACATCGTAACAGTGGTTCCATCCTCAGAATCAATCTCAACTCATCCACCATCATCGTCATCTCAACCCTCAGAATCATCATCACCGTCATTCACCTCAACTATCTTGTCCGCCATAACTACATCATCTTTCAGAGGAACTGAAACAACTGTTCAACCCATCGATAGAGTCGATTGATCTGATAATGAGATAACACAACTTTCCTCTATCAGATGGAGTTTGTTTCCTTTTTAAGTTCCTTATTCCTCAAATTAGCTACAAGAGCCGATTGAATTGTTCAACCAAAATAAAAAAAAGATGAATTAAAATGATTGTCTCAATAAAAAAGCTTGTCTTTATTTCTTCATTTCTACCAGATCATATTTTGAATTAACTGGTGAATTACTGCCACTTGACTGGCTTTTTGCTCTGTCAATATACAGCTTTAGGAGTTTCATTTTACTACCACTAAGACCATTAAGATAAGGTTTCATTCGTTCACCGACTCGACCGTGTACGCCAACCATACAAAAAACAGCAGCTTTCCGTACAGCACTTTCAGGATTGTCATATGCCTAAAGAAACGATAAAGACAAAAAAATGAGAAAATGGATGAAAGGTGAGGGAAGAAAGAGACGCAAAAAGGGAAGAGAGTAAAGACAAAAAAGATGAGCATGGATCAGTTGAATATTTGAACAAAAATAAATGGCAATTTGGTTGAAAAACGAGTAAATTCCAGTCAGGATTATTTCTCCATTTTCTTTGTCTTCTCCTTTCTTACTTTCAATAGAGTCTCATTTCTTATTTTTACGCTTAAATGTTTATTTACAAAATTTACCTGAATCAATGGCGGCATCATATCTGGTAATAGATGTTCAATAGTCTCCTGTGATTGTTTCTCAATCATCTTCCGAAGATAAGCAATAAGAAAAAAAAGTCAAATAAATATATAAAAATTAGTTATTGCTATGATTTTTCAGATAGTTGGTGTAAATCATTCTACCATTTATAAAATTATTGTTCTTTTACCTTTAAAAGCATTTTGATGGCTGCCTGGTTCATGGGAAACTCTCCGGTGGTTATAACACTTTTTAAAACTTTGAGACATTGTTCGGAGGGTAAAACAGCGGCTGCCGTTGATGCTGCACTTGATGATGCACTTTGAACTTCTTTTTCTGTGTCTTTACTTGCTTCTAATATTCTCAGAATGGTTAATTCAATATAATCAAGAAAATAGTGTGTCTGTTGGACCAAAAGTTCACACATAACTTTCAATGAGAGAGCACGGATAATACTATTTGGGTCACCACTTATCTTGTCAAGAAGTACTTTCAAAATATCCTTAAAATATTTATCCCATTTTTGGCTGTTACTTTCTCGTATCAACTCGATTAATTCATTAAGAGCATACTTTTGAAATTGAATATCTTTTGAGCTACTTTTGAGATTACTTAAGACCAATGTTATATTATCTATTCCAGGTGTATCAGGTTCGATTTGATTACCACTAAATGATGTAGGTGTAGCTGAATTTTCGGTGAATAATTTACTAGCTCTAGTTGGCGATGAATTACAGGACGAATTGTTGGGTCTGGTAGGAGTGTTGGTTATTGGTTTAATGTTACCATCAATTTGACTTATTCCAGAATCCTTGGAAAGAGATGCAATTTCCTGAGAACTCGTTAGGAACGCTTTCATATGATTTGAATCGTTATTTGAACCATTTTTTAGTCCCTCAGAAAATACCTGAGTTTGTGAACTTGTCAGTGTTTTATCCATTGTAACCTCAAATTGATACTTTTGTATTTCATCGGTGGTTTGTTTCAGTGAGTTGTAAATTTCTTCAGGATTCATGTTTTCTGCATCATCGTATAAATACTCATTCTTGTTGAACTTTTTGGTTTGGCTGTTGATTGTATGACTTCTACTTCCACTGCTAATCACATCGATATCATTATATGAGTGTCTGGATGGACTGGGGCCATTGAAAAATGATGCTCCGGGATTATGAAGAGGTGAAGAAATTTTAGCGAAATGGGCCTCTTGGGCTGACCTCCGTTTACTTTTGATAACTTGAAGAGCTGCATCTTGATAGTTTTTAGGTAAACCGTACAAGTTGTCGAGACATTCTGTTTCATTTAGGTTAAAAAGATTTAAAAGAGCTTCTGCTGAGCATTTACGAAGTTCAGAGCTTTTAGGATCAGCAGTCCATGAGATAATTTTCATCAAAGCAACTTGAGTCTCATGTTGACTGTTGGTGGCCCATTCTCCGGGTTCAATGGTGGATAAAAGGCAATTTAAATAAAGAAGTGTACTGATTTTTGATTTGACACCCGGAGTTTGAGTCTGATCACTCAAAAATCTAATTATCACATGCAATTGGTCACAGGATGAGAAAGAGTCACGAATTAAGTCCAATGTTTCAGCAATTTTCGATTGAACGGAATTAAGCGTGTCATGGCCCATCTTTAAAAATAGTCTAGTCATGAGAATGTAGAGCCAATTGTTGAGTTCATGCTTATAGGAAATAATGAGCTCATTGAGGATCTCCAAAAATAAAGTGAACGTCTTTTCAGTGGTTGAGTATGGTAAAAGATTGTGCATGTAACGGAGAGAAGTTAAACGAAACAGTTTAAAAATGCATGACAATTAAAAATTTAAAAAAATAGATAAGAAAAAATTAGTTCCATCATTATTTTTGCACGTAAAATTTACAATGTTGTGATATTGATAATGAATAAATACCTTAGTGTGAGGGTCCAAAAGCATTTTGGTAAAGATATCGGTGATTCGTTTCAATTCATAAGTATGTAATGAGCGAGTTGAATGACGAAGGAAAAATTGTAAGCTGAGTAAACCTTCCTTTCTATCAGACCAATGGTTACTTGAAAGATTTCTGATTATTTCTGAAACATCCTGTTCAGGAAGAAGAAAATTATAGAATAGAAAATCAGATAAGTTTTAATGGATGTTAAGAATCATCAAAAATTCAAGAAAAGGAAAATAATAAGTTTGGTTAAACAAAACTTGTTGAACACGATCATAATTATCATTTTAAAACTAACCTCGATATTTCTACCTCCAAAAGACCGGTCAGAGCAAACACTTGAGGTCTCGCTTTCATCTGAATGGTCGTCAAACCCGTACCGATGCCTTGGAAGGATGGGATTGGCAGTTCGCAAAGCACTAGCCATAGCTGCTTCAGCTTCTTGGCTTTGTTGTAATATTTTTTCCGCCATTAATTGTTTACCACTTGTTTTTGACTCCACACTTCCACTAGCTATTAGCTTAGAACGTCCTGAGCTATTACTAAGGCGTCTTTCCATTGCAGCATAACTTGCTATACTACGAGAGGGACTTGTTTCTCGACTTGTAGACACAGGAATACCCGAACGTCTTCTAGACCTAGATGCTTGAGAATCGATTGGAGATATGCCAGTTCTACTAGGTGAGGTTGAACGGCTTGTAGGTTGAGATTGAGATATTCTACCTCGTGAACGAGTGATTGTGTCTGAAGTTGGCGTCACATTGTTATTTGGTTTAGATGAGATAGTTGATGATATTGTCGGTGTCCTTTTGATTGGAGGTCGCGCTAGAAAATAAAATAGAAAAAATTGTTAAAAAATCATGGAAATTATTCATGATTTGATTAAATGTAAGCCATCGGCTATTAAAAAATGTAAGTTTCTGTTTGTTAGTTTGAGTTTAAAAAACTTACTCAAATGATCACCAGACACATAATTGGACCTGGCGTTGGCGACAGCAACAGCAGCTCGGGATCTTGCCCGCCTTGCTGCGCCCACGTCAATAGCACTCGTCGAGCGGAGAGGGTAGGGTGCAGAGCTTGCAACTAAAAAGACAGAAAAGATAAAATAAAAAATTGGAACATACAAATAAATACAGCGATAAGAAAACAAAATAATCCAGTAAGTGATGAACGACAAAGAGGGTAGTATGTGTAGTGGTCGAGAAGAGAGTACAAGTTGCGGGGTGAGATGGATTTATTTACATGCATAAACGAAACTTTGGTTGAAAAGTCACACACAATATAAGTTAAAACTTAGGCGAACCTGGATCAACTTTTGGTGAATTAAAGATTGGAATTCCAGATCGATTACGATTCATAGAAGAAAGACTGCTGCAGGGTCTATTAAGATTTTCAACAGAGCTGCTTGATGAAAATGGCATGGAACGAGGCGAATTATATGTTAACCTAGGTTGAAGTGAATGATGTCCCGAATCCGATTGTATTAATGAATTAGTGCTACTTGAGTTACTGACTGAAGGATGTTCACTGAAAAGGGCTTTTTGCTTGCTTGGGTCGAGTGAATTCAGAAGTGATTCTGATTGATCTTTAAAGTGCTCGGCGAATCCCCAGAATGCTCTACGAGCTGATTGTCGAGCTTCAGCATCCGCATCGCTGATTCCACGTCTGATTGCTTCAGCTAGTTGTTGAGTATGTTTCTCTAAACTGTGAGATGACCAAGTATGAACAATTATGTCTAAGAATTCACAAGATGCTTTACGGATTTCTTTTGATTTAGAACTCAAGTTAGCTGCTACCACTGGTATAAGACGAGCTGATTTGGTATGTTGGATTATTAGTTTTATGCAAACCAAAGCTGAGCTTGACATTATCTTGGCACTATTAGGTATCAAGTTGAAAAGAGTAGGTAACAAAGCTTCACAAAAACGAGCACATTTTAAACCCAACTTGAACGACATAAATGCAATGGTAATACAAGCCTCGCGAACGACTTGACTCCTTAAATCTTTTGCACAAACTTGAAAAGGAAGTTCAATTAATTTAAGGCTATCCACAATTTCTTTGTACTCCATTAAGCCGGCAGTAATTAAACCTCTAAAATGGCGCAAAGCATCGATACGTCTTTGCCAGTCAATATTGGAATTATTTAAAAGATCACACATGGAGCGAAACTCTGCTTCAGCCTCTCTGAGCGATTGCAAGTTGACCTTGGGAGTATCATCGAATGCCTTCAAGAATATGTCCTCATCGACGGCTCCAGCAGCTGCCAAGTTAATGGGTATGGTCATGAAAAATGTTTGCAAGGAGAAAGAAGGTAGAAAAAGAAAGAGAGTTTATTAGTAACCAGAAATAAAACAGAAGTAAAAAAGAAATAGCATCAAATGTGTATGGGAGCAAAGGGATGAGAAAAAAAATGAATGAAAGAGTTGGAAATAAAATCTAATTTTGAAAAATTGAAGATGATAAGTCAAGGATAAAATGATTAAGAAGAAGAAAGAAAGAATCAAGGAGAAAACAGAGGCAATACAGCAATTCATCTTTAACTTATTTGATTAAACCTTAAACTATTGTATACTAAATGTTAATACTTACATTGTGCTGATTTATTTGCTGAGCTGAGTCCAGGTTTTAGAGGAGGCATTGTGTTGACTCGCTTTAAAGATGGTTTTTGGTTATTCATTTAAAAACGACAAAATATAGACACAAAAAAGAAATTATTGAGGTAAAACGAAAAGTAATCAAAAAAACACAAAACAAAACAGTCACTAATTCATTTATACTACGGCAAGCTTTGGAGCTTCTTTGCTCAACTTCAACAAATTATTATGAATCACTCGCTAGATTAGCGCCATCTAGCGATTTAATTAATTTGGGCGGTTTATCTTATTATTGTTATAAAATTGTAACAAAATTAGTAAATTTCTTTACTCAACTCAAATAGTTAATCTTAATTTTATTCTTAAAGGAACTATCGCTACTAAAAGCCAACACTTTGATTATGATAATGTAATTGTTATTAGAAAAAGTTCAAGGATTGTATCTGGAAATAAGCAAATTTAATATGAAATGAATTGTTTGGTTGAAGCAAAATGTCATGTGAACTCAATTTCTTATCCAAATTTTGATAATGAAGACTTGGAAATTTCATCTACTCAACAAAAAAAATAGATGAATTATTCAAACTCAGAATCATGTCAAAGGTCAATTCATACAACTACAATAAATGTTTTGTTTTGAGCGCCTTATATCTTTTGACATTATACCTCAACATTAAAATAAAATTTGGGCGGCAACAAATCGTTTTTCACTCTTTCATTGAAACAGAAGGAAAACAATTAAAAAGAAATTTAATTGTAAACTGTGATGGATTTAATTATGCAAATTGTTCACTTACATTGTCTACTTTCTTTCTGTTTTCCTTTCAAAATTTGTCTACTCTTATTTCAATTAAGTGAAAGTCAATTACTACCATGATTATTTTCATCAACAACACCAGGAACACCACCAATAATTTCAACAGGTTTTTTTCTTCTCCTTCATTAATCTTGACTTTTTTTCATTAACAATTTACATACAGAATGAACATTTTTACCTCTTTCAATCTTTAACTTCATGGCTATTCAGTTATTTGCTGGATACATCTGTTCATTTTCCACTCACATTTCAAGAGCATGTAAATAGTTAATAATCCATGTGTTTAATCTAATCGTCTCTTATCTTATTCACAGGCAATGAACAATATTACAAGTTGCTATGGTGCAAACAATAATAAACTTCAATTTCCAGCTATGATCTCAATCAAATGTGAAAATAAATTCAACAATTCTGGAATGATGAGTAACTTGGTTGATTTACTTCTTCTTGGTTCAAAATATCTAAATTTGCTGGTAATCGTAACCTTCAAAAGGCTTGGTGTTGTGTCACTGGCTTACTGGCATTGAATTGCAGCTAATTTTCAATTTTGATATAATTAGAGGCCAAGAGGGGTTGTTAATTTGTCCATTAACTATGCGTTAATGTGATCATCTTATTTGCAACGAAATTTTTGATCTTTACGTAACTTCTAAAAATGGAAAGCAATTCACTCTCTGAATATACTTTTGTACAATGGAACTGCTGGAGCTTGTAAAGTGTCATCGGCAATTTGACAAAAAAATATCCAAGAACCTTGAATTTGGTGTAAATAATGAGGTAAACATAATTTTATATCCTTTAGATTGCGTTAATATCAAGTAATTTAGAAGTAAACATTAACTCCCTCTCCTTTTCTATATTTTAATAGCACTCACAAAACGTTTTTTTGCTTGGTATCTAAATATCCGTACAATTTCAGATTAATTTACTAAAGATGAGCTGATCTATAACATGGTTCTACAATTTTATTATCTATTGGTGTAAGCGCTATTAAGAAAGGGTAATAATTACTCTTATATGTGCATTTATAGCACACTTCTGGAAGGAGCTTTTGGAAAAGCATTTTATATTGCTGTCACAAATGATGTTCTCATTGTGTACTTAAAAGGAAAATTGAACAAACTTCAATGCCTGCATGATTCTAATATTACAACACTGACCACTGATCATATTGATTATCATCATAATTACGGAAACACCATCATCATAAACCACCCAAATATATAATGCTCTTAAGGCTGCAAGCAAAAAAAATGATGACTATTGAAATAAGCTCTGATTGAGTAGGAAGAATACAATTTGAACGACTCCACCTTCATCAAGGATATCATGTTCACCTAATCCATCAAGTTGACATGATTGTGCAAAAAAAGTCGCTATTTCAAACGAGTATTCAGAGTCAAGAGAAAGAGAAAATGCTTAGTAAGGTAAACAAACGATCATTTTCATCCGACTGAACACTTAATCCTGACTATTAACACTTTTACACTTTTTGATGAGTGGAGATTTGGAAAGTATAATTGGCAAAGAAAATGGTGATTAAAGTTAAATAAGATTATAAACTAGAACAAGGTAGAAATTGAATGTTCATAAATTACACACTGATTAATTCATCTGATAATTTTTGCTCATTCTACTGACATAATTATAACATGAATTAGAAGCATTGGACATAAACTAACCTGGAAAAGTTGAACGTTCAAATGGTGCAAATGATGACTTTGGAATCCAGGAAAAAATGAATCTAATATAACAACTTAGTTAACATTTACACAAATGGTAATAAATGTCTTTCAAGAACTCATCATGTCTTATGAATTTTTACGTCTAACTTGTTGATCAGCAGTATATCAGATGAAGTAAATCAGGGTTACAATCTTATTGAATCATATTCTAGAGCCTTTCATAATAACATTATCAAAGCCTAATTGTAACCCAACTCACTAGTTACCTAACAACAATTTCCATGGAAAATAGTTAACATTTCCAGCAAAATTGATGCTTGTTAATTTGAGCTGAATATATTACTTAAACTGTCAGAGTAATTTTCATCACAGTTAATCTCGTGAATTATCAATAAAACAAACTTAATAAATTAACAATAACTGGCTAACATCATTTACATAAGATAGTCACAATAAGAAGTTTTGTTGTTAAACTCAAATTATTCAACAGGTTTATGCTCATCGGAAATAAACACTTGATTTAACACTTGTAAAATGAATTTATCCATTCTGACAACAATTTGTTAATTTAACAAACTTATATCATTTGTTTCCTTTAGGAACAATGTAACAATATTGAAGGATCCTTTTAAACACTTTCTTGATTTTAGCTCAAGATAAAACATCTTTTTTAACCATAAGCTCAACCTATTCAATCAACGAACCGTTACCTAACCAATATTTAAACACAGCTCAAATTAACATGTTTATCAACGTAAGATTGACGTAAGATTACAGAATTCATTATAACAGATGAAAGATTTGTTGGCTGAAAAATTGTTTAACACAAATACTCAACCAATGCAAATTATTGTATCAATGGAACTACGTAAACACTGATACGTATACAAATTCATATCTGATAAGGTTTACTTCTGCTTCTTGTTCAAGTTAATATCAGAGAATTAGCAATTTACATCTTAATTTTTAGAGAAACATTTGTACATCATTAATTAACTTCAAGTTGTCAAAAACAATGTTGATAGCCATGGAAAGTCTTCTTGAGGTTGTTGGATGATAATTGAGAAATAGATTGTTTTTTTGCATTTTTACTGGCATAATGAGAGCCAAAAAAGGTGAATGAAGGATATAGCATGAATGATTAAAAATACAAATAAGCATCCACTTTACAAGTAATCATGCCAAATCCATTAGTCATTAAACAATTGCTTCCGAGAGTGCGATTAAGATGATAATGATGTTGGCGTTTGTTAATTTATGATGAAGGTGATTGAGATGTTTGTTCGACACTTTGTGTTTCATCATTTTCAAGTTTCTTCTTCTTTTTTCCTTGATTTTTAATTCGCTTTTCATCTTCCAAATTTATTTCACCAGGACGACATTTAGGTCCCCAAAATGGTAACGGATTGGGTTGATATCGGAGAAATTTTTTCTCTCTTGAAAGAGGTTGAGAATCAGGATGAATTTCAAATGAAATATTTGATAAAACGGGTGCTTTCAAGATTTTCTCAGCTACACTTTTACCAGCCAATTTTTCAATGTCAACTGTACCTCTAGTCTTAACCCACATACGAAAAATGTCCCAAATCACTTGATTGGGTGCATCAGTTTTAAATGAGGAACGGTGAGCGTGAGAAGCTGATACACGATAACCACAGTTTAAAAGGGCAGATCGAAGTATTTCAGATTTAGGTGGAATACAATTAATTGTACGGCAAATTTGATCACATCCATAATATAGAGGAACATCTAACAATTCTTCACTAACTACTTCAACTATTCCTTTGATTCGTTTAAACGTTTGGAGTTTCATTGAAGATGTATTTTCAATTTCATTCAGTCGCTCCTTAACTAGCTTTACAAATTGCTCATCGTGGATACTATCTAACCAAACGGGTCCACCAATTGTATGATGATGGTCACAAAATTTACATCTATCGGCCACTGGTGGTCCTGTACATGGTGTAAATTTATATCTAGAGGCAACACTGAAAAATAAAAAGCGAATTGAAATGTAAGTGTCTTTTGGGAGTAAAGTTGAACTTAATTTGATAACTTACTTGGTTGATTTGGCATTCTTTAAGGTAACGTTACCAAGTTTTTGGGTTGTAAAAGATTCACATCCATTACAATGGAAAACCATTCCTGTTTTACTGTGATTAGAAAAATATATCAAAATGCAATTAACTTAAAAAAGATGAAAATGGTTTTCTTTAAAGCTTTAAATATTCAAGAATTGAAGGATGATGAAAATCAGAATTATTTTGATGAATAACTCTAATAATTTTGAAAGACATGATCAGAAAGACAGCGAGGCATTAAGAGAATGAGCTGAAAATTAAATAATAAGATAACACATAGTTGATTGAAGATGATTTACCTTGCACTCATTTTTGCGTATCCAGGTCCGTAAAAAATTTGAACAAAGAGTCTCACGTAAAAATCGACACTAACAGATAACAAAGGCACGATATATCTTCCATAGCGGGCTGCTGATGAATTTACTGCATGCAAGACAATACGAAGTGCCTGTCGAAAAGATAAAAAAGATGAGATAACTCTCGTTTAAATGGGGGTCTACCAAACTAACCATTTCATGGCAAGATTCCGTTCGAAGTGACATGGAACCATATTTCGCAAAACATGTTTCACTAGCATTTCCACAGAGTATTGCAACATCGGTACAAGTTATCATTAACAATCCTCCATCAGCTAACGCTTGAACTGAGGCATCAAAAAATGGAGCGGCACTTCCATATGGATCGATATCAATGACCAAAAACTTGTCGGAATGATCGCGACATTTATAAAGAAGTAAGCTGTCGGGAAAATACATAAGAATCTTATTAATAGACTTTTCAAAATTAACTTAGGCGTATAACGATAACTAACCAGGCATCCTCATTTGTAGTTTTAATCAACTTATCACAGCCATTTGATTTGATGTTCTCATTCATCAGTTCAACTGCTTTCATGGATAGATCATTAGCAATGAATGTCTTGATGGGATCTTTGTTTTCCAACTCTAAAGCATATCTTATACTCCGAAGCCCAGTAGCACTGAGAGCTTCGCATAATTTGAAGTTAGTTTCAACAGGTTTCTTGGTTCCCTTTTCCCATAATTTATTTTTTAAATATGTATCCAAAATGACCAGACTGTTGGAAGAGAAAAAGTACCAAAAAATTTTAAGCAACGCATAAAATTCACCCAATGATCACACTTACCTCAAATCACGATTGAACTCTTGCACAGGATTGTAAAAAACCTCAGTTGAACAGTTAATTGATGCTTTGCCTTCTTTGATTTGATTAACTTTAGACATGCTTGAGATCAGTCTTGTCATTAATTTAGTACGATGGAGCATAAATTAAGTTGAAGGATAATTACCAAAATTTTTCAATTGAACAAAATTCAAATCTATAATTGAAATTACACAAAAATCAACAATTAAAAGAAACAATTAAAAAAATCACATGTTTAATCTTGCATTTCTAAAACATATGATCAGCAAATGGCTCCATCTACAAGTTTTATCTTGAAGTGGAATAAGTGTTTACTAAAAACAAATTGTCGAGGCATAATGATAAATTTAAATTGTCTTATTCCTGTCAACTGAAATATCTAATGATTATTTGGGTTTCCTTAACAACATTCTCCTGAATCTGTAAGCTAATAATACAATAGCAATCAATAAGTCTTGTCAATGACTATAGCTGTTCAAAGGTTTGTCTACGCGAAAAAAATTTCAAAAAAAGTAGAATTAAATATTTTTATTTTCCGTCATTTTGACTTCTTTTTCGCTTTTTTTGTGCATCTTCTTCAACAGATATTATATCATTTTCCAGGCTTTGTACGGCGTTGTCATAGGCTTCACTTGTTATTGGATTGGTTAAGAATTGCTTAATCTTTCGTTTCAGTAAACCAGCCGAAAGTAAATAATGGTTATCTGGATCTCTTTCCATGGCCTGCAAAGGAAGACAACATTGATTAAAACTATGCCACATTATAAAGCAGAGTCTAGTAACTCACCTTATAGTCTTCACCATGTTTAGCCATCATGGTGGTTAAAAATTGACAAAGTTCTGGTCCAAAATGGAACGTCAATGGCTTTTTATATTTACTTTTTTCCTCAATTTTTTCGAGAACATCTTTTCTTTTAGGTTCAACGTGTTTAACTTTACCCTTAACAGTTTTCGGACCAAACATAACTTCAAATGGCTTTGGAATTTGAATTATTTTATTAGGATTGTCAGCCAAACCAATATTAGCCATGTTTTTTGATTTACTTTTATTTACATCCCAGGCTTCCCGAATAAGAGGACTAAAGATAGAAGAAATCATGAAAAAGTAAAATTAGTTAAATCAAAAAAAAAACAATCAATAACCAAAATAAAAAACAAATCAAACTTACTCTTTAACTGCCTGTCTGAGGATAAGCTTTTTCTTAGCTTTGGCCAATTTTGATTTATGTTTGAATCTGGGATGAGCATTCTTCTTCCTCCGTCTAGAAACTCCACAAGCTTTACCCATAATCAACGAAGTGTTAAATACTCAAATTAAATTACAAAACAACAATTGAAAACAATTGAAAACAAACTCAATACAATTTTTTAACATCCACATGACAAAAACATTCACACATGTGTTCATAGCTAGCGCCATCTCTTAGTTGATTTAACCATTTCTTCATTACTTTATCACTTCGAAGCAATTTTAGATGAAACAAAATTAAGTTAAATGGAAGAAAAATGATTCTTAACTAAATATTGAAATGTTTTGACAAATGTTGACATATTTTCACTCCATTCAAATCTGTACTGATAACATTAAATCAATTTGCATGAAGTAAAGCAAAATCAGCAAAACGATGAAAATTGAATTTACATTTAATGATAATGATTAAAACTTGAATTTCGATTTTTTATCAACAAATATTCAAATCAATAATTATCATTAGAGGGAAAAAAGAGAGCAAATTAATACATCAAGACTCACCCTCTATTTTTGCATGAATAAACCAGTAATTAACAGGTTTAAATAAACATGTTAATTTGATGATTTACAAATTAATAAGCATCCAATTAACCTCATTTAAAGATTCAAAAATAAGAAATGGACACAAAATATGATTAAAATCGACTGATCAAAGTGAATAACACTTTATTGATTCAATTTTTTCCGTCAGTTTCATCTGACACTGATTATAATGTCGATCCTACTCAAGTCAACAAAATGCAGTTTCAGTATGAACTTGATTTGAATATCTCTACAGATGCAGGAATTGTAATTGAAAAGCTGCAAGATTGTGTTTTCCTTTTTCATATTTGATTCACATTGTACTGAAGTAGTAAATGTAATCCAAATCCTGGTTTCCATTTGTAATAAAGTCTGCTCAGATTGTGTATAAATATCATTTGCACATGATTCCATCCTTAGAGTTAATTAAGATCTAACTTTAATTAGTTTTCGTTTCGTGATTTACCTCTTGATTGGAGAGGATGAAACTGACTGGTAAGAAAAACGCAAACCGAAAAAACGCATTCATAGTCAGCTAATTACGAGAGTGTTAATGTTACTAAATTGGCCTCCTCCAAACAACCAGCCTAGTAATGTTGTAACTGTAGATAAAAAATAAAATGAAATCAGTATTAATTTTGAGTAAAACAACCAAAGGTAGCCATGATAGCTAATAATCTCATGATTGAAGGCATTTCAACTTTGATTCAAAGTACGCTATGAATTTTAACAGATTACTGACCTTTTACTTGACCCTGATGTAATCATATTATTATCCTCATCATCATTATTGTTAAAATATCAGTAGACAAATAGGATTTTGTTTTGTACAAAAAACAGCTTATAGTGAATGAAATGAACAGGGTTAAACTGTTACTTGCAAAAATAACTGTGAAATTGATAAATGGCACCAGTTAACCAAACAATTTGACTCCAATCACTGGGAATGAAAATATTGAATCGAAAAATTTCCAATATAATAGATAAATAATCATCTTTATAACAGCTAAAAACTGGAAGAGAAACAGAAAAGAAGAGAAAAAATATTAACTTTAACTCAATCAGGCCACAATTTTGGTTGCCATTTTCACCAGACAATGTTAATGAAAAAAGCAATTATTTTCAATGTTGAAGTTATAAATATTATAATAAACTTGATAAGCTAAGTTTTTTTATACATAAATCTACATAATAGACATAATAATGAATCCTACTAAATCACAGTAAATAACAATAAATAGGAATAAGTAAAGATGTTGAAAGTTGATTACATTAAATGATGATTATTTTCACGTTGGAGCAACAATAGAGTCAAGTAAAGTGTTAAAAAAGATGTAAGATAATTAAGATTTCAGTTGGTAATTGTACTTTGCGTGTTTTTCCAAGTTCAACGATAATAATGTTAATAACTCAGTAATAGACACAACAACAAATTATTATTAAATTATTAACAAATTAAAAACAAAATATGAGAAAACAAAATTTACATTTCATTTCATCGACTTGGCCAACAACAACCGTCATTAACAATAGCAACAGACAAGACACACAAAAAAGAGGGACATTTGAAATGTTGAAAATCTTAATTAAAAATAACATTAAATCTTTATAAATTTAATTAGCAAATAACTATACAATTGGATTAAAGCTTTAATGAATCATTCAACTACTTGAGGAAAAATAATTTCCAATGATGATTGTGATTGAATCAAATGATTGTAAGATTAATGGGTTTCACTTGGAATCAAGATTGAAACAAAACAATGCTATAGGCTTGTGCTTGTTGTATCTGTTGGTGACTTATAGTGATTATAATGATAATTATTGGGTTACCTCAATAAAATATGGGCTCCTGGTGATGATGGTGATGATAAACAAACAAACAAACAAACTAACTGAATGTAACTTGAGATGAAAAAGCGTTAAAAATTACCTGTAGACAGATTTATTTTATGAGCTTTTAAAGACAAATATTAGACTCTCTATGAGACTTTTTGTCCTCATCCAAAGACAGATTCAGATTGAACATCTTCTTTTCCCTTCTTAGCGTAATTTACCTTTTTAAATTAACCAATTGATTTGCAGCTTTTCGCTGATTAACTAACTATTTCGTATTTTCCTCATAAACTTGGCCTCCTTTCCAGTTGCTTACCTTAGCCACTGTGCATGTAATAATAATATTTCAAATGATCATCACTAAATAAATTTTAAGTTCAGAGTAAATATTTGAACGTTTAAATCATTGGAAACCTTGAAAGAAGCTAAATTATAATAAGTAACAAGTTACAAACCTAGTTAGTATTATCCTAGCTTAATCATCTCCAGTGATCGCAAGATTGTTAACTGATAGTTGATAGCAAGTAAACCAGTTCCTAGCTCAGTTACGTGGTGTAAAGATATTCAATTTTAAATTGCATTTTTTGGTGAAAAAAGTCTTCAATAGGATGAGAAAGGTAAAAACAACAGGTAATAAGAAGACAATTTGGTGACAATTTGGTCCAACAATAACTCCGCCATCATCTTAATCATCCTCATTGGGTGTTGCGAGGTTGTAAACATTGAAAACGAAAATTGCGCTTCTGTTGAAAAAACAAAAAAAATTTAATTTTAATGTTGAATGAATTTGGCTTGAATTGATCTGACAAATGATTTACCTGAAGATTTGAAATTGCATTCATTTGATTTTGAATTACAACCAAACAAATTATTCTGATCAAAATTTATGGTTAACCAATAAGATTGGTAAAAAGTTGATCTATTTGAATTGTTAACTTGTAATGTATTTGAATCATGAAAATTATGAAAATTATACTGGATTAAGGCTTAATAGATTCTCTATCATTGAAGAAAAATATTTCTGAAAAGATAAATTTTTTGCCAAAAATTATCAATTGAACTTATAGTAAAAAACGAGCTTAGTTGACTAACTAATATTTACACTTCAATCGTTGAAATCGGTTAGTTTCATTCAGCGGTTTGTTAAGGAAAGTTTTTCCCTCAATGATTCAAAATTGTTGATGTCAACCTTTAGTTTGATCCCTCGAAAGGGACTACAATTAGTAACTAAACTGTTTACGGTTTCGTTACGAGTGTTATCCACTTTTAATCATCACCATCAACATCGTCATCAGCATTCAAATTTTATCGATGATACTGTAAAAAGAAGAAAAAATAAGATGAGAAGAAGAAGGAAAAAATTTTACGCTAAAATTTGTAAGAAAAATATTGGAATGAATGCTCATAACAAATGTAGTTAACACCAAATCAACAACTTTCTCTCCCTCCCTCAGCAACCTTGTAATCAACTAGATGGATAATCAATATCGCAACAATCAGTTAATAACAATAATCATCACCAAATGATAATAATTGAGTTTACCCAGTGAACCAAACAAATGCTTCTGGTCTTACATTTGAACGGCAAATTTAAGACAAACAAGACAAATTTTCGCATTTCTTTCTTTTTCTCATCATTTTTTTTCTGTGTTTGTCTTAAGTATGGTGATGATGAAGATAATGCTAAAGGAAATGAGCAGAGAAGAAGATGATGATGAAAGAAGAAGAAGAAGCAAAATGTTAAAATTGAAACCATAATTTTGAAATTATCAACGGTTCCTCATCTCGATCTGGTTTCCTGGCGAGTAGAGCAAGTAAGATGATGATCAAGACCAAGATGCTAAGTGAGAAAAGGGATGCTGAGTAAATACAGATGATGATGATGATGATGATGATGATGATGAGAGGTAAGGTCGTCAATGATAATAATAATAGACTTAAAATTTAGTCTGAAACTGATGGCAATATAATTGATGCGTGTGTCCCAACGATTACTTTTTGATGATTTCAATTACCTAACAATGTTGTAAAATCGTTTTGTAAGTAATAATATTCAGATATATATAAGAGTAAGAGAAAAACGAAAATAGTAATCAGCATTATCATCGTTTTTCACTGAAATGAAAATAATATTAAACATTTCATTTTTAAGGAGATGATGAAGAAGAAGAGAAAAATGTTGAACATGAATCTAACTCTGATATTTGGTCTTGTCTTAAACAGTAGGAACAAGCATATAATTTGATGGGAGACCACCAATACATTCCTTCCGACTCACCTTAACCTTGTATCGTCTTCAGAATCATCCTCATCATCCCATTGTAATCATAATCTTCTTCTCCATCATCTACCTTGATGTTACTCCTTCCCACCCACTTTCCCCTCCTTATTTCAAGTTGACTTGAATAAACTTGACAAAACCTTTGTAAAATGCTATTCCAAAAATAGCTCCAACTTGAATGATGAAGATGGCCTGTAAATGATGAAAGAAAAATGTATTTAATATAATTAGACACCTTGGTTGATCATCATCTACTGATGAAGTTGATGATGATGATGAAGAGGCTTGTTAAGGGTGGCTTTCATCTCTCACCTTTTAGTTTCACATCATCTTTGCTTCTCACTTTTGCCGTAAAGATTATGTATATAATGCCAGTCAAAAGGTAAGTAGAAAACATCTAAGAAAAAGAGGGAGAAGAAGAAAAAATTATGATGAAAATGATGATAAACAGGCCAGAATGAAAGATGATGAAGATGAACGTAAGAGTTTCATTACATAGGTGAACAATTTTCACGCTTTCTTGTTTCTTGTGTTACCCATCATCTTATTATTTTACTTACCTTAAACTTGTCATGTCTTCAAGATTGTTGTTGTTTATTTCTCACCTCTTACAACTGTGATCTTAAGGTGAGTCCTGGGCCACACTCAGAGATATCAGATTTATGAAAATATCAAATAATAGAAATGATAATAACCAAATAAAATAACATTAAACATTATCACACATCATAAGTTAAAATTGAATAACCAAAAGCTATAATAATGGCGTCTAATATCATCTGCAATTTTTCAGTTGCGCCATTTTCAAATTCATTTTCAACCTCCTATTGATTTTGGTTCATCATATTTACATATAAATGTATTTTCTTGGTCATTTCACTATCATTATGATTTAAGAATTATTAAATGTCTATCAGAAAATGAAATTATGATTTATAACTGTTGAATTAATCAGTTCTGTTAATGTAAATCCATCCAAGTCAATCAAGTGAATCAACATTAACGATGCTTTCTTGAATGCCTTAACCTTTATTCAGTTTTTGATATTTTTTGCAAGTAAAAAGGTAATTTAGTTGTTTACAGATTTATAAATGATTTAACTTTACCAATCAACAAACTTGTGAATCTCAGCTATAATCACACTGTTAACAACAATAATTAACACTCATTGACTCTGTAAACTACAACAGTATAACCATGATCAAAGCTGTTTCATTAATCTGATCAGATGATGAGTATGAAGATGAGTGATAAGCCTGTAAAATAAGCCATGAACAGGATTAACAATTATAAGCTGAGAAGAAGCTAAAAGTGATTTTCATTTAATTTTATATCAACAAAATTGAATAGATCAAGTCAATTTAATATGGCTCAGTATTGATTAGGATCAATATTTACCAAAAACATTAACAGTAAAGTGCAATCAGCTCAAATGATTCCCTGTTTGAATGAAATCCGTTCAAAGACGATATTAACCAGCTTTAAATCCAGTTGAATTATAAGCTATAGAGGACAATGTTTTGCTTTTAACTGTTGACAGAAACGTTTAATAAACAAATTGAATTAATTTAATTTTGTCAATTTTACACTAATCAACATTTCAAAGACATTTTGTCTTACCATCACATTCATGATTGACACCATAAAATCATTCACTGATTAATTAGCTATTGATATCAAAACTATCAGAAAGTGATCCATACTTTAATTAAAAACAAAGCTCACAATTTATTAGGAAAACTGAAAATCAATTTCAAATTCAATTGCAAGTTAAAATTTCATTTTGTCAGCTTATACGAAACTCTGATTTTAATCAAGTAACAGCCTTTTAAGGTTACTTCTCATAGCCCTTTACCTTAAGGTTAGATCTAGGGCTCTTAATTGTGTGATCAGCTAATCAAAATTAAAACAATATGATGGTTAAACCTCAGGATGCATTGACTCCGTTCAGGCCCAGGATTGAGTTGAAATAAGGCAACTTACAAGTGTTATTAAAAATCTGTTGAACATCTAAAGCTACATAAATTATTAGACAATAATTACTTCATTAAATCGCCCGAAATCAAACAATTAAACTACAATTTCATATCTTTAATCTTTAATTTTGTTAATTTTAGGGTTTTGTTGGAGGTTTGAAATCAAACCGTAAATGTATCCACAGAGTTGAAGCTACAGTGACCATCACTGGGTAGGCCTAAGACTGTTACTTGAGGAATCATTCAAACTGGTTCCGTGAGTTACAAGATTCGAGTACGAGTGTCGAATCCACCTTCTAGAGATTAATTGACCATCGATATTACATGGGCAAAGGATCGTCAACATTCATTGTTATCTTTAGGTGTATCTTAAAAAACAGGAAAATGTGAGTTTTCTTGAGGTATATTTATAGCTTCAAATCAAGTTGCTGTTGTCTAATGTTTTGTTCAGTATTAAGTGAAAATTTTGTTGAAGATGATAGCATTATTGGTAAATGAGATTTACTGAAAAAGATATACAATAACAATGTTGATGAAGATGGACAAGCAAAATTAGAGGGTTAATAAATAACAATCAAACTGAGAGGGAGGATGATAAAACAAACTGAAAATGATGAACAAGACTCAAGATGAACAACACCACAACCACTTGAAACCACCATCAACATGGCAAGTTATAGAAGAAGAAAAAGGAATCAATTAAGATAAATTGATGAACCATGGAAAGCAAAGTGAATCAAATTGATTAATCCGTTTTTCAATTTTCAGATCTGACAAACTGAACTCACCGTCTGAACAAACAGATTCATCAAAAGTTGATAAGCCCTCCCTGATAGTGTTAATTAAAAGAGTAACTTCATATATTTATCATTAAAAAAAAGTAGATATAAAAACATTTCCAATACAATAGCACAAAAAAACATCACAAAAGGTTGAATGAAAGGCTCAAACATGTTCATCATTTCATCGTTACATAGATTCAATTTTTAGGTCAACAATTAATGAAACTTCGCTGCAGGACATTTCATTTGTCTTCCTCTGTCTCACCGTGATAACTGATCACCATCGTCATCCTTACCTGTTCAATTCGTGATTCAATTTGAGAGTAAACTTGAAAACTAATTTTCAACAAACATTTTCGTGGTCAGCAAAAAGCCACAAAAAGGCAGCAAAAAAACAACATCTTGCCTTCACATTACCTTTCTCATCTTCATCCACATCAACAAAAGATGCTATTGTTATCAAGTATTATTTGTAAGTGTAAATTGAATTTACCCTTGAATGGTCAACCTCACGGTCAATCTCATCTTGTATCTTAATTTTGCTTTTCCTTTTCTTCCAAATTTTGTGGTTTCTTATTTTTTTCGCCTGCCGTTGTAACAAGTCGTTGTAGGTTACCTGTTAAACTTGATTTACTTGTATTAAATTTGCTATTAAGATGATTATGTCCAAAGGGAATCAATTTGAATTACCTCGTTCACGGAAATAACATTCTCATACAATAATGATAATAATGATATCCATAGATTAATATCCATGGCAAAGCCCATGTAAATAGCCTAATAATGGGCTCACCATTTTTGTTTATCATCATCATCATTGGTATGCTTTTTACACTCTTCTTGCTCTCTCTTCAATCAACATGATCATTATCATCTTTCATTTTTACCTTTCTTTCTTTCACCTTTTCTTTCTCCGGAATAATCTCGATTTTCACAGTTTTGTACACTAAACACGCTCATTTACAACCTACTGTATTGGACGCTTTTTGTTACCTTCAACTGTCTCTAATAGATTATTATATAACCTTTATCCCAATTTAGATACACTTTTATTACATAGATCTTAAACACCTGAAAACACTGATAAACATGTAAAACTAATTGATTGCTTAGTCGATACCCAATCAGGTAAACAAATTATTCCAATTTTCATTTTCTCCTTTAATTGCTTATAGACTTGAAATTATATCCACTGACCATTGAAGCCCATTGTCAAGATTATCCAGAAAACCCAAAAACCCATTCAGACTCATCAACAAACCTTTAACTATCAGAACCACAAATCAATGTTGGCTTGAAGATTTCAAGTGAAAACTGTTCAGTTTCAATCAGCTTTTACACCAACATCTGAAACAATCATTGAAATGAGTTGCTATTTAAATTAAGGAAACTACTAAAGGAAGTTAAGATGAATATTTCTGCATTTATATTTGCTATAAATTAACCATTTCTGTTCATCTTTTTAGGTGTGATAAGTTACGTTTTTTTTCAGGTAAAAAAAGCCAACTACAGTTTAACCCAAAACGTTATTTATACCAATAATCATATTCATAGAATTGTAAAATAAGTTGAAACTTAAATAAGACAATTTTTATCAATTAAAAGGTAAAACCTAACAACAATCTAATGTCGCTTCAAACCTGAACAATTTGCTTTTTGTTGTATTAACATTGATTTGTTAACATATCAATGGAACCAGATTTATTCATAGATTTACCGGAAGCAGGAAATATGCTTTAAATAATGACATTTCAAATAAAAAAATGATTGAGTTATTCAAAGATGAAATATAATTCAAAGCAACAGTAATAAACCTTTAATTGTCAAAGATATGAAAATCTAACATTAAAAACAAGGAAAAGTACGATTCATTGTTTTACCTCCAACGATGATGAGACTCGTCTAGGAACAGCAAAGAAACAGAAAGAAATCAATTGAATTAAGCAAATTGTGACAATCAACTAAACATTGTCAACCATTTGTATTTTCCTGTTCAAACCGAGAATAATGTTAATATTGATAATAATAATAATGATAATGATGTGAAGAGGAGGTTGCTTTGGTTGCCACTTCCATCCTCCTTGACTCTGCCTCTTCACATCCACATCAGCTTCATCTTGCCATTTGAGTGACTTGAGTGGTCCTCTTAAACCCTCCCATGAATCCACCTTTTCAACAACCAAATGAACCAATCAGACGGAAAAAGGTAAAATACATTTCAATCCAGTTGAAACTTTTTCACGCCACAGAATAGGTTAACATCAAACCAACTGAACATCAACACTTTTTTTCACCAAATCACTTTTTTAGTTCCATTTTCGGTCATTTTTCGTTTTCCATTCACACCAACCAATTTGGTTCCAATTTGATCACAAATTTGATCACATCAACCTCGGACTAACCAGGTCAATCTTTTGCTGTGTTATTGTTACAGTGAAAAATCAGTTAATGTACATCAATGTGATTAATGGTTCTGTGAATTGTGGTTCAACATTGTGATTTACAATTGTGTCTCTCTGTGTTCAACTAACTGAGTTAAATGTCAATCAATGAGATTGTAAATATGTCAGCAACAAGTCCACTCAATATAAGACCTTATCTGACAGGTTATCCCTTTCAAGGTAAGTTGAATATTATAAAATTTTGCACCTCAAATCATCTGCTAATGCTATTGTTACCACAAAAGGCCAAGGAAGAGTGAATCAACTTGGAGGTGTTTTCATCAACGGACGACCTTTACCCAACCACATTCGGCTTAAAATTGTTGAACTTGCCGCTGCTGGTGTAAGGCCTTGTGTTATATCTAGACAGTTAAGGGTTTCCCATGGATGTGTTTCAAAAATACTCAATAGATATCAGGTAAAAATCAATTAATCCCAAACAACTCAATCATCAATCATTCCATTGATATGCTTGCTGATTCCAAATCAATCCCTTAACTTGAAATATCTCCGAATCAATTGAAACCCGTTTTTACCAAACTCAAGACCCAACTTGAAATTCATCATTTTTCTCAATCCAATTTCAATCACAGAAAATCAAAAAATCAAAGAATCAGAATCACACTTTTCACCTTCAATTGATTAAAGCAATTTCAAGTTATCTTCAATTTGATCACAACAATTAGAACGATATTGAAATGAATTGCTGAACCTTACAGTTAAGTGCATTCAAAGTGCTTCATTAAATCATTATTGTCATTATTAATTATCAATACAGCCAATTGACCGTTGAACGTTTTACATGTTAATTGTTTGCCGTCAATAAAGTGAATGATTTATGTTTTACTAAATCATGAGTTAATAATAGCATTATTATTGAACCTAAATTTGTAACTTAACAAGTCAATAATTTAAAGTAACGTTTAATTTCCGCATTTTTTTGGACATAATTTATTAATTGTAATTCATTTTAGGTTAAACATCATCAATACATTTTGTCAGTTACAAAATTAAATTTACAAATTGAATCTCAATTTGGTCAATAAACTGGTAAAGGTGAAGTGAAGGTTAATCAGTGTTACAGAAAGAGAAACATAATTTAAAAGAAATCGGAAAAGTTGAAATTATAAAAGCAGATGAAATGTATTAACTAATTGTTAGTTAATAATTCCTTAATAATGATGACTTGGTGTTTTCAGTTGCCTTTCCCATCATGACAGGTAGACATTGACAAACCTGATGATCGGAAAGTATCAACAATCAACAATCAATGCAAACTCACAACTCAAAAAGATGTCAACATTGGTAAAAGAGATTGAAAAAGAGATGGAAAAGTTTTGATTGAAATTGATACGAAACTCAATGAAACTCAAATGAGGTTTAATTGAAATTAAGGATCAAATGAAGGCTCAAATGAAGGATGTGATTCAGTGGGTGGTTTAATATTCATTTCCCATAAAGTGGAAGCCAAGATTTGCTCAGATTTACTGTAATCTCTTTTAACCTGAAAGAGTGAGAAAAACATGTAAATAAGTCTCTTTTTTTCACCATCAACATCATCTTTTTTGTTGTGTTATACTTTACCATCCATGACTGTACATAATTTGATTTTCCTCCGGGGTTAAGCCATTGTGAGGAGGAGGAGGAAGCGAAAGGAGGATGAAAGGAGGAGGAAAAAAAGTAAAGGTAACTCTGTGTACCTATGAGCTTTGCTTTGTGTGTTTCATTTTTCATTAAAAATTCTGAATGAAAAAAAGAGAAGAAAAAATCTGTTAATCATTTTAAAACATTAACTTTTTTTACTCTCTCTTCATGTTCCCTTGCCATTTTAGCTTGTTTAATTGCTGTGATCTTGCCTTTGTAATTAGGATTAACTATGATTTTATGATGATAATGAATAGTGAAGGCGAAGAGGAAACACACAAAAAAGTTAAGCTTTTAACACAATGAAAAAAGATGCTAATAAGACCACACAATTTGGTGATTATTTTACCTGCAACTTGAATCACAAATTAATGATTCTGTGAGAAATTAGTGATTCATGATTGAACATTGATCATGAAAATTTTGGGCAAATGTTTCCAGATGATAAACTGGTAAATCTTTGATAAACATTTTGCTTTTCAGTTTTCCAATTTTCCATTTTCTCATTTGTTGAACAATCTTGAAATGCCAATCTATATTGTAACCATGATTTAGTAACAATCTAATTGAATCTTGGACAGTCAACAGTAAACCTTGCGACAGTTAACGTTCAGGTTGACCTTTAAATTGAATGTCACTAGACCTTGCCCTTAATAAATCACGAATTTGTTTCTCGTTCAATTTCATGAAAATTGAAACAAACTCTTCTCATTGTTGTCTCAAAACAATCTTTTTTTGTTTTGCTCAAAAACTAAAGGTAAATCACCTAAGGCAAAGGTCGATGCTTCCTTCAGGTCAACAGGTTGCTAAATGTACCGTTTTGTCTTGGTATCTTGTTGACTCTCTATAAATAGGATTGTTAAGTTCACAGATCAACTGATTGTGGGTTTAACTTGAAGATTTGTTGGCAATTTACTTGGAATCATTTTTGATTAACAATGAATAAACCTTTTTCTGTAATTACATTTAACAAGGTAAACCAGAGACGACAAATCAATGTCATTTAAAGCTATCAATCTTGGCTCAAAGGCTCAACATTTCAAGATCGTTAGTGACATTTGCTTTGGAAATGTTTTTCACTTTATTTTTCATCATTTCGCGATTTCCATTGAAATTTCATTTTCAGTTTTCATATTAAATATTGATCAATTAATAGCTTCAAATTGCTGGTAAATTCCTGTTCATTAGCATAATCATAATTACCGTGATTAACCTTAAGTATTTACTTTGAGCTTTTAAAATGTTCATTAATTAATTAAAGGCAACATTATTCTTGTATTGTGTCCATTAACTGTTTTGTTTTTTGTGTTGTTTTTTCACGATTTTCTGGAAACTCTCAACAAAAAATTGCATTCTCTTTTTGCGCTTAAATTCAACCTCAAGCACGCATTTAGCCCCAAGGTGGCCCATTATTTGCTAATGATTATCACTAACAGACTCTTTAATAGTCTAACAGTTAAACACCATCAAGCCAATCAATAAATGTTAATAAGTGGTAATTTGGTGTTAAACTTGATTTTATTTGCAGCTTAGTTGACCACAATAAAGCAAATACAAACCATAACCATTTACAGTAAGCCTTAAGATTTCAATTTACATTCACTTCATTTGCGTCATCAAAACATTGATTCGAACTAGAACAATGAAAAAGATAAAATAATAGTCGACCTTTGTCCATCAAAGAAGTTCATTTCTTCAGTTTACTTTCCCTGTTAATCACGAGAAAAGTTCATTTCACAAAGTAAAACAAATCGATTGGCATCAAGCCGATACTTTGCCCCATCAATGGTTTTACAATTGACTTAACCAGTTCACCAGACTTGAAGCTTCATTTGATCTTGATTACTGTGAATCTAATTTTACCTTTTCTTCCAACAGCGAAAATCGCGAAAATGAATTCTTAAAGTGACCTTTCAGACAAATGTCGCTGTCTTTTCCCTCTCAATGGTTGATTTACAAACAGTGATTTAACTCATTTGATTGAGCTAAATCTGGTCAATTGAACAATTAGTTTGTTTTTTTTGACTAAACGTATGTAAACACGGTATTTTACAAAGTTACCGTTTCCTTTGTTAAACTGCATCAACATTATTTATTAACCTTTATCTCCGCCTGATAAATCATTGGCCTAGGATCCGTTTATGTGAATCGTGTTACAAAAAAAATGACCAAAGAGCATACGGAACTAAACGTGGCTCATCAGTGTGTAATGTAAGGTCAATGTTAAAAGCCAACCCAAGGCAAATAATGATCCTTTAAGATGAAAATGATGAGGCTGATCATGTTAAAGGTCTTGAAGCAGAAGGCCTTGCCTTTGCCCTTTGCGCTAACATCATCTTTAAGGCCTAACCTTTACAACAACAAACAGACATTAATGGTGTTTACTTGGAGCTGTTGAGGCTCATTGTTAATCAAATAATCAAATACAAATTGTGGTTTTGTAACAAATTGTGTCAACAAACAGATACTTTATAATGTTACATTTTGCTGACTCGTGTTCAGACTTACCTTACATATTTCCGATTCAAATTTACTATAAATTGTTGCCTCTTCATGAACATAAAAAGAGTTGAAAAAAATGGTTAACAGCAACCTTGATTCCTATTGTTATATTTTTTCTCATTCCTATGATTCTGTCATCATTTGATCTCATTAAATTTCAAATTATCATTTCATCTTCATCATCATCATCAACAGTTTTCAACCATTTCTCATCAGTATTCAATGCATCATCTGACCATGATGATGATGATGAAAATAGGAGCGTAAGAAGAGTGTGAAACCATTTTTAATATCATTCAGTTAACTTTGAATTTTTCACTCAACTTGCCTGATGAAAGGAAGAAAAGGTTGAAAAGGTTGAAAAGCGAAACCAAAGTCGATCCCAAGCAAGCCCATTCAGTTGAATTTGATTGAAACTGATTATCATTAATAGACGCAAGAAATGTCACTGATCATCGAAACTCGAGTAAAAGAAACTTGACCAATCCCATTTTTATTTCACTTTTTGTGTGTTCAATGATAAGGTTGATGGTAATGAGGATGATAATAATGATGGCATGGATGATGATGATCCGTGTAAATTTATTATAATCATATATTCATGATTCATGACTAGATGAAACTTCCTACTCCATGAAATATGATTCAATCCATGTGTTTCCATTGATCCAAATCAATGGTTAAGTTAACAAACAAACAGAGTTCATCTTTTGCTTGTTTTTTTTGCTGTTCACCAAAAAATGTTACAAAAATGTTTTCATCATTCAATTAAACTTATTGTTACTTTTAATAACGATCAAGACGAAAGGCAACTTCATCATTGTCATCATGTTAAACATCATTATCAGTTTACTTCCTTTAACATGTTTTGTAATTAAAACTGTACTTTGCTACTTCTTTTTGTACACTTCATTTGAGCTCAAGTATTCACAATGAAATACTTTGCTGGTCACAAGTATGTGAAGTACAAAAATAACATCAAACAGAAGGCAACCATTTTTACCCTGTAAATTGTTTCCCCAACATTTACTATACAAATTAACGTTAACGATCCCTTGTTAACTGTAATCTAACCAGGTTATTGATTAAGGCTATTCAGGCCATTTGCCAATTCATTAGTTTGCTTGAGTAATGACCATGTTTAGGTTTAAAGCAACTTTAGCTCAATTTGTAAATCTTTTAATCTGTAATTGAATGACAATGTTGTATAATGTCGAGTTATCACTTAAACTAGAGTCAGAAAAGTCACTTTTTGGTAAAAATCTGATTCTCAAATCAACTTTGGATTTGAGTTTGTTTTTTTCCTCATTTGTTGTCTGTTATAACCCGACGATGTTTAAAAGCAACAAGTCCGGTGGATAAGACAGTTTCACTGCTTTGACTGTTCAATAACGTTGAAAGCAAATCGATTTTCATTGAATGGTTCGAGTTTCGGTAACTATTTTCATCGTATTTTTGTGTAAAAAATTGAAAAATAAAGATTCTCTAGAAATTCATTTTCTCAAATTTTCCGAAAATGAATGTTAGCATCTTTTGTTAAACATGTGAAAAACCGATTTTTTGTACCAAATGAACTTGTCTATTAAAAAAATTCAAATAAATCTTTCTTATTTATTTTGATCTCGGTGAAATTGAATGAACAAAAAAGATTTATGAGAGACTTGAAAATCTTGTCTGGACATGAATCCAGACAATTGCATTTCAATTTCAAAGCTAGCACCAAGATTAACCTTTACTTTTAACCTAAAAGTTGACCGATTCATTTTGTAAAATTATTTCAATGCAAAAAATAAGCCTTTACTTTAAATGGACCAAAACTCATGAAAATTAACATTTCCAGTGAGTTGAGCAGCTTAACAAGGGAAACACATTGTGATGATTGATTGTTGATGCTAAAACTGATGTAAACATTACAATTTTTTACCCTCAATTACAATTAAAGGATAAATAATTGATTCTGTTTGAATATTATAAAGCGCAGAGAGTGGAAGAAACTGGATTAAGACTTTTGGTTTTGCCATTTATCACAAGTTTTATATCAAATTGATGGTAAAAGTGATATAAAATAAAGTCTAATCAATTAGTGTAGCAAATTAATATCACAATTACAAGCACAACAAGCAACATTAACAGTCGATACAGTATTTTGACAAAGGATGAAAGGTACAGACTTCATCACCTTGAATGGCAACATTTTTACATCTCAATTGTAAGGGCAACTTTGAATATGTAAAACGGGCAAACCTGTTGATTGTAAAATAATTTGCACAATTAACAGGGAAACACAAGTTTAACATGAAAAGCATTCCAATGATTTGGAAAATTATGTAAAAGCCGAAAAAAATGTTGCAATTAGATGAATTGAATTGGTAAAAATGATCAAGCCAAACCTTCAACAATCATTAAATTGTATTCAAAATGAAATTATGATCAATTTGTCGGTAAAGCAAAGAATAGCAACATTTTTGGAGTAAATTGAAAAAAAAGTTGATTCTCATCCTAATCACAATCATTCATCATATCAGCTTAAATCTTTCGCTCTCTTCAAATGATCATCATTATCATGGTGTAGGCTGATTGTTATTTCAATTAAATATTGAATCATCATTATTATGGGTTTGCAGAGGGAACAAGGTTCAACTAAAATTGAGTTATAAAATAGTTGAGATTGAGATGTAAGTCGACGAATTAAAAGTTGAAATGTGCAATAAAACAGATTTGGTGAGATTATCATTTTATCGTTGGCAGTAAAAATTCATGTTCAGTGAAACATTTAATGTTGGCAATTTAACGTTTTATGTTGTGGTCATTTTGTTGATTTTATTGTTCGAAGTAAAACTTGAATCAAAAACTTTTTTTTCATCTTTTTCATTTTCTGTTATTGTTCAGGAAACAGGAAGCATACGACCTGGAGTGATTGGAGGAAGCAAACCGAGAATCGTTTCACCCGAAGTGGAAAGGCGAATAGAAGAGTATCGTCGTGAGAATCCGGGAATTTTTTCCTGGGAAATTCGAGATAAATTAATAAAAGAAAATCTATGTGATAGGCAAACGGCGCCCTCAATATCCGCTATAAGCCGTTTATTACGTGATGGAAATCATGGATCTAGTTCGAGTGGAAGCGGAAGCGGAGGGTCAAATGGTTCAGGAGGATCAAATGGTCCTGGTGGTGGGAATGGTCACAATGGCAATGGGTCGACCACAGGAATGGATTCAATGTCAACTAAAGCCGGTAAACATAGCATCGCTGGTATTCTTGGTGGTGGTGGCATTGCAAATGGTAGTCCTGTCAATGGTGGACTTAATGGTTGTAGTGGTCTGGTTAATGGTGGTGGTGGTTGTGGTGGTGTTAATGGTAATGCAGGTAATGGTGGATTAGTGATAGTAGGAGGAGGAGGAGGAGGAGGCCACAGTGGTGGTGGAGGTGGTAGTATTGGTGCTACTTTTGTGGGTAGTTTGGGAACAACTCACAGTCACTCAATTCATCCACCTCCACCCGAGTCTTGCAACAAGTCAAGGGAAACAGATGAATGTGAGTAATCATCTTCATCATCACGTTGAATATCTTGATATTAGGAAAAACAATTTAACTCTTTTCTTCTTCTCTTGTCCTTTCAATTCATTTTCATGTTTTTTTCAGTTTCAAACTCTGTTAGGTTATGATTAATATCTGGTTAGGTTTGTTGTAAATTGAAACGTCTATTAGGATCAAATCAGCTCCAACCTTTACTCTCAACAGTCATTTAACTTGATATCAGGGCAAGTCTTGAGAACTCTTTCAAACCTAAAATTGAAATGGTCATTAGAATGAAATCAACTTTAAAATTAACCTTGATTAGACAGCAATTGTGATTTATGTGTTGATCTCATGGTTAATCAATTTAGCAATGAGGCAAAATAACTCGACAAGATTTATTTTGAAATTTGATTCAAAAAATAGGTTTTCACTTGAAATCAACATTTTTACTTTATTCATTTTCCGTCTCCAACTCGAGCTACCCCGAGATAAAGTCTTTAACCTTTTACCTTGTAATAGCTGATTAAATGTGATTTAAAGTGTGTTACAAATATGTTTATCCTGATCAATGAAACGCTAAATGTTACAAAAATGAATTTCGATTTGAATATTTTCGTTCAATTCAACATTGTCCACCTTTTATCATTCAATAATCATTTATTCATATCCTTTCCTAAACCTCTTCTCACCTTTACTACTCTTTACAATGGAAAGCTATTTTGTAGGAAAAAAAAAGAAAAGCAAAAAACCTTTGAGTTATAATTATTTGAATGACAATGTGCTGATCTTTGCCAGTGTGTGTGTGTCATGTACTAATCAGATTAGAAGAGATTATCCCTGAATGAAGGAAATAAGATGATAATAAGATAAAAGTCACTAAACACTAAATTGTCCGTTAAACTCCTTAAACCACAAATCGTCTTAACCTATTATATCACCGCCAATGGTCAGTCCGCAAGACTCACTGTCAACCTCTTCCTCCTCACCTCATCACCTTTCCTCTCCCTTCCTCTTAACCAAAAAAACCAAAGAGACGAAAAAAAATGTTCATCCTTTTGATGAAAATGATGAACATATTCAAGCACTTCTCATTGGCTTGTTCAACCATTACTGTCAGTTAACTCCACCTTTGCCATGATCATTCAGTTGATCTCAATAATCATCATAAAACTGATTATCATTAACAGTTAACAAGCTTATAGGTTTTACGGATTGAATTAAGTCCAACAAAGTGTAAACAGAAAGCTCAAGAAACTCATTTGATAGATGAAAAGAAGTGACAAAAAATTTCCGTTTCCCAAATCCATATTTCCATTGATATTAACATTGATCACAATTTGCCTCAAAATGATAATAATCTCATAATCTTTTGTATCCATTGTGACAATTGATAATTCAATTGTCAGAGAGTCTATTTTTTACCTTTTCACACACTCAATCAAAGTAATCGGATTGTCGATTGATTTTGTGATTGAAAACCTGCGAAAACAAAGAGAATAGATAATTAAAAAAAAAGTTGATTAGACCTCCTGAATAGCAAAGGTGAGTCCATCAGAATGCAAGGTGTGAAGTGTAATGGCACCTTGACAGGTAACTGTTGCCCTTCCTTCAACTTGAGAAATTTGAATGTTTGAAAGAAAACGTGAAATTGGGTCAAAAATGTAACTAATGATAATATTATCATTCCTTGTTATTCCCATTATTACCTGGATTAAGAAGAGAAACAAATTATGATTGATTTTCATTTTTCGCTTTACTTTGAAACAATTGCCAATGAAAATTGGCAAAACAAATAAGATCGCCAATTTGAATTGCATGCACTTGAAATTGGCTGAACAATTTGATTGGTTCAGCATTGTGTGCCATAATTGAACGATGATAATCATTAGGATCTCAGTAGTTTCATCAAGCCAAAAATCACAGATGAAATTAAAATGCACGCAAACAACAACTTGAGAGAAAAGGTAAAAATGTTTACCTTTAATCTATCAATAGATTGACTCTCATTAACATTATTTAATCTTGTAAAACCTGCAATTTGAAACGCTATCATGAAACTGTTGTCAGCATTTGTTTTCATTTGTCTTTAATTGTGATTAAATTGAAAATGCAATATTCCGTTCAATCTTTCATTTCGTTTTTTTTCTTCTCGTTTTCTTCTTCTTCTGTTGTTCCAATATCTCGACTCTTTACTCAACACCACCACCACTTAATCAGCCCACACCACCACATGATCACTCGCAATTAGCATGTTAATTGGGGATTGACAGTGTTGCTCTTTAAGGGAACATTCAATTGTGTCTAATTGTTGTCTTGTTGTTGTCCTTTGTATTAGGTGATGATGATGCAAGTGACAGTGACACTGAACCAGGATTAACATTGAAACGGAAACAGCGTCGATCGAGAACCACTTTTACCGCAATGCAACTGGAAGAGCTTGAAAAGGCCTTTGAACGAACCCAATATCCAGACATTTATACAAGAGAAGAGCTTGCCCAAAGAACCAAATTAAGTGAAGCTCGAGTTCAGGTAATTATCGACCCTTTAATCAACTTTCACATTCATTCTGAAAATCAAATACAAGTTTAAATTTTATAAGTTTAACTTTCCTTTTTAGGTCAATAGTCTGAATAGTTTCTCAACTATTTTAGTTTTTAGGTCAGTTTCATTCCAAGCTTTTAAGAAAATTCGTTAATTTCGATAATTTTTGTGCTCAACTCAATTCAAATTACCATGAATCAAAAGTTATTTTAACGTTAATCTCGTCTAGTTCAATGTCCAACTTCAGAATTGATCACAACCTGATTTGAAAATTTTTGTGACTTTTCCAACTTTATTTTTTCATTGTAAAATTTCTCGATTTTATTCAAATTTCGTCTGAAAATGACCTTAAAATGAAACTCCAAGTTAAACTTTAACATCTTCATCTTGAATTGTTTGATGAAAGAAATTGAAAACTGAAAATTGAAAAAATGAACTTTTTGCTCTTGAAGAAACCATTGGAGCTCAAATTGAAAAGTCCATTTTGAGTGATTATTTTGATTGCGATATTTGTTGATTCAAAACGTTGATTAGTTTGATGAATAGCTGAAGATATTAATAATAATTTAATAAGTTGATGAAATTAAATGAAGATTAAGAAAGTGGCGAAAAGAGGATCAGAAAGAAGCAAGGTAAGGTAAAGATGATAAATGATTATTTAATTGAAGGTAACCTGGCAAGGTTACCAATTGTACAGAAGAAACCTCAGAGCAACCAGCAAAAAAGATCAGAAGAAGGCAAAACAAGCGAAAAAGCGTTTACATAAATTGAAAGGTGAAAGGTTAACCCACAAAATGAACCTTAATTGAGAGTAAAATTTCAAATGATTTCAAATGAGTAAATTGAAAAATGAGACAAAAAAGCAAATCAAATGAACAATCTAAAGAGGAACAAAAAAAAGATTGAATTTTAAAGTTAAAATGTTACCGTCATTGTCAGTGACAATGACAAGTGAAGTTGGACAAAATGTGATTCCAATGAAACAATGATTACCTTTTCTGCCAACTCATAACAACTCAATCAAGGCAATCAGGTAATTTAGGCAACAATACTTGATATAATACAGTTTAAGTAGTTAGCTGAATGTTGCCCAAAAATGTGTTCAAACTTACGGGCTAAAGCTGATTATACAGGCCACCAACATTAAACCATTTTACCATCTCACCATTGTTACAATAATAATGTTAATAATAATCATTATTTATGTATTAACATTGTGTGTGGTTCCTATTGCCAGTGAACAGTTGGGTGCAAATCAAAGTGAATTTAAGTGAATCAAAAGTGAATGAATAAATGAAACTCAATGAAAAGCAACATTTGAAAGACACACACATTCGTAGGTAAAAAGGGAAAGGTTGAAATCAATTTTTTCGCATTCATCTTTTATCTTCTTCTTCATTCCTCTTCATCTTCATCTTTTTCAGATTATTTCTTAATCAAAAAAAGTGTTGTTTGTGAAGAACATTTTTACATAGTTTTACCTATTCTTTACCTTATTATGTGAGTTTTGCTCAACAAGCAACGGCTTTACTTTATGTTATCTGATAGTTTTATTATTCTTGTATCGTTATTATCATTATTTTCATCATCATCTTTCTAATGCCATTTTCAGTTTAATATTGAGAAAACAATATTAACTTGTTCCTTTTTCAATTCTGTCTCTTACCTTTTCATGTACACTTGCAACAAACACGGAACGTTATCGGTATTTTGTAGTTTCATCAACAAAACAAAATTTCATTTTCATCTTGCGCTTTTAGGAAGCTTATCACGCAAATAGCTTTTGTATAACAAAGGAATGATGATCAAGTTGAGGATGATAATGATGAGCCAAGTCAGCTTATTACCAAGTTATTATGTTTCATTTTATTTTTCACCATAAAACACAAACATTCTTGTTTCAGTGTCAAAATAGTTTCAACTTTGGATAAACTTTCAGCTAAACCAGTTCAGCCAAAGCCAAAAATCAAATCAAAATCGAAATTTCTCATTGTTCTGGTCTCTAGACTCGATCATGAAATTAACACAAATTATTCATCTTTTAATGGAAAAGTTTCTCTCCAAAACCAATCAATTAAATAATCAAACAAAATCAAAAGTATCTTAAGCTAAACAATTCAATCAGCTCATCATTTCAACCTTAAGACTTTTTCCAAGTTGAAATTTTCTGTTTAGCTATTTTGACCTTTCACCTTCTTGTTTTGTATTTCAGTCAACTTTTAGTTTAACCTTTAAACATTGTCTTCTGTGGTTTGGATTAAAAAACTCCAGAAACTAAAATAGCAAAGACAAAATTAGCCAAAATCCAAAATAGCAAAAAAGTATCTTCTCTTAAACGCAAAATTTTCATACAATTTTGCGAAGGACTCATCGATAGAACTGATAGTCGAAAATTTTGCTCGACTTATTGAAGTTTCAACTTCGAAAGCGATTCCATTGACAACTATTTGTCAATGAAGTCATTTCCTACTAACTGACAACTCGCTTTAAAGCTTTCAATGGATTGATATTAGAAGGCGATTTGCTGTTTTGTCTTTTACTCTCTTGCTTTGCTATGTTTTCATGAATCGCCCTTTCTGTTGTCAGTCAATGGGTCAAGTTGATTGACCAAAGAGTGGAGAGTAAAAAACGACCCTTTTCGACGTTCGGCTTCACCTTGACAACTTTGTATCGGTATTTTAGTCTCTTTAGTACAATAATGATGATATTAATGTTATCAATTCCCTGGCGAGTTTTCAACCTTTCAAATTGATTGACATTTTGTAACAAGTAAAAATGATGCAAACACAAAACTGGAAACTCAACTTTTCCTTCAACAAGCATTTTTTTTCATCCACTTTTATCAATTATTTAAATGATACAGCAACTTGCAGTCAACTTAATCTTATTTCCCATGAGGTTAAGCAGATTATCGCATCGCTTTACCAAAACCTATTCTACCTGTGATTGTTGTGGTTGACTGTGTTGACAGACTCAACAGTTGACATGACAAAATAACCCGATCATGACTTAAAAGCATCTGTAGGCTTGAGAAAAGCGGACAATTTAAATCACAATAGAGATAAATTTAGCTTGCAAGAAGACACAGAAATACATTTCAACAGATAAAATTGAAATCTAATAGAAGATAATTGCTACAAGTAAAAGAGGAAAAACTTTTCATCTGTTGATCACCTAAGGTCTCTTTTTTTTCTGGTGAGAAAAATCATGTTTCTTATGAAGACACAATCAATCAAAGCGAAAAGCTTTTCATCAATTTTTACCTTTGTACACAATTCAATCATCATCATCATCTTTTCTTAGTCTTCCCTCAATTCCTAGTCTATAAGTCTGTTCATGTTGACGCTTCAACAATCTTCATCTTTTGTCTTCACCATTCAATGTTTGCGGGAGTTTCTTGTACAAACCATTTTCAACAGATAATTATGATATACTATTGAGAATTAGCTGCTTTTATGTGTGTTTCATCGCACCAAAATGACCTCAACTTTTCAATAATAAAAAAAAAGCTCTAACCTTCAGCTTTATCATCCTCATCTTCACTCCAGGGTTTTCCTCATCAGCTTCACTGCAACAACCTCCTTTACCTGCCTCAACACTTGTGGTTGTTTTTGTTTTACAATAAACAACGAAAAAAGCCTTTTCACTTCACCAACCATTTAATAACATCATCATTCTAATTATAATCATTATAACCATAATTAACTATTAACCTGTTTTTATTTGAAACCATTAAAACCAAGAGAAATAAATGATTTCTGTTAACCCATAAAGTCAATGATTATTGCCTTCACTCTTTCAAACCTTAATTGTAAATGATCTAGTTTTTAATTGTAAAATGGAGTAACTATGTTAACATGAGTAAACAGAAATGCATTTTTAAATGTTAAATTTGCTTCAACTGTTTCAAGATTAACAGATTATTCCGGCTTTTAGACGGGGAAACAATTGATTTACAAGGGTTCATTTAAACTATCTCAAGCCAATTGGCTTTACAATGAAACAAGTGAATCAAATTTAATTGTAACAGACAATTTTGTTCACTTCAGAGGCACAAGAAGCAAAATAATCAAATTAACCCTAAAATTGATACACAGCCAAGTTGGCAATTAGCAAGTCGAAAAGGAATCGCACAAAAAATGGAAACTCAACCGGAATTGTAGCTCATGTTGAAATTGAACAATGATCATCATAGACTATAATTGTAATCATTTCAATTGTTGCTGTTATGGATTATACTTTGTTTACTGTAAATGGAAACATTCATTTAGAATGAAAATGATAAATGAATTTAAGGTAAACTGAACATTTTGTTGAACAAAAATTGTGTGTGTTTAGTCGACAATAGTTGATACCTTTTTTTGTTCAATAGCTGTCTATTTGTTAACTTTAAGGTGTGAGTAAATACAATGTTTTGTTGTATCTGAAACAAGGTAAATTACAAGTGAAAACACACCCAATTCAATTGTTGTAAATTGTTGTAAAACAAGAAACCTTTTTTATTGTTTCTTGTGTTTGTATTTTGTAGCTACTTTGTGTGTTTCACTGCAATTTGATTGAGCTTTTCAATGTTCCCATTGGAACTGAACTCATTGTTGCTGTTCGCTTCTATTTTTTCCCCTCTTTTCTTGCTATTCTGTTACTGGGTAAGTCTTGAGTAATCACTGAACAAGGTTTGATTGGTTGAAATGTTGGGATGAACAAGAACGCCGAGAATGCGTATAAATGAATCCATCTGGTTTCAATGCACGCTCATGCTCATCATGAATGGAGTGAAACGAGTTTGTCAAAAATGGTTAACACAACAAAATAGGATTGAATATGTGCTTATAGAACGGCTTGGTGATGATGATTAGGATGATGTTCAATTGTTTTACTCTCGCCATTGTTAGTTAGCCTGGAAAAGGTGAAAAAATTGCTTTCTTTCCATTCGCATGGTTAAGGTGGACACACTTTTCAATCAACATTTAATTTACATTGTTATTGTTTCACCTTCATGTTCAACGACGATTCTAAAATGGAATCTTTGTTTGATCAGTTTCAACATGATTGAGCTGATAACAAGAGCAGTTGAACAGGCAAAAGTGTTTATCAAAAGGCAATAGTAATAGAAGCTTAAACATTGAAAATGAGCTTAAAATGCAAATCTGAAAAAACTGAAAATCTTTTATGAACTTCAAGCTTCAGATTTTCATTCAACAGAAACAGTCAGAAATGAAACTTTACCGATGAAAAAGCATTTGCTTCTAATATTTCATTTTCAAGTGAAACTGATTTAAGTTACTTTTCAAGTTGAAAATGACAAATTGCTTGGACAAGAAACTGAAAGTTACTAGAAATTTGAGAAATGTTTCTCAATAAGCTCGATTCATCATTGGAACTTTGGGTGAAGATGGAAAATGAATAAATGGAAAAAGTCGCGATAAACCCTTACATGATGGAATAGCATGAGTCAATCAGTATTGTATCAAGAGGGAAGATCAATTATTGACTCTCAAAATGATACGCTTTAACATGAAAGAATGGCAATCATTTGATTTAAGAATTTAATAGATAAAAAGAAATAAAAGTTGAAATAATTTGTGTGTGGCCTTTGCCTTTACTTTCATCATCTTCTTCATCATCTTTATCTTCCTCATCATCCTGAGAGAGAGAGAGAGAGAAAGCCGTTCTTTAAGACGTTATTTAAGACCTTATTTAAGGCCTTAGCTTTAAAGACTTTTAAAGGCCTCTTGCCTTGTTACGCTCTCCAATCACTGTTAAAGCAACCATCAATTAACCTTTAATCCATGACGATGTTTTCATGTCCATCAACTCTTCACAATGAATCATCATCATCATCAGATCATCAAGATCATCAAAAACAAACCTCAAGATGATTCTCAACAAATTACAATAGGAATGGAGATCAATGAATTAACCTTTCAAGACTTTTGTTTTTCTGCCTTCATTTTGTTGCCTTTCAACAATTAAAGGATTCAAAGCTGAAGCTGTTTGATGAAAACTCAACAATTGTTGCCATTTAAATGATGATAATCATAGGAAACAAAAAAAAAGGTTCAATAATGAAAGTTTTAAACAAAAAATGGTCATTTTGAAGGGAAAAAGAAATGCTAACCAAAAGGCAAAATCACGCAAAATGTAAAATTGATATGATAACAATCAAATTGAAGAGTTATATAAGGTTTCCCACATTGATCATAACCAATATCATAATAATGATAATGTATAAAATAATGTATATTAATAATATTAGGAAAAATATTTTTCCCACAAAAACAAAACAAAATTGTTGGTCAAAAGTGAACAAAAAAGAGGAAAATGAAGACCACAAAACCGGTAAAGTTACTAAATATTGAACTTAATATTGCATTTGATCATGTTTTTCAATATTATTTAGTTTCCTTTTCGCCATGTTCACTCTGTTTGAAACTTTGTAATGATATAATCAATGGATCGTGTTCATCTTCAATACAAATAATCAGTCCAATGTGAGATACTGAAATAAAACAGGAATAAGATGGAAAGTCATTTTTTAATGGGAAAACATTCAAAAGGTTTAGTAATCATGTGTTGTGTGAATTTTTCAGCCAATTTTATCCAAATTCATGTAAAAATGAGCAAAATAGTTACAAGAAAAAGTACAATCTTGATTATAACCTGAAAGTACTGTTGAAGGTTAGCTAAAAGTAAACGTTCATTAGGATCAAATACAGTTTAATTGCTCAGTTTGGTCAATTCGTATTCCTGATAATTCAAGATAATGTCTTGAAAATTTGTGAGTTTAAATTTACCTCAATCTGTGAAAACATTGACTTGGACCAAACATTGCATTTTTTGAGTTGAACAGTCTTCCACTTGAAGCTCCGGCTTGGCTTATTAATCCAAAAATGCCAAAAATTTACCGCTAATTGAACATTTAATGTTTCAATTGGCATCATGAACAGTAAAAATATTAACCAAACTGAAAAACACCAAAAAAACTACAAAAAATGAACAATGACTATTCATAAAAGTGGTTAAAAAGGTAAACGTTTATGCGTTAATCAATAGGCATGAGACTAGCATGAAAAGCTTAATGATTCGTGCAAACCTTTATCTTCATCATTTTTAAATATTATCTTCTTTTCTTCTCTTTCTTTCCCTCTTTTTCTCGTCTTCATCATCATTCTTACATTTATCATAAAGTGCAACGTTATTTACATTGATTTACCAGACCAGTAATTAAAAGTAATCAATTGAATTAACCTTAATTATACTTTGCTTGTTCCTTATGAATTTGTTTTCCCTTTTTTGCGCTTCTTTTACTCCAACTTTAAGATAGTAAAGCATTTGCTTTTTTTGTAGTTTAATTTTTACGCAAAAAAGGCCTTAAGCTATTATAATAATAATCATTATTATAATGATAATAATCAGTAGATATATTAACTTATGGATAATCTCACGCCCTGGTCGTTATTACAATGTTATAATATGGTTAATAACATTCACTGTGGCCTGTTGTGGTTACCAATTGTGTATAAATACCTTTGGTGTTTAGTGGTTTTTTTGTGTCTACCTTTTACCATGATTTGGGTTGTTTTGTTGTTGTTTGTCTGGGAGGTCTTGTATTTAAACTAATGTGTTGCCACTGTTCAATAGATCCTTCATTATCATTAGAAAGCCTTGTTTCAATCTTGTAAAATGAATGACATTTTTGGATTGAATTTGTCCAGAAATTACATTTCTGTCTTTGAAAGAGTTACAGTTGTAAATATCCTTGTTTGTCAGCTTGTTGTTGAATGATTGTTTGAGGTTATCGGGCTTGCTTGGAAATTAGTTCAATACTTGAAAACCCGCAGAATTATTTGCCTTTCATTTTTGCTTTCCATTTGTCAGGAAACTTGATTGTTGATTTAATCCGCCAATTCCTCCAATTGGATTCCTTTCGTTAATAAGTAGGTACAATTAATGTTGCGAGAAAAAATTGTAACTGAGCGATAAATTATTAACTCAAGTAAATTATGTTGAGGGTAAGTTAAAGGGAAAAAAATGCTGCCAAAAAAATAACATTTTAAAATGTTATTCTTCATCGTTTAACATTTTCAACTTGTTTCTTTCCATTCTCATTCTTTCTCTCGCTTTTTTTACCTTCACTTTAGATGTAACTTGCACACTGTAGGTGATATTATAATATTTAAATTTCTGGTTTAGGTGAAAATTGATTCCATTGAATGCAAGTGTTATTAGACCCTGATTAAGGAGGATTTGAGATGATTTTTTGACAGCATTTTAGGGAAAAAAGGGAAGATGAAGATGATGAACTAGAGATGAGTGTAAAATGGTTGAGAGAAAAAAAAGAAGCTGAGAAGAGTCAGAAGAAAAGTGAAGATGATATAAACATCTCATGAATATCTAAAAGACTTCAATCTATTAGACGATTCATTTGCATTTAGAAACGTTATCAACAGATTTACCAGCATTTCACCTTTTTTCTTCTTCTTTCACTTCACCTTTTACAGAAAACTTGTATTTTCTGACTCTTTTTTGTATGGGTCATCATTATCTTCATTATCACCATCATTCTCATCTTTCCTTTTTATCAATTCATCAGCATAATTGCGTCGTTACTTTCTATATGAAAGATATGTCATCAAATAGATGAAAATCAGCAAATGACGTTTTTGTAAAATGCGTAGAGCCACTTTTGTCCAATTTGCTGGATGCCACTTGAAACTTTTGATTACCTCCTTTCCATTGTTCATTAATAGTTCTAATTGGCTTTGTTTCTTTTTGTCCAGGTATGGTTTAGTAATCGACGTGCTCGGTGGAGAAAGCAAGTGGGAAGTCAACAAATCCAAACTGGATTTGGATCGCCGTTTGGTATTCCCACCATGCATCCAAGTTATGGAGCATCATCAGCACCTTCATATTTCATCCCAACAACACCAACAAGTGATCCTGTACCATATTCATCTCTCGGTAAGAATTTGAAACCACAGAATTTTCCTATGACAAAAGATTAATAGCAAGGTTAAGGAGGGCGATGCAGAGATATAGATCATGATTTGATTAAATGATTTGGATAATTACCTGATTGTGAATACATGCAGATGTGAGCGTAAAACAGAGAATAAATGTCACTCGAAATACATTGATATCAGCAATTATCAGATCAGTTGGGTACTGAATGGGTATCGAAGTGAATGGGATTTCCGTTAAAAATGAACAACTGTAGAGGATTTGAAGGATCCAGGAAGATAGCCAAAAAAGCACATGTAACACTTTTACAAGAGCTTCTTCACCTTGCTGATTTGTTTTTAATCACCCAAGCAATCAAAACAACAGATTTGACGCATCAGATTAAATTAATCAACATTTTTGCACTTGATAATAAGTACTGTCACTAGAAAGGCATAAAATTTGACGAAAGACTGAACAAGGTTTGAAAATCGCGACATCCAGCTTTCTCTCGTGATCCTTGATAACAATCAACAGCACCATCAGCATCGATTGTTGAGATTAAGATGAGATGATTAGTTAGATTTAAAATCGATAAATTATAAAAATAATTAAAATAGCCAAGGCTGGTTAAAAAACAATCAATTAACGCTTAAATTTTTTGTTAACTTACAGTGAATTCCGACTTATTTTGACAAAAAAATCAGCGCCATCTAGATGAAATCAGTTGGCAACTAAGAGATCGCAATATTTTGTTGTCGAATTTTTGATCTTTTTTATCGATGATAATTGTTTATTTGTGAGTTTTCACTCAAGAGAGGATGAACTAATCATAATCAGCCTTAAATAGAAAATCATTCGATAAGTTCTTTGATCATTGCAGCGAAATTCCAACTAAAAAACCGCAAGATGGCGCTGATTTTTTTGTCAAAATAAGTCGGAATTCACTGTACAATAAAAAGCCAATTTAAAATATACATTGAAGCAAATAGATCGCCATCTAACGTTTCATTTATCAATCAAAAAATTGCTATTGTTTACTAAATGTAATGTTGCGCCATTTGATTTTGAAATTGGATTGTGATAATAAATTGTTTTTATTTTTGTCTTTTAGGTTCAAATCAATCAGGAACAAGTTTACCAGGTAACTCATCATGGCCCAGTTGTAGTGAGGCAACACGACAAACTACATCAAGTTTAACAGCCGCTGCAGCTGATTGCACTGGTTCTTACCTTTCTACCGGAAGATTACCATTTCAAACACAGGTTAGTAAATGAGTGAGAAAATTGTTGATGAGGACGAAAATGAAGTAAAACTAGATGAGGTGATGATGAAGATAAAGCTAGGCAAATCAGCTAAATGATTTATAAACTTAGTAGATAGGATTCACGGTTCATCTACATCTTTGTAAATCATGCTTACGAATATAATTCAAGAAAAAAAAAGGAAATATTACTCCCTCACTTCCTTACTTTTTCATCCTTCTTCTTCTACTTTTTCTTATACATCTTCATCATCTTCAACTTTTCCTTCCTTTTCTTCATCTTTACTTATTCCAAGATGATGTTAATTTTAACAATTGCCAGTGACTTTTGTTGAAAAACACCAAGGCTAAGAAAAAAAAGGCAAAAGATATGTCCAATGATGTTTGTTAATGATGCGCATCAAATTAAACAAGAATGTCCTCAGATAATTAACATTGTTATTAATTTAATTGTTTTTTCTCTCTATTACGCTCTTCGCCTGCCTCTACTCGTCTCTGGAACTCCTCAATGGACAAAATTTGGACCAAACTAATCCTTGTACGAACTTAACCTGGAATGAACCCAATCTTGGATGAACCCAATCCTGGATAAACCAAATTATGGATGGACTCTGACTCTAAATGGATCCAATCTTGACGGAATTCTGAACAAATGAAACAGTTTTCAAGTCCCAACGTTCCAACATCGTTAGCAGTTAGTTCAGGTTATGGTAACAGCAATATAACTCCAGTTAGTAGCAGTTATTTCCCTTCCAATCATGTTTTCTGTAACAATTTGATGGATGATTATGTAGTTCAACCCGAAATTGGTTCAGTCTCTGGTTCTGTTGGTATTTAATGATAAATCTCATTCTAATTAATTTACTATTATTACAATTATAATTATTATTATTAATAATATTATTATTACATAAAAAATAAATACAATGACAACAAACCATCATTTCCCTAATCATCTATTTTACAATCTCTCTCCTCATCAATCTCTTTTTTCAACCTTTTCAAACAAATTATCTATTCATCATAATCTTTCCTCTTTCTACTCTTTTTTTTGTTGATCCTTTCCTTTCTCACAATCAAACAAAACACACATAAAGGTTAATTAAGTGAAAACTAATTGTCAATTGATCATTGTAATTATTATAACAAACAAAGCGAAAAGCAACCAAAATAAAACGCACAAAAAATCTTTCAATTCTCAATGATTTCCAATCTTAAATGCAAAATCAATTCCAGTGTCTTGTTTCAATGCTATTGACTGCCTGAAAAAGTATTATTCAAACAATCAAACCAGTTGATTGTGAGTTGAAAAATGGTTGGTGTTATCATAATTAAGGTAATTGAATGGCAGACAGACTTGCAGTCTTTACCTTGAAAGGCTAAATCAATGGTAAATAAATTGTTGATTGTCTCTTCCCTTTTCAGTGCTGGAACACTTTAATCAGTTCAATCAATTTAATTATTTCATAAAATATGATCATAAATCTATTAGCATTTAACAAGATAAAATGTGCATTAAGATCGACACACAAATTCAATGCTCACTGTAAAGTGATAAAGATGAAAATGAAATTGAGTTAATTTTAGCCTTTATCGATTGCCACCCAATGGATAATAATCATTTTTGCTCTTGAATTGAATACCAATGAGTGTGAACACGCAGTGCATTGCAAACAACCAATTTCATGATGAATTTTCTCGTTAATTGAACCAAAATTCAAGTTCATTCAATACCAAAGAGCAGCCAAGATTTTGGTCTATTCATAATAAGTACAAGAATTGGGTTTATCAATGATTTATTGTCTTTCTGAATAGGATATTGAGTTGAATCTAAATTGGTCAATCTAACCAAAAAAAGCCAACTCTATTGCCTTTTATCTGCAAAGAGTAACAGTATAATCTTCACTAAATGACCAATTGCTTGGCCAAGGCTTTTCGGAAATTTAAGGCTATTATGGTTGAATTTTTGATAATTTCGAGTCTTGATTCTAAATAACGATCATTTATCGATTTTTCGGTCCTTTGCTATTCATTTTAGACTCGATACACATGTAGTAGTCAATAGCAGGTTCACCAGATGATAAAGAAACATCTTTGGCATTTGTATTTTTTGTTGCCTTTATTAGGATTTCGTAGACACCGTTTAAATGGGAAGAGATGTTAAAATGGTAAAATGAAATTGAAATCGTTGAACTCCCAGGGATGATCATCTTGAATAAGAACGATTAACACAATGAAATTTAATCAGTTAAAAGGAGTAATGTCTTTTACCATGTATTGCAATACAAGTGAAAAAAAAATCTGCTTAGTAACAAGGTTTTAATATTAGATTGGATATCAACAGAGGGAGCCAGAATATGGACAATATTACTGCTTATTTTTAAGATGATAAACAAATCGATAGGTACAAATTCAATTTTCAAGGTTAATCTTTTTACGTTAAGGAACCATAAAAGCCAGATTTTATCATATATTTTCATGTTTCCATCTCATCTCTATCTGGTTGTCTCCCTGTCTCCTGGTATCGCCATCTTCCCTATCTAAACAATGTTATAAATGTGTTGCAAAAAAATTGGTATACTAAACATTATCACTCTTACAATGTAACAAGTTAGGAAACCCAAAAAGAAACCAAAATGGATCTAAAGGTAACTGTTTAGGATTACTTTTTGTAAACCATTATGGACCCAATTATAAGGTGCAAAGCAGCTGATGATGGTGACGATGAAGATGATGAAGGAGACGATTGTTAAATTGGGTAAGTACAACTATTATCAGGATGAAGATGTAGACGATAAAAGAAACCAGAGAGTGAGACAATTTTCTTGAGTGAGTTTAAGTAGGTATATAAACTGATGGTAATCCAAATACACTTTTTTATTCAACTCTTTTTTTCACTCTCGTTTATCATTCATTTTCCCTTCTTTCTCCGTCTTCCTTGTTCTCTCCCTTTCTCTTTTTTCCACCTCTCACTACTTTTTTCACTCTCTCTCCCTCTCTCTATCTTCCACTATAAATCTCTCCCTCTCTGTCTTTTTGAAAACCATAAATTCACTCTTCATATCAAACTCCAAGATTGTAAAACTCACAACTTGGATTTCACTTGTTAAACTGAAGCAACTTTATTCGAGATTTTCGTTTCAAAATAAACACTCAATACACACAATAACACACAAATTAATTTATCAATCTACATCATCTTTTCCTCTTCCTCTCCTCCTTCACCCTTTACCTCCCACTATTTTTGCTCAATCATTTTTACACCAAAACATACCATTTTCTAACTCATTGTTTCTTGTGGAAACCGTTTTTTACACCCAATTTTTAATTACCATCAAACCTGTTGTCATAATATTCAACCTTCCAGTCAATATTAAGGATTTACAATTTACTATCCATTTTATTACCAACACTTTCAACTGTACCTCTGTTTACCGGTGTGATAATATTTAGATAAAAATTGTGGCACCATTGGTATTCAAGCAAATATGCATAACAACAGTTCAATTGGACATTGTCCAAATCATCGTGGTCGTTTAACTGATCACATCAAAAACCTGTTAACCCACCGATACCTTGTCATTCTTGCCTCCTTTTTAACAAACGGAATTATCTTCGGTGTTATCAATTCATTTGGAGTTCTCTATGTTCATCTTCTCACATTTTTCAAAAATGGAACCAAAGACGCTGCCTTTTCAACCTGTAAGTACAATCACAGATATCCATAACTAAAACCAAACCCAACTTGTGACCCAAATTTACTTTCACAATTTAACGATTATACCGTTAATATCACTGCTAGTTAAATCACATTGACTTCAAGCTGATTCAATCAATCATTCAATCTTTTTTTTGAAGACCAGAATCAGGTTAATCCTGGTGTTCTTACCGGTTTCATCTTTCAATAGCTTTTAAGATTTCCTTTCAATTTCACTTTTGGGTTTTGTTCATATTTTACTTTCCTTTTTTGCTCCTAAATTTCAATTCTCACAACAAACCAAATTGACGCTGATAACATTTGAAAGTTAATCTCATGTCATCATGATGACGATTAGGATCATCTCTTGCACCCTTGAAAAGGATAATCATAAATCCTTGACTTTTCTTCTCCTCTTTCATTTCCAAGGCTGATCCTATCCTCATCCTCATCATCCTCATCATCACCTTATTTTTAAGCCAAGAAACTCGAAAGAAACTGTTTCCAACTTATTACCTTAGCAATAGCTTGAATCATTTGTTAATCAACAATTACCAGCTAAAGTTGAACAATGAGAGAAGCAAAAAAACACTGATTTTGTTCAATGAAAACACAAAAAGAAACTGAATTTGCTTTCTCATCAATCACTTAATCAATCCCGATTGATCATAATTACACGATCATAATCACTTTCCCAGACTCCAAATTAGCACTTTTGCATTAGCTTACAACAAAATAACCAAAAAAATCAACAATCAATGCAGCAAAAATGGTTGACAATTAAATGATAATTTTATTAATCGACCAGCAAATTGTAATTCAACTTTAATTGTTGGCCTCGAAGCTATTGATTGTTGATATTCAACAAAAAGGTCAAACTTAAATTTAGTTAAATTCATTTCTGTCATTAACTTTAAACACTAGAAATCATTGAATTAATGAATATTTATTCAACTTGTTACCAAGTTATTAATAATATTTCATTCAAAGCAGCATAAAACAAATCATTAAATGTCTCAATTCATCAATATTAATCAGTTAATGTTAGGAAGAAGACTGAAATAATTGCTTAAACTGTTAACTTTTCATTAAATTGGAATTAATTAGAATCAATAATTGACTAAATTTAAATAACTGAATCAGTTAATTTGGAGAAGCATTTCTCGATTGAACAACATTTTCCATTTTCCATTGATCAAGATGTAATAGCAACTATTATCACCATCTTCATCATCCAGTTTAATCTCATCAATATCATCTAGTTGAGTCTAAAAATAAATAACAGTTCATTGGCAAAGATGAACAAAAAGATGAATTAAAGTTGAGTTAAATTTGTTTAAGCTTTACATTAATGTTGATCAGTAAATCAATGAGATGAAAAGGATAATCGCCTTTCACAAAATGTATAATAACACATAATGTTGATGAAAATGTTGATTAACTTTTCGTCTTTTCGTCCATAAAAGCAACGAGAAGAAAGAAAATGATTTACTAATTCTTCCTTCTTCCTATCATCATCATCATCATCACCATTGAGTATTAATTGACTGATAATGCTCAATTCCCTTGTTGCTTAGGGTAGGAGGACTTGCTATGGCTCTGACCTCTTCTCATCTTGTCCTTGTTCAGGATAATGATGAAGATGAACAAGATGAAGATGATGTAGATAATGATAGAAATGTATCTTCCTACTTGGATTGAATCCATAATGATAAGTAATGCAGTTGATCATCATCAAGCATCCGCATTCACACCAATCATTTGACTTGAGAAATGCAGCAAAAATGAGAAGTAAAAATTTCCATGTTAAAGCAAACGTCTAATTTTATCGACAATCAATTAATTGTCGAAATAGTAAATTTAATGGCGATTAAATGATCACTACAATTGACAAACTATTTAACCTTTCATCTGTTGATGTGTTCACTTTTGTTTCTCTACCTGGCAATTAACCAATTGCCTTGATACTCAATGGCAATGATCTTGGTTATAATGATGATGAAAAGCGATGATAGCAATGATTATTATTCAAAGATCAGGTTGTAAAATCGTAGCAACTATTTTCCTTGTTTATAAAACTTGCAGTTAACAGTTATTACAGTTTAATAATAAACTTAAGGTTGGCTAAATGAGTTCAATTAATCACAAATCATGGTCACAATGTAAAAATGTTGATGAGCCAAAAATAGATTGACAATCCAATTTATCTGTTTACTGTTGAAATTACTTACACTTTTTGTTTATTTCAATTTTTATGGATTCTCATGATAACATGAGCAAATATGAAACAAGCTAATCAGTTAATTGTAACAACAGCAAAAGTGGCAAGTTAACCCAACACCAGAAAACAAAACAAACCAGAGAGTCTTTAATTAAAATTTGGGTTCATTTGGTTGTTGCTTCAATAAGGGTTTTACATTGATTTGTTTTGCCACTGGTGACATTACGCTTTGAGTTCAAATCAATAATAACAAATCAAAATTGCTATTGTTACCTGATTATTTGAAAAATGGTTTTACTTTACAAAATTAACCTTGAAATGTCCATCAAAATATCCATTTTGTTCATTTGTTCACATTCAACATCAACAGAAGAGTTAATACAGTTACTCATGCAAACCAAAAAGTGAAACTGAAAAACAAAGTTATCATTTTGTTATAACCAACAACCATGATAACCTTGTCATTTGATTCACTGTTTTGGGTGAATAAAAGTTTCTAATTGATTCATTGAGATTCCCAGAAAATGGAGATAAACATTTGACCAAATAAACAGCACCAATTGACGTAATATCAGCTCAATTCAACACTTTGATGAACCAATAAAACTCTCAATGAAAGTAACATTGAACCTTTTTTTCACTCACAATTGAAACTAAAAATATTTCAATGGCAAAATTTTTATTCAAAACCAATCACTCAATAATTAATATCTTTCTCTCTCTCTCTCTTCTTATTTCAGCTTTGGTGGGTTCAATATTGATAGGAACAACATTTTCATGTTCAGCTTTATCATCCATTATCACTGATAAATTTGGAATCCGATCAACCACATTTATTGGTGGCTTCCTTGCTACTCTGGGAATGTTTACTTCGTCCTTTTCCTCATCCATTTACGAGCTTTACATTACTTATGGTCTTTTACTTGGCTTTGGTGTTTCCCTTTGTTATGCACCTTCACTGGTCATCTTGGGTCACTATTTTACTTCCAACCTTGGTTTGGTCAATGGCATTGTAACCGCTGGTTCCTCCGTTTTCACAATGATCCTGCCCATTTGTCTAAAGATGTTAATCAATCGATTCTCATTGTTTTTCGCTCTTCGCCTCTTTAGCTTATTAATATCAGTGTTAATGATTTGTGCACTCACTTTTAAAGAGAAACATGAATTTACCAATCATTCAAGCACATCTACCGAATATCGAATCAAAGATTCAGAACAATTTCCAACCACAACCAATAACAATAACAATCATCACTCCAAGAAAACACATTCAACTGTTGGCACCAAAATATCATCAAATTCACCTTCATCAACTGCCAACAGGAAACAAAATCTAATCAATTATACCATTTGGCGGAATCCATTGTACCTTTTATGGGTAATTTCAGTGCCAATAGCACTGGTTGGCTACTTTGTTCCCCACTTTCATTTGGTTAAACACGCTTCTGACATTCTGCCCGGTTCTAATGGTGAACTCTTAGTTACTTGTATTGGTGCTACTTCAGGAATTGGTCGACTTGTGTTTGGCCAAATATCAGATATTCAATCAGTTAATCCAGTTGTACTTCAACAGATTGCCCTGCTGGCCATTGGTGGGTCAACAATGTTGTTCACCATTGCCAAAAGTTATGTTTTACTGTTAATTTTGTGTGCCATTTTTGGTCTCTTTGATGGTTGCTTTGTATCCTTAATGGGTCCGGTTGCATATTCATTGGTCGGTAAGGAAGGTGCCTCACAAGCAATCGGTTTTGTGCTTGGACTCAGTTCAATACCCTTCATGCTTGGTCCTCCATTAGCAGGTAAACTCATCTTTCAAATAGTCAACTTTTAAATCAAGCTTAACCAATTAAACAAATTTACAATCAATTGGCCAACATGAAGCTCATTTTCAGTTTCAAGCTTAAACTTAATCACTCTTGAATACTCAAAGTGGAAACATGTGATATGTTGATAAATATATCTTTGTTTATCGCAATCATTTCACAATTAACAGAGTTTGATTGACATTATTGCATTATTTTTTTTGCGCTAAAAATGGGTTAAGCATTTGCAATTAACAAATCGTTTCATGTTGTATCAACATTTACATTTTGTGTTAACTCTTGTTGAGTATTTAGTAGCCAAGGAAAAATACCGTTAACACTTGAGGTACAACTTTATTCAAACAAGTTGACTCTAATTAACTAATCAGTGTAATTGACGGATTATTTGTTGATTACAAAATTGTTAGAGTAGCTGACAAGGTAAGGCCACTTCAATAACGATAAATCACAAAGTGTAAGTGTAATGAAGACATTGTCAGAAGAGAAACGGATTCTTCAGAGCAAATTAACTCTTTCCTTTTCATTCCTTTTCAATATTCAATTAATTACCTTTCTCTCCTCCCAATCATGCAGTTGATGATGATAATCACAAGTAATGAGTTGATTAAATATTAAGAGGATTAAGATTAATTGATTATGATTAACAACGTGAAGAATGGTTGGAAAAGAAAGTGAAAGGTTCTTCAGTTAAATTGTCAAACTCAAAATCTAATCTTACATGTCTTAAATGATCACGGACTTTGGTCAAAGCTACAAACAATTAAGTTTAATATCCTCTCAAGAATCCCTGTAAATTATCCGATTATCAATCAACAAATTGCCTCCAACAGTTAACAATTAAAAAGCATAAAAAGATTGAACCAAAAACTCTGCAAAATTTGACCCAAAACAAGAGTAAAGCTCAACCTAGAGTCGACATGTTTGCCCATCAAAAATTGTCTAAACCCTAGACTCACTCACTGACTTTACGTAAAAACATTTTGCTTTTTTTCAATGCAAATGAAACACTTAAATACCAGGAAATGAACTCAATTAATTTCCAATTAAACTTTGATTAGCAAAACAATCCTAATGAGTCCAAGTTGTTTACAATCAACAATTATAATTGATCAGCGACAAGATTAATCAACATTGAGTAAAATTATTGATCAATGAAACAACAAACAGTCCATTTAAAAGGGTAAACATTAAATTGAATAAAGTTAACAAAATCAAGTTTGATTAAAAATTGAAAGTGAAAGCTCATTTAATTAGCTTTGTAAATATTAACTTTAATTAAATTGATTTCGGCTTGATCACACTTAATACATGAACATAATGTTTATATAATCACGTGGCCCAATTGGAGTGTTTATTTAATTACCACTAATTATAGTTGTTATTATTTGCTATTAAAAGGTTCCTCTTTTGGGTGCACAATAATAATAACTGTTAGTGTAAATGTAGCGACAATTAAGGAAAGTCTCAATCAACAAGAATTAGATTAATGTCTGGTTCTGTTTTTCAAATTAAATTTCATCAATTATTGATTAGAAATAATTCCTTGGATTAATAACTGAATTAGTTATTATTACATTATTAATGAAACTTTCCTTTTCTATCAAACAAAATGATAACATTTACATGATATTGTCAACATTACCAGTATTATTATATAATCAATTGAAGTCTTTCATTATCTTTATTGTTAGTCTTTTGTAACAATTTGAATCATTTTTTAACCACAATTATGTAACAAACTTCATTTAGATGAAATCAGGATCAAAATTCAAGATGATTAGGCCTTTAGGCCTTAAACCTCATTAGATAATTCATCCTTTATCTTGACTCAACTCATACACTTGACTCTCAACAGGATAACAGCTACAGAAAATGAACAATTGCAAACAACCTTTGACCGTCTCATGAGTCCAATGAACAATTCATCGATTAATGAAAATTTTTTACCTTTTACCTGATTGTCAACCTTATAATTGACCTTCCCTTTGCTTTTCATTATTTTGTTTCCTTCAGAATTTTGTACTCAATTGACTTTGAATGTTCAGAATGTTTCATTTGTTATGATTTACAATTTTGCGATTTCCATTGAAATGTTGATGAAATGCTCGGTGTAATGTGGATTGCAATGAACATTAATTGAACATCAAGTATCAAAGTGAAGTGTTAACATGCTATAAAGTAACAATCAACTTGACAATTGATCAACTTGTTTGCTGCATAAACCAAAAATCAACAACTTTTAAGTATTAATCAGGTGAAAAGTTTTCCTTGAAAGGTGAAGAAAAGGTAAATTATTTTTGCTGACTTTCAATTATTTTAGTCAATTAAGGATGAATTATCGATTGATTGATTATCACCAATAATCTAGGTTCTTTCGTCTTCTCTTCAAGCTTTATCAACTTTAATAGTCGAGCAAAGTAAGGATTTGATTAAAGTCCCCACTCAATGATAACCAATTGCAACAACCTCTTGATTCAACAAAAAAAATCAGATCGTGTGAAGACGATCATGATGATCATCGTGATTTAGTAAATAATCAACATGATCAACATGAATCGAAATAATTTCACCAAAATTAATCATTATTTCACTTTTACTTTTAAAGGCATCTTTTTTTGTCGCATAAAAAAACTCAAAGGCCTTCATGAATTGAAGATATTTTTTCATATAAATGTTAAACTGTTAAATGTAATTAATTTTGGTAATCATTAATTATAATCAGTCAAATCAGGGAGAGAAAGCAATAAGCTATCAAATGATGAGCACGCAAATATCACAAGCCTAATAATCAACGAGAAAAGTCGTATTAATGTTTAATTACGCATTTTGAAGCTCAAATATTACATTTGTATTACATTTTAATCATAAAATTTCAACTTTACCGATATTGTTTGGTGATTAATGGCAATTAATTACAAATTAACGTCTAAATGTTTCCATTTTGTGTCCTTCATTTTTTGCCATGAGTTTGCTCAAAATGTAAGTCAATATTTTGGTCAATCTCAGAGTTGGGTGAAAATGATTATTCAACAATTACGATTAATCTTTGATCAAATAGTGATTGATAGACAAGTTGATTGAATAATAAATTGTACTTAAGATTTACAAAAACTGGTTAAATTGATTTTATAATTACAGTTTAATTTCAAGACAAACGTTCATTTGAAAAGATTACAAATTATCTAATAAGGCTTGAATCAATTGCTGTTAATTACTGAAAGATTGTAATCAATAATTAAGCTGAAACATTTGTTGACCAATGTTGAATAGTCAATGAATGTAAAATGACAATTGAACCAGAAATTATGGTTAACCTTGATTTACTGTTGAATAGCTTTAATTGTTATCAATTGATTAATTTTTCTTGCTTATTATTTTTCCTTATTTCCTGGTTTTAGGTTATTTATATGATTTAAATGGCGATTACTTTTATGCCTTTCTATTGGGTGGTTTACCTCCATTTATTGGAGCTTTAATTATGATTCCAATTGTGAGTATTCAACGTCGTCGTGCAAATCGCTCGTTAAAACAATTGGAGGCTAAATCAGGTGAAATTACGGCCACAACTGGGACAATCAATGGTTTTGATGGAGACTGTTCAGCAATGGCAACTGAAATTGATCCATTAACATCAAGCCTTATTAGTGATAATATTAAATCGCATTTTCATGATAATCATAAACTGTATCAACATAATCAACAAAATTCTCATCCAAATGATCTTCATCATAACAATCATCCCAATCACCATCATCAACATCAACAACAAATTAGTTGTTATAAACCAAATAATCATCTTCACAATGGTTCAAATCATCATTGGATTAACAATAGTAATGATGCCGATGAATCTAATAATTGTCCTGAGAATGTTTCACTTCTCAATAAACCTAGTCAACCGACTGTGATTTTGTGTGAGAATCAGTTTAAATCAACATAAAATAATTTAAATTAGTCTAGTTAGTAAAACAAATTTAGATAAAAAAAGAAGGCAAAAATTGAACACATTAATACGCAAAATAGATACAATCATGTCAATAGTGTTTAGGTAATTTCGTATTTCAATTTGTCAGTAATCAAATTAACAATTAAATTCCGTTTATTTTTCATCCAAGTGTAGTCCACTTTGCAATCAGATTTTATTGTTATTACGGAAAAATATTTTGCAAAAGTTAAACTCTATCGATATTTCTGATTCTCACTTGATTTGAATGGATATAGAGTTGATAGTAATATTGATATAAAGTGGTGTTTAACATGTTGAAAAAGCTCAACTGTGAATCTGAACAAAATTAAGTGAAATGTTTTCATTAATTTGTGATTTTAATTGTCATTGTAACATTTCTTTGCTATTAACTATTATTATTATAATTATTATTATATTGTGACAAGTTCAAAACATTTTGTGCCCTTCAAAATGGCCTATCAACTGACTTTTGATTGCAATTATTATAAGCTGCAAAAGCGCATCCTTTCACCATTATTATTTAAATGAAATTGATTGTAATTTTTAATTTCAAACATTAAATTGTTGGGATTATTTTGATATTTATAGAAAAATAAAAAATGTATTTCAATTAATAACTATTGTAAATGACCGACACGATTTGATTATTAATAATGAAGAATGAATAGAGTAGAGTGAAAAACAAAATGGTTTCTTGATATGAGATGAACTTAATGATGATCAACAATTTGTGAGCAGAACCTAATTAATACAAAATTGTGACATAACTCTACTAGATTTAGAGTATAAATCAATGATAAATATAAATCAAGTTGTAATCAATCCATCGTTTGCTTGTTGTATGTTTTTTTGATTGATCTTGAAAAATCTGGTTATTTAAGCAATTTCTATGCTTTAATGTGATCCAAATAATAAATATGTATATAATTATGATGGTTGAGATTTTATAGTTAAAATAGTCCAGATGAGTATTTAAATTCACGATTTCCGTACTTCAGCTTTTGATTCGCTGGATGACTCTTTTGTAGTACTATTATCAGTCACATTATCTCCTGAATCAGATTGATCCATTGGTGTCTCTTTTACTTGATCTTTACTTGAATCGCTATCTTTACTTGGTTCAGAAGATTGAGAAGTTGTATTTAAACTCGATTCTTTAACTTCTTCTTCCGTTTTAGTCTCTTCGGATGATTCAGCCGTTTTTTCATCGTCAGGTTTTTTGCCAGCAACAGCGTCGACCTTTGCTCTTTTTGGTTTACTTGGTTTATGGGAGCGAACATCTCTTCTACCATCTCCTTCATCTTCTGAATCTGAAAATTCTTCATCTTTAGCAATACGTTTTTCAGATGCTCTAATGCTTATTCTTTCATCAGGATCTTGTTTATCTTCATCTTCGCTATCATCATTTATTGCATCTTCTGGTATTACTGTTTGTTGTACTCCAGGAGCATGTGGTAACATACGGAGATTTTCATAAAGACGAGTCCTTATTGCGTGGAGAAAAAGAAATAAATTAATCAGATTAAATATTATTCAAATTAAAGATTTTACTTGTTATTAAACTAAACACTTACTTGATTTTTTCAAGATACTCAGGTGAATTTTGATTAGCCATATTTGATGGACTAATATGAAGTTTAAAATCAGGTCCAAAATACTCAAAGTAATCATTGTATGGAAGTTCTGAGAAGTAATGTGAGAAAATAATAAAAAATATTATAAAAAGTTAATAAAAGAAACATCTAGTAATCAAAAGATAATAAAAAAACATACCATTTGGTATTTCGCAGTTAAGAGCGACGGCAGTTTCATGAGTCCAACATCTAGCAACATTACGAATTGTATACCCACCACCACCAACAAGAAGTAATGGTAAATTGTACTTTTTAACAAATTCAACACATTTTCCATGCCCTTTCAATGTTAAATTGAAACAACCAAGCCTATCTCCAGATAATGAATCTGCACCACATTGTAAAACAACAGCACTTGGTTGATACATTTCCATAACCTAAGAAGAATACCACATACATGAAATACAATTAATCAATGAGTCAAACTTATTTGATGGAATTAGTTTATAATTTATAATATCTGTAAAAATTATTTACCTTGGAAATAAGAGGTTGAAATATACTTTCATATGCATCATCATCAATACCATCACGAAGCGGGAAATTGACAGCATAATATTTTCCTTTACCAGCGCCAATATCTCTAAGATCGCCGGTACCGGGAAAATATTCTCCATATTTATGAAAAGAAGCAGTCATTACTCGATCTGTCGTGTAGAAAGCTTCTTCTACACCATCTCCATGATGAATATCGATATCAATATACAAAACTCTTTGATGATATTTAAGTAGTTCTAGAATAGCTAGAACGATGTCATTTACATAACAAAATCCGGAAGCTTCAGATTTTTTTGCATGATGCAGACCACCAGACCAATTAACTGCAATATCAGCAGCTTGTTTGTTAAGCTTTACTGCTCCAGCAACAGATCCACCAGTTGATAATTGACAAAATTCATATAGACCATCAAAGACTGGACAATCTTCTCCAACATTAACTAAAAATTAATTAAAAAAATTCAGTTATTTTGTATTTAAAGTATAATCTCGATTATAAATCATTCAATTCTGGTGAGCTCGAAATGATCCGAGTTGTGACTAATTTTATCTACATTGACTCTATGTTGATGCGTTTGATCATATGATAGCATATAAAAAACAAATTTCATGCGAGTGAGTATTTATTTCAAGTATGTTTTTGAATTTAAAAATAGAATTTCCATTGTTGAATTGGAATAAAGGAAATTTGACTTACATCTTTGCATTTGTTTATTGTATTCACTCATATTATCAGGTCGGATGCTTCTCAAAAATCGAATATAATCATCGCTATGATATTTTGTCATCTCTTCTTGGGTTGCTTTGTGTGGTCGCTAGAATTGAGATTTTTAGAAATTATAATCAGCAAATCAATTTGAAACGAATAAATTTGAAAATAAGTTACCCGCTGAAAACATCAGAGGTAAAAATAAATAAATAACATACGTAGATTTCCATTTTACGATATAATCCATAGTTCAAGACTAAATTATGGGCCATTCGTATCCTGTGAGGTTTCATTGGGTGGCCTGAACCATAATAATAATTTCCGATATCGCCTGAACACCAGATAGGAAATCAAATTGTATGAATGAACCAGAATGTAGATGACAGCCGGCATAATGAAAGATTCAAAATAGAAAACAAAGGTTTAGTCAAGAAAGAATCACAGATAGATTTTAAAGGCGTAGCAGAATGCGTTAAAATAAAGATTTAAATGAATAAATGGAAACAAAAAGAAATAAGAAGCAAAAACATGAACAGAAAAAAAACCAGAGAGACCAAAGAAAGAGATGGCAATACAGGGAAACGAGAGGGTAATAAAAGCTGATACAACTTACCATCATAATAATAGCAAACACGTTTCTTACTATGTTGCGAGGTTGTCATTGTGCAGAAATTAGTCACTTATTAATTGAAATAAAATACAATTCGATAATAAAGGATAATTTAATATTATGAATTAATAAATTGCAAAAAAAATGAGTTGAGAAGGAGCGGAATCAGATAACCACTTTGACTGCAAGTTGATCTGTAACTGATGAGTGAGAATAACTTATTTAGCTATACTCCCTACCTTTTGTTCGCTATTTTCACTCCTTATAGATAAGCTATTTAAACAGAAATAAATAAGATGCTTAAAGAGACTTGAAATTACCAATGAACTGAATGAATTTTACTCTTCCAATTCATTATTAAATCTACTAAAAACAACTTTTCTACTCTACAATGAAATTTACCAATTAATCGGATTATTTATAAAAAGGCAATATCTCTACATTCCTAGCTTGGTTATAAATGACCGTTTGGGTGTAAGATAATGTCGTTTCAATCATCAGAAACTTGAGTCAGATTTAAGAATGCTTGAAGTTAGTTATGAATAAGATTCTTAGCTATTTAAGCGAATAAATAACTCAACAGCTGACAGTCTACATTTAATTGCTAGCTGAGAAAAGTTAATGATGAAAACAATTTTAACTCATGTAAGAGTGAAATCGTTGAAAAGCATTGGCGACAGCAGTTCCAAAGGCTTTAAGTCAAAATAAATCCCTTTGAAGAGCTTGAGTAATTTACGAATGTAAATGTCATTGTTAAAGCTTTAAAATGTTAATAATATAAAAAATGGTCCATATCTGTTCAGTAAGTGTCGATCAAAAAAACTAATTTGAATAAATGCCAACAGAAAGTGAAAAATTAACCCAAAATCGTAACACTCGAGTTAATGTAAACAGAATGTAGTTCATTTTTAAAACTAAAGATGTCACCGAGTTTGGGTTAATTTTTTTAATTTACAATAAAAGGGTTTGGTTTTTGGATAATAATAACCATGATAGTTTTGCTTGTAATAATGATGATAACGGTCTAGATACATTCTGAGTGAATGCTCAGGGAGACAGAAAAGAAAGGGAAAAGAGAAATAAAAGTAAAAAGAGACAGGGAAGGAGGAAGAAAAGAAGAAGATGAAAAACTAAATGAGAAAAAAAACTAGAATATATATTTTCTTCTGTATGCTCTAGTGAAGTGCACTTGAAAGTTGAAGCAACAATTTACGCTTCTCATTTTAATCTAGTCATGAAACCTTTACAAATGTGTACTTTAACAATTAACTGTTAGTTATTAAAATTAAAAATCTTTAAATTTAAAAAGTAATAGATAATTGTTAGACAATAAGTGATTGCAAGTCAAGAAAATAGTGCAAAGCCATCTGTGATTCCTCAACAAGCTCATATTTCAAGTCAACATCGGACTGTCCCTATTCGCAAATTACAATTAACCTGTTAAACCCTTCAATTAAGTTACAACCATCTTTAACCTAATCCCCATTAATCTGGTACAATTGTTCAATTGGTCACCAAATTACCTCGACATCGTTATGATTGCCGTCTGACAGCTGATGTTATATCTTCTGACTGCAATTTCACTAGATTACAATGGAACTACTTGTTAGTGTAACGGTTGATAACAAAAGGATTTGATTAATGTTGATCCAGCGGAAAGTTAATTGTGATATTATTGATCCTTAACCAAACATCCACCTAAAGCAATTAATCAACTCAACTCGTGAACGGATTAATTTGATCAAGTGCTTAGCAGTTAATAAGATCAATCCACTAGATGTAATGGTGATAGAATAAGATAAAGTTATTTTTCCGTTTTTTTTTCCTTTTCTTTAGTTTTATTTTTTCATTCTTTTTTTACCAATTCACAATTAATCACCATCAACATGTCCTCCATCAATATCATCAACGTCTAGTAAATCATAAACAAGAGTACAATTGGTAAAAGGGTTAAAATCATTCTCAACATTGTCATCAACAAACAGACAAAGTGCAACATGGCAACAATACTTTCACCTTCAATAGGAATATTATCTCTCATAATGATCATCATACCTCGAACCATAGCTTCAATGATACCAAGGTAAGTGTAAATGTTGACCCAAACCCGATGACATTATCGTCCATAAAGTAGTCTTGAAATTTGGTTCATAAAAATGGATGAAAAAAAAGGTATAAGACGTAATATGAAAGGTGAACCTAAAAAGACAATCTGGTTCATCAAATCAGTTTACCTTTTTTTTTACTCCTAGTCTTTTTTTATGTCACCATCAAGGTTATTTTGTATTAGCTAAAATTATCCCATTACATTATATATTTACCGATACTGTTGTCATTAAGATAATCATTACAATAACAGTAATTGTTTCCCCATCTATCCTATTCCAATGATTCCCTTTGGTGACTCTAACATCAACATACACAATAAATACACTTGAAGGTATCAAAATTTCACGGAAAAACAGATTCTCGATGATCTAACCGCACCGCCCAAATACGATCAATATGTTCTGCCAACAGGTAAGGTTACTATGGTTATCCCATCTGGGATCATGTTTATCAGTATCAATATATTTATAAATATAACAATAAATAATTGTAAATAGTAATTGATAGTTAATCGGTAAAATGCATTTCTATTTTTCTTCTCTTCCTCACTCCATGTTTTCCTTTGGTCTTCCTCTTCATTTCATGATTGGTTTCACGGTTCATTCCACGGTTGGGTTTCACGATAATCTATTGAACCAATCTTCCAATCAATCATCATCTTGAAACCTGAATCTTCCAAAGAAGCTACAATGACCGTTAATGTGAGCGTATTAATGCTCTCAATGTCATCACCAGATGAATCTAGTCTTAAATATGAGATTGAGTTTTTACTCTTTCAAGATTGGATCGACCATCGGTTAAGATACGATGATGACGGTCACCATCGTTATCTCAATGCACTCCGACATCGTGAACACCTTTGGAGGCCAGACACTTACTTTATCCTTCACGGTGAGTTTAAAACTCACAATGAAGCCGGACCCATTAACATGGCGTTCAAAGTTTATCCTAATGGCACTGTGCTATACATAACAAGGTAACCAAAAAAGCAAAGTAAAATTGTCAAACCCATTCTTGTGTCAACCTGAACACCTTTCACCAATGTTTATGATGATGACAATATGGAATAAGATTATAATCAGAATTATGTTAAAGGTTATATAACAATAGAGAAACGTTTTTTTCTCTCTCTCCCAATTCTGATGATAACACCATTATATACAACATAATGCTAATAATATTATATTATTATTAGCTTGAAGAGTAAAGAAGAAATCTCTTATCTTTTTGCTTCTCTTCATCAATCATTTCTTGTTGTTGCTCATCATTTTAATATTTCCATCATCATCATGATCATCTTTTGTGTAACTGTTGACATTTTTATCATGTGTGTTCACCTCATGGCAGGCTTATTATTTAATAGTTACTGAATAGATGAATTATATAAAAATGACTTTTCCAAATTGATAAACCCTCAATATCATTATCACAATATACAGTTGAAAATCAATGCTAACCTGATTAACCAAGGAGCAAAGAGACACATTAATCAGTTGAAAAAAAGGAAAGGTTTAACTTACTTTTTTATTCAAACATCGTTCATTAATCAATAATACTTATTACAATATTAAGAATGATAAACTATTATAATCATTTAACCAACAAATTGTGACCAAAATTCAAATCAAGAAACTAACTTCAGAATTAACTTCAACTTAAGTCAAAGACCAAGTTAAATCAATATCAAAAGTCATTGTTAAGTCAAACACACAAATGAAAAATAAATCAAAACCAGAAAACAATTTTAGGTTAATCTTGAAAAATCTGGTTCTTCAACCTTTCAATGTTAATCCTAATTAAACATTTCAATCTATTTTCAGGCAAAAAATGATCATCACCTGTGAAGGCGATCTCAATATATTTCCCTTTGATAATCCTAGATGTTTTTTTGCAGTTGAAAGCAGTAAGTTGACCCTTTCCTTTAACCTTTTCCCTAACCTTTTATCCCAAAAATATACTTCATTAGAGCCAATTAAATAATGTAATCAAAATTAGCTAATTAACTGAATATGAAACTGCATTTATTAATATACTTTTAATATAATTATACTAATTTGATTAGCAAAATGATAGCTAATTTCATCCCAAAAATGAAACCAGGAAAAATGTTACCATTTTTTTTAGATTCTGGTCAACATTTTTCACTGTCATCTTCAATCAAAACTTTGACCTTTTTTGCCTTACATTTTAATAATGAAAATATGCAATTTTGATGAACACAAATCATGTTAATGATAATGAATCTCAGAGATAATTTCATTTTCTTGTTCTCACTGATTAAACCCATTTTTTACAATAAAAATGCACCTTTTCCAATGTTTATAAATCATATTGTTACCTTTTCTTTGGGTAAACTCATTAAATGCAAATGATGATTATTATGCAAAATCAGTTTGATAAAGTAACCTGAATATTTGATAGGAATCATTTTAACCCATCTTCAGATTAACTTTATGCTATTACAATGTTCACCGTAAAAGCAAATTAACCTAATTGTGACAATAAATTGTGTTTATTTGACTAAATTTGCTAAGAAAATTTATTTCCAGATTTAATAATTTACTTACAAATTGAACAGAATGACGACAAGAAAACAATTCAACAGCAAATTTTGTATTGATTTTTGTTGCATTTGATCAACAAAATGAAAACAATTTCAATTTGATTGATATTTAATTTCATCTTAAATTCAGAGACAGAAAAAAAGAAATAAAAATGATTATAATTGACATTATTTGATCATGAAAGGGACTCATTATTTTAATGATGTGATCAGTTTAATTGCACAGTAAATTATGAAAATGGCAACATTCAGTTTATCATTGAAAATGAAGTTAAATTGAAAAATGTTAACAAGTTAATTGAAATTAATGATCAACATTTGATTCATTAATTGAACAATAATGTGAACTTGATTAACTCAATGAATCGGCCAACAAAAACAAAGGTTCATTTGAAGTTCATCAGTTGATCATCATTACTCATTAAATATGTAACATTAAGAAATCAAATTAACCTCTGAAATTATCGTTAATCTTAACCAGGTAACCTTACCTTGTACATGTTTGCCAAAAAGAAGCAAAAAAATGTTTACTTCTATTATCATTTAACCCAATTTTTTGGGTAAAACACATTCTGTTTACTAATTTTGTTTCACTTCTCTTTTTTTTTCATCCTTTTCTGGTTTCCTCTCATCATGATTGCCATCATCAATTCATGGATTTATCCTGGATTCCAATTTTCATCTGCAATTTGTGATTCGAAATGGTTTTCTTCAATGTTGTGCTTTGTGTCTCAGTGTCTTATGAAGCTTATCAATTAGAGTTTCGTTGGAAACCAGAACATGAGATTCCCATTTTTAATTCAAACTCATTTCGCTCCTTGAATGCATATTTATCTAAAAATGCTGCTGGACGGTGTCGTATTCATCATTCATGGAGAAGTGAATTTTCATGTTTAAGTGTCTATCTAATCTTTACCAGGGACAAATTATTTTATTTAACAACCGTTTTTGTGCCTGGAATGGTTCTTGTTACCAGTTCATTTATCAGCTTTTGGCTTGATGTTAATGCTGTCCCAGCTCGAGTAATGATTGGTGTAACCACCATGTTGAACTTTTGTACAACAACAAATAGGTAATTAACCATTCCTCTTCATCCCAACAACAGCCAACAAATTGTGATGGCAAGACAACAAACATTTACAAATCATCAGCCAACAACAGTTTCATTTGACAATCACTTGAAGTAAAACAAAGCTCATAAACAAATGCACTTCCAACGTCGTTCGATTTTCTGTCAAAATCGAGAAACACAAAACAGATAAGTCCAAAATAGCGAAAGCAAAATAGTAAATGTCAAAACCTAGAAAGTTCATTTTCACTGAATCGCTTTAAAACTTTGCATCTTTATATCACAAAAATGGCAACCCTTATTAGCATCCTTTACCAATCATTTCATTAGGAAAATCAAAAAGTTCTGCACGAAAAACTCATTTTATAAATCAATGCTTAAAACTCAAAATAAGATGAGTCGATTAGATGAGATAATTTACGAAGTTATCAAAGGTTCATTGAATGTTAGTTGCAATTTTAATTTTTAATAATCATAACTTAAATCATTCTTTCAATCATAATTTCAACATTTTAGTTTCAATTTTATGCTTTTTGTGAATTCAGAGATCACAAAGTCTGACAAAAAGTTCGCTTAGTTATTTTATGGGCTTATATGGGCTTCGAAATGGCCTGAATTCTGGATGTTGACCAATCATATTTACAGAATTGAATCTATCATTTGTGAAAGGAGTTTTTCATTTCAGTTTGGAGTTCAGAACTGAAGCGATGTCGAAACGCATTTTTCATCTGAAAGTCCCAAAATGTTTGAAAAATAATTGAAGCTATTTTTGAACATTTCATTCATTGAATAATTTAAATTTAGAATGAGATTGTTTGCAAATGCAATTTTCATGGAAAACTTTCTGATCTACCAAATTCATGCCATGATACAGCTGAATACTCTAGAGATTCACATCCATTTACCTTCTTTACCGATTGTGTATCCAACTCGAAGGCAAAATTTTCCTCTTTACCATCCTTTCAACCAGTTTAATCATTTGAGCATCTTTATTCAGAGTTTCTCTATTATGAACTTTTCTCTTCTGCTCTTCTCTATTTGGTCATTCTCTAAATTGCTTTTCCTAGTTTGACCCTTTACCAAACTGAATAATATTTACTCTGTATTTAAAAGCACACTTTTGTTGACATGAAGGGAACAAGGAAAAGGTTAAACTTAACACCACCAATAAGTTGATCATTTAGCATCCATCAATCATATTTAATCAGTTAAAACTGAACCAATTCTGTTTCATTTTACTTATTCATTTGCTACTTTTACGTTTCACTAAATTTATAATAGCAATAACTGGTAATATGGGAAAAACACACAAAGAAGAAGCAAAAGAAACGGAAATTTTACTCTTTGTTGTTCCTCATCAGGTCTGTTCATTTCTCTCTTCAGTATTAACCTTTTTTTTATTTGGTCACTTTATCTTCTTTTTCCATCATCTTAATTCATTTCTCTATTTTTCATCTTCTATAATAATTCATTTGTGACCCGGAATTTCCATCATGGGACTTCCGATTCATTACTCTCGATCTGAATTTAAGTACCTTAAGAACCAGTAAAATGTGAGTGTGTACAATGACAATGTTATAGTTAGAGTCTCATTGTCTTTTCATGTGAAATTTAGATTATCGCCAACATGAAGATGAAAATGAAGAATCATGAAACTGTTCAAGGCTTGTGTCCCTATTTTTAGTTTAACTGCCAATGTCATCTCTATCTTTACATCTTCCCATTTCTTCCTCTTAATCATCTCTTGCCTCTTTTTTTAAACCACTGCTAACCCAATAACCCAATGGAGTTGGAGTTAACCTCATTCCAGATCAACTCATCTTAAATCGTTATCCATCACCAACAGAAACACTCTTTTTCATCCTCAATTCACATTCAATCCTTCCCTTCATCTTCATTCCTTGCCCTGTAACTGTTGCCAGTTTTACATTAAAAAAAGCTTCCAAGTGCAAACCAGTAAAATGTGAACCTAGAAAACAAAAGTCTTATCATTTGGCAAACAAACATCTTTCATTTACAATTCAATCCTAATGTAAATATTATTATCATTATCATCATATTTTGTTCACCATAATAATTAAATGAAGCACAAAGACACTTAAAATTTACCTTTTCAACTTATCATTAATATTCAGACCAACTCCAGGTTCACGATTTAAAGCAATTAATCGTAACCCTTTCCTCTGTCCACTTACAGGTTTAATTTATGTTTTTTTTGTGTATAAATTATTAATAACTACAAATTAATTCAATAAGTTTCACTTTAATTATTAAACAAGAGTGAAACCCAAATACCAAAATAGTTAACCATGGTGACAACGGAATAACCTAACTATGCCAATCCATGGGACACTGATTATTCCCAGTTTTCCCATTTTACCCACTTTACTCCCTTCCTCGTCATGATAACAAAACAATAATAATATCGATTCAAATGACTTTGGGAATGATGAGAAAGAACGAAAAAGAGAGAGAAAGAAAAAAAAACCTAAAAACTAAAGGTAACAGTTAATTATTAGTCTAACCAAATGCAACCCAATTCCCAATAATAATAAAACACTCTCAGACAGTAGCAGAGTAAACCCTTTTTTTCAGGTTCCTGGATTCAATAATGATGATTACAACGAACAAAAAGCTCGACCAAATAATTGCATTCCCATGAAATTTTAAACGAAAACACTCCCTGATCTTGCAACTTATTTATATCCAAATCATTGTCTATTCACACTGAATGTCATTTATTACCAATATTGACCAATGTCAATCAATGTTATGCCAACCTTGATTCATTGGTCAAAACAACAGAAAACATTTTCCCATTGATTAATTGACTTGGATCAATAATCAATTTAACCTTTGATCATTTTTTATGCAAAAATAGCAAAACTTGAAAGCAAAAACCAAAATCAAAGAAAACCTTTTTTTGTCCAAAAAAACAATTTTCCTTTCACTATTTATGACAAATGTTGCAATGTTACTTTTTCAATCAACTAATTTTCTTTCCTAACCTAACCATTATCTTCATTTAATCATTGCAATTCATGTTTGTTTCGCTCTGTAGAGTCTCATCTTCACTGAATCTTCATCCTTTTCTTAGTAATCGTTTTCATCTTATTAGTTGGTCTATCATGCTTTTATCATTTACCATTCAGTTTTGGGTCAATTGTTATCAACAATGTTTATTAACCAAAGGGAGTTGCATTATCCTAATAATAATGATAATAAAAATAATCATCCTCTTATCATCTGAATAACTTTGAGCTTTTTTCTGCTTCTCTTCAAATTATATCAAAGTATACAAAAAGCAATTGAATCTTGAGAATCTCCAATAATTTCATTAAAACTCTTTCTACTTTTGTTGGTTCAATTTCATCCAAGAAACATAAAAAAAAACGAGATCTTCAACTTCTCATGATTGTTATTAATCTTTCTTTTTGTTTTCTCTTGATTCATTACCATGCAGTTTCCGATCTTCACTCCCTGTTGTCTCCAATTTAACAGCAATGAACCTTTGGGATGGAGTTTGTATGTTTTTTATTTATGCATCTATGATTGAGTTTATCGTTGTAAACTATTTACACCGTAAAATCCATCAGAATCCATTAAGAACGACTGATTCAGCTGAACGACCGGGTGAAACATTTCGTGCTGCTTTAGGAACTCAAATCTCAGTAAGTTATTTATTGTCGACTGGAAACAATAAATCAAATTTTTCCATTGAAATTTATGGGAATGAAACAAAAAAATGGAAAGCAAAGTTACTAGTAAAGTACATTATCAACACACACTATAGAGTGTTCATGATGAGAATAATGATAAAAAAGGTTGAAATGGCGATGGTGATGAAAATGATTAAGATGTAACACATTGTATATGTTATGAAATACATGATGAAAATATACCCAAAGGAATGGTTGAAATGAAATTTTCTGACAAACAGGTTTTACTTTCAATATAAATGGTAACATGATATTATAATACAATTTACCAAATAGACTTTAGAGTAAATTTCAACTTCCATCTCTTTGAATTTTTCACCTGTTTTTGGGTTCATGTTTCAAATTTCACTTTTTTTGCTCTTCAATTTTACATTCTCTTTGCTTGTGAACACTGAAGATGAATAAGATGTTGAGGGTGAAGTAAACATGACAACAGGGAACAAACTCTTACATAGTCAACATGAATCAAGTTAACTGAAACAAAAACAAAAATCTCATGAATACATGATTCGCTTGTTTTTCTTGTTCAATTATTTCTTCGTTTTTGTTCCAACTTTGCTTTTCTTTTTTTTTCGATTGTATTTCCATCTTATTCTTCATGTTCATCTTGTCATCTTTTGTACTTTTCTAACTCGACATTTCTCTTGATTTTTTCTATTATTTGACAGAGTAATGGAAGAAAAGTGGATCCAACATCTCAAGAGGTTTTGGCTCCAGGCGAGTTTGAAGTTCGAGCTCCATTAGTTTCAGGAGAAGATCCATCATCAGGTATTCCATTGGGCAGTGCTCGACATGGGCTTCACCATCGAGCTTCAGCCGGAGGAATTGGTCGTTGCCGATCACCTGGATCATCAACACTACCCACTGATGAGCGAATCAGAGCAGCAGCCTCTGTCTTCGCCTGGCTTCGTCGTCCTCACCTTTGGGACACAGCCGAGTTTTCATCTTATGCTCGACTTGCTCGATCCATTGATCACATCTCCAAGTTTGTTTTTCCCCTTCTTTTTGGAGTCTTTTCACTCTCCTTTTTCATCTACTTTGCCTGGTTTTCACCCTCAAAACTGGATAATTGGGCTCACCTTGAGTATCATCCTTATGATATAGTTTGATCCGTTGACATCACCAACTTCACCAAACTTCAACATCATCCAACACTAAATGCATAGCTTTTGCTTTTCCCAAAAAAAACTAATTCAATCCACAGACAGAAACATCATTATAAACACATTAAGCTGAATAACCTGACTCACACACTTGCTATAAATAGACATTGAAAAGACCGTTAGACACTTGGATGCCAACGTCCCAAATGTTTGATCTCATCAAAACGCAACTCTTTGCTGCCAGAAAGAGAAATACAAAATTTTTTTGTGCACCAAAACACTTACATACCAAAAAAAAGATCACAAGACTTCAGTAAACTCATCCCAACCAATTGAACCAACATTTAACCTTTTCTGGTCAACCTTTTTGATTACAACTGGAAAACCTAAAAATGGATAAATTTACTGGGAAAAATATTCAAAGGACATTTGGTTGGATTAAATGTTCAAAATTCTGACCCTGACCCGATCATGTTTTCATCCCTCAATTTACCTTCATTTCTTCTCTTTCTTTTCTTTCTCTGCCAACCACTATAATGATGATGATCATCATGAAACTATTTTAAGCTGTTTATTGGATAACGCCCTCATCATGATCATCATCTTTCAACTATTTCAATCTACTTTTCCGTGTCTAAAGTTGCTTATAAACACTCAATTTTCACCCAAGCCTTTTGCTTCACAATATGCATTTAAAGATATTGTACATACACATACACACCTTTTGTCACTCAACTTATCATTCTCATCATCATCCACATCTTCTTCGTCTTCTATTTATATTTTTCATCTTCTGTTCCAAATATCTGTAAACCGTTGTCAGGATAAGATGGTTGTGAATATGAATTAAAACAAAAACAAAACGGTTTCGATACAAGAAAAGGAAATTTGGTCACAATTGAACATTTACACAGATTGACTTTGGATTACTGGCAACAATTGAAACCATTAATGAATGATTCTGTTGAAAAGTGGAATGATTTACATGGAAATTTTGACAAATTTTCCCAGTTTGATGTATTATGACTGACTGAATGGAAGCCAAAAGTCAGAAGATAAATGGCCTTAAACACAACATTAATAGTAATAAGATAATTTAAAATAGCAAAAATCTGAAAAATTGTTTTCATTTTATGGGTTTTATATTTGTTGATTGATACATCAAGGAATGAGCATCATTTTGATTCTTATTGTTAACTCGTTATTATATTTTTTGAATCAATTTTTAGTTTCAAAATGAATCCAATTTTTTTTCCTCTTCTTTTCACTTTTCTCAATCAAACAACAACATTTTTATCGTCATTTCAAGTTAATTGTTATTTTAATTGTTATCACATTCTCTATTGACAAGTTATAACAGCAAGAAATCAATTATCGTTACTTGATTTTCAGTCTCTTTTTTTTCTTGTTTTGTTTGAAAGATCCAGAAAACAAAACTTACAAATAATGTAAATAGATATACATATTATTAATAGTTGTTAATTATAATTATTTTCAATTCTATGAATTTAAATTACATTTTAATGATCCATCATTATATTACTTTATATTTACATCATTACCAATTGTTATCATATTGTAAAGAGTCTGACAAACAATACGAATCAAATAATACTTTTTGCTCGTTTGATTATAACAAAAAACAACTTAAAGCGTTTCAAATCTGGTTTCATCAAAACAATTTCAATTAACTGATTGATTTTCATTCATCACTCATACATTGTTTGTATTATAACAAAAATTATTAAACGATTAATAAATTCTTTCACAAATTTACACTTAATTTGTCTCTTATTTACATTTAACATTTCAATCAACTTTAAGTTCAAGTTGAAAATCAGATGAAACGATTTTTGGTTAGGCTTTTAGTGTCCTCTATTGGATTATTTTGCTTCTAATATCACTTATTTTTCTAATTATCACAATTAAATATTTAAGATTGTTTGGTTTGAAATTAATCTTATTTTGATGATAAATCTGTTTGATTATCTGAAAGGATTATTGTTTAGTTTTAATTGTTCATAACATGAAATAAATGAAAGAAACAAGGATTTTAAAGAATCTAAATTAGTGAAAAGTCCCTTGAATTCAGTCAATGCGCCATCTTTCTTTTAACTTGAGAATAGGAGTTCTGTTTCCGCTTCCAGACACGGTATAGACGATTTTTATTGTTAGTTGGTTTTCTAGCTTACATCTTCAATTTTGGATCTAAATTAATTTAATTTAACTGTATCAAAATGGTAAGTCGTATACTATCTATTTGTGTTCCAGTATTCTTATTTAATTTATTTTTATTCCTATAGCCAACCAGATTTAAGAAGAGTCGTAAATTACGAGGACATGTAAGCCATGGTCATGGACGTATCGGTAAGTGTTATTGAATGATTTGCTTTGCTTTAGTTTCTCTCTGGCCTTTAAGGTTATTTTTCAAATGCATTAGCCGTTTGTCTATTCAGTATTTTATACATGTTTATTCGCTTTCAATCTTGGTTCATCTTTAATAATGCGTTTATATTTTCTATCTGTTCTCAGGTAAACACCGAAAGCATCCTGGTGGTCGAGGTAACGCTGGTGGTCAACATCATCACCGAATAAACTTTGACAAATATCATCCTGGTTATTTCGGTAAAGTTGGTATGCGTAACTACCATGTACGCAAAAACTCTCTTGCAAATTACTGTCCAACCATCAATGTGGAAAACTTGTGGTCCTTGGTAGGAGAAAAGGTCCGTAAAGAATTGAGCGAAGATAAGAGGAAGCGAGCTCCAGTTCTTGATGTTGTTAAACACGGTTACTTCAAAGTTTTAGGAAAAGGTGCTATCCCAAATCAACCTATTATTGTAAAAGCTAGATTGTTCAGTAAACAAGCTGAAGAGAAAATTAAGAGTGTTGGAGGTGCTTGTGTCCTCAGAGCGTAAATTAAAAATTTGACTAAATGATCCACTTTGTTTTCTCAATAAAATTGTTCAGAAAATGAATACCAAAGGTTTCCTTTTTTTATGAAAAATCACATTTATTTATCCAGCAGAATAATTTTTACATTGTTTACAAAATCAAGCACATGTCACTTCTCCAGTGATGTGTAATTGAGAAGCTTTTCAATGAGATCAACATGTCCAAGTAACATACGGCGACAACAGTAACGTTTTAAACCAAGAGCATCCAGAGCATCACTGAAATCAAACGATAACAAGGCAATTAAAATCAAATTCAAATAAATATAAGCAACAACTTACCCTTCTGTATACTCGGCTTGCAATAGTCCAAGATAAGATTCCCATTTATTACCAATCACCTTACCACAGGTAAAACATCTAATTGGAATGATCATGTTGATAACTAAAACGATGAATAATATCAAGCAGTAGAAATTAAAATAAGTTTCGATAAATTGTCAGTTTATAAACCACAAATAAACCGCGTCTTAACCAAATTTCAATGTGTAGAGAAACACTTGAACCATCTGTTAAGAGGCTAACTTGAGTAAAGCTTATTTTCACTATTCACCGGGCAAAGCAAAATTGTGATCTTCAATTTTGCATGACAGTCGTGATTATTATTAAAATTAAGACCACAGGTCAATCAAAAAGGTTTGTGAGATAATTTTGTCATCAATAGAAATTTTCGTTTCAATTAATTAATCAAGTTTAATTGAAAATTAGTTAACTTGAGAATATTGAGGGACCGAATAAAAATTAACTTCCAATTGATATTGTTATCAATCTCTTGTGCACATTAGGTGGCGCTATTATAAATCTAACAAAACCACAAAATTTTGGTCTGACAATTGCGCTAAACATTTCCTACTGGTAAATCAATAAAAATGGAGTTAATCAAAGTAATATATTTTATGCATTGATTGTGTTCCTATTTTGTTTTTGGTCTGTGGCCGTCGACTTTTCTGTGGTGCCATACTTAGTGTACTTTCCATCTATTTATCCCTTGGATAATTATGTCACCCAATAGATTGAACCATAATACTGGAGATAAAACAGATCTTGAGGGTGAAACTTACATGGGACCTCGACGCCAACACTATTTGTATGCTAAATGTCAATTGTGTATTAACTTGTTCAAATGGTTGCCTGTTATCTTCATAACTTCGGTTTGTTATTAGAAATAAAATTACTATTGACCCCATAAAGGTTGACTTTCTCTTGTTGTGTGCTATTGGGATTGATAAGATTTCCAGTAGACATGTTTATATCCTCAGTGTCTTTTCCCTTTTTAAGTGTGTTTACAACAAGAAATAGCAACCTTATTAGTGTCAATTTTAATTTTCAAATCTCATATTGTTCTATGTAAACATCTGTAACTCATGTATTCATCTCTTTATTTCATTTTAGGTACTAGCATGGGGCTATTATGCATATGTAATCCAATTATGTTTATGTAAGTTGCTTCATTCATTTTTCTACAGTACATTTATTGTGCTTTTTATCTAATCATCTAATCATTTGCATCCTTTCTATTTTTTACAGTCAATATGGATTCTGTGATACTTCAAATAGTTTGCTTAACATTTTTTCATTTTCTTTATATAATGACTTTTTGGTCATATTTTCAAACAATATTCACAAAACCAGGAATTATTCCTAAAAAAGTCAGTACTTCTTTCTTGCCAGCTGGTCAAACCAATGACTATCAATCAAGCACATTATCTCAACATTTTTTAACTCATTTCTTTTTTTCTTCAGTTTTGGTTAACAACTCGTGATAGTGAGCGCTTAACTTCGAATGATGATAGACGTGGTCAAATAATTCAACAGATTTCTTACGAAAGAGGATTGCCAATAAGTTGTCTTGATGCCACTGGATCTCCTCGTATTTGTGACAAATGTAATATAATTAAACCAGATCGAGCTCATCACTGTGCTGCTTGTAATACTTGTGTCCTTAAAATGGATCATCACTGTCCATGGTAACTATCTTGAATAATCTCTCAGAAATATTTCAGGGGTTAATATTTTGAATCTGCATAGTTATTCTTAGTATACTTTGTTGATTAATATGATAAAAGTTTTTAAATTGGTCTCAATTCTCACAATCCATTACTTTATTAATATTTTTTCTGTTCTTTTCTTTCTCGTGCTACAGGGTTAATAACTGTGTATCATTTACAAACTACAAATTCTTTGTACTATTTCTTGCCTACGCATTTTTCCTGTGCTTATTTACGGCTGCATCATCATTACATTATTTTCTACTTTTCTGGCGGAATCAATTAACAAACGACGGACGATTTCATATACTTTTCCTATTTTTTGTATCAATTATGTTCGCTATTTCTCTAGTGAGTCTATTTGGCTATCATCTTTACCTAGTAACTCTGAATAGGTCTACTCTTGAATCCTTCCGGCCTCCAATGTTTTCTCTTGGACCCGATAAAAATGCGTACAATTTAGGTCGATATCAAAATTGGATTCAAATATTTGGTAAAAGCAAATTAAAATGGTTCATTCCGATTTATACAAGGTAAAGTTCACGGTTGTTGTTTACTCTTTTGCAACTTCATTTCTTTTGTTATTATTATACTCCACTTACCTTACTCACTCAGGTGCAAGGCACAAGCTATTAATTTTCACTTTTTTTAACTTTTAACTTTCTTCCTTCCTAATAGTCCTTAGAACTCTAATATAGTAACTTGAATATGACTTGAGTTGCAGCTTTACTTACAATAGCTGAATTTTAGGGTCAATTACACCACTTCTCTGCAAGAATATTAATTAAGCTGACTCAGTGAAAATGCCTCAGACTATGATTTTCATAAAAGATAGAGGTAAATTGTTACCTGTTTCAGTCTTAGCTGCTGTCAAAATTTATTTTACAAATTCAACACTAATTAACTATAGGTTCCTCAGTTTGATGAGATTATCGTAGATTTATTGCTAAACACGATAAACTTAATTTATGAATATATTTGTACAGGTGACTCACTTACAACTTTGTTAGTTTATTGCAACCAAAATCTATCCAATTGATAATGAATATACTTATAGATGAGCTATTGAATTGTTATTAATTATCATTTTAGCTCTTTTCAATGCAATTTTTTTATTTTACCTTTTTCAGATTATCAGTCCAAAGTCTTTAAAGGCATTTCAGTATCTGAAGCAATTTGCAATTTTGGTTGAAATTTCAAGATCCTAGTTCATGCTTGTTTATTGCTCCTCAAAATTTTAGTATTTACCTGTTGATTTGCTGATTTGCTTAATTTTATTATGTCTTGTTGATTTAATTATTAGATCTATTGCTAATTTTCCTTACCTCAACTAATTATTACTATCACTAAGAATCTCTTCTTGAGTCTGAGAAAAATCAAATTAAGAGAAAAACCTGGTTTATTTATCTTGTTAGCCTCGGTGATGGTGTTATTTATCCATCTAAAGCCTCACTGGAAGACTTTGAATCAAGCTCTGGCCATAATCAGTCTACACAGTATTTTGTTCAACAACAGAAGTCTCAACAGCAACAACTTGATGGCAGCTCTGAAAGAACCCTTGATCAACATCAGCCATTACATCAAAGTAACCAGCATCAACAACCGCAACAACAAACCGCACCTTTTAACGCAAAGTTAACCACCCATTCAGCCTATGACCTTTATGATGATCAAGAGCCTAGCAAAGACGGTCCTGAATCTCCACCATTAGATTTTGCAATTTCCATAGATAAAAATAAAGATCACCAGGAACCACAAGAATTTAAAGGATCTGACCCATGTCCAGCTTAAGTCGATTGTCTGCCAGTTTAGTCGCTCATTCTCATCAGTTAATAAAAGTTGACATCAAGAAACCGTTAACAGCCTAGAATACCATGGATGTAACCACAAAAAGCTAGTGACCTGAAATATTACCCACCAAGACAAAGCAATAAAAATAAAAGGATTGAATAAGGTTATCCACCAATAAAGCAGAAAATGCAAGAAACCAACAACAAACCCTTATCCCGATAGAATCACAAATTGTTGATAAATTAGAATGCAAATGTGGATCAATTTTTGCTATCTTCTTATTCAATTATGACAATATACTATTATAATTTTACATTTTTGTTTATTATCCTCTCTATTTCTTCCTCTCTTTTTGCTTTCTGCCTTCTTTCATCTCATCAATTTCCACCCTGTGTAATTTACCAGGGATAGACTATTTTAAGACTTTCTTTGCCTTATCATTTTTTTATATAACAAAATATGAACTGCAATCAAAACAAATAAAGCAAAAACAAACAAAATTGTCCAATTTTTGCTTTTATATTTGATTTTTCTCGGCTCAATAATCAATACATAGTTTCATCTTGACTAATTTTGTTCTTATTTTTCTATTACCAGTACTGGAGATGGATTATACTTTCCTAGTCGACTTTCTCTTACCTGTGATGAACGTGGAGCTTACCATCCTTTACTAGCTGATTATGATGAAGAAAGTGCCATCGGTGGTGATCAAGGTGTGCCTATTCAAAATCGTTTACATCGTGAACACTCACATTATCGATAACATAGATTTCAGCATTGACTTTTTACTTTAGTCCAGACCCATCAAGATGAACGATTCATTGTAAGATACTATTGTGATTAGAAGCTGTTTATGTTGTTTGTTTCACAGATTGCTTGTGCCTTTAGCAGCATTCGTGTCTATTTACATGTAATTGTTCAAATTTGTCTCACAAGGATCAACTAACAAAGTCAATGCTGCCATTTATCGTGATTTTCAATTATTCCATTCACTTAATATCGTCTATTTTCCTTTGTAAACCAAAATTTACTCAATTCTAATTTTATTTTTCTCTTTATATTTGATTTCAGAACTCAAATCACCAGGATCATCAAAGCCAAATGGTCAGTCTGATGATGAGCACGAGAATGATTCAAAGATAGATATGAGCTTTATCAACTTCTCAAATGATTTGAATTAAACTCGCGAACTTGAATGTTTGATAGAAATATTTACATATCATTCAAGCCTTGTTATTTCATCAACTTGTATAAAAATTTACATCCTTCATTAGATTCAAATCTAATACGAAAATATTAAAATATTGAATCGATAATCAATGATGTAATTTTGTCTAATTTACTCCAATCAATGCGAGTCGCGGTTAACTCATAATCATCAAAAATGATCTGAAAAGGGAATCAGTTGATGAATGATAAATATTAAAGAGCACCAGAACACTGATAAATTGATAACCTTGACGCTAGGAAATTGGATAATCGTTGAGATCACCAACTATAAGCTGAATTACATTGAAGATTATTATTATTAATATTTAGTATTACAATTTCAATCAAAATTTGCCGTAAACCTAAAAATTACAAAAAAAACTACTCAATGATGCTAATCATATGGTTTCGATGTCTATCTATAGCAATTTGTATCAGTGCTGTCAATGAACCCTTTTAATTACCTCAACTATTAAGAAATAGAATGACATAACAGGTAATTCCTCTGTTAAAAATACTGTTGATATAACACTTTGGAGTCATAATGTATTGTAAACAAACTAGACATGTTTATCAAAGTCAATTGTTTTCCTCATCCGACAATTGCTGACAATTTACAATTAGAAACATTTATCGACTTGGAAACATTTCCACAGTTGCGTTATCTCACAACCTTCATGATGATATGAACTGAATTTGACTGAAATAGTGATCACTACATAATCTAGGAATAAAAGTGAAATTATATCAGTCTTTTTCCGATTCATGAGTTAAATTACTAGAGTTACTCTTGATAGGAAAAAAAGCTTGACATAAAAGTCAACACCTACTGAATTGATAGGATTTTCAGAGAAAAAGAGGAAATTCATTGATCAGCTTCTCTTTTCAAAGTATAATGAATTTCAGAAGACAATCTCAATTGAAACAAAAATTCAATGTAAAGTAGAAGTAAAATATGAATCTTTTGTCTGTGTCATCTTAACAACATTTTAAAATGAAAAAACGACTTTCTCAACCCGATGATGCCATTGCATTGGATCCAAGCTTCATTGGAGTTTCCAGGCCATTTCCATTTCCATTCAGATATGTTGTTATGTTCATGATTTTCATGTGTATGCTAGTTGGTTATTCAATCCGTAATATAATCAATGTTGCTCTTCTTGCTATGGTAAATGATTCGCCCAATCCCTCACCAAAGACATTGAACAATCAAGATGTCCTTTCATCTTTATTTGCCAAAAATCAGGTAAGAAATATAAATTTTAATTTCTGCAAAAGTTCGTCTTTTGAATCTTTTAACATTAACTTGATAATTTATGGTTATTCAGTCAGTTACATTTGATTGGAATCAAAATGACCAAGCATTGATTTTAGGTGGCTATTTTTACACCTTCACTGGGTCTCTACTATTAGGTGGAATCATTACCGACAAGTTAAATATAATCTGGCTTCTGTCCATTACTCAAACTATAACCGCAATCAGTACATTGGTAACTCCAATCGCAGCGTCAACCAGTGTTTATTTGTTGATTGTTGCTCGAATGATTATTGGACTTATGCATGGAGTCATGCTACCAGCTTGTTTCAACCTGATTGAACACTGGTTTCCTACTGGTGAAATTGCTATAGCTCAAAGTCTTATGGCTGTGGGTGCTAATTTTGGTACAGCAATTTCAATGCCTGTAACTGCTTGGCTTTGCTCTTCTAACCTTTGGGGTGGCTGGCCTTCTGCATTTATAATATTTGGATTGATTAATTCAATTTTTGTTGTTATCTTGTTCATTGGAATCTCAGACGGTCCTCAGTCTAATCGTTGGATCTCACAATATGAGAAAGACTATCTCGCACAAGTTGTCGTTAATAAAGGCACTAAAAGAAAGAAGGTAAATAAAAGATATTCAGATAAAGTCGAAATCTCTACCCTTTGTCTTAATGTTTCAATATAAGATAAATCATACAATAAAACTAATTCCTTAATCTTACTTCTGGTTTGTCTCGAAATCAATCTGATCTGAATTGCTTACAAGCGAGCTTAAAGGATCAGACAGAGTTTCGAAATAGCTAGAAATTAAATTAAACGTAACAATACAGTGACATGTGTAGCATTTGTAGTCTTTGTAACAATTGTAACATTTGTAGGTACATTTAATTTATTTGAAAACGCCTTTCTACCGAGATTTTACAAGATTTTTGTACATTCCAACTCCATTTTCAGGGTTTCTGGTATCAAAAGTCAATAAACGATACATTTTAATCAATTTCATTAACAGATTAAAACCCCTTGGATAAAATTGTTCACATCTTTGCCACTTTGGGCTGTTTTTTGGAATCGTGGATTGATTGGTTTAGCTTATTACACAGTCAACTCCAAGATTCCAGTTTACATGGAGAAGGTTCTTAATTATAAAATTGAAAACAATGGCTTGTTGAATTCACTATTTTATGTTTTTGTTTGTATGGCTCAATTGATTGCTGGCCCTGCATCAAAAGCAATCATATTAAAAGGCTGGTTATCCAGAACAGTTACCAGGAAAATTTTTGAATCCATTGGTAAATATGTTATGATCAACCAAAATCAAGATGTTAAAATGCTTAAAATTTATTTTCCCTTTGCTTTTTAGCTTGCCTTGGATTGGCATCTGGTTTGATGATTATATCATTTTTGGGCAATCAACCAACTATTGTGGTGATTGTATTAATTATATCAATGTTTTTCTACGGCTTTGATACTGGAGGAAATATACCCATTGTACCCGAAATGGCACCCAAATATGTTGGAACAGCGTTTGGCTTTTCAAATACATTGATCAGTGCTTCTGGTTTCATCGCACCAGCTTTAATTGGTTATATACTAGGAGATGACGTAAGAATCATTTAATACTATTTGATAAATAATTCAGACTTTAATCTTTGTATCTTTTATTTTTCAGACTGAATCAGTGAGCAAATGGAATCTAGTGTTCCATGTCGTTGCTGGTCTTCAAGTGGTAGGAATACTTATATTCATTACTTTTGCCACTTCTGAACCCCAAGCTTGGGCCGCTATTGATGATAATAATGACGAGGAAGATGAAAATGACAGAAAAGACGTTCCTAATCAACTACGGGCATAAAAAATCGAATGGTAAAAACACTGTTTTTGGTAAGGTTTTGGATGGAATGGATGTTGTTAAAGCGATTGAACAGTTGGCCACTGACAGTGAGGATAAACCATTCACAGAAGCAAAAATTGTTGATTCAATGGTTATCGATGCTGATGAAATGATCATCTTAAGCCAGTGAAAATTAACCGAATAGTTCAACAGATCTAAATATTTATCAATTGATGTACTTTTTTCATATTTTATAACGAAACTGAAATTTGTTTATTGTTTAAACCCAGAATGTTGTTATTGTGAACATTGAATTGTAAAGATACTTCTTACTTTACAAGTTTTGATTGAATGGTGGACAATTTGTTGTCGATACCAATCAAGCTTTGATTATTAAATAAATTAAACAAAAATTGACACTTATATTTGATTTCAGAGAATTTATTTCAATTTTCTTTTGATTTGATTGTTTGCAAGAATAGATTTGTTTTTATGCCATGAAACATCCGAGAATACAAAGGATAGACTGTTACTAAAAAGACTTAACTAACACAATTTTCACCTTTATACACAGACTGAGTTCATTCGCGATATTTAAAAATTTCTCTGATCAATAATTTTCGAGAAAATCGGGTTCGAAGTTTAGACTTGCAAAGCTTTTTGTGCAATTATGGAAGTAGATGTTTTCATCAAAATCAGAGTATTGATGTATCTTTTGATGAGCAACTAGGAAACGTATTCATTTTGAGAAAAAGCATTTTTCTTTTTCTGTAAAACAGTTTAGTTCGATTTTCAGTTGAAGCGATCGCTTTATGTGACCATAAGAGTTAGCAAGCTTAAACTTATTATCCGTGCATGAAAATGGTTCGCTCACATCATGGGTAAAATACTTTTTTCAATTTAGTAACCATTCTCTGGATTTTGGCCATTGGTCTTAAAACTTTGAGACTCGATATTTCGAGAATGGTGTCACCTACAATCATTATTCTTTCATCAATTTAATTCCCTACTAATAAATACCCCAATTCATTCAAATAACTTTCTCTTAGTGTATTTGGGTTATGTTGTTCAGGTTTTAAATGCACGAACAACAACCTATTCAACAAACAAAACTCATCTAAACCAATATCTTGGTAAATAAACGATTTTTCTGGTTAAACTTACAAATCACAAGCAAAAAGTACTGCCTAAGGCTGGAACATTTGAGTAAAGAGCTGAGACTTGGTACATTTGTAGGTACATAAAAACTTAGTTCATTGGTCCATTTAAATGCTTCATATGATGGACGGTTTTCGAGATAATCCAGGTCAAAGTTATAACTTCGATCGTCTTTTTTTCAGCTATGGAAGCAAATTTTTTCACAAAACTTTATTTACTGATGTGTCTTTTGATGACCAACCAGAAAACGGTCTCATTTTGAGGAATGACATTTTATTTTTCCGTAAAAGAGATCAATGCCAATTTTCAATTAAATCGATCGCATTCTGTGATTGTTATAGTTAGAGGGCTGAAACTTATTATTTATCCATAAAAATTGTTGGCCCACACCATTGATCAAATACTTTTTGCAAATTAGTAACAGCTCTTTTTATTTTGGCCATTGGACTAAAAACTTTGCGACTCGATATCTCGAGAATCGCATCACCTAAAATCATCATTCTTTCACCAATTTAATTCCCTACTAATTGCTGATTCAATTCAATTTAAAAACTTTCCATTAGCGCATTCTGATCTTGATATTTGGGTAGTAAATGCACGGAAAACAACTTATTTCATTAAACAAAACTCAACTAAACCCATTTCTTGCTAAATAAACCAATTTTCTGGTTAAACTAAAAACTCAAATGCAAAAAGTACTACTAAAGACTCGAACATCTGGTCTAAGAGCTGAGACTTGGTTAGTTTGTAGGGACATAAAAACTTAGTTCATTGTGCATTTAAATGCGGCATCCGATGGATGGTTTTCGAGATAATCGAGGTCAAAGTTAAAACTTCGATCGTCTTTTCTTCAGCTATGGAAGCAAATTTTTTCACGAAACTGATTTTACTGAAGTGTCTTTTGATGACCAAACAAGGAATGGTCTTGTTTTGAGGAATGACATTTTCTTCTTCCGTTAAACAGATCAATGACAATTTTCAATTATATCGATCGCATTTTGTGACCATAAGAGTTAGAGAGATGAAACTCATTATTTGTCCATAAAAATTGCTTGCTTACATCATGGATTGAATAATTAAATCAGTTCATCAACGTTTCTCTTCATTTTGGCTACTGGCCTTAAGATTTTGAACCTCAATATTTCGAGAGTGGCATCAAGTACAATCATCATTCTTTCACCAAACATTAGATTTCATGTTGACTATAACAGCATATGACTAAATATCCAATAAAATGCGAGTTAATTCATTTATTAATCAAAATCCTTCTAGCACATAAGATTTGTGCTCAACTTTATAAATCAAATCTCAAATCTGACGACATAGGTTATACAATGCTACAACTTATTTTGTAGGATCTTAAATGATTTTATATTTCATGATATTATAGCCCATAATGCAATCTAATTTTTAATTAAAGAATAATGATTGTACATGATGCCATTCTCGAAATATCGAGGTTCAAAGTCTTAAGGCAAATGGCCAAAATTAAGAGAACTGTAGAGAAACTGAAGAAAGTATTTAAACCATGATGTGTACCAAAAGTTTTTATGTACAAATGATGAGTTTCAGTTCTCTAACTCTAACAATCACAGAATACGATCGTTTTGAATGAAAATCGAACTAAACTGTTTTTACAGAAAACGAGAAATGCTATTCTCAAAAGGAATACGTTTCCTAGTTGGTTATGAAAAGATACATCAGTAATATGAGTTTCATGAAAAAATCTAAGTCCATAATCGCACAAAAAGCTACACAAGTTTAAACTTCAAACCCGATTTTCTCGAGAACTGTCGATCAAAGAAATTTTTAAATCTTACAAATGAATTTAGTTTTTGTGTCCCTACAAACCCATCGAGTCTAAATTTGGAAGAAACTGATTTTGACTCGTTTTTACCAATTTGTATATGTGAACATTTTGTGTTGTTAGAAACAACCTATCGTTTGTATTCTCGGATGTTTCATGGCATAAAAACAAATCTATTCTTGCAAACAATCAAATCAAAAGAACATTGAAAATATTTCTGAAATCAAATATAAGTGTCGATTTCGTTTAATTCATATAATAATCAAAGTTTGATTGGTATCGACAACAAATTGTCCTTCATTCAAATAAACTTGTAAAGTAAGAAGTATCTTTACAAGTTAATGTGCACAATAACAACAGTCTGGGTTCAAACAATAAACAAATTTCAGTTTCGTTATAAAATATGAAAAAAGTACATCAATTGATAAATATTTAGATCTGTTGAACTATTCAGTTAATTTTCACTGGCTTAAGATGATCATTTCATCAGCATCAATAACCATTGAATCAACAATTTTTGCTTCTGTGAATGGTTTATCCTCACTGTCAGTGGCCAACTGTTCAATTGCTTTAACAACATCCATTCCATCCAAAACCTTACCAAAAACAGTGTGTTTACCATCCAACCAATCTGTAACCACAGTTGTAATGAAAAACTGCGATCCATTTGTATCTTTACCAGCATTTGCCATTGAAATCAATCCCGCTTCACTGTGATTTATTTTGAAATTTTCATCCTCAAAATACTTTCCATAAATTGAGATCGATCCAGAGCCATCCTTTTCAGTTATATCACCTCCTTGGATCATGAAATCAGGAATGATTCGATGAAAGGTACTTCCTTTGTAGCTCAAACCATTAAAACCTTCTTTACTAGCCAAAGCAGCAAAATTTTTAACGGTTCTTGGAGCAGCATCGCCAAACAAACCAATAGTTATTGATCCTTTAGGGACACCATCGATGGAAACATTAAAGATGGCCTTTTTGGTTACATGAACCTTTAAGCTCTTCATTTGGGTAAAAATAAAAAGTCAAAACCAGACAAAAGAAACCCATTTTAAACTCATAGACAGCACCAGTTTAAACAAAGGAACCCAATTTTGTCTAGATTTTGGGTTGCTGTTTAACTGTGATTACTTACCTTCTTCTCTGATTGTGATGAGAAATTGATGGTTAAACAAATTGTGAGAATCAAGTAAATTAACTTAAACATGGTTAAAGAGTGTTGCTTTCTGTTGAAAGTGTTGGTAATGACTATGGAAAAATGGCGATGTGTAACTTAAATTTGGCTATTTTTAGATGCTTTACTTCATCTTACATCCTCCTTAAAGCGTCTCTTTTTTCAATCTTTTACATTCCAGATGCTTAAGTTTGCTATCCTCATCATGTACAATCTTTTGCGTCTTCCTTCGCCCTCACCAACCTCATCATCTGTGTGAATGAACTCATACAGTTCCGCCTGCAATTATCAATCCCTATAAATGATTTACCCTGTTTATCTTGGAACCTTTTTCTTTCCTTCTCATTTCGATATTTCTCAACATTCAAGATTCTGTGAAACTTGTGACCGTTGAATGATCTTGAATTTTGATTTAAACTTCTCACCAAATGATGTGAAAATTACAATAAATGAAACACAATACTTGGTACATTCAAACAATGAACTGATTGACCAGTTTATGTCTTATTTTAACAACATTTGATTCACATTTTATGGTTGAAAATGTTCACATTCACCATTTATTTACAGTCGTTATACTCATAATGTGTGTTGTTGAGTCAAATTTTTCACAGAATCATCTTCAATCGGTTGATTGATTGATATTTTGATTTTAATTTAACTCCTTGCTTTTGCAGACACAACTGGTAAACCCTTTTGTACATCTAATAACTCTAAATAATCAACTATAATTATGATAGCGAGTTTAATTTATGTTTAAACTGTTACCTTCCTCAATTATTAATGTTACCCAACATGAATATTGTATCGAGCAAAGCAGCTATAATGAGAGAGTTTACAATCGGCAGCTAACAACTTGTTAATTGTGGTAACAATTTAAATAACTGATAAATTAGTCTTTCAGTAATACCTTGTTCTCTTGGTTTACTCGATTACCATCAAAGGTTATATTATAATCCAATAAATTCATATCACTTCAATTTATCCAGCATTAACAGTAGCAGTCGATATTTAAAATAACAATTTCAAGCCAATCAAAGCAAAATTAACACTAATTTGGTCAAAAATCTCAATTAACTTAAATTAAACAGTAACAGCAACTCTATGGCCAAATAGCATGGAGCTAAGCCAGCCTTTCAAAAACTAAACCAGAAAAGATACCAGAAATTGGAGTGAAAATCTGTTGATGGCAAACTAAATATTTGGTCAACAAATGATTAGTTGATTCAACCAACTGTAGGTATAATGGTTGGACAATCGGAGAGTCTAAATTATACTTAAACAAGCAACTGGACCACAACTATGACAATCTACAAATTCAGTTGATTAATCAATTCTCATTTAATAACAGTGATTAGCTGCCAGTTTTACTTTTTGCTTGGTTAAGACACTATCAAGATGGCAACAATGCGAAAGTATTATTGCTTGTCAAACTGATCGACTGATCACTAACAGTCCAACCAGCCGTTTAATGATTTACAAATGACATCGACAGAGAAATTCAATGATGATCAAAAACTAAATCAATTGCTGATGGAACTAATAGCTGATTGGAAATAACTTTCCCCTGTCAACAGCTTCAATGATTGTATTCAATCTGTCAGCTTTTTGTGCACCTTAATTTACTCAATTTAGTTTCCACCGCAAAACTGACCTCAACATTATTGCTATTTTGTCATTAAGCTAATCAATTATTTTATCAACCAATAATTAATATCCAATCAGTGTGTTATGAAACTGAGCTTTATAATGATTTATAAATTGTGATAATGTCGATTCCACTGTTATGTCAATCGGTTCAACTGTCTTTTGTCTTTTCTGGTTCTGCTAATTAATAGGAAGATACAGATTGATAAATTAACTTTCAGGTCACATTTAACTAAATTATGATTCTTAAACTTTCTAAATTGTCTCCTATTTTAAATGTTAAATTATAATCGAATGGTGAAAATGTGTTATTAACCCTTGATTGTTACAATCTAACGTACAATTACAGAATGTATCAATTAAAGATTCTGTTTAGTGTCAAGTGATGACAATTTTGGGTGATTAAGATATAGCAAAGTTATACAATTAAGTTAACAGAAACCACTATTACAATGAAATGTTGAGAGGAAAAAAAGTAAATCATTTTGGTCAACACTTTAGCACTCTTGAACACAAAAAAGAGTTTATTTGGTCAAAGTAAATTATTTATAATTAACTTGTAAGCTTGCTTGATTTGCTAACTGTTATTAACAATTTGTCTCTTGTTGGCCTTAAAGGCTCAATTGGGTTTACTGGATATCAATATGTTTTTTCAGGTTTTACTGTTTTTGCTCTCCAAAAGCTCTTCATGATTGAAGGAAACCCAAATTTTTATGAAACCAGAATAATTATCTTTTGAGATTTTTATGTTTCGGAACTGATTGTTAGCTATTCATATCAATTTCATTTACTGAATAAGCCGATGATAAATCACATAGAACCAGGAATGTTAAATGTCGATTAAATGTATATCTAACATTAAGCTGTGAATTTGACTTGAGATTGGACTTAATTGTTGGATTTGCTGTACAAGGATTATCATTAGGCCTTACCAGAAACTTGGCTTTTCTGGTTTAACATTAAGTTGACCTCTTCAATTTGATTGTTATAGTTTGATCTTTCAATTATAATTTGCTAATGAACACTTTTCATTGTTGTTCATCATTTGGACATCATTTACACCATTTAGGGATAATTACTGGTTAAATGACTTATTCAATCTTATCCTCTATTTAAGCAGCTGACAATTTTCCTTCAATTAATTACTACAATTACAATTGAAGTCCAAGATTCGACAGCTCTATTTAATTTGCTCGATAAATGTTTAATTGTAATAAAGCCACCTTTTAGGTCGAAGACCAAAGGCGATGCCTTAGAATGCGATATTTCCTTAAACCTTGCTCATCATTGTTTTGCATATTTCTTGGACTTTTCCTGTTCATATTGCCTTACGATCAATCTTAACGACAGTCGGAATTTACATGTCAATTAAATGTGTTTTTTAATTGTTAGATGACATTAAACCTGGAAACACCATAAACATCAATTGAAACCAAACTGTTGGTAACATTTGGGTTGAATCTTTTTGATGTGACTTACAACTTTGATAGTCATGGATGAAATTAAATTGAAGCCATTTTTCAATGTCTTGGGATATTGTTAAATTGTTGAAAATTAAACATTTAAGATGAACCATTGGCCACTAATCAACCTTAAACCTCAAGTATTGAAAGCTAAATGATGGCCAGACCGTTTACTTGATTGGCAATGTATGTGATAATGAATGTTGACCGTATAAATCACCATGATTAATTGTAACAGTTGGAGAGGAAAATAGATCAATTGTGATTAAATAATGATTAAAAAAAGGTTTGTTGTGAATAGCTGCAACTATTTACAATCAACTGTTTTAAACAGCCTTGGTCAATATTGATTTTTCTGGTTTCATTATTCAACCTTGATTTAGTTGATGTCAATTAAGCTTTTTTGTTGGCTTTTTTAGAGGAAAAAAGAAGTTCAAATTGTTACCAAAAATTGATCACAATTTAGTCACAATATGGAAGCAATCAAGCCTCACAATCAATAACTGAATCAATTTGATGAGATAATAGAGTTAGAAACTGTAAACTTATACAATTTGTGTGTTTATTATTCAACTGGTCAACTATTAATATAAATGTATCTTTGAGATAATTGTATTTATTTATATGATTATGGTCAATATTGTTATTAAATGAAATTATCAAGTTTGACCTGAGTATGGTTAGCATTTGATTGTAATCAATGAAGGCAAGAAAGCGATTAAAGTGAAATAAATGTAAAAAGGTTTTCTTTTTCGGCTGAAATTGCTGTCCATATTACAATTGAACATTGTAATAGGCACAGAGTACCAAAGTGTAAATAAGATTAATTTTTGTTAATTGTTACAATTAATTCTGCGGTTGATTGGTTACTGGCAGCTGAACATTATTAAATAATTCATTCCTCAAAGTTGGTTAAATCTCATTTCAATTATTATTCTCAGACAATTAAGTTATTGACCAAAGTATATTTGGATAAAAGTATCCAGCTTTTTCAATACATTTGCAAGTGGCACAATAAATCTGGAATTCACTTGATTCTCTTTTTATACCATATTGATCATTGTTAGCCAAATAATAGTTGATTAATGATTGAATTAGCTGTGATGATGATGATTGAGATATTACAATGTGTTAAATATTTAAGGCCTATTCTTGTGTTGGTCTTATTCGGCCATTGTCAAAGACGCAGAAGGAAAGTGTTAAGTCAGATTAACCTGTTTCCCTTTTACACCTCTCTTTGTTGGGTTAAGGCTTAATTGTTCACAGTTTACTGCTGCTAAGAAGTCATGTTGTTTAAGGAAATCTTAAATAGCTAATCATCATCAATTGAACAATTAACAGCACCTTTTCTGTGTAAATCCTTATTTGAATATTGAAAGACGCAAGTAATAGGAAACCGGTGAAGGCATTAGAATAATTTTGACCAATAATTCTGATGAATATAAATTGATTTCCTTATCTATTCACAGTCAATTATTCCATTAAATCGTAGATTGACCTGAACACTTGATAAATTCACCAATTATCACAGCATGGCAGAAGAAAAATGTCAACCAAAAGTCAGCTTAACATGGGTTAATTTTCTGGTTTTCCGAGTGTCTAGGTTAAGGAGTAACTAAGGTTGATGCCTTCTGCAGTAAATGTAACATTTTATCCGTTGTTACTTCGGTTAATGTAACAAAATTTAGATGATGATCCTGTTGTTTCAAATCAACAGCCATTAAATTTGAATGAATGTAAGATAATTGATCCGGCTAATTGTTAATTTTGTCAACCATCTCTATCGCACAAGATAATCTGCCATCTTGATCAAGACAAGCTTCAACACCAAGAGAATCCCGCCATTTGGTTCCATCATTAAATAGAAAGCTGGTTGAAAGTCACATTGAAAGTTCCATTATTTCCAAATGATTGAGTTAATGATGAATCACAATTGTTTATTTCATGGGCTTATCAGTTAACTGACGATAAAAAATTATCACAAAGTTAGGCCAAACTGGTATCATTATTAATAAAGAAGGGTAAAAATGGTAAAAAACGAATTTTTTTGAAAAACAAAAGCAGAGAAGAGGCAAAAGAAGACAGAGAAAAATTAATCAGACCATTTCACTGAGTTTCCTTACTTCGTAATAAGACAGAGAAGATAACTATCTTTCATTAACTCTTACTCACTTCTTTCCCATTTATTTTTCCCCTTCAACTTTCTTCTTCTTCTCTTTCTTTTAAGCTTAACTCTTTCAACTTCTTTTCTTTCAAATCTTTCTCCTTCCCGTGCGGATGACGAATGGTTCAAGATGTGACAAAAGTTCCCGGTTAAACTTACTTTTACTTCAACCTTTCACTGCTACAGTTTAAATATTTTTGTAACCGTTTCTTAATCTTAAAATATTAATGTATATTATTGAGCTACTCTTTTCATCCTAATCATGACCAATGGTTAACCTGTTAAATACATTTTACTGGACACAGTCCAATAGTGGTGTCTTCTATTGTGCTATCAAACAACGGACCGTAATAAAGTCATTATTAACCAACACACTGTGATCGCATTGGGACTATCGCACCTTTTACCCGACATTTTCTAGATTTGCTAATCTAACAAATTATCCGAGTCTTGTTCCTATCCACCATCTTTTTGCGTTGGTTACTTCCAAATCTTACCTTCTTTTTTTATGTTTTTCAAAACAAAAATGCATTTTAATACAATGTTGAACTCTCATTCCTGTGTCATCTACACTTATTTATGGATATTAATTTTATATTTAGCCATCTTAATCAATCCGTTGTCATCCATTATTATTAACAATAATAATTGTACGTTCACCAATCCGTTGACAAATCACACTAGACGTATGCAATGTGCCTCACCAATCAATTCAACGGTAAGTCTTAATCTCATCCTATTGACTTTTCACAATCCTTGATCTAATCAAAATTTTACGTGTAATCAAACTTAAACCATGGCTAATCAGTTGGTTTGTTTTATGATCGTTTCACTTAACCTCAACTATCCTTGAGACTATTTTCACGCAATTTTGATGTTTATTTCAAAGCAACAGTTAGACTTTTTATGTGTGTTATGATGCAAAAGTTGAGCCAACAATATTATCCTAACCCTTCCATTTCAATTGAATACAATTTCGAAATTAGTTAATCAACAAACGTTGACAAATTGTATTGAGGTAAATATCATTAACAACATTTGTTGAATCTTATTAACATTATATTTGTTTGTTTTTTTTTGTTGTAATCATAATCTAAAAAACATGTTCATTTAATTGAGTGAAATTGAGTGTTGAACTCGTTAACCAAAATTAAAATCAGAATATATTATTGATATCATTTCTACATTAAGTTATTTTCCCGAATAGTGCTCATGGTTGGTCGGTGCATTAAATTGCTGGTCAATTTATAATTAGACAATATTAAAAAAGACTAAAATATTTCATGTTTTGCATTGTTTAAGATTTCACCCAAAACGAGGACTTTTTCAAATATTTTTAACGCATTTAACATTACAATCACAACTCCAATAACTTAATTAGACATCACACCTTAAAGATAATTAATTAATCTTATTTTATCGATTCCTGTTCAAAATTCAATCAACCTTACATGTAAAAATTAAGATAAAATCATTTAGATGGTGAATGTTAACATACAGAAAAATGTTATTTAAAGTTTTATCCCTACAACCACTTTAAACCGATAGCAATTCAACAGAGCTTAACAAATAACTTGCTAAATACGCCAGATATTATATTAACTAATAACTAAATCAATACTCGATGCTGCTTAATTTGTTATCATCATTATTTGGTGACATCCGTATGTGTACTTTTATGATCAAATAAAAAGACAACAATTTACCTTCAATTGCCACATTATTACCATCATGACCTAACCTTTATTTTACTTTATTGATATTTATCCATTTTCATCACCTATTCATCGTTTTAATAACTTGCCAACAATCAACATCATCTCAACAGTTTAATTTTTATTAGTTCAAGTTGTTGACAACTGTTAAAGATTAAACTGATTGTCAGTGACATTCAACTGGATGCAACTATTAAAAATAGATAGAATTACATTGAAACAATTGTAATAATAAACTCAGTACTAATTTGATCTCTTTTTCCCCCTTTTACCTCTTAATAGGAGCTCTTGGTCGCTAGTGGCTCAGAAGTGTTTGGAGCTAATCTGGATGATGCCTATTTAGCTGAAATGGAGAAACAATATTTAAGCTCTGAACCATTCAATCAATTGATTAGGACGTGCCATAATGGATATGATAACGAGTATTCCCAATCACTTGGCAGTTATAGCAAAATTCAAGAAGCTATCACAGCAGTTATACCTTCAATTTATCTTTACATTGGCTCAGACACAATGGTCTACCGTACAGTTCCTGGAGCATTGGAAACAAGTCGATTTGTCGCTCAGTTGGCTCATGAAAGTGAATTTTTTACCCTCATCACTGAATATCTACTCAAAACGTATGTTGACCGATAACTCCGAAAGCAATTTTCAACAAAAAATAGTTCAAAATTGAAAGAGCGTGGACAAAAGCAATGAAAATGTATACTTTGATACAATACAAACAATAGCAATTATCAAATCGAAAGATGAATAAATTTAGGGAAAATTAAATTCATCAATTGCTCGTCCGCCAATGAACCGTATAAAATTATTTTGTCAAGCAGAAAGTCACTGATGCTCTTTAATGAATGATTAACTTTGAATAGTGAAAGATTAAATATTTGACTCCACTAAAAGAATGCACAATTTGGATATTAATTGAATTTCTTTTTTTCTATTTACAGTCATTGTGCCACCAAACTTGACTCTGCAATGAAATTTCCTAAGCTCAAGGTAAAAGGCAAATTAACTGAAGGCCAAGTTAACAAATTTGCTGTCAATAGTTGTGGTTACCGTAAGGATCAGCTACAATTTGGATGTAATCCAGCCAGCAAATTTCCCGCTTACGATGGATCGTGTAATAATCTTAACAAACCCAGTCTGGGAATGGCTTATTCATGTCACCGGCGATTAATCCCTCCAGATTATGGTGACGGTGTTAAAAGCTTGAGACTCTCAGTGAGCGGACAACCTTTACCGAATGCCAGATTAATATCTAATGAAATTTTACCCTCAGTCGATGAGGTTGACCCCGAATTGACTCAAATGAACATGCAATGGGGACAATTTATGGTTCATGACATGGTTCGCACACCAATTACCCTAGGAAACACACCAGAGTGTTGCCCACCTTCAACCCTGAACCACCCTGAATGTGTAACAATAGCTCCTTTACCCAAGGGTGACTCTTTAACTTCCATATTTAACCAAACCTGTCTAAGAAATACTCGAACTTCACCTTGTCCAAAGTGTAAATTAGGTGAGTTATTTTGGTTGGTAAAACAAATGGTTATAAATAATAATTTTTACTTTTCTTGATCCTTTCAAATAGATATTTTTGTTACTTATTTAAAATATTTGTGATTACAGCTATAATTTAAAACTGTCAATATATTAATCAACCAAGCAAAGCAAACAAATCGCAGTGAAACCCAAACTATTGCCAGGTTACAATCAAACTCCAGCCGTAACGTGATGATTTAAATAGCGTATAATCAATATTATTACTTGATTAACTTGGATGATTTTGCATCCTTCATTTTTCCTCCTTATTCATCTTAGCTTTACTATTCATTGATACCATTTGCTTCTTCCTTCCTCTTTCTTGACTCAATGATTAAGTTAATTAGTCTAATGATTGGCAAAAACTAATCATTCCAGTCTTCATGAATAGCATCATAAATAATCATAAATGAACCTTATTTTCATTTTTTTACCATTAATCTTATTTGTTAACCCTTTTGCAAGTTTATTGTTTATAATTATCATTTTTCATTTCATTTCATTTTGATTGTCCATTTAGGCGATTAATATCAATCAAATATTTAACTCATGGTTAAAGGCCGATCCTTGGTTGCTGTTAATATTGAACTCGTTTTAGCTGATCAACTTGATTATAACTGTTGACAAGTTAATTTGAAAATAGTCTAAAAAGTAGAAAATTTTTTGTACAATTTCCAATCATTTCAGCCTTTTGCTTTACTTTCATTTTTACTTTGATTCTTATAGCTTTTTGTTTTTTCAAATTGTGAACAATTTTGTGACAAAATAACTAATTGTTGACAAACTGATTAAGATCATTGATTAACTAGTATTTCATGGAGTTTTACATGAATTTCAATTAAGTTTCAATCTAAATACATTCATTACTGTTGAACCTATCAACAAGTGACAAAAGCTTAAGCCTTTCACTGCACATTCAAATACAAACAATTGGATTCAGTTATTTCATTTTCGCCTTTCAAACAATCAATGGATAGTTAATGGAAAATAAGAACAATTAATGAAAAGAAAATCATTTCAAATTCATTATTATAAGCTAACTGTAACAATTAACAATTAGGCTGCCAGTGACAATGAAAATGAAGATCTGATATTTAAAAAGCAAATCGAAAGGAAGAAACAAGGAAAACATTTCGTTGATCAAATGATTCCAATTGAACCTTATTTGGATTTAATATTAACCAGAAATTATAAATTTAATATCAAACACTCAATTTGATTCGTATCGATGTTAACAATCAAAACACAATCATCAACACTTTGAAATGTTAACAATCAAAACACAATCATCAACACTTTGAAATCTCTCATTGGATTCAATGTTGAAATGGTTTCCATTAAGTTAACTGTTTAACGGTTAAATCAACTTGAAATATTAATTTCACAATCAGATAAATTGTTAACATTAACACTGAAAAAAGGTTGATTTAAAGAAAAGATTTAAACCATTTATATTTCAACGTTAAATTGTCGATAACAATTATACAAGTTATAATTAACTGATTTAGTTTTTTAAGATAAAATCAATCAGCATTTTGTCAGCATTTATAATTTAATTTAGCTCTAAATTTTGCTGCACCAATAACGCAGCAACTCTGTGGTTAACATTGATTAGTTAACACAATTAGTGAATGTAATCAAATGAGCGGAAAACAAAATAACAAAGCTAATTGTTACAATCAATGTTAACCGTCGAAGATGAAAGATTGCTTCAAAGCTAAATTATTGTAAAAATGGATATTTTTAGCTTTGAATATATCTCTTCTGTTAACTGAAACTGTTAATTCTGTTGAACGTTATAATTAGAATTGGTTGATTAGGATAAAGATTGTTGATTCTAACTCTTGAAAGGGTTTAACTAATGTTTCAATTATTGCTAATATCAACACAATTAAGGATTTGGGTGCGGAAGTATTTGAGTTCAATTGACTTTCTCTACTTTTCATACCATTTGATTAATGATCAGTTTATTCCTAAACTGTTACCTGATCTACTAACAGTAATTGTAAAAAATAACTGTTATTATCATTATAACATCTTGCTTTAATTCAACCCTTTAATTGATGTCTACACATTTGATTGCTTCCAATTTGCTTCTGTTCATAACCAATATTATTGATCAACATTGATTGTCTAGTGAAGCTACAAATTGATTCTCTGTACAATACTGACAATTAACAACGTTTTAATCATTTTAACACTCAATCAATTTTGCTTTGTTATTTGTGATTTGTAAACATTGGGTTAAACAGTGAATTTGATTGATTGAACATTGGCCATTACCTTTGGTCAAAAGACAAACATTTTCATTCTTTGATTGTTTCAATAATCAATTTGAAGCTCTTTCAATTGGCAAGAAAATTGACCTGATTATTGACCTTATTGGATTTATCAATAAATCAAGGTTAATCTGGTTGTTTCTGCAATTGACATTGATTGTTTTGTCAATGAAATTGGATAGAAAAAATTGTCAGCCTTTTCATGAGCATAATCTAATTGTGATGATGATTTTTCCAGTTATGACAATTATTTTACCTTTTTTTTAATGGTTATTCAATTAGTCGCTGTGACCTGAAAAGTTTTGCTGGTAAATCAAGGTTGAAACCATGCTAATTAACTGATCACCTTTAAGACCTTAATTACCTTTCTTGCTCTTGTTGACACATTATGCCAATAATGATAATAGTTGTGAGTTAATAGTTTTATTAACCACAAATTACATCTTATTGTGTTTAGCATTGGTCAAGCCTTTCACAGGTTTAGGGTTAACAATTATCACTTCTAATGGTTTGTAATAATGATTGTAAACTTGTTGACATCAACATGGTCAGTATTGTGGTTGAGATTGCCTGGGAAGTGAAAATGCTTTAGTTTATTGATTATGATGAGAAACAATTGAAAACATTAGTCTTTTTGGACCAAATTTTTTTGAAATGAACTCTCCAATTGTTGATTTGATTTTCAATTTTCATTTAGTTTTGTTAAACTCTTCTTGTAACCAAATTAAAACATTTCATTTTTACTTGGTTTGCTTTCAACTAACCTTCAACTTGTTGATTGGTTACTTGAACTTAAACCATCAACAAACGACAATTGTTTGATTTCACGGTTGATTGTATACACTTCCTTTTGATCAACACCAATATCATCAAAATTTAATGAACAAAAGCCTCAAAACTTACATAAATGGTTAGATATTTTGTTGATTGTATATTTTTTATGAAATTAATATCAACAAATCCTCGGCTAAATCGATTGTATTTATGTAAACACAATTTTTTCATGTTTTGCTCAATCATATAAAAACAGCATTTGAAAATTCAGGACATAGTAACAATAACCTCTATTTTAATAAGTAATCATAGTTTTTATCGTTTATTACTAATAATATTATTAACCATTTCCAATTATTTCACTAATTTTTCGTATCTTTTGTTCAAATGTTTCAGGACCTCGTGAACAACTCAATGCTGCTCCTCATGCTTTGGATTTATCCAATATTTATGGTTATACTTATCAAGATAATTTGGGTTTACGTTCATTCAGAGGAGGTAAATTTTAATTTTGAACCTTGAATTTAAGTGAATTGATTCTTATTTTGTTCAATTGTTATTGCAGGCAAACTAATGACGGGATTAGATGAACGAGGAGGTGAAATAATGACCACTGCAGAAGGAAATTTCGATCCATTAGCTATCCAAGCATGTAACATTCCACCACAATTTCCGACTTTTCTCTGCTTTAAAACTGGAGATGGTATTAGAGGCAATCAACATCCAGCTTTAACGGCACTTCAAACAATAATGATTCGTCGACACAATCAACATGCTGAAGCATTATCAGTAGTTAATCCTCATTGGACGGATGAGACTCTCTTCTGGGAAGCTCGTCGTTTGTTGATGGCTGAGTACAATCATATCAGTTTTGCTGAATACTTTCCAACTTTATTTGATCCGGATATATTGGCCTATTTCAATTTAAATCCAGTTAAGTCAGGCTATTCCAAATACGAACCAGAAACTGATTTTTCAACAATCCAAGAATGGGCCACTGCTGCTGGACGGTTCGGACATTCACAGATAAATAATATATTCATGGTGAAAAATGGACGTGATTCAAAAGATTCCTTCCCATTCAGATTGAAAGACGTCTTCTTTGAAATGTCACTAATCCATTTAGGGCAAACTGATGGAATTATCAGAGGATTGATATCTGAACCTGCATTCGAAGTCGATCCATTTTTTGTTGTTGACGTTAAAGATTTTCTTTATCAAAATCCTAATCGTACAACTGGTCTCGATTTGATGGTAGCTAACATTATGAGAGGTCGTGATCACGGAATTCCAGGCTATGTTAACTATTTAGATTATTGTTTTGGTTATAAAGTTAATGACTGGTCTGATCTTTATGAATATATACCGCAAACTCAAGTTCATAATCTCCAGCGAGTATACAAGTAAATATGAATCCGGCAAAATTTAAGACTGTTTAATGAGCTTATCATAAACAGTTCATCGTTGAAGCAATCAATCTCAACATCAGATAGTTTATTTTCAATTTTAACTTTTAATATTTTTCCATTACTCTAGGGATGTTCGGGATATTGATCTATTTTGGTGGAGTTTCAGAACGAAGGGTTCCTGGTAACGCTATGGGTCCAACTTTCTCATGTATCAATGGTATTCAATGGTACCACTCAAAGTTCGGCGATCGTTACTTTTACGAACATGGAGGAGAAGCTGGTTCATTTACTCCAGGTGAGTTTAAATAACAACTTTCATGTTTAGATGTTAAATCTAGTTCATTTTGTATTAATATTTTGTTTTTATTCTGATTATATTACAGAACAATTAGCTAATATTAAGAAAACAACGACATTGGCTCGTATTATTTGTAAAACAACAAAGACTGATTATATATCCAAACATGTATTCCGACTTCCTTTGGCTGATAATCCAAGTGTTCCATGCCGCGATTTCCCTGAAATTGATTACTACCTTTGGGCTGATCCACACAAAGCTTAATTTTAAAAATTGAATCACTTCTATTTTACCATATTTGTATTTTTTTACTCTTTGATATCAATTGAATTGTAATATTGCTCTTTTTGACATTTAAATACTGTTAAAAATTTACCTACAGTAATTCAATTTATTTTTCAAAATTTTCGCATCAAAAACATTAAGAGCTCAGAGAACACACATAAATTTTACTTTGTTAGTAAAGATTTTCATTGTTTGTTCTAGAAATTAATCGATCATAAATGAAAATCATTTTACATGCTTCATTCATACATATTATATGAATTTAATCATTGATCAATACAAATTTCTAAGGCATAGAAATTGACAATCCGAGGTGCTTTACACAGGCTGGTCAATTTTAGCAGATAATTTTGCTGGCACATACATTAAAGATCTAAGGTTCATCAAATTGTCGATAATAAAGTTATCCATTTCATATTATTGTTAATTTGACAATCTACTTTGATCTGTAATTAGCTTTTTGGTTCCAACTTGTCCGGGATTGTTGACGTTGTTAATTTTTAAAGTCATTCAAAAAGAAAGTACATTATGCTTGTAAACATCGCTGCCTCACTTTTCACATGAAAATAAAGGCTACTCAGTCTATTTGGATCTTCATAATTCTAGTTGATTGCATAAATTGAAAACAGAAATAGTTTTGTTTCTAATAGTTTACAATAGTGTCACTGTATCAAATGTAAAATTACAAAACAAAATTGACTTTGCGTAATTAATGAAGTTTCCCTTCAGTTTCACAAAGCAACTCTGAATCCTGGATCGTTAGCACGATAGAGTAAATCATCATCCAACAGGTAAGTTCCAAGAGTTCCATCTCTAAACAAATTGATAAAATAGTTAGCTGCTCTTATTTGGTCTAATCTAAGAGCATTTGATCGAGCTAAATTTTAGTTTGAAAAATAAGGATGAAACAAAAAAATCAGAGTTAGATAATTATGTAGAAATAATTAAGATGAAGAGAAAAAATTCTTACTTTTCATATCTTTGGTTTCGAATAAAAAGTTTTGATTTATTGCGATTTTACTTAAAACTTCTACGATATTATCGGATGGCTCAGAAATACCAAGAATATTTGAATAATGAAAAAGTTTTCTTCTGTTCAGCCAGAATAAAATGTAATCTGCAATTAGTACTTCACCAACAGCTGCATCCTTGAAAAGTCCTAAATTGACACAGAGGTAACACAATATTATTGATTTTTGTAAGAATCAGCCAAAATTAGTAACTTACCACAAGCAGCAAGCCGTAGTGCTGATTCAGACATGGATAAATTAGGTTCTAATATTCCAGGAGTATCATAAAGGTAAGTTGGTGGATCATTACTAATTTTTAATCTATTTGAAACAGTTTTCGTAACCCCAGCGTGTGGAGCAACAGCCATAACTTCCTTCTTGCCACAGATTGTAGTTCTCAATGAGTTAATGATACTTGATTTTCCGACATTTGGTACTCCAACAATCAACAAATTCATTTCAGGTGTATCAGCTCTGTTAAATTTAGGTTTAGATTTTACAATTTCCTGACACATTGGAACAATCTATCAGAGTATTAAAGAAAAGAGTTAATTAAATTTTACAATCAATAACAGTCCAATATAAAAGAACGGCAAAATTTTAACTTACTTGTTCGATATTCACTTTTGTGTGCTTTTTAGCAGTTGTATATAAAATTCTATCACAGCTTCCTAACAACTTTTTATCGACATCAGTCTTGAAATTAATATCTATAAGATCCATTTTGTTCAACACCAGAAGATGAGGTCTTCCACAAATAACTTGCTGGTGAAACGATGACGATCGACCAGATATGGGAATCCTTGCATCATGTACCTCGACGACACAGTCGATATCTCTAAGAAGCCTCTGAATCTTTTTTAGACCGGTAGCCATATGCAATGGATACCAAGTAGTTGATTTAGAAACTGTATGAAATACTTTCCTAAACGCAACCATTGTGTATAACGAATATATTAACTAGAAATCAAACAAAATGTTTTAATATTTACACTTTTTAAACAAAAATAAAAATAACAACATGAAACCATGAAAACATGCGTTAAAACAGATTTCCGGGGTAGAGAGATTTCGTGGTTACATTATCCAGTTACAATGAACCGGTCACAATTTTTTTACCGCTGAATTCAAAAATACAAATTTTGAATTTTCATGAATTTCCAGCACAATCTATCACAATTATATTAGAATGCTTTTAAAATTTTCATTCGCCTTTCATTACTTTTCTTGTTGAATAGCCGAGGCAGGATAAAAATACAGCTATAATGAATGGATGGCTGAGATATCTGGAGTTGCTTCATATTGCTGGCAAAGCTATGTCAGAGTACATTGATGAATATTCATCAATTCATTTATTTGTCAATTGGATTTACATTTTTACAATTGAATGAAATGTAAACTTCAACCAACTGTTTAACCATTATTTAAAGATATTAAAAGTGTTACCAGTCATAAGATCAAGGGTTATTGGTTTGATCTTAAAAATGTCAAGCATAACATTTAAACGTTTGGACCTGTTCAATTTACAGTCAGCAAAGACAAGTGAAAATTTACAAAATGTGTATATGTCTATATAAAAGCCTGATCATCATGATAACAATCAACAACAAAACTAATCATCATAAGGATCCCATTTGGTCGCAATTGTAACAACTTATCTTGATCATTTCTCCTGTCAGATGATAAACAATCATGTGTTATTTAGTAAACAAGATAAATATTACAGTTCATCATGCCTCGTACCTTTTTTCTGGAATCAACTTACTCCTATTTATCTTTAAATCAACTCATCTTCATTATCATCAAACCCATAAACAGTTTACTATAAATAAAAACTTAACCTCTCTTTTACCTTGACCTACCCCATATTGACACCCGCACCAATTATGATTTGTAGCTGATCTGTATTCACAAACTCCTGTCAAGCAGCCTTTTTTGTTAACTCAATTGTCACCTCATACTGAGGTGGTCAAGTGGCCAGTTTATGGACTACACTCGCTTTACTCAACAACAATGATAGTCCCGTATCTTTGGCATGGTCCCAGTCGTGGTCCACTCTCCATCATCCAGAACCTGTTATCATCTTGTGACTATGGTCAAGGGTATAATAAAGTATCCAAGCTATGTTAACCTCTGTTCAATATTGTAGGTAATGGCTATTAGTGAAAAAATGAACAATACATTTTTGTAAAAATGTTTAGTCCAAAAGCATATCAACTTGACATTCAATTGATACCGAAAGATTGGACAAATTTTGAATTAACTGAAAATTTTAAATAATGTTAATGTTGGTGCAATGATTGGTTTTCCGATGTAAGTCAGATTTACTTGGGTTTTACAGTTTGAAATGTGAAACATTTTTAAAGACATTTTAAGGCCTATCAATCCTTTAAATACTCAAATAGCCTTAATTTGACATCACTTGTACTTCATTTTTCATAGCTAGCAATCAACAGCATATCTCATTAATTTTGAACATAATTTAATTGAGTCTACAACGTTACAGTAATCAATCAAGCATGTAATAACAAAACAGTAAACAAATTGAAATCCTTCTTTTTTTGTATGGTTGAGAAAAATAAAGCACAATAACAACATCTAATAATGTATTTAGACAAGTGTAAATATCATGTACTTGATTCGCTGATTATTTAAGCACATCATGCTAATTTAAAAATTCATCATGTAAACCTTTCATCACCTTTCAACAGTCAAAATATTACATTTACATTCCAACCTTTAAAATTTACAATAATATCCATAATGATGTAATTGAAAGGGTTTACAGGTTAGCATCAGTCAGTTTCTTTTGTCACTTTTGTTGACCATTTTATCTTTCATGTAAATGTCTCTAAACATCAAAACTAATGTAACAATTAATTTCATGATAATCAATTAATTAAGAAGAAATCTTTATACCTAAAACAAATTACAAAAGTGAGAAAAGGTTAAAAAACATGAAACTTTGAAGCTTCCACATCGGATATTTCACTCGAAACACATTCACCAAGATTAAGCAAACGACTGAGTCACTTATTGAAGAAACCTGATTTATTTTTGATTTCTCGATAATATTGTGATCGGTCGCTACTAACGAATAGTTAGTAGAAGGTTTAATTTACAGCACAAAAAGTCACATAAAGAATAGGAAGAGCCACCAGGCATTACCGAACTGTCTTCATTGAATGTCACTCAAAGAGCTAGCTTAGGTTTGGTCAAAAACATAAACTCCAGGTTAACCATCCTCACTAATATGAGACAATATGTCCATTCTTATCAAATTGTCTGGACCACGAAGAGGGTTAAATATTTTTTAAAGAACGATGTTAATGAATTTTAATTGAACAAAACATTGAAAAGTTGCTCTAAAATTGAACAGCTGTGCGCTGGTGCGGTCAGCTCTAGCTGAATGTTTAACTGTTTTAAGCCGATATTAGCTCAATTTACATTTATGTGAACATTTGTTCACATTGTAAGTTGATGATCAATCTTTAAACTGTCCAACATGAAATTTTGAATCTCATTTAAATACAGTGTAAGCTTTTAAATTTTGTGTTGGCTTGCTCCAGGTCTAGTAGCACTTACTCAGGTTTACAGAATATCAATCAATAGGAAGTAATCAATCGATTTGAAACAATCAAATCACTTTTGTAAATGGTTAAGCGTTGTTGTAGACCAATAATGAAGGTAAGATCAAGTGCCATACAGAAAAAAGGGGAAAAAAGGGAAAAATGGGCAACAACCATGGCTACTATTTCGGTTACTCTAGTTGGATTTCAATGGTTTGTCCTTTCACTACTTACACATCTTTTTGCCTGATCACGTTCACCAATCCATTTACCTGTCCAATTGGATTTACATTTTCACCATTGAAAGAAAGGTAAACTTCGATGTACAGTTCAAGATTTGAAATGCAAAAATTAAATACAGTCAGTAACTTGCCATCAACTATTTGCCAGCAAATACCAAGAAAGACTAGAGTTACTACAATACTAAATTAGTTTTACAACTTACAAATCAATTTACACTCAACTTGATCAGTTGAGGAATTGATTTTGTTCAATATATTTAAACCATTGAAATTGTACAATTGTCTTAAATATGTAAAAATGTAAGCACCTAATCAATCAACAGTTTAACCATTTTACATCTAAAGGTAATCATTGTTTTGGTTTGGGTTTGACCAAGAATCACTTCCGTCCAGTCAACTGGAAACAATTAGTTAACAAACAGACAATTTGACATGATTTACCTGAAAATAAAACAATCAACATTATAATTAATCAATATAAAACTGGCAACATTGTAAAATCAAGTTTCCATTTTGTAAAAACTCAACTCAACACACAAACACCAAGTGCCACCAGGATTGAAAGGAAAGGGTCAAGTCAATGAATTTTCCCGTTAATTGTGAACCTGAAATTATCTAACTTATTTATAATTTTCATCATCATTACAGTAAATGATGATTACTACATCAACCACTTGCTACCTTCAATTACAATACATATTTATTTCAATCCCTTTTACTTGTTACAATTGTGAGTGTGTGTGTGAATGAATCAATGAATCAAAATGAATAAACTCTTGACTCTGTAAATGAATCGTGCAATTGAATTAAATCACATTGTTTAACTTATACATACCTAAGGTACAATACTTAAACCATCCCACCACAAGCAGTGGGAGTGGGGAATAATGGCTCTTCATTTTCATCATCATCGATACCTGTAACATTTACGCAGACCTTGTCTCATACCCAGCAACCGATAAGCTAGTGAATGATAGACTCTGCCGTACATCGATACCTAACCAACCTCCTCCTTCATCTCCACCTTTTTCACTCTCTTTCTACATTTGTTTTGCCTCTTCTTTCAATTGACCCTTCACTATCATCACTATCATCACCATTATCATCATCATCTCTTTGAATTTCTTCTCGTTCCACTATCTGTTTTCATCAATCTATCATCATTATTATCATCCAACTGCTTTGATTCCTATGTGTCTTCCTTATCGTCTAAGATCATGGCTTGTTTACTTGCGCTTCTACCAATCCTCCTACCGATACTTTAAGTGACCTATCACCTTGTCAAGTGCCTCTTGTCTCTCCTCCTTCCCAAAATGGTTAGACCTTGCCATTGTTAGTCCTTGTCTTCGCTTGTTACTTTCATCGTCCGTTAAATTTAACTTTGCCAACCTAATAATAATAACAAAAGGAAAACAAACCTTTCAATGTTTCTATTTTTTACTTGTTAAATAATAACTTACCTTTTTTGAAATCATCGATCCACTTTTCTTGTTACTTTTGGTTCGTTTTGGTTGTTTTTTACACTTTTTTTGATACAATTTTCAATTGATTTACTTGTATTACAATAAACTCTTTACTGCTGTCGGCATTAACACTTGTTTATAGCCATATCAGCTCCAACATTGGCCATTTTCATCGACATCTTTATCGCCATCACCATCAATAAACAATAAATACGATGCATCAAACAGTTGCCCCATATTTGGCTCACAATTTCCAAGGATATTCATATTTAGAAAGACGCATGGTAAGCTAATTGTCGTAATTATCTAATTGTCACAATTATGAATATTTAATAACAAAAATTACAAAATATGTTAACAAAATAAAAATAAACGTTGCATATAAATAGACTCGATAGACAATGCTCAATGCTTTTACCCGCTAGAAGGGTTCGCATTGAAATTAACATTAAACTCATTGCTTATTAAAACACATTTTTTAATTTCAATCAGTTTGATTTGAGGTTTAAAAGGTCTAATTAGAATCTTTCAATCACTGATTGAGGTACAGTTCAATCAAAATTATTGAAATCAAAAGTTAACTTTGAGAATCAATTATAACGCAACCCCTCAACTCTTTGCCTTAACTTATCACTCAAAATAAAAGTAATTTTCAAGTCAGGTTTTTGTATTTTCTAGTTTTCCTTTCTCTGTCTCTGTGATTTCTTGTTGTGTTGTCTTATGAAAATAATATCCAATTTAATCAATTTTTTCAGGACAACGGAGATAATTTTCATTTTGACGATGTTTGGAACTGTAACCTCAATTCAGTTGCCTTGTTATCAGCAACACCAGTTACTCATACTAGCAGCTCATCATCATCTTTATCATCCTCATCAAATTCATCGCCATTTGAATCAACCTTTGTTTCAACCTCCATCCCCTCCTCTACCAATAATAATACTAATCATAATAATTACTCCAACTCTGGGCAAACAATTAATTCGTATTACGTCAACTCTTCCAATGGAAATGGTAATGGGACAACCACAAGCTTAACTACAAGTGAAACCTCAATTGGAGATCATTATGGTCAACCAACTCTTGTACCATTAACAGCAGTATCCCCATCATCAACCAATGTTACCGGTAACAGTACTCTTGCCACCTCCAGTGAGACAATCACCACCAACGGTTCCATCATAAGCTCATCATCCACCACCCCGACGCTTACCTCAATTGACAGCAGTAATAACACTTGCTTAGATAATAATGGTTCATCTAATAATACAAGTAGCTGCTCATCACGTACTAATAATGTTAATCTAATCCATACTAATGGTAATAGCACCAACAGTAATAATAATAATAGTACTAGTGGCAGTAGAAGCAACAACAACAGTAATACAAGCAACACTGATGTAAATCACAATGAGCCCGTCAACGAGAGGATGCTTGTTATAATAGGCGATGGCCCTATCATTGATAATATTACTGGTGCTGGCGGAGGTACAAATAGTTCAACTTCATTATCTTCGGTGCCGTCTATGATTGAAAATGGTTTCAACCAGTATTGTCATAATTCGGAACCTGTTCATTACTATTCTCATGAAAACATCTCCATTGGTGAACACATTGTTGAACAAGAAGCAGCTTCAGCGTTTATTGATCATTCAGTATCAGGTAAGCTCACCATAATATCAAGGAGGAATCAACTCAATTCAAGAACTGATTGTATTCAGTAATCATAATTTTTCAACGGAAGTTACATTCAACTGGATACCGAGTACTATCCTAATCATCATCCCCATCTCCAATAATAATATTATTATTACATTAACATGTTATTATTAACCAAAAAGTGTCGTTGGTTGATGAACGTGATTCAGAATTGATTCAAGTCAATTTAGAATCATTTTTTCTCCTTCTCTCTCTCACTCTCTTCCTACTCAATATAATTCAAATTGTTAATCGGATTAGTGCCAAAACAGTGTGGTTGGTGTGTATGGTGTGTATTTGTTAACCATTGTGTTCACTCGTAAATATTGATTCCCACCTTAACTCCCTTTTTTCCCTTCCTCTTCAGTTCCTCTCAACTTCACCATTATGTATTTCCAACAATCGTATCTTTCAATACTCAGTTTCAACCATTCATCAGGTAGTCAGTTAATTTGTTTATTACATTATTTAGCTATTTTTTTCGCTGGTTTCTCCTTCACTTGGAAATAAATACAATTGTGGTTACATTATACACTTACCATATATAATAGTAATATTACATGGCCCTTGACATTCATTTCAGTAAATACATGAAAAACATTAATTCAGTCAAATCAGGTAACCCAATCTTTGCTCAACCTCAAACCTCAACAACATCAGCAAGACCATCAAACACATACACACACACACCTAATCAACCAGCTAATTAATGCTCTCTCATAGCTAGGAAGCAAATTGAAGTTAAATATGGTAAACATTATTAGATGAATTATGCTAATTGTCCATCAAATTGAAATTAAGATTTAACAATGAAAGACCTCATTTCAATGCAATTAATTGAACCAATGTTGCCGTTGAAAACAAAAGCTAAAAAAAGGTCAATCTTAATGTCAATGATGTTACACTTTTTCCGTTTCTTTAATCATCCATTTTGATCATAAATTATTGATTTCCAGACGAGCATTTATCATAATTAATGACACTGTTTAAGTTAATGAACACTAGTTAAAGCCAGAGTCTTAATTGCAGTTGAATGATGTGCGCAAGGTTTTCAAGATGTTTAGCTTTTCCATCGTCATTTTGACTCGTCTCCATATTAAATCATTTAGGCCTAATCACTGACAATAAGCCTAAAAAATAAGCTAATCACTCAATTGTAACTAGTCAAATCATCCAAATCTTGTGGTGTTAAAATATGACTCCAACTTGAAAGGTTGACTTTCATTGCTTTTTACCCAATGTAACAGTGTTTACCTTTTCTATTGACAATCTTGATCAATAACAATATGAAGATGAATTAAAAGTATAAATTAACTGCAATTACAACCTATATTTAGAAGCTTATAGGCTGTAACTGATCAACAAATTACATCAATTAGTCTTGATTCACTTGTTGATCATCAAGTGATTGATTCTGTCTAATGTTGACTCTTTCTCCCTGCCATATTCAATTTTACTCATTGAATAATCGTTCCCATTGTTTGCTTTTGTAAATGTCTATTATTTTCACCATTATTTAATTTCATTTTTTAAATAGCTTTACAGTTCCAATTGATTATCATTCATTTCATCTACAATGCCGAGTGTAAATTATGAGAGACAATATCTCTGATTATGTATTAATTGTAGTCTGTTTTATTGTAGATGCGGCCAATTGATGGTACACATTACATCATTGATTAGTCTTTGATGTTTTAATATTTATTTATACACTTTCCTTTTGATTCCTTGATTTAGCTTTTTGATCATTTCGCTTATTCAACGGTTAAACAGTTCACCCAGGCAATGAGATTGGCCTTTTTGTTCCGGGTACATTGAACTCTCCATCCTCAGGTCTTGGTGTTTATTCAATTTTTACCTGAGTCTTTTGTTTTTCTTCCCTTCATCAGCTATTTTCATTTACACCATAAAACTCCATCCTTTGACTCTTGAAACTTCTGAGTAGATTCCGTTGAAAATTTGACATTTACAAAACACTTTAAGAATCAGGTGAAAAGAACGATATATTGGATAATGTTTTTAAACTGAATGACCGTTCAGTCGAAGGAAATATAAGACAAAAAATTCCAACATTCTAGCAAATAAGAAAGCTGATCAATTACATAAAACGATTTTATTTTCAGGATCAACATTCAATGTTGATCCAGAATGAAAACAGTTTTGAAACACAATTTGAATTTTGTTTTTATAAGATTTCTATGAATTCATCCATCAACGAAAATTATTTGTCTGTCTTGATGAACTTCTTGTCTTATGTCAGATCAAAACAACATTTAATGTAATAATGAACCTTAAAATTCAACAGCTGAATCATTTCTTCTGTTTGTCGATTGTGGTTCGTACTCTTTCAATCTTTTGATGTATCTTTTGTTATTTTATTAAGAACGTCATTTTTCATCTTTCCTTGAATCTTTTTCCTAATTTTATTTTTTATCTAACCCATTGAACTTGAAACAGACTTGAATGGTACAATATGGACAAACTGTCAAAATGGAAATGAGTTTATTGAAGGAACCACCTTACCTATGGGAGGATTCAATGGTGACAATTATGCTGTTAATGATTCAGTCGACACTTTTGGCAACAGCTTATCAACAAATCGACTTGGAAATAGTCACACTTATACTAATTCAACACCTAATCATCTAGATCCTGTACATGACATTAGAAGTAACTCAATTCATCACACAAATATTCATTCTCCTCTTTCCTCTCTTGTCCATCTTCCTCATCCCCATTACCTTCACCAACACCAACACCAACATCTTCATCATCAACAACACGTCAGTCTTCGTCAACAATTTGTTCTCAACGGAGGCCGATCTTCCAGAGCCTCTAAAGGTGAGCATTCTCGAAGCAATGCCAGTGATACATCAGATGACGATCGAAGTATAACAAGAGATGAAAAACGAGCTAAAGCTCTCAACATACCAATACCAGCTGATGATATAATCAACTTACCAATCGATGAGTTTAACGAGCGTCTAGCTAAATATGAATTAAATGAAGCTCAGCTTTCATTGATTCGTGATATACGAAGGCGAGGTAAAAACAAGGTCGCTGCTCAAAATTGCCGTCGACGTAAAATGGATCAAATATTGGACCTACATAGTGAAGTGGAACGTTTATATTCTCAGAAGAAAGCCTTTGAGATTCAACAAGAACAATTGTTAGCTTTAAGAGATTTAGCTCAAGAAAAATATTCCAAACTGTATCATTTTATATTAAGCTCATCGGAAAGCTCAACTCCTCTGTCCAATTTTACAAGTAGCCACAACGATTATCCGCAAATGTTAGTCTTACCACCAATGGAAAGTGCCACAGCAACACGTAATTAATAGATAAATCAACAAGAATAAAGTTACATTTTAATTATGATAATGGTGGTGATGGGCAGCTAAAAAAATTATGTTGGCGAAGAACAAAAATTGCCTAATTAAAGTCTGATCAGTTTTCCTATTAATTATCACTGTTTTCATGAATTAATAAAGCCAGAATGCTCTGACATTCCAACATTATTGTTAATCATATCAAGCTTCTGAAATTGAAGCACTTATTACTTAGTCACTGGGAACCTGAGCGAATAAACTTATTTTCATTTATCATAATTTGTCTCATTCAATACAATATTTCAATACAATGTAATCAATGGACCTTTACCACTTCATCCTAATATGAGTAATGTAATTTCAAGCTGAAGTAGACACAAATATGAATATTAATTTATAGCAAAAAAAGGTTTGGATAATTCATTTTCGGTTGCAAAGATCAGCTAATTAATGTGAATAGACGTATTCATGAGAAAAATATTTTTTACTGTGAATCAATCTTAACATTGTAACACTTGTGGCTGTTGAAAATTATTTTGACTTTATTTTTCAATGGATATTCAAAATTGAACAAAACCTCCAAATACGATTAATGGATGCAATTTTTGAGCAATTGACCGATTTCACAAAAAATAAAACAAAGCCATTAAAATCGTCCATGAAAATCATATTCTTAGATCATGGTTTAATACACTAAAAATATTCATGCAATAAAACACCTGAATCATTGAACAAAACGCGATTTCTTATTTCTCTCTGGTTGCTATTAATCAAAGTCAATTTAATTTAAACAACGTCATTATCTTTTCTAATAAACAACGCAATTTATCGTTTAAACCTTGACTTGTATCATTTCAAGTGAATTATAGTTTATCAATTGTCAATATATTAAAAACGCCCGATCAACTGTTCATCAATTTTATCAATTTACCCTTTTGTTGTAGTTATGAGAATCAAATTCAATATTGTAACTCAATTCAAATAAGACTTTATTTTAAAATTCTAATACAATTTTGTGTATTGTTATTTCTTTCCTGTTTACAGGAATTTAGTTTTAATTTGGTTGTTTTTTTTTAATGATTAACGTAAATTAACACTTATACAAGATTTGATCAACATGATTTTTGCGATTGTTTGATATTTTAATTTATTAAGAATTATTGATTACCGGTCACAAGTATTAACTGTTATCTTCAAATACCATCCATTAATAGCAGTAGCAATGAAAGGTGAGGTGTCAGTTGAGGTGTCGCCAATCCATGGTCACAAGTGGTTATTGGTTCCAAAAGGTTTGCCAGATTTTTTTTATCATGAAGAGATCCCAATTTGTTTAGTTTTTGATCATGCATATAAATTGATTTGTTTTACATGAGCTACGAGTATTGCTTGATTATTTTCATAAGAATTGCTATAAAAGAGGAAATTACTGTTCAACCTAATGGTGATTCTTTTCAATTTGAGAGACATCAGTAATCAGAATGTTTTAGTTTTGAAAAGAATTAGTTCATCACAAGTGAATCAATCAGATAACAATTAAAAATGCTATAATCGCAATTTTACATTTAATCAACTAATTATCTTTTCAACAGTCCTCCATTCAAACTTTGATCATAAATAAAAATTAAAATTATTTACTATAGCGATGAAAACCTTAATATTCACACCTTAACACCTTTTGAAACCATAGATCTTATACTCCTCAATTCATTTCATGATAATAATGGAAGAGAAATAGAGAATTGATTAGAATTGTTTGATGAGTAGAAAAGCTTCTAATTGATAATTAACTGACAACATTATCGGTATTATTTGATTGACAAACTACTACAGCATTAAAGCAGTAAACGGTAAAGAGGAGAATGTCAATCTGTATGTTGAGCTAAGGTATTAATTTATTTTCGTTGCTCAAACATTTAGTTTCTTTTCATCATCGACACCAAAAAAAATTTAAATACTCAATCATTCAATCAATAGCCACTAAATCGATAAAACGGAATCTGCCGTCACAGGTTCAGGACAAGAAGAAGAACAAGAGTTGAAAGATAGAACGATAGAGAAGAGAGAAAGACAGAGATGAAACGAGCATTAGTCTACTTAAAATTGGTCATGTAATAGTTCACACAGTTGATGTGAAACAGTGTCCTTGCTTGATCTAATCGTCAAACGGAACATCTAAAGGGAAAATGAAATAAAATGAATATAAATAAATGTTGACTTTGCTATGAAATTGGCATTTAAGCAACTTACCTGTGCTTTTAAGCTTGGCTCAAACCTCAAGAGGACGCCTACTTGAAGAACTCTCGAATGTACGATTCCGGCACAGACAAAGTTTGATTCATTTGGATCGATCTTTTCCAAGAGTTGTAAGCCAAATCCTATAAGCTTACTTTTGATCCCTTCTGTGTCGATGGGATATTTGGCATTAAATATTTTTTGCGCTTCTGTTGCAGGACTGAAAAATGGAAATAAAGAAAACAGTTAAAGAACAGTTAACAGAGGATTTGTTAGGAATTGAATAGTGATGATCTTAGAGTTCAACATACTTTTCGAGTTTCTTCCAACGTGCGAAGAAATCTCCTGCATTCATAACAGTAGGTTCAAAAAATTTATTAATAGTCAGTGGTATTAAAAGGTCAAATCTTTGCTGTTGATTTGCATATAGGAATTGGACAATTAACGCAGGTCTTTCTTTGAAATCTTCAACACATTCGATGTTTAATTGTTGATGAACTTGAGCTCCTGCCTCGATAACAGATTCAACTGGTTTCACTTGTATATTGAGAGCTGCAATAAATAGGTTAAAAAGTAGTAAGTATTGATGGCAATAATAAAATATTTAACAACTTATTTACCTCTAGTTAAATCACCGGGAGTTGTGATATTAGGGAGGAAATTCTGGAAATGGTAACTGGTTTTATTTCCATAGTAGATTGAAATTCGACCGAGATTTCCTTTATATTCAGCTTTGACACCAATCTGTATAATGTCATTCTCGAAGAGAATTCCAGCGTTTTTACAGACTAACTTTCTGAGTCCCTCTTCATTACTGACAACAATACCACTTGGTACTGTTTGATTATCATTATTAAATGAACCTATCTCTTGTGGTGGATTGTCAAAACTGTCAAAAACGTCAACCAACAAATTGCTACTGGTAGTATTACGAGTAGATGTTTGCTGACCAGCTGAGGGAGTTGTATTTAATCCAAGTAAATCAGTTAATCCACCATTTAGATTACGAGTACCGTTCATTTCACTCATCATGTTATTGGATACGGTGCTTTTGTGTTCTTTAGGTGCACTGGTTATACTTTCACTCATACCGGGTTTCTTTTTCTTAAGTATAGCTAAAATAGAAGATTCTCTCTCCGTGAAAGGTGGCATTTCTTCCAAAACAGTTGCAAGAACTTCACTGGCAATTTGACTCAGCTGCAGGTATTCAACAGTTCGTTGTTGAAGCTCAGCATCAGCACTTCTAATATTGCTGTCTTGTTTCAATACTGATTGAATCTCATTTTTGATTTCAGGGAAAAGGTTAATAAATTTAATGTATGATGTCAAGAGAAGAGCTCGAGTTGGTACTGAACAGAGATGATATTTTGAGTGTAATAATTCAAATTGAATCATCGGACTTGATCTTTGATCACCAGCAATGAGATTACCAAACTCTCCGAGTATATAACCAGCTACTTTAACCATATTTTCATGGCAAGCTGGAGCTTGCAAAGCCTAGAATGATCAATAATGAATAAGAAATTAAATTGCATGAAATTTGGATAGAAAAACGTTTGAAAATTTGTTCGTGATAATTTGACATAAAGAGCGTACCTCAAATACAGTTTTAGCAGCATAACCTTGCACATCTTCTCTGTTGATAACAATTTGAATGACACGATACCAAACTTCTTCACTGACATAATCACCGGCTATACGAATAAGATTTAGGATAACATCAACATACCAGGTATAATCTGAAGCATATTTCTCTGCAAGTATGGCAACTTTGAGAACCTGACAGGAGGGTGGGAAAAAATGTAATCAAGTAAAAAAATTATCAGAATTTTTTTCTCATGAATGATTCTTTGAATGCGTAGAAAAAATGTCTCACCATTTCTTCTCTAATGGAATAATCGGCAGTTTCCAAGTATGAAAGCATCTCAGCGACAATCTCTTCTGCGTTGGTTTTGTCACACATAGCATAGAGAAGATCAACTGCTCTTTGTCTAACACTTACATCACGTTCGGTCTGAAAATTAAATTAAATTGGTCAATAAAAATGAAAAATAATCTTTCAAAGCTGTAAAACTTACCTTGAGAGCGTTGATAACAGTTTCTTGATGCTTCTTGACGGCATCATGAGAAAACTCAGAGGTTGCGAGAAGACACATACTTTCCAGGGCTAAATACCTCAGATTGGTTTCGCGATGTTGAAGGAATGTTCCAAGTTGATTACATGCACGAACTAGTAAGTTTGCCTCACTATCCATGTGAATGATAAGACTAATGGCTTCGAATAGCACGGCATTTTTAGCATTGGAATGTTGCACTTTTTTCGACTTGGGTGGTTCTTGTGCTTTATTCAGAATGGTCTCGAGACATTCATTCAAACGACCTCGGACACCTGGATCGTCAGGAGGAGGATAATTTTGAAGAAGTCGTAGAAGCTTAACAGAAAGCCATGGAGCTGGCACAAAATAATAAGTGTAATCTTGAAGATCAGTATAAGAAGCTGTTACAACACGACTTAAACGTGAAACAGCTAAAGATACACAATTCTTGTATTCATCAGGATTCTTTTTGACCAGGTTCTCAATTAAGCTCACTGAGGCGGTTACAACGCCCTGGGAATAGAAGTAAAAAAAGATAACTCAATGAATCGGGATTATCTTGGATGCATTTTAGATTCTTACCATGTGTTGGTCATTGAGAAGATGAATAATACGTGATGTCCATTCACCACTTGGAGATATGTCTGGCATTGTCCGATACAAGCGAAGTAAACAGAGAGCAGCACTTTGTTTGACTACATCAATTGTCTCCCTAGGTAGATAAAATTGACAAGAATACGGTTTAAAATACTGATCCAGGAAAAGCCTTATGATCTAATAAATAAAGATTGAGCATCTAAATATTGTCTTAATTTTATTATTACCCAGATACTAAAAGCTTTGGTATTTCATTGCCAAATGTTTCTGCCATCTCCCTGCTACCAATGTTGGCGATGCATTGCAGAGCAAGATTAACGTGAACTGGATTACGAGAAGAAAGATCATTCTTGATTGACTGAATGATTAACTTCATCAATTCGTTGTTTGCGTTCATCAAAACCGATATAAATAAATAGCCCTGCAAAAAAAGAGGAACAATAAGGTTGATTAATCAACCAAAGATAAATCCGAATTTATCAGTACAGCTAGAGAGAAAGAGGGCCGCATCTGATTTCTAAACTAATGGTAACAATTAAATTAGATATACCAATAGAAAAGAATAATAGAAAGATGGAGGAAAAGGGGGAGTATCCAGTGAATGAAGTCTACTCTAAAGATTAAAATGACAAGAGTTGAGCAAACCAGACTGTTAATGGGCCCTGTAAGCTAAATTCAAAAAAACTGCTGATTCCTCAGTCCATTTGTATATTTACAGGAAATCTTACTTACTATTTGTTTCTCAGAATACTTATTGGAACTTAACAAATTGACTGCTTCCATGTGACCAAAGTCTATGTCATGTCCAAGAAGAAATATAAACAATAATTTGCAAACGTATTTCTTTTTCTGATAGCCATCAAGAGTCCGATCCCCTTTAAACTTATTTCGAATGTTAGCTAACTCTTTATTTATCCTCTTGATTTCCGCCTCTTTACTTTTACCTGTCAATCAATAAAAAATAAATATTAAATTAATACCAAGAGAGTAAAAAAATGGATAAAATTAAAAGAAAAATGAAACATTATTTCTACTGAAAACATAAGAAATAAGGTAAGATTAATGAATCAAAAAAAAAAGATTCAATGTCAAAATTGGTTTCACTAGAACTTACAATTTCTAATGTCCGTTATGAAAACCGCTAGACCTCTCATGCCATCCCCACGAACCGGTGCCATAATTGATTACCAAGGTAGAGACGAATCAAATGATGATCAAATACCAATGAGAGGTGGAAAAATAATTGAACAATCGTTTAAATGAATAAGGAGGAATCCAAAGAGTAAAGAAGTATACTGCTTTATACACTGGTTTTAACCAAAAATATCAAGCCGAGAGATGTCGCTATAAAAATGAGAAAAAATAATAAAAGCGGAATTTTTAAATATCTTTAATAAAATAAATTAAACCAAGCAATTAAAATCTTTGCGACAATTTAATTGTTGAACCATTTATAACTTAACAGTTATTATAAGTTAAGGTTTTATTTTTACTATAAACAATTAACTGTAGCAATAATAAAAGGTAATTTTTAATTTGAGACGAAAAGTTGTTCACTAGCGCCTCTAGTGGAAAAATGCAACCTCTTTGCTCTTTACTTCATCGGTCTTTCAATCAAATGAAGCTGCATAACTAGAATGCAAATTTTTGTAATTCAATATCTCGTAATACCAGCAAGCACTGGAGAAACCTGTAAAAAATCAATAAAACCAATCTGAACTTTAAGGTTCGGTACAACCTTATCGTTGATTCTAACTAGACAAGAGAAAAGTTTAATCATAACTGATCGATAAATTTTGATATTGAACTGCACTCAATGAAAACAACGTTCAACAACGAAGTCAACATTCAGTTAAAATGTTTAATCGCGACAAATATTAAAATGAAGAAATTGTGATAGGAAGAATGGCTAAAAACCATGCAATTAAGAGTTGAGATTTGATGTAAGCGCATAAGAATGAATTTTAGTCAAGCTCAGATAGAACGCTGAATATTACAAAAGTACAAATGTAATAGTAAACTAAGGTTTAAAATTATTATATTTTTGAAAAAATTGATTGTCGAAGTTTTTTTTCAATTTACGGATAGTTTCCCTGTTTTTAGTGAGTAATCTGCAAGTTTTAGGGCGCATTTTAACGGCATGTAAAAAAACAATCCTTTCACTATGTTACATACCGGTTATTTTGTGTTGTATATGCAATACAAAAAGAACGTTGACGATAATACTCAATGACAGTAATTACTGGAAAGACACGATCAACACAATTAACACATTTATACACAAATCGACACAAATGGGCAAAAACGGTAAAAATAAATATCTTTCAAATTTAGACTCTATGGGTTTGTAAGAACATGAGTCCATTTTTACGCTTCAAAAGTTTCTTTGATAGAAAGTTTTCGAGAAAATCGAGGTCAAAGTCGAAACTTCAATTGCTTTTTTTACAACTGCGCGACCAGATTTTTTCATGAAACTTATTTATGTGATGTAGCTTTTGATGATCAATCAGAAAATGCATTTATACTGAGAAATAGAACTTTTCATTTTCTGTAAAACAAACTAACTTTCAGTTAAACCGATCGTTTTCTGTGACGGTATGAGTTAAAGGCCAGAAACTAAAAATTTGTCGATGAAAACTGTTAGGACACATCATGTATTAAATACTTTTTTCAATTCATCAACAGTTTTCTTGCTTTTGGCCTTTGGTTTAAAAACTTTGAACCTTAATATTTGGAGAATGGTAGCACCTACAGTCATCAATCTTTCACCAAACATTAGATTTCATTATGGGCTATAATGTGTTGGAATATCAAATTATTCAAGACCGTACGAAAAAAATTATAGTTAAAAATTGAATGTTTACCAAACACAAATCTTATTCATTAGAAGGATCTTCATTATTAAATGACCTAGCTCAGATTTATTGAGTATTCAGTCATATATTGTTATAGTTCATGATAAAATCTAACGTTAATCCTCGTTTGTACCCGAAATGGCACCGAAATATGTTGGAACAGCGTTTGGTTTTTCAAATACATTGACCAGTGCTTCTGGTTTCAATTCAGACTTTAATCTTTGTATCTTTTATTTTTTCAGACTGAATCAGTAAGCAAATGGAATCTAGTGTTTCATGTCGTTGCTGGTCTTCAAGTGGTAGGAATACTTATATTCATTACTTTTGCCACTTCTGAACCACAAGCTTGGGCCACTATTGATGAAGATAATGACGAGGAAGAGGAAAATGACAGAAAAGACGTTCCTCATCAACTTCGAGCATAAAAAATCGAATGGTAAAAACACTGTTTTTGGTAAAGTTTGGATGGAATGGATGTTGTTAAAGCAGTTGAACAATTGGCCACTGACAGTGAGGATAAACCATTCACAGAAGCAAAAATTGTTGATTCAATGGTTATCGATGCTGATGAAATGATCACCATAAGGCAGTGAAAATTTACCGAATAGTTCAAGAGATCTAAATATTTATCTGTTTAATTGTTTCAGTTTTCTGCCCGAAACAGCCGAGAATACAAAAGTTGTAATGCATAGGTTATTATTAATAACACCAAATAAAACACAATTATAACATTGATGCACAAATTGAAACAAATGGGTAGACACGGGTAAAAACAAATATCTTATAAATTTAGACTCTGTTAGTTTGTAGAGACATAAAAACTGAGTCCATTTGTGCGCTTCAAAAGTTTCTCAGATGAAAAGTTTTCAAGAAAATCGAGGTACAAGTTGAAACTTCGATTGCTTTTTGTACAATTGTGTGAGACAGTTTTGTTCAAGAAAATCATTTTTCTAATTTGACTTTTACTGGCTAACGAGAAAAGGCACTTATTTCGTGAAATAGAGCCTTTCTTTTTCTGTGAAACTAATTAGTTCGATTTTTATTCAAACCGATCGCTTTCTGTGACCATAAAAGTTAGAGAGCTGAAACTTATCATTTGAACATTAAACCTTTTGGTACACATTATGGTTCAAATACTTTTTTCAATTCATCAATAGTTTTCTTGATTTTGGCCATTGCGCTTAAAACTTTATGCCTCGATATTTCGAGTATGGTAGTACCTACAGTCATGATTCTTTGATTAATTAAATTCTTTACTAATTAATAACCTAATTCAGTTTGAATACTCTCTATTAGCGCATTTATGGCATGATGTTTGGATTGTAAATGAACGAGTAACAAGTTATTTAACAAAACAAACTCATATCAACCCATTTCTTGGTAAATAAACCAATTTTCTGGTTACACTTTCATTTATAATGCAAAGAGTGCTGCCAAAGAGTCGAGCATTTGATGCTTTGTAGTCACATGAAAACATGAGTCTATTGATACTATTAAATGCTTCGTCCGATAGATATTTTTCGAGATAATCGAGGTCAAAGTTGAAACTTCGATCGCCTTTTGCTTAGTTATGGAAGCAGATCTTTTCATAAAACTCATTTCACTTATGTAACTTTTTATGAACAACCAAGAAAAGGTCTTATTTTGAGAATTAGAACTTTTATTTTTCGTTAAACAGGTTAGTTCGATTTTGAGTGAAACCGACCTCATCTTGTGACTTAATCTGATTTAAAGAGCTGAAACTTATGCTTTGTTCATAAAAATTGTTTGCTAACAATATTATTAATAATCAAATACTTTTTTCAATTTAGTAAAAGTTCTTTTTATTTTGGCCATTAGACTAAAAACTTTGCGACCCGATATCTCGAGAATCGCATCACCTAAAATGATCATTCATTCACCAATTTAATTCCCTACTAATTGCTGATTCAATTCAATTTAAAAACTTTCCATTAGCGCATTCTATTCTTGATATTTGGGTTGTAAATGCACTGAAAACAACTTATTTCATTAAACAAAACTCAACTAAACCCATTTCTTGCTAAATAAACCAATTTTCTGGTTAAACTAACAACTCAAATACAAAAAGTACTACTAAAGGCTCGAACATCTGGTCTAAGAGCTGAGACTTGGTTAGTTTGTAGGGACATAAAAACTTAGTTCATTGGTACATTTAAATGCTTCATCCGATGGACGGTTTTCGAGATAATCGAGGTCAAAGTTAAAACTTCGATCGCCTTTTCTCCATCTATGGAAGCAAATTTTTTCACGAAACTTATTTTACTGAAGTGTCTTTTGATGACCAAACAGAAAATGGTCTTATTCTGAGAAATGACATTTTCTTTTTCCGTAAAACAGATCAATGCCAATTTTCAATCAAATCGATCGTTTTCTGAGACCGAAATTGTTAGAGAGCTGAAACTCATTATTTGTCCATAAAAATTGCTTTCTTACTTCATGGATTGAATAATTTTATCAACTCATTAACAGTTCTCTTGATTTTGGCCTTTGGTTTAAAAACTTTGAACCTCGATATTTTGAGAATGGCATCATCTACAATATTCATTCTTTCCCTAAACATAATGGGCCATAAACATTCATTATGGGCTTAACTGCATGTGAATGTATGCCGACCAATATCTGAGCTAGTTCATTAAATAATGAAGATCATTCTAATGCATAAGATTTGAGTTCAACTTTATAAATTAAGTCTCAAATCTGACAACCTAAGTAATGCGGTGCTATAACTTTTTTCGTGGAATCTTGAATGCTTTGTTATTTCAATGCATTATAGCCCATGCTAAAATCTAATGTTAGGTGAAATAATGATAGCTGTAAGCAATGCCATTCTCTAAATATCGAGGTTCAAAGTTTAAAGGGTAATGGCCAAAATCACGAGAACTGTTGATGGGTTGATAAAATTATTCAATCCTTGATGTAAGCAAGCAATTTTTATGGACAAATAATGAGTTTCAGCTCTCTAACTCTTATGGTCACAAAATGATGTCGGTTTGATTGAAATTTCAATTTGATCGGTTGCACGGAAAAAGAAACTGTCATTTCTCAGAATAAGACCATTTTCTGGTTGGTCATCAAAAGTAGCAGCAGAAAAATCAGATTTATGAGAAAATCTGCTTCCATAACTAAGCAAAAGGCGATCGAAGTTTTATCTTTGACCTCGATTATCTCGATATCTGTCAATCGGATGAAGCATTTAAAAGTACCAATGGGTACAGATTTTATGTCCTTACAAACTCGCCAAGTCTCAGCTATTTACAGAAATTTTCGAGCCTTCAGAAGTACTTTTTGCATATCATTTGTTAGTTTTACCACAAAATTGGTTTATTTACCAAGAAATGGGTTTAAAAGAGTTTAGTTTGTTGAATAAGGTGTTTATTGTACATTTACTACCCAAACATCATGCCATAAATGCGCTAATGGAGAGTTATTAAGCTGAATTGGGTTATTAATTGGTAAAGAATTAGATTAATCAAAGAATGATGACTTTAAGTGCTACCATACTCGAAATATCGAGGTTCAAAGTTTTGATACCAATGGCCGAAATCAAGAAAACTATTGATGAATTGGTAAAAGTATTTGAACCATGATGTGTAACAAAAGTTTTTATGTACAAATGATGAGTTTCCGCTCTCTAACTCTTATGGTCACAGAATGAGATCGATTTTATTGAAAATTAGCATTGATCTGTTTTACGGAAAAAGAAAATGTCATTTCTCAAAACAAGACCATTCCTTGTTTGGTCATCAAAAGACACTTCAGTAAAATAAGTTTCGCGAAAAAATCTGCTTCCATAGCTGGAGAAAAGGCGATCGAAGTTTCAACTTTGACCTCGATTATCTCGAAAAATATCTATCGGACGAAGCATTTAATAGTATCAATAGACTCATGTTTTCATGTGTCTACAAAGCCTCCGAGTCTCAACTTTTAACTCAAATGCTCGAGTCTTTGGCCGCACTCTTTGCATTATAAATGAAAGTTTAACCAGAAAATTGGTTTATTCACCAAGAAATGGGTTGATATGAGCTTGTTTTGTTAAATAACTTGTTACTCGTTCATTTACAATCCAAACATCATGCCATAAATGCGCTAATGGAGAGTATTTAAACTGAATCAGGTTATTAATTAGTAAAGAATTGAATTAATCAAAGAATCATGACTGTAGGTACTACCATACTCGAAATATCGAGGTTCAAAGTTTTAAGACCAATGGCCAAAATCAAGAAAACTATTGATGAATTGAAAAAAGTATTTGAACCATAATGTGTACCAAAAGTTTTTATGTACAAATGATAAGTTCCAGCTCTCTAACTCTTATGGTCACAGAAAGCGATCGGTTTGAATAAAAATCGAACTAATTAGTTTCACAGAAAAAGAAAGGCTCTATTTCACGAAATAAGTGCCTTTTCTCGTTAGCCAGTAAAAGTCAAGTTAGAAAAATGATTTTCTTGAAAAAAACTGTCTCACACAGTTGTACAAAAAGCAATCGAAGTTTCAACTTGTACCTCGATTTTTTCGAAAACTTTTCATCTGAGAAACTTTTGAAGCGCACAAATGGACTCAGTTTTTATGTCTCTACAAACTAACAGAGTCTAAATTTAAAAGAAATTAGTTTTTACCCGTTTTTGCCCATTTGTGTCAATTTGGGCATCAATGTTATAATTGTGTACATTTTGCTTTTTTAGTGTCAACCTTTAATAACATTTAACATGTTAACATTTCTTAAAAGTGAATTAAAAAAATGATCAAAGATGTAATGAATTAAATTAATTTTATTAGTTAAGTTTAATTGAATTTTACAGAGGAAAAAATATTGCTTCCAATACTGAGGTGCGATTCTGTATTGATATTTACAATAAATGCATTAAAGAGTAAACTCAAGATATTACATAAATGATGCTAAAGGTCTGGAAGGTAGTCTTTGTTTGCTTGATTGTTGCAAACATTTTGATACATTTTCTTTATAACAAAACGAACAATTTATAATTTGCAAGAATTTCTGATATAATTTGATATAATTTGAGGATGGATTTGATATTTTGCTCAACATTGGTTGAAAATAATTGTTTAAGTTGTTCCAATTTCCTATTAGATGTTGTCTTTAAATATACTTTTTCACTTGAAAATGACCAGTTTCATGTTTCCAATTTACAGTTGAAAGTATATGTTCATATGAATAGATGACCAATTTTGAGAGGAATGTTTATATGTGACAGATAGAATGATCACAATCGACAAAAAAATGTTAATATGTTAAGTTATCATGGTTATGTTGATAGGGTTGGTCAGGCCGTTTCACTAACCAAATTTAGGCTTGCTGTTGATCTGAAAATTGATGTAAACAAATAGTTCAGTTAAACAGCTTCACAGGTTTTCAATTTCATTGAGTCAATTTAAAGCTGATTATTGTTGACAGATTTTCCAACAATTTACTGTTGAATATAATTTTTACAGTATTAATAGACTATAGATGTTTTCCTTTCCTTGAAAAGAGCACGTCATATGCAAATATATGATGAACAATTAATAAATAATTTCTTGAATTTGTTGTTCCCAAAAGAGTTTGGAGGATCAAAATATATGACTTGAAAATAAGCCATCATGGCGAAGAAAATTATCCATTTTAAGATATTTGTTTCTTTTTCAGTTACTCCATGAGATCAGGTTATGAGGCAGATTGTAATCTTTGTTTATCCAAAAATTAAGTAGATGTTATCTATGAGTTAAATGCTATATTATTCAAGATGATTAACGGTGAAAAAAGAATCAAACAACAAGAGAACAAATAACGTAAATTTGATAACGTAGTATATATATATAGTTGAAGGAATTCCAATATTAAAACTTGAACATTAATGTACAAACTAAGTACATTGGAATGGTTTCCAGCCATTCAATTTCAACTCATCAAATCTGATATTGAAATAGTTTTGGGTCACCAAGATAATTGAGTATTTAGAGCTGATAGGGTGTCTTAGAGACGAAAAATGTGAAAATTGATTCCATCCATATTAATTTGAACAAACGTTAAAATTTCATGAAACCACCACCAAATTTAGTAGCAATGTTACCACTTAAGTTGCCAGTAATTCTTCCGATACCGCCGATTCTACCCATTACGTTGGATGTTGCATTTTGGATTCGACTAACATATGAACCATCTGGGTCTGAATCACCACGAGACATTGTTGATACCCGACGAGCTGATGTTGCTTGGCTTCCATTGGCCATTTCCCTACATAAATGTTGAATAAATTGAAAACAATTAGCAATTTGAATTTAAGCAATATTTATTAAGAAAAGAACTGATATTTACTCACGAATCATCATCTTCTCGGACACCTTCATTGTTGACCGATGCGGCAGCTTCTTCCATTTGAATACGAGCAATAACAGTTTGATAATTTTTAGAATTTACCTTGTCTTCTTCAAAACCTTGAAGCTCAAAATCTGAATACATTTTCTAGAGGAAATAGAAATAAGAAGAAAAAGCGAGAATAAGATGAATGTAAATATATTTAATAAGGCGTGTTTCAATTGAGTTGTCGCGAAACAGAAGACTAAATGAGCGCCATTGGCTCTAGGTAAGCCCACAATTAGATATACAATACTAGAAAACAACGTCTATTGAGTTTCGACTCTCACTTCAATTAAATAATTAGACATTGAAATGTCTCAATATATGGTCTTGTTTGCTCGAATCTATTATCTAATTGTGTGTTTATCTGGAGCCAATGAAACTCATTTAGGTTTCTGCTTTTGTAACAATTTATTTGAAGCACCCTTTAGTTAGAACCTTTGAAGGTGATATGTTAATATTTACCTTTACAATATTGGACAAAGCTGACAATTGAACAGAATGTAATCCATGGTCAATCCTTTCGGAAAGCCAGGAACAAATCATATTAATCTGGTTAGTATACCATTGCTATCGATTTGTATAAACAAAGTGATACCAAAACAAAGTGCATAAAAATGGAGGGAAAAGACAGAGAAAGGCGAATAGATGTGGAAAGGAAGAAAAAGGCATAAAAGATAAAATTATTACTTCATGGATTCACGTATTAATCAACTGGACAGACTGTAAATTACATCAACACATTAAATGAATATACACATGGTTGACTGAATTTATTAAAATAATTACTTTTTTATCAATAGAAAGTAGGAAAAAACAAAACAATAGACTTACCTCAAGAACATGTAAAACCCATAACTCATCTGCAATCTTTTGACGTAATTGCTCTAAATTGTTACGCACAAAGTTAACATAAGATTTGCCAATTTCTTTGCCACTGCTCGAGACTCCTTGTTTATACTGTTAATTAAAGTAAAGGAAAAAAGATGAAAATAATTAATTAGCCCATCGAACAATACAAAACAGATTAACAAAGTAAATTAAATTTGCAAAGAAAGTCGAGTTTGAGATCCATTAAGATTGTCTAAAAAATTTTCATCTCGAGATTTGACAATACAGGGAGCCATCTATTGGTAAAATAATAAGTATTTCAATGGTAAAGATAAAATTAGCTGAAGATTTAAAATTTCAATTTAAATTCCCATTTTGGAAACAGATTATCATCATGTTAGAAAATAATCCTACATCTCAATGGAATTAACAGAAATTTAAAGATGGCAACAAATTAACCAGTAAAAAGAGGTAAACAACGAAAAGAAGTCAAGAAAAGGATTTGAAAAGTTGATCTTATGGTTTGAATATGATTGGATGGAATGGTATTTACTAAGCTTGTTGATTTTATGGTTAATTCATTCTGCGGAAAAGAATAGACATTAACATAATCAAAGAATAATTATCTTGAAGAATGAACATTAATGAGGAAAATTCAAAGCAAAATTGAAGGAAACTCCAAGCTAATCCTTATTTGCAGAAGTAAATAAACAATTGACCATTGAATTGTACAAGTATAGAGCAAGTAATTGTAATAATACAATTTCTTATGATATTTATGGTGATTTTCATGAAAATATATTCAGTTTTAAGGCATAGTTTCTGATTATGGAATCAGCTTCAGTTTCAAGAGCCAGCTTAAAGTAAAACTAGGAGTAAATTTTTTTTAATATTACATGTTTGCTCAAGCAACATCTAAAATGGGTAAATGGTATTATATATTAAATTTTTGCCAGTGAAAATAAACTAACCAAGGAAGATAATAAAAATGTAGTTCTCAGGTTATATTCCATAAACTTTAAGGCCTAAGGAAAACACAATATTATAAAGTAATCATAATGATGATAATAATAATGATAATATGCAGGTATACTGTAAACAGGTTATTTCATGTTCATCTTTTTTCACCTTTCATTTGAGAATATTTTCAAAATGAAAATGTAATGAATACAAGAGAAGGAATTCGCCTCGTGAATAAATTAATGATGGTCATAGAGTAGGAAAAGGATTGAATCTTGGTCCATATGATTTCTTCAGCAAACATGATAAAAATGTTACGTGACTCTAATCCTAATTTGTGAAATTGGATGAGAAAAAAGGAGAAAATAAAATGAAGAAACCAAAAATTTATCAACAAACTTATTTGTTCATAAGGAAATGAATGAAACCTCTCCCTGGATCTTGGTGTATAATGTTTTAGGTTTGATCGATTTGCATTATCCTATTCAGTGAATCCTAAAGATGACTTTTATTAATTGTCTTAAGGCCCAGTAGCCTAAAACATTAACTGTTGTTATCAATCAATCAGTCAACATTGACTTTTGTCAAAATATCTCAAGTGATCGATGCTATGCAATGTTTGTATCCAACTCACAGTTATGGTTAATATTGGGGCGAAAAAGGTTCCTTCATCATATCGCGATAGTTTACTCAAAGTGGCTTCCAAAATTCCGGTTAACTGAAAAATTGAGACAAAATTATCATTAGCAAACTAAAACTGAGTTTGGATATTAACTTACCTTGGCAATTATTCCTGTTTGCATTTCAATTACAGCTTTGTCTACCAATTGATCAATTTTACTGTGATATTGATGCTATAATAATGGACAAGAATAATCACGGTTAATAATAAGCGGTTTTTATTTTACATGAAAATTCACTTATCAAGTTGATTCAAGCAAAATAAGCTTTTTCTTGTTTGCTTATTGAAGCAGTGTACAGTATACTGTATATTGTTATTTTTTTTGATCAAATTCATAAACAAACCTCAAATTTGCGTTTAAAAGACCAATTTTAAAGTCTAAAAATGTTTGAAACAATATTTGATCAAATTAAACTTGCTAATCGCCACAAACTTGTCAATAGATCGAGATGGTAATGTTTCTAGGAGAGGTGAAAAAATCTTTGTTGTCTGAATCAACCTGATGTTTTATATTCTGATTTGGGTCAAGTGAATTACTTACGACATCGCCATTTTCAAATGTACACAATTTGAGTGACTGGTTTTTGGTTTCAAGAACAACGTTAATCATTGCACACATTTCGGATGGGATTATATAATCAGTTGGATTACCAAATCTGGTTCCCTTTTTTTCCCAATTTTGAAAGGCAGCCAAGGTGCGATTTAAGCATGACTCTAACATATCACAGGCCATTAATTTGAGCCTTTGTTCCAAGTGGTTTGCAAATACTTCATCAGGCCAGAATAAATCTCTTATAAAATCCTGAAGAGCAGATAATTTCCAGAATAACTCTTCTGATGTTGAACAACCTACAATCCTACAAAGAAATAAAAACAAAGAAAAATGTTAGCAAGATTATACAAAATCTAAAGCTACTTTTATACTATTTTTTATTCGGATATTTTCACCAAACTGAACTTCGAAAAAAGATCATCTCAAGAATAAGATAAATGCTTCAAATATTTACCGTAATTGATTTGCTTAATAAATTTATTCACAATACTTGATTGCAACCACTCAAAAATGGTAAGGTTAGCATGCTATTTACCAATTAACCAGAAAGGGTTGGGTCTTTTTTCAAGAATTACAATGAAGTAACCAAAAGGATAAAAGTCACAAATTAAGTCATTCCATGAATTAAGAAATGATTGAGTAGTTTGTTCAAATTAAGATTAGTTGATTACCAGTTGATTTGAAGAGACTAACATGAACTTAGTATAACATTCAATGATAATTGATGAACCCGAGCTTCCATTAAAACTAGACATTATACTTAAACCTTTTCATCACAAAATGGGAAGCTTATTAACATATTAATAGAATAATCATCCAAAGATCAATTTAACATGATAAAACTAGAACATTTTCCAATAAATGTTGATATAACCAATTAAAAATAAATTTAATTCACTATAAAAAACAATGGCGCAAAAATAAGACGATGATTGATTGATAAGATCCGTGTAATGAATCCCAGTCCTATCTTATAAATATGGATAAAGCGAGGGAAAAACGAAGTAACCAGATTAAAGGTTAAGAATAGAAATGGGTTAAGGATTATCGGAAACGAATAAGAACTGTAAGAATATTTATATAACAATCATGAAAATAGATAACTGAACGTAATTCATCAAAGAACAGGAAAATTACAAGATTATGAGCAAAAGATGAAGACTAAACCATTTCTTTAACCATAGAAGCGTTAAAATTAAAATCGATCCACAAATAAGAGCAAAGCTTCAACAATTCCCTAAATTATAATTTACTCATTCAAATTAGAAGCAATTTAATCAAACAAATCAACTCGATAAATAAATGCTATAAAAATAGGTGATGACAGCTCTGAAGTTGGGAAGAAGCAAAAAACCGATAACTCAAACATGAGCAAAAAACATCTTTCGAGTTAACCCAAAAAGCTAGGATGACAACAAGGCAACCCAAAAAATTTGAGATCCCTAATTATAGTGATCAATAAGTCAATCAACTGGACTTAAATGAGCTTAATAATGTATTAACTGACTGCAAGTTAACACAATGATGAGCTTTACACAGTCAATGGAACATCCAGAACAAAACGATTTTTTGGGGTAAAAGTAAAAATGTTTACCCTTTGAGATCCCATTTTTCCTTCTCAAAGCCTTTATGGAGACTTTGAGCGATGGAAGACTCCATCAAGTCAACATATCGAACCACTTGAGGTGCAAAAGTATCACGAAGATGAGAATGGAATCGACCTCCGCAAAGATTTTCTGGAACAAACATAAGAAACAGATTAATAATAGTTACAATCAATTTACAATTAAGACACTTGAACTGATACCAGAAAATAAATTTTAAAGGTTACAGTTGCCTTTATTTTCACTTGGTACAACCTTTGAAAAAAATGTAACCCAATGATAATTATTTTGAACCATCAACTCACAATTAACTAGATTGTAAGTCAATCAATTTGATTGATTACTGTACTAAGGAATAGTGATAGTAATAGGAAAAATAATGAAAAGAAGTAAAACAAGATGAATTGCCATTGAAATAGTGAAGTGAATTGTTGGATAAAAAAAGCAATAGATAGAAGAAAATGTTGAGATGAAATTGTCAGAACGAAGAAGAGGATGATTTCATGATATTGAGTAATGCTGATGATGAAGATAAAGGCAATAAAATATGAAGAAAATTTTTGTGACAAAAATATCCTAAATGATCAGCTCAAATTGATAATGAAAAAGATTGTGAGTACAATTTAAGCTGAAGAGTTTTCCCTAAAAAACCAAGAAATTACGGTAAAAATATTATAAAATAATCGGAGCTGTTTCAAGCAATCTAAACTAATTATGACATTAAACTTCAAATAGAGAAAAGCAATTTGAGCTTTTGAGCTGAAGAAGGGTTCAAGAAATTCATTTTCAACTTTATTGATAAAATTGATATAACTGTTCATCAAATCATCTGTTAGGTTAGCAAGGATCAAGTTTTTGCCTTTTTTCATCTTTGGGTTAAATTCAAAATTCAATTCAAGTGTCTTTCAATTTTGAAAATATCTGAAAATATTCTTACCATCAACTCTCAGATAATTGTTAAGAACTTGAAAAAGAGGGAAACTTTCCCATGTATCAGGTAACTGTTCATCCAGAATGGTGTTCATATCCACAGCAAAAAGTGACCAGAAAATCTCACAATGTTCAACTAGAAGATCCGAGAACCAAGCAAAAGCCTTGTTTTGGGTGAAAAAAATGACAAACAAAAAACGCAAAAAAGAGGTTAATAAAGACGTTAAGCAATGGCACTATTTTCATCACAAAACAAGACACTTACGACCTCCTATTTAATTTGATAGCACAACAAGCAACAGACAACGATATTTGATGATGCACAATAATACGGGAAGAACAGGAGATTTTGCGATTTCAAAAGGGTTACAATATTTTTGGGTAAAATGGGTTTTACAATAAAAAGGTTAAGGAGACACAGAGAGAAGAGGATTGACAATAATTAAGCATTGGCCACAAAGGAATGGTTAGCAATGGAAGGGTAAATTGGAATAGAGAAGAAGAAGATTGAACAATTGTAAGTATCTTTGATTAGTTGATTGTTTCTTGATTAAAGTTGCCCAAAGAGTAAAATGAAATGAAAAAAATGAATCTTTATTTTCAAGTTAAACTATTGATGAGTGAAGGAAATATTTACAAATGTTATTGCTATTTCTGGTATTTTGTATATAAATATTGTAAAAGGCTGCAAGGCTAGAGTTTTAAATTTAGTCAATCGTTTTGAAGGTTATCACGAACCAATTTACCTGAACTTTTATCATTCAAGTTACATGAGAATGAGGAAAAAAAGGTCACTGAATAAGTTGAAAAACTAGGAAAATAACCTCAAGAGATGAACATGAAAATGAAAAGTCTTTGTTTGCTTTTTGTTCACTTTTCATAAATTTTTCAATATTTGCTGTTACCCTTCAAGTAAAATGATCAAAGATTGATTGTGATTACAAATTGTTGGATTATTCAGACAAAATAATTTCACAGATAACATCAAGAAAAGTGGTAAAATGATATTTTCAGATGTTTTTTAATGTAAATGAGATGGACTCTTGCAATGAAAATAATCTGTAATACAATATATTGACTCAATACCAATGTAAATGTCATTTAACCAGATTTGTTTACCCAATGTAACCAGAAAAGTCAAAAATAAAGATTCACTTTTTAATTGTAAACTCGGGCAACTTGGAGGGTTTACTGATCATTGATTAACAATTACTTACCCCACTGAAAGCCTGATGAAGATTCATTTTTGAATAGGAAAAAAGATTGATGGGAAAAGATGGTGAAACGGAAAAGGTAATATCATGATGAAAATGATCAACAGAAAGGATGATTATCAAGAGGATTGATTGTTAATTTTGTTACAATGTTTTCGATTCGATTTTTTCTTCTGTGTTTTTTTTGGTGCACATTGATATACGTTTGAGAGGACAACAATTGCCGTGCCAAATGAAAAAAAGGTTTACAGTCAAGAGACACAATTAACGAGCAACAACAATTAACAATTAAACAGATAAATGTTTCAACCTTTTAAGGCTCCATTAAACCCGGTTAACATTTAAAGTTAATCAATCAAAAGAAGAGACAAATTTTCTTGTTCCATGTCAACTGGGATTCATTGAGAGTTTCATTCTTGATATTAATTGATTGATTAACTTTTCACCTTTTTAACCTTTTTAATTACAAGTTAATTATCATTTTCTTACCTCAGCATAATATTCGTTGTTCTCTTTGATTAAATCAACACAAAGTTCAGCCAGTCGAACCAATTCCTTTAATTTAGCTGTTGCAGTCAAATTTGGATCATTAACAATTTCTAGACAAATTCAAGATACAATTTAAGAGAAGACAATTAATACAATTTGATTGTAATTTAGCATCAATTGTGGACTTTGATATTGCTAAATGTTTTTAGTTTCTTTGTTTGTCAAATTGCTAGAAATATTTCATGTTTGTAAAATGATCAAATTGAAATTGATTAAATCATTTAATGTTGAAATTCAATGAGAAATGAAACTTATTTCCAGATCTTTTCTGTTCTTCAAAAGTTCAATTTGTCCTAAATTCATGTCCAATCTGTTATTTACATGATTTAATGGCAAATGAAAAATGAAAAGGCAAATAATCGATCATTTGAAGTACATTGACAAATGAAATATTAAAACCTTACAAAATGTAAATCAATAAAGTGTATGTAAATAACTCTATTAGACAATTGAGCTGGAAACTCGAATCTTGTAATCGATAATGAAATGAAATTTCGTAAGAGAAACTCAATAGTCATGAAGAGCTAAATTTTGATTCTAAAAGTCATTCTTTGGAAAATAAATGAAGAAATTTTTGCGGTTTCTCTTGAGTTGCTTTTGGGTTAAATCTGTTTTTAAAAATCATTTTACCTTCAATTCGTGCTTGTTCCGATATTTTGGTATAATTAACAAGAGCTGCAGTCTCAAGGCACTTTTTAATTATGGATCGAACCTCATCAGGAGGAGCTGGAGTTCGAGTGTCTTTCATTAAAACCCGTTCAAGAAGGGAAAGGGTTGCCTTAAGAGCTCCTTCAGGTCGACCAAAGGGATAACAATAGCGAAAATTGGTAACCTGATGTTCCAACAGCGAACCAAGTCGCTCCTTAATCACAGCGTACATGTCCTTTTCCTCTACCGTAACAGTGCCAATACCATCGGGTCTAATGTCAAAGGCAACCTGACCAATGGGTGGTGCACTGGTTGAGTTACCGTGAACATGAGAGGAACAGAAAGCAAAAGAGTAATGAATAAGTGTTGGGTCAATGGCCAGTCCACGTTCAGCTGCATCAAGTAGATCACTCAAGTAACACAGGTGACGGAAACAACTACGAACTCCATATCGAGCACAGTACTCATCGAGGACAAAAATTTGACCCGGTGAAAACCAGCCCAGAGAACAGTAAGGATCGTTAAGGCGAAAGTGTAAAGTTTCACTTTGAAGGAGACGGAAAAGCTCGGAATGGGAAAAGCGACACGGATCTGAAGAGATAAACTCATCCATTCCATGTTTACGGGCACGATCAGCATCACCTTGAAGCCGTGAAATGGTCGAGTTTTTGGACGATTGAACTAAAGGTGTAGGCTTGTGTGCCTGACCGGTGGCTCGGTATAACGCCATAACCCAAAGGTGACACTCGTTTTCATCTTCACACGCAAATATAACCGAATCACCTTCTTTAACGGCATTGAAAAAAAACTTGGGTCCTTCCAGTTCGGGTAAAGGTTCAATGTAATCAACGGTAAACCCATCCAGTTGCAGCAATTCCGTTGGATCTGATTTCTTCTCCCGATAAGAGCACATAGCAAATGTATATTGAGACACTTGGACCAGCGCATAGTAGCGTTTCTTCCACTTTTTCCAGACACCTTTACCTTGGCCAAATAAGAAGCCACAGTGTTTCAAGTTTTGCGGTTTATCCATTCGGACAATTATCTTTATTGTCAGATCTTGATCGGGCGCATTTTTGGGAACAATCATTTTGTACCATTCAGGAGCTTTTGTACTTAACGGAGTCGGTTTGATAGTAACTTTACCCAATTCTTGATCATCTAAACTCAATATTCCCGGCCTTTCAGCATACAGTTTAACCTTAACTATTGGCAATGGATGGCAAGTTGTAAAGTCACCCTGAGTATCCCATCTGAATGGACAGTAAAAGGAAAAGTAAATTTGGTTAAAAGTATAAATAAGGGAAAATGTAACTCTAATATTCAATCATTTAACCAAAGAACCAGAAAAATATTGAATCAGGTTTTCTGGTTTACAAAGGTTGACTTTTTACGATTGGATTGAAGGTTAAGTGAATCCATCTAAACATCATTAAAGACAATGTTTCAACGCTAATCAACAATTTATACACTAATTAAGTCACGAATCAAAATGAAGGATGAATACCAAATACTGAATATCACAAGTTACTTACAATGGTTTTTGGGCTTCTGCATGATCGGTTTGCAGTTTTTCACTTCCTTCAACCTCCATTGTACAGTAAACAATCCTAGTTGGTATCAATGATTTCAGCCCACGAATTTCCATAACAACAACTTCGATGGTAAATTGTAGGACAACATCAGTTTTGGAAAGGGTCGTTTCCGTGTCTTCACCCAGACCATCTCGAGCAATTGAAGCTTGATTTCTGTTTAATTTAAAATTACAAAACACAGCAAAAAAAGAGAGTTACAATTCATCCGAATATCAGAAAAAATTGAATAAAAATAATACAAGACAGACATGGAAACAAAAACAACAAAATGGGAAACAACAAGACTTGGGCAAACACAGGCAAAGACAGGCAAAATGATGGATAAATTTTGCGTATCATGAATTTACAATAAGATGACATGAAATTAGACAAGCATAACAAAACAAATTCAATCAAAATGTTTACAAAAAGGGAAAATTGATTTCTTTTGTTGACATTTGGTTTAAAGTTAACATTTTTTTCTGAGTTTTAAATCTCATTGTAAACACTTGATTGAAGTGACAAATTATATTAATCGTTGATTTACATGCGTTTAATTGTAAATAATAAGGCCTCGTAAAGAAGTGTCCATAAAGGTGAACGAAGAGTCATAAGTATTGATGAATAATCAAATTGACAGCAAATTGCTGTTGATTGTTTCGTTGAACATTTCATGCTAAAATAATGGTGAAAAAGATGAATGAGTAAAAACACTTGAAAATAATGCAATTTAAGTGAATCAATGAATATTATGCGACAATCCAATTTAACCAGATTTTGTTCATTGATTTAAAACCTGAATTAGATGTAAATTACTTTTCATTCAAGCTTCACTGACAATTAGAAGAGATTTGCTCAAGAATCATTATTTCATTGTTTACATCAACAGTTGAAATTAAAGTTGAATCAAATGTAATATTTACTTTTAAATGGAAAAATTTCAACCCACATTAGACTGTCAAATTACCTTGAACTTTTCAGGTAAAGGAATAAATGATTCAATGATAATAAGAATAATTTGCAACATTTTCATCAACATTCTTATCAACTCTTTCATGAAAAGTGTGAAAAGACTCTTTTCTTAATGTTATTTCCTAGATTATTTTCACTTTATTAAACCTTTTGTTTCTCCAATTTCATATTCAAATTGCAAATTCATTCAGGATTCCCATTAATCTGACTCTTCCAGTTTCAAGCGATTCCTATTCATGCTTTTTGTTCAGCTCATCAATAAACTTTATTGTTCAAACAATTGCATTGACACAAGAAAACACAAAAAGGGTTAAAACCATTATCGCTTTAATTTCATGATAATTTTTTGTTCGTTCAACCAACATGAACACTGTGAACTTCATTGTGAGATGAGTTTATTCACAACTTTTATGTTCAAAGCATTCGATGACAGAATAAATGAAAATAATGATTTTATCACCAAAGATTAATATTCAAATCTAACTTTTTTTTTGAATCAATTTTCGTTTGAACATTTGACGAAAGTTAAAAGGTTTTATTTGGGTTCATTGATTATCAGTGAATCAATCAAACTTGTTAAAGGTTTCAATCAAATTTCATGTTGAAAGAAAAGCTTCAACATGATGAACCAAAGCTAAACATCAAAACTGTAAAAACAAGTTTTCACCCAATCTTGAGAAAAGTGGTTTTCAATAAAATTATTCCAATCAATGGAAAGAGTTAAATCATGAAATATCTACATGAATTGAGTAACTTATATTTCCAATCGTAACGATAAATTATGTTGTCATTCAAAGTGAATATAAATCATTGATATGGAAACCTGAACTGGGAGTGAAAAAAGAAAAGGAAATTTTCATGTTTTCTGAGATTCTTTTGAATAACATTTTCGTCGATCGAAAGTGTTTTGGAGTTCAAAGGTAAAATTGTTTCGAATGGACTATTGAAAATATTTTTTGTCATTTCAATAAACAATTATCAATGTTTATCAGAATTTAATTGTAATTCAGAGTTTGTTTTGTTTTGCATTATAAGATTAAAATAATTGATAAGATGAAGAATCCCTTTTGAATAACATTATCATGATTCAGTTTGGATTGAAATGGATTCTATTAGTGAATGGTAATTGGATAAACATTTTGAGATGTAAAATAAATTCAATTTCAAGCGAATGATGATCAATGTGAAATGATGATAACGCGAAAAGGTTCCGAAATGGTTTCTCATTTAAAAGGTAAACAGAATTGAGAAGCTGATCAAAGAAAACAAATAAACAAGCAATCAAATTTATCATCAATAACTGAACAATTAATCAATAGTTGAGTGATTAATTGAGTTTCAAACGTTTTCTCATTTGAAAAGCTTCTTTTCTCATCTTCATCAACAACAGCAACAACAAAAATGATCATCAATTTGAACATGAACAACATGATAGAAGAAGAAAAAAATGAGATAAAAAAAGGAAGAGAAAAAAATTCTGAATCAATCAAACAACAAATAGACAGTTTGATATAATAATGAAGGTTGAAAATGTTGTATCAAAATGAAGGTTTCAAGTTGAGTTGGCAAAGAAGTGCAATGAAGAAGGAAAAAAAACATGATTAGATTGACTTGAAAGTAATGAGGATGAGGCAAGAGCATCCAAAAAACAACCGAGATTCTGTAGGAATTTATCTAGATTATCATGAGAATGGGAAGGTTAAGAAAAAGATGTTGCTAATCTAAATGATAACGTTAATCAGTGACTTAGTAAAATGATCGATGAGGGAAAATTAACTGTGAATAACTGATGAGACTGACTTCGAAAAGCCGATGTGTTCTGAGCGATGTTTCGATCTCAAAATTCGTTGGTTCGAAGTCTTAAAGTCTTTGGATCATTTTCAGGTTTTTTTCTCGACTCAACTTTTTTCTTTCTTGTAACTGAGATTGGAATTGATTTGTGTCTAATTACGGTATCAAGTGAATTGTTGGTTAAAAATGCGATTGTTGGACAAGTTGATTGTTGATGAAAATTGTAGGTAAAATGGATCGATGAGTGAGAAAGGGAAGAGCAAATATAACAAGGTAAGATGATTAAATGGAGGAAATGATAGGAAGAAAGAGATGATGAAGATTGGGATGAAGATGAATGAAGGTTGAATAGGATATCAAATGGTAACCAAGTGAAGTGATAATAATAATGTTCAAGAGGATGATGTTAACATTCAGTAAAAATGGAGTTAAATATCATCCTTTTCATCCTTTTCCTCATCTTCAAACAATAATAAGATGAAAAGGGCAGTTAGTGAGGTGAAAAGAGAGAACATTTTTTTGTCATCATTCTTTTCATCATCATTCTTTTCATCATCCTTTTTTCATCATTTTACAAGCCTGTAAAACTCTTAAAGGTAAAAGTCTTTTTTTCTTCTTCATCTTCTTCTTTTCCCTTGTTAATGTGAAAAAATTTCATCTCAAGTTTACTTTTTTTTGCAATCGAAAGGTGATAATGTTACCTTTTCGTGATGAACAGAATGAAGCAAAATGAAAGGTGAAAAGGCGAAAAAAAGATGATCATGGAGAGAAGCCGCTTAAATTGAAAGGGGATTGATCAAATTTCAATGAAACATTATTGTCAATTTATTTCACATTTGAATACAATTTGTACAAACAATGGGACAATGAATAGATTTCAGGACGAAAACGTTTCCCGGTGAAAGCATTCAATATTTGATCAATGAGTTTGAAAGCGATTTGTAAATTCAAGAATCAAAACCTGTCTCTATTAATCTCAGTATCCTCAGAATTGATCTTCAAAACTCAAGTTTTTTACATAATTTGATACTCGCGCCTTGACAGTGCAGTTAGTAGCAACCGGGTTGCTTGTCATACATTTACTAAGGAAATACCAAAGAGAATGAGAAATATCAATTGTTGGAAAATATTCGGTATTTCATTTCTATTTTTGTGTCCTACGTCTTATCAGATATCGAAGAGTGTCCTTCAACCTTGTGACGATTCTCGGAATCTAAGTTTCTCTTGTATCGCCAGAATACTTCAGTCAACACGGTTGGTGAACCTCTTTGTAATAATCTCCAACTTATCACTGTGATTGGAACTAATTTTGGCTAATCGATCAATCGACTCAAGTTCAACACTGTTTAAATTGTGAGATACTAAACCTGGTTGAGTCGAGAATTGTTTTTAAGACATTAGAAGCTTAGATTTGCTCATTAGACGCTATACTTTTGAGCCGATAGTCATACAGGTTTACGTGAAAATTGTCAAAAATTTAAAAAATTAATTTTCTGTTTTGAGAAAATTTGTATTCAAATGTGAATAAATCGTCAATAGAATTGAAAATATTACAGTAATACAATAAATTGAACGTCAAAAGGTTTGAGTGAATTGAGCGTCTAAAATTACTGCTGAAATTTATACAAAATTTTGATTGAATCAAATGTAACTTTGAAAGTTAATTTACTTGAGTAATTGAGAGGAAAGTGGAAAAGCAACAATTGAATCATTATTTTGGTTTACAGTAAATAAAATTGCTAAATAATGTTGCTTTTTGTTTGTGTTAACATGAAGAAACAAGAGCAATCTTTCCCATTGTCATCATGATGATGAACATGAAAAGTTTTTCATGTTTTTCCTCAGCTAAAGTTATCCTCAATCTTACAGAACAACAAGAAGTAAAAGCAGTAAAACAAATAAAGAGCAACATCTAAAAAGCAAAGATCCATAAACTTGCAAATAATTATCACTTTTTTTTCATCTCATATTAAGGTCAATCCCTACACAGAGTCAAGTTGAGTAATAATTGAATAATAATAAATTGCTTTTCGAGTGATTCGTGTAACAAAAATTGACCATCTCATTGGACCATCTCAAGAGATAATTCATGATTGATTTAGCTTCAAGTTTTCAGGTTACATTATATTCAGTGATAAGAATGGGTTTATTAAGACTGGGAGTGATTTTTTATCTTGTTCAGTTTATAGCGACCTTTTGACAGCAATGAGAGTGACAGATTTCACTGAGAAATTAATATTGGAATAGGTTGAGTTTTCATGGATTATGTTTGAATGAAATTCTGTGTTTACCTTTTTCCTTTTTTCCTTCTTCTCTTCAAAGGTTGCTTCTAAAAAAAGGATTCAAGGAATGATTTGTAAAGGTAAAATGATGAAAATTGAAAGGAAGGAAAAAGGATGAGAAAATGTGAAATGAATAAAATGATTGACTCAATGTAAATCAGTTTAATTCATGTTAACACTGCAACAGCAGTAAAGCAAAAAAAATGTAAGTTTTTTTTTCTTCCCTTTTTTATTCAATTTTCAGAACTCTTTTTTTTCAATATTCATGTTGAAACAGTTTTATGGTTAAATATTGAAAGGAAAAGGTTGAATATGCGTTCGTCAAGAGGAAAGGTTATCAAGAGCTGGGAATGTAAAATTCAAGTGAAATGTGAAATTCGTTGTAAAGGAAACAGAGTGTAAACAATGTTGTTCAGCAGCACTTAGATCAAGATGAAAATGATGGTGAAAAGGACTAAAGTGGATCAAGAAATGTATGGACAGGCTGGGAATTCATGGAGAATTTTTTACTCACAATTCCATGTTTGGAACTTTCATTTCTATTCTTGTCTCTGTTCATCTTGATGCAAAAATGGGAAACATTAAACTTGAGTCTATTCCTTTAATCATTAGCAACTTCAATAGTTGGTTCATTTTTCAATTTTTAAGTTTATTGCAACGATTCATCTTTTCATTCAAGTTTCTATTTCCATTTAATTTCATGATGAAACTGGAAAAACATTTTTCTTCAAATTGCTGCGCTTTCCTAATTTCTGGTAATTTAATCAAGTAATTATGATTAAAGATCAAATATTGTTAAAAAAGTTTTGCTTTTGTTGAAATGAACAATTGAAAGAAAAGGTTTTTCGAGAACATTTTTTTTCTCCTTCATTTTGCTCATGAAACAGATTCAAACTTACATGATGTTGATGAGTTTATTTTGTGCTGTTTTTACTTAAATTAACTTTTGTTACTGCTAATTTAATGATAATATAATGAGTTTAACAGTTCAAGGTTGAAACAATGATAAACTTTCCGAGTTTTACCTGAAATTGCAAACTTGAAATTTCCTCAGAGTTAATGTTAGTTTGTAGCTTTTTCCATGAATTTAATAAAAAATTCAAACCAATTTAGCATTCAGTTCTCAACAAAAGATTCATGGAAAGAAACTTTTCGTCGTTTTATCTATTTTCAGATTCTACATATTCTGATATTCTGATTAGTAGCAAATAGACAAACATAAGATATTGAGTTTGTTGAATCATTTGAAACACAAATCTTAGCAACCAAATTTTTCTTTACCTTCGTCAACGTTATTAGATTGCACTGAACAAAAATTGACTCGATTTTTGTGATAAATTCATTCTTCAGAGAATTTTTTCTCTCCATGTTTATGCGGCCATCATGAAGGTCTAATCGCTTAATATCAAAGTCGTTTTTATTCCTGAAAATCTGATATTTCTTCTTCTTATGCTTTCAATTCTTGACATTACTGATCAAGTTACTTCAAGAATAAAATGGTTTTGCCAAGTTATAAGGATTCCTCTTTTATTCACATAATTCAGATATATTTGCATGACCCATGTGACAGTGCAATGGAATCACTAGTCATGTAATGAGATTTAATTATTTTACAATTAGTTCGAAGGAAATATTTACATGATCCAATTATTGGTGAAGTTACAGAGTCACTTGATTAAAGTCATTTGCTGATCAATAAGCATTAGTGATTTACAATTGATGTTGAGTATTGACATGAACCAATGCAAAGCGTGTTAACTCTAATAGATCTAAATTGTTGTTAAGATGAAATATACACTTTTCATTGCAATTTCAATGTTCATTTCAATTGATTAATATTGATTAACTAATGGTAGGTAAACATCCGGATGTAAAGAAACTTTGGATCAATCAATGTTCCCAAAGTGAAGGCTAAATTAAGACTAAATCATGGTTAACATGGGAAACATGGAAACAGAGGAAATCAAAAGCAAATCAATTGAAGCAAATTGTTTAAAGTCAGTAGCTAAATATAAAACATTTAAATGTCAATTCAATATCATGAAATTGAAATTTTTGCAGCTTTTCTTTTTTTGTCAACATCAACATTTCAAGACAATCCAAGACTCAGTTGACATTCAGTGAATTCATTTAATTTGTTTCCCATTTTCAGGGTTTAGTCATTTGAAGAAACCAAATTGTATCCAGTTAATCACACTTCACAACTGAAAGCAGGTGAAAAAAGGTTAAAAATAGGTAACATTCAGTAAACAGATTGTCGAGTGTTAATTAAGGAATAAAATGACTGCAACAACCAAATACCTTAAAGGTATTCCTGAGAATTAATTCCGATTACATGGAAATGATTACAAGTAATGAATGACAAAATGAAAACATGATAATCTGAGAAACATTGCAAGGGAAAAGATTGGAGAAACAAAATCAAGTAAAATTAATGAAAATGAGTAAACTCATGTAACTGTGATTTCGTTCATGTAACATGGAAATTAATTTAAATGAAAAAGAAAATGAAAAAAAAACAAAATTCTCTAAATAATTAATAAGAGGGAAAAAATTTGAATTACAATTGGATAAAAGTGTTATAACAATGGAAATGGAGAAATGAAAAGTTCAACTTGAAATATCATCAATCAGTCGACTATTATTATCACTATTGTTCATAAATGTTCCTGAAACATTCGTGTTATCAGTTTAAGAATTTTCAACTCGTTTGGACAAAAGTTGTCAACTTGAAACAATTCAATCAACAGAAAAGAGAAAAGTGAAATTTCCAAAATTGACTCCCAGTTCTGGTGAATAATTGAATTTTTAAACAAGCAAAAAGTTCTGAATCAAAACATGAAATCTATTGAAAGTGATAAATATTGAACATTGACTGACAATGAGGTAAACGAATGATTCAAGTTGAATAAACTTTTCGATTGACAGATTTTCAGTTGAAACTCAATGAACAATTTTCGAGGAAAAAAATTGTCGACCATTCATGGAACAGTTTCAACAAATTCAAGACAAAATGATAATGAAAACGAGCAATGTTCACATAACAAGCCAACAGAAAAGACGAAAGTTTTTTTACGCAAATGAAACGACAGTAAGACAATAATTCAACTGAAAATAATGACAATAATCAGGTTAAATGAAATCAACTTTTTCTGGTTATAATTAGACTTTGGTTTACGGTCAACAATTTTTGTGGGTAAATCTTTTTTTACAGCATTCAATGTCTTGTATTATTGGAAAGGTTTGGAGTAGCAACATTATCATTTGACGCACAAACGTAATTGTTCAATTGATCCAGAAAACAATGAAAATTATTGCAGTTTCTGAATTTGCTAATTGGATTGACTGAGAAGTGTGTTTGTGATTAAATGTAATGTTGCCACTGAAAGGTAAAAAGGTTCATTTGTCAACGCTTGTCAATGAATAGATTTCATCTCACTGCTTACATTAAACATCCAAATCGATGAGTCCTTAAATTTGCAATTGGATTCAAACTATCTCTGTAGGTTCATTATATTTTTTTGTTGGTTTGCATTTCAATTGTGAAAAGGGAAGAAAAGAAATAACAACAATGTTAAGCACAATCATGATAATAACGGTGAGAATAATGGTGAGAATGGCGATGAAAAAGAATCAAATAAACTGAACAAAAAAGGTAACAATAAGAGACAAAAAATGTTTCTGCTTTTCTGGTTTCGTAGGTTTGATAACTAATAAGATATTTGGGTTAAATCAAGTAAAAAGGGAAAACTCTTCAATACTCTTTTCATCATTCCAACGATTCATTAGCAGAAGAAAATCAATGAAAATAAACATGAAATTTCAACGAAAACGAGAAACAGAAAAGTCTAAAATTATTTGAAAGAAGAGCATTTTTCAAGTTGATTTCAATTCAAATTTGATTTTGATGTTTTCGCAAATGAACGTCTAAAAAATCGCGAAATGCGAATCAATTGAATGATGAAAAAAGTATGAAAATCTTTCGACTAAAAACAGAAACATTTTTTGATATTTTTATACTTAATTTAGAAACATAATCAAAGTTAATTGTGTAAAGGTAAGTGCTTTAAAACTGGATGCAAATGAAAGTAATGCAAAATCAAACACAATCATTGAATAGTTAAGTCTACCTGCCTTAAAACGGAAGTACGACGACGACTGTTGATCAGCATTTAGATGAAAGGTTGAAGAAAAATTCGGAAAAAATGATTAGTTGATTATTGAAGCATTTAGAATGAATTCGATGTTTCATTTCAATTGGTTAATCACAAGAATACAATTCTGGCGATTAAAGATGTTCCTTAATCATTTGATAATGAAACAGTTAAGTGTAAAATCTTAGGAAAAAAAAACTCAACCAAAAGGCTGATTAATAGCTGATTGCATCAATTACTGCAATTTAACCTAATCACTAATTCATTACTAATTGTTGAGATTGTTCGTCTTTGAACAATTTAATTAGATTGATTGGAGCAACAAATGTTCACTCATTTATCGTTTGGAGAAAAGAAATGTTTTTTTAATTTTCTGTAATTACTATTGAATTGAATTTTACCTGTGATTATATTTTTTGAGCTTCTGAAGTCCATATTTACTATCGGCTCCTCCTTTGGATACTGGAAGGCTTTCAAGATTGACCATTAATTGGTTGACCGATGAACGCAATTCATCAATGTAAAGATGATCCATTTCTTTGAGCACAAATTTTGGCATTAATTTACGATTCTGAAACAATAGTTTAATAATTAGTAAAATAAAAAACATTGATATTGCAAATTGAATAATCAATTGTCGTTTGATGAATTAACTTTTCTGGTTAAATTGTGCAAAGAGTTTAAATTTTGAAACTAATTAACTTGATTGACCCTAACATAGTTGACCAATTTTGAGGTAATTTTGAGAAACAAAGCGAACTGTCAAGTTCAGAAGTTTTGTAAAGCCAATATAAATATTTATGGAAGCAAAATTTTGGGTTAACTTTAGTTTACCAAATTAACATTAATGGTTAATAATTAATTACCTTTTCCATTTCATTTATTCGTTGGATTCGACCATCCAATTCACGTCTAATGGCGGCAGCTTGTTCATCACCAGAATCGAGCTGAATCAAGAACAATAAGCAATTAGGATTCTGAAACTGATTGCAACAGAAAAATTGATGTCCAAACTTGTTTCAACAAAATAACCTTTTAATTCAATTTTTCACCTTAAATTGAATCAATTTCATCTTGCTTTAGTTTCATCATTAATAACAATTTAAAATTGTTCAAGTTCAATCAAAATCCAATCTAAAAATCTCAACATTTTTGGAGTGAAAATAATTTCGAAGAAATTCAAGTTTATTAAAAGACGAAATGGTTTTGAAAAATGGCTTAAAAATGGTTTCTTTTGATGAGACATCAACATTGACTAGGTCAGCCGGGAGCCGGCGTAGTCTGAGCGAGCGTTTGCCTTTGAAACAGACAACGATTGCAGACAATATTCATACACCCAACAAGAACTACACATAATTTTTTTATGATTCTATTAAGCAAAAGCTATATGAAATTTTGAATTTCATCAAATTACGATGCGATTTCTTTATCATAATTCCGCTCAATTCAATTTTCTTTTGTGAGATATCAATTCGAAAAACAGTATTTATAAAAACTTTGAGTTAAGAGTCTGGACTGCGATAATTTTTAGGCGCATTAAAACTGAGCTCATTATAACTATTAAAAATTTTTTTCTAATCGGCAGTTTTTGCGCTAATCAAGGTCAAAGTCGAAACTTCAATCGCCTTTTATTCAATTATAAAACAGATTTCTCGATGATTAGGTTTTATTTTAGGTTATTAAGTATCAGAACATTTAAAATACTACGAGAAACGATTAGAATTTCGGGGCTCATGTTGTTAGATTTGGTGGAAATTCGGTGACCTGAATGATTTATTCTAGAACTTGACCTTGCTTATGAAGCCTAGCATAATCATCAATCTTTTTCTATTATTTTAAGACAATTCTCAACAAAAATGACTATTTTTCATGACAGGTGCGTGTGTACGGGGAATGAAATCGAGTGAAACGCAGAACAGGAACACAGTTCAAAAGGTTTATGAAATTTAAAGAAATAGTCAGATTTATAACAGATCTGATTTCTTTGTATCACCTTACAAGTTGTTTGGAGCAAAAATAACTGATTCTGGTTAGAGTATGTATCGATTCAGCATTTTAAAATTTATTACTTATTGAAGATACTATCTAGTTCCATCAATTAATCTCTCCATCTTTCTGGCAGTTCGTTGAATGCGCCCATTCTGTCTTCTGAGTCAAGATTTACCACGGCATTGGTCAAATGCCATTGCCATTATTAGCATTCTATTAGTGCTGTGAATGTTTTGGCGTACAATCTCTGGATCGGCGTAATCTGAGCTAACGTAAATTATAACGGTAAAACAGGCCTGAATGCCCTAAAATCACTGGTGCTCAATTAGGTAGTAAAATTGTGCATAAAGATAGAGGTATATGTTTGAAATAAAGAAGTTAAGTAAATTAACTTATAATCTGGCGTATGTTTAGCGTATCTAGCAAAACAGTCATCAACTGTTGCGACAAAATCACGAAAATCACGAAAATGAGCTATTTTGCAAAAAAAATTTATCACGCATGCGCGATTTTTTTTCTAAATAATTTTTATCATGTTTTCTTATAAGCTCACTGAATTTGGTGCACCTAAGTACACCATAGAGTTTTTCAGTCTAAAAAAACGATTTTTACGACTTGAAAAACGTTATTTTTGGGACACCCTGTAAGGTGATATGAAAAATCTTTATCTCAGAGCTGCATATTTATATAACCTTTAATATTCGAAAATTTCATGCAAATCCGTTCAGCCGTTTGGCCTCTACATCAGTGGAATGGTCATTTTTTGCCTGAGTCTAATATCTTAGTCTTCGCTACGCTCAGACTAAATATCTCATCAATTGATCATGAAAATGAATGAGTCAAAATAATCGATATTCAAGTGAAAAGATAAGCGTAAATCAAGTGAAGATGATAATGATAAAAACACTGGAAACTGTTATATTCCAGTTGGAGTGATAATATAACGATAAAGTGATGATAATAATGATGAAAGAAGTGTGAAAAGGATTGGGAAGCTCAAGTAGAGCATTTTTGTTGTGGATCATGAAAATGATTTTGCATCATGATAATGACAATGTTGCCTGAAAAGGAAATGAAAGTAATAAAAAAAATCATTGAAAAGTTGCTGATAAATTGTACTCAAATGAATCATTAACATCAACTTTTTTTGTTTATAACCATTCAATGGTTCAAGTGTTTCAAAGTAGCAAAAGTTGATTCACAGTTTTCCTTCAAAACTCAATGTTCATCATTTCAAGCCTTTTCAGGGTTAATCAGTTGGTGAACAGAACTTAAAACGCCTTTTAGATTCATTAAATTGCCATTCATTGAAACTCACAAGAATTGCTTCAGTTGATTGTAGACATTTTACTTCATGATAATGAAGCTTGTTTTAGACGACAAGACGAATCTGATTAAAACAGTAAAATCATTATTAGCCTAATTTGGAACATTATTTCAATATCTTTACGTTCAAATCTCGTCAGGAATTATCTTTCATTCCCAGGTTTAATGTTATTACTTTGTGATCAACAGAAAACTTTACTATCTCAATTTATCTCGTGTATTATTATCACTCTTCATGCTATTATTAGATAAGTTCATCTCAAGGTAAAGAGAAGAAGGTTGCTCTTCACATGATAATCATTGGTAATCATTTAGATGAATTCTAGAAGTTAACCAATTTCGTTAGGCAAAGTTGGGTTAACAATCTGAATAGCAACAAATTTAATGATAGACTAGCAAATAACATAAATGTCAATTTTTCATGAACCAAAAGAACCAGAAAACCAGAGTTTAGGATGACTTGAAATTCATACCAAATCATGCAATTAGAAGCTATTATAAGAACTCATGATTTTCATTAGATTTGTGTTTCAAAGATAAGAGATTCCTGATTTACTAAACAGAATTTTGAATTTTGTGATTGAAGTCAACAATCAAAGAGATACACTTTGAATGATTATGAAACTTGGAGGTTGGTTCAATCAAAGTGAATGTTGAATGTAAATAAAAATTGGATAACATCACATTAAAGTGATTAATGTTGATTAATAATTTTGTGGCCTAAGTGTGAACAGGAACCAAAATAGTAATACATTTTGGGTTATTTCTTGAATAGAAATGGTGAAAAGGGAAAAATATCGCAAAGCAATGTTAATCTGATTTAATTATTTTCACTGCAACTGTTAAGCTTGTTAAACCATTTAAATGTTGCCTTTGTTGAACAAACGTTTTTTTATTCAATAGTCAATGGATAATGATTATGCCTTGGCCAATCATTATCATCATCAACCTGATCATCATCATTAACATAATGAGCAAGACACTTCTCTATTAATTAAGAGTCTAATTGACAGAATATTAACTTTCATCATTTAATCCACACTAATGAATACAATTGAGGAAAGAGATTAAATTTGTAAACCAAATGTGACACTCGAGGTAAGGGCAAAGTAAAACCAATGGCAAGACACTTGAAAAGTCGAGTTTACCCAAAAAAAATTGAAACCTACAACGCAATGGATTGTGACCTTAAAGGTACAAACCTTTATTTAGGTCAAACAACCAGTAATTGCAATAATAACAACAAAAGTATAAACTTTAAAAAGCAATATTAAGGACGATCAATGAGACTGGAAACAACACTGGGAGTGATAATGCTGGCAAGTTACTGTTCAGTTCTTGTTAAGTCAAGTGGAAAAGGATTTTTTCATGTTTTGCTTCGTCTCATTCAACTGTTCATTTTATATACATTTACGAACTTGAAGGCCAATGTCTAAATAATATTGAACTATTAATCGAACTGTTTGACAAAAAAAGATTTGTATCTTTACTGGTTTTATGCAAACGCAATTTTGAACCTTTTTTTCATAAAATAATGATATTGTTTCATATTGACATTTTTGTTTACAATTGATATTGAAATTGAAAATGTTTCAATTTCATCAATTTATCATTGAATTAATGATCGGTTCAAGTTGAATTATGGACAGCTTTTTGCTTTGATTAACACTTTTCTGAAAGGTTATCACCACAGATTAATGGATTGCTTTTCAGGTTGACCTTTCACTTTGAAGATGAAAATTTTGCTCTCATGAATGCTGATCATTCTTGGTTCAATTTTGTCATTACTTTTTCACGATTAATATAAAAATGAATTTTTCTCATCAAATCTTTCATTTTATTTACCAATTTCATCGATTTTTTAGGTTTTCATTTCAATTGTTTAATCAATAAAATTGTAAACTTTTCAGTTGATGATCAAAGAAGACAATCAATCTTTTCTTTTAATTACCAATCGATGCAATCAACTTAATCATTAACTGTCCAACCATTGTATTAATCAAAGTTTAACCTGATTTGCATCGCAACAATAATCTCAGTTTTAATATATTTCCAGCTAACTAGACATTTATTAATCTTGGATTATATTGAGCTTAGTAAGGATAAAATGATTAGCTTTTCAATGATGAAAAGTATTAGAGCATAAAAAGTTGAATTATTGGGTTATTTTACATTATTGTGACAGGTAATCATTAAAATGCAAAACGACTTATAAAGGTAATCACAATGTTGACTGTTATTATTTAGAATCAACTTTGGAAGAAGAAATAGCAATTAAAACATGAAATACAATGATTAGTCTATTAATGATTTCAACATTTCGATTGTTAGAAATATAAATTCAAAGAAACAGATTCAATGTTCAACATTGGCTTCAAGTGTTTGTTCCTGATAAACACTTGAAATTGAAATGAATGATCGGATATTTGGTGACTTTTACGACCAAAGACAAGGTTTAATGTTCAACATTTTTCACTTTCAACGACTAAATGTTAAAATTAATCTTTTAAATTACAGCAAGAACAGTCTCCAGAATTTTGCACTTTTTATCTTTCCAAGAACTCAACTTTTTTAGAATCGAACTGCTGATTTCAAAAACATTATTCCTTTTTGTCTGACAGCCTCAGAGTAAAATTCCAGTCCGTTCAAAAGAAAATCCTTCGGCTCCACTTTTCTCGATGAAACCTTTTTCCAGATTCTTGATGCCTTTTTGAGATAGTTTTTACATCATTTCTGTCTATTGCTGCAATGAACTTTATCAAATCCAAATTTTTGGTCAACGGCATGCAAAGTTCAGAGGAGGTTGAGATGAACAGGACAGGAGAATTCTTACAAATTCTGGAGATAACAAAGATAAAAACGTGATAAATTCTGGAGACCCTCCTTTGTCTTTTGTTGATTTGATCTCAACGACCATTTCAATAAATAATTTTCAGGATTCGAGTTGAAGTGAGTTGATTGAAATAAATTTTCATTAAAGTATGAAACTCATTCAATATTGACTATTGATAAATGTTCAACAAAGCTTGTCTCCAAATGGGTATCTTTTAATGATGCATGAAAATGGTGAATGAAACCCAAAAATAAACCTTTTTTGCTTTGTAAAGAAGCAAATTTTTGCTTTCATTTCTTGATTCATATGATCAAGTTTAGGTTTACATTGGGTTTCACTGATTCACTATTTACATTAAGGCTGAAATGATATCATTACTTTACATGTTCAGTTCGGTTTGCTAGTGAATATGTTTTGGACACATGTTTATGGTGAGTGTACAAAATGATTGATGCACAAAAGGCAATGTTTGCTTTACATTACGGAATCATATAAATTATTAGTTATGCAGTTATGCAGATATATATTACAAAATGTTAACGATGGACAATTGATTTTCATGGAGACTTATCATCTGAAATGATTAAGGTTAACTGATCTGAATAAATTGGTCAATCAATTTTCATCATTTAAAGATTTAATATAAAGGTGAAACAAAAGGCAAATTGAAAAGTCAAAAGGTTAACCCAAAAATGGATGCAAAGGGAAGTTCAAGAAAACTCATGAAAAGAATCGATTCCTTCCCAACTCTTTTATTACGATTGATAACATGAAATGACATCGAGAGCTACTTAATCATATAATTAGTAAATTACAGTTTCATGATCACTAATGACAATGATTGATTAGCTTCAAGTAATTTCACCATTTGTTGTTTGACAAAATAAGATTGACTTCAAATGGTCCAAACAAATGGCTTTTTTTATCCTTACTTGTGATTTGATTGAAGATGCATAAGTAATGATAATTGTAATAATCGATTGCAAGTTATTAAATTAAATAACGGTGAGTGGGAATAAGGTGAATGGGATGACATGATGAAGATGAGAAGTTAGTATTTCAAATGAAACTTGGTATTTATTGATTGATATTGATTATTTTGTTGAACCACTTTTTTCTCAGCAATAACTGTGATTGTGAAGAGACAAAAAATCAACCTTTTGCTAATTGGTGAACAACAATTGGATAAATTGCTGAACTTTCGGTATTCCTATTATTCCTATTATATTGCTGTCAATGGCTGAGTTAACCAGTGAATTCAAATTATGAAACTGATGGTAAACTCAACATTTGGAAGGCAAAAGTGACAGTTTTTGTTGATTACATTTTCTGGGTTTGTTTTGATTTAATTAAATGTTGGAAACAAAATATTCATTTTGGTTCATTATATTACAAAGTAAATTGTACGTGTTGGACTTGAAATTGGCTAAATTGTATTAACTCTTGTTTTTACGAGGGAAAGACAAAAATCAATAAAATTAACTGGTTACATTGACAATGGAAACCTTTAACGGATTGAAAATCAATAATAATAAATTGTGAAACTTGAATGGTGAATCAACTGCTATTGTTACCATTGAATTAGTTTGTTCATCATATAATTATATTTTTGCTGAGAGTGACTAAATATTATATTAAAGATATTGAAGATACTATTCAACACTAAAATAATACAACTGCCAATAAAGGACAAACATTGCAATCACTATTATTATCATAATCATTAGACTGTATTTTTGCTTTTTGCTTGCACTTTTACCTGACAAGGTTTCGGTAAAAGGTTGAGAGTTGAAACAAGTTATTGTTAGTAACATTAATTGAAGGGTCACAGGAAGAAAGCATGATAAGTATTGCAAGTAATTGTTTGAAAGCAATTTACTAATTGGAAGAGGTTACAAGAGCTTACCTGAAGAGCATTGTAGAGCAATTGATGTTCAAATTTTTTAATATTTAAAACATGTTGAAACATGTCGTACAACTGTTCTTTGGTTAATATCAATTCAGAGGCAAGACCTTGTTGTTGAGCGGCTACTTGGGATCGACTTGGAGCTGGCTTTTTGGTGTCTTCATCGCCTCTAATGAGAACCTCAAATTTGGACATCCACGAGTTGAGAACCGTTTCCTTGGAAAGACCATCAATCTCGGGTAGACTTTTGACTCGCTTTTCAATTGATGACTTGAATATGGATCGGAAATCGTGTAAACTCGATGCTCCAGAGGTGACCATCAGTAATGCTCGGTCAGATCGTAAAAAACGTTCATAGTAACCCTGGACTGCCTGGACAAAGGCTTCATCACAGGGTAAACTTGTATCACCTTTGAGAAAACTGGTGAATCGGTTGATAATTTGTTCCAATTGAGATTTGTTCACCTTTAAATGGCGTCTAGACATGTCGGTGGGTTGTTTAGCGTTAAATGGATAAGATATGCATCGAGTAACCAGGACATACAGTTGAAGGCGCACTTTACGATCTTGCTCTTCCTTTTCAGCGCGATCATTTTCATCGATTCGACTACCAACCAGTGAATTGGCATCAGATCCACCACTGGCACTACCGGCTCCATCTCTATTGGTTAGACTATGGCCTGAAACGGAGCCTGAACATGAACCCATTCCAGTCGTTGCAGGTCCAGATGTACCAAGAACATTGGATCCAGTTGTTGCTTGGCCTGCAGATATAGAGGCAGTTGTTCCGATGGACAAGGTTGATGAGGGTGATGGTGAAGGAGACACGGATCGGGACAACAGTGACCCTGATCCTCGAGACCCGGTAACATTGAGACGATCATTGGAGACTGAGCGAAGTGTTGAATTTCCTGAATCAGATATTATCATTCCAGATATTGCTGGTGACACCGATCGAGGTCCACCTGCTCCACCACCGCCACTAACATATAATCCTGTAGATCCAATGGATCCACCGAGGCTTGAGCTTCCTCCAGGATAGGAACCATCTCGGGTTGAGTTTGATAAATTGTCTGAATCTTCATGGCCCAACTCGTCGTTTTCATCCTCGGATGATGATGGTTCCAACATGTTAACAGTTTAGTTTGTTTGGCTCTTCTTTGAAAGGACACAATTTAACAAAAACGTAACTCTTCAAATGTAACTCTGTATATAGTGTGATTCCTAATTATAATATAATTCCGTAAGGTGATTACACTGAAACACAAATGTTTTGTTGATCCTGTGTTGTAATGATAACAGGCCAGTTAACTTGACTCCATTAATGTTGACTGTTTTTCACTTGCATCAGGTAAAGTTGATTGATGTGAAATCCGTTATTTACTTAGGAAGAGAAGAAAAAAAAATAAAACAAATGGTTTGATTTAACTTTCTCTTCTTCCCTTCAACATTACTAAACATGAGGATGATAAATGATGATGATGGTAAGATAAAGATGGGAATGTTAATGATGATAATGATGGTGATGTTGATGGTGATGATGATGACATCAGCAAGCAATTATCAGCGATAACTAATGAACCACATGAGTGTAAGTGAGAAAAAAACAAAGAAAAGAACTGAACAGAACAGCAAACCAAATACAGACACTGCTAATAAAATGGTAAGAAATAAAAAAAAGGAATAATAAAATGATATTAAAATCGATTATTGACACACTATACACGTCATTGTAACATTAGATCATCATAATTAACATGTGTATTCGCATAATTATCAATACCAATCACCAAAAAATGGAGAAAAAATAATGCATTTAAGTGTTTTCCACTCAACAAAAGAAGAGGTGAAAAGACGTTAGGCAAAAATTTGAAATATTGAACACACGTATAAGATATATCTTTTGAATAATGATGATAATGGCTTGATCAATGAATAATAACTTACTGAATCTAAGTGACAGTTAATTGAACATGAAAGCTCAAATGCAAAAATTTGCAATCATTGATTAAAGATGGTTAAAGGCACAAAAATAAAGCAAAACAAAACAATAACATGAAGGGTTATAATCCGTTTGATAGTCAGACGATAATGTTAACAAAACAGAGAAAACCAGATTTTTGAAATAATTAAAGGTAACATTAGAATCTGGTTTTTTTTATAGTTGAATTTGATCTCTGCAAGTTGACTGATTTAACAATGAACAATACAAAATTAGAGTTGAAGAAAATAAAATTGAAATCTCTAACAAATGGCTTGATAATCTGGTTATTGGCGCTTTCGATATAAATGGCGTTGTTTCAACTTTTGTTGAACCCAATGCTAGGCAATAGAGAAAGGATTCCAATTGACTGTTGACCGGTGCAAAAAAAGATGATGATAATGACAATGGTGAGGACAATAAAGATTCACAAATGATCATCATTCCCAATTGTTGTCAAAATATCTTACAATTTGAAACCAGAAATCATGTTTGAACAGTTGCATATAATTTACGCTTCCAGCTTTTGCTGTTGTTGTCGATGATGATGTTGATGATATTTCTTTTGCTACTACTACTTTAAATATACACATATACATATACTATCTATTGTGTAACGATGAGATAAAACGGTAAAGATGTTCAATAAACAGTTAACTGAATTGTGATTGTTCAGTGAAACAACTCACAAGGCTTTTACCAGATCCCATGGAGTTGAAAAAATACAGCAGAGGGAGTCAGTCGATTATTGTTGTTATGGTAACTCTTGGTTGGCTAACAGATGAACAAGAAGATGATTATTATTATGATCATGGATGATGATCATGAAATAGACAGAGTAAAGGACAAATAGATATAAAACACATACACATTGGATCGATGAAAATGATGAGCGCATGAAGATGAAGAAGGCCTTACCGATTTTTACCTTTCCAAAACCAATATCTTATTCAACTCTGAACCATTTTCAAGACTCTCTCTCCTTTGGTAAGACATTTTTTTGCTTTACAATCATGAATATCATTGTTATTATGTTTACCATTTTATATTTATATTATCAACCATTATTTATTATTAATACCTGATTAAATTGTAATTTAAAAAGGTTAAACTGAATAGTAAGAAGAAAAAAGGAAAATCAAAATTATGGTTGAACAAAAAAGAGATTCAATGTCAATGGGTTTAACCGTTTATCAATACAAATATAACACATTGTCAGTGTGGATATAAATATGGGTCTGTATTTATTAACACCGGCTAATGTTAATCAATCAGTCGAGCTATATTAAGTAACTCATTGCTTCCGTGAACAGGTTGTGTAAATGAATGCAGATTAACTGAATATTGTATACAATTAACCAGCATTACCTTGAAATCTTCACCAGAAAACAAAAAAGCTTCAAGTTAAGCTTAAACAGAAACCCAGAGATTCAAGTTAATCCAACCTTGAACCATATTTTAACGGTATTGACATTAAAACCGATTTCAATTGTTTGTCAACACCAATTTTAATGGTCCATCCAATGATTTAATTGACTGACGCTAAGGTATGCCAGAGAGACTATTAGGTTATAGTTGAATCCGTTGAGATTAAAGTGTAGGTGTTATCATAAGTTAAATTCACAGGTTCAATTAACATAACAATAATCATTGTAATGGCAATTGGGAAGTGTTAAAGGTAAATGCATCCAGGGTTAGAGTTGATATTGACCCAGTAACCTAAATAGATGATGATGAATGAACGAAATAAGTAAAATCTCATTTTTCAGCCGCATTTGGCTATTGATTAAAGTCTTGATTAGTTAACAATCAAATCTTCCACAGCAATTTAATCGGTTAAAGCTCAAGTCCAGTATCTCTGGTTTTGGCTTTGCTTTAAGATTTGTTATTTGCTTTTCTGGTTTTTTTGGGTTCAATGTTGATTTTTTTAAAGACATGTGTGATAATTTAAATTTAAGTGATTTATTGACAGTCTATTGATGCATTTTAATTGAATATTATTATGTTGATTGGTGCAAACAAATGAGATAATTGTTACAATTGAACTTGACAGCTGAGTTGAAGGTAATGATTGTAACACTTGGTGCTTATTAAATTGTACTTGTTAAGTATACATGTCAATGTTAATGTTTGTTGATAACAATAAGGTATTAGTGTAATCAACAAATCAAAGTGTTTAATAATGGTGAAAGGTCGAAGTTGAGTTACAACAAAAAGTTGAAGCTATTTCAAGTAACTTTCATCATTATTATTGCAATTACGATAATTATTGGCAGCTTTACTCAAAAGCTAAATGGTGTCAGTGCTGATTCGTAATCAAATTAAACAATAAATTTCAAGAAAAGTGGAAATTTTAATAAAAATTCATTGAAAAAGTGGTTCTTATTTTCAATATTGAAACCTTTACACCAAACAGATTTACTGGTTCACTGATATTTTTTGCTATCATCTAAATCTTGTTTTCAATCATAATTTTGATGAATTTACGCATTGATAATTAAAATAGATCCATCGATGAAGGGTTGAAAATAATCTAACGATCTAAACAGTGAAAGTTGATTTGAAACTTCCCATCAATGAATCCGGTACAAGTGAGGGTTAAAATGACCTCAAACATCCTCCAACATTATGATTAACAGGCAATATCAATTTAAACATCCGTTGAAATCTAATGATTATTTGGTTGATCATTTGAAAGCTTTACAATAATTAATCATTGGACTCAAAGATAATAAAAAATATTGTTTCAGGTTGAAATGTTGATTCTTTGCTTTTCCTTGATTGTTCAGGCCAATTGATGTTATGATTGTTGCTTTGTTTTTCTGGTTTTCAAGTCCAAGCTGTTCATAATTTTGTATCAAATATTCAATGAAATGATCTAGTTCTTTAATTAATCAGGAAAGTTAAGGTAAAGGAAATATCCATTTCCTATTTATGGTTCAATTTTGATTCTCCTTTGGCGTAAATTCAGTAGGATTGACGGATAAGGATGTTTGTTAATTTATCAATCCATTTCAATCAAATCCATGTGACCAACAGCAGACTGTAATTTTTTTCAGGTCAATTTCGATCAATAACGTAGAACAATTTATGATCAGTTAAATGTGTGATGATCCATAAAATTTGTGAAAAAATCAATATCCAGTTGAGTTTTTTTGTAAATTCAGGCATCAGCTTTGGCTTGATAATAGTTTCAATTATTATTAGTTTTTCCAGTTTCCAAATGGAAATTTCCTTATTAGCTAATCAACCAATCCTTGTAATATTTACAACATTAATAATCAATTTATTGATGAACCTTATTGAGTTAGTATTGCTTGTATTAGACGTATTTTTATTAATGTTTTAATAAAAATGTCATCTTGAATAACCAATGGAAGAGAGAGAAATTATTTGTCTCTCAAAAATGCTCAAGAGTAATCATCTAATGGTTTTTTGCTCTTGGTAAATCTAATTTAACCTAATATGATCAACTGGTTGAATATACGTCAAGTCCATTAACGAGTTTAGCTGAAATCAACCGATTCTGCAATATTGAAGCATTCTTGCCATATTAAACCATCTGATAGCCTTTTATAGTTGAGTTGTCTACGATTAGCCTTCAAGAGCAGCGCATTGGTGAATTTAGTTCAATCAAGACGATATCTTGAATAGCACAAGAAAATTTTTACATAATCCAAGTTATGTTGGTAAATTATTTGATCAGGTTGGCTAGAACGGTGAAAAAAGCGTCAATGATGTTGGTTTTGCTGAATTTGAGCGTGCCTGCTTTTGGTCTCCATGGATCGATGAGCTAATAAATATCGAAACAGACTTTGATTCAATAAAATCTGTTTTAATTGTCTTTTCCTGCTTGCAATTTTTTTTCCTGATTTAACAGGGAACTCCTTTGGTCGTTAAAGGAAAATGGCGATGACGATGTACATGATGATTGCAGACGTCAATCTCCGTTCAATCTTTTTGGCTATTTATAAATTTCCTGGATCGATTACCAATTATGTGACCAATTACCAGCTATCTGAAAAGGTAAGATAAAAAAAATGGAATGAGTCGAACAGAAATCAGGTTATTATGTTGATTGTTGTCAAAATTTATGGTTATTGACATCAAAGGTCATGAATAACAATCACCAGCTAACAATAAAAAAATGTAGATTATATTCTTAAAAGTTTGTCTATTGGGAGAAAAATCAGTCTTTTCCTGTAGCATTATGCGATTTGAATGGTTGAATTTATTCAATACACTTTGAAAAACAAAGCTTATTCTTACCATAAGTTAAAGGTCGAAATGTATTTCAAAAAACAACAACACCAACGATCAATCATTAACAATAGAACCAAGAAATATCCGTTTGACCGAGCAAAAAGTGTTTTTTTGGTGATAGTAATGGTTGCCTTTATCCTATCAAAGCTTCGCAACAATCAGCCGATTGTTTACCAGGGTTGACATAACCCCAAACCTTTAGATTTTGTTCCTTCCATTAACAGGTAACCTGACTTTAACCTATTCAGAAGAGTAAAACAAACAAGTTAAATACCTAAATTGTAATGAGTAATTTGTAATGTAAAAATCAGTACATTGTGATAAGCATAAAGAGAAAGGGCAAAAGAGAGGGAAAAGGATAAAATGTTATAATGTGTACTTACGGTTTACCGATTGTTGAACATAAGATGATAAAAATAATGTTGATATTGACATTTTAGGTGATGATAATGATGATTATGAAGAGTAGGTAATTAGGTAAAAGAAAGGGATGAAAGAAAGAAAGTCAACTTGTCATCCTCTTGTCATATGTTTTGGATTCAAGGTCAGTAAGGAGGGAGTTTGAAAATCACCAGAGTGGGTAGGACTTTGGGTGGCTTGGTAACGGTAAAGGGAAAGCAATTTTATTACTGGATTGTTGTTTATTGGTTAGGAGTTTATAGTGAAAGGGGAGAATCGAGGAAAGAGGGAGATTTAATTTGAAAATGTTCCTCTTGTTGTGTCTTGATTGTTGAATTAATAATTGAACCTGCAACTGGATTAGATGTTTGATTGAAGGTTATTTTTTTAAACACCAGTTGAACAATTTATCAGACACCAACAAAATATTTATTCATTGTCAATCTTGTCAACGGCGAACAGTTCTTTCCTCGCTTTTTACATTCACACAACACTACTCAGCATTTGTCAACTCTAACTGTTCTTAATATTTTTTTATTCATTTATTAAATTAACCAAATCGTAATTTTATTTCACCCTTTTCTGTGTAACCCTTTTATACATTTGAATTTCTGTTGTTAAAATTAACCGGAAAATATGTCTGAAAAGTAAGTTCACTTGACTACCAGCTATTTTAAACCTAGTGATTATGTTTACCAACTGACTGAGATTTTTCTCGTTTCTTCCTCTTCGTCTATTCTCTCTGTATTTTCTGGAATTCTGGATTATTTTTTCCTGTTATTTACCTATGACTGGACATTGGTTTTAACGAATTTGCTAAACATCATGGCGATTTCACCCACAGAGCTGATATCGCTCTCATTGGATTGGCTGTTATGGGCCAAAACCTTGTTCTCAATATGAATGATCATGGTTTTAAGGTGAGTTTGTTGATTATTTTTTTAGTTTAATGGACTGGTTTAAGTTTTGTTTTAATCTTAGGTCTTATTCAAAGTAAATTAATCTAATTATTTAAACGCATCTTCATTTTTCTTTTAGGTATGTGTTTATAATCGTACCGTTGAAAAGGTAACCCGGTTTCTGGAGAACGAAGCTAAAGGAACTCAAATAATTGGAGCTAAATCACTTGAAGACATGGTTTCTAAGTTAAAGAAACCCAGGAGAATTATGCTTCTAGTTAAAGGTTGGTTTGTTTGATTGTTGGTTATATTGATTGGTAAAGTTAATGAAAAAAAATGAGATGCTGATTATTGTAGATATCAGGTCAATTTTAGGTTTGTGTTAGGGTTGAGAGTTTGGTGAACCTACATTAAGAAAAAGTGGTTTGCCCATTCTAGAAAGATGATGACGATAATGAGAGTGGAGGTCAGAAGAAGAAGCTAATTCTAAAAATATAATTAAGCTATACTAAATTGATGTTCAATTTTATCTTTTAGCCTGACCTTGATTTCAATCGATTAATTTCATATCTGACCTTACATTTTACATTTGCAATTATTTAACTTATTTCATTTCTGCCCATTTCATAGCTGGATCCGCTGTAGACGATTTTATCAAGCAGTTACTTCCTTTCCTGGAGAAAGGTGATATCATCATTGATGGAGGAAACTCAGAGTATCAGGATACTCAGCGTAGGTGCAACGAACTTAAATCCAAAGGGTTACTTTTCATTGGAACCGGTGTTTCTGGTGGTGAAGAAGGTGCTCGTTATGGACCATCTCTTATGCCTGGAGGACACGCTGATGCTTGGTAAATATACTGCTTATATTAAATTACAGCTCGGAATCCAATTTTTTTTCATTCTAATCATCTATTTTATTTCTTTTAATACTTTATCAAGGCCACATGTTAAAGACATATTTCAAAGTATCTCTGCAAAAGTTGGAGATGATCCTTGTTGTGATTGGGTTGGTGACGATGGCGCTGGACATTTTGTTAAAATGGTTCACAATGGTATTGAGTACGGAGACATGCAGCTTATCTGTGAAGCCTACCATGTCATGAAAGACGGTCTAGGATTGAGTTGTGATGAGATGGGCAAAGTTTTCGATGAATGGAACAAGGGTGAACTTGATTCGTTTTTGATTGAAATCACTGCTGATATTATGAAATACAAAGACTCCGATGGTTCACCTTTAGTAAATAAAATTCGTGACTCTGCTGGACAAAAAGGAACTGGTAAATGGACTGCAATCTCAGCTTTAGAGTATGGTATGCCGGTTACTCTTATTGGAGAATCAGTGTTTGCTCGGTGTCTTTCATCATTAAAAGACGAAAGAGTAAAAGCTAGTAAAGTACTGAAAGGACCTTCAGAAACATCATATAAAGGAGATAAAAAAGAGTTCATTGAGCATATACGAAAGGTAAGTGAAAGATAAAGTCTTTTTTTCATGCATTTAGGATTAAATCTTTGTGTGAACAGAAAATTTTCATCCCTTTATCATTTGAATAAGCTAATCATAGATATTCTCTTATCCTCTCTTTTTTAATGACATGTATTAGGCTCTTTATGCATCAAAGATAATCTCATATACTCAAGGATTCATGCTTCTACGTGAAGCAGCTCGTGAATTGAAATGGAAACTTAATTATGGCGCAATCGCTCTCATGTGGAGAGGTGGCTGTATTATTCGTAGTGTTTTCCTTGGTAACATTAAATCAGCTTTCGATAAAGATCCAACTTTAACGAATCTTTTGATGGATCCATTTTTCCGTGATGCTATTCATACTTGTCAACAATCATGGAGATATGTTGTATCGCAGTCCGTTCTTCTTGGTATTCCAACTCCTGCCTTTAGCACTGCCCTGGCCTTTTATGATGGTTACAGATCAGAAAAGTTGCCTGCAAATTTAATTCAGGTAATTGAAAATTTCTTTTTGCCATGAAATGTGTTACCCATTATTGTCTTTTGATTCATTTCTAGTTCACTCATTTACTTATATTTACTGATTTCTATTTAGGCTCAAAGAGACTACTTTGGCGCTCACACTTATGAATTGTTGTCCAAGCCTGGCGAGTACATTCACACAAATTGGACTGGACGTGGAGGATCAGTTGCATCAACAACTTATACTGCATGATTTAAACATAATGTTAACGTTTTAAATTAATATAATTGTTGTTTGGTAACCATTCCTTGTTATACAATTATTTTGTAACGTTGATCAAACTTGGAACAAGTTAATTGTTTGTAGCTTCTAATACACCTACTTATTTTAAAGATATTTTCAATTGAAAATAAAAATATAGGTTGAAAACAAGAATCAATAAATTAAGATGATGATCAGATTATTTGTGTTAATGGTGGAAACATGTAATGAAGAAATGATATTTTTGTGGATAAAGATGAAATACACTATTGTAACAATAAAATATATAATAAACTAATAAGTCAATAAATGATTGAGAATAATTACGTGATCCAATCGTAACAACTATATTTTATGAGAAATCAGCGGAGTTTATCTAAACTATTTGCACAATTAGAATTAAAATTTTAATAAAATAACAAAGTTTAACAAATTATAAATTTTGAAAATTTTCAGTCGAACTGTGAAATGGGATCCGATACTTGTGAATAGGTTATTACTCGATATTGGTATCTGTCAAACAGCTGATGAGTTTTGGCGTCCAATCCAACCATTTTACTTTTCTTATTTTTTAATTATTTATCTAGTGTTTGTTAACATAATGGCTGAAATGATCAATTTAGATGCTGTTACTGAAGGTCTTAGGACAATCGCAAGTCTAAGGAATGGTGTCAGTGATTTGTTTAAATGTTTAACAGAAGGTGTTGGCGGACCGGTAATCGATCCATACTCTGGTCAACCAAAAACAAGTGACAATGAACCAACAGAAGAAGCTGAGAAACAATTTCTAGCTGATGTTCAAGGAATTGTTGAAGGCATCACAAATAAAATACTCGTATTAGAAAAATCATGTGATCTTCTGTCACATCCAACTGCTCAAGTAAGTGTTCAGTTGAGCCTTTTGGCACAAGACCCAGCTCTTGAAAGGAATGGTGTTTATAAATCCGTAGTTTCCTGTTACCGTTGGTGTGATCGAATGCACGATTATGTGACTCAAGCCTCGCATATTCTGAACCAAAATATTTGTCGAAGAAGTACAATTGGTAAGTAAATTAAGTCAAGTTAAATGCTCAACGTACATGCATGAAATCAAATTTTGTTATATTTTTTTACTTTCTATTCTTTTCTAGCCCTAGACCCTCTTCAACGAATACTTATACCTGGTGGGATCGGACGAAGATCATCATTTGCTACGATAAATACACCTTCTAGTCAAATTGATGCCTTTTTCAACAATTTATCTCGAATTCACCCAAATGTTACCCTCGAAATCAGTAGGCCTTTTGGTGCACCGACAGTTGTATTTATAACATTAGATCGTATTCTTAAAGGTTGTTTACTTTTACATGGTCTCCTGATTGAATGGGTCATAGTTAAAGGAATAAATGAAGAATTCAAAACGGCTGATGGTACAGTTGATATTTGGTCAGATTCTAGATATGAAGTTTTTAGGAAAATTAGTGATCATTGTAACTCAGCCACATTGAATTTTGCTACACCCGTTCATGTTGATCTTGCTGTTCGATCTTGGCTGGTAAGGCAATTTAATTTTTTACTTCTCTTGTATTCAACAATCGTATTTATATTTTTTCACATTTTATTTCATCCCAGAATTGGTTCGTGAATTATAATACCCTTTTTACCAAGCCATGTCGAAAATGTAATCATCGATTATTGGATGCATCCCCACCAACCTGGCGAGATTTCCGTACTGCGGACTGTTATCATGAAAAATGTCGTCCTTGAGTTAAGAAGGTGATAAGAAAACTGATTCGTTTTGAATACATATCATTATTATTTTGGGGTGTCTGAATTTTTTCTCCTTTCTTTCAAACCTTGACAGCTCGCCAAAGAAAAACCATTCCATCGATTAAAATATACAATACAATTGTAACTACCATCATATTTATAATACTGAACAGCAATCATAACCCGGATGAATTATTCAAGAAATCAAATCAGACTTTTAAATAATGTTTGCAAATCATTTGTTTAATTGTCTCATGTGCTTTTTCTACTATTTTTCGGACTAATAAACATAAATCCCAAATCTGTACATTTTGCGCCATTCTTAACATAATGTTAAATTCAATAAATTTTAGTGAAAATTATTTCGTTATAAATTACAAAATAACCTCTAAACAAATAATTTTAAGACTGCATCACTGCAAGTTTTGTGGTAAGAAGAGATAGAGAGAGGTTGTTCATATATTAATAATACAATAGATGGTGCTCTAGTTACAGTAAATAAGATACAGATTTTGTATCCTAAATTAGGATTCTTAATACAAGATGCAGCAAGTGATTTAATAACGTAATTTGGTTATTGACTAATTTTGCAACTATTGAAAATACAATAAAGCTTAGTGAAGTCGTTTTACGAACTACAAGTTTATTTGACATATGAAAACAATGAATAAAACAAATGAACTAAAGAAAAGTTGAAAAATGATTCAAACCAATCAAATCAGCAGGGTCTGTCGTTGTAATCTCCGATGATTAATGGTTGAATGTACCTTGGCGAATTATGAATACTCATTAAACAATCTGATTTTGGTGGACTGACTGCTCAATTTTTTTCCAGTAAATCAAACCAAACTTCATTTTCTAACTAAAGACCCGAAATTAAGCTAAAAATTGTATGAAGGAAAGTTAACCAGGAACGAAACAATCAAATTTACAAACAAAATTAACACTGGAATAATTCATCTAACAATGTAATTTGAACCACTAGATCCTTCAAATAACTTAAAATCTACTTTAATGTCTCGTATTGAGTAACTGCCTCTTTCGGAAACAGTTGTATTTGGTTGGACCTCAGCTCTTTTTTCAACACTAAATGTGCGAATTCATTTTCTTTATCACACCAAATATTCCAAAACATCTCATTTTTCCTAATTTTGTTTGCTAAATAGGTTCAGAATCGTATACAATTGCAGCCAAGACGTTATACTCTTTGGTTACAGCATTGAAATGCCATTAAAGTCGAGTGTATCTGTTTGGATTCACTGCTCGTATCAAGTATTTTATAAATACCGATAATTTGTTCCTCCATTAAAATGAAAAAACAATGAAACTGTATAATCATTATTTCAACAAAACTAACCATAATACCCAGTGAATATCATTCTGATACATTTTCATAGATGAAATATTTTGTTTCTATCATTTTCAGTAGCCTTTAGCTACTTTGTTATTGTCAATCAAATGTTTCATGCTAAATTATTGCTGGTTTGTGTTCTGTTTCAATTCATCAATGTTTCTTCCTTTACACAGATCTAAATGCTTTGTCCATCGTTTCATGTTCAAATTGTAAGTAGCATTTATTATTTAAAATTTCAACAATTCAATCTTCTTTAATAACAACAACATTTATCTTGAATACTCAACCTTAAACTATCTTTACGGGTAAAAGGTAAAAAGCATTAAGCATAACCATTTTGCTGCCTATTTCAATGAGAAATTTTAAAGTTGAATGATCATTTATTACAACAAGTGTTTTATGTAACTTTTTTATTAGTAAATTGTTTTGAACTTATTAATAATTGATAGCAAAAAGGATACATAAGTCGTAGGTTAATAGGAAAAGTTTAATTTTCATTAGTATTAACATTGTTTCTTATATCTATTCTCTCCTTAATAATCCATGACAAGAAGTAATTTTGACTCTGAACACCTTTTGTTTGTCTGACAGTCTCTTTTTGTCTTGTTTCAGATGCATTAGATGAGTTTACGTTGCTGATCGGAGAGATGATGGATCACGAGAGAAAATAACTTGATTTGATTTTTGATCGTTTGTGCGAGGACGAATATCGTTGTTGGCACGTATTTTCATATGATCAGACCGATAATCTTCGGTCCGAGCGGACGGAGGACGAGTTAATGGAAGAGGTGGCTTTGACGATGAGGTTGGCGTGTTGAAAGGAGAAAAATTGGAGAAGAAAGGTTCAGCATAATCTGCTTCACTTCCATAATTGTCATCTTCAGTTGTATCCAAATCAGTCCTGGACAGCATTTCTCCGATTCTAGGTGTTGATGATTTTGAGACATAACTGCTGCTTCTCGGTGAAGGGGATGACCGTTGAATATACAATGCTTGGTGTTGACTTTGATTGGAAAGTGAATGGTGGCTCGGTGTTTGATTAAGGCTGATTGTCTCAATGTTTGGACGGTTTGATCGAAGGGCATCAGGATGAACAACCAAATGGTCAATAATATTGTTCTTGTAGGCATTTAAGTGACTAATTAAATGCATCTTTTCATCTGGACTGTTGGACATGTTAACACTATCATTTGCATGTACATAGCCAGACGGTGAAGAGGATTGAACTTGCGAATGTGTCGGAGTTTGAAATTGCTGTTGGTGTAACTGTAACTGTTGCTGTTGCTGCTTCTGTATCAACAATAACATCGCCTGACCATCTTCCTCACCGCCACCATCATCACCAAACATGCTTCCAGGTTGTTTGTACCTGCGTTGGCTAACAGAAACATAGATGAAAACAGCTAAACATATGAGAGCAGTCGAGATGGCAATCACAAAACAGAGAATGTATATTTCCGGCTTGCGCCCATCAGGATAGGAAGCATTTGATCTTGGATATTGCATCATTGTGTCTTCATGGCACATTCCACCCGTACAGTTTCTAATATGAGAATCAGGACCAGTGCAGTCTTGTCCACCATATTTGGCCGGAGGATTGGAACAGGTGCGATGGCGAACCTAAACAATGGAAAGTTGAACCATGAAAGGAATGAAAGTTAATTGGTTGAAACGAAAAATTTGACGCAAATCTAAACTCTAAAGGTCAAACATTGGTTCTATTTGATGCTAAGAAATGTCAAGAATGCCTTTTCGGTATTATCCAAGGTTACCCAAGGTCATAACTTCACTACCAAGGTCGCTATTTTTAACCTCAACTAGCTGTACTGTTACGAGTTAATATAGTTGCGCTTTCCCTCCTAGGATGACCTCAGTTGATGGATAAAGAGCATTCCAATTTGACATAATCTCACATCATCAACCATCACATATTATATACTCAATTACGTTATAAAACTGATGCTCTTACCTGCTGACAATCATGTGAACAAGTTGACCAGGCTGACCAGGGGGACCAACGACCATCAATGGGACCACAAAATTTGTAACAATTTGGTATTTCAGCTGAATCATCGGCACAATCAAAACCTATTTCAAAGAAGGAGTCACAAAGTGTTGGTTAAATTGTAATTTGGAGAAATGAAAAGACCAATGAAATTTACAATATGGGATGGATTTCAAATTTTCAAGTTTCACCAAGAATAATAATCTTTAACATGATTATCAAAACAAACCTCAATAACCAATCAGCAACATTGTTATGATTAACTATCCAATTTACTATTACCTGGATGGCGACTGGAAAATTGTCTGACAATTAACCCACAAAATTGGTTCAATCATGTGAAACATTTTCTCGTGTTGACTATCCTTTAATTAAAGTCCTATTTTCACGTTTTACGGTGCATTTATAAAGAAACCGTTTTGTCTGGAAACCCAACATTTAACCTACCATGAGATTTAATTTTTGTGTGTGATCACTTTACATGATCCTTAATGCATTTGAAAGGGATGTTATATTTATCCAAACCAACCCATTTACATAAATTTGAAAAGCACCCTGTGGCCTGAGTAAAATGGATAATATCCCTTTGAAACTAGTGAAATCAACTTCAAGAATGGATTCTCCTTTTGAGCAAAAAAAGAGAGACTGATGAAAGTTTCATTTCAACCAACCTTTTCTGTATCACTCTCAATTACATAATTTAAAAGTCAATTTGGTTGGTTTCAACAAAGTATGCGAAAATTGATCACTTTTTAGCGAAAAGTGAATAAGATTGATTTCAATAACCATCTACATAAACCAGTAAAGTCAAAACAAAACGCTGCATCAATCTTTCTCTCTCTTGCTGTTGGATCAAAATTTTAAAGTTTTTAAACTTGAATTATGAAGTTGAACATTTTAGGCAAATCACAAAGTCACTTTGGTACGTTGAGGGAACGATAAAGAGTTGAAATTAACTAAACAGTAAGTAATAACATGAAGTAGTAGAGCAAAATAAATCACAAAAATTCACCACTCTATTCAATCAAGTAATACAATATTTATTTTTCATTATTTATTTTTCTCATTCTCTTAGTGTAACTTGGACTACTTTACGGGTCAACATTTACCTCATTCATTTATCCGTCGAAAAAGGAAAGGAAAGTGGAAAAATGGTGAAATAAAAATTGGCCTGATTGAATATTGAAGACAATTAAATTGCTGGGATTTCCATTGTGATGTATTATGTTTTTGTTTGAAGAGAAGAAATCAATTAGAATGAGTGTATTTGACAGTATAATTGATTATAAAAGTCGTCTTTTCAGGGCCTCCTTCTTCTTCTTCTTCTCTTCATCTTTTCTTCATCTTCTTTTATCATCATCATCTTGCCTAGGAAAGATATAAGAAACGTTACACTGTGACTGCACATGACTTTGGTTTCCCCACTGCGAGAAGATCTGCATCATCATTTCTCGTTCATCTTTATTTCTTTTCTTCTTCTTCTTCTCCTTTTCTTATCTTCTCCTTTCTTATTCTCTGTGATGAGTTGATGCTGTTAAGGATGGGGAACATAAATATCATTTAGAGGAAGTTGAAGAAGATGATGAAGATGGAGAAGAAGACAAAGAAGAAGAAGAAGGAGAAAAGGACAAACAAAGTAAGTTGCAAAGGGTACCAAAAGGACTTGATGGAAACAGCCTAAGCATCCCAAGATGGATGGATAGTGAAAAGATCAAGAGATGTGGAAGGAGAAATTAAAGGAGAAAGCAAAAAAGAACCGGAAAGAACCATAGATAACATCCAAATTTCTATAGGATCTTCTAGATGAAAGTATGATGGTGAAGAGGAGGATAAAGGGCGAGGTTGATGAAATTGATAGAGAAACTGAGAGAGAGAGAGAGAAAAGAGAGTTGAAATGATTGCCATCCAAAACTCATGCAGTTTTTACTCATCTCTCAGTTATTTACGCATCATTGTACATCAATGATATTATCTAGTTAAATGTAACAATTCAAGTTTAACTTTTAAATCTGTGAGTAAAAGAGGCACATAAATAAAGCACAAAGATGATAACATGATTCTTTCAACATGATCATCATGTTATCATCAATAATGTTATAAAAACAACAAACATGCAAAAGTCAAAATGTAATATACATAGATAACATTAAGTGACAAGAGTTAACAAATTGAACCCAAAGTCTAGTTGAATTGATCAATTGACGATCCAAATGATTCATTTCATCTTTATGTCCATCCTCACCGTCCTCACCATCATCTTAATCATCTTAATCATCAACATCTTTACTCACTCAATGAACAAACAAAAATATTAGTATGCAATGAAAATAATAGAGAGCAACAAATTGATAGGAAGATAAAATATTATTGCAAATAAACAACAACACTGCTACCAATAAAGTTCATGTTGAGGTTTATTGGTTTGATAATCATTTTGATGGTAATAAATAAAGCAGATAAAATTGTTTCGCCTAAAAATGGTTTCGCCTTAAATCCAGTTTTCAGGTTTTAGGATGAAGATGGCAATGAAACGATGAATATCATAAAATGAAAGTAATTTCACAAACAAGTGTAACTAGCAAAATGCATAAAGTAACGAGTAAACTGAATCACATTTTGCTACATAATTTTACCAGACAAAATGAGCAATTCCTGGATCATCAAGTGAATTGAATTTTAAATTTGAATCTATTGCTTTTGAATTTGCACTGTTTGAGCATCTAATTTGATTTGCCAGAAAAAAAAACAACAAAATGTTGCGGCTTTTAATTGTAAGCTAAATTGTATGAACAGTTGAAAGCATAATAACTGTCATCGGGATAAAAGAGCAAATTTTTATCCCAAAAGCAAATAATAGGGAATAATAAATGTTATTGTTGATAAAAATAAATGTGAATACATAAAATTGCAGTCAAGATATAATGTTATGGAAAGTGGAATAACGTTTGAATATAATTTCGTTGTCATAATTATTTGAATATTATTACATTAGACATTTAGTGTTGGTCAATAGAAAGTCCAGTTGAAAGGGAAGATGAAGATGAGAAGATGAAGATGGAAAAGAGAGGGAAAAAAGAGTTTCTTTTTGGGTTTGCTTTTGTTTTGCTAATGTTTTTGTTTGCCAATGAAATTGGTGAAGATGAAGGTTGCTTCAAGGGATTGCTTTATTTTAATGGATGTAAGTTTGATTGAAGTATAATGAATGTAAAGATAAATATTGTTCAGTTACAACCCACAATTTGATTAAATGGAGAGCAATTAAATTTAATCATCAATTGATGGGGAAGCGAGAGTGAAACACAAAAGTACCCAATGATTATGAGGTATTTTTTGGTGAAAAACTGGTTGAAAACCTTTTAAGGTTATTATTGTTGAATGGTTTTTCAAGTGAAAACAAAAGACGATTGGTAAAGATTAGGAAGATGGTGTTGAATAACTGAATATGTCAAACTGAATCTGGAGTCAGGAATCTGACAATGAAATGTCGATGACAAACTTAATGATTGTTTCAGATCAACATGATTTGACGCGATTGTGAAGATGAAATGTAAGAAATTGTAAAAGATATAATTTGATCAAATGTTGAAGGCAAAGAAAAGACATTTTCATCAAAGATTGCAAGGGAAACTTGGATTGAAGGAAAGATGATAAAATGATGATGATGATGATGATGATGATGGTGAGGATCAATATGAGCAAAGTAGAGAGGGAAAAAAGGGTCAAAAAAGAATCAAAAATATTGGAAGAAATGGTTTTTAAAAAGCATTTTCTTCCTTAAACGGCAAACAATTATTTCCATGAAAAGATTTCTTCTTTTTTTTCATCATTTTCTTCAAATGTCTGGATGATTGTTTGATAAATAAACGTTAAATATGTTCAACCACACCTAACCGAGGAAACTGATTGTGACTGTTAATGTTACAATAATGATAACCCTGAGAATGGTCATGGAGCGAACAATTGATGAACAGAAAAAAATAAGTGAAAAGATTGGGATGAAAATCAATGAAATAACGTGATGAATAAGGTAAAGGTTTTACAGGATAGGATAAAAGGTAAGTGAAAATGGTGATTTCGTGATGTTAATAAACAAGTGAACAAAATTGGGATAATATCATCATTATGATATTGGGTGATGAGAAGGAAATATTAATACAAGAATCAATGAGCAAGTTTGACTTGGAAACGGTAAATTGATTTTCCTTGCCTTTTCACCAAATCAGTGAAAAAGGTAAACGGAAAGTGATTAAAGTTTAACCTTTTGTTATTCAGATGAGTTTGATCTTTTGGATTGAATCGCAAGCCAACACTTGAAGGAATGAACCAAATGAATATTGAGAGTTAATTAAAGGGTTTGATGAAAGTAAAGATAAACATTGAGGAAACTTGGAATATCAATTGGTCATTTATCATTATTGATAGGTCAGTGAATTACAGAAATACCATGAATTATCACGTAAAGTGAGAAATGAAAAACAAAAGGGTCAACATCATTGTTTGGATAATTATTTTGGTCCATTATTGATGTTGCTTTTGATCCTATTTTTGATATTATTGATGTTATTGTTAATGTTATTATTTATGTTGATAGTTGTTTGTATTGTTATTGAATTAATGAGGTAAAGACTTTTTGTTTTTGGAAAAACCTTTTTCTTCTTATTCCATTATTAATGGTGATTTCGTTGATGATTCTGATGATGATTGATGCTCTCTCGATCCCATTAAGACATGGTCAGGTGGGATGATAACATGTGATTGACCTGTGTTAAACCTCCAGAGGTTTAGGCCAGCAATTCAAAGAATCCAGAAGTTGTTTATCAATTTAGTTTGTCCATTAGCTTTGGATAATAGATAAAGTTATTCTGATAAAACATCAGTTTTTACCTTTTCTTTTGATCAACTTTTTTTCCAAAAATGTTTAACCAACTTATGATCATGTTCATGATGATAATGATCATGTTGATAATGTTGAGAGAAAATTCAATTTTTGAGGTCAATTTTTATTTCTCTCGAGATAAGCAGTTGAAACATTTTCTGTGGTCAGAAAAGCTGATAAATTATTTGAAACTTGCAACTAATGCTTGTCCAAGCTTTTGTAATTCAACTGAATCGGCAGAAAATGAGAATCGATAGAAATTGGAAATTCTGTGAAAAGGTTTTCTGTAAATTTTACGATAAAAAAAATGAAACACAACCATTTAAAAAGTGGGAAAAGAACAGAAAAAAAGGAGAAATTTTGAGAACAAAAAAGTCGAGCTTTGCCAGAAAAAGTTGACATAAAATGTTGAACATTAGGTTGAGGATAATGATTATTAAATGTAACAAAATAAATAAATAAATCAACTGCAAGGTTAAGAGGGTCAATTGAATGTCTCTCATTATGATTAGTTTGGTTAAAAATTGACAACTAATCAACTAAAAATACTGCAGGCCAGTTTGGTGTTTTTGTTGCCTTTTTTTCAGGCCAAAATGTTTGTCTCTTTTGATACTAATGATAAGCACCCAAAAGTCAAAGAAAGCAACTTTTTGCTCTTCATCCTCCAGACTATACATCACAGATGACAGTTGATCCTCAATCGCTATCTTCATCATCATCATCATCATCAACTTTACTTTTCCCGTAATTAATGCTAATGAGATGATATTCACTAGGAAAATATTATGTTAAGGGAAGATGAATAAGACAAGCTTGACTTGAATATTTTTCAACACACAACTTGAATCATCTTCATCATCTTCATCTTCAGTCATCTCTATTTGTGTCTTTCTTTTCAAATATATAGCCACTTATGTTTGCTTACCAAAATAAGGAACCATTTTTAAGTGAAAAACTTATATTTTTGTCTTCTTCTTCTTCTTCTTTTTGTGTCCTTTTCACAGGAAAAGCAAACGTTTATTAAGTTTATTTTAATCAACACAAAATGAATTACTTTTTGGCTTCAACTGTTCATCCTGTTCATCATCTTATCATCAGTTGTTTGACCATCAACTTAACTGCTTGAAATAATTTATTGAAATTTTTGAAGCAAAAAATTTGGTGAACAGTAAAATATTATTGAAAGTATTGGTGAAAAGTTGAAAAGCTTGAAGAAGCCAGGAAAAGCTGGAAAAGTGTAAAAGATAAATAAATCTGTAGACAAAATGGTGAGAAGAAGATGCAAGATGATGACAAAGATGAAAAGATAATGAAAACAAAAGAAACACAAATAGCAAATGGAAGATAAAGATGAAGATAAAGATGAAGTTAAAGAAGGTAACTTTTCCTCCTCAACAGTCTGAGCAAAAACATGTGTTCAAATGCAATCATGAAAACACTGATCTTCCGAATTCCCAAAAAAGATCATTGAAATGGTGAAAAACATGGCAAAGATCATTTCAAATGAATTACAATCGACATCAGATATTTCACTTTTTATGGTTCCAAAGCTCATATCTTTTAGTCAAGTTCAACTCACACTAAACAAATCTAAATGTAAACCTTTCATCTTTAGTTCAATCTTTCACTGAGCATTTCTGTTTCCATATCTGACTATCAGTGTTGCCTTCCTTAACCATCTTTTGTTCACATCTGGAAGACAAAAGATGATGGTTATGATGATAAAAGATTTGAAACAAAAGCTCGTGCCAATGAATGTAACAAGAGATGCTTCTTCCTATTGTTATCTTCATTATGAGCTGAAGATGAGTTTTGGGTAAAAATGTTTCTACTTTCGATTTTTGTTGTTCATTCATTTCCTTTCCTTTCACTGAATTTTCAAAATATGTCATGCAAATCCTTTAATAGCCAAATTTCATGATCTGATCATGATTAAGTTGACACTCTTTCATAATCTAATTGATTAATGTAAATTAATTTGTTATCTACTTTTGTGTCTTCCAGTCTATTGACACAATCAATGTGTTATTGTTAAAGACAAATCTATTTAGTCAACATCTTTACATCAATACATTAAACTGCTTCTTCACCTTCAACTGCAATCAATCATAGACTAAATATCAATACAATAAACAGAGGAATCAGCAAATCAACATAAACATCTTTTCCTAATTAATCATGTTTCATTGCTATTCATTTACATCAATAGTTAATCATCAACTTGAACAACAAATGGATTTACAAGTTAAAAATGGTTCAATATTGAACAAATTATTGTAAACTAAACATAAATAAAGGCAAAATAAATTGTTGAAGTAAAAAACAGTTTATCAACATTCAACTCTTTTAGCATTGATTACAATCAATGGACGAGATGGTTTGATGAATGAAAAGTTGATGTTAATGGTTATGTTAATTATCGCTGTAAATGTGATTAAAGTGACTTGAGTTTTAAGAGTTTTGTTTACTCAGATTGTTGAACCTTTCCCAATGAACATTTGTTTACCCTTCAATGTTGTGCAAAAATTGTTTATTTGAACGTAAAGAGGCCAAAAAGATGAAGGATGATGATGCTTTTAAGATGAAGACACAAAATGATCGTTAATCGATAAGTCGTTTAAGTAGGTTGAAAGATGTTCAAATGTTCACCAGGGATTCTGTCAATGAATTCAATGCAAAATGAAGCTCACAACCTTTTCTAATTACTGTTAATGTACCTAGTATTGCGGTCAATTGGTGACCACTGAGCAAGGTTAAAGGTTACCTCACAGTACGAGGTAATCTTGATGAAGATCAACATTTGACTTCAACAGTTAAGGTAATCAAGACAAGACTAAAAGAAACGTATTCAGGTTAAAATGATTTATTCAAGTGTCAACATAATTATCATTGTAATAACAAGAATGATGGACAACATTGTCATGGTTTTAGATTCAATTCAAGATTACACTTTACAAGATTTCACCAAACTTTGTATTCTCAAAACTATCTGAACAAACATTGAAACGATTACTGAAGTTCAAGAATGGAAATTTAATTTTCTGTAAATCATTTTAATCTTGTTTCAACTCGCAAATGATTTATGATTGTAATTTGATTTGTTGCATTGATTGTTGAGGTTTCAATGGTTTTTTAGTTTAAAGTTAAACTTGAAAATGTTGTTTCAGTTGGAAGGTTTTTTACAGGGAAAATAAGGTTAAAGGTTACTTACATGAAAACTGTACAGAAGCTTTTCGACTGTCAATGTTTACCCTTTGGGCACCACCGAATGCTGAACACCAACATTTATAGATTGATTTCTCGGAATCTAAATCATCTCTTAATAAGTTTCCCTGAAGTTGGGAATTGCTTGAATAATCAATATCACCTTTACTCACATTGAGAGTTAATTCAACCTGGAAAAGGAAAAGAGAGTAAAATTAGCAAATCAATCCTTTGAATATCACAATTTACAATTTACATTAATTATAATACATTAAAAGATGAGATTAAAAATGGGCTTCTTTTCATGTTTAACCTTTTCATTTGCAAAATTATACATTTGTTAATGTTTTTCATGTTTATTTAACCCAAACTCAAGTGTTAATGGCTCAAATTGGTGAGATTTAATTACACCTTTTTTCATTATTATTTTGTTTCTTCAAAAGGTAAACATGGAAAATGTGATTAATCTAATCATGATTAAAGGTAAACAATTTCAAGATAATCCTCTTTTTAGCTTAGCCTTTGCTGTTGAATGGTTAGTTGATGATAATAGTTGTAAGGGAATACAAAAGGTTGATATTAATGATAATATCAGTTCAAGTAATATTGTGCTTATTGGAGTGGATTAAAGGTGACTGAACATGATAGCCTGGTAAGTCAGTGATAATGTAATGAACACAAAAATGGATCAAAAGGAAAGACCAGAAAAGATGTTGATCAGTTTTCAGTGTTTCATCTTTTCTCTGGTCAATTGTGATAGAACACTTTGACTCATGATAAATGGATGAATCAAGATTTGTATTTACATGTCAAACTTGGAACATTATTTTTCCTGAAAAACTAACCCAAGTTCAGAAGGAAATATTAGACATTGATGAGGATAACAAAAATTGTTGATAAATTTTGCTTTTCTGTGAAGCTTTTTGTTGTATTTGTTGAGCGTTTTTGCTCTTCTTCACTTTTACTTCAAGTTATCATTTGAAAGAGACTTCATTCATTGAAGTTATTGAAAGTTATTCAAATTAGAAATGAGAACAAAAAAGTTTATTCTTGAGAATATTTTTGTCTCTTTTTTTTTCCTGAAATCGTTTTCCTGTGAAAAAGCTCACAGGGAAATGCATAAACATGGCGAGCAATTGACAGAGGATGAAGATGATAATGATGCTGTAAAACATTGAATACCATTTACAAGTCAAAAATGGTTTCTTTTTGTGACACTTTTTTTGCCACACTTTTCACACATTTGTGCTTTTCATGTTCATCAATCTGAATTGTTCACCACAATGATGATGTTGATATTGAATTTCAATTTGCTTTTTGTTTTTTTCTTTTCATTTCATTTTCTTCTTTTCCATCACTGTTTCCAATCAGTTAATGATGGTTAACTCATTGAATTGCTGATCATTGTTATCACCTTTAACAATCTGTAAGTTAATGTTGCCCATTCAATTGATGACTTTTGACCAATTCCTATTTCACAGGGAAAACGCAGTGATATTTCAATAATCGGTTCAACAAAAGATAACTCGAGAATAAAGCTCAACATTTCAACAGTAATGACGATAATAATGGTAATGATAGAGTCACTGTCAAAAGTGTAAAGAAGGTGAAAAAAGTCTTATCTGACATGATGATGATACAGTTGCTCTGATATATCATTTTGAGGCAACAAAAAAAGTTGCAACAAAGACTCATCATTTGCAATTGTAAAATGTCATAGATTTGTATTTCAATTTTGCTTCATCAATTTTCAGTTACAGGGCGAAAAGTGGAGAAAAACATTTTTTTTGTTTTTCATCTTTTCTCTACTTTGAGCAATTGACTCTGAATTGCTAGCCAACAGTGATAATGATAAACTAGAGCAGTCAAGTGGACTGTGCAAAAGTGCCAGTAAAGTAAAGACTCGAGAAAAGGATAATTTTTCAAGAAATTTTTTCTCCATTTTTTAGGTTCGCCAAGCAGACCGTATAATTATGGGTGTCAATGGATAACCACGCTCTCAATCATCGAGAGAAAGCTGTTGAGAAGAGAAACTTTTTTTTCTTCTTCGCCTAAAATTCATTTTCTTGTTACATCACAAAAATTGCTTTCAATTTAATTGGAATCATTAACGCGACTCATTTATAATCAGAAAAGTTCTGAAAGAAACTGAAATCATTTTCAACTCTTTTGTTGAAAATGGTGAAAAGCTTTAAGCTTTATTTTTCATAATGAAACAAGACAATCCATTTTCAACTTTCTTTCATTCCCTTTTCATGATAATTTTTCAGGGAAAATGAAAAGTTGAATTGAAATGTTAACATTGCAATCATTTCTTCTTTTACCATGTTTCTCATCATTCTATTCATTCCTTGTTAATATATTTAATATTATACTTTGCATCTACTTTGGGTGAAATTCATTTGACAGGGAAAACGCAAGAAGGCAAAAAAAATGTGATAAGCTTTTGATCAAAGAAAAGGCAAATAGTAATAAGAATAGTTTGATTTTTTCTTTTCCATCTTATTCCAAATTGAATAAATTGACTATAAATTCCGGTGAAAAATTCTTTGTCAAAAAGAATTGATTTGGAAGAGAAAAGTAGAGCAAAAAAAAGTTCTTATTTGTCTTGATCTTTTTAAATATTTTTGTACACTTGCTGTTATTACATAAAGGGATTTGTTTTGTTCAATTCAATTGTTTACTGTATTCAGTGTTGAGGGTAGAAAAAGTTGAATTTACATGAACAAGAAAATCATTTCTGAATCAATGACAGAAACGTTCAATTGAATATCAACAATCAACTTTGACTGTTAATCAAAAATGGATCCATTTCATTACGCTAATGCTTTCAGACTTTTTATTGATGTTCAAAGAAATGATAATTTTTAGATTAACAATAATTTTTTGCCTTTTTATTAAATTATTTTCTTCTTTTGGGAAATGCTTTTTCATTTGTTTAGAAACTCATTTTTCACAATTTCGTTCGATAAAGAGTTTCATGAGATAATCTATGCCTTTTCAGGGGATCATGAATTCGTTGAAATGTTGCCATTTATCGAGTTATAATCTTTTCAATTTAACTGTGAAAATATTTATTGATTCAATTCGTGAATATTGAAATGGATATTGAAATAGCCTGGAAAATGTTTTTCCTCTTCTTTACATTTTCTGTTCACTTTTTTATCAAATGTAACCAGAAGGAAGAGCAAGGTAGGAAAAAAAGGTGAAACAAAAGTGATGAGGATAAAATTGAGATATGAAAAGATGCAATGAAAATGATGGTGAAAATGGTTGCCAAAAAATGGATAACTTATGAGATGAGTTTTGCACCATTTTTCAAGTCAACATTATCAAGACAGGGAAAGCATTAAGGCAAATGTGATATTAGAATAACTTTTTTTACCATTTTTTGCATTCCCTGAATTTCATGAGGTTGCATTGAAATTACCAAATTTTGCACTCTTTTCATCATTTTCCTTCCTTTCTCATTTCTATTCAAGTTTTACACCATTTTTTATTCAAATGTTCATTCATAATAGCAACTTAATGTCATCATGTTCCCACTTGGATTGGTGTTGACCAATTAACGGGAAAAAAACGAGTGACACCAAAAATTTCAACCTCGTTTCTGTGTAGTTACAATGCCAAAGAAGCGAAAAAAATTGATTAAATTGATGAAAAGCAATCAAATACAAAGATGAACACTTTTTTTCGAGTTCGATTGTTGATTTACCACAAAGATGAGCATAGATAATGAATTTGCCCACAAAAACCGGAAGAGTTTCACTTTTTGTCACTTTCCGATGAACATGATTTTGGCCTTTTGGTGAAGCTTTTACTTGATTGGTGAATCCTTTCATCAAAGACCACCAAGAATCAGGAAAAAAATGATTGAAAGTGAATGTGAAAGGTAAAAAAACGTCTTTTCTCATCACACTTTTTTCAAGCTTTCTCAAGTCAAAGTTTAAGCCAAAATGCCATCTGAATGGTTGGACAAAAAATGCTCAAGATTATCCTGATCATCAGTTTATCTTTCATCTTTTTACAACAGTTTAACAGCATTTCATTGTCTTAACTCATTTAGCAAAGTGGATCAATTGAGATGATTCTGAATGGCTTTGAATGGGAGAAATGTTGGTTTTCGAGAAAAAAAAGGTTCTGATTGTAAGTTGAATAGTTAATTCAACAATCGCTCTTTTTCAACCATTAAAGGTGGGCGCTGGTGACACAAGAGGAAGGGACGATTGTTGGTTCCTTTTCTGAACTGGCTATAAAGAGTCTTACATGATTCGAGTAAAAGTTCACAGTGAAATCTGGTGAAGATTGAGAAGTGAAAGTTTGAAAGCAACTTTTAAAACACAAACTTCATTAAAAATCCAGAGTTGGAGTTAAACATCGAAGTGATTCCAAGCGATTTAAAGTGTGCAAATCGAGTGAAGCAAAGTTGACCCGAGTTGATCGTGTCCGTGTCTTAAAGTTGCCTGGAACAAGATTTTTGAAATTTTTGGATAAATAAAAGTTTCGATTTAAAGTCACTATTTATCAATGACAAGTTTACGAGGATATCTAACTGGTTTTGTGGTTGCTTTTACTTTGGTCAACCTGGCCTCAACCACTCACCATCACGGTGGACACAGCAATATATTTCGTAAACAAGATGATTGGGGAAAGTACGAGTTCGCCTACGACATTCACGATCCTTGGGGCAATAAAAATTTCCGTAAAGAGCACGGACACTTTACAAAGAAAGGTGGTCATGTAGAGGGTTCTTATGGTTTACACGATTCCAAAGGACGCCTTCGTATAGTTAAATACACTGCTGGCAAAGGTGGCTTTGTTGCATCAATTAAAACAAACGAACCTGGAACCTCAGATGAAGATGCAGCAGCTGCCTTTTACAATGGCAAAGATCATGATCATGGTAAGTAAACCAGTTAAAAATCAGTTACAAGTGCATTCCAAACTGAACAATTTCCAAGCTTCCAATTTCAAAATTTTAATGGAAATTTTTAGGTGAACTTTCATCATATTTAGCGAAAAAATTGATGCAAGTTGAACAAGAAAAGTTCCAAGTTCTAAGCATAAAATGTACAAATCTAGAAATTGTCGAATTTTGAATGTCAAAATTTTCGATTTACTTGAGAGTTGAAATTTGACTGATCCTTTGATTCACTAATTGAATTTACTTTTTTGCATTTCAGGTAAATGGAAGTACGATGTTAAAACTCACCATGAAAAGGGCAAAGACGATTGGGGCAAAGACCATTGGGGTAAGTTTAGTTCCAAGCACGAGTAACAGTTGATGCTGATAATGATCTGGTTTTAGCTTTGAGTGATTTCATTGACAACCTTTAAGATCAAACTGAAGTTTAAGATAAACTTGAAAATCTTTAAACATTTTTAGTTGTTTGCTTCAATCACTCCAAGCTGACCAAAATCATCTTATCAACTGAAAATAGGTGTAAAAAGGGTTCCTTTTGGGTTTTGGGTTTCCACTAATCTAATCTTAGGAAATGTGTTGATTGAGATTTTTGTTTTTTATGCTCATCATTGTTTTAAACAAAATAATGATTTCCAATGAAACTTCAATTTTACTGTAAAAAGTATTCGGATTGAATGAAGCTGTAAGTGGTCTTATAATTTTGTCAACCAGTGTACAATCCCTTGATCCTGGTTATCGACTTTTGTGATGTCCAATTGTAAAGATCATAATGATGATTGATGCCAAAATAAATACAAAAAAAGATTGTGATAATTGATTGTTTTAACCCGTTAAAAGTCAGGTATTATAAACACAATCACAAAATAAATTTTGATAGAAGCGCTATTAAAATGAAAAATCAAAAAACATTGGGAAACCCAAAGCAAAGCCTCAATATTTGATCAATTCAACTAACTTCACTTTTCCTTCAATTTTAGGTAAACATGACGATCACAAGGATGACCATAAAAGCCATCATTCAAAGGGTCATTTCGACCATTACGCTGCAGCTGCCAGTGAAATACATTCATCTAAACAATATGAATTGCCAATCTCAAGTGATTCAGGTGAATACAGGCGAATCGCTAGTCACTTACCAAGAGCTAATTTTGCTTTCCTTTAACCCAATTGAAACAATTTGAACAATAAAATTCACTTTTTTTAAACATCAAAATTGTTCTCTGATTTTTCATCTGAAAATGTAAAATGTTTATGATTGACTGGATTGCCTTTAATTGATTTTGCTGATTTTTCATGAGAAATGCTAAATGATTGCTAAAATTGTTTATAAGAAAAACAAGCTTTTATCATCAGCATCTTGTTATCGCTGCCATAAAAGATGATCATGATGAGAAGATAATTAAGAGATGAACAGAATACAAGTTTTCTAGTCTTTTGATTATTATTTTATGTTATTCACAAGTAACCTTGAAAGTTGCATCTTTATCATGATATCAATTCAGTGTATGGATGAAAAGATTCACAAGATTGAGCTAAAAATCAACCTTTGCCTGTTCATGTTTAGTCATGTCTTCGTCTTCAACATTATACAAGTAAAATCAATTTACCGTGAAATGTCAAATAAGAAGCAAACCTTTTACAATCTCAACAAATTTATCGTCTTTTCCATCACCATTATCATCTTTATCATCATCATCTTCCAAACATCTTTTACCTTTACTTAAGCATGTGAGATGAAAAGATGTCAGATAAATTACCATTGTTTCATTTGGCCATTTGTTAACAGGTAACAACAGAAGCTGTAATATACAAGAGATGAAAACCTGAATTTTGAGGAAAGCTGAAAATCAAGTGATTCTTAATGAAAATCATTTCCATCTAGAGTCAAAAATAATTATTGCGCTGTAATTTAATGCACATTCAAGAGTTGAATCAACTTGGCCCTTCACGAGGGATTGAGTTGTAACGCTGTCGTGCTGTTAAGTGAACTCACCAGGTCTGCGAATGATACAGCTCAACAGGGTCAACAGTCTCAACAAAAGCAAAATGAATAACAAAAATGAAAACCTTTTCAAATTGTCTCTTCATTTGTCACAATAATGCAAAACAGTCTCATCAATGCCCAATGCAAAGAAACCCTTCAAGATATTAAACTTTTTGTTCATCTTCAAGTTAATCTGCCATTAAACCTGAAACTTAAGGTAAATGAGAATCAGCAATAGCGCAGAATTAAGGAAATGATATTTTCTGCAATTCCAAATGCAGCTTTTGCGCATAATTCAGTAATCAATGAATAAACTCAGTCATTTTCAATGGAAAAATAAGCAAGCAAACTTGAAATTCAAATTTACGATGAAATTCTTTGATAATTGATCTAATTTCACATTCTTTAGTCTTCAAGTAACGCTGGGTAAAGCCTGATAACTTGTATGCAAATAAGTACACAAGACTGATACTTAAGATAAAAGCAACAGTGAAGGGCCTTTGCATCAGCTATGCTATTTGAGCTGTGAGAAGGCGCAATTAGTCACTTTATGAATCCAGTTAAATAAGCAACATTGACAAGTTTACTTGACTTGAAGCGAGTTACCGTTTCAGATTAAATGAACCATCAATGAATCAGTATTGTCCAACAATTTGTTGTCATAATAATGCAAAGATGAACATTAAACAGTTAAAGTCAGTAAAAGCAAACTGAACAGCAACACAAGTCAAGTGATGAAGCTAAACAAACAAAAAGGGAAAAAAACAGTGAAACAAAAAACCTAGTAACATTGACCTGGTAAAATGAAAAAACAAACAAACAGGTAAATACAAGCCACGTGATGATAATACTTCATTTTCATCATAATGAAGATAAATGATGAAAAAAAGAGGGAAAAGTGATGGAAGGTGGAAAAGACGAACAGAAGGAAGAAAAGCAAAAGGTTGACATGAAAACCAAATTGGCAATAGTAATGATAATATTGCTAATAATAAGTTATTCAATTGACAGGTAAAAATTGGGTTCGATATTGAGTTTCACGACGATAACCTTAACAACAGGGAATTAATAATATCTGTAAAAGGAAATGGATGAGTCGGGTAAAGATGAATGCTATTGATGACCCTATGCTGGGTAAACTTTTTTTGTTGTTGAATGACATATATTTTGTATAAAAGGTAGAAACTCAGGTAAACATATATTTCAGATGTTATCACAAGTTTTCCTTTTCTCTCCTTCTTTTTCATCTTCATCTTCTCGTCATCATCTTCTTCTTCTTTAGCATCTTCTTCAACTGTATTTACTTTGATCGTAAAAACTGGATTCTTCTTTCCTTTTGCCTCAAGCTCTTGTTTCTTATACACTTAAGTGTCTTAAGACACCAACCATTGACCAACCTAGGTAAGGGTGTAGTACAAGTCTATGTAATCTTATTAATCGGCTGTACCAAACGCTTTCCCACGGTTACCTGAACCTTACCTTTCCAGTCTCTAGATTAGGTGGGTTTGTTATTTTATAGTTTAACCTTGTGTCAAGGTATAACCTTTGTCCAACCATTCAACCTTTAGCTATATCAGCTGTAATGATTATCATCAAAGATTGAACATTGAAAACAAAAAGATTAGACTTTTCAATGTAAATCTCATTGCAAGGCTAATTGTTGATTCAATATTTGATGGGTTGGCTGATTGATTGACAATTTTACCTTTTTTTTATGAACATTAATTGACATGATTAGAGGATAATTTAAAGCAATCAGTTTTTTTTTCATCAAATGATTGACATCAATTGTTCAATTGGTTTAATGTTTGATTTTATTGGGCCACTTTGCACACTTTGCTAATTTTGGCTAATATTTGTCAATTAAATGCGGAAATTTGTTTAATTTTGAAAAATGCCAATTTTAATTAAACAATTTGGTTAAATTGCTTGCGATTTTAAAAGTGAATTGGCAATTATATTGGTTAACATTAAATGGCCCAAAATTATCTTTACTTTAAATTGTAGTTCGTAATTGAACTGCAAAGTGGAAAAGTAATGAAGATGAATTTGAAATTGACTTGAAATTGAGTTAAAATTGAGTTAAAATTGGACTCTAAATTGAACCCTGAAATGAAGTTAAAATTGAAGTTTAGATTAAAAAAAGTTTGGTCAAACCAGATTTCAAGTAAATGAGACAATTTGACATCAATTATTAAATAGATTGAATAACTTGTGAACAATTGAAAATGATTAGAGTAAAGTTGAGTCCATTTACAAGATGAACAATGAACATTATCCAGAATCAAAACTACATTTTGGTACAACAATCTCAATCTCATTTGAAAGGGAAAACCTGAAAAGCATCATAATCATTATTTCAATGATAATGACGATTCTCATCATTAGTCTGGAAATTGAAAAACAAGTGCAACATTGGGAAAGCAAATGAATAGCAGAAAAAAAAGAAGATGAGAAAAATTGAATTACTCAGGAAATTGTTTCGGAATACAATATAAAATACAATGGAAACAGCAAAGGATTGCAGGACCTTTAATGGTCAAGAGATGATAAACAATAAACAGTAGCATAATTAGATTAATTAAGGCAACTGTTCATATTTACATAAGTCCAACTCAATTTTTCACCCATTAACGTAATTAATCTGATAGAGTTGAATGTAAACTTACAATTCGCTGGCCAGTTTCAGGGTCAAAATAAGCATGGCTAGTTTCACGTTTCCTGATATCCTCTTCACGACCTGTGTAAATAGATGAAAGACACATTAATTGATAATCGTTATAAAAGGCCAAAAAAGAAGAGGAAAAAATTGCATGAATCAAGATGAATGAATGGATGAGGGATGAAAATAATGATGTTAAGGGATGACGATAAGACTGTGTTTATCCTAAATAGTTTGATAATGGGTAAGGCAATACAATGAACAATTACCTCTGAACAGAAGAAGCAGAAAAGGGAAAAAGTGAAATTAAAGTTAACCTTTTGTAAATTGCAAGCAAGTTTGAAAGTTAATTCACTTTGAACCTCTGGATAAATCTGAGCTCCATTGGAGGCTCATGTTCAACTTTAATCACTGTTGTTGTGGTAATTGTGTTTAGTGGCAATTTAAGGGAAAAAAATGCTATTTTTAAGCGCAATTTTTGCTCATCACTTTACGCCAATTTTTCATCAACTTTTCACCAATCGTTTAAATATGTTAATTAAAAGTAAATGCTTTTCCCATTACTTAATTCAATTGATTTGCTCTATTCAGATACATTCAGTTCACATCATTATAATCATGAATTCATTTTCCTTTTTTTTCTCTCTGTTCAAAATCTTCTTTTTTTTGTTCAATTTATAAAATCAGTTTTCAGTGAATGAACCTGAAAAGATGAATATTAATGGAAACTTGAATTTCTAATCATTTTCCATGGAAATCATGAACAATTATCGGCTAATGTGTTTGCTAATTAAGATGTTGTTACATGGAAAATGTTTCCTCTGTTTTCTTGATCATTGCAATGATTGTATTGATAACAATGTCATTGATTGATTAACATGAAACAAGATTAATGAGTGATCAAGTGATGGTGATATTTGCATGTTAAAGTCATTGAATATTTTTTTGTGTAAATTGTTTCAAATATTATCATGAAAGGTAAATATATTTGTATTTCATTGGCATTTGATAGCGTGACAATGATAATACAACTGTAACATCACTTGATCCTGTCAATGTTTAAATTGTTAATCATTTCAAGATATTGTTCAGTAGAGGTTCCAAGAGGTTTCAGTTTTCATTTCTTGTAAGTGTTTGCCAATTCAGTTTAAAACTTGAAACAATCAATTGATTTATTTACTTTTTTATTTAAATTCTCAAGAGATTCAGAGTTGATAAAAGACACAAAAAAATTAATCTCAACTGTTCACTGGCTCTGATTGATTCAATATTTTTAAGGTAAACATGAAATTGATTTTATAATGAGATGAATAACATTAAACTTTTCATTGGCAAACATTTCAGTCAACTAGACGAAATTGAGATTAAAAAACAAAATTGAAATTAACCTTACAATCAATTTACATGAATTATGATAAACCAGATAAAAATTTCATTTACAAGCATTCGATAAGTATCAAAGACTGAATACTTCAAATCGCTATTCAATGAAAAGAAAATAAATATTTTAACTTCAAAAAATAGATTTTTCATTTTATCCAGTTAGTCCTGAAAAATAGTCATTCACTGAACATTCAACAATTGAAATAATGTTACTAAAACAATAAATCACTGAATTATCGATCGAGTTTCCAAAGAAATTCTGAAATCTGTCGATCATTGAAATCGCAGAGATTCGAGAAATACTTTCAAGTCTATCAGTTATGGAAGTCGTTTCTGCATTTTGCATTTTGCTTAAAATTTGGAATTTCCAGAAGTTCTAATTCTGAATGTTCATTACTTCGATTGAAGCGAAGTTTTCGGAGCATTCTACAAGTTTGTAAGCTTTTGGAATCTGTTGGTTTTGATCATTCTATTGATTTGGAAAGTTTTGTTTCTTTTCAATCATTTTGTATCATTATTTATGATCAAAATTGAACAAAAAAAGTTCCAGAGTCTAGAAAATCAAGTGGATAATTGATGAAGATCGGATGTTTCATCTGGACAATTCAATTACCAACCATTAATCATTGATATTTGTTAATTAGCTAAAGCTAAAGACTGCATTTGGTTGATTTCAAGAGTAAATTAATTTACATGCAAAAATCGCGAACAGGTTAACCATTTTCATTGATGACTTTTTTTGAATCTTTGCTGCATTTGTCTTTTGCTATTGAGTTAAAAAAGAGGCAGAAAATTGTTGCTGATTATTGCAAGTTAATCAATTAATAAGTTCATCAGATAACAATCCTGTCTGGATCATTTATGCATGATTGAAGGAGCAACTTTGATCAATCAATCTGCCAATAAAAGTTTAATCACAAATGAAGAAAGCTTGTTAAATCAACATTTACTCTTGATTATTTGACTTTACCTTATTCTGAGTTTTACCATGTTTACCATCTCAATTAAGATTGAGATTGACTGATGATTATGATGTGGCTGAAGGGTGATGATCATGATTAGCATCATCAAAGGTAAACTGGATTTATTTAAACATTAATCAAGTCCAATGAAATAGCAACATTAACAACAAATTAATAAACGAAACAACATTTTGTTGCTATCATGATGATCAACCATTATAACTAATTAAATGATTGTGATTGAATAAGGAAAACTTAAATTCAATCATCATTTTGAGCTACTGTTTTTATCGGGTGATGAAAGTAAATCTTTTTTAATCAATTTCCTCTGGTTAACCCTTTACTCCAGCCCATTGAAAATGCCTGAAGCAGCAAGATTGAAACAGAAAAAGATTGACAAAGAAATGGGAAAAATTTTGATAAAGTTAACTAAATCTGACAACAACCAGTTAACCCTTTTAAAACGTTACTGGATTAATTAGTCTTAAAAGGCAATACATCCTGATACAAGAAAATACATCAAACACAAGTTGATTAAGATGCACCGATTAATGTCATAATCAAGATGATTACTATTCTGATCATCGTTCATCCCAAAACACTGTCATTGGTCAGGAAAGGTTTAGGCTGAGTAACAATCAAAAGCCATAGCCATTCAGTTATTTTGAAAATTAACTTGGAACCAATTTGAATAACTTTGCTAATCTAAAATTAATCAAAATTTTGTGTCAACTTTGAATAAATGTTGAACTAAGATCAAGATTGTTTAGTATTACAAACTGACTTGAAGCAACTCCAGACTCTGTGATAACTTTGATTTTGAAAGCGTTTAGTTTTTACTTGAAATCAGTTTGAATTGAAATGATTTCAGAGTGAATTGATTAGCCTTTGAGGTTAATCAACTTTAATTATTGAAGAAATGCAAGTTGCTTTTGATTAGTTTTTACATTGTTGAGTGTTTCTTTGCTTTGAGTTAAATTGAGTTTTCAGTTTTTAGTGGATTGAGTTACAGGATTGCCAAAATTATCAGAGCAACATGATGAAGTATAATGTTGAAAGTTTGTTAATTGATCCATTGATAAATAGAAGAAAATTGCAATTCATTTTAAGGAGAAAAGTGTGTTTTTAGCAATTCCAATTGAAACTGATGCAACTCGTGAAACCTGAGGTTAACTGAACTTCATTTTGCATTATTGCTGGTAGAAGCAGAAGATTTGATTGGATTGATGCAATTGATGTTCACTTTGATTGATTTCATCTTAATTAGCATTTCATTGGACATTTCAAGTTACTACTGACAATGGACATTTATTCATTACTCAGCCTAAAAGTTTTCAATCAAAATGTAATGTCAATCAACTTACCATGATTACAATGGAATTGGGCAGATAATACATCATGGACTCTACATTTAAGACTAATTGGTTGATTAACAATATAAGCATCTCTTGGTTCCTCTTCAAACCATGGTCCTTTGATTAAACTGCCTGTAATAGAAGAAGAAAAAAAGATGAACAAAAAAATCGAAAAGTTAATCAATATTAATGTAAATAGCAAGACAAGTTACGGTTAAGATTTGGGTTTCAAAGTCAACAGCATGAAAGTAGAGATTAAATTGAAATAAGAACAGAATATTGCTGGAAAAGGTAAAACAAAGTAAATTTATCATTTTTGATGTATTAACTTTGGTTTTGGAAGGAAAATAAAAAATGATTTATTCATGGTTAACTGAGATAATCTTGAAACAAAAAATGAACAAAAACTATCCACATGAAATGGTTTAAAGAAAAAGATGAAAAAATGGAACAAAAATTTTCATGGAAACATCATTTACTTTTACTTCTTTTTTCACCATAAAAATTACTATCAAAGGTTTACATCAATTTTTATTACAAATAAAATTACTTCTCAGCTATTAACATTATTTTAATATTTGATTGAATGCTGATAAAGTTGACAATTTATGTGGAATATGATGAACAGGGAGAAAAGGCTGAATAGAGAAGTTTTCAGAATCAAAGTTGATCTTGATTAATGTTGTTAATAATGATTAACAGTGATTAAACAATTGATTGGCAAAGGAAGTAATTGAGTAATAAAAAATTAAGGCAACATAAAAAGGTAATCATGAGGCAATATTGTTCATATTCAGGTTCAGGTTAAGATGAGGATAAATGGTTATAAGTTGAAATTGAATTTCATTATGATAATAGATTGATTAAATTGACTGTGGCTACAAAACAAAAAAGGAAACCATCAGATTAAAGTTCAGCCTGAAGGTAAGACTTGCAGGAGGTTTCAAGAGATGAATGATTCCATTTTAAGATGAGCAAAAAGTAAGATTAAAATGGCGAGATGAGAAGAGGATAAATAAGAGTTGACAAAAGCATCTTGAGCTTGAAATAAAAAACTATTTTCTTACCACCGGATGTTTTCATCTTCAACTTTTCCTTCTTCATGCTTCATCTTCATCTTTATCTTCATCTTAGTCTTCGTTGTCATCTTCAATGTGAAAATTGAAGCCTTAAGGAAGGCCAAAAAGAACCCAAAAAACACCTTTTCTCAACATTTCATTGAACTGAAATTTATTTTTGTTCACTTTTTTGTTATAACAGTTGATAAACCATGAAAACTGTAGAATCGATGGAATTGGATTTTTTTTTTCTCTCTTTTGGACAATAACTAAGTTCATTTTTGGTATTACAAAAGGATTCTGAACAAACTTCTTTTCATCTTTACTGGTATTTTAATTTTGAAACTAGCCTTTTTCAAGCCTTTTTGACTTTGTCATTATCATGAAAATTGATGAAATTTATTGCTGGTAAACTATTTTCATCATTTTTACTCTATAACTTTCATCTCTCGCTTTTTTGTTACCCTCATCATCATTATTCCCATTCCAGTTGGTCTTTTTGACAAGGAAAGGTGGTAAAGGTGAATTGTCATCTTTTGATGGAATGGATCATGAAGATAATGATGATCATGTCTCAAAGGGAACAGACATTTTGTCCATGAAAATGTTGATAGTAATCACCAGCATCATTATCATTGATGTTATTATTTTTGGCCGATATTAATAAGATTAGAGAGTTTCATTTCTGTCTATTATTGATAAACTTTTTTTTCCATCCAGCCTCAGCTTCCATTCAGTTTTCATGCATATTTTCATCCATTTGTTGCCAGATTCCAATAATGATCAGTTTCTGGAGTTACTCTCATCAATTCCTTTCTCATCATTTTCCTATTCTATTGAGACTTGCAGGATGACATTATTGATGTTATTGATAAAAAAGAAGCGTCTCTATTAATGCAACATTTAATGGATCTAACTGATCATTCTGATGGTCATCATCATCATCATTTTCAACTCCACCCTTTACTGGCTACTCAATGTCCATTCGTCCTCAATGTTTAACTTTATCGGTTAAACATGAATATGATTGAACAGCAAAAATGGTCAATGAATTAAAGCTTATCTTTTTTATGCCCTTTTCCCTCATTTATCTTTGAGCATTCAATTTTCATTATCTTCATCATCTTTTCCTTCCCAATTAACATCTTATTCAACGTCTTCATTGCTTCTCACCAAAACATGACTTGACTACGAGATTATGACTTTTTTTGCATTCAAATTAAGATAAGTCTAAACCATTAAAACTAGTTTCATTGTGACAATTAGGAATGATTTGTGATTAACATTTAGTTAAATAAAGACATCAAGGAAAGAGATCAAATCTTAATTGACCCTCTAAATTTGACAAAATTTGCTTCTCAAATTATCTTTGAAACATTTACTTCGTTATTTTGTCTCATCTCACTCTCAAATCTGTATCTTAATCCAAAAATTTATCATGATTTAGACTGCCATTGGCTTGAAATTTACATTCAATTCCATATAAAGATTAATGTTGTGAAAGATGAGATGAAAAATTTTACCTGGAAAAACCTTTTTAGCTTGGACCGTTGATGAGGTAAAGATGATTGGTATCAAAATGGACCAGAAAAACACTTTTAACACATTATTTACAAAAAGACCACTTAAACGATGACAAGTTGTTGTTATACTGTTGCTGTACAAATCCAATTTACTGTGAGTATCATGATTAAATAGATGTTGATGGTTAAAAAGGGTTGATTTATTTAACACTTTAGAGTAACCTTTGTAATATCCAACTTTATCCCAATGACCGATCATCTTGATCTATCAAGATGATCTAGTCTAGGTAAGTAAGGTGTCAATAGATGAGAAATGGTGATTTTGGTGAACCACAAATGTAACACTGTTTCACCAACAATCCACAAATGTTGTTTATTATTTAAATACAAAATAATGATTAACAAACAAAAATAGTGGCAACAAAAGTCAACCCAGAGAAAGTTGTTCAAACTGTAAAGTTACTGTTTCAACTAACATGCTTTTCAATGCAACAACATTTCATCAACAACTTTACTCAATGGATGGCGACACATTAAAATACTGGCGAGATCTATCGGCTTGTTTTATAACTAATTCAAGCCTTCATAATTATTGTGGTTACATGTTGATGCAGTTGGGTAAAATAGTACATGAACCTGTCTCATGAACTAAACTGAAAACATTTTTCAAACGTTTTAATATCATAAACGACTTTGAATCAAGTAAGTGAGGAAACGAAAGCTTTCCAAACTGCAGCAAACGACAATTTACCAATAAACTTGATCTGATTTAGTCTTTAAATTATTATATAACTATGTTTGGAAATTATTTTGCCATTCAAAAAATGGAATAATTTTGAATACTTTTTTATTGAATTTATCGTTATGTTACGAATGGTTCAGAATGTACAGTGTTAGGATTTCTGTTATTTGTCCGAAAAATAGAGCAAAAAAGACAATGGGACAGCAAATGAGACAATTAAACAAATGATTTGCCAGTATCATTTAAAAGTCTAATTTGATTTCTTGAATCATTCATCTAGATTATGATTGCTGTACAAAATAGACATGATGATGCTTACAATTTTACTGTTTGAATTTTGGTCAATTGAAATCGATTTAAATCGTTGGTTGGTTTTATAGACCAGCTGATTCTTTCCTTGTTGTGTTCACATCTTTGTCAGAAAACTTTGTATCAGATTAACGTTGTGCAAGTTTAAATTTCAGCTCAACTATGAAACTTTTATTGCTATTTTTAATTTTGGCTCTATTCGGGTTTTTCAAAGGAGCAGCCAGAGATAGGATAAAGTGTGAAAACAACGGACCTGTTACATATGGTACACCAATCACTTTTACAGTAAAAATTCACCATTCAACAGATACTCCGTCATATCAATTGAGGTTCAAATTTTTTGACTTTCCAAATCAAAATATCAACATTTCCTCAACTTCAAATGTAGTTAATTATACAGAGATGTTTCAATCACCTTCTGTACGAGATTCCATATTCATCTATAATCATCTGACTGATATTAGTGTCTGGTATTGCCCCCTCGGAGTCCCTTCACATGAGATATCATATTGTCTCTTTAACTTCCTACTTGTTGGTAAATCCACCAATCTTGTATCACCTACCTTCAAGGTGAATTTCATTATTATAACCTAAATATATTGCTTTTTCATCCTTCTAGATTCCATGGATGGATTTATAGATGTAACCCAAAATATTTCAGAACGGAGTTTACAAGAGGGTTTTGTGTCCACTGCAAGTCCAGTTGAGCTCACTGCCTTAATCTATCATCCTACCGGATTTTATGACTCAGCCAATAAAACTTATAAATGGACTGTGAATGGGTCACCTCAAGAAGAAAGTTATGACTTTATTGTCCGTAATTTCTCTAAGCCTCAACTGAACAACATTTCAGTTTTAGTTTCGGTCTCAAAAACAAACCCAGTTTTTCAAAAAACTGAATTATTTACACTCACATTGCATAGCAAAGATCCAATTCAAAATTTAACTACTGATAGCCAAAACAATATTCAACTTTTCAAAGATGAAAATCTCCAGTTAAACGTAAAAATTAATGGAGGAACACCACCATTTTATTTTTGCTGGGAAATCACAAATTCAACCATTTCGGGGAGAAATATTGAACCTTCAAGTGAAATATCTTTTTGGCTCAGATATGCCGAGAAAGAGCGCAAGAAATCTTCAGATTCAGATTGTGAGAAAACAGACGAAAGCTCTTTCAGCATAAATAGCCATTTCGAAGAAGCGGGAAATAAAACTTTGTATATTGATGTGAATAATTATGTTTCATCCTTAACCAAGATCATGACCATTTCAGTTCATGAGAGAGAGTCACTCCGACAACCAGCAGCCAATAAACCTAAAATGCCTGTTGTGATGCAAGAAAACTCAAGTATTATGAAAAAATACAAACCTGTTATCTACTCTGAAGAAGCCGAAATTTCTGATAAAGAAATAGAAAGTTATCTTCGAAGTAAAAACGAAATAGAGTTTATAAAGGATATGCTAACTGATTTTCAGAACTCATCATGGAGAGACTAACATTTAAAATATTTGATTTTTGTATCTTGTTAGAAGATGTCCATGAAATTATGATAATAATCACTCTTTTCTGTATTCAGATAAATATTAATCTAACAAAAATTTATAAATTAAATATACTTAAAATGTTAAAAATCTTAAATTATGATTATGATTACAAATTTTGATCTTTCTAATACGATTATTTTATTTGCGCTGCTTTCAGTAATCCCTTGAACATCAGGTAAAAATTGTTTCTCAGCTTCTTCTGTTGGATCAGCGTCACTTGTTTTTGGTTGACCAGAGTATGGATCGATTACCGGTCCGCCAACATTTCTTCCGCCAACAACGCCTTCTTTTAAACATTTAAACCAATTACTGACACCATTCCTTAGACTTGTGATTGTCTCAAGACCTTCAATTACAGCATTAATTTGATAATTTCTGTCATGATGTTAACAAAAACTTGATAAATACCACAACCGACCAAACTCCAATGAGGGTAACCGGCACATCATAATCGCAAGCTCTCAAGCTTGTTAGATTGTAATCCATTATTGAGTTTCCTTTTGTCCAGCAGCGTTTCAGCGTCGTCACGAGTTTCATTTACTAAATATAAACCTTAGTTTTAAATAAAATCAGCAGCGATTTAAGTGAAAAACGAATCAAGTTTAAATTTGCTCCATTCATCCAAAGCTTAACTCATCTCATCGCAACTTTAAAGTAACCCTTGTAATATCCAACTTCATCCCATTGACGCATTAGCTTGATCTATGCAGTAAGGTGAGTGAGATCTCGGTGAGTAAGGTTTCAATAGATGATTAACAAACAAAAATAGTGGCAACAAAAGTCAACCCAGAGAAAGTTGTTCAAACTGTAAAGTTACTGTTTCAACTAACATGCTTTTCAATGCAACAACATTTCATCAACAACTTTACTCAATGGATGGCGACACATTAAAATACTGGCGAGATCTATCGGCTTGTTTTATAACTAATTCAAGCCTTCATAATTATTGTGGTTACATGTTGATGCAGTTGGGTAAAATAGTACATGAACCTGTCTCATGAACTAAACTGAAAACATTTTTCAAACAATTCAATATCATAAACGACTTTGAATCAAGTAAGTGAGGAAACGAAAGCTTTCCAAACTGCAGTAAACGACAATTTACCAATAAACTTGATCTGATTTAGTCTTTAAATTATTATATAACTATGTTTGGAAATTATTTTGCCATTCAAAAAATGGAATAATTTTAAATACTTTTTTACTGAATTTAATGACGACGATGATGTTACGAATGGTTCAGAATGTACAGAGTTAGGGTTTATGTTATTTGTCCGAAAAATAAAGCAAAAAAGACAATGGGACAGTAAATGAGACAATTAAACAAATGCTTTCAAAAATTATTTTAAAGTTTGATTTAATTTCTTGAATCGTTCTTCTAGATGATCGCTGTACAAAATAACATAATGATGCTTACAATTTTACTGTTTGAATTTTGGTCAATTGAAAATCGTTGGTCGGTATATAGATCAGCTGATGCTTTCTTTGTTGAGTTCAACCCTTGCCAGAAAAGTTTGTATCATAAGTTATTGCAGATTAACGTTGTGCAAGTGTAAATTTCAGGTCAACTATGAAACTTTTATTTTTATATTTAATTTTGAATATATTCGGTTTTTTCAAAGGAGCAGCCAGAGATTGGATTGAGCGTAAAGACAACGGACCTGTTACACTTGGTACACCAATCACCTTTACAGTAAAAATTCACCATTCAACAGATACTCCGTCATATCAATTGAGGTTCGAATTTTGGGACTTTCCAAATAAAAATACCATCATTTTCTCAACTTCAAAATTAGTTAATTATACAGTGACGTTTCAATCATCTCCTAAACGAGGAGCTATTCGTATGTTTCATCTGGTTTCTGTTGATGTCTGGTATTGCCCCGACGGTGACCCTTCTCATAGGATAGGATTTTCTCTCTCTTCCTTCGTACTTATTGGTAAATCTACTAATCTTGTTTTTTCTACCCTCAAGGTGAGTTTCATTATTTTAGCCTAAATGTATTGCTTTTTCATCCTTCTAGATTCACTAGGTGGAGTGATAATACCAACGCAAGATATTTCAAAACGCAGTTTACAAAACAATTTTGTGTCCACTGCAAGTCCGGTTAAGCTCACTGCCTTAATTCGTCATCCAACCGGATTTTTCGACTCAGCCAATAAAACTTGTAAATGGGTTGTGAATGGGTCACCTCAAGAAGAAAGTTATGACTTTATTGTCCGTAATTTCTCTCAGCCTCAACTGAACAACATTTCAGTTTTAGTTTCGGTCTCAAAAACAAACCCAGTTTTTCAAAAAACTGAATTATTTACACTCACATTGCATAGCAAAGATCCAATTCAAAATTTAACTACTGATGTCCAAAACAATATTCAACTTTTCAAAGATGAAACACTTCAGTTAAGCATAAAAATTAATGGAGGAACACCACCGTTTTATTATTGCTGGCGAATCACAAATTCAACCAATGCAGGGAGAACTACTAAACCTTTAGGTGAAAGTTTATTTTGGATAAGATATAACGAGAAAAAAGGCATGAAATCTTCGCATTCAGATTGTGAGCAGACAGACGAAAGCTCTTTCAGCATAAATAGCCATTTCGAAGAAGCGGGGAATAAAACTTTGTATATTGATGTTAATAATGATGTCTCATACTTAACCAAGATCATGACCATTTCAGTTCATGAGAGAGAGTCAATCCGTCAACCAGCAACCAATAAACCTAAAATACAGTTTTTGTTGCAAGAAATCGCAAATATTTTAATGAGAAAACATATTATGAGAAAATACAAACCTGTCATCTACTCTGAAGAAAACGAAATTTATGATAAAGAAATAGAAAGTTATCTTCGAAGTAAAAACGAAATAGAGTTTATAAATGATATGCTAACTGATTTCCAGAACTCATCATGGAAAGACTAACATTTCAAATATTTGATATTGATATAAGAATAGACATAAAGTCCATATAATCATAAGATATCCATAAAATTATGCTAATAATCACTCTTTTTTGTAATCCGATAAATATTAATCTAACAAAAATTTATAAATTAAATATACTTAAAATGGTAAGAAATCTTAAATTATGATTATGATTACAAATTGTGATCTTTTTAATACGAGTATTTTATTTGCGATGCTTTCAGCAATTCCTTGAACATCAGCTGAAAATTGTTTCTCAGCTTCTTCTGTTGGATCAGCGTCATTTGTTTTTGGTTGACCAGAGTATGGATCGATTACCAGTCTGCCAAAACCTTATGTTAAACATTTAAACCAATTACTGACACCGTTCCTCAGGCTTGCGATTGTCTCAAGACCTTCAATTGTAGCATTAATTTGATAATTCCAGTCATGATGTTAACAAAAACTTGTACTTGTAAATAAATACCGCGATTGGCCAAACTCCAAGGAGGGTAACCGGCACATCATACTCGCAAGCTCTCAAGCTTGTTAGATTGTAATCCATTTTTCAGTTTCCTTTTGTCCAGCAACGGCACGAGTTTCACTTACTAAATATAAACCCGCAGTCTGAGTTTTAAATAACATCAGCAGCGATTTAAGTGAAAAACGAATCAAGTTTAAATTTGCTCCATTCATCCAAAGCTTAACTCATCTCATCGCAACTCAACCCTAGGACATTTTTCATGAGTAGTAAGCTTCACAGATAAGCTGCATGTCTCCGTACTCAACCTCATTGTGCACCATTCCAACAAGATCTTCAGCTAGCTTGACCGATGACAAGTTTTTGTTATACTGTTGCTACAAATCCAATTTATTGTGAATATCATGATTAAATAGATGTTGATGGTTGAAAAGGGTTGATTTATTTAACACTTTAGAGTAACCTTTGTAATATCCAACTTTATCCTATTGACTCATTAGCTTGATCTATGCAGATGATCTAATCTCGGTGAGTAAGGTTTCAATAGATGAGAAATTATGATTTTGGTCAACTTCAAGGCATCAATTTGACTAGAAGGTGTATTTATCGTAGCAAATGATGATCTTCGTCCGATGCCACTAGGTATAAGTATTCGTTGAAGAGGGTCTAGGGCTAAAAAAGAAAATAAAAAAATACAATAAGAATGTATGTTGAGCATTTAACTTGACTTGATTTACTTACCAATTGTACTTCTTCGGCAAATATTTTGATTCAGAATGGGCGAGGTTTGAGTCACATAATCGTGCATTCGATCACACCAACGGTAACAGGAAACTACGGATTTATAAACACCATTCCTTTCAAGAGCTGGGTCTTGTCCTAAAAGGATCAAATGAACACTTACTTGAGCAGATGTATGCGGCAGACGATCGCATGATCTTATACGAGTATTTTATTTGTGATCCCCTCAACAATTCCTTGAACATCAGGTAAAAATTGTTTCTCAGCTTCTTCTGTTGGTTCATTGTCACTTGTTTCTGGTTGACCAGAGTATGGATCGATTATCGGTCTGCCAAAATCTTATGTTTAACGTTTAATCAAATCACTGACACCGTTCCTTAAGCTTGCGATTTTCTTAAGACCTTCAATTACAGCAACAATTTGATGATTTCATATTGGTCGACTTCAAGTTTAAGACTGTTTCAATAAGAATCCACAATTTGCTATACTTTTTACATTATTTAAGTACACAATAAATGACAGCAAAAAAAATAGTGGGAACAAAAGTCAAGTCCAAGAAAAAGATCAAATTGAAATAATATCAGATCGAAAAGTATCGTCACTGTAAATCGGACGGCCCTATCCTATCAAGTGTATGGGTAGGTTCATCATTATCAAAATAACATTTTTCACAAAACATGAAATACTGCTTACCTTTTCTTTATTTTTCAAATTCTGTCCTGTCTTAGATTTGTTAAATTGATCAAAAAAATCAGATTCTTTCAACTTCAAACTCAAAGCTTTATCTCCAATTGTTGGATGAACATCTTTGAGAATATATTTAGTTAACTTCATCTTTTGAAAAGATAAAGGTTGGCGACGGACTCCTGTTGTTGGACCAGAAACCAGAGCACGATTTTGATCTGGAAATTTAATACTCAATTGGTAAACAGAAAAATCTTTTTCAAAATCAATAGCCATTTCGAAGAAACGGGGAATGAAACTTTGTATAAAATACTTGATACGAGCTGGCAAACCAAACAGATAAACTCGACTTTAATGGCATTTCAATGCTGTAACCAAAGAGTATAACGTCTTGACTACAACTGTATACAATTCTGAACATAAGTGGGAAACTGAGATAATTTTGAATATTCGACCTGATAAAGAAAATGAATTTAGTGTTGAAAAAAAAGAGCTGAGGGTCAAACCATTTAAAAACACAAATATTTGTGAAAGACACAATGCGAGAAATTAAATTACATTTTAAGTTATCAGAATGATCTAAAGGTTCAAATTGAGCCTAGTCCAGATAAATTATTTCAAGTTCATAATTGCTTTTATAACGTTTATTGTTTCGTTTCAGATTGACTTTCCTTCATACAATTTTGTACAATTTTCAGCTTCAAATGAAGTCAGTCAAACTTTTCTTTGTTGATTTGTTTTATTCATTGGTTAAGTATGTTAAATAAACCCGAAGTTCAGAAGTCTAATTTGATTTCATGAATCCTCATCTAGATTATGATTACTGTACAAAATAAATGTGATGATACTTACAATTTTACTGACAAGTGAGTGATTTTTGGTGAATAGAAAATCGATTTAAATCGCTGATAGGTATTATAGATCAGTTGATTCTCTCCTTGTTGTGTTCACATCTTTGTCAGAAAAGTTTGTGTCATAAGTTATTCCAGATTCCATTGTGCAAGTGTAAATTTCGGATCAAATATGAGAATTTTGTTTTCATTTGGCAGTCCAAAAGAAGTGCCAAAAGATGACCAGGTGAAAAACAAGACCGAATCACCTTCTCTTCCATCTGTAGATCTACTTGACTCAGCATCCGTCCTTATTCCAGGTAAATTGATTGCTCAAAACTTTTCATGGTTACTCATGATTTTTAGCTATACCACAAATCTATTGATAAACGTTTCATTAGAGAGGTTTAATGATTTCTTCATTGCTGACAAATTTTGGTTCCTTTTTCTCGACACGGTTACCACACATGTGATAATATTAAAGCTCAAAGACTTAGCGGAAACCTAAATCTTTGCATAAGATGGATATCTTATTAATTTGAAAATGTATTTTAAACTTTGTCCTCTTGAACCTCGTTCTAATCATTGTTTATGCTTTTTGTTTAATTTTTTACAAACCAAAATTTACCAAACTGAAGTACTCAAGTTTCTCAACTCACCGAAACAAACATTATCATTTTAGAGATGAGAGTCAGCTTTAATCTCAATAGATTATTCGATTAAAATAATTTCCATAAAATAATAATCATTATCCACATTTGTCAGTTTACAATCTTATACACTTTTTGGTTGCTATTCCATTGGAAAAGCTATCTATCTTGACAATCCAGTTAATGTTTGGTTTGGGGATGCGGAAAATAGTATTTAGGCAACAAATCATCTGTTATTCAATCAAACTAATTACTTTTTTCCATTTCTCAGCATTTTTTATTTTGCTACTATGCAGTTGCTTCGGAGGAGCAACAGGTGAAGTTATTGAATTTTCAAATAATGGACCTGTCACCATTGACACGCCAATAACCTTGACGATCAAGAACAACTATAAAACAGTTAATCCATCATTCCAATATCGGATTGAATTCCCAAATTTTGATGAATATAATAAGACGATCAACTCGAATAATACTGAAGTGGCATACAAGGTAATTTTTAGTTCACCAAAAGCTAAACAAGGTTATTATACTATCTTTGTCGATGCATGGTATTGTATATCTGGCGTCTCGGCTTATTCAATCGGCTGGACACTGTCCAGTTGATTTCTCACAGGTAATCGTCAAGCTTATATTCTGTGCTTTTAATGTAAATTACAGTCGTAACAACTTGAAGACGAACATAAAAGCAAAAAGGAAATATCTCTGAATAAAACTAAACCAATCGCATTCAACTTCAAAGTTGAGTTCAAAAAGAATAAAACGAAATGAACTTTGAGATAAACTGATTATTGTCAGTTATCGATTTTCTTCTCCTGTATACTTTTGGTATGAATCTCATATTTATATCTTTTGGTACGCTTCATCTTGTTGATTTTGTATTCAACTCAAGTGTTTTGACTGAATTTTATTATTTTTTTGCTTTTTTCTAGAACCGTTGCTTGGATTTATAAATGTTACCCAAAATATTGGGGATATCAGTTTGGCAAACGAATTTGTTTCCACAGCATCACCTGTTAACCTGACTGCCGAACTTTATGACCCAAGAGGTTTTTTTGACTCAGCCAACATAACTTACAAGTGGATAGTGAATGGATCACCACAAGAGGATATCTATAATCGATTTATCATCCGTAACTTCACTCAGCCTCAACTCAACAACATATCAGTGGCTGTTTCGATAAATAGAACCAATTTTCAAAAATCTGATATTTTTTTCCTTTCCCTACAAAGTAAAGATCCGATCAACAATTTGACTGTTAATGGTAGCACAAATGTTATCAGAGATGAAAGCCTCGAGTTGAATATCAAAATAAATGGAGGAACACCACCGTTTTATTATTGCTGGGAAATCACAAATTCAACCATTTCGGGGGGAAATACAAAACCTTCAATTGAAAGTATATTTTGGCGCAGATATACCGGCATGAAAAGCTCGCATTCAAATTGTGAGGACACAGACGAAAGCTCTTTCAACATAAATAGCCACTTCGAAGAAGCGGGGAATAAAACATTGAATATTGTTGTAAGTAATTGGGCCTCATACTTAACCAAGATCATGACTATTTCAGTTCATGAGAGAGAGTCACTCCGACAACCAGCAGCCAATAAACCTGCTGTTATTCAAGAAAGCTCAAATATCATGAAAAAATACAAACCTGTTATTTACTCTGAAGAACCCGAAATTTCTGATAAAGAAATAGAAAGTTATCTTCGAAGTAAAAACGAAATAGAGTTTATAAATTATATGCAAACTGATTTTCAGAACTCATCATGGAAAGACTAACATTTCAAATATTTGTTTTTTGCTTCTTGTTTGAAGGGCTCCATGAAATTATGATAATAGTAATCGCTCTTTTCTGTATTCAGATAAATATTAATCTAACAAAATTTATAAATTAATTAAAGTTAAAATGAATAAAAACTTCAACTATTTACTAATTGTGATCAAGTTTTTTTATAATACAGCGTATAATTCAGGAAGAATGTTAACAACCCGTGGGGAAAGGTTTGGAACTGATTGGTTTTCACGTAATTCCTTTCAGCTAGAAGTTCAGTTTTTTTCTACATTGATTTAGAACTTGAAATAGTGAGATATAAAAATTTCAGTGCGATTTCGGCTTCATTGATTTTCATCGTAGCAAAATAAGATTTGAAGATTGACAATTCAAAAATTTTTGCAACAAACATGTTTGGTGACGATGGTGGAGGAAGGGTGATGGCTGTGAGGAAGATGGCCAGGCGATGTTATTGTTGATACAGAAGCAGCAACAGCAACAGTTACAGTTACACCAGCAGCAATTTCAAACTCCGACACATTCACAAGTTCAATCCTCTTCACCGTCTGGCTATGTACATGCAAATGATAGTGTTAACATGTCCACCAGTCCAGATGAAAAGATGCATTTAATTAGTCACTTAAATGCCTACAAGAACAATATTATTGACCATTTGGTTGTTCATCCTGATGCCCTTCGATCAAACCGTCCAAACATTGAGACAATCAGCCTTAATCAAACACCGAGCCACCATTCACTTTCCAATCAAAGTCAACACCAAGCATTGTATATTCAACGGTCATCCCCTTCACCGAGAAGCAGCAGTTATGTCTCAAAATCATCAACACCTAGAATCGGAGAAATGCTGTCCAGGACTGATTTGGATACAACTGAAGATGACAATTATGGAAGTGAAGCAGATTATGCTGAACCTTTCTTCTCCAATTTTTCTCCTTTCAACACGCCAACCTCATCGTCAAAGCCACCTCTTCCATTAACTCGTCCTCCGTCCGCTCGGACCGAAGATTATCGGTCTGATCATATGAAAATACGTGCCAACAACGATATTCGTCCTCGCACAAACGATCAAAAATCAAATCAAGTTATTTTCTCTCGTGATCCATCATCTCTGCGATCAGCAACGTAAACTCATCTAATTCATCTGAAACAAGACAAAAAGAGACTGTCAGACAAACAAAAGGTGTTCAGAGTCAAAATTACTTCTTGTCATGGATTATTAAGGAGAGAGTAGATATAAGAAACAATGTTAATACTAATGAAAATTAAACTTTTCCTATTCCTACAATTTCTACAATTGTATTGTATTATGATTGCTGTTCATTTGATTTTCCTGAAAACTTCATATCTAGAATCAGACCAAATATCAACTGTACCATCAGCCGTTTTGAATTTTTTATTTCCTTAACTATGACCCACTCAATCAAAAGACCATGGAAAAGTGATGGTTTGTCCGACATTTATGATTCCACTGCCTTACCATTTCGGATTAAATACATTAAAAATAAACAAAAATCTCCTTGCAAATTATGGTCAAGTTTGTTTATTTCAGTGTTATAGCTTTGATCAATCACAATCGATTTAAATCGATGATCGGTATGAGGTCACAGCTGATTCTTTCTCTGTCAGAATTGATTTGCTTGCATCTTTGAAAGCTTTGCTAATGTATATTGTGAAAGTTTAATTTGCAGATCAAGTATGAGAAACTTATCATCTTTTTTCATTTTGACGTTAGTCAGTTTTGTAACCTGTAATTTGATTGAGTTGTTAGACGACGGACCCGTTACCATCGACAGCCCAATCACCTTTACCGTGAAAAACTCGTACAACACAACAGCGCCTTCATACGAATATCGATTCACATTTCCACGATGGCCAAAATATAATAAAATCATCCAGTCAACAGCAAGTGAAGTGAATTATACAGTGATATTCGAGTCTTCTTCCCCTGAAGATGCAGGCTATTACATGAAGAAGGTGGAAGTATGGTTTTGTCACCTCGGTAGACCTCTCCATCGCATTGGCTTTGATTTCACATCATTTTTACTTTTTAGTATGTACTAACTTTACTATTAACATTAATTATCTTATTGATTTCTTCTTCGTTTCTTCCCCCTCTTTTCTCTTCCAGATCATCTCACCGGAAGGATTGCAATTCACATTGACGGAAGTCCGACGGAGTATTTTGTTTCAACTGCATTACCTGTTAATATGACTGCCGAAATTAGCCACCGTTCAGGTTTTTTTGACTCAGCCAATAAAACTTATAAATGGACTGTGAATGGGTCACCTCAAGAAGGAAGTTATGATGAATTCATTGTCCGTAATTTCTCTGAGCCTCAACTGAACAACATTTCAGTTTTGGTTTCGGTCTCAAAAACCAACCCTGTCTTTCAAAAAACTGCTTACTTTACACTCACATTGCATAGCAAAGATCCAATTCACAATTTAACTACTGATAGCCAAAACAATATTCAACTTTTCAAAGATGAAAATCTCCAGTTAAATGTAAAGATTAATGGAGGAACACCGCCATTTTTTTATTGCTGGGAAATCACAAATTCAAGCACTCCACGAGAAACTATGAAACCTTTAAGTGAAAGTTTTCTTTGGTCCAGATTTTCCGAAGAAGAAGACTGGCCTTCAAAGTGTAACAAGACAGACGAAAGCTCTTTCAACATAAATAGCCATTTCGATGAAGCGGGGAATAAAACTTTGTATATTGATGTCAATAACTATGTTTCAACCTCAACCAAGATCATAACCATTTCAGTTCATGAGAGAGAGTTACTCCGTCAACCAGAAGCCAATAAACCTGCTGTTATTCAAGAAACCTCAAATATCATGGAAAAATACAAACCTGTTATGCTTTCTTCAGAACCCGAAATTTATGAGTAAGAAATAGAAAGTTATCTTCGAAGTAAAAACGAAATAGAGTTTATAAATGATATGCAAACTGATTTCCAGAACTCATCATGGAAAGACTAACATTGCAAATATTTGATATTGATAGAAAAATAGACATAAAGTCCATATAACCATAAAATTATGCTAATAATCACTCTTTTCTGTATTCCGATAAATCCTAATCTAACAAAATTTATAAATTAAATATACTTAAAATGGTCAGCAATCTTTAATTATGATTAAGCTGAGACTGCAGTTCATTTTTCAGTTTACTTTTGTCCGACAGTGTCACAAGTTCATTTGCTAAATATAAACCACGAGTCTTAGTCCAATCAAGCTTAAACTCGGTTGGTGAATACGGCCCTAAGTTTTGTATACCATAAGCAGCGATTTCAGTGAAAAATTTCAAATTCAGTTCAAATTTGCTCCTTTTATTTTCTCAACTTAACCCATCTCATCTGTAAATTAATCCTCGAAAATTTTTCATGAGCTAGTAAGCTCCACAGATAAGCTGCTTGTTCCGGACTCAATACCTTTGTGAACCATTCCAACAAAATCTTCAGTAAGCTTGACCGATGACAAGTTTTTGTTATACTGTTGCTACAATCCAATTTATTGTGAATATCATGATTAAATAGATGTTTATGATTAAAAGGGTTGATTTATTTGCAACTCTTAAGTGGCCCTTGTAATATCCAACTTCATTCCATTGACTCATTAGCTTGATCTATGAAGATGATCTAATCTCGGTGAGTAAGGTTTCAATAGATGAGAAATGATGATTTTGGTCAACTTCAAGTTTAACACTGTTTCAATAAGAATCCACAATTTGCTATACTTTTTATGTTATTTAAGTACTCAATGTATGATAACAAGCAGAAATAGTGGAAACGAAAGTCAACCCAGAGAAAGTTGTTCAAACTGTAAAGTTACTGTTTCAACTAACATGCTTTTCAATGCAACAACATTTTCATCAACAACTTTACTCAATGAATTTCATTTGCGATACCTCCAGAAATTCTTTGAACACCAGCTCATTATTTCTCACCAAAAAACAGATCAAATACCAACTGTACCATCAGCCGTTTTGAATTCTTTATTTATTCCTTCAACTAAGACCCATTCAATATAAATACTTGATACAAGCAGTGAATCCGAACAGATACACTCGACTTTAATGGCATTTCAATGCTGTAACCAAAGAGTATAACGTCTTGGCTAAAATTGTATACGATTCTGAACCTACAAGTAAGTGGGAAACAAAAGTAAATGGAAAAATGAAATAATTTTGAATATTCGACCTGGTAAAGAAAATGAATTTAGTGTTGCAAAAAGAGCTGAGGGTCAAACCATTTAAAAACTCAAATATTTGTGAAAGACATGATACGAGAAATTATTAATAAATTACATTTGAAGTTATCAAAATGATCTAATGGTTCAAATGGATCATTAATTTAGTCCAGATTATTCCAAGTCATGATTGCTTTTATGAATTTTCTTGTTTCGTTTCAGATTGCCTTTCCTTCATACAATTTTTACAATTTTCAGCTTCAAATGAAGTCAAATTCAGACCAAATTTTCATTGTTTGCTTTGTTTTATTCATTGGTTAAGTATGTTAAATAAAGCGAAGTTAATAAATCAAATATGATTTCTTGAATCATTCATCTAGATTATGATTGCTGTACAAAATAGATATGATGATACTTACTAATATTTTGAAGACAAGTGAGTGATTTTTGGTCAGTTGAAAATCGATTTAAATCGCTGATAGGTATTATAGATCAGTTGATTCTCTCCTTGTTGTGTTCACATCTTTGTCAGAAAAGTTTGTATCATAAGTTATTCCAGATTCCATTGTGCAAGTGAAATTTCGGATCAACCATGAGAATTTTGTTTTCATTTGGCAGTCCAAAAGAAGTGCCAAAAGATGACCAGGAGAAAAACAAAACCGAAACACCTTCTCTTCCATCTGTAGATCTACTTGACTCAGCATCCGTCCTTATTCCAGGTAAATTGATTGCTCAAAAATTTTCATGGTTACCTATGATTTTTAGCTATACCACAAATCTATTGATGAACATTTCATTAGAGGGGTTCAATGATTTCTTTATTGCTGCCAAATTTCGGTTCCTTTTTCTCGACACGGTTACCACACATGTGATAATATTAAAGCTCAAAGACTTAGCGGAAACCTAAATCTTTGCATAAGATGGATATCTTATTAATTTGAAAATGTATTTTAAACTTTGTCCTCTTGAACCTCGTTCTAATCATTGTTTATGCTTTTTGTTTAATTTTTTACAAACCAAATTGAAGTACTCATTTCTCAACTCACTGAAACAAACATTATCATTTTAGAGATGAGAGTCAGCTTTAAAGATTACTCGATTAAAATAATTTCCATCAAATGTTGATCATTATCCACATTTGTCAGTTTACAATCTTGTACACTTTTTGGTTGCTATTACATTGGAAAAGCTATCTATCTAGATAATCCAGTTAATGTTTGGTTTGGGGATGCAAAAGATAGTAATATTTAGCTAAAAATCATCTGTTATTCAATCAAACTAATTACTAATTAATTTCTATTTCTCAGCATTTTTTATTTTGCTACTATGTAGTTACTTCGAAGGAGCAACAGGTGATGTTATTGAACTTGAAGATGATGGACCTGTCACCATCAACACGCCAATCACTTTCACTGTCAAAAACTTTTATAAAACAATCAATCCCTCGTATGAATATCGTTTAGCATTCACGGAATTTCCTGAGCTTGACAAGACGATTATATCGAATGATAGTGAAATTACATACAAAATAATTTTTACGTCACCAAAAGCTAAAGAAGGTTACTATGATGTCTATCTTCAAGTATGGTATTGTGCATCTGGCGCCCCTGCTCATTTAATCAGCAATGTTCTGTCCAGTTTCTATCTCCTAGGTAATTGTCAAGCCAGTATTCTGTACCTTTAATGTAAATTACAATCAAAAGTATTACTTGAAGACGAACACAAAAGCAAGAAAATTGAAACGAAATTCATATTTAATAGTTTAAATGAAATTTTAGACAGAATGTCTAGACTTAAAGTGACCATCTTCTCAGGTATCAAGCCAACAACCTAACACAAGTCAAATATGCAATTTGAAGTCAAATGGGTCAAACATTGGTCAACTATGTCTTCATTAAGTGAACCAGGACAAAATGAATCAAAACTCATAGAAAAATCCCATAGAAAATAAGGTTAAATATCAAAACTTGAAAATTATACAAAGAGTGCTTTCTCTGATTTTTGAATGAGATAGAATGAACATAGCAACAGTAGCTAGTTATGGTATATTATTAGGACTCAATGAAAATTAAAATAAATAATTCTCTAACTAATCTGATTGTTGAATAATTAGCAAAATAATTTATGTGTCAATTTTAAGTTACACAGCCATATATCTCATATTTATATCTTTTGGTACGCTTCATCTTGTTGATTTTGTACTCAACTCAAGTGTTACGACTGAGTTGTATCATTATTATTTTTGCTTTTTTCTAGAATCGTTGGTTGGGTGTATATATGTAACCCAAAATATTGAGCGTATCAGCTTGGAAAACTGGATTATTTCCACAGCATTACCTGTTAACCTGACTGCCGAAATTTATGACCCTACCGGTTTTTTGACTCAGCCAACATAATATACAAGTGGATAGTGAATGACTCACCACAAGACGAAAGCTCTGATCGAATTATCATCCGTAACTTCTCTCAGCCTCAACTCAACAACATATCAGTGGCTGTTTCGATAAATAGAACCAATTTTCAAAAATCTGATATTTTTTTCCTTTCCCTACAAAGTAAAGATCCGATCAACACTTTGACTGTTAATGGTAAAACAAATGTTATCAGAGATGAAAGCCTCCAATTGAATATCAAAATTAATGGAGGAACACCACCGTTTTATTATTGCTGGGAAATCACAAATTCAACCACTTCGGGGAGAACAATTAAACCTTTGAATGAAAGTTTTTTTTGGGACAGTTACGAGAAAAAAGGCGAGAAATCTTCGGATTCAGATTGTGAGGAAACAGACAAAAGCTCTTTCAGCATAAATAGCCGTTTCGAAGAAGCGGGGAATAAAACCTTGTATATTGATGTGAATAATTATGTCTCAACCTTAACCAAGATCATGACCATTTCAGTTCATGAGAGAGAGTCACTCCGACAACCAGCAGTCAATAAACCTAAATTGCCTGTTGTGATGCAAGAAAACTCAAATATTATGAAAAAATACAAACCTGTCATCTACTCTGAAGAAGCCGAAATTTATGATAAAGAAATAGAAAGTTATCTTGGAAGTAAAAACGAAATAGAGTTTATAAAGGATATGCAAACTGATTTTCAGAACTCATCATGGAAAGACTAACATTTTAAACATTTGATATTGGTATCTTATTAGAAGACGTCCATGAAATTATGATAATAATTACTCTTTTGTGTATTCAGATAAATATTGATCTAACAAAAATTTATAAATTAATTAAACTTAAAATGAATAAAAACTTCAGTTATGATTACAAATTGGGACCAAGTTTGTTTATTATACAGCATATAATTCAGGAAGAATGTTAACAACCCGTGGGGAAAGGTTTGGTACTAATCAGTTTTCTCGTAATTCCTTGCAGCTAGAAGTTTGGATTTTTCTACATTGATTTAGAACTTGAAACAGTGAGACATAAATTCAAAATTTTTTCTTAACACACCATAGATATTCAGAATAGATCGCGATTTTTATACCAAATTCTTGACTCGAGGGCGACATTTCCATGATAATCATCCGTAGTACAGAAATCTCGCTAAGTTGGCGGGATGCATCCAATAATCAATACATTTCCGAGTATTTTATTTGTGATACCTTCAGCAATTCCTTGAACATCAGCTGAAAATTGTTTCTCAGCTTCTTCTGTTGGATCAGCGTCACTTGTTTTTGGTTGACCAGAGTATGGATCGATTACCGGTCTGCCAAAACCTTATGTTAAACATTTAAATTAAACATTAGCTAAGAAGTCTAATTTGATTTCTTGAATCATTCATCTAGATTATGATTACTGTACAAAATAAATGTGATGATACTTACACTTTTACTGTTTGATTTTTGGGCAATTGAAAATCGATTTAAATCGTTGGTGGGTATTATTTAACAGATCAGCTGATTCTTTCTACGTTGTTTTAAATCTTTGCCAGAAAAGTTTTTTCATAAGTTATTGTAGATTAAGGTTGTTCAAGTGTAAATTTCATGTCAACTATGAAAATTTTATTTTTATTTTTAATTTTCAATCTATTTGGTTTTTTCAAAGTAGCAGCCAGAGATTGGATCAAGCTCTCAAACATCGAAACGGTTACAATTGGTATTCCAGTCACCTTTACAGTAAAAATTCACCATTCAACAGATACTCCGTCATATCAAGTGAGGTTCAAATTTTCTGACTTTCCAAATCAAAATATCAACATTTCCTCAACTTCAAATGTAGTTAATTATACAGTGACTTTTGAATCAACTCCTAAACAAGACTCTACTATCATGTATTATCATATTGTTAATGTTGATGCCTGGTATTGCCCCCTCGGTGTCCCTTCTCATGAGATAGGAAGTTCTTTCTCTAGATTCATTCTTTCTGGTAAATCAACCAATCTTGTATTACCTACCTTTAAGGTTAATTTCATTATTGTAACCTAATTGTATTGCTTTTTCATCCTTCTAGATTCACTAAGTGGATTTATAAATGTAACCCAAGATATTTTAGATCCAAATTTAGGAGGCGATTCTGTTTCCACTACAAGTCCGGTTAAGCTCAGTGCCAAAATTCATCATTCTGCCGGATTTTTTGACTCAGCTATTATAACTTATAAATGGGTTGTCAATGGGTCACCTCAAGAAGATAATTATGACTTTATTGTCCGTAATTTCTCTCAGCCTAAACTGAACAACATTTCAGTTTTAGTTTCGGTCTCAAAAACCAACCCTGTCTTTCAAAAAACTGAATTATTTACACGCACAGTGCATAGCAAAGATCCGATTCAAAATTTAACTACTGATGGCCAAAACAATATTCAACTTTGCAAAGATGAAACTCTCCAGTTAAACATAAAAATTAATGGAGGAACACCAACATTTTATTATTGCTGGGAAATCACAAATTCAAGCACTGCAGGGAGAAATACTGAACCTTTAAGCGAAAGTTTATTTTGGAGAAAATATTTCGGGGAAGAACCCACAAATAGTTCAGAATGTGAGGAAACAGAAGAAAGCTCTTTCAACATAAATAGCCATTTCGAAGAAGCAGGTAATAAAACCTTGTATATTGCTGTAAGTAATGTTGCCTCATATTCAACAAAGATCATGACCATTTCAGTTCATGAGAGAGAGCCACTCCGACAACCAGAAGCCAATAAACTTAAAATACCGTTTGTGTTTCAAGAAACATCAAATATTATGAAAAATACAAACCTATTATTTACTCTGAAGAAGCAGAAATTTCTGATAAAGAAATAGAAAGTTATCTTCGAAGTAAAAACGAAATAGAGTTTATAAAGGATATGCTAACTGATTTTCACAACTCATCATGGAAAGACTAACATTTTAAATATTTGATTTTTGTATCTTGTTAGAAGACGTCCATGAAATTATGATAATAATCACATTTTTCTGTATTCAGATAAATATTAATCTAACAAAAATTTATAAATTAAATATACTTAAAATGGTTAAGAAGTCTTAAATTATGATTATGATTACAAATTGTGATTTTTCTAATACGAGTATTTTATTTGCGATGCTTTCAGCAATCCCTTGAACATTAGCTAAAAATTGTTTCTCAGCTTCTTCTGTTGGACCAGCGTCACTTGTTTTTGGTTGACCAGAGTATGGATCGATTACCAGTCTGCCAACACCTTATGTTTAACGTTTAAGCAAATCACTGACACCATTCTCTAGGCTTGTGATTGTCTCAAGACAGTAATTGTAGCATTTTGATAATTTCAGTCATGATGTTAACGAAAGCTTGATAAATACCGCGACTGGCCAAACTCCAATGAGGGTAACCGGCACATCATACTCGCAAGCTCTCAAGCTTGTTAGACTGTAGTCCATTTTTCAGTTTCCTTCTACCCAGCAGCGCCACGAGTTTTAATTACTAAATATAAACCACTAGTCTTAGTTTTAAATAACATCAGCAGCGATTTAAGTGAAAAACGAATCAAGTTCAAATTTGCATCATTCATCGAAAGCTTAACCCATCTCATCGCAACTTAATCCTAGAACATTTCTCATGAGTTAGTAAGCTTCACCGATAAGCTGTATGTCTCTGTAATCTGCATTTTAACAAAATTTTCAGCTAGAATAAACGATGGCAAGTTTTTGTTATAATGTTGCTACAAATCCAATTTATTGTGAGGTTCATGATTAAATAGATGTTTATGATTAAAAGGGTTGATTTATTTAAAACTCTAAAGTAACCTTTGTAATATCCAACTTCATCCCATTGACGCATTAGCTTGATCTAATCTAGGCGAGTAAGGTTTCAATAGATGAGAAATGATGATATTGGTCAACTTCAAGTTTAAGACTGTTTCAATAAGAATCCACAATTTGCTATACTTTTGATATTATTTAAGTACAAAATAATGATTAACAAAAATAGTGGCAACAAAAGTCAACCCAGAGAAAGTTGTTGAAACTGTAAAGTTACTGTTTCAACTAATATGGTTTTCAATGCAACAAAATTTCATCAACAACTTTAATCAATGGATTTCATTTGTGATCCTTTCAACAATTCCTTGAACATCAGCTAAAAATTGTTTCTCAGCTTCTTCTGTTGAATCAGTGTCACTTGTTTTTGGTTGACCAGAGTATGGATCGATTACCAGTCTGCCAACACCTTATGTTTAACATTCAAACAAATCACTGACACCATTCTCTAGGCTTGCGATTGTCTCAAGACCTTCAATTACAGCATTAATTTGATCATTTCATATTGATCAACTACAAATTTAACACTAATTAACCAAGAATCCACAATTTGTTATACTTTATATAATATTTAAGTAACTAATAAATGATAGTAAACAGGAATAGTGGGAACAAAAGTCAACTCAGAGAAAGTTGGCAAAACTGTAAAGTTAAACCATTAAATGAGGTTGTGAAAAATGATAATTTATACAATTGCAATTTATTTCAAAGATAATTTATTCAATTTCACTTTTTAGCTTTTTTGCTAACAAGACTAATTTTCTTTGCAGCTCTTGAAATGAGTTTGTTCATCTTTTGCTTGGTCTTTTGCAATTTAAAACGGTCAAAATCGGTCATCTTGGTTCTCTGTGAGAAAGAAGAAAAAAAGCAATTAATCAGGGGTCAAAGATTTTCAAGAAAAAGATTCAATTGAAATAATATCAGATCGAAAAGTATCGTCACTGTAAATCGGACGGCCCTATCCTATCAAGTGTATGGGTAGGTTCATCATTATCAAAATAACATTTTTCACAAAACATGAAATTCTGCTTACCTTTTCTTTATTTTTCAAATTCTGTCCTGTCTTAGATTTGTTAAATTGATCAACAAAATCAGATTCTTTCAACTTTAAACTCAAAGCTTTATCTCCAATTGTTGGATGAACATCTTTGAGAATATATTTAGTTAACTTCATCTTTTGAAAAGATAAGGGTTGGCGACGGACTCCTGTTGTAGGACCAGAAACCAGAGCACGATTTTGATCAATTATGTCAATAATAACACATAATTTTCCATAGTTAGCACCACATGTGAGGTAGGCAACTCTTCCTCGTTGGACAAAAGGTTTTATTCCCTGAAAAAATACAAATAAAATACATGAGTAAGATAAAGAATCAAGAACAAAAGAATAGCGACAAGAATTCACACTTACCATGTTGGAAATTTAATCCTAAATTGGAAAACAAATTAAGTTAATTAATAAATAAATCAAATAGACTTTGATTCTCTTTAACTGAGTTACCTTAAACTACAAGCCGATCCACACTTCCACAGGAAACGGATATACTGCATAAGCCAGCAAGGTTGTCAAGGAAACAAACTTTCATGAAAATATTTAGCGCGATATTTGAATGTGAAAATGAACCATAAACTTGCCAATAAAACTGAATCTAAATTGAGGTCAAAAACTAGCCACTAGCCTTCAACTCCTTTAGGCTAATTATTTAAATAGTTCAATCTGCTAATGATTAACCATTTTGTTAACCTTTTTTCTTAATATCATCTCATCTCCATCATCATTATCATCAAGTGTGTTAAAATTAAAATCTTCTTAAATTAACTTATTCCATGTCTGAAAGAAGGATAAAAATTGTAATCATTTTGCCTCCAATAAACAGGTTGAAGATTTTTTTTGTTTTGAACCTTATTTTACTGTATTCAGATAGTTTTTATTATATTTATTAATAGTTATAAACAATCTGAATGATGATAAAAATCAAATTTATTTATAAATTAACTTGTATTTCAATTGATTTGATTTTTACAACTCAAAGGCTCAACAATTAAAAATGTTGCCGTTTGTAGGTTTAACCGTTTTGCATTACTTTTGCTGTTGGTTTAACTTGGCAAGTCTTTTACCGATAAATGGTATAATGGTTTGTTTTAATTAATGTTTAACAGGTTAGAAGAAAATGTTTACACAATTAACCTTTTGTCAAGTAAATTAAAATCATAAATCAAGTTTAATTCATTCCAACTATAAGTCATTTTGTCTGAATCATTTTCCAATATTCATTTTAGGTTGAAATTGTCAAAAATTATGTTGTACTTTGAGTGTGTGTTTCAGTTGAATTACAAATAACCAATTAGCAAATTGTGAATAGTTCAGTGTTTTTTTTCGCCATTTTCTTGGCTTTGTACCTTTAAAATTGTATTACAAATGAACTTTCACCAACAATAAGCGTGTTGATTAACATACATAAATAGCTGTTGAAGAGTTGAGCTTCATGTAATGTTAAGAATGTTGGAAGAAGCTGTTAACAAGTATCAATAATAATGAAAACAGCGTTAATTCAAACAATATGCCAATCAAACGTATTTGGTTGATGATTATTAAAAATAATGGGAGTCGGGCAAACGGCAATAACACCAATAATTTAACCCGAAAACAGATTGTAGCGATCCTAATTGTTTGTTAAAAGTAAACAATTTTTCACAATTTTGTAATAACTCCTTAATTTGAATTCAAACATCTTCTTGGAACTTTATTGTCAGCCATTTTTACCACCTCCACTTGATCAGTCTTCAGCATCTTCAGTCATCCATAAATTGGTGTTTCCCTTTGTTTATACATAATAATACTGTTAATAAGACTTTTCCGTTCAGCTCATTTAATACAATATATAGATATATATATATATTAACTGATTAACGAACAACCTTCACTTCTTTTTGCTTCTAATCACTGGTGGAGCCAAATTAATGTTAAAACTGTGCTTAACAATCAGCATTTAGTTGGTCTCATTTGTACCTACAGGAACAATCAAGAAAGAAATATAAGTGCAATTTAGTTGACTCTAATAACAACAGTAAAAGCAAAAACAACGGAAACAATAACAAGCATAAATCCATTGTCAATCAATCGGTTGATAATCATTTTCACTATCATCAGGTAAGTTATTTCAATATCGACATGATGCTTGTTGATTGATTATACTTTACTTTGTCCATACAAGTGTTGATTCAATTATTGATTGTAATGATGAACAGTAGGTACCATTCACCAAAATAAATAGGATACGCACAATCAATGTCAACAGATGGATTTGATACAATATCAGCGGCAATGGATACACAAAGTGATTAAACAATCGTTTTAATGATATGCTGATTGGTAAAACTGGTAATCGAAGATTATATGACATCCAAATATTACAATTTCCGTAACGCATGATAACCATAAATGAAAGTTAAATCAATGATCATCAGAACCCAAAAGCAAATAGATGAACGTCAAATCTGAAAAAAAAGAAAATATAAGCTGTAGAAAAAAATGTTTCAAGTATTTTCGTTGAAGTTGTTTTAAAACACTCACCTCTAAATTATTAACATTTGATGGAAACACAATGAAAGATGATTCCTAATTGATGGAATAATTGATGGAATAATTTGCTAAAACATTTGATGGAAACACAATGAAAGATGATTCCTAATTGATGGAATAATTGATGGAATAATTTGCTAAAAAATGGTCAAAGTTGAGGAGACTCTTTATCTTGTAGATTACATAAAAGAGCTTGTTGATATGGCAAGAACTTTTTGTTCACTGATTTTCAAAGATGATTTTGGTTATCACAATGGTTAAAGATTAATCTTTGTATTGAACCCGAGATAATATCTGGTAAAATCTTTATAGTTGTTTAATTATAACCGTTACAAAATAAAAAACAGATGATTAGAGTCTAAAATGTTTGCTTGCGCGCAAAAAAATCACAAGACAACGACTGTTGGCATCACAACGAACTTTGTAGTCACATTTAGTCCACATGTTCACTTAACCACTCTTTTCAAATCCTTTGTTCATTTTTATTTCATTTTTTGCCTGTGTTTCTCATAGTTGAACCCAAAATTGTCCACAATTAATGTTTCTTTTATCCTTAATCTTGATTCCTGTTTACTGATTTTCAATTAAATATCCAAAGCATGATTTATCTAATCTACAAATGTTTCAAATTAACAATTTTACTCACCTTATTCTCTATTCTGTTGACATGGATAAAATTGATCAACTGGCTGGTTGGTAGCTGTAGCCATACTTTAATTGGTGCCTTTGAAATTAAAGATGACGATAATTTTGTTTCCTGGGATTTCACTTCAACCCAAACAGTGGACTATACGTGTAGCACCGCCCGATCATCAGCATCATCACTATCATCAGCTTATTCATCGACGTTAAACCACCATCATTCATACAAGCAAAATATAATCAGTCCAACGGAAGGTCTTAAAAAAAGGATCAGTCCAGGAGTTAAATTGGTTCTTGATTACTGATTTTTTATAAATCTGTGTGTTGACACTGTGTTACTAATTAATTGCCATCTCAATTCATCTTTAATTACAAATATCTTATATTGTGATTCCTTTCATTTCTCTGTTTTTATTTTTTCTATAAAAACTATTCCAATGTTCCCATCAATTTGGTTATCGATGTTATAATTTTTTTTTGTATAACTATATTTGACGTTAAAAGCATTTCATGTTGATGCCTGATAGCATTTCATCTTCTGGCAACACCAATAACAAGATCAATTTTGATTATTTAATTACATTTTCGTTTTTGTTTTAATCGAATCACATATTTTTTTACATTTTTTTACATTAAAGCCAAAAGTATGAATGTAGTGTAATACTTAGAATAATTGTTCTTTTAATTTTTTATATCCACTTTAATCGATTGACTGGCTGAATGTCAATCACAATTGATTGCTGATAATTTAAGTTTAATTGTTACTCAATTAATTCACTCTCTCTCTCCAAACAACCAGTTCAAGTTCAAAATTTGATCAGGATTAAAATTGTACTTTATAATGGTAAGTTATAATTTAATAGCAACAAAAGTAGTTCATCCTAATTTAACTCTTACTCCATTGCAGGTTATAAAGAAGTATAAATTGGTATTCAATTGATCAATCAACGAAATCAACAATAAAACGAGTATAAATTAAAATCTTTCAAAAGATATCAACAATTTACCAACACTGGAAATGTATTACAAGAGGAAGAAATGGTCATCAAAAAAGGAATACAAAATTGTAATGTAATTTACATTTTCATTTACACCTTGACGTTTTGATGGAGTTACAAGAAAAACCTAAAATGATAATTAATAATTTCAAAACGAATGGCTGATTAACAACAATTGCTGCGATGACGATAATGAAAGTAAATATTTCAGGATGGAAAATATGAGGCGATAATTGGCTAGGTTAGTGTACATACACACTTGAAACGTAAAAAGTGACCTCGAAAGAAATGAAAATAAAACTGAAAGGGGAATAACAACGAAAATTGGTAAAAAAAACAAAAGCATGGAATGGAAATTGAATCAAATTCATGATAATGACAAGATGGTTAATTTGAACTGGAAAACTGGATTTAAAGGAAGAAAAGCTAAAAAAAGAGATTTCATGTATCATCAAGAATGAGAATCAGGTCAACTCATCAGCAACTGGAATCAACTTTTCCTTTCCAGCCATTTGCTCGGTCATTCCTGAACACACAAATCTTCACCATTGGCAGTGACCATCAGAATGTAATTGGCTCGACATTTTACATCAACATCTTCAACACCAAACACTACAATCAACAGACAACAATTTAAAGACGATTTGAGGATAAAATAGGATTTCAAAGGCAATAAGGACAACCATTGAAATGTTTGATGTAAAAATGAGTGTCAGTTGTCCATTTCGGGTGAAATCAATTGTTTTTTTATCTCGCAAATTATTTTCCAAGGTTGATCTTTAACCATCATTTTGATCAAAATTAGACAATTTAATGATCCAATCAATTTAAAGCAATTATAATTAGTACAATGTTTAAAAGACCTTTCGATAGTAAATTTATAAACTGCTTCTCTAACTGCGAACAATATAACAGCCATTAAGGTGATTAAGTGAAATGATTATAAAATGTATGCTTAAAGTGATACATGCTTAACTTAATTTACCATTTAATGTTATTGATTTAACTGTATTGATCTAATTGTCGCAGCAAAACGGTTTAACATTTAACGGTTGATAAACTGTGTTGCTTGGTTAAGGCTTTAAAAAGATGGTTACAGTGAAATTTGTCAATCAATTGGATTCCCTATCAGTAGTTAGTAAATCAAATTAATTGGCTGTCTACAGATTTGATGAATGATTTCAATCAACATCACATTGTACTTCACAAATCATTTCAACTGAAAGTGAATGAAAGTGAAACAATCAATGATTAAAATGAAACATTAGACTAAATTTTTACATAAATTGTTTGACTATTGGTGACTTTTATATTGTGATATTAAAATCATAAAAAGGTGTCCAATTTGTTTACCTTTTGTTACCTTTTTTTCATGTTCATATCATTTGGTTCATTTGATTCTTTATCACATCTTTTAATGTTCAACATTTTTCCTTGAAGCTAAACCGTTAAAGGATCAACGGACTCCTGGATTAACCTCAACTATTATATTTATTTATATAAAAATATTTTAATGCTTTACTTCGGGAAAGTGATGATGATAATTCTTGATGAAATTAAGGAAGAAAAAGGTAATCAGTAAATGGCCGTTGGGAAGAGCTTCTTATAAATAGAATCAACGTTTAAAATTTTATCAATTCTGATCAACTGACCACTGGATTAGTGGTAATATTATTGGTTACAGATTCTTGTTCAATCAAGATCCATGTTTACAGACAATTGAAGCAAATTGAACCTAAATTCATCAACCAGAGCCATTGATTAAAAGCAAGTTTCGTTGTTAATATTGAATAGATGACAGGAGGAGGAAAGAGATGATCATATTTAACACCATTTAATGTGTTCAAGTGTCTTCATTGCTGTGAATGTGTTTAACCCAAATCCGCCAGTTCAACAGGTAAATTTAAATTCCTTATCATTACCATTGTCATAGTCATTATGCTTATTGCTATCATTATTATTATCATCATCAACACCAATTATATTTTGACAACAGTAACATTGTTTAAAGCAGGTTGGCAAAGGAAAGAGAGAGAAAATATATATTTTCAGAATTGTCAGCCTTTTCCAAATTTAAGTTTATCTGACAAGTTCAAGGAGGAAATTTAACAATTATTTTAATCAAATTTCTTCCTTCAATTGATTGTGATGAGAAAATGCCAATTATTATTGTCTCCATTTGCACCAATCTTTTCAAGTTCATATTGTACTTTGAGGCTTTCCAAGAAAAAAAGAAATATTTTTGTTCCTTTTTTTCATTAATTTTTCCTTCCATTGATTTAAACAGTTTTGCACCTTCCATTTCAGCATCTCTCCAAGAACTATCCATGAAGATGTTTTAAAATGACGATGTTGATGATGTTAATCAAGCTTGATAAACCTGGGAAATCCCAACATAAATTTAATCACAATATGTTCCTTTCCATCCAATGGTCTTTATATTTTTCCCTTTGCATTAAAATACTTGCAAACAAGATGAAAGAGAAACCATGGAATTTTTTTCTCCAGCATTTTTCCATGAGTTTACTGATTAATCGTTATTATCATCAGCATCATCAGTATCTTCTTCATGAAAATGAGAGACAAAATAGATTCATTTAAGTGTTGCTTACAACTGGTTTTAGTGTTTTGGGTTTACTTTCCATAATAATCTGGTAATACTTTTGATGAAAGTCATCAGCAAACCAGAATTCTTGTTGACCATATAATATATTCACTTGGGACTGTTCATTCACTTTCCATCTGAGGCCAGTCTTGGTCTTGCAAGGGTGATAACCATGTTTCGGGTAAAAGACCATTTACCTCTTTAGCTCCTCTCTAAAAGCATCGTTTTCATTTTTCCATCTTTCAATTTCTTCCTTTTTTTTGCGTTCAACTTCTTTCGCAATTCAGTTTAACCAAAAAATCCAGCCTCAGGCCATTTCTTAAAAGGATCAACAGGTAAAGTTGCCTTCCTTTCCGACACTCTACCAATCTCCTGAAAGATATAAATAAAATCAAATAGGACAAAACAGCAACAAACAAAAAAAGTATCAAAATTGAGGTTGAAATGACAGCAGTTACAAACGCTATACAACATTTCCATAACCATTGAATTGATTCTTGATCAATTTAACATGTGATGCTTCAGGAATAATAATAATTTAATGGTGAGAAGATGATCTCTTTTTTGGTACACTTAGTGCTTTAAGGTACATGGACTTGACGAGCACCAAAACATGTAAAACGATACCTTTAAGTTGTTTAAAGTCAAATATTTTCTTCGTCCTCTTGTCATTCCTTTTAATCTTTATGGTAAATAATTTAATCATATTTATCGGCTTATTCCGATTGTTGTAAGTAATTGTACCTGAACAGCCAGTGTTGTACCGAATAAGCCTCTTCCCATCTTTATATCAACCTTCAGGAAACAAATGCAACAAAAAAAAATCAAGTTTTACTCAATTGAATAGTATCAATTAAGAGGAACTCAATTTCGAGTTCAATTGTAATTTAACTTTCTTATATTGATGTATATTATCAATTGTTTACCTTTAATCATTGTCATCTTTTAATCGCAATTTTTCAAGGTATACTTTAAATGGTCATTCCAAGCAATTCGTCAGCTAAAAGTGAAAGGGAAGAGAAGAATAGGAATTAGCATTCAATAAGGAAAAATAATTATGGTTTGAGTTGTTTATCAGTGTTCAGCCTATTAACCAGCTAAATGGCATAAAATAGTGATAAACGATAATCTTTGATCAGTTTTTTTGTCTAATCTTAAAACCGCCGTTTCGCTAATTAATTATCAACCACACTTGCCTGTAGGAATGCATAAGAAACAGATTTGCGACTTGATATTTTAAATTCAATCCTGCCTTGAATAAATTGGACATTGGATGCAAAGAGTGGAAAAAACTGTCCAAGCAACAGATCGCATTTTCCTCAATAGTTATCTTGAATCATCTTGTCCATTGCGAAGCCAATAAACTTGAAGTACCTGTTGATATTCAAGAATGAGCTATAAACCCTTTCTAAAGAGTATCAAATAGACACAATTAGCCATTAAAAATTTCAAATTCAAAAAATGGACCTGGAGCGAGTTGCTAATAAGATTGTAGAGAAAGAGATAAGCGAAAGAGAAACTAAATAAGAAGAAAGGGGCAGGTTAAAGGAGAAAGAGGAAGATGATAGGTAAAATTAAGGTAAGTCGAAAGAGTACAATAAGTTAAGTGAGGGAGAGAAAGATAAAGGAAGAAAAGAGGACAGATTAGAGAGCCAGGCTTTCCCCAAAACTCTTTTTACCTTCAAAAAGGAGGAGATGGAAACTGGATTCCAGACTAATCAGCCCTGTTAAAGGTAAAACCGATAGAGAGAAATGAAAAAGGAGAGAGAGAGAGAAAGAGAGAGAAAAGTAAGAGTAAACAAGAAACTGGTAAAGTGAGTCGAAGTTTTGACTTCTGGAAAAATTGAACACCATCTCAATCTCATTTAAGATTTGAATCTATCCGAAGTGTGTTCTAGCTCAGGTGATCCGAACTTGGGTTCCACAGTTTGTCTCTTTCAAATTTTGTGATATAAGTGTCATATTTAAGGACAATTGATTAATTCAATCAACTCTTCTCTTTATCCTTTCACTTGGTTTTGTTTCTCATCGATATTCTTTCCGTGATTCTTTCCTTTTAGTGTAATTTCGAGGCTTGTTTTTTTGTTGTCCATCAATTGTGATTACCAAAGCGATTACCAATTGTATTCAACATTTTTATTCCAAGTTAATGATTTTTTCAAGATCCAACCTCGATAAGTGAAGAAGAGGTTTGACAAACGATATAAATAAGATTGCGCTTCGCTCTATTACTTTCCGTGATCATCAGCAAATTCATTTTGTTAAAACTGATATACATAATATCAATACTAAACGCCGCTTCTCATCGATATCGTCTTCATTTTCATCACCACCATCCTGATTGTCAACCAACTGTAAACCAATTGAATAATAAAAGGAAAAGTAACAAGTTGAATTAGCATCACCAGACCTCATCAAAAACAACTTAATTCAATCAATAAAATATCTTGTACCGATCGTTACAACTTCATCAACGTGATTGTGAACATCATCGTCATTATTTGCATCACTAACAGCTCCAATTTTTTTCACTACCTGACAAAGTAAAAAGAATCAATTAAATTTAAAAATGGAATCAGTAATGGGAATGATTAAATATTGGTGCCATGATTTTTGGGAAATCTATGGTGACCATAGGATAAGTCACTTGCCCTTATTGAAAGGTGGACCATGGCATGTAATTGGTTTAACCCTCTTCTACCTCTACTTTGTTAAAGTTATGGGTCCAAGGATGATGAAGGATCGTCAACCCTATGAATTACGAGGAGTCATGTTAGCTCACAATACTTTTCTCGTTTTACTCAATGGTATTGGTTTTCTTGTAGGCATGTGGGGAACAAATTGGGGACTTGACACACTTAAATGTCGACCCTTTGATCCATCAAGTTCAGCCACTCAAGATCGTATCCTCTTTTACTTGGGTTACACCTATTACGTCTCCAAATTCATCGATTTTCTTGACACTGTCTATTTTGTTTTACGTAAAAAATATAGTCACATAACACCTTTACACGTCTTTCATCACACCATGATGCCTTTCTGGTGTTACATTTTCTTCAAATTTTCATCATACACAAATAACGGCTTCATTCCATTGATCAATGCTTTTGTTCACACCGTTATGTACAGCTATTATGCTCTGTCCGCTCTTGGTCCACACATGAAGCCCTACCTGTGGTGGAAAAAGTACATTACACAATTACAATTAGTTCAATTTTGTCTTGCCACCGTTCACTCACTTGTAATGTTTGCTGACCAAACCTGTACTTGTTCCAAATTCCTCATCTCATTACAAGCAGCCCATGGAATACTTTTCCTTTTCCTGTTTGGCGATTTCTACAAGAAGGCTTACCTTGCCAAAAAACCATCTAAAGGTGTTTCCTCCAAAAAGATTGCCGCCAAAGTGAATTAAAACACCAACTTGAAAAGAGACTGAAACAATATTAAAGTGGAAAAATATTAGTTGAAAGAGTTGAGAAAACAAAAAGACTGCGAAAATTAGAAAAAACCGTTTTTAAATTGAAGATACACACAAAAGATACAAGAAATATAAAAACAAATACCCAAACGATCAAGTTGAAAATGTTGACAAACCAACAACAGGCAACAAGCAAAATTGAATCATCAAGTTTTAATTAATATGGAACAATCTAAACATGGGCCAACTCAATTAATAAAATAAATAGAACCATTAATAGTTACAGTCGACACTTCATTAACAATTGTAGTTAACCAAATTTTGTGGAGAAAAGATAATTTCGTAAATTTCAATCATTTGCCATCATTTTTAGATAAAGTGTGACATTTAGTTTCACAACAGCAAAATCATTGTTTTTGAACTGACCGGGTTCATTTACTATGCTTTTGTTTCAACTAATCAATTTCAACTCTAATTTGAATATTGATTTATTTCATTTATTTTTAATGGAGTAAAAAATTGGATTTTATTTATACTCAACATCATCGACTATCATCATAATCATCATCAACATCAAACATCATCATCAGCAACAGCATTAATTTCCAACATACTCTGACAAGTTTTGTTTCTCTTTTATATTAACTGCAACTATCCATCATTCATCTTATTTCATCTTCCTTTATATTTTTTTGTTACTCAACTGGATTCTTTAGTTTCCTTTAACAAACATCACTATTATCATTAACATAAGTATTAAGTAAGTATCATTCACAATAACAATAACAACTGTATAATACAACTGTATAATGACACAATAATACTCACTTTCCAATACAGGTTTATAATGCTACATTCATCATGATCATCAAAATCTGGATAAACTTTTATTTATTTATCTGACCATCCATGAAAGACTAAGACATCAACTCATCGCCAGTCAAATTTCCAAACCAAATTTCCGTTAAAAATATCTAATCTTTGGATCAATACTTGAAACACTCAAAATGAATTTCCAGTCAGAACATTGTCATAATTTTACTTCGCCATCATCATTGCATCATAAATTTCATCTACTTTTCATCGCCATTGCATCAAATCAAAAGCTTCAGAACTATCAGTTGTAAATACGAGACTTAAATATAGAGGAAAAGATCAACCAACGATCAAGGGAACAAATTAACACAGTAAACCAGCAAAAGCTCCCAGCAGATCAACAAAGACAACTTCACATCTAAATGTGCTACGGGTTAAATTGTCACAATTATGTACAATGATATTTCATAACGCACAAGCAATCTTTGTTGTCTTCATGTCAATTGATTGATCTGACATCGATGATTTAAGATCGACTAAGAAACAAAAGAAACAAATCAACGTCCATCACTTCTATGATGAAACGATAAATGTGCCTTAAAACAAAAAAAGTGTAAACACAATTGTTTTTTTTAAATTATTCATACTCATACAAAAATGTACTTTTTCATTAATTGTTGCTTGTTTTCAATATTTTCTACCTGTTTATTATTTTTCAATTCATTGTAATAAAACAAACAAACAAATAATTCTTGTAAAGCTGAGTAAATTGGCTTTTCTGTGAATCCATTGAATCTTGATTTGATGTACAACGTAAACTGGTTGATCAGCCACCTACAATTGTCTACACAAATATTAGCCAAAATATCAGTAATTTTTATAAGTCATGTAAATGAACAATGACAATTTAAACTGATTGCCATTTACTTTTACAATCATATCTAAACAGATGCAAGAATAGTTGAATAGCTCATGAATTGACTGCATAAACTGTAAATTAAAGATATCAGTTAGTGAAGAAACTAAAATTCATTTTTTCGGGTTAGAATAATTTGATTAAACTCTTTTTTTCGTTATTTTTCGCCTCTAAACACTTTTATAAATGGATACATAATTGAGCTGCTCCTCACTATTTAAATTTCAATGAAACCTGATGATGATAAGTTGAGGTCGTGGAAAATGATAATGAAGATGACTTACAAGTACACAACATATTCATTCGGAATGAACACATTTTTAGGCTGCACGCTCACGGCTGGCCTTTTTTTAGCCTTTTCACTTACTTTCGGCTGTCAGCTAATGAACTCAAATTTGCTTTTACAGACAAACTTTCATCTTTATTGTCTTGTTTTATCTTTTATCATCTGTAGCCAGTATCAAGCTGACCAAATCTTGACTCACACAATTCAATTTTTTTCACCTCACTTCATCAAAATCATTCATTAGTGTTATAATCGTTGAATCGGTCCTCATTTATTCACCATTTTGAAAAAGTGTTGTTTAACCACATTAGTCTTTGGCCTCTAGTGATGTTATTTCAAATGATTAATTCATATTCTACAATTTAACTGTTCTGATTTACTTTAGTAATGAGTTCATGTCTTCCCTCCAACTTGAATCTAATGAATCTATTTTCATGATTTCAAATATACTAAAATATCAGTAAATATACAGTACATTGAATTACCATTTAAACATTTGATTTCTAAACAGAAACTAGACTTAATTGATAAGTTTTTTGCATGAATTTACCAATCTCTAATTCATTAATAATTTGTCATCATATGGCTGCCTAATCACCTTATTATCCTCATAATAAAGCATCTTGGATCGACTTCAAGCTTGTATTTTGCATTTTGATTGATTAATTGGCCTATTAATTAGATTCTATTACTATTCGGTGTAACCAGATTGTTTAATCAAAATTACCCAGTCAATCCAAACTTATTAGACAAGAGTTGCTGGCAACGTTCATCATTAGAAGTATGTTTTGGCAGGTTTCCTTATAGCATCTTTTGTGACCATATTTTGACCATTCAGTTGCAATAGAATAACGAAGAAAGTGATTGAGATGAAAAATTACTAAACATTTTGACCTATTCGAACTTAATTAACTCAATTATTGGTCGATAATGAAACTTATTAACTGTCAGATAATGAAGGTAAGCCAACGCCATCTATCTATTGAATTACTGATTAATATGAACTGAAAAGTTAATCAAAAATTAAACTTGACGTTAACTTTTAATGGCCAAATTAGAAGTACTGTCCATATCTTGAAACATCCCTACAAATATCTGGACCAGATCAATTACAATTTTCTAAATCACCAGCTATTCCATTTCGACATTTTTCCAGTGTAACCTTTTAGAGTATGAAGATGGCATGTAAATTTTTATTAAAAGGTGTTGCATCTTGAGCATAATCCGCATTATTGTTCAATTTTATGAATCGATCATAATTGATCACAGCCTGAGTAACGCGATTTCATGTTGGACCGATTTGTATCATTTGTATCATTATTATTTCTGAAATCAGGAAATGCTAGTCAGTCCAGGTAGAATCTGAAACACGAGCGCTGAAGGAAAGGGTCAGATTTTGAGTGATTTCCACTCGTATACACAAATAACGTATTCAAAACGAATCATGTAGTAAAAATTTATGCGAACAGAAAAGATCATTCATTTAAAGTACACAGACCTAAACCTTTATGATTACCATTTTAAAATGGTATACTATTTTGATTATGAATTGCCTCGGTGGCCATGAAATGGCTCATCAAACCATAAATACAGAATTGGCTCTCTGCCATGGATCAAGCAGAAAATTCAAAAAGATAAATGATTTGACTTTTAATTTCATGAGCTGGCCAGAACATTCTCTAGTTTGTCTGCGCTGTGAGTTGGATTGACAGATGTCTTTGAATCCATTCCCTAAGATAATCACATTCTGAGTAATCAACACTCTTAAACATTTGCTTAGTCATTGGTGTTGAAATGAAAAGATTGACTTTCGTGACCGTTGAAGGTGATCTAACTTGTGACTTTCATTGGATTAAGTATTTTTGGGCATTTTGTGCCAAATTATTTCGATAAGAAGATTGCCTTTCTTGTGTGATTTTCAAGTATTTGTCTTGATTGGGTTTGGTTTTTTCCCGATAAGTGAACGCTTTATCCTTTGACTTTATCCGTTATTTCAACAATTTGACTGGGACGGTTATTGAAACGCGAAATAAAACATTTATTTTAGATTAAATGAGTTTTTGTAACAGTTTTTGCGAGTAATAGGTAATAGTAATAAACAGCGGAAGGGTAACGATAGGTTAAATGAAATTACAATCTGACAAAGGTGATTAATGGACATCAAATACAATTTTGGTAGCAAAATTGCTCATAAACAATCAAAATTAATTAACATTCATCTTATTGTGACTCAAATATTTCGTTTAACCTTACATAGATAAAAAGAGGGAGGAAAGAGTTAACAAGAGAATTGATTTACAATCGAGTTAAATGCTTATAATATAGAGAAAATGTTATGAAGAAAGTGGAAAATAAAGTGTAATATTGTAAGGAAAATGATAAAATGAAAATGAAGAAATAATAGAAATTACATGAAAAATTTGATTCCAATTTTTTCATTACAATTGAAGATGATTTCTTGATGGAAAGGAGAAGAAAAGGAAATTGTTGTTGAGAATGGCTCTAATTAATCTTTGCTGTAATTAATATCAATGGTGAATGGTGAAGTCAATTTGTGAATTTGTTTTTCTTGAAAGGTGAGAAGAGATTTCAACTTAATTAATCTTTAATTTTGGTTCGATTAATCGTTTCCATTCTTGCCAATCTTTGACTAAAAATTAAACAAATTTGACAATATAAATTAATGTTTATGGGAAATTCAATTGATGATTAGAGTAGGTGATTAAAACTATAGATAGGAAATAAATTAACTAAATTATTGATTGCGTTAATCTCTCATTTTTGTGTCTACGCAAAAAAAGTCGGACAAACTGAATTATTCCTTTCTTATTGATTTTTTTTTGTTTCTCGATTCGTGTAGGTAAAGCATGTGTGAGTGATGCTGATGTTGGTCTCTTCAGAATAGCGTTAACGTTGAGTGAACATTTGATATTTTGTTTTATACATTATCTCCTAAATTACTAAGTATACAAAGGTTTGAAAATGATGCAAATCAATCATCATTGAGCTACTAATAGAAGCTCATCTTCAGATTTAGGTATATCAAATATTTCGGCAAATAGTGGAGGCAGCTTGAGTTTGGTCCAGTTTGCTCGGAACCAGGATAAATGTTCAGCATGTTTGATTCCAAGTTGTACCAGCTCAGGAAGCTTCATCATCACGTTCGGATGTAATTGAGTATCATTGGAATGATGTCGTATAATTTGCAATCTCAGAGCTTCAGCAATGCTTTCTTGGATCCGATGGATAGCTTTTATATCACTAATACCAAATCGCTCTGGAAAAAGATATAAACAAATAACAATTAATTAAAGGTAAATAAATTTATTACAGTTAACAACAACTTACCTAAAGAGAGAAGGACAAGAGCAGAAAATAATCCAATTTCAGTATCATTCAAATGCAGATTATTGAAGGAGAGCATAAAATTGAAGATTGATGATACAAATTCATACTGAAAGAAATAAAAAATTAAAATAAAATTAGTTAAAAATTATTTAAATAAGAGAAATGGCTTTACGACTTTGACTTTTTCAAAGTTGATTGTATTTAAATCATAAAACTTCTCGTTCAAGTGGTTTAATGAAGGTTTACTTCAAATCAAAGAAACAACATGCACGATGTTGTTCATTGAAAGTTGAGACATATCTTGTTATTTCTGTCTGATTGATAATAGATTCAGAGATTAGACTCTCTGGTAAATTAATAATAGGTAATGGCAATTTTCATCGTCATGATAATCATTGTAATGATTTATGATTTCCTTTTTATTCATCACTATATTATTTATAATGGAGATTAGTTTAGAAGTGAATGTAAATCAATAGTTAATGGTAAACTTACATCAAACATTAGCTCCATTTGTTGTCGAGTAATATAACTACCATCACTGAACGTAAGCGTATTGTCAACTAAGTTAACCATTTTGGAAATGTGGACAATCCAAATCTCAAAGAAACCTGATTTAATCAGGATCAGTTGATCGTCTTGGGACAGCTCGAGAAAACCGGGAATTCGTTTAGCAAATTCAACAACTCTTGATATGGATGGTGTAATAAAATCAGCAAATCGTTGCCACATATTAATCTTTTGTTGCTCCAAACTATCGGCTGTTATTGAGCTTGGACTATAATCTGGGGATGAACTGTACTCTGGCTCTAGCTTCTGATGAAAAATAGAAAGAAAATACAGAAAAAAACGTTAATTTTAAGGTTTGATTTGAAACAAAAAGCATTAAAGCTTTACATTGGTTACAAGGCAAGAGAAGAGGAAAAAAGTAACACAATTGGCCTAATAGTTAATCAATGATTCGGTGGATATTTTATTGTCATGATACAGAGAGACTGACAAGTTATAAATTAAATAACATATGAGACTCTTTAATGCTAGAGATTAGTTAGTTCATCAACCTAAGCAAACATTTGTCGTACCAAGGATTATCTAATAAACTATGTAAATCCATTTAATTTATTCTGTCATGCAGATTCTGTGTTTATATCAGCTAAATTGTGACTTATCAGAAGGAAAGTAAAGTAAAAGTATTAAAAGAATCAAATGAATTATCAAAGACTCAACTAAAATCCATCAACTAACTGAGGTGAAATTCATGTAAGATAGCAAGTAAATTTAAATAGTGAACAAAGAGGTTTTGGCTTGAAGCCTAAATTCCTAATCAGATAATGGTTCAGTTAGAGAGAAAGATGAAAACAATTTCAGAGATTACTACAGTTAACCATGAAAATGTTGAGCAAGAAACACTAAAATGGTTTATCTCCAAGTGAATTTTGGGAAAGAAAAGCCAAAATCAACAATCAACTTACAAATATTGCAGGTTTTCGCATCAAATTTTGTGTATGTTCATCAGTGTAGGCACAGTGATTATGATGAGCTTGAGAGATGGCCGATATGATTTCATACATTGATATTTGCATGGTATCCAGTTTCACATTGGCAGATTGGTCAGCTTCAGATGTGGTTACCCGATTATCGTCTCCTTTTTCACGAGATCGTTTGGGAACTCTTCCGTACCTAACCGCTGTTGGTTTTTGTAAATATTTTGTACCAATTTAAAGCCATGGAATCATCAACAGTACGAGAAATGAGCCAGAAATCAAGCCGAATCAATGAGATAAAATAGATTTGTCCAGAAAACCAAGATTACCATGACCATTGGATAAGATTTTGGTATGATGATGAAAACATGAAACATGAAAGAAAGAGAAGCAAAAAATCAAATTAGTAAAATGAATGGATTTTTTTTCTCGATAAAATAAATTTTTTTTTTCTTTCTTTCTTCCAATGATGGATTAGAGTTGCTATTGAATGGCATTTAGAGTTGACAGAATGGGGAAAATGGCAAACAACTTATATTAACGTAGGAACAGTGAAAAATTTGGTTTCATTTTGAACTACAAAGCATGGGCCAAGTTAAGGGTTGACTTCAACTCTAATGACTGGTTGCACGCTAACTAACATTATTTAACTTTCATTAATTTTATTGCCCCTTTAACTTGAACTGAAAAAAAACCTCCAAGGTCAAGGTTACCCTGTCTAATCATGAGAATCAAATAACGTTGAATTATTCCATTTCAATCATGGGTAGGGTCGAAAGCTTGTACACAGGGAAAAAGGGTATTTTTATTAACATAACTATCATTTGAGTTTTCAGAGTCTGTAAAGAGTTGAGCAAAAGGTCGATGTAACCTGATAAATCAAATTTTACGACATTTAAGGTCCTAATAATTTATTCACGTCATTGGCAACCAAGGGCAATCAATGGTTGCTGATAATTTTAGATGTTAGTCGTAAAATTATTGAAACAATGGACACTGGTTGGGTTGATATCAATGAGATACCTTTTTTTGGGTGAAGGGAAGGTGAAATATTGATGTTAGTGAGGATGGTTGAAGAGCATGAATTTGGTTACAAAGTTACAAAATGGTGAATTGATAAGGGAAAGGAAAGAGACAACAATTGGTTAACTGTAATAATTGAAACAATTTACTTACAGTCTCTTGACATGCCAACAGCTATGCATTTCTTGAAACGACAATACTGACAGCGATTTCGGTTAAGCCGTATAACTAGGCATTTACCATCTCGTAGACATTTATATTCAATCTGCTTTTGGATGCTCCGTCGAAAGAATCCCTTTAAGGTGTAATAAAACAAGTAGTTGAGTTGAACAGAGATGACAATGGGTTAACCAACGATGATGATGATGTGGATGGTAACAATTGAAATGGCAGGCCAGTGATGAAGACAAAAATGTACAAAGAGAAAGATGAATTAGTAAAAAGGTTTTTGAATATAATAAGGTTTTATAAAAATGGTTATGAAAAAAAAAGATTGAGTTGAAGTGGTAGTCAAAGAGCCAGAACAAGTGAAGCAGCAGTGAGAGATAAAATAGTGAGATAGTTGATTCTAATTCATGGGAAAAACTGAATCACAGACTGGAGAACAAGTTAATTGCCAATGGAACTGGTTGAATGAACTGACGATCAGCAAATACACAATGTAATAAAAAAAGAGACTGAATACAACGTTTACCATGCGCAATTCAGAGATTGATCATGATCGAGGCTTATTCAATGGAACCAATTAAATTGTAACAAAACGTCCTCCAAACCTCATATCTATATACATAGACACAATATGATTTGCAACATTTCATTTGTCTTTCTGTTTTTGTGTCTTCGCCTTATTCCAGTACTTCAAGTACTTTGGCTGTTTTTTTTTCTTCTTCATTTCTCAATGTTTTCAGATTAATCTGAAAGGTAAAATGATGATTAAAATTGCAATTGTTTTTTGCATGTAAAGGTTGATCAGATTGCAAGCCATCAGTTTGGGTTTGTTTGTTTAGGAAAAAATCAATGTCAGATTAACCAGATTCAATAGAGGCAATAGTATTGGGTAAAGTAGATAATGACTGATCAACAAGATCAACATGATATGAAAAGTGAAAATAAAGTGCACCAAATGACCCTGATTTAAGTAACCAATTGAAGAGCTGCTCAGTTTTACCTTTCAACTTTTAGTATCATTATCATTATCAAACCAGGAAACCTAAAGGCATTTTTATCCTTTTGAATATCAACTATTTTTTGAGGGAAAGCTGCGAGTCTATCGATAGTGTTGGAAAGATTCAAGCTCACAACCTTATTTGCTGATTTAACATGAGAAATTGAAATCTCTATCTACTCTGGAAATGATGAATGAGATGGAAAATTGAAATTGATGAGAAATAATGAAATTTGGTGATTTGGAGATGAAAACAAAAGTGTTGAATGCAAGTTGAACGTAAATGAAGGTGAATTGTGATTATAATGAGTATAAGTGATTATGTTTAACCTGAATCTTATCTGAAAATCCGGAAACAAATTAAATTTTTGAGAACGAAAACTTGAAATTCAAGCAACAAATCGAGGTCATTACAAACAAAACCAGGAGCAAAATGATTATCACAATCAACCAAAATAATAACAAGTGATTGCACCAACAACAATCATCATGAAAGTAAAATGAAAGAGAGAGAGAGCGAGTTAATCATTTAAACACTTTCAAATCAAATCACTGTGAGATTAATGAGAGATTAACTTGAAAGTTTGAGGTTAAACAGGAGAAGTGAACAAAAAATGAAAAGCTTTCATTGAATCGTGAAGCCAAATAAAAAGTAGATCAATGGTGTTTTAATTGTGTAAAACAATTGCAATGTTTACTTCTAATCGTCTGGCTATTATCATCATTAACCAACATTGAATGACAATCAATAAAGGTCAAAGGCATTGAAGGTTAAAGGTGAATGTTTTCCCAAATTTACTTGAATAATTAATGTTTCAAATCATTTTTACAGACTAATGTTGCGTCTCCAAGAGCCTGGCCATGGATTGGGTTTAATGGTGAGTTGAAGCTTCGCTTTCACTGAAAATGCTCAACGTCTTTGATGGATATTAATTGTTGGGGTTGAATTAAAGTAACTAGTAATATGAAGCTTAAAAATTGCGATCACAACGATGGAGACAAATTAACTGTTCAGGAAGGTTGAGCTTTTATCAGATCAATGAACCCGTTCGAGGTTAAACTGTTAAATTGTTAACCGTAATGTTGATTAACTGTATGGGTTTCATTTTACGGAAAAAAAGCAGTCTCAAAATTTCAAGTTAACTAATGTTTTATGATTATAATTAAAATGAGAGAAAAGGTAAGATTAATTGATATTACCTATGCACTTGTTAAGAGGAAAGTAAACTTGAAAGTAAAACTAATTATTTTATCAAGATTGGTTTAGTTTTTTGCTCTTTCGCGTAAGGTAAGAAGAAAAAGGTAAAAACATAATTTGTCAAAATATTGAGACTATTTTGTTTCTCTAACTCTTCTGGTTTTAATTTTCAATTAGTTAATAATTTCCATCTTCACTTGACAGTTGAAATTATTTCAGGAAATGATGAATGCTCATAACTTTTTCTTCTCATTTTAAAAGGCTACCAAACATTGTTCAACAAATTAATCATTTGGTTGGAAAATTTATCAATTGTCATTTCCACTTTTCTAACCATTGCATCGCAACAAAGTAACGAATACAAAAAACTAAATAACAGCTAATTGTATTAATCAAGGAATAATTAGACGATAGTTTTCCAAGGAATGGTAATTTGCTGTTAGTCAATTGGCAAATCTCTACAGTTCATACACCAGATACAACTTGTCACATATTCTTGATTCTTGAGAATGTCCCACAATTATTGTCTACCGTCTTGTTTGTCCTGGTCAACTGACGATCATTGACTGAGTAATTGGCCAATATTTACCTTGCATCCTTCACATGAAGTGACTCCGTAATGATAGCCAGAAGCTTTATCGCCACATACTTTACAAACAACGAATGACTTTGAAGGAGTGTTACCACTATTTGAATCTGCTGCCTCAAAACTGTTATTTTGAGCTGTATCAGAGGGAAAAAAGAGAAAAATTGATTAAATAAAATGCACAATTCAAGAGTAAAAAAATAAACACAAAAACCAAAACGATTAAATGATTAAACATTTCTTCATATTGACCATCTTCATATTCAATCATAAATGGTTAAGTCCAACAATATCGATTATTCACGTTAACAAACGAGCGTAGATAATGTAACCATTTAAACTTGGTTAATTAGGATCGCTAAATAATCAAATTATCCGGTCTATTGAGACCAAAGAGAAAGAAATTTAGAGTGCAAAAAAAGAGAGGGAAAAAAGGAAAGAACGTAATTTTGTTGACAAAAAATGTGTTGAAATGCGTAATTCAATAACACCAATTAGTCATGAATACAGTATTGATATCTTGTTCCAGAATTTAAACCATAACTAATTCAAACACATATCAGAATAAAAAACACCACAAATTAGATTAGACTGAAAAAAATCGAGTTAATTTAAGGATAAATGAAGCAACAAAGATCAGAGAAAAATTGTTTTCAAATTCACAAGAAAAAAACATGTGGCAAAAACCTGGCGCCCTCTTTGGGTTTACAACAAAACTCCTCAGAGATTTTGTTTTTTCTGGTTAACACTTTTTCTGGTTTCGGTTATTTGCTTTTGTTTTAACATTTTTTTTGCGTCTGTTTCAATATATTTTTTTGATTGTTGAATAATGAAATTTGAAAGGTTCAAGACTGCCTAAGGTAAGTTATGAGCGTGTTCACATGTAAGGTAATGTTTGATGTGAACATCTTTTGTTGAATGTAATACAGGTAGAATCAGATTTTTTGTTTGCTCTTGGTATAATTAACACACCTTTGGAATGATGATGATAACTAATTAACGGAGCGAAGAGATTTAAAGTTTTGTTTGTTTCCATCAGTGTAAAGGTTAATGTTATAACGTGAAGAGAATAATTTATTAGAAAGGAAAGGAAAAAGGAAGAAGAGAAGAAGGTTTAAGGTAAAAAAGATATGAGAATGATGATAATGTTAATGATGAAAAGCATTTTGTTTCAAGATTATTGACTTTTTTACTGCATTTAATGTAAACTTGAATGAAAAATGAATCAAGTAAAGTGTTAAAAAAGCCTTTTGTTTCACAGCAACAATAACATCAACATCAACATCATCAAAATTGCGATCAAAAACCTAAACCCAAATTAAAGGTAAGATTTATGTTGGTAACAAACATGTGCTTCGATCAACAATTTCAATTCACATTCCCAGCTATTATTGAATAACATGTTAAAATGTATCTTTTATGTGAAATTTATTGTTAAATTAAACTGATTGTTGCTATTGATTTTGCTGTTGTTTGTTGCTGCTTTGGGTTGGGTGTAAATCAATACATTATAATGTACATTGATTATTGACATTGTAATGTAAAAGTGCGGAAATGGATGAAATTTTAAATAATATTCAATCTCATTTCAATCTCATTATCAATATTAATACATCTAAATAACTCAACAATTGAAATGTAAATCATGTTATGAATATGGTTAAACATTATGCATTATCATTATAAAGACACCATTGGATATGATTGTAATCATGAAACATCTTAAATTGTAATTTTTTGCAAAAATAAAAAGTAAAAAACATTTCTTTTCAATTGTTTCTGATTGTCAATAATAATTTCAATGATAATGATATTATGTATTCAATAGTAATATTATGGCAACATGAATACAAATGAATTCATCAATTTGATTACAACAGCTAAACCATTGAATGGATTCATTTCATTTGTCAAATCTAATCTGTAATTGTGATCAAAAAATACAAATTAACCTGTAAATTATGGTTAAGTTGAATGACTTTTGACTGAGCTTTAAAACCTGAAGACTTTGAACTTAGCAATGATTTTTTAGTTTTTGGCAAACCATTAGCTTGATCATTGATTCATTAAATTGTCAAAACAATTATACAATTAACATGATTCTCGGTTTAATTGTTCAATTAACTCAACATTGATTTATGATTTAAACTGTGAATTTGGTTAAAAAGCAAAAAGCATTCAATATTTTCATTGCTTTGAAAAAAAAGTGAAATATTTCAAGTTGAATATGCTTTTTGATTGTTTTGATGATTGTTATGATTATTGTGTTGATTGTTATTTTCAATGTTAAACTGAAAGTGAAGTAGCAATGAATTGTTGATGTAATAATGTGTCTACATTAGATTTATGTATTATCCAAAGGTAAATCCCTGATCTTTATTATCACATAATCGTTTCACATTGTATTTACCTTATTATTTGAGCAAAAAAAGAGTAACTTTTTTTTGCAAAACTATTTTTTTGTGTTTAATGTTTAAGGAAAGTAAAAGAATGATGATGATGATGATGGGAGGATAAGATATTGACAAGGAGAGAGAAAGATGATAAGGTTGTGAGGAAGGCAAAAAGAGAGTGAAAATAATTGACAGAAGAAAAGAAGATGAAGAAAGAAGAAAAAAGAAGAAGAAGAAGAGAAAGAAATTGTTGAGGTTTTTACTGTAAAAACGGTACAAAGAATTAAATGCAACTTGAAAAGGTTCTCGTTCGCTCTCGTTGAAAGCGAAGGCGAAGAAGGGTGAGAACCAAGAGTAAGAGTGGGAGAGAGGAGGGGAGAGGAGGGAGGATGATAGAGAGTGATATTTGTCCTGGTCTAAGATGAAGAAAAAAATGAAGAGAAAAGAAGAAGATGAAGAAATGTAAAACATGAAGGAAACTATGCATAAGTATTATGAACAAGCTTGAAAAACATTGAGCAGATGCGATTTCACAGTAGCTAGGGATGTAAAGATGATGAGAAACTGGCTAAAGGGGAAAAGAGAAGAAAAGGAAAATAATTTTCTTCTTTCTTGGGTTCGTTGACCTCTAAAAGAAAAACCAGTTTTTTTTTGAATAATAAAAAAGAGATCAGGAGAAGAAGAAGAAATGATGAAAAATTAAGATGAGAGTGAGAAGTGAGAGAGCCGTTAGTTGTTACCGGAAATCTTGGTGAAAAAAAAACAAGAAACAAGAAGAAGATGGAAGATGATGAAGAGGTAATAACAAGGGCTTTGTCAGCAGGTAACAACATCTAGGATCTATTTGTCTGAAGATGATGAGGAGGAAGAAACAGTAAGTGGGAGAGAGAGAAGAAGATGTTTCTTTGGTCTTTTTGGGTTTACTTTTTGCTTGCATCAAGAATGTTGCAAAACTGGCCTTAACTGGGGATAAACAGGAAGACTGATGTAAAGATGATGAGAGGGAAATGATGATGAAAAGGGAAGAGTAACCGTGATCTTGAAGACGGTGAGAAATGATGTGATTTATAATATTAAAGTGTTTTGTTTTTGACTAATGATTTCATTCAGCTGACCGGATCTGTTGGCTATTGATTAACACTGAAAATGGCAAATTTGTTGTTGGTTTAACTTTTCATTTCAATTGACTTTCAAGTTTGATGTTTCATTTTGTTTTTTTCAAGATCTGATTGTTTCAGTTTCAAGAACCATTTTTAAAACCATTCATGATGATGGTTACATGATGATAATTGAAACCGAGTATCCAACCTTTACCTTTATCTTGCTCTTTCAAGGAAACTCTTTCTTTCCATTTCTCTTTCGCTTCCGGGATTTTCCTCTCACTTCATCTCATTATAATTATCATCATTACCATCACAATGATTAGCAATTCAATTTCAATCGGACAATTAACCGGCAATCTTTAACTATCAACATTGTTAATCAAAAGCTAAATAAATAAAGGTAAACCTTTTCAACTGACAATATGTTTCAATGTTAATTAGAGCGGTTACCTGATTAAGAAGCTCAATTTTGTTTTATTATACATTAACAATTACAACAATTTAAATTGTTAAATTTCACATTTGAGAAGCAAATACAAGAAATTTAACCAAAAAATTAAGATCAATCTTGATCTTTTTTGTTGAAACGATTCTCATTGACCTTAAACAGTTAACAATAATGTAATTATATCTCTCAAGACCTGATCAAGACCTTAATCACTTAACCAATTAATTTACTTTCCCTGTTTTACTAATTTCAAATTAATTGCACCTCTAATCATCATAAAAACTGAGCAAAATTGGACAAAATAATCGATCAAAGTTTCAATGCAAAAAAAATGGTTAAAATGATCACTAAATATTGAAATGATTCAACTAATGAAACAATTTGATTAAATCGTTAAATCTAAATCATAAATTGCTTTCCAATTTGCAATTAAAGTGCAATGAAATTGTGAAAAGCAATGACAAAATGAAATAAACATTTGAAAGTTGATTAAAAAGTGATTCCTTAAAATGTAAATAATGGCAATAATTTTGATATAAACAATTGTGAAAGTAAATTGGATCAAAGTTTAATCACAGGAAGACCTCTAATTTGTGTCCGTGATTTTGAAATAATCAGTCATTACCATGAGATGATTAACAATGAAAATGATGATAATGATGATAATGAATGAAAACTGTTTGGAAAAGTGAAAAAGAAATGTTTACTTTTTTTTCTGGTTTTCGCGTTACGACCAATTTTCACTAAACAATACTATTTTATTAAACCTCATCAACCTGATCATCATCATCATCCAAGCATGATACAGTTAATTATGCCACACGATAGGGTCTTGATATGATCACTTCCGTGTTTTGAGAACGCGTTTAGGTCAGATCAGGTTTTCCTTTACATTTCACTTCGCTTTCAATCACATTTCAACTTCACATTACAATACAGTGAAAATACAAAAAACAAGTTCGTGAAGCAACAAAAACAACAACAAGTCAACAATAAAGGTTCTAATGCTTTTTGGAGGTCAGTCCAGGTCGACTTTCACTCGTTGGGTTAACACGCGTTTTTCGTTCACTTTCTGCCGTTCTCACTTGTTAAGCTTCTTCACCTTAAAAAAAACGAAGTTAATAGTTGTTGAATGAACACACAAAAAGATACACAAAATTTGAAAAAGGTCATTAAAATGAAATGAAATGAGGACAATCAAATATCTCATTTAACAAGGTTATCTGACACATTTCCGTTCACCACAATTCGCGATTAGCTAATTGAGTAACATTTAATTTTACCTTAAGGCAATCCTATTATCATTATCATCATGAATTAGCATCTTCATTTGGAGATTCAATTGATTCTACTTTCGATTGATTTACCTTCTTCTTTTCAATTGTTGCTATTCATTTATCGATATTTTAACCAATTCCTTTTAATTCATTTTCATGGTTGCCAATCTTGGTTACATTAAACTTGTCAATTGCAATTGTTGATTAACTAATAATAAATTGTAACCTCTTACTGGGAACAAAATTGGCTGCAAAATTAACATAACTTTACTTGAAATTTGCTCCAAATTTTGCAAAATGTTCATCAATGAGTTTATCATGCTGAGTGTAAGTTTTGTTTGTTTCAACTATTTTGTTGTCAAGTATAAATTGTTAATTTAATTTACAGACACTTTGATTGTCTAACTAAAAGAGTCAATCAATCACCTTTGCAATTAAACAATTTTACAAATGTTTTGATTGATTTTGAGTACGAGAATCGGTTGATTGTTAGTTTTTAATTGCTGGTTAGTGATTTGATGGTTAATAATGATTTGACAATGAAATTTGAAAAGATTTACTTGGATTAGTTTATGGTTTGAACCAGGAAATAGCAAGCTTTTGGGTTAATCCAATGGATCAATTGAAAAGGTGGAAAGATTTCAAAAATTTCAATTTCAATCATTTGATTAATCCGATTAATCGAGTTGATTAAAATGGTGAAACTTATTGAATTTGTTGATCAAGATGATGAAGATAATGAACATTTGCTTTGATTTTTCTGTGTTATTTTTTGGGTTGATGAACTTACAGGTTGGACTCAACATGGATGTGGTCATGATGGGGATGATGATGAAGGTGAAGGTGAAGAGCGATGAAGATGAGGTTGTTTACAAGGATGACAATGATGACAGTTTGTTCAATGGCAATTATCAGCTGTTTGGTACGAGATGAGGATTGTTGGAGTAGACATCAAAGGTAAATTTTATCCCAAGAAAAATGAAACGTTCACTAAACATTAATCTACTTTGTTGGTTTGTAAATTACAATTAAAAGTTTAAAGTTGATCTCAATGGTAATTTACAATCAGTAATAGGTAAAGGTAGGTGTAAAAAAAGGTACAAAACTTGATAAATATTGGTTAGGATGATAATGATGATGCAGGGTGCAAACCGATAACAGGGAAAAGTGACAAACACATGAGATGAAAACAATATCAACAAATGAAAATGTTGAGGAGACACAAAAAAGGCACCAAATGAATCAAGGATAAGAGCAAATGATGAGGAGTTTTCAACTGAGTACAACGAAAGTTACTGGAGTGGAAGAAGGAAGAGAAGAAGAGAAAAGAGAGAGAAAAATGAGAGAGAAATGAGAAAGAAGGAAGAAAATGAGAGAAACAGAACGGGAGAGTTTTTGAGACTAAATAGTGAGCGTTTTTAAGATTTAAGATGAGAAGGAGAAGAAGAAAGAAGAAAGAGAGAATAAGAACAAATGGTTACACAGACAGAAAATGTAGACAGACAAGATAGAAAGAGAAGACGAGAGAGAAGATGAAAAAGTATATCAAACGTTGAGCTTGTTATACAATGTTTACAATGTTAATATGTGATTTTTTTTCTGAAGCTAAATCCCAGGTATCTTTTGAGATATAATTTCATATCTGAACAGTGAAGATGATAAGTCTGGGAGGTGAAAGAGAAAGAGAGAGAGAGATGATTGAGGATAAGAAAGAGAGAGGGGAAAGGTTGGATGAAAGGGAAGATTTGAAAGAAAAGTTAAACTTTCTTTCAAAGGCAAGGTTAGACGAAAACAACTCGGCTCTAAGGCGAAGGCGAAGGCGAAAAGAAGGGTGAGAAAAGACAGAGAGTGGGAGAGGGAAAGACCAAGGGAGAGAGAGAGAGTGATATTTACCCGGGTAAAGATGATGATGATGATGAAGGAAAAAGTAAGATGATAAATGTATAGCTATGTGAGTACATGTACAGCAAATACATCAAATACAGTAACAACAAACAGATGCGCAGAAGTGCCTACAAGGAAGAATGAAAGACAGAGAAGACAGAGAAATGAGGGAAGACAGAGAAGGTAGACAGAGATGATGAGATGAGAAACTGGTAAAAGGGGAAAAGGGAAGAAAAGAAAGGAAAATGGTGAAGTTGAATGAACTCTGAAAGAAACCTTGGGGTAGCTGTACTTTCACAGAGAAGCAGGAGAAACAGAAAAAAAGCAGAAGATGAAGATGATGAAGATGATAAAAATGATGTTTGTTAAGATAATGATGATAAAGTTAGGAGAGAGAAAAAAGAAGAGAAAATAAGAAACCTTCCTTATTTCACTCTCTTTACCAACTTGAAGATCATTTCTTGTTTTTTTTCGCATTTTGTTACTCAAGATGATAATGATAACACATTGATTTAAAGCGTTTTGTTTTTCCCTCTCTTTTTAGGTTTAGCTTTTGGGTTTAGGGTTGCCATTGGTTTCGGGTAGTCCGTTACCTTTTGTTTCAATGTCTAGGTTTGCATGTTATTGGCAAATTAAGGTTAGACTTATTTTTTTCTCACATTTTTTTCATGTTTTAATCATTTGCTCATTTTTGGTTTTTAGTTTGTTTATTTTTAATTAAATTGAACAGTTTTACTTGCCTGGTGTTGTTGGAATTGGCGAGGATGATTTTAACGTTGTTAAGGACAGTGTTTTAGGTGTTATCCCGCTTGGACCTGGTCTTGTCTCTGTTGTTACAATCACTCTTACTGGTGCTTTTGTGTTTATTGCTAAGGCTTTAGTTATTTCATCGTGTATTATTGTAGAGGCTGTTGGTGTTGTTGTTGTTGTTGAAGACGATGATTGTTGTAATTGTGTTTGTTGTATTATTTGTTGACCGTGATTGAAAATGTTTAATGATTGGTGGTGTGGTTGTATCTGATTACCTGTAATACTTTGAATTACAGGCACAACTGCTACAATTGTATCACCAATTGTTGCTGTTGTTGTTGTTAAAGATGATGTTTCTTTAATTACTGAAATATCTTTTGTACTCAAGGTATAAACACTATTCACATTATTAACCTGATCGCTGCAAATCAACTTAACGTCGCTACTTTCCTCAATATCTTTACAGTCAACATTATTATTCTCATTAATGGTAAGATTATTATTATTACTATTGTTAATATTATTATTATTAATATCACTAATACTATTATTGCTACCAGATCTTTTCAAATTGTTGTCAATAATGATTTCATTATCATGAACAATTACCTCAGTAGGTATAACTGTTGTTGAAGTAACCTCTTCAGAATGATCATGACTAGCACCATTACTGGAATTATTATTATTGGCAGTTTGGTCAGCTGGCGTAGTTACCGTCGATGAGGATGAAGATGATTTATTACGAGCACTGGAACGGCGATTTCTAGCACTCATAATTAATTAATAATCAATTGGATTGATAAAAATGAGTTTAAGCTTATGTATAAAACCCGAAAGAAAGGTTCAGGCTTAACCAGAATGGCTTTAACTTTCTGTACGAAATGGACAAGGTTGTGGTTAATTTCATTTAACACTGTTAACGGACAAGTAAAATAACAATTGGCAACAACAATGAAGGAACAATAACGATGATTAATTAATTGTTAACAAATAACAACAACAGCAACATGGAGAAATACAAATTGGAATGAAATTTGGTTTTTTTCAATCAACTAAAGAGATGGAAGGAGAAAAAAAAGCAAAGCAAAAAGAAGAAGAAAAAGAAATGAAATTATCTTTTAATTAACATGAGATTTGAATGATGAGGATGAGGATGAACATGTCTGGTAACATATTGCAAGGATAACAACCTCATAACAATATAGTTGCTTAGTTAACCTGGAATCAGGTCACATAGAGATATTTAACCGATCGATAATATTGGAGTTGAATATAACAACCAACTGGGAATGATAAACTCACTCCAAACCAGGAAACACAGCAAAAATGATGATAATATTTTACAAGAGACACAATATTACATCTTCCTGAATGCTGATCATCATCTCATTAAAGATACATTTGTGATTTATAAAATATATGTAAAGTTGCAACTTTGAAACAATCTTGAAGCTTGCTTTTTAACTTTCATTTTTACTTCGCATTTATCCAGTTTATTGCAATCATTTTGATCCAAATTGAAACTTGTCTTAATCTGGTTAAACTGCTATTTCAATTTGGAAAAAAATCAATTCTAAATTGTTGAACTTACCAATTCATATTGTATTCAATTTGTAAGTCGCTCTTCTGATTGCTTTGGTTGTTGAGCTTTGGATTTTTGTCTCAAATCACTTTTCAATCAAGTCGATTGAATTTTATTAATTACTGGTTATTGGGTTGAGCTGAATGGGAATCTCACAATTAACACAATTGCTTTGTTGTTTGGCTTGATTGCTGAGTTATCGTTATTTTGGGTTACATTTGGGTTTGCAATTTGTAAAATTAATTTCAACTGTGATTAACAAAAGTATCATTAAACATAATAAACATTGGGATTGAAAATTATCGCTGGTTAACAATTTTAAGGTAAAACATTAAACAAATGAAAGCTCGGTTCAATTAATCTGGTAAATGATGAGATTTTTGATGGCGATGAAGATGATTGTTGATTATAATTTAATCCAGACAACATGATGATTGGTTGAATATGATTAATCGATTGATTAGCCATTTAAATGTTGAATTAACTGGTTAACAGTAAAGTGTGAAGACAAAAGGTCAACCAACTCTGGTAATGAAAGATAAACTGTTTAAACATTGGTCAACTATTGGATTGAAATGAAGAATTTAAAAAATTAAGTGTCCATTGAATTTGCAATTAAATGATAATATTCATTATTTAAAGGAAAAGCTAAATTGTTGTTGGAGTGTTGGATAACATTATTGGTTATTGTTGGAGTTTTGTTTTTGTTTCACTTGGAGTTTGTTAACACTGTATACAGAATGGGTTATAAGACAGAATCAGTTTGGGTAAGGTTAAGAAGAAGGAAGAAAAATAATGATAAAAATGGTTGAACAAGGATGATGAGAATGATGATGAAAAGGAAAGATGAAAAGGTAATTCTGTATTTCACCAGCTTCTGTCCCTACTTGAACTACAAGAGACTCGATTCTGGTTCAGCTGAATGACGACGGCGCAATTTACATCATCTTTGTCTTTCGCTTTTTTGCCTTTTTTATATTTCTCACTATTAACTGATTGTAATTTGCTTTTCTTGATCATTTTCCCTTAGATTCATAAGTCCAACCGATCAGACAATTTAGACAAAGTCCATTGAATCATTGTCCAGCCTTTACACCAGTCAAGATGGTAAACTGAAAAGTCTCTGTTTAAATGATATCATTCACTATGTGAATTGATAGAGTTGATTGACCTAAAATCTGGATGATAATGGTAAAGGGTGGTTCACAGATGAGCAAAGAGTCTAATTTAAACATTTCAATTTCATTTAATCATCTGGTTTCGATCAATGGCAATGAGATATTTGTATCATTTGTAAATCCATATTTTTATTGAAATGACTTCTTCCATTGTAGGCTCTTGTTTCGGAATCTAGAATTAATTTGAAGTGAATAATTAGATACCCAAGTAGATCCATGTTTGGCAGTATTGAAATTTTATTGCCATCGACCACCAACTTGCCTCGGATCATAGCACTAAAATATTGACATACGGCTGTAAAATTAGTGAATACATTGATAGCAAACTTAACTTGAATATCGCTATCTTTGCTATTTAACTTCATTTTATGAATACAATATCAACCAAAAATGATCATTGCGATGCTGTGCTTTTGCTTTTATTTTACAAAAAAGCAAAGCAAATTACTAGGAACCGATTTAGTGGACTCTTGGTCAATAAGTCTTTAAAATTTACCAAAACAGGCTAACAATACCTAACGACTAAATAGTGTTTTATTACCAAATTAATGTCAAAGGTTGAAAGTACAATACGGGCAATCTTGAACAGATTACAAGAACCCTGACTGGACTCGAACCGTTAAGATTCGAGTCAGTTGACTCTCAGTTAACTGATCTCGCCCTTGGTCAGGGTTTTTTTTAAATGATTTAAATCGTGATTTAATTTGAGTGAGAAAATTGTTTATCACATTTTTGCAAAGTTACAAATGTACGTCATAGTGTCATTCACGCGACGCTAGTCAATAATTTTTGAATAAAAATTGATTTTTTATGGACAGTGATGGACACTTTTAGCTAATTGCTTAAAGAAATATTACAAATTAGTTTACACTTATGTTTTATTAATCAATAGATAAAGGTCTTTTTTTAAAAGCAAACCTCTCCAACGAAGAATTTGAGTTTTGAATCGATCTAGTTTCAGGCTTCTTCTCTTGTGGTGGAGTGATCTTTATTATTGGTTCAGCTAGTTTTTGCGCCTTTTATCCCTTTCTTCGACAATCTCATCAAATGTCTTGTTGGCTAAATCATCTTCCTCTTCTTGAAAAATGACGACTTTTCACAATACTAATGTCATCTGCTTCTTCTTGCTTGAGTTGACGATAACTACATCTATTAACGGTATCTATTAAGCTGGTATCAATGTTCATTCGTTTTGCACTAGGAGTTAGTTCGGTTGAAGATCGTTGAGAAAGTGTAGGAGATTGATAAATGAATGAATCTTCTTGGGAGAGTTGTGTTGAGTTTAACTCCGAAACATTGGATTTTCTAGAAAATTGTAATTCGAGTGGATTAAATTCTCTGGGCTTGAATTTTATTGATGAAATCGAATCATCTTTTTCATTATTAGAGTATTATTTAAAATTAGCAGGAACATAACTATCGACGACTTTCATTGTTTTGACATGCACATTCCCGAAAGCCCATTGAAGAGCCAAATTGTCATCGAATCTTTTCCCTGCATAATCAAGATCTTGGGGAATTGACATTATCATCATAAGGGTTCAATGGTACCAATTTACGTTGAAAAGGACAGAATACAATTTGATATTTGAAAGTATTTTCTACCCGTAGAAAGCCTTCGATATATTCTTTGTCAACCTTTAAGCCTTTCATCTTGAGGTATGACGGTAACTTTGGCAATGCTTTTCGCATGTCTTCATTCATTGTTACACCGAAAATTTTTAACGTAAATTTTTACGTTTACCGAAAACATAATCACATTCAAAAAGCAGAAGATCCGAATCTTCAGTTATCACAAAATGTCCAAACTTTTTTCTCATCAAATACCCAATTTGAGCATCAGCTTCATAAGGAGCAACAATATAATCGATTCACCGCTGTCGACAGGCATTGATTAGTTTTTTAGCCATCTCAGGAGTAATGTCTATACATCTTTTCATCATTTCGCTTCTTTCTTATTGCCCTCCAAGATAAGATACATAACCTTTTCTTTGGTCTTCTCGCGATTTCTGTTGCGAAAAACAATAACTTTAGTTTACAAATCTATAAAAGGTTTACTAGAAAGAAAAACAGAATTTTTGAAACTCATGACTCTCAAAAGTGGGCAACTAAGAAAATTCATGATCCAAAATTTGTATTCAAAATCTTGTGATAACAAAATTAAATAAAATACATACCTTCGACGAGCATCTTCTGTAACTTTTTTTCGATGCAAGATTCAAACCATCAAAAACTAGGATACATTTAATTGCAATTTTTTAAGGGATTCAACTTTATACAAACAATAATCTACATAAATATGAGGTGTCTTATTAAATATATCATCACTACAGCCATACACAGCCTTGTGAAGCCAGTAGTAAATATCAACGAGAGCAACATAATTAGTTAATTGTTCAATGTTGACAGACATGCTAGCAGAGTTGAGAAAGGGCAAAAAATCTTGTATTGTGATGTATAGTAAGATGAAGAAAGGGACAACACTAATTTAAAGTATAAAAGGGTGAGGTTAAACAGATGATGGCATTCAATAATTTAGATATTAATGTTTATAAATTAATTACAATTAACACAAATAATTAAACAAAAATAATTACACAAACGACTCATTCCCTCCAATACAAACTTTGAATTTTGACAAAATGCCCGACCTTTTTGTTTCATCAAATAACCGTTTCCCATCGTCAATCCATTTAGATATAAAGTTAAAATTTTAAATTGTTTTGTATTTTCAATGAAGCTATCCAACTTAAGGGTTAACTTATTAACTTGAGACAATTTGTGTTGCGACTAAATTTTGGTTTTTGAATGTTATTTGAAGGATGAACAAACTATGAAAAACAATTAAGACTGATTTTTGAGGTGAAAGTTAATTCTCATGGCACAATGTGAGTTAGAGTAAAATTTGAATTTCATTTTAAATCTTTTGACCAAACCAGTAAACAAATTTAATTTTTATATCAATAAATGTAATACAATTACATAAATTTGGGTCTTATTAACTTGTCATAATTATATCATGAATGCCATGAGAAATTACAATGTTATCTGGAAACAATAAAGTTTTATCCAATTATACAAATCCGGATTAATTAAGATCGCATGAAGTTATCCAAATCAATGTTCAATTCAATTTGAGACTAAACTTCAGTTATCTGTTGCTCCATCTTCCGTTGCAAAATTAAACAAAAAGCAGATTCGTGCAAAAAATAAACTTGAAACATTGATTCATTGCTCGTCTCGTTTAAATATCGTCACTTTTTGATTATTTTGCAGCAATTATGAAAATTCTAGGATCTAAACAAGCTTATTAATCCTGGATCAATTAGTTTTGTCCGTCTCTGAGCCAAACAGACACCAAATACGGAATATACATTTAGCTTTTTGAGAAAAAATGATCTTTAGCATGATGAATCTTTGTTTAATGATTTTTTTACAGAAATAATTGTAATTTATAAATGAGAGGCTGGATTAAAGACAGATGACCAAAGGAAAGGATGACCAGGAAAAGACCAAGCCAGGGAACTAGAGGGCAATGGAGATGAAACTGGCGATGGAAGCCTTAAATTGAGCCAAGTTAAGGTTGAAGATTCAAATGGATGGGCAACAAAAGTCTGCTTAACACTTTGGCAACTTGAGATACTGCGAATGGGTAGTTGATGGTTGAAAAAACTGATTGAAGAAACTGAATCTGTCTTGATTGGTACCAATGGCGAGGATGAGACAGGACAAGACGTGGCTAAGGTTTGAGAAGATTTCAAGCTTCGAGGTGAATTTATGCGTCTTCGTTTATTTGATAAACCTTTTGAATCGTCATCTTCTGGTGTTGATTGATTTACTTTGGTAGACTCCTTGATTAGTGTTGATGATAATGGCACTGCTTTTGGAACAACTTCTGATTCCAAGGTCCAGTAATTACCTTTCCCGGGGTCATCATAATGTCGAGGTATTTTGCGAAAACATTTGTTCAAAGATAAATTGTGTCTAATTGAGTTTTGCCAGCCTTGTTTATTGTCTCGATAATAGGGAAAAGTATCCGTTATGTAATCGTAAATTTCACTCAAAGTCAATCGCTTCTCTGGATTACTAGAGATGGCCATTATTATCAGAGCATTATAACTATAAGGTGGCTTTGTGTGTTTCCCATGATCAACACTTTGATCGATTGGATCAACACTTGCAAAACTGAATCGATCATCACTTGAGTTCACCTTATCCATTGATGGCGATGCTGGCTCCTGGTGGTTACTCTCGTCTTGGGTAAACTTGTCATCAGTCTCGTTCAAGATGGATTCAATGGAAAATGAATGAACAAATTTACAAGAATTTTGAACGCTTTTACCTGATGAACATTGTTGAGGCATTGTTACACTGATGGGAAAAAGGCACAATGAAAAGACAGCAACAAATGTGGAGTAAATGGGCAAAATTTTGAAAGAGCTCAATTGAAAAGACAAAATACAAATAAATTGATCTCGACCAATGTTGGGCCTTCAAATATCAAGCTTACAACTGGCTTCCCATTGATATTATTATAATCATTCAGCTTGGAGTGATTGCTATTCACACTTGTATATCCCGCCCAGCCAATAATAACTAATTTATTTTGGTGAGAAACAAGATCAACTTTTATTAGATTTAATTACAACCAATAGATTAAATGATTCATTAACTTAAACAGGAAAAGATTAATAAATTTTGATAACATTTTTCTTTCTCCGTCGACTATTATTAAATTAATATTCATCTTGTTTCACTGTATTTTGCTTTCTGATTTTTAAATTGTTTTCTCCCTGATATCCTCAACAATATCAATAAAACTAATTTCTGTTAATCAATTTGTTTCTCAACAAGACAATTTGTTAAATCAATTTGACTGGGAAAGAAAAAGCGAAAACAAAAGTAAACACAATAAAATGTTAATCAACTCCTTTCAATGAATTAACTATCTTCAATCTAATCACAATTGAATGAACCAACAAAAATAGAAAAATTCAAAACAATTGTTACTTCAACATTGAAAGTCTCTTCAATCGTCTCAACTCTAAATCACAATCAGGTAAATCAACATTAAACCAGGGTTAAGTTGGAATAATCTTTCAATTTTCCTTCAACTCGACAATAACTGACCATGAACGAGCTGACCTGCGATCTTTCAAATTTCAAACATTTCCACCTCAAGATTGACTAAACCAAGAATCACAGTTTGAATTCACATGAGACGAGCAATTAAGTTAATCAATTCATTTGGATCCATTGTTAACCATCCATCAACTAGTAAATAATAAGTGTATAAATAACTGTAACAATGAGGAAAATTTGAAAAGGAAAAAAATTGGTTTTAATTGTAATCTATTCATATTAGCAACAATTGTAATTGATGATTCGCCATGAGAATAAATAAATTTTTGTGAAAATTTCAATCAAAATAAACTGTAACCCAGCGAATGGTAAGTTTAAAATAACATATAATATAATATAAGAGTAAAAGGTAATACTCTTAGTAACCTGATTTAATTTTGTCCATTTGATTACTATTAATTGAATATTTGGCATTTAACTGGTCATTCTGTTTCTTTAACAAGTCAATCTCTCCTCTTAATTGGGTCACCAATTCCTTTAAATTTTCAATTGTATTCAAATGGTTAATTGACTCCATGCAAACCTCTTGAAGAAGCTGATCTTTTTCAGCCAACTGTCTATTTAACTCTTTAATAACATCTTGTTCACTGGGATAGACAGACTGAGATAATTGGTTCGGGTTTACAGTTAATTGTTGCTGTAAATGGTATGAAGGTAAAGGTGTTAAAGGTGGTGTGGGAGGAATAGATGAACATGAAAGAGGTAAAGATGATAATGAAGACGCTGATGAAGGACCCGAAGAGATGCGTTTACTTGATACTTCACTTGCACCCGAATCAATAACATCTGCATATTGTTGTTGGTGCTGTCCATTGGCTTCATTTTCCTGTCCATTTCCAGATCCATTTTTGGGTTCATTTTTTTTACTCTCGTCATAATTCAAAGAGACATTATTGCTTGCCGTCAATGATGAACTTTGAATCAACTTGGATGATCGATTTTTAGATGATGATGATGAAGAGGATCGTCTGAATGCTTTTAAAAAATTAGCTCTCAACCAACTTGTATTCCTATTAGCAACTGGTTGACCATTGACCGAGTCTTTTGAGGGTAATGAGATGTTCAGCTCTCTCATGGCGGCATATATTGCTTCCTCAGTCAACCGGACGGACTAAATTTAATGATGAGAAAGAAAAGAGAGAGAAAAAAATGTTAGAAATGGTGATCATTTGAAAGGGATGATAAAGACAAAGCAAAGGGAGAGACAAAAGGTTGTCAAGCAAGATTAACATATAAAAGTAACATGCAAGGTGAGTTCAAGATGATGGTGATAATAATAGTAATGATGATAGCACGTAGTAACTGTATTGCCGTTGATGCCTCGTTGACTATTGTAAAAGTGGGTGACTTTTATCACAGGTTTGTAAATTGTTGTCACGATAAATGAATCTTTTAATTGTGGCTTTCACTACAATTTGTTTTCAACCTCTTTTGAAAATTTCAATTTCTTCAACCTCAAGTTGATGTTCAAGTTTCATCAACAATCTGATCGACAACATCAAACAAAAGGTTAATTCAACAACATTGTTAACCTTTCATTTTTGCCTAATTTTTCAATAAATTGACCTCGTTAATTTGCTTTATAATCATTGACTGATTGATGGATTAAATAGATACATAAATGAATCAATTAATTGTAAACAATTTGTAAAGTCTTTCAATGAAACCATTAACAGTAATAACAAATGCAAACTTAAATTCAATTTATTTTATCCTTAGACTATCAGTTTCAATTATTTAACTCAACAATTGCTTTTAATCAGTTTTGATTGTAGTTTAATAACGCAATTTAAATGAGACAAAAAAAGGGTAAAAATGGATGAAAATGAAATCACTTTTTGACCATTTTTTTCAACCATTCAATGAAAAAGTCAATGAACCAATGCTTATTAAGGCCTACACATAAATATAAACCTTAATCATGATTAAGGTTTATCCTCAAGTTGATTGTAAAAGGCTAAACAGTTTTTCATTTAAATGGTAAGTAAAAAAAGAGTTCAATGATTAAAATAAATTGGTTAAATAAAACGTAAAAATTGTTGGACAAAAAGCACGAAAAGTTGAACAAAAAGTGTGCGAAAATCACTTTTCAAGTTTACAATGAAATTGAAAATGAAAATTACTGTTAATAATAGTCCTTCAATAAGCAACACATTAATGTATATATTTATATGTTGGTCAGTAGGTCTTGTCAAGATTGTCCTTAACTTGAGTTGTCAATCAGTTTGTTGGAGTGAAAAATAAATTGATTAAACAACGGAAATCTTGAAAGTAACAAATAATTGGCACAATTAAGTAGCAACATGACTCCATCAAGTCACAATTGTCAACAATTAATATTAATGAAACATTTCTCACGGAAATCATTCAAAGCCAATATTGCATCCAAACGTATGGATTGAAAATGTTCATTTTTTAATCAACTTTTCAATATCAATTTCAGATTAATATTAATATCACTGGAAACACGCACATCTGAATATTCATTAAAAGCAAAATATTAACTTTGAAATTACATTTGACAACATTTAATCAATCTGTTAAAGTTAATTACCTTTGCCATTAAAGAAGCAATTACAAGTATATTTTTAAATACACTTAAACCATCTAATTGTGACAATTTAATGAGCGATTAAACTCTAATCAAAGTCAAGTTCATGAAAAAAATGTCAAAAATAACTGTTCAATAGTTTCAATTGAAATCCTGTTTAAGAAACAAAAAAAAGACTAACAATTAAAACGCCCAATTGTCAACAAGATTTTAAGGTCAAATCATTGTTGACCAGTAAAAAGATGACCAAAATATTGAACAATCAGTTTCAAAGTAATCACTACAATTTAAATGTAATAATAGTTTTCAATCAAGATGATGGAGAGAAGAGATGAAAAGGTTGTTCCAGTGAGGGTTACCTGCAACACTTATCTTGATGGTCAAGCTGGTTGCCAACTTGAGCTTATTTTTGGCCTAAAACCTGATGGCACGCGATCAACGGACTTCTCTGTTAATATTTCAAGTTTACTTTTACCACACTTTTAGCAAAAAGTGTAACAGATTGAAAATAAAACCAGTTGTTTGAGGCTGAAAATCAGATGGACAAAAGCATATGTTTGCTGTTGCTCTTCATCTCTCTTCATCTTTTCACCTTTCACCTTTTCATTTGCAATTTTAAGCATCTTTTTACTTGCTTTGACCATAAAGAGCAAAGTAAGCAACTTTTTTTTCCTTTTAAACTTTAAAGTTAAATTGAGCTGCTCATAATTTGTGGCTTTACAGCCTACTCAAAGTTGATTGTAATCATCAACTGTATCATTAACAACATGATGTAGATGGACAGTTTGTTCAGATTTACTTTACTCTTTACCGTTGAAAAAGTGACATTAAATGTGTACCAAAAAAATGGGTTTCAATGAGCAAGAAGAAGAAAAAAGAAACCTGAAAATGTAATTCCAATGCTGGTGTTCATAAAGTTAACAATTGTTTGAATTGATAAACTTCAATTGTTGACTCAATGTGGGTTTAGTTTATTGTTGCTATTAAAGATAAATATTAATAATTATGATCAACTAGATAACCAGTAATTAGATTGAAACGGATATTTCAAGTGAAAATAATAAAGTGAATAAAAAAAGACTGATTGTAATAATAAAAATGATCAAGATGAGGATGGCAAATGATAATATCAATGATTAGCCAGCCTACTCTTTTATGTTCAAGACTTGCTTGTCTTTACAACATACAGTGAACAATCAATTGAAATGTTAAACAAAATTTGAGATATAATTAATATTATAACAATTGACAAATATACAGTTTTTCAATAAACAAGCAACAATCAACAAAATAATAAACAATCGGCTCTTTTTTTACAAAAACAAATTGTTTGCCTGGACAATGGTTTGCTATTTTATCAATTTCAAGAAATCATTCATTTCAATCAGATATCATTGATCGGCCAATCTCATCTTTTTTCAATCAAACTTTCAGGATGTAAAGGACTTGTTGACCATTCAATGAGAATAACAATTGGAAGGTTGATAATTCAATTGATAACCAGGGAATCAAGAGCAAAAATCTTAAACTGTTTGATTAATGTTCGTTAAAATTCATCTATTAGGGTGTCAAATATATTTTGCGGTTCACTATGAAAAAAAGATTTGATTGTGATCTTTTTTGGCTAAAACATTACTTAGCCTTAATTAATCAGTATAAAACAAAAAAAATCAAAATCGGACAAATATTCACAAAATTATTGCATTTTTACAGCTTTTTAAAGGGTACAAAAATCGGCCAAAATTTTTTTTTTCACCAACTTTTTTCATCAAATTTTCTAGCGACGCGTCACAAAATTTTTAACCTCAGATTCTCAATACTTGCGAACCTAACCTAAGTACCTGATCTCATCTCTATGGACCCCAATCCATCTTAATTTTTAGAAAATTCATTCAAAGAAGACTAGGTCTATTCAGGAACGGAGGTCAAAATCAATTTTGTCGATTTTTTCGCTATAAATTTTCGGACGCTCACAAAAACGACATCAATTATTCGATTTGGAAAATTGAAACGATGTTTTAATACTACGAGTCCATAATTTGATTTAATGAAATTTCAGTCAATTCTAAGCTAAACTTCATACCCAACCGCAAAACTTATTTGACACCCTAATATTTTGCATCTTCATCACTATTTTCACGATAACAAAAAAGTTAACATGAAACTTCAATTGCATTATTTGAAGAGTTGCACATTCTGGTAACATTTAATGGACCAAAAAAAAGTTCATTTTTTCAGGGTTAGAGCTTCTTTGAAAGCATCCATCATCATCAACATCATCATCATCATCTTTCATCTTTAGTTTTTACCATCAATTATGTGATTTTTGGTTCATCTAAACCTCTAAACCATCATGTATCAGCATCAATTGGAATGGGAATTAAACTTGTTTAACGGTTAATCGTAACGTTTAGTGTTGAACAAAATAAACATAATCATGAAACAGGTCAAAAAGGATTATCACTGAAAGAGTGATTAAACGATTAAAAGCAGATTAACACAATCATCATCACAAGAATCATGATTGATCCAAAGAACTGAAAATCTAACAAATTTTTCAAGTCACATTAAAGGTCAATGGAAGCAAAGACAATACTTTTGAATGTCGATTAACGGCAATTTAATGTTGGTCAGTAATTAATGAAATAATTTGCAAAAAGCTCACAACATTGACAATTGGAAAGGACAATTTAATAATCTTTGAGAAACTTTCTCATCATTAACAATTACATCGCCAATCAACATAATTGTCATCATTGAACAAGACTTTCCTCTCTTCAAGATGAACATTTATATTTAGAAATGTTCATATTTCATGTTTTCTGTAATTTAAAAATTGAGGTGATTGAACTTGTTATTAAATTGTTGAGTGTTAACCTTTTTGCTTCAACCATCAATTTAATAACAATGAGCAAATCACTTGAATTAAGAGCACATTAAATTAAATACAGTTACATAAAGCCCAGGATTTGGTTGAGCTATTAAAGTTGATGAAAACCCTGAGAAGATGAAAATCATGATGGATTAATCAAGGATTTCTAGTTTAATCAAAATCATGAAAATGGGACAAAAACAATGAACAATCAAAGATGAACATTTGAATAATCTCAATGAGACTTGAAAGATGATTCAAGGCAACAAATCAACTTTTCCAGTTTTCAAGAAAAAACATAAAAACTGTAAATTATTATTAACAAATTTGATTCAATTATTCAAGGGAATCAAATTGATTCTGTTGGCAGCTTCAGGTAAACCTGAAAACTCATCTAATATTTGATCAAAAAATAAACACATCCGTTTCCACCTGATTGATTCATAAACATTTCATGATATAAACTTTTCCTTCTCAACAAAAGATGATAAAGATGATGATGAAAATGATGGACAACAATATCCGGTTCACCTTAACACAGTTTGCAAATCAAACTCTTTCATTACTAGTTTTTTTCATTGAAAAGTATCTCAATTTTACATTCAAACCTCACCCATTAAAAGGTTAAGAAGCAGGAAATTATTTTGCTTTTTCCATGAAAAAAAGGCTGAAAATCATACATTTCCAGTTAAACTTCACATTCAATCAACCATCAGACCAACAATGAAATAAATGCAGTTAATAGACCTTATAAAGCCATTTGTAAATCACCTCAAGGAGAGTCAATCAAGTTGAATTAGATTATGTCAAAAGTTAATTTTTTTACAAAAAGGAAGAAATTATTGAAATTGAAAAAAGATGAAAACAAAAATTGAAGCAAAATTGTAAAAACTGAAAATTCATTTATAAAATTTCAATGAAATTAAGTCTCAGCTTTAGTCTAACAATTGTTTTAAGGTAAATATTGAAACAGCAAGATGATACTCAAGGATGAGGAAGAGAAAGTTTTACATGAAAACTCGTTACATGATGATAGATGAGAGTAAAGCACAATTTTGTTGAGACTAGAGTTGAACAAAACACAGAAAATGTTAATCAGTAAATGCGCTATTAACTCATCTTAATTATCAATATTATTATAGCAAAGTGTAACACTTTTTTTTGGTGAACTTGCTGATTGACATGAAGATGTATTGGATGGTTAAAATGAAGTTAAAAGTTGGTTTAAAATGCAAAAGTAATCAGTTAAACTGATTGGATTAGATGAGACAAATTAATAAAGCGTTCATCGTTCAGGAAATGTTCATTTTTAACCCCTTTTCTTGATCATCTTTTCATAACCAATTGACTCTCTTTTCCTGTTCATCTTCACCTTTTCCTTTCTTAGTCTTGCTCTATTTAGTTATCTTTATACTCCATTTTTTGAGTTAACAATCAAACTACAGGTTTCAAGCGCTTGTTCATTGTTGCCACTTTTGTTGATCATTTTCATCATCATCATCATGATGTACTCAATGCACAATTAAATGGCCTTTACTTGCATTGAAAAGCAATACTTTGGCCTCAATTTTTTGCTCAACTTTTCTCAAGATGATAATGATCATGATGATGGTAATCATCTAAAGTTGATATTAAATGATTAGACAAAAAAATTAGGTAAAAACCAACAAAATTGAGCTTCTAAATGTACTGCTAACTGTATTATCAGTAATCAAATTGCAATTACAATTAGGCTTTCATCTTGTTCGCCTCTTAATATATTTATAACCGGAATCATGGGTTAAGATATAAAATTTTTGTTCCCATTGAAAGTCGATTGGTTTTTGGTCCATTCAATCGACTTCAACTTAAAAACTAATTGTCTTTGTAAATTGAGCATAAAGTGAATGAGAAAAATGATGAAAAAATGAAATATTTGTAACAATGAAATGTAATTCACTAATATAAGTGAAAGTTGTATTGCAATTGTTTGACAATTGCGTTTAAATGGGAAAAGATTCATATTGAAGTATCAAAGTTAACCGAGTTAACATTTGGTTTAAAGCTTTTGATCAAAATTGGTTTCATTTTTGATCGATTCAGTGAAAGTTGAAACAAAAAATTTAAAATTTATGAAAAAAAGTATCAACAATGAACAAAGTAATGTCAAAATGTGAAACAATTTGACTATAAATCAAAGTAAAAAATGGGTTCAATTTCTGGTTTGAGGTCAACCTTTGAGCACAAAATGTTGGAAGAAAAAAAGTTGACATTTTTGTACAAAACAAAGGACAATACAGTTTACCAAAAGATGTTACAAGGCACACGCTCGGAAGGTTAACATTTTGGCTGTTTGTTGACAAAAAAGGAACCACACAATTTGGTTAGATGAAAGAATTGTTTGTCAAAAGTGAAAATTGATTGCAACAATCATCAATCTCACATTCATTTGTGAATGATTTATTTTCCTATTACAGCCGCTTTCAGCTCATATTGCACTTGCACATTTGCCTAAACCGGGCAATGACTTGGAAGCAGAAGCAACAAAAACGGTTCCTTGGGTTATAACCCAAGAAGAAGATAATTTTTGGCAAAGTTTGCCTTTGACAAAGAAAGGTAAAGAGAGACAAGACAAAAGGGAAAGAAGACATCTCAAGATGAGCAAGATTAGGATGAAAATGAGGATCAAGAGGCCTTAAAGTAGGTGCAATAGGGTAACGATGTTTACGAGTAACGCCAAAAGTAACAAGACTTTGACTTCGAATGTTATATTTCAAGAAATGTTATTATATCCTGATGTGTTCATCATCTTCTCATCTTTATTTCCCTTTTTTCCTCTCTTCTCTTCATCAACTTTCTTCTTCCCTTTCAATGGTTGCAAGTAAACTTTGAAAAAATATCCGGTTAAAGGAAGCTTGTAAATAGATGTTCATAGTTTATGCTGAAGACCAAATGCTGGACTAAAGTGGCCTTTGGTTTCGGGTTAACAAAGTTTAAACCAGTTTCTATCGTGTATCAAGTCTCATCTTTACATCATACCCTGTAGCCTTTGATACAGCTGATGTATAAGATGATGAGGAAGAGTAAAATCTTTACTCTTTTTTTTCTGGTTTACTCCTTCAAACATACAAATCACAATTGTTGAAACCATTTTTCTTGGTTGAATAACAAGTAAAACAAATAGTTAAATACTCATAGAGTTACCATACAGAGATGATCATTAATTTAACATTTACAACTTACAAATGGATCCAAGAAACTGTTTAAAACCAAAAATAAATGAACAGGAAGAAAATGTTGAAGACGAGAGTTTCCCTCAAAACTATTACAGTTTTGGCCTTTTCTCGTCTTCATCATTTGGGTTTCCTTTAAAAAACCATTATTCAAGAACGAAAATGATTCCAAAAAATTAAGTTGATCAATTTTAAAGTCATAATCATCATCAACTGATCAAGATTAAAATTATATTATTCTGCATCAGGTTTAAAGTGATATGAAGGCTTAAGATGAAGGATAAAGGAAAGACTGGAAAGATGGGCAAAAATTTTGAGTTTACAACTTAAACTGGACCTGGAAAAGGTCAAAGTCAGGGTAATTTTGGGTCTGGTAAAACAGTGATTACAATTGGCATTATTATTGTTATTGTTATTTGTTACTGTAATCAATTTTTGGGTAATCAATTGGATAAGGTTGAGACTGAAAGAAAAAACAAGGATCAAACTTTTGGGTAAAACTGTGTTTTTCAAAGGTTTTTTGTTCAACCTTTAACCTTCCACACTTTTACTGGTTCCAGTGCAAATGAGTTGGCCTTAAGGGTCAGCACAAACTGCCTACGCCTTGAACAAGTCAGTCTTGGTGCATTAATGTATTGATGTTGTTTGACTTTTGTTTTTGTATAAATGGTCATCAATTGGTAACCATTGACCATAACCAGGAATATAAACAAAAGTAAAATATTTTTCAAGACAAAAGACTGGTTTTTACATCGATATTGATGGGAAAGGATTGAACAGTTAGGTAATGGTTGTGATCATTGACAAGGTAGTCAAGTGAATATTTCAATTTAAATTGATTGCTTCTCATTGTTGATGAAATTGGACCAAGGATCAATTTGAAAGGTACAATTTCACTTGACTTTTGGCTGATGATAACACAAATGCTTTTTTCACCATGCAATTCAATAACATTGTTTGGTTAATGATTATAATTAAAAGACGATTATGTCGACTGATTATATGAAAAAAAACATGAAAAATTAAACAGACAAGTTTAAAAGCAGCAAACTATCAACCTTGGACATTGAAAGTGTTTTTGGTTTTGCAAAATGGATTCACTTTTTTTCCTGTTGAAACCTTTCAAAAGTCAACCCCAAATGGTTTCTGTTTACATGAACATTGAAATGAAAACAAACATTTTGTTTTGTAAAGACAACTTATTGAGGCAAAAATTTGCTCAGGGCTGGAAACAACATCAACAGATATCATGTTAATTATGATCAACTGTTGAACCAAGAGGTTCAAAAAGATTATGTATTGAAAAAAAATATGATATTAAACATGAAAAATTTGTAATTAAGATCAGATTGAGAGAAGAAGATGAGAAAGAGAAGGAGATTGAGAGAAGATAAAATGATGATAATCAGGATGGCGAAGAGGAATAAGAAAGGGCGTATTGTTGTTATCGCCATTGGATAACATGGCCTTTTCTTGTGAGTGAAACTGTGAGATGATATTTGTTCAGTCCACACCCAAAGGTAAACTTTTACTTTTCATTTTTTGATGATATTTTGAATATAAATCAAGTTTGAACAAATGGTTACTTCAATGTTCAATTAGCATACAAAAGTATGAATAACAACAAAAAGAAAAACAATTTTGTCCGTTAAACATCAATTTCAACTTTCAACTTGAATTCATCACAATTAACATTATTATCTGTTCTGGTCACTGCCAATATATGAGTTTGCAGGTTTTTCAAGAAGTGGAAAAAGGTGAAAATAAAAAGGTGCAAAAGGTTGTTTCAGTTGTTGAGCTTTTGTTAGTTTGTTTAAACCCAAAGGCAAACTTGATTGAAAGGTAAAAGTAAAAAAAAAAAAGGAATAAAGCGGTTAAGATTTAACAAGGTAAAGGTTATTGTGTTTTTAAGACGGTAACTCGGCGAGGTAAAAATGGACTAACCTCATGACCGGAAGATGGTTCCTCCCAAAGTGTTTCCAAGGTTGATTGTTGACCTGTTGATGAAATAACGTTGCTATTGACTGAACCAGGATTAACTCGGCCATGTTTGGGTTGCTGTTGTTGCTGTTGATTATTTTGGTAATGGACAGTATTGGTTGAGCCTTGATTACTGTGACAACCAAGAAGATAACAACAATGGCAGACATTTTCATTGGCACCAGTGGAAGTTGTTGAAGTAACAGTTGCATGGGATATTTGATTGCTGTTACAACTGTCAACATGATGGTTGTGATGGTGAAGATGAGGGGCAGACATTTCATTTACCATTGAAGAGGACGATGAGACTGATACTGAGACATTTGAGACATTTGAAGATGGCGAGGAGGAAGAGGAGGAAGATGGCGATGATGATAAAGATGATAATGTTGATGGTGGCGATACCGAGGATGAGGATGAGATTGAAGAAGAAGCTGAGGATAATTTAGAGGGAGGAAAGGTTGGCCCGTTAAATATCAATTTGGATGTTGGTGGACAATCGGATACAGGACTTGGTGTCAAGCTATTGGTTCCATTGAATTCAGGGCAACTTGATTTTCTCAATCGGCGCCCCAATTTGGTTGGTAAAGTGAAATATTTTTTACTATTTGGTCTTTTGGTCAATTCTTTAGCTGTTAATCGAAGAGATTCATTACTTGTTGAATCGTAGGCTGAATCTTCATCACCATAAAAATTGGGTGTTGATGGATCCTCAAAAAGAGAGGTTATACTGTTTCTCCTAATTGTTTTGAGATCATCAAAACTGTCCAATCCATAATAAATCCTTTGAGGCTCTGGTCTGGGTAAGGTCAAGTGTAAAGATTGCTGGTCTAGCTGAGATTGAAATGGTTCAATTTGAGATTGATTGTTCATGTTGTTAGGTATCCCAATGGATGTATTATTATTGCACACATTTAAACCATTGGGTGACACAGGTAAATTGAACTGATTACCATTAGGACTTGGTAATACAGATGAGGCCGGTGTATAATTTTTCAAATTCAATGTTAATGAAGGATTCATCATTTGAGGTGCATTTTGTTGTTGTTGCTGGTGATTGTAATCTTGAAAATCTTGCTGATGTTTAGTTAACAGTTGTTGATGATGAGAATGATTTTTGTTAATTAAACTGTAAGCTAAACTGTTGGTAGAGTTTGAGGTTTCATTAAAAATTGCCTGTTGTTGTTGTTGCTGCTGTTGCTGTTGTTGAGAGTTGCTGTAAGGATTGTTAAACATTGTTTTGATTGATTGATGTTGATATCTCGGATTAACTGAATGATGATAATTAGAACCAATTGTTTCTCCTTGAGTTAACATGGATGTATCACTTGTTATCGTAGATGATGATGAATTTGACGACGAAGATGAAGAGGAAGACGGAAAAGACGAGTGAATCGATGAATGGTAAAAAGAACCAGATCCTTCAACACCAACACCACCACCACGAGGTAATGTACAATAGACAGACATTGTACTTGATTGAAAATCAATATCCAATGATTAATAACAAAAGATCACTGATTAGAAAACAATTAATTACCTAAAGAGAGGTAAAAAAACAATAAGAAAGACGTTAAGTCAAGTTATACACAACAAAGTAAAAGATTTCAAGCTTTTTACAAGTTAGAGCTAATGCGAGATTAGCAACAGTTCAGATGAATCTAAACCAAGTTACTGAAACTTGCTTTTCTTTTCTTTCTCCTTCGACTTTTCTTCTCTGTCTCACTTTTTCTCCCTCTCTTCTTCTTTCTACTTTTCTTTCTATCTTCACCTGCTCTTTCTTCTTGTCTCTTTCTTTTTTATCTCAAGTATACTGAATCTTGAAAGCATGAAACTTTCAATCATTCAAACAAAAAGTAAGCAAAAAAGCTAATTGCTTGTATTGTAACAATTTTACTGCCGTTTAACTGAATTTCGGTTTCTCATTTAATTTACCTCTGAATTGTGATCATATTTCAATTAATTAATACAATCAACTAACTTTTTTCTCTTTTGCTGTTGTCCTAAACAAACCTAAAAAATGAGTCTTATTTTTGGGTGAACAAAAAACGGTTCAACTTTATTTCTGGTAAAATCGGGTTTTTGTGTTGAAAATGTTGAAAATTGTAACTTATTCAATTGGCTGTTAACAATTCTGTGATGACAGAGTAGAAATGCAACTTCACTGATAATAATATGATGATGTTATAATGATGAGCATTAAATGAACTAATTACTGTTAATAACAAAGCCTTAAATATACACAACCAATGATAACAAAAAATATCTTGTCGACTCATTGGTGACACTATCATTTTAGATCGTCTGATTCTTTGTTTATGCAAAAGAAAACCATCGTTGTTTCATCTTCTGTCACATTAGATATCTTTTTTGTTACCAGTTTGATTGTGGGTTATATTTAGATTTATATTAAATTGTAATTCAACCAGCAAAAGTTGGGTACTTCAATAACATTAATATCCAGTCAAATGTAACCATGAGGAGGAAAAGTAAACAAACCAGGGAATAATTAGCTCTCAACAATCAATGTGAGATCAATTTTTAATTAGAAACTGTGTAAAAACTGTTGTTTGTTAATTGATTAACTTCTCAGCACATAACATTGGTAAACTGAATATTCAACACAAATCAACTTGTTAACTGATGTAGACTCGTTTATTCCAGCTCACAATTAGTAAAAATCAGCTGGTCTTTCATTTTTTTTGTTACCACAATTCATTGAACAGTGAGAAAAAAGCACATTTTCACTGACAAATCAGAGAATGAGGATGAATATTTACATTAATTACAAATTGACTGGAAAACAAATGAAGGTTGAAATTAGACAAGTTAATGATCACAATTGATTTAATACAGAGAAACAAATCAAATCAAAAGTCCAAACCCAATTAAGGTTTATCCTTGCGTGAACAAATTAGGTAAACCAGTGAGAAGATGGAAATAGCCGAATCCAGGCAAAGAAGAACTAGAAAAAGGAAAATAAGATGAACAGCAATAATTACATGAAGATAATGATGATTAAGCAAAAACCCTATTTATTAGGTTATTTGGCGATGATAAAGTTGATTAAGATGATTATGGATAACACACAAAATTAAAATAAATCAGATACCAAACCATTTGGGTAAAGAAAACCGTTGTAAGAACAAGAAACCGATTTAATGTATCGCTCGTTGGGTAAGAGGTTAAAACAATAAAGGAGGGAAAAACAAAAACCTAAAAGCAACTAATCAACTGCTGGTTGTCATGGGAATCAAAATTGTCACACGAAATGTTAACATTACCAAATCATTATCATTATTAAATTTATTTATTGACCTTAAGGGTCTTTTGGGTCCCAGGCAATACCCAGAAAAAAAGGTAACCATTTCGTGTGTAACAATACATTACATTTTTACAAAGTAAAAAACAGATTATGTCTAATGCAAAATTTCAATGTCAATGTAAATTATGTATCAAGCCAACAACCCAAACCTTTGAACTTAAGCCTCAAATGTAATCATTCACTTTGAATTATCATAAAACAATAATATTGAGGATAAAAAATGATTATTGTGGGCATCATCATAATCATCATTATCATCATCAACATGATTACAAGTGATGTGGGCACGCAATTTAATATGCAAGTAACATTTAATTGTTTCCTTGTTATTACCAACCTTAATCTAACCTCTTACGGTGAGCAACATTGTAATGTATGTAAGTTGATTGAACACTTGAAATTGGTCAAGATTGATATGTTTTGATTTTCTTTTTAATTAAGGATAATCTGATGGTAATGGTAATCGATTTAACTGTTTTCATCAAGCAAAATGATCAATCCTTGAATCCTTAGAATAATTGAAAGATGAGAAACCTTTTCAAAAGTGACTAACTGGTAATGGACTTTACATTGGGAAAGTGTGGCTCATTTGTTTCTTTAATTTTATCACCTTTTCTCAATTTTTTTGTTACGTTAATTGAATCAAAACGGTAATGTATACAGTTTCAACTGCTATTATTTAACAGGTTTCACCTTTCATCATTTAATCTGATGAAAGGATTAATCCGTTATAATCAACCGGAAGCCAATAGTAATAAATCAAATGGGTTGAAATATATATATTTATAGTTGATTACAGTTGATCACTTTGTGAGGAGACACAAATAGTGGGCAGAAAACATGTTGGACAAGATTCAAAGTAACCAGGCATTTGGTATGATAATGGCTGCAATGATAATTATAATCAGCATCATGATATTGAATTAATAAAGGTAAAAGGTAGCTTCCCCGGAAATTGTGATTTTTACCAGAAAAAAAAACACGACAAAATGACAATGAAAAAAAGTCCAACCCGAACCAGGATAAGACTACCTTTTTAGCCAATTTTTAATGCACATTTTGTCAATTGTTTGCTGATGATAATGAAGATGATAATATTGTCTTCTTTCAGGCATTATTTCCATATCTTTTCTTTATGTATAATTGACTCTTTATGTTTCTACCTTTTGCTTTTTCCATCGTTTCTCCTTTGACCTGTCATCATTGAGGAAGATGAAATTTCCCATGAGAGAGATGAACTGAAAGAGGAAGATGACGATGAAAAAAAATATGACGGATTAGCTGAAGATGCAAAAAACAAGGGAAAAAGTCTTACCAAGCGAATCTTTAACTTTTTTTAGGATTTATCAGTAAACCAGAAACATTTTATCTTTATTTTATTGCCTACTTCATCTTCATCTTTCTCATAACCATCATCAGCTAACAGAAGCATCATCCTCATCACCACCACCACCATCTTTGACTTCTGGTATATGATTTAGACGAGCCTAATGCCAAATTAGTTCAAAAGTTAGTTTCTCAAAATAGATGATCCTTGGCTTCATTCTTGTTTTCCAATCTTTATTATTATAGATTCACTCATCATCGTTAGATCATCTTTACTATGATTTAGCCAATCTTTTTGGACGGATTTGCTTTGATCTCATCAGATAATAAAAGCTCTTCATCACAATGATCAGCTTGCATCGATTCATTTAACATTTTAAATCATATTGTTTCCAATGTATAATCTTGAAAGTCTTTTGTATTCAATTCCGACTTGATGTTGATCCTGTTGAACTTGATTGTTGGCCTGAATTTGCATTTGCTGCCAGTGGTTTGAATAATCAATGGTCATATGATTTATGGTTTTAAAGGTTGGCCAATTAAGGTGTATTTAGGGTTGATTAAGAACGAAAGTTGAAATGATTTATAGGCATCAGTTAATCTTGTAAATGTTCAATGTTAATCAATTTTTCCCATCTTAATTCCTCCTTGGCCTTAATACATCAGCTTTAAATTTTAATAATTGTTCCCGACCAATTGTTAACACTGGCAATTATCCTCAAAAGTGTGATACAGTCATTTAAATGACCATTTAGACTTTTTTCACACAATCATCTGGATTCAATTTGAAAGATAACTTTTTTTAATCAAATTATTCAAGTAACACCTTTCAGCTGTTTCAAATAAACTGCTCAAAACAAAATGATTTATATAACCTGCTGTTAATAATGATATGAGCAAAAATAACAGCAAAAACAAGTAATAATCCATTTCAAAATGCTGATCTCCGTTTAATTGGATTGACATGCCAAAAAGAGAGGTAATCCATTTAGATGAATGAAATTGCGGTAAATGGAAATGATTAAAATTGTAAGTTAATCAGATCGATTAGTTGGTACTTTGATATTGTAACATGAAGGAGTTAATGTTGTGAAAGTGATGACCAATTATCAAATATTGGACAACGGGCAGTCAAATAGTTAGCTGTTGATTCGAGTAGAAAGTGTTTTGTGATTCAAAAAGTAATATCTTGATATTGGAAATTTCAGGTTTTTGGGTCTTGTTTTCACTTGAATCTCTGTGTTGCTGGTAAACACTTTTGATCCTGATGTTAAACACTTGTATATCATATGTACAGTTTAAACATGATCAAATTATCACAATTGACCTAAATAGTGTGTTTATTCACAATCTAGCAATTTGAATTGCACGATTTAGGGTTGTTTGTGTTGTACAAAAAAAACAATTTTGCCTTTGAATCCTTTCCTTGAGTCAAATTTTTGTTTGGATTTCAATCCAGCTTGATGAAAACACTGTAAATGTAATAGCAGCAAATCAAACAACATTATTATCCACAATTAAAGACGATCAACAATCAATTTTTGAAACATCAGGTTGATCATCATCAGGCTGATAATTTCCGTGATTAAGTTAATAATGAACAATTATCACGGTTAACAAATACAAAAGGCTGAGAAGTGAACTCCAAATTGTATTAAACAAAAGTAGCTTCTGTTGTTACATCTTATGGTAATAAATTGGCCATTAACATTAATATCCATACTATCTTTTGTTAAAGGTTAATACGTAATTGAACCGAACACACAATTTGCAATAATTGTCAATCAATGAATAAATTGATTTTTATCACTTTAATATACATATAATTGAATATTAAGATGATTAATAATGGCGTAAAAACAAAACGTCTGATTTGGGTTATGCAACCAAGGAAACAAGTGAGCGGGAAAGAGTTAACCAATAACAGGCAAGGGTTAAACCATGTGTTCAAGTTTTGAAAATCAGTTGAAATGTCTTTACTTTGTGAATAATTTATGCCCTAGTTAATTGTTTTTTGGACTCATTTTTGTAAATTAAATTTTGTAAAAAAATTACCAACTCAATTAGCGATTGTTTAACCTTTCAATGTTACATTTATTATCTTATTGGAACGGTCAGTCCATTATTGATCGTTATCCATCCAAGAGAGCGCAAAAAAAGGTTAACTTTGATACAAATCTAATATCATCACCAACATTATAAGTTTACTCATTTGGGTGAAAGTTTGAATCTGATAGCAATCACCATTTGGTCTCTCAACTTCATGGGAAAATAAATCACAGGATCAACTGTAACATTGTAATGAATGGAGCAAAATATTAGCTAAAAAGCAATCAAAAGGTAAGCTATTTTTCATATATTATAACCAATAATGATAATGATCAACCTAAACTTTAGATTGGTCTGATCTTTTCTCTGCTGTTTACTGATTGTTTCTTTCTTTTTTCATTTTTCTCCTTCTTTCTAGTCTGCTATACATGTAGCTGTATTGTTTGGTGGGAACAAGAATTGTTGGAGTTTACCTGTAAAAGAGATGGACCATCAATGAAAAGTGTGTAACCATTATTACGATTGCAAGTCAATTTGTTAAAGAAAAACCAAAAGCAAGAGTCTGTATGCTTTTGTTTTTAGTTATTCATCAACCATTCATACTTTCTCTTGACTCCTGCAATGTGGAAAAAACAATCAACTTAAATTGTTATCATTAAACACATACGTTACACTTATTGCTGTTTGTTTGGGCTTTGTTTACATTTCACTCAAATTCATGGAACCGATAAAACTGTACCCATTGGAACGTAAACTTGTCATTATTGAAATCAAAATTCAGCTCGCAATTGTTTCCAATCTTCATCATCCTCATCATGAATCAATTGATTGTTTTTCAAATTAATATCTAGCTCGTGGATATTCATTTTATTCAATTTAATAAGATGTGTACGATTTCCCCATTGCAATAGCTTTATTGCTCTCTTTATCGTTAATTTAATTGCATTAATTGTAATATTGGAGACGTATGAATGTCACTTCAATGACAAATTCATACCATATTCCTATTATTTATTTAATTTCTGGATTCACTATTTGACTAGCGTTCAATTTACTGTGTATAATAACTTGGTATCAATTTGAACTCTTGCGACTGCGGCTCATTGAACTTGGCTCATTATCATGATGCATGAAAATCTCTTGCTAGATTGGAGGGATTAAACTTGAATCTCTCGTAGTTGGTAATCTTTGAAAGTCTTAATCTCGACAATAATGCATTTTCAATTTATGTTTCCTTATAGATTCATCTTTGATGGTTTCAAGCAAAAATACTGTTCCAAGTTTGGATTTACTTTGGCACCAGATGAATATAAAATTATTGAATTTGGTAACAAGGTTATAAAACAATCAAAAGGACAGTCAATCGTAATTATAGTGAATTTAATCATCCAACTTCCCTCCAGATCTCTTTGCTGTTAGGCTAAAAAGGATAATTAAGTTGTATCAATAAATTACCTGAACAAGAGTAACAAGTGTTTACATTTTGGATAAAGAGGAGTGCTGATAAATGTCCAATTATTCAATAAAACAAGAAATTATAAAGTGTCACATTGGATCAAATTTTAAGCTGATATTGCGAGAACAGAGTTGACACACAATCACAAACTAGTAAACAAACCCTATTCCTGATTTAAATTTGGCTCATCTTGGTGAATAACCTCATTACAATGAACCCTAATTACATCTAAAAGCTGACAAATTGTTAAAAGTATTCTATGACTGAATTTCAAGAATCTGGTTCAATTGTTAAACTCAAAGCTGGATACACAGGAAACAAGTTGATCTGAAATTTGTGGCATATTTGTTGGCGAGCAGCTAGAACATTTGTGGTGTTTCTATTACCAGTGTTACCTGTTAATGGTACCTCAATGTCCATTCAGGTGAAATCAATCTTGTTTACACCTAAACTGAAGATCGAAACAAACCCAGTTTGATGTTGACAGCTTTGGCTACTTGTCTTGATTTAGACACTACCTAAAAAGAAATCAGTGCTTACAATAATATTGCTAATAATCAACCTTGGTGGAAAATTTATTACCATTTAATGATCAAGATATGATTTTCATGTTAACAATTTTACCTGTTTTCATCTTAAATTCCTGCTTATATAATCTGATGGCAAAAAGCTAATTTTTTGAGCTTGTAATCGTATTCATTCTCCAACAATCTGATGTTACCTTTACTTTCTAAATTTGGTAAAAATAGAGCCACTTTTTTGTTAATGGATCGGTAAACAAGGAATCATTATCAATGTATTTGACTGGTTTAACCTTAACACTGCCTACGCTTGATTTTAATTTACTTGCTGTTCTGTTGGCATACAAAATTCACTTTCTACCATCAAATCATCAATGAAACTTTTCCCTCAACTCAAGTCTATCATCATGATCAACATTTTTATCAACTTTATCGATTTAATTTTTTGCAAACTTATGCAACTCTTCAGTGTTGTTAACACAGGTTTACCTTTTTTTGGATATTTAATTGTTACAAAGTACCAAACAACTTTCAACCAGACTTAGTCTACAACGATAACCTTTAATGCATTTGGAAAGTTGAATGGTCTGTGCTTTTTTTGCCTATCTGACTGTTTATAGTCAATCCATGACTGATTTAATTTGCAACCAATACTTGAACATTTGATGGAGGAAAAAGAAGGATCTATTGGTAAACATTTTATCGCTGATTGTCAAATTGATTTACATTACAAATTGACAGCAACCAAATTCAATTAGAGTCAATTTGATCAAGAGTCAATTTATGTTAATTTAAAGATATTAAGATGCCTTCAATCAGTCCTACTACCAATCATGCAAACTATCCAGTAAACCTGTCTTAATGGAGGTTAACAGAATCCAATACATTAGCATTGAATTTAAAGTTGAAAGATAAAGAAACTGGTTTAAAGTATCAAATGGATTAAAGTTGCTGCATTGTCAACCAAATACTTGATGATTTGGACAAAATCACTTGTCAAATTTAAATTTATACGATGATAAGCCAATTGAACGATTGGTTATATTTAAATTACCAGCAAAATCAAGAGTGCAACTAGAGAGCAGTTTACATGTTTCAACAATGTAATGGTGTTGGACCCAAAATGGCAACAAACTTTGAACCAGTAACTGGAAAACCTTTTAACCCTGAATTGAAGCCATCAATTGTCCATGGAAACAGTTCAGTGATTGAATAAAAAGCAACTATTGTGATCATTAAAACAATTGTAATTGTTAATCAGAAATGTGGAGGAAAAAAAACAACAACAACAGATAACTTGATAAAATTTATACAACCGAGTGTATTGGAAACATTTAACTCTTACCAAGATGATGTTTAACCAGCTGAAGAAGAGAAGAGAATCAATTTTGAAAAAGACCAGAATTAAATTATCATCATTGTAATAACAATTGAATTCAAAGTTGAAAGCTAATCTAGTTCTTGTTATAATAGTTTGTTAAATCTACTCACCATTCAGTGATCACCCTGAGAAAAGCTTCAAACTTATGCTTACACTTTGAATTGATTTTCCACCATCTTGGCCATCATTTTACAAAGCTGTACCAACCAACACATCTTAATGTAACTCATCAAATTAAAATGGCTTAAATCAACAATTGAATTGGTGAATTGAACAATCAAGACAAAATATAATAGATGAAAACGGTCAATCCCTACAAACGAAGGCCTGAATTTGAACAATTTTGTTATCCTTTTTCCTCAATATATTTGATTACTTGCTTTTAAAGTGCTCATCATTGAATTGCTTTTGTTTTAAATGTTAAACAGTTTGGTAATTAATCTCAATTTAATTTTGTCATTTAATACAACCCATTTCAATGTTGGCCTGTGAATTGACGTTAAAATTAACTCATAAAACCATGAAAGTTAACTATTGTTTGCATCATGAGAAGGTTGATTTTCTGACAACAGTCAATCTTAATGAATGCATCTAATTTAGGTTTATGCTTTTAATCATTTCAACAATTGTATGTTGGTTAGGTTGAGTGAATCTGTTGGTATTATTGTGATTCTTGATTTACTTGAAGAAAGGTTAATGAACAGAAACTTGAAAAATCTTGTGAAACAAACAACACAAATTATGATAGAAATGATTTAATTAATCTGATTCTTTGTTTTTTTATTCTCTTTCACTTTTTTATAACTTTCTTCATCCCTGATACGATCTTATTTCAGATGCTTTATGGTAAATTCACATCAATTTTTCCTCTACTTTTTTAATTAACAATCTAACTTACAGCTTTACTATTTATTTGTCTCCTCTCAAATCATTTCCCTTCAGATTCCCTTCCTCATTCCATTCTTAGATTATCTGATTCCACTTAGATTCTTTTGTGTGAACAATAATTTTGATCATCTTTTAATTAATAGTTGAGCAATTAAATAAGTGATGCTGTTTTATTTTTCTTTTTACCGCTGTTTCTTTGCTAAAGGTGAATTCAATAGATGGCAGTGCATATAATTCACAATGTGAATTTCACATTTGTTTCTGTTTTGAATTGCTGTATATCTTTGCTTACTTTAATTGACTAATTTTTTTAATTTATTAAACTTTTGAATGGTTTTAGACTAAATTTTGATAGTCCAGTTATGGCATTATCAATTGTAAAAAGTGTTCCGGCCATATCGAACATATGCTTTCACAGTAAGTTGATTTAGTTTTGTTATTTTTCTCTCAACCATTCATTGTTATGATTTTTTGTTTATTTCTTATTAGGTCCAATAAATTGTATTTTTGTGCGAAATGCAACTGGATTAATCAACAGTTTCTACAGGGCTCCAAAAGAGAGAGTTAAAGTACCACCTTCGTTTGACCGTATGTATCTTCACCCGAAAATTTATCGACTGTATCTTTTTTTTGCAAATGAATTAATCCTAATGCACTTTTTTTTCTAGACGTTATTCTTCCCGATCCTGAGCATAGGAAATTACCAGCCTTAGAAAGTGTACCGCTACCTCCCAATGGAAGAGATGAAATGAAAACTGCACGTAGAATTTATGACGCAAAAGGACCTGAAACAATTCATAATCGACTTCTTCATGGCCAATATGGTTTAATGGTAAGAAGAAAATGAAACATTTAAAATGCAGTATTGAACTGAGTAATAATATTGAATACTCATTTTATAATTATTAGGCATTGTCTGGTGGTCATCTTTATCCTCCTCATATCAAAATCATCCGTGATTCGGTTAACCGACATGTGAAAGGAGATAGATTCGCTGTTTGGAGGATTGATCCACCTTGGAAAACTGTTACAAGAAAGGTTTGTTTGATTTAATCGAAATCTATCACCTGAAACCAACAGGATAAAATTGCATATAATTAATGATAAATTTTCAATTTGTTTCTTCTTAAAAACAGTCTCCTGGTAAAAAGCTTGGAGGTGGAAAGGGAAGTATCTTTTGTTACTCCACTCCAATAAGAACTGGTCGTATAATCTTCGAATTCGGTGGGAAATGTGAATTTGAAGATATTCTTAAAATGTTATTAGGAGTTGCGAAACGATTACCTCTCGATGCTTTACCCGTTTATGCTGAATTTTTCAATGAATTTCAGGCAGAATTGAAAGAAAGAGAACGCAATAATCTCAATCCACTAACTATTGAGCATGCCGTTAAAAATAATTTAGCTGATTGTCGAAAGTACATGACGGCATTTGAGTTATTTACAAATGGAAAATACAGATGAAACTTTCCTGTGAAAATTTAATCTTCTGTAATTATATTGTTTGAAAATAAAATCAATTTAGTCAATAAAAACTTATACATGAATATTAAATTTAATTATCTTTGTTAATAAATTCATGCAATTGATCTCGGTTGCTAAATTACCATTCATTCAGGTGCAATTTGAACAAGAGATGAAATTGTCGTAAATTTAACCTTTTACTGAACTTTTTCTTTTCATCTATAAAATTGTGTAGTTGGAAATGATATGTGAACTCACGAGATTATGAGTGCTACTTGTTCGATTATAATTCTTATTTATAATGTTTAAAAGGAAATAATCATTTTTCTCGACTTTTGGGAAAAGATCAGCAATTTTGTTTTCCAATTCCAGATGAGTATTCAGAACAGGAAATTTTTCCATCATACCTAAATGTTGATATGTGACTTTCGATAGTACACAACGGGCGTATTGAAAGATACAAGACTCAAATTGCTTTTCATTATCGTACGATTCCACCTTGAAATTACTTAACGTCACTTTGCTTGGATCATATTTGACGTCTAAATCAATCAGCTTCGGATCAATCTCAACAGGTCCATGTAAAGCAACTGCAGACGATTGGTTCTTAACTAGATAAAGCAAACAAGTATCTTCTTCATCAAGCTCTATTTTGCATGGTCCACGCTTTTTAATCATCCAGTCATCGCCACAATATGAGCCAAACTTATCCATCCATGGTTTCGCCTGCGGTTTATATCCACTTGATTTGATACTCAAATAGTAATCAAAATTAGCAATAACAAATTCGTATTCATGGTTTATGGTCGAGGATCCATGAATGAGTAAGAAGCAAAGTACAACTGTATATCTCGACTCTTTGGAATCCATTATACACAATTTTAAATCAATACGTTTTAATATATTATTTTAATATACGTCGTAATATTTCAGTTCAATAAATTTTGCTGCAAATTTTACAACTTGATATACACAAATAGATGTGACTCTGAAAGACGAAAAACAAATTGAATGAAAATCAATGATAAGTATTCAATATCAACATTCGAGTCTAAAAGTCTAAACATTTAGCAGATCTGGTTTTGAGCAAAATAACTTTAACTATCAAATAAATTTTAATACAAAATGTCGTCTTGGCTTGAGGCCCCTTTCATTTCGGTAAACATGTTCATTTCTAGTATAAACCTGTACTTAGCAACTTTCACCTAAACAGGTTTCATTTAGACCAATGTGTTATTGAAAGTAAAAACTTGAGTGAATTTTTCAAGCTCATAGGTCAAGAGGAGGGACAAGTTCAACTGCTTTTGGATGGTTTGATAATCAAATTGATAAAAAGTCCAGTTCTGAAGATAATGTTAAAATTTGTCAATTGTGTGGACTTATATCACAGTTAGTTTGATGTTCATCAACATTAATAAAATGCATTCGGAATTATCGATTTTTTTGCTTTTTTCTGTTTTTTCATCAATCAGTTCAGATAATAGGCCACCTGGATTCGGTGAATACAACGGATCAATATTCATAAGTAGTGAACGTTTTGGTAGCGGCAGTTATTTTTTAGGTAAGCACGAATCTCATTTAATTACAAATCAATTATTTAAAAATTCAAGAAATGTGAAGCAATTTTGAGTGAATGTGAAGACACGAGACAATAAAAAGTCAATATGATGTAAGGTAAACCAATATGAACTTGTTTTCAGTATCAACTTGATTCATGCCTATGTTAACCCACGCCACTGGTATTTGCAACTTGCATGAGAATTTGAGTGATTTAATCATTATGTTAAATGGAAATATATTAATTGAAAATTATTGTATCAGCATTTGACTATTTAATGAAATGACATTTTATTTGAATTATAATATTTTTCTATTTGATAGGCCCCGAAACGTATTATTTTACATTCCCACTGAGGCTTCCACATTGGATCGGCGATAAACTTCGATATAATCAAATGGTGATTCGTACTTTTCCAACTGAAAGCAATGATTTCAAGGAAAACACTGAACTTACCAAGAATATAAGTTTGGAAATGGAGACTTCTTGTGGTTCTTCAAAGTCAGCACTTGATGAAACAGATGTTGTTTCATTAACTTTGATGGAGAAACGAAATAATCATTCAGTTGCCGTTAGAACAATTCAAATCGATCCATTATCAGTCGACTTTTACAGTCCTAAACTAACCATGAAACAGTTCAATATGCTTGCTGAAGAGGAAATCCAGAAAAGAAATGAGTATTGTAATTTGTGGTGTTTAATGCTTAAATTATGCTTGATAGCTACAGGTTCACAGGATGAATGCTCTCACACGAATTCACAGGTTTGCCCTAATGGACCCTGTACATGTCTTAAAACGAGCGGCGATCATACACAAAGTCTCGCTGAAATGGAAAAGTTTGTTAAGATTATGAAATATCTTGAATTGTTTCAGTATAAATCATCTAGCTGTACGTTAGATTATTGGAGAAGATATGAACCCATTGGCATCGTTGAACTGGACAACAAAACTGTTTCATCGTTTCCAAAGCTCAATAATAATCACTATTTTGTTGCTTCTTTTACCGATACAAAAGCACGAAAGAGCGCAGCATTAATATTGAAAGACTTTAAAATCGTATGAATACATATTACAATTAATCTGTAATATCACACTTAAATGTGTGATAATGAATTTGTTCCGAATCCATTAGTCTAGCGAAGCAAAGACTTATAAGAAACCAGATTGCAATTTGATTGAGATTTTAAATGTTTCATTTTCTTCTCACCATTAAACCATATTGACCATGAGGTCAATTATGAATTTTTTTAGGTTCTTTCGTGCTTTTTTCATTTCATCTCTTGCACTGGGAGGTAGCGGTACACTTCCTAAGGCTCGAATTGCTTTTGATTACAGAAATCAGTTGGCGATAATAATCACTCAGCCTCAAATCGGTTGGGTCATATTTGATGTCTAAATCTGATGGGAAATGTGAATTTGAAGATATTCTTAAAATGCTATCAGGAGTAGCAAAACGATTACCTCTCGATGCTTTACCCGTTTATACTGATGTTTCAAAGAATCTCAGTTTTTAGTTACTCAGTATAAGAAGCAGTAAAACTAGTCTTATCATTACAATGTCAATGTTTCACCATATAACAAGCTAATAAGTTGTAAGTTAATAAAATAACGTGTTTTATTTAATGGTCATTTTGAAGAATCACAAGGAGTTTAATGTGCAAATTAATATTCTTGGGTAAATTTAGTGTTTTAAGTCAATTGCTTGACGTTGAAAAATAAGCATTCATTCAGACAAAATTCGAAAGATAGAAACTGAACATAATCATTTTTCTCAATTTTCGGAAGAAGATCAGCAGTTTATGAATCAATCCTAGATGGTGAAATGGCTTTGCTTTCTGAATCTGTTCAAACTATGTTCAGCGGAGCGTTTACGTTATTTATTATGAACGTAAAGAACTGGTAAATCAAAGTACAAATCTAGATTGGGATAGAAAGTTTCAATACGAAATAATACAGTTTTGTAAAACCTTTTAACCTCAAAATTCAACAGTTTTTGGTTTCAATTTATTTCGATAGTATCCATCGATAAAATGGTGTAGTTGAAAATTATGTGGGAACTTATCAGGCCTTTAAAACGTTTAAAACCGTAAAAATAATCCTTATTTACAATGTTTAGAATAAAATAATCATTGATCTCGATTTTAGGGAAAAGGTGAGCGATTTTAGGTCCCAATTGAAGATAAGTATGAAGAAGAGGAAAACTTGCCATACCATACAAATTTTGATAGACGGTTTTCGACAAGACACAACGGGCATATGCAATGGCACAAGGTTCGAATTCCGTTTGGCTACAGAATTCAGTTGGAAATAAATAATCACTCAACTTCAAATCGCTTGGATCATATTTGATGTCTAAATCAATCAGCTTTGGATCAATCACAACAGGTCCGTGTACAACTGGAGACGATTGATTCTTGACTAAATGAAGTGTACAAGCATCACTTTCATCAAGCTCTGTTTTACATGGTCCCCAATATCTATCGATGTATGGTAAGCGTGAGCAAACAGCATTTTTCCATTGCTTTGTTTGCTTTCCTTCAGCTCTAGTTTTGATACTCAAATGGTAATCAAACTTAGAACGAGCAAAATTGTAAAGTTCGTTTTCAGCTGAAAATGAATGCACACGTAAAAAACAAAGTACAATTGAATAAATTAATAGTTTGAAATCCATTGAACACAATCAAAGGTTTAATGTAATCCAAAACAGTGAATTGAGATTTAAATGGTTTAGTCAAATATGAAAAAATCACTCAGATTATTTTTGATGTGAAATGTAACAACTAGTTTGATAAAGTTATGTGAAACGTTTGCATCTTTAGTAGAAACCAGTAATCAGCTTTTGACCTCAGCAGAGTTTAACCAAACCAGTTGTTGATTCAAATTTTTTGACATTTGTGAATATAATTCTGAGGTTTTTTGGCTTAAAGGTCAAGAACAGCTATTAATAGAGGTTTGACTACTTTTAGACGAAAGATGTTTCAATATTTGAATCAGTTACAAGTTTTTTTCTGAAGGTGAAATTTGAAGTTACCAACTGCTTAGAGTTGACAAAATTATTTCATCTTTGGTTTGATGTTCATTGCATTACTTTGACGATAAAATGCAAACAGAATTTTATATTTTCTTGCTTTTTTCTGTTTTCCCATCAATCAGGTCAGATGAAGATTTTGTATTCGATGGAATCAACCAAGAATACATAAATTCTCATGGCAATTACTTTTTAGGTAAGCATAAATTTTCCATATTTACATTCCTAACGCGTCATTTCGATCAGCAAGTTTCATCTTAATCAATCATTAATAGATCCATTTTCTGTATCCACGACTAATAATCTATTCTGAACCATTTAAGTATTTATTCAAATTAATTTTTTATTTGATAGACGAACTGGTGTATCATTTCACATTCCCACTGAGGCATGTACATTGGATCGGCGATAGATTTCGAGATCATCAAATGGTAATTCGCACTTTTCCAACGGAAATCAATGATTTCAAGGAAAACACTGAACTTACCAAGAATATAAGTTTGGAAATGGAAACTTCTTGTGGTTCTTCAAAATCAGCATTTGATAAAACAGATTTGGTTACATTAACTTTGATGGAGAAACAAAATAATCGTTCAGTTGCCGTTGAAACAATTCAAATCGATCCATTATCAGTCGACTTTTACAGTCCTAAACCAACTATGGAACAGTTCAAGATGCTTGCTGAAGAGGAAATAAAGAGAAGAGCTAAACTTTGTAATGATTTGTGTGCAAAAACCATAAAACCATCTAATGGACGCGATATTTTGGTTTGTCCAAATGGCACCTGCACATGCAATGAAAAGATTGAAGATGTCGCCAAAAGTTATGCTGAAATGGAAAAGTTTGTCAAAATAATGAAATATCTTGAACTGTTCCAGGATTGGTCATCAAGCTGTACATTGGAATTAGATTGGTATAGATTTACACCTCAAGCTATCGTTGAACTGGACAACAAAACTGCTTCATCGCTTCCAAAACTCAATAATAATCACTATTTTATTGCTTCCTTCACCGACACAAAAAGACGAAAGAGTGTAGCGTTGATATTGAAAAAATATAAAATCATTTGAATGATACATATCCAACTCAAATGTCGAAAAATAAAATTCAACAGTAAATATATTTTTCATAACGACAATTTCCTAACAATGTTTTATCAAAGGCATTTCGTAAATCCGTCTGTCTAACAACCAGAGGTGAATGTAACAAATAGGTATTTGAATCAAATTGTGTTGCTGATTGTTGGTCATAATTTATGGTTGAAAAGTAAAACAATTTAGTCAATCCGTATCTTTTACTATTGACTTTGGGGGAAAAACTTTTTGGTTATTCAGGTTGATGGTTTATTGTTGGATTAGAAGGATAAATAAAACTGTCTTTCGAGTAAAGCGTTAAGTGAAAAATACTGTACAAAAAGATTTCATTTTGTTCAGCTGCATAACCAGATTTTATTTTATTTGTACGTTTTTCTCATTGACGATGGTTTTTCATCAAGAATTTGAGTGTTTAAATATGGATTGATTTCATTGTACTCAGTGGGACCGGCTTTTTTCCACCATATCCGTCACTTCATCAACCACTTTTTTACCGTTTTTTATCGCATTGGACAATATGGTGAAAAAAGCCAGTCCCGTATTCAGTGAAAAAATTAAGATCAGTCATGATCGTAGGTTCCACTTGTGTATTTAAATACAATAAATTGTAATTTTGCTTAAACTTTTTGCGAGTTATTAATAAAAGATTGTTGCAGGAATAAATGTTACTCTGAACAGGTTTACTAATTCCACAGTGAATGTCTTGAAACATTTGAAAAATCATCTAAAAAAGTTTTAGTTGCTAAATATCTAGATAAATATCAACATTTTGTGAGGCGTTTGTATTTTCAGTAGAAACCCGTATTTAGCTTATAAGTTTTTGACCTCAACAAATTTTCTCAAAACCAGTTTTGCAATTTGCTCTGCTATACGATAAATAACATTTGTGAAAATAATACAGCGAAAATTTTCTGACTTAAAAGTCAAGAACACCTATTAATAGTGGTTTGACTACTTTTGAATGAAGGATGTCTCTATATTCGAAGGTGCTATTTAAAATTCCAATTGATTTGAGTTAAAAAAGTTATATCATCGTTATTTTGATGTTCATCTACATTGCTAGCTAAGATAAGATGTATCCACAATTTTATTTTATTTTTACTTTTTTCGTTTTCCGAACAATCAGTTCACGTGAATTCTTACCTGGATTCGGTGAATACAACGGAAAGTTAACATCACGTTATTCTACTGAACATGGATGGAAATTTCTAGGTAAGCATGAATCTCAAATATTTCAAATCTAACTTGTTATTTCGATCAAAAGTTTCAACTGATTGATGAGCTAAAGCCCATCGGCCAAAGTAGATTCATACCTGAAATAGTATGAAACAAAAACTGCTAACTGTTTCGTTAGTATTTGTTTAAAAAATCAATCATAATTGGATAAGCAGACATTGATACCTTTGTTTGAGTGAAAATTATCTATAAGGTAAGGGCACTAAAGTTTGTCAGTAAAATGATTTTTGAATTTAAGAAGTATATGGGGTTAAATTGGTTATTTATTTGAGATAATTACTGATAATGGACCTTCGTCAGCAGCTTGCGCTATTTTTTTCTTTTCATTTTCGAATAATTTAACAAAATATTCACTATTGAACTCAGATAGCTTCGATTTGATACGTCGCTCTAATTGTACAAAATTATCAGCTTTCCAATTATCTGAGTAAACTTTTTGTTTGAGATGGGCCCAGAACTTTTCAATACATCTCAATTGCGGTACATTCGGTGGGTTCAAATCTTTTTTAACATAGTTTATCTCGAATTTTTCGAGCACCTCTATTGTTCCTTTGGCATAATGACAAGAAGCGCCATCTGGCCAAAACAAATATTTATGGTTCCAGTAATTTTTATGGATAAATGGTACCAATCTTTTTTCAATGCACTCAGTACGGTAAATTTCTGAGTTAGATTAGATAGATTAAGTTAGATCTGTATTTAAGCGCAAAAATAGGCTCAAAAAATATTTAATTTTCATAAGTTTTGCATATCAAAAGCTATTATATTATATGTCAAAAATTGAGCTTTCAAATTATTCAAAATCATTCAAATGATTCTCTAACTGAAAAAGACTTGCTTATTTTAATCTATATCTATACCATATATAAAGTCAAAACATGAAATTTTTGCGTAAAGATTGTGGCCAAACTAAAAGGATTCTAAAGAAAATTTTTTCCCAGCCTGAAAGTCATGATTAAACTACATCCACGAAAAATAGTCTGAACTTCATCGGAATTCAGGTACCTGAGAAATTAGCGTTTAAACAGGGTAGGGGAAAAAATGCAGAATCCGTATCTTTTAGCATTGACTTTGGGGGAAAAATTTTTTTGGTTTAGGTTGATTGCTGGTTTATTGTTAAATTAGAAGGATAAGTAAAATCATTTTTCGAGTAAAGAGTTAGGTAAAAAATATGTTGCCTCAACTGTTGAACCAAATTTTATTTTATTTTTTCTCATTGACCATGGATTTCATCAATAATTTTAGTCTTTAGATGGGGATTGGATTTATTGTATTCAGTGAAAAGAAATTTACGATCAGTCATGATCGTGGCTCAGCTTGTTGCGTTAAATGCAAAAAAACGTAAAGAGGCGAAAATTCTGCATATTAACTTTATCCTCACGCTCTCTCTAGTTTGCTTGCGCCCCAAGATTTGGACCAACTGGGTATGGAGCAGCTGAAAAAGATCAAAATTAGATTCAAAAGTTCACAGTCAGATTATCTAATCGTTATAATGCGCGATCTGAGTTCTATCTGTATTCACAAATTTTTATTAAGCTCAAGCGATTTAACGTGAAACAAGAAAAAAAACATTTAATCAGCATTTGATTATTTAATGCAATGAAATTATTCTTTTCATTTGATAGATGACACGGAGTATAATTTTACATTCCCACTGAGGCTTTCACATTGGATCGGGGATAAACTTCAATATAATCAAATGGTAATTCGCACTTTTCCCACGGAAAACAATTATTACAAGGAAAACACTAAACTTACCAAGAATATAAGTTTGGAAATGGAAACTTCTTGTGGTTCTTCAAAGTCAGCATTTGATAAATCAGATGTTGTTACATTGACTTTGATGGAGAAACAGAACAATAACTCAGTTTTCGTTAAAACAATTCAAATCGATCCATTATCAGTCGACTTTTACAGTCCTAAACTAACCATGAAACAGTTCAAGATGTTAACTGCAGAGGAAATAAAGAAAAGAGCAGAGTTTTGTAATGAATTGTGCAAAAAAACAACGGATCAACTTTTGATGAACGTGATCTTTTGATCTGTCCAAAAAGCACCTGTACATGCAATGAAAGGATTGAAGATGATGTACAAAGTTATGCTGAAATGGAAAAGTTTGTCAAAATAATTAAATATCTCGAACTGTTTCAGGATAGGTCTTCAAACTGTCTATTAGGATTACTTTTGCTCAGATATAGTCCTCGAGGTATCGTTGAACTGGACAACAAAACTGCTTCATCTTTTCCAGATCTCAATAATAATCACTATTTTATCGCTTCTTTTACCGATACAAAAAGACGGAAGAGTTCAGCGATGATACTGAACAGTTATAAAATCATTTGAATATGTTTTATCGAGAAATTCAAATTTAAATCTGTCTCACTCACAAATGAATGCTTGCATTTAAAATTGAATAAATGACCGATTATGAAATTGTGTATCTTAATTTATATGTCTATTGATTCCCTATGGTCTGGTCTGTAAAATTCAAAAAAAATTTCGGTTCCGATTCATCATCCCAATCGAACTTAAGGCTGTCAGTTTTTTGACCGCTACTGTACTGTAACAACTCATGTAGTTAGTTATTGGACTGTTGGTAACAAAAGACTCATTATTTTGGTTATGATTATTACTGATGACTTAATTTTCATTCAATAGTGATAATGTTGCATGTTAGCTTCTGATTGAAAAAAAGTCACTGTTTGAGTAAATTGTTAACGTAATTGAATGGTTGAATTTTATTGAATAATCTCAATTACAGATTATGATTGTAAAATTTAAAGAAATTCATTTGAAAGTTACCAAAAATAGTATTCAGTCGAAAACTTGAAAATCAAAATCATCAATGAACTTATTAGCTTTTGCTTCGCTCAGACTAGTTAGAACAGATTCTTCAATTTTATTATCAAGATTTCAACTCATTTTTCTGGCATATTACATGTAATATAAATTCAAATGATTCTGAAGTCTTTCAATATTAACGCTGCACTCTTTCGAGCTTTTGTATCGGTAAAAGAAGCAACAAAATAGTGATTATTATCAAGTTTTGGAAACGATGAAGCAGTCTTGTTGTCCAGTTCAACGGCTCCAATGGATTTGTATCTTCTCGAAATATCTATTTCACAGCTTGGTGACTTATACTGAAACAATTCAAGATATTTCATAATCTTTACAAACTTTTCCATTTCAGCGAAACTTTGTGAATAATCTTTGATCCTTCCTTGACATTTGCAGACTTCTTTAGGGCAGATCATCAAATAAAATGACGGTGGAGTATATCTTTTTCCGAATAATTTTTGGTTTACGCACAAATGATTACAAAACTCAGTTCTTTCTTTAATTTCATTTTCAGCTAACATCTTGAACTGTTCCATGGTTGGTTTAGGACTATAAAAGTCAACTGATAATGGATCGACTCTAATTGTCTTAACGAAAACTGAGTGATTATTTTCTTTCTCCATCAAAGTCAATGTAACAACATCTGTTTTATCAAATGCTGATTTTGAAGAACCACAAGAAGTTTCCATTTCCAAACTGATATTCTTGGTATAATCAGTGTTTTCCTTGAAATCATTGATTTCCGTTGGAAAAGTGCGAATAACCATTTGATTATGTCGAAGTTTATCACCAATCCAATGTGGAAGCCTCAGGGTGAATTTGAAACGATACATCCTGTTATCTGTCAAATAGAAAAATAAGTTTCATGTAAATATAACACATGTACAACAACATGAATAAAATGTCAATTGCAAATTTTAGTTTTCATTTTACTTTTCAGCTAAAACTGAAGATTGTTGAGGTTGACTCAAACAATATATTGGTCCTCATTTTCATATTTAAAATTCAATTTAACATATAAAAATATTGGAAGTATGAAAATTGCCGTAAAACGTGTCAGAAGTACGCATTAATTAGGAAGGAACTTTTCGGCAATGAGATTCATACTTACCTAGAAAGTCCAAGCTATGATATACCGAACGACTTTTGGATATAAATGCGTTGTATTCACCACATCCAGGTGGCCTATCATCTGAACTGATTGATGAAAAAACAGAAAAAAGCATAAGAATATAAAATTCTGAATTCATTTTATTATCATAAGCAATGTTGAAATAACATTGAACTAACTAGGATATCAAGTCTAAACTGACAAATTTAGTATTATCTTCAGAGCAGAACTTTCTATCAATTCAAATACCAAACCCTCGAAAGCATTTGAACAACATATCATCCCTCCTCTTGACCTTTAATCTGATGTTTTTACTTTAAATAACTGAGTGATCTTTATGAAACCTATTGAGGTGAAAGTTGCAAAGCTATAAATACAGGTTTTTACTAGAAATGAACATGTTTAACGAAATGATAAGGTACCTCAAGCCAAGGCGACATTTTGTAATAAAAGTTATTTGAATAGCTTTTCTCAAAACCAGATCTGCTAAATGTTTAGTCCCTCTTTCAGATTAAATGTTCATATTAAATACTCATCTTTGATATCACATTCAATATTTCCCGTCTTTAGAGTGAAATCTATTTATGTAACGCAAGTTGTAAAGTTTCAACAAAATTTAAATTTATTACATTGAAATATATTAAAACGTATTGATTTAAAATTTTGTTCAATGGATTCCAAAGAATCAAGATAAACAGTTGTACTTTGATTCTTACTTCTTCTTTCTTCTTCTGGATTCTCTTCCGAAGACTCTGAATACCAATTCGTTACTGCTAATTTCGATTACTATTTGAGTATCAAATCAAGTGGATATAAACATCAGGCAAAACCATGGATGGATAAGTTTGACTCATATTGTGGCTTAACCTAACCCAAACCTTACTTCGAAGATAACTTTCTATTTCTTTATCAAAAATTTCGGGCTCTTCAGAGTCGATAACAGGTTTATTGACTTTTGGTTGTCGGAGTAACGGTTTGGGTTCAAAACGGCCAAAGTCAAAACAGCCAAATATAAAGCTGCTTAAATCAAATAAAACTACTTAAATGGTCAGATTTATTAGGGTATCAAAAAGTACTTTTGTTTTTTTACAACTGACTTTTGCTTCAATTTTGAATAAGTTTGACTTAATCAATTGACTCAATAATTTTTAGGACACAAGAGCATCGACATAGGTGACTGTGGCCCATTTTCTGACTCGATCGGAGTTAATTAAGTATAATTAATTAGCTTATCAATATCCATAGGCAGGTTTTTTTGGATTTTTTTGCAATTTGAATTGATATGATTTAAGCAGCTTTGTATTTGGCTGTTTTGACTTTGGCCATTTTGGACTTTGCTGGTTTGGACTTGGCTGTTTTGACTTTGGCTGTTTTGGGCCTTTACCTCGAAGTAAAAACGAAATAGAGTTTTTAAAGGATATGCAAACTGATTTTCAGAACTCATCATGGAAAGACAAACAACACAAATATTTGATATTGGCCATAATGTTGGTCATTATTTGGTTCATAAAAGATAATGTTGACAATAGTAAAATAAAATATCATTGAAATAACAAATATTGTAGATACCGAAGCTAGTGAAAACAAGCCAGTTAGCCAGCCACATGTACGCATGAGTGGCTACAGCCAATAGGCAAGTTGGCTAAAGTAGCTTAGAGCTAGCTGAGAGATAAGCTACTTAGCCACTTTTAGCTACTTAAGTTTAAGTTTAAAATGAAAGTTTCAAACGCTTTTTTTTGTTATTAACATTGTTTTTGCTAACCATAAGTATTGTTTTTCTGCATTGTTCTTTTATTGTATTTCTTTCTTGCATTTCTGTGATACACATATTAACCTTAAATCTAATAATGGCTGAAAAGGTAAGGTTTTTTATTTTGATACTTTATTACTTTCATTGAAACTAATTCATTTTATTTTTGAAAGGTACCTGTTGCTGGAATAGATTGGCCGTGCACAAGTAAAAGTTTGGCAAAAATAAATGGCGAAGTTTATGTACATTTGCAAGCAGATTGGTACGGGAAACCTAACACAATTACGAATGAAGAAGGTAGTGAAGATGAGCTAGAATTCAAAGAGAGAGACCCAGATATTTTCACCATTGAGGAATTACAAGCACAAACAGCAGAAACGAAAAAGAGGAAGCGAGGAAATAACACTTACGCTTGTCCACTCTGTGGGAAAACATTTTACCAAAGGAAAGAAAGTGCAAATAGACATTTAAATGGAGGACCTGATAGATTGGCAGCGTGCCCAACCAGGAAAGCCGATCCTAATGATGATCTAAAAACTTTTTGTGATAAACCGATAATTGTTAAAAAGCACAGATGAATTTGTAATTGAAGCTAATCACGCTAATAAACTTGATTGGATTTAAACTTGAATTAACTTTTCCTTAAATATTAACAAATTTAAATCTGGTGGGACTTGGTGGGACTAAGTTTGTATACAGAAAAATTTATTTTAAACATGATGGCGCCACTTTTGAATTTGGTGGGACTTGGTGGGACTTTTGTCCGGTGAGTTACTTTTAAATTTTAAGAAACATATGATCCACTTTTGTGTATCTTCTGTCCGTTTTATAAATGTATTTTAACTTACTGCTTGTTTTATGTTTTAGTAAAATAAGGGGTAAATATTTAATATTGTTTACTTTTTGCTATTTTACCCCTCAATCTCTTTTCATTTCCCCCTTTAGTTCACCTAGATGTCAGCACTCCAAGGCAAAAACTCAATACACTGTAAATGCAATACAAAATTTCTTACATTTGTTAGCTTTGGAAATAAAGGGTGTTGCGTCTTATTCTCGCCAGCTATCTCATCCGAATGGAGATTAAACAACTGATAAAGATGAAAATGTCCAATGGAAATCTTATAAATCTCCATTGTGATAAGATAGCTGGCGAGAATAACACGCAACACCCTTTAAAATTACATTGCTTTGAATTTTGTTTTCATGAAAACGTTGCCTGACACATGTGAAAACACTCATAGATTATCAGATTAGCACATGTAATTTCCTATGTTTTGTTTCAGTCAAGTTGATAAAAAATTCATGTCAAAACTAGATAATCAACAAAGAAAGTTGAACCGTTTGAATATTAGATGTTGCTTCCTGTTTCGATAAACCATTTATATTAAGATAATAATGGTGATAGCTCTATGATAATTACCTCTGAGATTTAAATTCAAATCTGAACAACAACCGGAGAGAGAATTGTTTAATGATTGACTAGGAATAGATGCATCTCAATAAGTTAGGTTTCTATGAAAATTGCAAGGATACCAATTAATTACATCAATTGTAGATTAATTTTCTAACCAGGTAACAAATATTACGAAAGATTTTCACTATTGTTATAACATTGAGTTATTTCAAGTTTAGATTTCCTCTATTCCTAAATCCAGAATTGCACAGTTAATTGCTTTAAGTAATCAAATAACAAGTTTAGGTTATGAGGTTATCATCTATGATTAAATTGATGTAACCGATAGGAGGGGCTACATAATTTGCGACTCGCATAGAGTCTGTGTAGAAGGATAACCTTTTTCGAGTTGAGTATTTTTTCTGTAAAAATTTTGCAGTGTAGGTTCATATTATTTCTTAATCAGTTACAATTCGATTAAATTGATTATTTGGTTTTCCTTTTTGTTTGTGGCTTATTGCTGTAAGCAATCAAGCAACTTGTTAACCAACTGCTAATCCTTATCATGGCATTATCGCTGCACAATGATCTTTCACTTTCTTGGTGGGTTTGAAGATTTCCTATTCTTATCCCTTGATTATAATGTGACATCCTTTTGACTTTTTTGTTTGTTTTTTTTGTTAATTTCATCTTTTCTTTACAATCAAAATGATTATGATTTAATTTGACTTTAATTTTGTGCTTTTGGCCTTGCTGTCGTTTTCGTTTCGCCTGGTTATCATTTTGTTTTGTTTATTTTGTTTATTTTGATCCTGCCGTTGCTTTGGTTATCCTTTTTGCTTGATTTATTATATTTCGTGAGCTTTTCTATAAAATTATCAAAATGGATAGTGACGGTTATTATTGGTTTGACAGTCCAACCATGGAATACGGGATTGAGGAAGATGAGCCAGAGGATGACCAGGAGGAAAGCCAAACCGAATCACCTTCTCTTCCATCTTTACCGTTATCTTTGCAAGAGCAGCTTGCGTGCCCAGCAATCACCAATACTCAGAGAAACCAAGCAATGTCCATGAAAGAAATAGACTCTAAACTGAATAATTTAAGAAGAGAAAATTTCGACCTCAAATTAAGGCTCTTTTACGAGAAACAAAACAAAGGAGTTCGTCGATCAGGTGGTTATTTCATTTTCACTTTTCATTTTCCCTTTTCATCTTCAATTTTTGACTAATTTTACCTTTTACATATTTTTTTGTTCCTTTTCAGATGGCGACTCATTCATTGAGAAAGATTATGATAAATATGAGAAGGCTCTGGAGGAATACAAAAGAGCACTAGAGGCTAAAGACCACCAGTTAAATTTAATGAAGAATCGCCTGGAGGAGAATGTTAAAGACAAAGAATTTGAATTAAATATTTTACGGACGGAACGTGACGCTTTTGCCAGTGATCTTCAAGTGACCACATCAATTTGTAAATCATTTATGTCTCATCTTTATGATGTGAGAGACTTTTGGACAAGGCATTTGAAAGAAAAAGGCATCCAACAAAATGAAAATTTCATTGATTCTGTTAATTATTGGCTGAACTCATCTGAAGATCTACTTAACTCTGCATCTGTCCTGATTTCAGGTAAATTAATTTTCTCATTTTCTCATTTTTAGCTACACCACTAGCTGGTCAAACCAAATAACCAAAAATGGTTTTCATCTTAAATCTCAAAGCTCACATTGTGTATGTTTTGTGATTGCCAAAAAGGTCTTAAGTTCCCCTAGAGAAGAAGAAGATGAAAGGAGGATGAACCAGAACTTCCTGCCAAATTTTGGTTCCTTTCTCGACATGGTTACCACACATGTGATATTATTTAAGCACAAAGACTTAAGCAAAAACAAAAAATAACATAAATAACATAAAATCAGTTACGACCAGTTTCCTTTACTCTATTTTCAAATAGTCTTCTGACTCCCACTCTTGGAATGACTTATTAATTTAAAAATATATTTTAAACTTTGTCCTCTTGAACCTCTTTCAAATCATTGTTTATGCTTTTGATTTATCTTTTTTTCCAAACCTCTTCCCATTATTTTGGAACTTGATTTTAATTCTATTTTTGATTTCTTTCATTAGATGAATTTGATGGTGGAAATGGTCCACATCAAAGACGACTCTATCCAGAAATGTTTAATATGATTGAAAATAGGAACCGAGGTAATCCCTTGATTGAGATTAATTTGGCTGATAAAGAAAGAAGTGAATATTTGAAGCATAAAAATTTTCTGTACAATATTTCATCTGAATCGGAGGAAGAATGGTCTGAACCCGATCGTAATGTCTCAAAATCACGAATCGGAATCGAAACTTGCACTGATTTGAACACGCTTAACTCAGCAGCTCGAGTCCCTCTAAAAAGTCGAATGAAAAGACTTTCTAGTTCGGGTGAGAAATAGGTCCACAATTGCACCAACAACTTATCCCCATCATTCCCCTTTTGCACATTTTTGGCACCAAATTTACCAGTTGTTATGCAAGATTGGACGCTTAATGCACACTTTTGCACCATTTCATTTGCATCCAAATTACCAAATTGAAATACTCTTTTCTCAACTCACAAAACCAAACATTATCATTCTTGGGATCAGAATCAGCTTTAATCTCAATAGATTACTCGATGAAAATAATTTTCATCAAACAATAATCATTATCCACATTTGTCAGCTTTCAATCTTATTTACTTTTTGTTTGCTATTCCATTGGAAAGTTATCAACCTAGATGATCCAGTTAATGTTTGGTTTAGAGATGCGGAAGATAGTATTTAGGTAAAAAATCATCTGTTATTCAATCAAACTAATTACTTTTTTTTATTTCTCAGCAGGTATGTCATCACTTGGCTTATTATCGGATTTCAGTGAGTTTATTGCTGAAAGACAACGAGGCCGTCATAAATCTAATGTTAATAAAGTAAATGAGGCGACCCAAACGTTAGTTTGCTCGGATGATTTGGATAAATTAATCGATTATTGTCGTAAAGATGAGCTTAAACGTTTCAGCAATTGCCACAGTCAAACTGATGAAGATCTCAAGAAACATTATCAATCATCTCAATCTTGTCAAACGGTGTCTAGAGACGGCATAGATAATGGTTCACAGACTGATGTTGCCGAATCAAAATGTGAAGAGAAAGGCACAGAAACTGAACCAATGTGTTTATCCTCAGTATCAAGTCAAACTGTTGAAATATCTACTGAAAAAGGTGTTCAATTTGCGGAAAGAACAAAGTCTCATTCAGACAAATACTCTCTTAATCATGAAAACCAACAGCCACAGCAATCTCCTTATCATCATCACCATTACCATCATCATCTTGACATAAAAAGCCGGCTTTCACCTACAAGTACCCAAAACCAAGCCAATACAAAGAAAGACTTGAATTCTAGTCAACAGTTAACTAGATCACCTTCAACATCGCAACAGTCACTCTTTTCATATAAAACCATTTTAACACCAATGACTAAACCCATGTTTAAAAATGTTGATTACTCAGAATGTGAATATCTCAAGGAAATGGATTCAAAAACAAGCACTTCTTCACTTTCACGCTCCAATTACAAAAACACTACAAATGATAATCGGTCCAACATGAAATCGCGTTACTCAAGCTGTGATGATATCAATTTTGATCGATCCATGAAATTCAACAATCATGCGGATTATGCTCAAGATGAAACACCTTCCAATAAAAAATTCTACATGACATCTTCCTACTCTACCAGTAAAATATATGATATCATCAATAATCAAGTGAAAGGAATCAACAAAGGAAAAAATTTATTCTCAATGGAAAAGCTTAATCTTAAAGGTTATACTGATAAATCCTGTGGAAAGGGAACAGGCGATGATTCAGAAAACTGTAATTTATCTAGTCCAGATCTTGGTATTGGTGATTCAGATCAAGACATGAACAGTACATTGCGAGCTTACATTTCACTCGGTCATTACCAGCTTCTTCGTGGTAATTTGAACCAATTGTCATCCTATCTCAATTGTTTGGATAATTTATATCGAGATTGTTTTCTTCTTCAATCGATTAATCTATCTGAATACATGGCTGCTATGAAACCAAATCTTGCTAATTTAAATCAAATATTCAACTCGTCCCGAAACATTTGTAAAAATTTTACAATTGAAGATGAAAATTCAATTTCATTGCAATTAGAAAAGGTGAAAGCAAAAAAGGAAAGCATGGAAAAAGCAATTACTCGCCAATTGAGGAAAACCGATAAACTTTTGCGAAAGGCCAAGTTAAATTTAAAAGAAAGTTAACCAATTAATCAAAATGGCAATCAAGGCAATCATCATTATAAATTGGAATATAAAAAAATTATTGAATTAATATGCTTGTCATGGTAAAAGTTGAACTGATCTTTACATTTATAAATATTTATTCATTTATTACATAGAATAGTTTTTTTGCTGAATTTTATTAAATTTCAACTATTTTGAGTTTGATAAATCGAGGAAAACACTTGAACCTCGTCTATTCACAGCAATCAAAACAATTACTAGTCTTTATTATTTTCACCTCTAACTATTTCCCTTGTTTATTCAAATTTTTCTCAATTATTTGTACAAATTTCTGCATATTTGATAAATTATTAAAACTAACTACAACTTGAATCAAAATTAATTGTATTTGTTATTTAAAAAGATAGAGTTGTGCAAGTACAATTGTATAATCAACAGTAAAAACCATTGAATTAAGCTCGAAGAAAGTCAAAACATCGATTCTCGTCTAATTTTTCATCTTGAACCACTTCCTTCTCGATTCGATCCCAAATGAATGTGCAAAATATGGTTATTATGGACCCAATAAGGAGACCAGCTAAAACATCCTCCCAATGATGAACGTTACCAGCAACTCTTGACACTCCAATAGAGATACAAGTGAGAAATAAAATGATTTGTAGGAAAGTAATTTGATATTTCCAATGATTTACCCTGCCATCACAATTTGAAAACCTTTTAGTTAAATAGATGATTAGAAAGACCATCGATGATGCCGAATAAGATGTATGACCAGAAGGAAATGAAACTCGAAGATAATTTTCAGCCTTCAAATCAACTGAGCAAGAAAAGTTGGTCAAGTAGACACCTTGATTAATCGGATTTTCACATGAAATATTGGGTCTACAACCGTGATAAAAGGTGGGTCTTAATCGTCCAACACTAATTTTAATATACTCAGTGACCAGAGCATTCAAAAATAGACAATATAACCATGAAATTGTTACCATTCCGATATTGTAAATTAATGAAGCTGTTTGTGAAGATGTCTGGTCAATGTTACCATTGAGGCCTTTTAGGTTTGATGGCCATTGATGTTTTGCAGCAATCAGTTCACTGGTTGAAATAATGGCAATTGGTAATAAAATAACGATAAAAAACAGTTGTTTGGCTCCAACTGTTTCATGTTGACTTGGATATCTGATTGTCTCATCTGAACACCAAAATCCTCTCACAAATGGTTCCAACTTTGAGGTTGATGAGTTGACTTTAAACAGTATGACCAGAATAACTATATTAATGAGAAAAAATTTACCGGACTTCATAGCACATTAACAATAATTAACAGTTGGCTATTCAATCAATTGTCTAACGTGTTCCTTTCAATGCTATTTCCAGTTTTGACATGAAAATTAAGGAACCTCAAGTTTATCTAACATCTTTCAATAGCAATATCAAGGTTAATTGTCCACTGAGTATCATACGTAATTATTAGGTCAACAACTAGAGTTTTATCGTCTATCAATGGCAAGATAAATGTTTCAACATTGTGAGTAATTAGATGATTGTTGCTATTTTTATCAAACAACTTGAGTCTTTGACAGTGAATACTGATATAAATATCAAGGTTTTACTAAACAAACATCAAATTAGTGAATAATTAGTAAAAGGTAGACATTTTATTTACAGATTTCAGATTTGCTACAAAAATTTGATTCAGTAAAATCAAGGGTTACAAAATATTGTCATGAATCATGATCAATTTATGAATCTTAATGAATAAGGAGTTATCGATTTATTTATGGGAATAGCTTTATCATGAAAACTAATATGATTAAAATGAACAGAATATTATCCATCAAATGATTGTTCACAGCGATACAAGTTAACAATTGAATGTTTACCACAATTGCTGCAATCTTATTAATGTTATTCTCATGGCTGATTGAATCTACAAGATTGAATTGAAAATGTCGCATCCCTAATTGTTATGATTGCAAATCATTTCAATATCAATTGATACAAACACTATGATGGTGAGTTTTCTTTACAAGATATTTAACAAACCGATAAATCCTAACATTTTTGCTTAATCAATTCTAACCAATCTAATCATTTTGAGTGGCTTTTCATTGTAGGTTGTTTTCATAAAATTAAATTTAAAAATAAATATTATACTGATGGTAAAATATGACTATCTGGGTTAAATGACTTTGGTTGTTGACAAACAACTTGATGATTTTGATGTTTCGGGTGTAAAATGTAATATATTAATTGATATCAGTGTTAATTGGATGAGGTAAATTTATAATTGACTGGTAATGATTACAATTTGAGACCATATTGTGCAAAAAATAAAACAGGTTCGCCTATTGATGAAATCCAAAAAAAACCTCAGCCTTCTCAGATCATTTGAATTAAAAGCATTTAAGAATTAGAGCTTCAAGATCTAAAATCACCAGACACACCAGAATCATCGAGATCGCCACTAAACCTTAAATTGCATTCGCTGATGTTGGGCTCAGCCGGTAAAATATCATCAGACTCAGTTTTATCAACAAAATCATCAAGATCGGTCCTTCTTGTGCAAGGCCTAAATATCGAGCTTTTCAATGATTGAGTAAAACTGTCACGGATTCTCTCCCAGAAGGTCCTTTCCATCCTTTCATCGATCGATTGGAAATCAAAATCAGCAACTTCGATTGTCAATTCCTTCCTCTGTTTCATGTGAATGGCGATGCCAGCAATAATGATGAAAATGGCAATGATTATACTGCAAACAGGTACCAAAACAAAACTCAATTGCGTTCGATGTTCAACTGAAAAACAAAAAGAAAATGTGATTAAAATGTGATAGAAATATTGCGATTAGTGGCAGATTTCAGAAGTCAGTGTCACTTACTTTCATAAATTAATATGGTCATGTTCTTGGTAAATGATGATACATCGTTTTTAACACTTGTTATTAAGGTTTTCTTTCCCTTTTCACTGAAATATCTGATAATTGAGAAAATACTTTCATTTGTAGGTTTACAAATTTTCCCCAAAGTGGTTGAATTTGTAATTTCCCAGCAGTAAAAAAATGGAGGTGTTCCACCATCAATCTTGATATTCAACTGGAGGCTTTCATCCCTGAAAAGTTCAACATTGGTGTGTCCATCAGCAGTCAAATTGTGAATGGGATCTTTACTTTGTAAGGAGATTTCAAATAAGCCAGATTTTTGCAAAGTGGTTGTAATTGCAGAAACAATCACTGAGATGTTGTTAATTTGAGGCTGAGTGAAATTGTAGATGATGAGTTGGTCATAGCTTTCCTCTTGCGGTGAGCCATTTACGATCCACTTGTACGTGATGTTGGCTGAGGCGAAAAAACCACTGGGGTCATGAATTTTGGCAGTCAGGTTAACAGGTGATGCTGTAGATATGAAATTGTTTTTCAAACTCTCCTCATCAATGTCCTGGTTGACATCAATAACTCCGATGAGTGAATCTGGAAACGAAAGGAAGAAAGAAAGGAAAAATTAATAAGAATGCAGGTAAATTAAGGTGATTAATTTAGTAAATACCTGAAAGCTTGAAGGTAGAAAGAACAGCTCCAATTGAATAAAAAGGAACACCCAGAAACCGATACCATACGTCAACTTGCACTGTGTAAAATTCAGCTTTGGGTGCTGTAGATGCTGCAAATATTACAGAGTAAAACACTTCACCCGATGTTGATATGATGGTGTCATCGTGCTGGGGAAACTGTTCAAATTTGAATCGATATTCATACGAGGGAGCTATTGTTCTATATGAATTTTTCACTGTAAAGGTGATCGGGGTGTCGAAGGGTACAGGTCCGTCATCCGATAGCTCGATCCAATCACAGGTAGCAATACTGACTAGAGTCAAAATGAAAAAATATGATAAACTGCTCATAATTAATCAGAAAATTAAACTTTCACAAAATTTATCTGCAACATGTTATGAGACAAAGCACAACAAAGATGACAGAGAGAGAGAACCAGCTGATAATTCATACCGAGCATCGATTTAAATCGATTGATCAAAGCTGCAAGTTGCAGCCAGCAACACCAAAATAAACAAACAAACTTGAATCTTGAAAGAAATTTTATTGATTATTTAATCCAGAATTTAGTCTTTTGGCGATGAAGACTGCAAATTCGATTGCAGATCTTTTATAAACTCTATTTCTTTTTTACTTCGGATGTAACTTTCTATTTCTTTATCAGAAATTTCGGGTTCTTCAGAATAAATAACAGGTTTGTAATTTTTCATGAGATTTGATGTTTCTTGAATAACAACAGGTATCTTAGGTTTATTGGCTTCTCGATGACGATGGATAAGTAAGGTTGAGTGATTCAAGATATCCATCAAGTGAAATGCGATATCTGACTTTGAGTCCTGCTTTGATACTTTTGTCCATGGTAAATACGTGATTAATGTACATGTGAAATCAAGTAACTCTTTGAATCGTTGGTTACCAGTTTCAGAATATGGTAATTTACAAATGTTACAAAATTTTTTAAAGGTTATCTTATTTGGTCCTCTTTCCTTTGGTTTAATTGATTTCCAAGCTAAACAGAGAGCTGCCTGTATCACATAGGTTGGATGTTTACCATCCATTAGATTTGCATCTTTAACTAATTTGACTAGACCATCAGTACGTTCATTTATCACTTTTGATTCAGATTCATCAAATTTTGCCTCATTTAGAGTGTGAGGTATGAGATCATTAATTGGTTTCGGCGTTGGTTTCAGACTTGGGTTAGCTTCAAGAACCATATTTAAAATTGATTTAAATTCAGGTAGACTGCAACCAACTCGTCCACAAATTGTGTCCATTGGTAATATCATTCCAGCTTGATTAGTAACAATGAAGGCTACAACACCACCAAGTATAGCTTTGTTTTTGGTATACTTTTTGATGAAGATCGATGATTTTAACAGCGTTTGAAAGATGTCCAATAAGTTTTGCATCATGGTAGGACTGAACTTAAAATATTCACCAAGTCTTTTAGTCCTTTCTAAAGCATTTTTACAGGCCGGTGCGATTGCTTTTCGATGAAGAGAATGTTTGACGGAATTGGGTAAACCTCGATGGCCATCGAAAAAACTATTATTGGTGTAAGTTAAGCCTTCGTGTTCCGCATTTGATTGAAATTGACTTTTATCTGCAACAATAAGTCCACAATTTAAACAAATCCAGCTACCCTGTAAGCAAAAAAAAAATAAGAAATGAGTAAAATTGTTGATGGAAATAGAACGCAATAAAAACGGTTACTAAACTTACATGTTCAACATCAATTGATTTGGAGCTGCAATTAGAGCATTGTATGTTATCCATGATTGAAGGATTGTAAATTACTTACACCAGATTATGTAATTGTAATGTAATCACTTAATTAACTAACTATAATTAAACCTACTAAATACAAAGATTGAACAAAACCAAAACAAACCGATTCACATGTGGTAAGGTGGGTAAACGTCAGGTGGCTCTGAAGCACAAGGCGCCAACATTTGACTGATGAATGACAATTTAAAATCAATGTTCAATTATGACGATTCATCTTGAATTACATATCTGGTTATGATTGATTATAGCAGTTTCCAAGGCATGATTAAAAAATTGACCACATTAAAGTAATCAATAATAAACGATCAATTTCTTTGATAGTTACTTTACTCGATTAAACTCACAACTAGATCAGAAATTGAACATTTGAGGAACGTCAAGATTACTATCATTTTGACAAATAGTTAACGCATATACTGAGATATTCAAAGGTGTTGAACTGGTACTGCAAATATGGATGAAGTGCAAACCGAATCAATTGTTACCAAAGGTTTTCTGTTCAAGTATGATCTAATGTTATCGTCCTTTCCTCGATGGCTTACAGTATTATCTCTTGGATTTTGTGGGTTAATTAGAGACACGCAATGGATTATTAAACTTCCATATTGCCCAATGGCCAGTAAATTTATTGACTCACAGAGCATACGATACATGATTCACAATGCAGTTTATTTTTCTCGTTTTGCGATTGCAATGTTTGCTCTGGACTGGACAGCGTTTGCGGAATACACGAAACAATTGAGTCAAATGGAGCTGGAAAGTGACGAGAAAAGTGTCAAACAAATTAAACGAGAGCGAAGAATTAAAAATTGGTTTTTCGTTGTTTCTCTAATTTCTTACCCAATGATTGCCAACGGATGCTTTCTCATCTTGGAGCTAAATGTTGGAATTTACTACATCTTTTCTCTAATAATTGATTCAGCATACATAGGTGCGCACTTTTTCCTCATTTACTTGATCATAGATCTTAGCATTTGCTTGAAGGCCGCTTTCCAATACATCAACCATCATTTGGCACATTTCAAGATAACTTCACCCAATTCAATGTTGTCTGAATTAAGACGCAACCGTATAATGTATAGCTGTGCCGTTCGATCATCACAAGAAGCAGAAAAATTTGCCCGTCATTACATTGCGCTGTTTTATTCCCAGTTCATTTTGTTCAACATTAACAACATAGTTGATCTCTTAGGACAAAAAAGGGAAACTAGTTTAGCTTTCATCTTATTTATGGCACTGGATATAATCACTGCCGGTTATTTAACATTGAATCTGGTTGCTGTCAACAAAGTTTCCACTGAAGGAATGGAGGATTTGTACGAGATTTCATACGATTTAAAGTCTTACAATCTTCAAAATGAGGTAAATCAATTATTAGTTATTAGTTCAAAACTAAACAGTCTTTCGTCTTTTACAGAATAACCTTTTTCTCAACCGAATGCTCTGGCACAATGTTGGTTTCACTGTTTCTAATTTGTTTCTCATCAATCCTAACTTCATTACTGCACTTCTAAGCTTTGCATTAACAATTGCTCTTACAATGGCAAACTACTTGTACAAATAAACGATGTCAATACTGACCCGTTGGTTACAACTTTAAAGAGACTGATTGTAGACTAAACCAAAAGATCTATCCGTTATTAAATCAAATCTATTTAAGTGTTTTTGATTAAAATGAACTTCAATTCGCATATTTAATGATAATCGGTTGAAATTGCATAAGTTATGAAAATGGTTTGAGACTGTTTACAAACTTTATTGACAGTTTCGGCAGTTTCAGTCATAGTCGGTGGTCTTGACCTTTTCCAATTTGTATCAATTTGCAAAGAAAGGCTGATGAATAAAATAAAAATCAATGTTATATCATGAGGATTGATAAATGATAAAATTGAATGCCTGGTTACGATTTAATAAATAATAAAAGTTCGGAAGGCATGAGTCAAAGAAATGACCAATAATGATCAATAATGAACAATGCTTTGATTTATGATCAATTAATCAATTTTACTTATAAATAAGAGACTCACATTAAATCATACATAAAATAAAACTAACAACCAAAGTTTATTCTTCAGTTAATCTTAACCTTTAATGATCTTTAATCCTTAATCGTTATTTTAGATTAAATATGGACAGTAAAGAATCGATTGTTACCAAAGGTTTTCTGGTCAAGTACAACCTAATGTTATCGCCTTTCCCTCGATGGTTCATCATATTTACTCTTGGATTATGTGGACTGATTAAAAATACTCGATACTTGATTCCATTTCTTTCATCTAGTTTTTCAAGTGCATCGAAGTCCATTGAATTCAACACTATACGATATGCGATTTACATTGTTATTTTATTGTCTCGTGGTGTGATTGTAACTTTTGGTCTTGACTGGAAAGCATTTGCTGCATACACTGAACAATTGAGTCGAGTTGAGCTGGATAAGGATGAAGAAAGTGTCAAACGAATTGATCGAGAACGAAGAATCAAAAATTGTGTTTGCTTTTTCGCTCTACTTTCATACATAATGATAACCATCAGTCGCTCTATACCTCGGATAAGAATGGAAGTGAATTACCTTTTCATACTTCTCAACGATATTATTATATTGATCAGCAACTTTTATCTCATTTACTTGATCATAGATCTTAGTATTTGCTTGAAGGCCGCTTTCCGATTCATCAACCATCACTTGGAACATTTCAAGATAACTTCACCCAATTCAATGTTGCCTAAATTAAGACAAAGCCGCTTATTGTATAGTTGCGCCGTTCGAGCATCACAAGAAGCTGAAAAGTTTGCACGACATTATATTGCTTGGTGTTATTTCCATTTCTTTTTGTTAAGCATTGTCAACATTGTTGAAATCTTGAGTCCAAAAGGTGTAGAGAGTATAGCCTTTGTCTTGTTTATGGCATTTGATATAATCAATACTGGATATTTAACATTGAATCTGGTTGCTGTTAACTCAGTTTCAACTGAAGGAATGGAGGATTTGTACGAGATTTCATACGATCTAAAGTCTTACAATCTTCAAAATGAGGTAAATGAATGATTTGTCAATGTTTCCGAATCTAAATTGTCTTTTGCTTTTTACAGAATAACCTTTTTCTCAATCGAATGCTCTGGCAAAATGTTGGCTTTACCTTCTCTAATCTGTTCCTGATTAATCCCAATTTCATTACATCGCTTCTGAGCTTTTCCTTGACAATCGCTATCATGATTGCTAACTTTCTGTACAGTTGATTAGCAGTTTCAACTTGAGAAAGACAAAGTTAAATAAAGTAACAAAGTTAACTCCAAGATGGAAAGATCACGATTGACTTTGACTTTTAATTCTGATAATGAGTATAATAATCATTCCTATTGTTATTCTCAATCCGGTTTCCCAAGATTAATCAATAAATTACACTCTTAAGTCTCGTTACCATTTCTTCTCGTTCAACTTTTTTGGGTTTGTAGCAAAGAGTAAAGGAAGTTTGGTTTGTAGTAACTTATCATCCCGAATTAGCAATGATATTTGAAATATTGAACGCCAACACAGTACCAACATCGAGGAAACAAAGAAACTCATCATTAACATGGACTAGAAGAAAACCTGACCTTAATTGGATAAAAATAGTCATGTTTTCTTTGAAAGATGATTTCCAATTTGTATCAATTTGACAAAGAAAGGCTGGTAAATAAACGATTGATATTAGATAAAATTGAATGCCTGAATATGATTTATTACCGCAGAATAGATTCTAAGGAATAAACAATGATGATCAATAATGAACAATCGTTTGCTTTTTAATCACTTAATCAATTTTACTTTAAAATTAGAAGCATTTCCGAAGAATAGAGAAATTGAAGGAAACGTGAAGACAACCGATGACATCATGGAAGAAGATCAATTGTAGACCAACATCTTGACCAATGTTTTCCTGTTACTGAGAAACAGATAGTCTTTTAGATTCAAAATGGACAGTAACGAATCGATTGTAACCAAAGGTTTTCTGGTTAAGTCTGACCTAATGTTCTCGCCTCTCCCTCGCTGGTTCATAACATTGACTCTTGGATTTTGTGGGTTAATTAAAGATACTTCATGGATTATTGAATTTCTTTCCGTCATTTTTTCAAATGAACCAAGACCTCGAGAATTCGCAACTTATCGATTCATGATTGGCAATGCCGTTTTTTTGTCTCGTTGTGTAATTGTAACTTTCGCTCTGGACTGGAAAGCATTTGCCAATTTCGCTAAACAATTGAGTCGAGTAGAGCTGGACAAGGATGAAGAGAGTGTCAAACAAATTAACAAACAGCGAAGAATTAAAAATTGGTTTTTTCTTATTTCTCTCATTGCATACACTGTTATAACCAGCACCCGCTACATGCCTCAACTAAGAACGGAAATTTATGCCGTTTTCCTTCTCTTTGTTGATATTGTTATGCACATCGGAAACTTTTTCCTGGTTCACTTGATTGTAGATCTTTGTATTTGCTTGAAAGCTGCTTTCCAATACATTAACCAACACTTGGCCCATTTTCAGATAACTTCACCAAACCTAATGTTGTCTGAAATGAGACGCAATCGGTCATTATACACCCGTACCATTCGAGCATCGCAAGAGGCTGAGAAATTCGCTCGTCATTACATTGCTTGGTTTTATTTTCAGTTCTTCTTGTTCAACCTAGTCAACATTGTGAATATATTAGGAGGAAAAAGTGAAACAAGTATAGCCTTCTTCTTGTACATGGTACTGGATATAACCACTGCAGCCTATTTAACATTAAATCTGGTTGCTGTTAACAAAGTTTCAACTGAAGGAATGGAGGATTTGTACGAGATTTCATACGATCTAAAGTCTTACAATTTGCACAATGAGGTAAATGAATGATTTGTTAATGTTTCAAATCTTAATTGTCTTTTGTCTTTTACAGAATAACCTTTTTCTCAATCGAATGCTCTGGCGAAATGTTGGCTTCACCTTCTCTAATTTATTCCTGATTAATCCTAATTTCGTTACTTCACTATTAAGCTTTTCATTGACTATAGCTCTTACGATGGCAAACTTTCTGTACAAATAGACTTCACTTTTAGGAAAAAGTTGAAAGTTATGTTGAATTCATTGGAGGTGTATCAAGAAACACACTAGCAATCAATAAACATGTTAAAACTTCAAGTCTCAATAGCATTTCTCGATGTTCAATTTTGCTTTGGATGTCTAACATTTCATACTTGATTTTGGCATGAATGTTTGAAACATTGAATACCAAAACTCCTGTGAACCTCAAAAAAACAGAATCTAAATTGTTTTTTGGGATCTTAACTGAATCAGGATAATTTTTTCATTTTCATTTGAACAGAAAGGAGGATAAAAAGTCGTTATTCCATTGACATAATTGAATACCTGGTAATGATTTATTATAACAGCTTAAAAGACGACGATTCAATAATGAAATGATCAATAATGAACAATTGTAATCACTTAATCAATTTTACTTTGAAAAGGGAAATATTCCACAATTAGATGAGTGTATAATGAATAAGAGAACCGTGAAAATAACCATAGAGATCACATAAAGCGCTGCAGCAAAACCAATTTGTAAAATTGTTGATTACCAACATCTTGACCAATGGGTTGACCAGTTTTGTTTGTAATTAAGAAACAAAAGTATTTTTCAATTGAAAATGGAAAGAAACGACTCGATAGTTACCAAAGGTTTTCTAGTCAAATATAACCTAATGACATCGCCTTTCCCTCGATGGTTCCTGATATTGACTCTTGGATTATTTGGATTGATTAAAGACACTCAGTGGATTATTAAATCTGTTTCATTTCTTTCCTCTATTTTTTCGAGTGAATCAAGACACAAAGATTTCGATACTATACGCTATGCGATTTACAATGTTGTTTTTCTGTCTCGTTGTGTGATTGCAACTTTTGCTTTGGATTGGAAAGCATTTGCAGCATATATTGAACAATTGAGTCGAGTGGAACTGGATAAGGATGAAGAAAGTGTCAAGCGAATTAACCGAGAACGAAGAATTAAAAATTGTGTTTTCTTTCTTTCTTTAATTTCGTACATAATGATAACAACCATCCGCTTTCTGGCTGGGACAAGAACGGAGATCCATAACCTTTTCACGCTTCTTGTTGATAGTTCTATGCACATTGGCCACTTTTTTCTCCTCAATTTGATTGTAGATCTTTGTGTTTGCTTGAAAGCAGCTTTTCAATACATTAACCACCATTTGGCACATTTCCAGATAAGCTCACCCGATCCAATGTTGTCTGAATTGAGACGTAACCGTATAATGTACAGCTGTACTATTCGAGCATCAAAAGAAGCTGAAAAATTTGCCCGACATTATATCGCTTGGTTTTACTTCCAGTTCATTTTGTTCAACATTGTCAACATAGTTGATCTCTTAGGACAGAAAGGTGAAACGAGTATAGCCTTTGTCTTGTTCATGGCACTGGATATAATCAATACTGCATATTTAACATTGAAACTGGTGGCTGTTAACTCAGTTTCAACTGATGGAATGGAGGATTTATACGAGATTTCATTCGATTTAAAATCTTACAATCTTCAAAACGAGGTAAATCAATGATTTGTCAATGTTTCCAAATCTAAACTGTCTTCCGTCTTTTACAGAATAACCTTTTTCTCAATCGAATGCTCTGGCGAAATGTTGGATTCACCTTTTCTAATCTGTTTCTGATCAATCCTAATTTCATTACTTCGTTACTTAGCTTTTCATTAACAATTGCTCTCATGATTGCTAATTTTTTGCGCAGTTAAACATTGGTCTCAAACACTTCCAGATTATCAAAGCAACAAATTGGAAACAATCCGTCTGTTCAATTTTTTGTCTTATTGATACTTGGAACCTTGTAGTCCAAAACAACTAACCACCTCCAGAAAACATAAACATTGAAAATTGATAAAGAACCGAAAGAAACCAATTTTCGTGACCTTAATTGAATCTTCATAGTCGATGGTCTGTTTGGTATTAATTTGAAAAGAAACACTTGTAACTAAAGTAAAATAAATGTTATGACGATTGAATGTATGATTATGATTTATTACAAAATCTTCAAAGAAATGGTCAATAATGATCAATAAAGAACAATCGTAATCGCTTAATCAATCTTAAATTGAAAAAGGAATTATTCGAAAATTAAACGATAGATGCACAATGAACAAGATAACCATAGAGATCACTCAAGTTTTGCAGAAAGACCAACTTGAAGAATTGTTACTTTCCAACAGCTTTTCCAATGGGTTGACCAGTTTTCTTATAATTAAGAAACAAAGGTTCTTTTGATTCAAAATGGACTCAAACGAATCGATAGTTACCAAAGGTTTTCTTCTTAATTATAACCGAATGACATCGTCTTTTCCTCGATGGCTCATGATATTTACTCTTGGATTTTGTGGACTGATTAAAGACAGTCTATGGAATATTGAATTTGTCTCTATTCTTTCAAGTGAATCAAAGCCAAGTGAATTCGTATCGATACGATATGCGATTTACAATGTTGTGATGTTGTCTCGTTGTGTCATTGTAACTTTTGCTCTGGACTGGAAAGCATTTGCGACATTCACTGAACAATTAACTCTCGTGGAGTTGGATAAGGATGAAGACAGTGTCAAGCGAATCAACAGAGAACGAAGAGTTAAAAATTGGTTTTGCTCTGTTTCTCTGATTGCATACATAATGATAAACATCTTCTACTTGGTGACTCAGCCAAGAATTGAGTGTTTTTACCTTTTCACACTCCTTGTTAATACCATTCTATACATTGGCGACTTTTTCCTGATTCACTTGATTGTAGATCTTTGCATTTGCTTGAAAGTCGCTTTTCGAGGCATAAACAATCACTTGGCTCACTTTCAGATAACTTCACCTAATGTTATGTTGTCTGAATTAAGACGTAACCGTTCACTGTATAGCTGTACCATTCGAGCCTCAAGAGAAGCTGAAAAATTCGCCCGACATTACATCGCTTGGTTTTATTGCCAGTTCTTTTTGTTGAGCATTGTCAACATTGTAAACATCTTAGGACTAAAAAGTAAAACAAGTTTAGCTTTCGTCTTGTTTATGGCATTTGATATAATCAATACTGGATATTTAACATTGAATCTGGTTGCTGTTAACAAAGTTTCAACTGAAGGAATTGAGGATTTGTACGAGATTTCATACGATTTAAAATATTACAATTTGCACAATGAGGTAAATCAATGATTTGTCAATGTTTCCAAATCTAAATTGTCTTCCGTCTTTTACAGAATAACCTTTTTCTCAATCGAATGCTCTGGCGAAATGTTGGCTTCACCTTCTCTAATCTGTTTCTGATTAATCCTAATTTCATTACTTCATTACTCAGCTTTTCATTTACAATCGCTCTTATGATTGCTAATTTTTTGGGAAGTTAAACAGCGGCGGAATATTAAGAAATTTTCAACCACAAGATGATCGTTACACTCAATTGAATCAATTCTATGGGTTACTCAATTTTTTCGAATATGTCTTCAACTGGTTCGAGACCTAAAGGATTCTAACTATAAGATCCATAATTTATCATATTTTTTTTGTCTCGTTGTTTGATTGTAACTTTTACTTTGGACTGGACGGCATTTGCCGTATACACTAAACAGTTGAGTCGACTTGAACTGGAAAAGGACAAATTAACCGGGAACGTAAAGTTAAAAATTGTGTTTGCTTTGTTACAGTTTTGCTAATTATTGTTGATGTTTTTTTGTTCATCGCCCAATTTTTCTCATTAATTTGATTGTAGATCTTAGTATTTGCTTGAAAATCGCTTTTCAATATATTAACCATCAATTGGAACACTTTCAGATAACTTCACCCAATAAAATTTTAGCCGAACTATCATAGTCCGCTCAATGTACACCTTTTATGATTTTATAAAACGAGGTAAATAAGTGATAAGTTAATTACATCAAATCTAAATTTTTGCGTCTTTACAGAACAACCTTTTTCTCAATCGAATGCTCTGGCAAAATGTTAGTTTCACCTTCTGTTTTATTTCTGATCAATCCTAATTTCATTACTTCCCTGCTAAGCTTTGTATTATCAATTCCTCTCATGACTACTAATTTTTTCACTGTTAAACATTGAAAGGCAATGTTGAAAAATAACCATTGGTTTAAATGTTTTATTGCTTAGCCCTCTGGATCAAGGCACTCTTGTTATAACTTATACATTGTATGTATCGATAGCACTCGCCGATGTGACTCTCCTTTGAGTTTTTAACTGATGAGGCAAAATGGTCAGCAATGAAAATGATATCTGAATTATTGAACACTGAAACCATTGACCACAAAAGACTTTAAAGAAACCGATTTTTCTGGCCTGATTGAATCAGCATAGTCGATGCTCTCTTTGAATGATGTTTGATCAGTTCCAATTCATATCAATTTGAAAAGAAAAGCTAGTAAATAAAGTAAAAATCAATGTTAAATTATGACGAATGAATACCTGGTTATGACTTATTACAAAAGTTTCAAAGAAAATATATAAAGAAATGGACAATGATGATCAATAATGAACAATGGTTTGCTTCGTAATCAATTAATCACTAGGAAATATTCACAATTAATAAGAGAAACTTAAAGAAACCATGGACACCACATAATACTGTGCGACTGCAAAAAGACCGATTTAGATTGATTTGATCACCAACAGTTTTCCTGTAATTAAGAAACAAAGGTTCTTTCAGATCCAATTGCAGCTATCAATATGAACGTAAACGAATCAATTGTTACCAAAGGTTTTCTTGTTAATTTTAACCTAATGTTATCGTCTTTCCCTCGATGGTTTATCATATTCACTCTTGGATTTTGTGGATTGATTAAAGATACTCTTTGGATTATTGAATTTGTCTCTATTCTTAACAATGAATCAAAGCCCAGAGAATTCGAAGCTATACGATACACTATTTACAATGTTGTTATATTGTCTCGTTGTGTGATTGCAACTTTTTTTGTAAACTGGAAATCCCTTGCGGCATACACCGAACAATTGGGTCGAGTGGAGCTGGAGAAGGATTAAGAAAGCGTCAAACGAATTAACAAAGAACGAAAATTTAAAAATTGGTTTTGTTTTGTTTCTCTAACTGCATATATAATGATAAACATCTTCATCGTTGTGACTCAGTCAAGAATCGAAATTTTCTTTCTGTTCACATTCCTTGTTAATACAATTCTATACTTCGGCCATTTTTTTCTGGTTCACTTGATTGTAGATCTTTGTATTTGCTTGAAAGCCGCTTTTAGATACAGTAACAGACATTTGGCAGACTTTCAGGTAACTTCACCAAATCTAATGTTGTCTCAATTGAGACGCAATCGCTCATTATACAGTTGTACTATTCGAGCATCACGAGAAGCTGAAAAATTTGCCCGACCTTACATCGCTTGGTTTTATTTCCAGTTCTTCTTGTTCAACATTGTCAACATCGTAGATATCTTAGGACTAAAAAGTAAAACAAGTTTAGCTTTCGTCTTGTTTATGGCACTGGATATAATCAATACTGGATATTTAACATTGAATCTGGTTGCTGTTAACAAAGTTTCAACTGAAGGAATGGAGGATTTGTACGAGATTTCATACGATCTAAAGTCTTACAATTTACAAAATGAGGTAAATAAATGATTTGTTAACTTTTAATGTTTGTTTTCAAATCTAAATTGTCTTTTGTCTTTTGCAGAATAACTTCTTTCTCAATCGAATGCTCTGGCGAAATGTTGGTTCTAACTTTTCTTATAGCCTTCGTCTTGTGGATGGCACTGGATATAATCAATACAGGATACTTTACTGTGAAACTGGTTGCTGTAAACGCAGTTTCCACTGAAGGCATGGAGGATTTGTACGAGATTTCATACGATCTAAAGTCTTACAATTTACAAAATGAGGTAAATAAATGATTTGTTAACTTTTAATGTTTGTTTTCAAATCTAAATTGTCTTTTGTCTTTTGCAGAATAACTTCTTTCTCAATCGAATGCTCTGGCGAAATGTTGGTTCTAACTTTTCTTATAGCCTTCGTCTTGTGGATGGCACTGGATATAATCAATACAGGATACTTTACTGTGAAACTGGTTGCTGTAAACGCAGTTTCCACTGAAGGCATGGAGGATTTATATGAGATTTCATACGATCTAAAGTCTTACAATCTTCAAAATGAGGTAAATCAATGATTAGTCAATCTTAAATTCAAATCTGAATCGTGTTTCGTCTTTTGCAGAATAACCTTTTTCTCAATCGAATGCTCTGGCAAAATGTTGGATTCACCGTTTCTAATTTGTTTCTGATTAATCCCGATTTCATTACTTCGCTACTCAGCTTTTCCTTTACAATTGCTCTCATGATTGCTAACTTTCTGTACAGTTAAACAGCGTCTTTAATATTATCAGAAATATCAGAATCAATTTGTAAATCGATCGCTAAATATTTAAGCGATTAATAAACATATTGAATTGGAATTTTCTACAACAATTATTGTGATCAGTAAGATTTTGACCATCTCGGACTCTTCGACCAACTCTATAAACACTTTTTCTGTTGATTCCTATCGTTTCTAGAACTTTTGCCTAGTCATAAAGTGAAGACTAAAGGGAGTTACTAACATATTCAGAAATCAAGTGTCGCTTGTCACTATTCTTAAGAGGCATTTTTAGATTTAATTTTCAACTTTTCAATCAAAATGTAGCTTAAATCATTGTCTATCTTTTGGTAAAAGAATGGTGCCATTATGTCTTATCATTGCCAGACAATGTCTGAAAAACAAATTGGTGACAAACTTTATCGGTCATACCTTATTATAAAATCATTCATGTAAATAAAGTAAAAATCAATGTCAGATCATGACGATTGATCTTCCATATTAAATTATACCTGATTATGATTTATTACAAAAGTTAAAGATCCAAAGAAATGACCAATGATGATCAATAATGAACAATCGTTTATATACGAACTTTATAATCATTTAATCAATTTTACTTTGAAATGTTCACAATTCAATGACAGACGCACATTAAATATTTAATAATAAGAGAAACGTAGACACATAATATACAACAGATAACCATAGAGATCAAATAGAGTACTGTGAAAAGTTCAATTTAAAGAACTGTTGATTCTCAGGTTCTTAACCAATGGTTTTGCTGTAATAACGAAACAAATTTTCGGCTTGATTTAGTTGCAGCTATTAAAATGGAAAGAAATGAATCGATTGTTACCAAAGGTTTCCTGGTTAAGTCTAGCCTAATGTTATCGTCTTTCCCTCGATGGTTCATGATATTTACACTTGGATTTTGTGGATTAATTGTGGACACTTTTTGGGTTATTCAGTTTATTTCGGCTATTTTTTCAAATGAATCCAGGCCTCGAGAATTTGAAACTATACGGTATACGATTTACAATGTTGTTTTTTTGTCTCGCTGTGTGGTTGGGACTTTTGCTCTGGACTGGAGAGCATTTGCGGCTTACATTGAACAATTGAGTCGAGTGGAGCTGGAAAAGGATGAAGAAAGTGTCGAGCGGATTAACCGGGAACGAAGAGTTAAAAATTGGTTTTGTATTGTTTCTCTAACATCATACACAATTTGTATCATCATTCACTTTGTGACTTTGCTAACAATTGATATTTATTCAGCTTTGATGCTTCTGCCAAATATTATTTCATTCACCAGCCAATTTTTCCTCATCCATTTGATCATAGATTTTTGTATCTGCTTGAAAGCCGCTTTTCAATACATTAACCATCATTTGGCCCATTTCAAGGTAACGTTACCCAAACCAATGCTGACTGAAATGAGACGTAACCGTATAATGTACAGCTGTACTATTCGAGCATCAAAAGAGGCTGAAAAGTTTGTCCGTCATTTTATCGCTGGTTTTATGGTCAATTCATTTTGTACAACATAGTCAACATCGTTGATCTCTTAGGACAAAAAAAATGAAAAAAGCTTAATCTTCTTCTTGGTCATCATACTGGATATAATTACTGCAAGCTATTTAACACTGAACTTGGGTGGCTGTTAACAAGCTTCCACTTCAAGCATGGAGGATCTGTATGAGATCTCATAC